AAAAAGGATGGCAGTCTCCGCATGTGCATCGAGTATCGTGGGCTGAATAAAGCAACGATAAAGGCTCGTACGCCGTTACCAAATCTTGCAGAGATGCGGGATCGGGTACGTGGAAAGAAGTTCAAGTCTTTGTTGAATATCAAAGATGCGTATCACCGCCTCTTGGTTCGCAAGGCTGATAGAGACAAAACAGCGTTTCGGACGCGGTTTGGTCATTTCGAGTACTTGGTTATGCCATTTGGATTGACAAATGCGCCAGCAACGTTCCAAAGGTTAACCAATAAGATATTGGGCAAGATGTACGATGAGTTTGTCATATCTTACCTGGATGATATCTTGAACTTCTCGGAAACGGCCAAGGAGCATATCGCTCATGTGGATAGCGTTTTGGCTGTTCTCGCCAAGCACAAACTTTATGTTAAGCCGTCCAAGTGCAAATGGATGCAGAAGGAGCTTGAATTCTGCGGTCATCTCCTGGGAGAAGAGACAATGGCCATTGCACCCTCGAAATTGGACGCCGTGTGAAACTTTGCACGTCCTACGAAACAGAAAGAGCTTCAGTCTTTCTTAGGGCTGAGAAATTACCGAGTCAATATGTCGATCATTATGCATACATCGCGTATCCATTGACAGAGCTACAGTCGGGCAAAAGGCCTTGGCACTGGGGCAATGTCGAAGAACAAGCTTTTGTTAATCTGAAGGAAGCTATTATCACAGCTCCTGCGCTCGCGTCTTACAACCCGGAGCGAGATTTATAGGTGTTCACAGATGCATTGGGTTTTGCGATAGGCGGATGGCTCGCCCAGCCAGCGGATCCATCGGAGCATTACCCATCACCGTTGCCTACCTCGGTGAAGGGATTTAAGAATCTGCCGCTGTGAAAGCCGATAGCTTTCTTTGGGCGGAAGATGCTACTTGCTGACACATGTGCACGAACAAGAGCTATTAGCTCTGGTTAGCATATGCAGGGCGAACAGGCATTACTTGCAGGATCGGAAGAATGACCGTCCGTTTCGCGCGTTCACCGATCACGCTAGTTTGGTCTGGCTGCAGACACAGCCCTTCCTGAGCCATCGCCAAGCACGATGGGTTGAATTCCTGCAACAATTCAAATTTGATATTGAATATCAACCTGGTCGTTGGAACACCGTTGCGGATGTGTTGAGTCGTAATTACGCTCCTCGCTGCGCTGAGTGTAACAAGCGAGTGGAAATCGCTGCGGCCATGGGGGTGTCCGTTGAGTATATTCCTTTGGGGAATGTTACGCTTGAGGCTTGGATACGAAGCTTGGAGGCGGATGAGGACTTTGCTTCACGGAAAGATGCGTTGTCACAGCCAAAGGAAAAACAGTCTACATTCGATCAACGTTTCTCGATCGATGAGCCTGGTCGTTTACTGTACCACAATAGGTTCTACGTGCCAGCTGCTTTACGAGGGACTGTATTGCAGGCGTACCATGACTCGTTGCTCTCTGGCTCGCATACGGGGGTACAAGGTACATTGGGCAAGCTCCTACACGAGTTTTATTGGCCCAATATGGACGCAGACTTGAGAGGGTACATCAAGACTTGTGGGTCTTGCCAAAGGTGCAAGTCGCCAAAGAATAAGCGTGTTGGCTTACTTCGTTTGCTCCCAGTACCTGACCGACGTTGGCACACAATGGGTATGGACCCTGTCTCGATGCCAATAACACGGTCGTGGGGGGGGAAGGTGCCTAGTGATGCGTTTTACAACAGTATTATTGTCTTCATCGACTATCTGTCAGGGCGCGCATACTTTATACCTGCGGCATCCATGATAACTGCCGAGGAGTTGGCCCATCTCTACTTCCGTGAGGTATGGCGCCATACAGGTACCGCAGCTGTGATCGTCGGAGATCGAGCATCGAGCGTGGGGGAAGGTGCATAGTGATGCCTTATACGCCAGTATTATTGTCTTCATCGACTATCTGTCAGGGCGCGCATACTTTATACCTGCGGCATACGTTGCTTATTACGATCGGTCTTTCACTGACGCGTTGTTCTCCAATAAGACCAGACAACCCACATTACACTCTGGGTGCCCACATTCTCAGTCGTCGGGGAATCATTCTTAGTGCCCTCTCAGATACACCTATATTAGCTAAGGTTTCAATATGACTTGGGAGATGCCTTGGAACCCAGCGCTCACATACGTTTGCGCAGTCGCACCGACCGTCGCCAGGCTGAGCCGCTCAACTACCATCCCCCATGTTCAAACCCCACGGCCTCTGCATACAGGCAACGACCCCCCCAAATATTGTAGTACATAATGTGCACAAGAGGCTGCTCTTCAAAACTGTCTCATTACTTTATTTATTGTTACAACAAAAACAAAAGAAAACACTAATCTACGGAAACCTGAGCATCGTTTTCGTTGAATCCCGCAAATTCCTCATGACTCTCCTCCCCAGGGGTCCCAGTACGGCTCCATCCCTGTACGGGGGTGTTACGGTGGCTAATGATGACCTTCATGACCTCCTTGGTGATTTTGGGGCAGTGGCGGCATAGGCTCTTTGCTCCAAGTCCGCGGTGCATGCAGCATCCACATGGAAGAGCAATGCGCAGTCCAGGGCCACACGGGAAGGCATACTTTGTGATGTCGATGTGAGGTCCAAGCTTGACTTTGAGTTGGCCCTGTGCGGTGCGTCCCCGCTGCGCTAGAGGAATATCAGCCTCCCCAAGAAGCAGCCCATCATCGCCCGCAGTGAATCGATACATTCCAATTTTGTACGACCACTTTCCAACTGTCTTTCCATCCTTCTCGTATGTTGGCCCATTGTTGAATCCGTCAAAGCCACGTTGTGACACCTCACGGTGTTGGATGCCTCTTGCGCCGTCGTCGGTTGTCGAGTTGACCGTAACCTGTAAAGCAATGACCGCTGCGACCTCTCCCCCTGTCAACCTTGATGTCAGTGAGGACTGAAATGGCACTAGGAAGAGGTTCAAACATTAGCGGCTTGCGTCCACTAGCAAATGGTCTCAGGGAGATACCTCGGCGACGAAAAAAGCGTTTTTTGCAAAGACGGGCGACAAGGGAAAGTCCCTCAGTTTTCGAGCGACTCGGAATCCGTGAAAATGGAATGGTATCCCGGAGCCCACTGCGTTGATGTGTTAGGTCGGATATGAGATTGCGTGTGTATTGACTGCACTGGGTCCCACTGAAGGTCATGTCTACCTTGGCGACAAAAAAAGCGTTTTTGCAAAGACGGACAACAAGGAAAAGTCCCTCAGTTTTCAAAGCGAGTTGAAATTCGTGGATATGGAATGGTTCCTAAGCCCTCGCCGCGTAGATCTGTAGATTCAGATTCTAGATCGTGTCTGTATTGAATGCCCCAGAACCCGCCAAAGCATAGACCTACCAACGTTAAAAAAACGCGTTTCAGCAACGTCTAACTAGGAAAAGTCCCTCCGTTTTTGCGCGATTTGAAATCCGTGAATATGGAATGGTTCCCCGAAGCTCGCTGCATCGATCTGGTGATTCAGAATTTAGTTAGAGTGTGCAGGGGAAGCGCATTGGTCCAGTTTGAAGCCCTAAGCACTGCACACAATAAAATGAACGCTCCACCAATCTGTTTGAGGCTCCCCCACCTGAAACTTTCACAACAGACCAAGCATACCTATTGGAGTGAGCCACAGCGGATAGACCTTCCAGAACACGGATGGGAAAAACTTCTACTGATTGGACGTGTGTTTGAGGATTTCGCTTCCAGCACTTTTAATAGATAAAAGTCCACATTTTACTGATTATCAAGTCAAATAAAGTAGCTCAAACGATTCCCCATACCCTGTTTAGTGATGTCCAATATTGTCAGGATTGCAGGTTGGGGTTGGTTGTTTTAATGGGAGTGAACGGGCAAGAAAAAGGAGCTGTGGAAAAAGGACCGGCGGAGTTGTTTCCTGCCTCTCGACGCGCCTGCGCAAAGTATGTGAGCGCTGATGAACCTTGGAAGGCTTTGAAGATGTCTGGAACCTGTACCAACGTGGATACACAAGCCCACAATCAACAATCGTGATGGCCCATCGCAATTTGATGTCCATGGAGCGGAAATTGAGCCGTACTAGATCTACTAGACTTGCCTCTGGGTAGCACAATAAGTTGATGTCACTTTCCAGCCAGGGGGGGGTCTTCGCTCTCAACATTGAAGGGCATGCCCGCTGAAGCTCGAACCTTGCATCTGTCGCGTTCTTTTTTCCGCCGTCACTCGTCACACAAAATCTTTTCATTTCACCGTTCCAGCCGTTCCGTCGTCCGCGAAGGCAGTCTGCTCTGGTCCACCTCCTCCCAGAGCGAGCCCTACTATGCATTGCCTTCAGGCCCACGAATTTCTGCTTTGCGATTGCGATGGCCATTCCTAGGCATTTGCTCGCTGACATGGAGAGCTCTTCACAACGAAATACTCCAATAGATGTCTTTGGCTGGAAAGAAAATGCGGGGAGGATATTGCGCCGTTGGCGCAAGGTGGCTCGCTGTGGCTCGCGAAGGCGCTCGCTCTCCTCGCTCTCGCCATAAAAAACATTACGCTCGGTCTCTCAGAGCGAACCATACCCGACAGTGCCTACCTACCTGCCCGGGAATTTCAGTTTCCGTTTCCCCTTGTGTTGCCGAAAACACACGCCGAGGGCAAAGCCGACGTCGTGCGGGGTCGGGCGGAACATATATCTAGCCCGCCATATATGCCGGCGTGCGTTATGACGGTATGCAGGATAATATAAGTCACCAGCTCCTCACCAGCTCCTCCGATTTGGGTGCCCAGTTTTTGTAGATTACGTCTGCCTCCCCATTAACCCCTCACGTATGATATCTTATGGGCCCTTGCGCTGCCGGCGAGGGACTATAACACCTACGCTGTGGTTATCGCCAATGCTGTCGTCGTTTTGGCGTGGTGAACTCATTCGCAATAATGCTTGCTGTAGTCCAGCAAACCCAAGAAATTTGAAGTCAAAACCACGAAAAGCCACAACTCGAACTTTGCCGATCACTTCAAATAAACGGATTAGGCGGGAACCATGCAAGGAGAGCGGGTTCCCTAATGTGCGATGATGGGAAAGTCGCAGACGAGGAGGCGCGCTGATTAGAGTTAAGCTTAGACCTCTTTAGACGGACGAGTGCGAGGGACTTGTTTACTCGACGGGGAGTAGTAGACCTTGAACTTGCAGCTCGGAATTCGCTCCCTCGCCGACCTGCTAACCCCCTCTTTCTGAGCGGGAATCTCACTGCGTCTTGCGCTCGCCCATAGCCGCCGCTGGGGGACGCTGGCTCGAGGAAGAGAATTGTCGTCGAAAATGGCCGAAGTCCTGGGGCAAGTAGGCGTGCAGCACGGTCACGGTTACGCACATGCGCACGGGCAGCAGCACCTGCACGGAGGTCACATAGTTTCGCATAGGCCACCGGCAGTCGCTTTAGCGCCTCCACCAACGGTCAGGGTCAGCGGCCCGCCGCCCGCTTTGCCGCTCTTGCAGGTACGGAGCGGAGCTGCTGTGCCCCCGGGAATACCACCCCAGTCTGCGGGAACGGTCCCGGTAAGGCAAGCCTTTCAAGGCCAGCCAAAAACATGGACAAAGCCAGAAGTCCTTTGGAAGGTTTCGGAGCTTGTGTGGGCCCTATTTCCAAGGGATCCAAAGGTAGGTCGAAAGAGGCGTGCATATGTAAGCAGCTAGACTTCCGTTTCTCCAACGCTGACAACACCTGTTTTATCCACAGGTGCAGCGAGACTTCGCGTATTGGAAGGGCCTCGGGACGAGCTTCTTTGCCGGCGAGGGGCGTTTTATCTTAGAATTTATGATACCAGGGGCAGAGGCATGCTATGGTACGTTCATTTGCAAGTTCATGTAGCATCGGGAAATGTGTTTCCAAATCCTCTATCCTCCGTCCGTTTTAGATATGAATGTGGCGATGATGGCCCGCCACTTTGCCACGCTATACCAAACCGGACTGACGCGGACAAGTTTGACCCTCGGACAACCCGTCCACCCCATGAATAACAAGGAACAACATTGTTACCTCAGCTTTCCCCATACCCAATATCATTGCGAATATGCAGGTGGCCAAACGGTATGTAATGCGATACATCGGGTGAACATGCATCGCCAACAACGGAAAGGAACATGTACTATTGTTTATCATCGTCGTACCCACCGAACTCACGATGTCAAATTCCGCATTCCGCAGGTCATCTACGATGGAATACTGCTTGTCAATCTCAATCCTCAGGGCCAGTTTGCTATCTTTCATTTTCAAGCAAAGAAAATAACGGAACTCAACGTGGTGCATTTGCGCCCAGCTGTGGATGCATCGGCTTCGGCTCGCGGTGTAACCCTCCATGCCGTCACGAAGCTACCTGTCTTGTGTCACAGAAGGTTGAAGGTAGCTCGGGCCTCGATGCTACTTGTCCCAATGATATACGAAGCTCGCAAGACCAGCGTCAAAGGTAAGCTGATTCTGGTGCACCTCATGAATCAGTTCAGCTTGGACAACATATCCTGCCACTCATTACTCTATCGTCTTTCCTGTTTGATTAGCCGCACGGGCAATGTTCGCTCGGAACACATTGATCTCGTGGGTAACGAAAGACGGGCATCATGGCTTCGACAGCCTCGACCCAGCGTTGGCGGCCGGCTTACCTGCAGTGAAGCAGCAACTGGTGCACCATCCCCGTCAAACGCAGGGGCAAAGCTCAATTCAAATTCAAGGTGGAGGACAACAACTCGCAGGCCACGAGAAACAAACCTCACACCAGTTAGGAAAGATAGTTACTCAACAGAAGCTTGAGAATGTTGTCTCAAGTGCATCGTCATCGATATCGCCACCCCCGCCGTACGCAACGATGCCCCCGGGCGTTGGCACCAGGATCCCGTTTGCGCAGCAATCGTCGGCTGGGACTTACGGCGGCATGCAGCAGTCGTCTGTCGGACCTGCCCGAGCACATTCTTTGTGCATTGACGAGGCCACGGTACGCTTCGTGGAATTGACATCAGCGGGTCTCGACCCGTACGAGGCGGATCAAATTGTTCACCACCCGCAACTTCACCAACAGCAAGCACAGCAACAGGCGTTCGTCCGAGGGAATGGCGCTCCGTCGTACTCGTATCAAGGTCAAGCACAATTTCAAGCTGCAGGCCCTCCCTCCGGCTCCTTCCATAACCGCGTCGATCCTCGCACTGCTGCTTTCCAGCAACATCACCAGCAACAACAGCTTGCGCAGGCGCAGGCTGCAATGTTCGCTGAACATCAGCAGCAGCAGCAAGTATACCCCGGAGCATCATCATCACAGCAGCAGTATGGCGTGATGCGTGGGAGTAACGGTGTGCGTGGTATGTGTCATGTCCCCATCGCATTGGCTACTATATGGTTGAGTCAACAGCCCTTCTGGCATGTTTACTTATTTTCATCATTCCTTTTGTCTTAGGGCAAAAACGGCGATCCTGTGAGGACTTGGACACATGGGCAATAAGTCAAGCCGCGGCTGCCGCGGACTACCACAGCGCCCCGTTGTCCGGAGAATTGGACAATGTGGGGAGCGGAAACCCGCCTCGGAAGTCGAGCATTGGGGCCACCGGTCGACCGGCGAAGCGGCCCGCAAACCATGCCACCATCACGACTTCCGCTACGCCGACAATGACGACCGCGGATCCGATGTCGGACTCGGCCACGTCCCCCGCGGGCGCGGGCATGTCCCCTCAACGCCGCCTTAGTAAATCAAAGGCGCCAACAAAGCCGCGCAAACCCACGGCAAAGCAAATAAAAGCAGCGGCTGCAGCGGCTGCGGCTGCTGTCGCACATGGCGGGGTCAACGGGGCTGGAATGACGGGGATGACCGAGGGAATATTGTGATCATGTTTTGCGGCCTGTTCTGCTCTGTGAGCAAATTTTTGGGATGCTTTTTGTTTGTCTTCAGTTCGTTTTGTGAAGTGGTTTTTGTACCGTGGCATAATCACTGTACCCTCAATCATGACGGATAGGGTTCTATTCCACATAGTTCTGGTTTTCGTTTCGTTGCTTGCATGCCAATAGAAGGCGTAATGCTCGGCTTTGCGAAAGTGGGCATGTCATGGGATTCGGGTTGTGGTTAGGGGATAGGGATTAGGGGATTGGGGTAACCCTAACCCTAATCCCATGACATGCCCACTGTCATGGGAACCCTAACTTAGGGTTAGGGTTATCCCTTAACCCTGATCCCGACCCTAACCCGAATCCCATGACAGGGCAGCACGGCGCGCTTCCATCAGCACGTAGTTTCATTAACCCCCTCCCTGCACTCTATATGGACTGATGATCATAAGCATCTTTGGTCGCTGGAAATCCACAAAAAAGGCGACATGAACAAGGCTTTCGGAGCGAGCTAGAGCGGCTACCTGCAAGCAAGAGTGGCGGCTCGACGCGGGACTCGCGCGTATGGGGAGTGCATGACCAGCGAGAGTGGTCGGAGACGCGCTGTCGAAAGACACCCACACTCAACTCCGTCCACCGGTCTCCAATGCCAATGCTTCCAAGCTCATCCGCACTTCCCGCTTCTCATATATCCGGAAAGGAATTGAAACCGCCGCTGGGATCAACCGCCGCTTCGGTCTCCGTCGACGGGATACTGGAGGAACCCATTTGCGAGGGGGGCTTCCTTTTAGAGCCGGTGTTGCATATCCGGCGTAGCAACTCTTTTGATGCAGGTAGTTGCAGCGCATGCCAGCTGCATCTATGTTGCATGAGCACGGAACTGCCTGACGCTGCCATCACCCAAACTGGAATGTCAGGCGGTTGGGAGCTTTTGCTAAGGGCGGGGTACCCCGGGGTGAGATGACGGGTTGACGGATGAGGGAACGTTTTGATCTGGACTCCCTAACTGCATCCAATGCAAATGGTTACCAATGGATAAACAGTCACAACGGCGGATCGAGGGTTCGGTTCGTCAGTGCTTCTCTGGTCGCCCCGTCTGCGCTCGCCAGCAACCTCCCGTCGTCGGGTCTCTCGTACGCAAAAACTCTAATCCGTGCTCTTTACACCCAAGTTGCGCTCCCCTTCGACTATGAACCCGGTGGGCAGCCATGCCCGAACCGTTAGCACCATGGACTCCGTCCGACCTGGTGCGTCATTGAAGGCGCACCGTCGAAGGATCTGCAGCTTAGCGAAACAACTGACCGACAAGCGGCTGAAGCTAACTCGAGGGGGTCACCTGCGCCATAGTACCGTCGCCATCAAAATGGAAGAAACGACGTCCCGAAGGAGGCACTGTTGCTTCGCATCGTAAGTGTGGGCTGCACACGCATTACATTACACCTCCCACCTACCGTTGCACCGCCAAGCTGGGTTAGTGTCAGTTATGCGCATCCTGCGTCTCCCGGCCCACGCTCTATGTTCCAATGCAAAGCTTTCTTCTCAATAACAAGGGAGAAGGTCAAGAATACTCGGCGAAAAGCCGGAACACTCGGAGGAGAGTTGACCGTTGAAGCGCATCGAAAGACCGAAGTCCGTACCAGAAGGCTTGTCGCCACAAGACAAGGTCCCCACAAGACAAGGAAGACGGCCAATTTGCAACACAAAAGACGGACAGACACTTCAAAGTCAAAGAGTTGTTTACATATTCTCATATCATTGATTGCAGTATTCTAAGTAGTGTACTCGTATCAGTTACATCACAATTGCATCGTTCAAGTCAAAGAGTGTTTCAGATTCTCGTATCATTGATGGCAGTTTTCTAAGTAGTGTACTCGTATCGGTTACATCTCAGTTGTATCGTTCTTTTGTTCTAACTTGTTTTGACCGCCTTGGGTTTGTATCTCGCTCTGAATGATGAAAGTCAACGGTGAGCATTAGATGTTTCGACACAGCGCAACAAGAACAGTATGATCAACACACCTTAATTGCGATCTTGACGATGACGACAACGTAGCAGATAGATAGATAACTTGAAGTGGGAACTTGAAGACGGGGATCGAAGTCGGAACTTGAAGACGGGGATCGAAATCGGAACTTGAGCGCAGGGATCGAAGTGGGAACTTGAAAACAGGGATCGGCCCTCTTGACGGAATAGGGAGAAATAGGTTTGTGAGAAACGAATCTGACCAAGGAATCTGATCCACGGCAATGAAAGAAGTCACTTAACTTTGCGGAAGGCCAGAGCGATCCGAAGCGAAGTGTATTTACTTCAGATGCGCTCCAGCCTTCCATTGACTCTGACCCACGATTTGGGACCGTAGACTCGTCGCTGTCGTCGACGAGGTGCTGGTGGATTGGGTGCTGGCGGTGCTGGCGGAATGACTTGTTGTTGTTGTTGTCGGTAATCCTTGAATGTCGTGATCCGAATCGTGTGCCAGTCGATGTCGAAAGCTGGGAGAGGGAAGGGCGAGTGGTCATTATTAGTCGTGGCATAGTACTTTACCATTTCTTCCCAAGCGTCGAATCCCGGTAGGCCGCTCCAATATCTCTGCTTGTGTTCATCATGTCGTACGTCGGCGGTGCGTTCCTTGAGAGGCTCGGTGATTTCTTCCACTTTGTCGATGAATGCGTAGCAGCGGGAGGCGAAAATGGTTTCCTTGTCGTATCCAGTGGCGAGGCGAATGATGTTGTCGGCGAGTCCGTTGTAGAAGTATTGATCGGCGATCGGGTGAGTCTTGACGAATATGGCGGCCGCGAGAGAGGAAGGGGTGAATGTGAGCGAATCTTCGTAGAGGGTGGCGACCTCTAGCATGTCGAAAGCTTCCGATAAGAATGCTTGTCGTCCGATGTGGTGTCGATCCTTGAGGAGTTGAACGATGCGGAAAGACCGAGTGAGGAAGTCGAAGGCGGTTGGGACTTGAAGCTGGCAGGAAAGATCCAAAATAATACGACGTTCAAGGTTAATAATTCGTTGGCAAGCAAACCTATAGGAGTCGTGCCCGACGTGTCGGTCGGGAAACGAAACCACCATGAAATCCCGTTTCCTGAAGATTGTCAATTGGTGAAGCTTGGTGGCGAGGAAGGCGATGGTGATGGGAATCATTGAGATGTCGGCGAAGTCGAAGTCGGCGGAAGTTTTCCTCATGAAGTCGTCCAAGAGAGCGATGGCGGAGTGGTATGTGTCCCGGTCGGCGAAGTTCGAAAGAATGTGTTGGATGTGGTCGATCATATTGGCTCGGGTGAGTGGCGTTACGTCGTAGCGGTGGGTCCAGGTGCGCTGTGGGAAGGTTAACGCAGCATTGTTTGGTACGGCGGGCATATTAATTCCAAAATACCGGTCCTCTTTCTTCATGTCGGTGTTCCAGTTCTCCAGTATTCCGCGGAGCTCGGCCCTGTTGGTTTGGCACTGTATGACGTCCATGTTGTCGATATCCATGAGGTTCAAGTATTCGTCGTTCCACACTCGATCGGCGATTCTCGGCATCTGAACAAATGAGAGGTGAAAGGAAAGGACAGTGAGTATGTATAAGGGACAACGAAGTCAGAGTGTAGTAAGTAGTAAGGAGGAGAGGAGGGAGACAAACGCGTCGAGGCAAAAGGCAAAAACGCGTCCGAAACCCTGTCCGAAACCCTGTCCGAAACCCTGTCCGAAACCCCCCTCAGTGGTGTCTGAGGTCGAACATCAAAGACCCACCCACCAACGACAACGACAAGAGAGACACCAGAGCGCCACCAAAGGCAACGAAGGTCAACACGCCATAGGCACGAGGAAGTCAGGTCAGGAAGCCAATGTCCGAAGGATCAACGCGCCTTGGGCACGAGAAGCGGACGCGCCAATGGCACGAGAGAGGATAATAATGCCGTGACATGGGGACAGAGCAGAGCGGCAATGATCCAAAAGGTCCGCAACGCGCCAAAGGCAACGAAGGTCAGGTCGACACGCCATAGGCACGACGAAGACAGGTCAGGAAGCCAATGTCGGAAGGATCAACGCGCCTTGGGCACGAGGGAGGAGGAGGATGACGCCGTGACATCTGGCACGGAAGAGGGAAGAGTGTGACCACTTACATTGTCGATAATGCGGAGTTTGCTCTCGTTATCCAACCAGTTGCTTTCAGTCCGGTCAACAATGGTGTCCTCTCGCAGACGAGCCGCTTGAGTAGCCACAGTAACCCTCGATTCAGCGTTTCGGAACATCGGGCCAGTTTTGGATATTTCAGTTTGGCAATTGGGTCGCTTGATAGGCTTTTTACGGCGGTCTCTTGCTCGCTTGCTTCTCTTGATATCCTGTAGTACGACTACGGCGTGCACTCCTGTGATTTGATAGAAAGGATGGAAGGAGATGAGTATGGTGAAGCAGGTTGGTAATAATGATCGTTAGTTGGGAAGGTATAGGGAAACTTACTGTCTTTCAAAAGTGCGAGGAATCAAAACGGGATGCCCGGGGGCCCTGCCTTTTTATAGACCTGGCGACGACAGCCCGAACCTGGCGACGACAGCGCGGTGTCTTTTTCCATGGCTGTGCCACCCGCAATCTGTCCCACCCTGTCCCACCCTGTTTGTCAGCGAGAACATGTGCAAATGGCGCAATCGAGCGCTGCCATAAGCGGGCATGAGAGCCAAGGCTCGGTGTGTATGTTGCTGATGGTTTGGGTTTGGGTCTGGTTGCTTACCCCTTGAAAACGCGCGTCTCGCGCGTGAAGTTGCGGGAAGAGCCGGGTTGGATTGAGTCTTGGAGACCCTCGTGTTAGTTTGAGCGTCAACTTTGAATATCAGAAACGCACGCCGGCGATCGAGTGGGCGAAGTTGGGAAAACCCACTAAGTTTCAATCGTTCTCCACACAGGCACGTCGAAATCTGGTCTCCATGGTGATTTCTGTCTTTGAAAACAGAAAGGGGATTTACTGGAAGTCGCTCTAACGAGCCGCCACCGGTTTGGGTTGCTACTAGCCTTCCATTTGCGCACCTCTGGAGCCCATCAGGGTCGACAGAGACATCCAGGGAGGCGCCAAGCTTCGTTACGTACCTTCTCCATCGCCATCGAGATGGTCGGCGAGTTGGTCGCTGTGGAGGTGCGAGGCTGCAGTTCGCCCGGAAGGCATGTAAAGTCCGAGCGCGAGGCTGTAAGTTCGAGCGCAAGGCCCTAAGTTCGCGGGAAGGCTGTAACCCTAACCCCAACCCATCATCCACGTGTGATGGCAGTTCGTTTCTTGCGGTACGTATTACCTCCGCTGAACACCGGGCGGGAGGGGGTATGGCATGGTGACGCCAGCATGACGGGCTTTGACAGTGCGAAGTTGGGGGGGCGGGGGGGGCGGGGGGGGGGGGGGGTGTCAAAAATCGAAATTAGACCGCAGGCAGGTGGCATTGTGTGGTTCATTGAAGCATCAAAGAGTCTCTCGAGTCCTCTCGTTCGAGCATTCGCTATTCAGAGGAGGGTAGCTGGCACGGATGCGCCATGGCAGCTTGCGGGAGGAAGCTGACGAGGAATCACACCGCACATCTCGCTCAGGATCGGTCGACGACACACATCTCGGAAATACCACCCAACAATCGGCAACGGAAGGGATCCAGATCGACATCTTCATCCAGTTACTTTATAATTTCGTAAAGTAACTGCGGCTTTCCCATATCGCCGTCGTATTTGGAATCTCTTTTAACGGCTGGTTCTACGAATCACGGTCGTAGCGGTGCTGGGCGTGGGCGATACCATCCTTCTTGATACGACGGCCCCTTCCGCTTCTTTTTCCTCTGCGGTCTGACGCAGGGCAGTTTGCTTCATGATGACTTCCATGATCCTTCTTTGATCTTCCATCATCCTTCTGTGATCTTCCCTGGCCTCTCCAGCGTGAGAGTGGCCTTCTCCAGCGTGAGAAGCCTTTCTTCGTGCGCCATCAGGCGCCATCCTTTCTTCTGCTGCCTCCGGGCGTCTCTCCCGGTCTCTGATCTCCTCGTATTCCTCTGCGGCTCTGCGTGCCGTGTGCGCCGTGTGCGCTTCTGCAGTGAGATCTGCTGTGCGGGATCGAGTGAGGGATCGAGTGCCGTAGGGGCTTCGGTTTCGGTAGTGGCTTCTGCAGTGCGAGATCGGGTGCCGACGGGGCCGCCCGATCGTTTCACTACCCCTACTACTTCTTTGTACGATTCTGAACCTTAGATCTATTCGGCTCTGAGGTCTGCTTGCAATACTGCCCAGCCAAGCAACAGAGTCTGCGTCAAATAGCCCAGGCCACAGCGGAAACAGGGGCGCGCTGTCTACGCCGGTCGGTCTATGAGAGGGAAGCAGGGTGGGGAGAGATTCTGGAACGTAATCAAGTAACGTTTTCTTCACTTTTCAATACTGTACAGTACATCCGGTCCTTACTGTATTGCAGGTTGAAGCAGCACCCGCACGCTGGGGGCCTGGGAGGGCGGAGTTGGCCCGTCATTTTGAGATTCGCTCACGCGTTCAAGACCGACCGAATCGGCAGAAAACTTGCAACCCTTGCAACACTTCTGGTTGACTGCCCAGTGCCCGCTGATAGACCTCCACGTATACATACAGTAAATACTGCATACTGCAGGAAAGCTCTTCTCGTCTTTCTCCCTGGTCAGGACTTAGGTAAGGCTACTGCCATCCCCCGAAGGGAAATTTCGTTATTTCTTTGCTGACCTGCTGAACTTAGAGGGTAGCAAGGTCAGACCACAAAAAAGGCGGACCTTTGACATTATATTTCGTAAATAGAAATGGCATCCAAAGACGAAGCTCTCAACAAAATGGAAGCTGAGGGAGGAAAATCCGACTCGAGACCGGTTGTTCCATCGGCAGACGCCCGCGACCCAGCCTACTTCCAGTACTACGCGCAATTTGTCCACCAACAGGTTGGTAACTTTCATGGGGGACTGTACAGCAAGAATTGGACAACCAGACGGTCCCCACACCCGCAAAAGGTACTCTAACAGATGCCTGTGCAGAATATGTTGCAGGATACCGTCCGCACTTCGGCGTACAATGCTGCAATAGTGGGGAATGGGCCGACGATGTTCAAGGATAAGCTGGTGATGGACATTGGGGCTGGGAGTGGTGAGTTCCCTCATGATTTATGAGCGGTGGGAAAGTCCGGGCGGGTGGGAAATTCCAGTTCGGAAAACCTAACCTGGCCAATGTCGTCAGGCATCTTGTCGTACTTCGCATGTCAGGCCGGCGCACAGAAGGTTTACGCTGTAGAAGCAAGCGATATGTCGAAGAAAATCCAAAAATTGGTCGACAACGCCAGCCGGCGCAATCCATGGCTAAAAGACCGGATAGAAGTCGTTGCAGGTACGCAGATGCAGAGGACGTGAAGCGTCTCGTGCAGTTTTACACGCGAAAAGGAGTCCCCCAACCTTTCGTTGGCCGTCACACCGAAAGATTGAGAATCCGCATAAACCACAATCCCAATCAAAAACAACCCACACACATATACACAACAGACAAGATCGAGAACTGCAACTTAGCGAAAGTCGACACATTAATCAGCGAACCTATCGGAGTGCTCCTCGTGCATGAGCGCATGATCGAGTCGTACCTCGTTGCGAGAGACCGGTTTCTGAAACCTGGTGGGGCTATGATTCCGTCGAATGGGAATATATACCTGGCGCCTTTCACGGACGCAAATTTGTGGACGCAGACGATGGCGAAAGTGCGGTTTTGGGAGCAGGTGAGTGAAGATATGCCGATGGCATGATCGGCTTTGGTACAAGCACATTGACTTGTGGACCGTCCATTTGCCTCCTCTCTCCGCATTAGTCGAACTTCTACGGCGTGGATTTCAGCCCATTAGCCCAGGACGCCCGTGACGAGGTTTTTGGACAGCCGGTAGTCGGCTGCTTCGACTCTCGCATCCTGCTTGCTCAACCTGTTTCGCATTTCGGTAAGTCCTTATAGTTCTCCGTTGCAAGCTCACGCGCCCACCCTTTTGCACCCCGGGAAGCTTATGTATTTTTTTTCTCCGCAAATGTGTGGCAGTGGACTTCATGACGATAACGATAGCCGAGCTGCAGAATATCGTCATCCCTTTCACGTGGAAGGTGCCGTTCACCGGTGAGGCCTTTTTTCCATTCCGCGCAATTCCCATGCGGGAGTGTCTAATCTTCGTTTGTTGCTCGGCACAGCCCTCATACATGGGATCGCTGGATGGTTTGACATCAACCTCGGCGGCATGATACTCAACACCGGGCCTTACGCGGAACGCACGCATTGGCAACAGGTTCGGTTCTTACTGAAAGGTTCGTAGACCGCGCACCCGTTCGTTTTCGACAACAAATCCTAACTCCCAACCTGTCGCCTCCCTTTCCCCTACAGAACCACTAGCAGTCAACGCCTTTGAAACGGTCAAAGGGTGGATGCGTCTCACCGTCAACATGTCCCGTTCTTACGATATCGTCGCCGAGATCGTCACGGGGGATGAGACACCGACGTCCGATCCGGCAGATATAACTGCAGAAGGGGCAGGGGACGAACGGGCGACGCCAGTGGGGTATGGTAAACGCCGTGGCGCATGGGCGTTGCATGAGCAGACGTATGTTTACGGGGCTGACTTGGATTATTCTAAGGTTCGTGTTTTTGCTTGGGTATATTTTGCGCTTGCACATCATCAGTCCCTAAAAATTGTCTCTCATCAAAAGCCTGAGTTCCTCGCCATGTACACCCCCGAAAACGCTGCTCCGCCGGAAATCAATATGGACATAGGGATGGGAATTGGCGGTATACCTGGACTGGTGGATATGGACTTGACGGCGGCAGACTTGGACGCGCTTGTTGGGAGGTCGTGAGGTTCGGCGGCATGAGGGCATAATGCTGCTCTGCGTACTGGCTGGACGGTTCCGACTATACTGCCTCTGTTTAACGCCGACGACCGGTCCGGCTCGCCGTTGGAACTGATCACGAATGAAGACGCCGACCGCAGGGTCCGGGATCTCCGCGTCGGCGCATATCATAGCATTCAGCACTTCGCATTGAGCATAGCATTGAGCACTATCATACCCTCTTCGCGGAGCACATCCACGCACATTCTATCCTTGCGCTTTAGTAGCAGATAGGAGTCAGTGTGGGGCATGTATCATATATTAGATGTAGTATTTTTTTTTAATAGCAAGCAGCCCACACAGAACACAACAGACGATGTGCGCCTGTTTAGACTTCAACCAAAAACTCTATTTGCCTTCAGAATCCGTTCATGTTGTACGTCCTGATCTCATATTTGCATATTTCCGCTGTAAATCTATCTTACTCGAGTACCCCGCAATCCACAACCTCAATCCTCTCCTTCGGTGTCTCCCCCTCAACCCGCACCGCATTCAGCACCTGCAAAACCTCCGATCCCTGCACAACATGTCCAAAAACCACATACTTCCCATTCATCTTCTCTATCCTCTTCGTATCGGCTCCGGGTAACGTCACAAACCACTGTGACGTATTGCTATTCTTCCCCGAGTTCGCCATCGCGAACACCCCGCCCGTCTTCACCGGGTCCGGCAATCCATCAAAAGGTTGTGTGAACTTGGCTTTCAAGCCGTCCTTCTCGTCGTTGAACGTGCCGGAGTAAATACTGTCCCCGCCGCTGCCGTCGTGGCGGGTAATGTCACCGCCCTGAGCAATGTGGGAGGGGATGAGACGGTGGATGGGCGTGTTGAGGAAGTGGAGGGGCTTCTTCGTGGATTTGGAGAGACCTTTGGAGCCGGTGCAGAGGGTGGAGAAGTTGAGGGTGGTTTTCGGGGCGGTGGTAGTGTGCAGACGGATGTGGAGACGGCCGCCGGGGAGGGATGGCGGTGGTGTTACCGATATTGGACCCTGCGTCAAGGGAGATGTAAGGTGAGTATCGAAGACCCACGATGAAACGACATGCTACTTCGCTTCGCACGCGACGAGAGGAAGAGGAGGAACATTGGCAGCATTCTTGGGCGAAAATGAGCCTCGCTGCTGCGGGCGCCGCTTATGCGGCTTTTTCCCAGGCGCAACGGGCCACATTGTCCGTCGCATCCCTCAAGCACCCTTGCTCGTCCGGCGCCATGGTCTCGCCCTCCCGACCCTCCCGACCCTCTCAGTCCCCCCCAGTCCCTACCTTAGCCCTCCACACCGGATCCGCCTGGTAAGCCTCCAACACCATCTCCCTCTGCCAATCCTCCAACGCCTCCGGCTTTACATTCCCATCCACTCCCAGGGCCGCACCTTTGGCGGCGATGAAAGCGGTTGCGCGGCTGTACGCGTCGAGCGCTGCTGCTTGTGCTGAAGGGTCGCCTATGCGGATGTCGAGGAAGACGAGGGTCGGTTGTGGTGAGGTCATCTTGCGGGGGTGTGTCGGCGCTCTATATGGCAGTTGCGGGCTCCAACGAGTAAACTACAAACGTACCGTATAGAGTTCCGGGTAAGCGTTTTTGTCATGGGACTGGGGTTAGGGTTAGGGCAGTATGGGTAACCCATAACCCACAAGCCTAAGTTCACAAGTCCTTGTGGGTTAAAACGTACAGTGGGCTTGTGGGTTAGGGTTCGGGTTCTCCCCTTAACCCAAATCCCCTAACGCACCCTTAACCCTAATTCCATGACAGGTTTGCTGTGGTCCGCGACGTCGCGTCATTCAATGGGCCCCTCAAATCGGGAACTCTTCGAAACTGTCTCGGGAAGTCGGGATCTACGCCGCAACACCGCAACGCTAAAAACCAGTAACAATGTCAGCAGACTCAGCAGCAGCTCGTCGGGAAGCTCGCAGGGCAAAGATTTTAGCCAAGGGAAATGAGCGGCTCAACAAGCTCACTAGCACTTACAACGGCACAACCGTCGAACCGGCGGAGGAGGCAGGGTCGGGCGAGGGTGTGCCTGGGAATGTCAATACCATCGAAGGAGGAAGCGGAGGCGGTGAGGAGAATGCCGCTGCTGCTACCACTCCTATCGGTAAGGATCTGTCCCGAAATCAGACATCGTGAGGCTTGACGTTACGAAGACCGCTCACCGATGTTCACCCCACAGGCAAGTCAAACCCCACCATCCGACCTGCAGAACATTTCCCCGCCCAGTCCCCCGCCGAATCGCACCTTCGTCAACGTCTCGCAACCCAATCAACTTCCTCTTTCCAACAGCCGCAATCGCCATCTGTAGCACGCACCCCTGTCCGACAAACCCAACCTTCCGTGGCCGCTCCGATCGCCCCTTCACCTTTACTCAGTGGATTTGATATGGAGGATGATGTAGACGGAACGGGAGCGGAGATGATGGCCGAGCTGCAGAGGAGGATGGCGGCGGCTATGGGAGGAGCAGGAGGGCCATTTAGTGGTGCCCTTGCACCATCAATCCACTCAGGCAGTGATGAGGCCGGAGCAGCAGTAGCCGCAGGAGGCCTAGATCAACAAGAAATCGTGCAAAACACTCGAGTAGAAACAGCTTTCCGATATTTCCGCCGGCTCTCCATGCTCCTGCTTGCACTGTTCACTATGTTCCACTTGGTCACCGCTTCGGAATACTGGGAAGATTACGACGACACGGTCGGACTGTCAGAGTGGAAGGTGTGGACGCGGCGGGCAGGCAGTTTGACGCAGAAGGCTACTGCTGAGGGGTTTGCAGGCGTGACGGCAGAGCGCGGGGTCTTGACTTGGGTCAATTTCTTGACGGTCGAGATCGGGTTGCAGGGTATTGGGTATCTCATCAAGCAGGTGGGTTCATCCATTGGTACACCTTGATATCGACGGTCAACACTAACCTCAATCATTGTGTTTCTCTCAGGCAACCAAATCACCCCTATCCTCCCCAACGGGTATGCCCGGCATGCTCCAAATGGCCCGCGACATGGGCTTTTCGAACCCGAAGCTCGATTTCGTCATCGGCTTTGTTAGCAATTACAGCTCGATCTGGTCGAACCTGTCGGAAGACATGTCGGTGTATTTGGTAGGCATTGGGCTGCTGGTTGCTGTTGCTGCGTTGATACCTCTAGGGTAGGCTAGATTCTACATGTAAATATGAGGCTGTACATATTGGTTATTCGAGATCTGCGTACGGATGATTGAGCATGAACTGGATGGTGCAGTGAAAGCTTCTAGCGTAGGTCCGAAACATTAAACACACAAACGGCGTTCAGAATATCGTCTCATATATCACACACAATATCACATACACTCATCACATTACCCGCATGTCTTCGCTACGCACTCTGCACCTACCCCTCCCCGCCAGCCTGCACCATCAACACCTTCGTCGGCGGCACACATAGCTCATCATTCACCCTTGCGCCCATGTACCCCCTCAACAGGTTTTTGAGCTCGTTGTTTTGCTGCTGGATGAGCGAGATGTCTTGGATGGCGGCGTGACGAGCGATGAGCTCGGCGTTGTAGGCCTGCAGGGCTGTTTGGGTTGTCTGATAGAAGAAATAGAAAGTGGGATGTAAGGCTGTGGAAGACCCGGGGATTTTGCCTTTCACACTGCATGCAGTATGTACCGTCCAAACCCGCTGCGTCTCATCATCAATCACATTCGCCATATGGTGCCAGTACTGCCGCAGCGCGGTAGACAAGCCGCCTGTTCCTTCGCGGGTGGTTGCTTTCCCACCGGGTGAACTCGATGTTGGGTTGTTGCCGTCTGCCGTTTGGTTGGCTGGGGGTGAAAGGAAAGGCAAATCAGTTGATCCATCCATACGTATCTAACATAATGAAGATCATACTTACCAAACCCAGCGTCATCTAAATCCTCCTCATCGCGATACGGTTCCTCCTCATTTCCAATTTCCGCCTCCCGCTCCCCACCGGCAGGCCTGCTCTCCCCACCCGTGGCAACCGCTCTCCTGCCGCCCTTCTTATCCTCCAAGAACCGTCTCACGGCGCCCACGACCTCGTTCGGCCCAATCATCCCCTCCCCACCCCTGCCACTCCTCTCCCTACCGTCGACCACAAAATACCCCAGAAGCGCCTCGATATCCTCCATACTCTCGACCCCTAAAGCTTTGAAAATCGAGTCGAGCTTCATCAGCGACTGTTCGGTGGCGTGTAACGGCGCGAGCAGTTTTTGTAGTTTCTCTTCGACGAGGAAGGAGGCTTCGGTTGTGAGCAGATCCAGCATCTTTTTGGTCGTGAGTGGGGACGTTGTTGCCGTTGCGGTCGTCGCATGGCTGGTGAGGGTTGAGGTGGACGTTTGCGCGGTGGTAGTGGTGGTGCTTCCCCTTCCTTGGTGATGTTGTTGATGTTGCGCCAAATCGAGATTAGACAACAGCTGGGCGGCGATGGACGGGCGATTAGACGCCGTCGTCGTCTGCTCGTTGTCGCTTCGGCGTCCACCACCGCGGGCAGACGACCCCCGACTCCTCTCGCCCACCGTCGTAGGCGCACTCCCCGGCCTGTCAAGCCCGTACAGCCCCGCCTGGGCACTCACACCACCCCTCCGCGCGCCATCGCCTCTCCCCACCCTGGCAGCTGGGTTGAACATCCCCGGATCAACGACCCTAAACAGCTCCTCCATTCCCATGTCAACCGCCCCATCGTTTCGCCCGGCTCTATCCTGCGACCCTGTACTGTTCGTAGGAGCGAGGGGTAGAGGAGGTAACCCCCGCGTCCATTTGATCCCGAGCTGCTGCTCTTGGATTATCTGGTCAGCTTGGAGGAGTTTGCGCATGAGGGTTTTGGCGGTCTCCTCGTTGAGGCGGAAGAGGTGGCGGTATTTGGAGCCGTCGGCGAGGCGGAAGTGGTGGAACTTTTTTTGGAGTTCCTGTGTTGGTTCAGGATGTTAGAGATGTTGATCTGGATGACACTTGGGGCGTCGGCCTCACTTCAACATCCGCCTCGCACGAGGATCCACATCCCACATCGGATGCATACCTTGAACTGCTCCGTAATCCGCTTATAATCATCCGTCAATCCAGAGTACTCAGCCTGGAACGTTTTCTCCTGCTTGTTCATCTTGGCTTTTAGATTATGCAAGTGATCCTACATTCCAGAAAGGAAGTCCACATCCATTGGTCAGCGGAGTATTGTGCATACATCGGGATGAGAATAACAAGTCCTTACGGTTAACCGTCCAATTCGCCGCTTCTGCGTCCCAAGAATAGTCCCATTTTCCTCATCGCGCTTTTTGAGGACTTGGTAGTTGTATTCGAGCTTTTCGGTATTGAGCTGGTAGGTTGCTCGCATCTACATTGTGTTCGACAGGTTATATCAGGATCCATCCTCTATATCTCACACACGGCATCGATGACGCGATGTCCAATCGTTCCTCACCTGCTGCAACTGCTGCTCCAACACCTGCACATCCGTCTCGAGCTTAATCTTAACCAGATTGTACTCCTCCGCATCGTGGACTCTCAGGGCTTCGAGTTGCGAGAGGTGCTCGTCGATGCGGTCTGCTCGCTCTTGCATGTAGCGGCTGCATGTTCATCGTATGGCAAGTGGTTGTTAGCCGTAGACACGGTCGGCGACCCAGCCAGGAGTGCGAATGCATCTCCGCCATTACAACAAAAGCAGAACTTACGCCTCATTCCTCCCCCGGCCATTGAAAAGCCCATCAATTTCCTTGACATTTGTATCAATCAACTCGGACCGTTCCTCCACAAACGCTCTCTCGATCTGTTCGAGTTCCTCCCGGAGGGTCGTTTGGAAGGATCGGTGGTGCGCTTCCATGCGTTGTAGGACTGTGTCTGAGTGATGACGGGGGAGTTAGAATCAAACGGATGTTTCGTAGGGATGGTTTGTGACGTACCGATTTCTTCGGCCTGACGCTTGAGCTCTTTGACGTATTCATCGTCCTTTGCCTTCAGTTCAGCGGAGTATTCTTCAAACAGCTTGTTTTTCACCGCTGTGAGGTTCTCGCAGGCTCTTTTCTGGTTCGTCAGGAGCTGCTCGTAACAAAAGTGCCCGTAAGCCAAAGCGTCCATCCGACGTAGAAACGATGGAAGTAGCGCTCGCGCACCTCATTTAGCTCGTAAGGACCCTTATCCCTTCCCTCGCCCCCACCCTCAGCCTTCGCCCACGCCTCGGCAATCTCCTCGCCCATAGCCGTAGTCCGTCTGCGTTCCTCCGCCTTTTTCGCCTCCCACAGATGTCTTTTCCGTGCCTCCTCCTGCCGTCGGGCGTCCTCGCGGGCCGTCATGGCGACCTGCACGAATGTGACTTTATCGGAGGATGTTTGTTTGGCGGATTCGATTCGGCGTTTGGAGGTTATGAGTTGCTGTTTGGATTTGCTGGTTGTTGATGTTTGGGAGGGTGATGTGCTGTTGGAAAGGTCGGCGTCAGCGGCGGTGCCGTCGAGGAGCTTTTTGGACCGGCGTGGTGAATTAGAGTCTGTAGGTGTGATAGGCTGGCGTGAGTAACCGAAATGACGAAGACGACGGCATGGCCCAAAGGTCGTTATCTTTGAATCATACCATCAGTCTTCTGTGGCTTCAACTTCGCCAGCCGTCTAGCCTCCATGCGTTTTTTCCTGGCCGCAATCCGTGCTTCACGTCCCGCAGAATTCTCGCCGTCCCCACCGGCGCCGCCCTCACCGTCCAATCCGCCGCCACCCGTACCACCACCGCCACCGCCCGATCCAAGCCCACCACCACCTGGCCCACCAGCGGTGCCGCCAGAGTTGAGGACACCTGATGCGTCTTGGTCGGCGCCACCACCAGACTGGGCGTTGGTCGTTGCGTTTGCATTATTTGAGTTTGCTCCATCTGTGGCCGGTGCTGCTGACGGGGAGTCAAGCGAGTTGCCCTCGCCGCTGCCATCACCGCTGACTGCCGTTGCGGCGTCTACATGCGCTGCAGCGTCAGCCATGTCTGGTGCTGATGCTGATGCAGGGAATGTTAATATGGGTCTCTGTAAGAAGGAAAGCCACGATTGCGAAACGAACAAAATCGAGGAACAACAGGGAAATCAGAAGATTGCTACTCGGAGTTGCTTATGCGAGGGCGAGTGACAGTACTGACAGGCAGCACGAGCGTGACTCACCCATGAGCATAAGTGCGACATAAAGCGAATGAAAATAATTAGAGATGACGTGTTCCCTCGAGTGCTTGGAAGAGTGGAAGCCCCTTGCGCCAAGGACTTCTCCCGTCATCAACGGCCATTTTCGCTGTGGCGGAACGTTGGTTGGACCTCAAAACCACCCAGTTTCCCCACGGACTTATCGGCCATCATCACCCAACTTCAGCAGGCCGAGACAGAATCTCGTCCCTCGTCCTGTTCCACTCTCCCGTAGTCACAGAGTACTCTAGGGTGGGGTTCTCTCCCATCGTGTGGTGAAAGAATCCTCATAGCCCCCCATCTTCCCACCCACTCCAACCTCCTCATCGAACAGTTATGTCTTACGGATCTAGTTACTATCAGGACAACGTCCCCTCGGCCTACGGGACGGGTGGGAACTATCCCACCCGTTCCTTCCCCACCGGAACGCCCGCCGGCACGACGTCCCGTCCAACTTTCCAGACGGAAAAGATGGAAGAGAACCTCGCCCTCCATATCAAAAAAGCTCTCTCGCCCGAAGAGACCGCCCCAAAGCAAAAGCACGTCCGCGCTTGCATCGTCTACACCTGGGACATCAAGTCGTCTGGAAGCTTTTGGATGGCCGTCCAAACCTATCCCGTCCTCGGCGACGAGTTGGTCACCTTCAAAGCCTTACTCACCGTCCATAAGGTCATGCGCGAGGGTCACCCCAAGGTCCTCAAAGACGCAATCTCACAAAGCTCCTGGTTCGAGAACCTTGCTCGTGGAGTACATCCCAACACCCACAGGGGCTACGGGGTTCTTATCCGCGCATACGTCCAGTTCCTCCTCGCAAAACTCGAATATCACAGGCTTCACCCAGAGTTCAGGGGAAACTTTGATTATGAGGAATACGTCACACTGAAGGGAGTTGAGGACCCCAACGAAGGATTCGAAACCATCAACGATCTGCTCATCTTGCTCGATAAGCTGGATTCTCTCCAGAAGCTCATCTTTGTCAACTTCCGTCCAACATCAAACAACGAGGCCCGTATTGCTGCTTTGGTGCCACTTGTGGAGGAAAGTTACGGTATCTACCAGTTTTTGGTTACCATGTTGACGGCGATGCATCAAATCATGGGGTCCGTGGAAGTCTTGGCCCCTCTCCGCGACAAATTCAAAGCCGGACATTTCGCCCTTTTCAAATTCTACCACGAATGCTCTACGCTGAAGTACCTAACATCCCTCATCACGGTCCCACGACTCCCACAAGATCCACCAGACTTCCTCGCGCAAGGTCCGCCAACCCGCCCTCCTCGGTCCGAAAGTCCCGACAAGCAACAATCGGAGATTGACCGCTTCAATCGAGAGCAGGACCGTCTCGCAAAGGAGCTGATGGAGGAACAGGAGCGAGAACAGCAGCGTATAATGGCTGAGAGGGAGCTGGAGGATGCGAGGCAAAGGCAAATGCTGCTGCAACAGCAACAGCAGCAGCAGCAGGAAGACATGCAAAGGAGAGCCCATGAAGAGTTCCTGAGACAGCAGGAGGCTGAGCGTAGGAGGATGGAGGAAGAAAGACAGCGGATGCAGCAGCAGGCTAGCGCTGCTAACCTGTACATGGAGAACCAACTCCAGCAGCAAAGGATGCTGAATGCCGCGAATGAGTTGGACCAGTACAAAAATCAGTCCTTCCGGGACAAAGAACTGCTGCATCAGTACGACATGGTAAGGTACACATGCACGTCGTCCCGTATACTCGATCGGAAACTGAATCATCAGCAAATTTCAGAAAGTCAAAGCTCTAGAACAACAACTCTCTCAACTCTCAGTCGGCAACCGTGACATGGACCACGCAAAAGACGACCTCCTGCGGCGTTTACAAGACGAGCTTGCGCAGTGGAAGCAGAAATACGAAGCCCTGGCGAAACTTTACGCCCAGCTTCGGAAGGAGCACCTGGACTTGCTGACCAAGTTCAAGGATGTGCGGGATACGGCCAATCGGCAGACCGAGCAGGCGAGGAAGGATGTTGAGAAGGCCAAGGCGGACCAGAAGGTGAGCTGTGATGTGTTTCGGCCGTCGTAATTCCGCTCGAGAGCTAAACACGCATACCCAATAATTCGATTACAGACCAAGTCCAACGAAATGACGGAACTCCTTATCGAGCGCGACCGCTTGAAAGGCGAAGTTGACCGCGTCCGTGGCCAATACGAGGAAGAGATGCACCGCCTGCGGCGGGATCTGGACGATGCCAAGGCGTCATTGAAAGATATGTCCACGTCGAAAGGCGCGGAGATGCAGAATATTGTTGCGAGGTTTGAGGCTGAGAAGGCGGAGTTGGAGGAGTTGAACAAGGTATATAGGGAATCATTATGGTGGCTGGTTCTGGTTCGACAAAGCTGCGTAAGGTGGGAAACTGACTCGCTGTTCTTGTATTCCGAACTTTGTTCCTTTATTAGTCTAAGAACCAGCAATTGGACGATTTGCGACGCCAATTGGAAAATGCTTCAGCGGATTTGCAACGATACAGAGCGGTAAGTCTGCCAAACGGTGGTAATGATTGTTCAACGCGGACTTTAAAATCTTCCCGTGGTCGAACAGAACCAGGAAGAAGAGTCCGCTGTCCTTAGCACCGGTCTCGACCAGACGTTGCTCGCTTTGGCAGCACAGCAAAAGGTGAGTTACTGACCAACATCTGGGCCATCAATGGGCCTTTCCTGGAAGGTTCAGATCCTTATCGCTCCTTTCTTGAATGAAGGCCGCACAAGACGCGCAAAGGGAGCGCGACCAAGCACTGTCGCAGCTAGGATCGGTGAAATCAGACCACTTACGGCAGCTCAACAGCATGATGGGTATGTGCTCTTCACTTTCGAAAAGGAATTTCTCCCCACTGGAGGTGGACCCGCAATGCTGAACCTCCTGAACTTGGCTCCATTCAGATAACCTTCTTCAATCCTGCATCTCCACTGTGGATGAAGCCATCTACGAGATGGACAGTCCGGCCAACATGGGCAATCAGACTGCGTCGCCGGAGTATGTGTTGTCTCTGTTAGAGAAGAGTCAGGCGCTGTGTAATGATTTTGGAACGAGTTTTGTGAAGCTGGTGCAGGTATGACTAGGGTGGAGGCTACGCGGTGGCCGGGTAATAACGGTATCGTCTGACGCGGGTAATCTCGTCTAGACTGGCGACCACAAAGAAGCCATCGCGTCGTCCACCAGCTTTGCCCATTCCGTGAGCCAACTCCTGCACAACGCCAAAGGTGTCACCCGTCTAGCGGCAGAAGATGACCAAATCGAAGAAATCGTGCGCACCGTCAAGCTCGGCGCGCTCGGCGGTCGTCTCTTCTTCGATCAGGTCAAGTCCGTCTCGCTCGACACAATCGACGCCAGCCACCGTCCCGAACACATCCTTAGCCTCTCCAAAGAAACTCAACATCAGCTCGGCCGCATGTCCGGCCTCATCGAACGCCTAGTCGTCAACAAAATCGACGAAGCGAAAGCCAACCTGGAAGACGAGGTTGAGAAATCGATGAAATCCGCTGCGCAGGCCATCGAGGACGCCGCCAAGCGGTTGGAGGCGTTGTTCAACAAAAAGCGCGAGGGCAAAGACCTCGACGTGCATTCCGCAATCTTGCAGGCCGCGATGGCCATCACCTCAGCCATCGCGATGCTCATCCAGCGCGCGACCGAGACGCAGCAGGAGATTGTCGCCCACGGGCGCGGGTCAACCACTAGCGGCCAGTTCTACAAAAAGAACAACAAATGGACTGAGGGTCTCATCTCCGCCGCGCACGCCGTCGCGTCCGCTACCACCACCCTCGTCGAATGCGCCGACGGTCTCGTTTCGGGCACCCACTCGTACGAGCAACTCGTCGTCGCCGCTCAAGAAGTTTCCGTCGCAACCACGCAACTCGTGGCCGCGTCCCGGGTCAAATCCATCCCCTTCTCCAAAACCCAAACGAAGCTCGAAGACGCGGCCGTGGCCGTGCGCAAAGCCACCGAGCTGCTCGTCAAAGCCGCCAAAGAGGCCGCGAAACGAGGCGCGGAATCTTCCGCGCAGCATGATATCGACCGGTTGTCGAAACATCAGCTGAAGGTGGCGGAGATGGAGCAGAAGGTGAAGATTTTGGAGATTGAGAAGGATCTTTCGACGGCGAGGTATAGGCTCGGTGAGCTTGTTAAGAAGGGATATCGGCCGGAGGAGGATGAGTAGAGACAGATGCCCAAAGTATCCGGCCTCCTTTGTTCTCCATCCCTCTTTTGTCTCTTCGGCTAGTCCCCGCAACTAGCCACCCCCGTTTTATCTAGCACACTAGAAATCCCACGCTTCCATTCGCATTCTATACACCTTATCCATTTCCCTTCTGTAATGCAACCTACAATACTATACTACACTCCAGCCTCCTGGTTACTTCCAAAGCATTTGCACTCGACAGCGAGGAAGTAGAACGAGAACCTAAGTATCTGCGGAGTCGGGTGCGAAGGTCAGAACGGCCTGCATGAAGAACTCTCTCTGCTTCTCTTTTTCGGTCATTTGCCGAAGCTCTGCAAACCCTACACAGGTGCAGCGAGCGATGGCAGGGTTCGCGTCGCGCATGTAAGGGCTTGGACCTCCGTTGCAACCTTGGACAGAGGTGCGGTCATCGTTGCTAAGAGCGTCCGCGTGTGGTGTGGAAGTGTGGAAAGGAGGGCTCTTCATATGTCCCGGACTGTCCACAGCTTGTGTTCTCTCTGGCCATCATACTGTACTCGTGCCGCCGGAACACTTGGGGTGTTAGAGGCATCAGTGTCACACTGTACCCGTCAAAAACCCCGTCAGTCACCGCTGAATTCATGCATGCAGTTCCTCCTGCGTCGCGACCTCCTTTGCGTCCTGTCCCGTCACTCTTCTCAGACTCCGCCGCCGGGTGTCATATCATGTCATGTCCTCGGAACACCGCATCGCGTTCGGGGAGCGTCACCACCACCCAGACCACCACCCACCCACGGGTTACCCAAGGTTGGTAAAGGACATATTTAAGTTACTACTGCATATCTATATCTCTCCTGCCGTCAATGAGACGGAATTTGAACCCTTCCAGACACCAGAAGACCCCAGCGCACTTTTCACTTTGCACGCCGGAGGAACATACATAAGTACCTTACCGGCTACTTATATACCTTACTTACTCGCCCTTCCCGTGAATCCCGTCCCTGCGCGAAGATGCTTTGCTGCCTGTTACGTTAGCAGCACGCATGCGTTCATGGGCAGGCAATACTGCGTCCCCCTCCGACCGAATACGGACTTTTCGGACGCTTCTCTTGCTTCTACAGCGAAACCCCCGGCCTTCCTGCTGTACTTCGCGCCGTTCCTTTTGCACTGCTAACGGACAGAGCTCTAAGCACTTCTCGCACTTCTTTCGGACAACGAACCCTGCACTTCACACCTCCTCACCCCTCTTTTGCAGAGTCCCTCCCCCCAGTAGCTCTGCGCATTGCATACCTCTTTCACCGCGCAACCTCAACAGCAGTGTGCAATTCACTTCCTTCCCTCACCCCGGACCTCCTTTCTATGTGCCCTGCAATTGGCAACAGCGAAAGTGACGACGGCGTGACGACTTTTGGTGCTGGGGCCTCTTAGCTTGTTGCACGCTCATTAGGTTAAGCTTGGTCGCTTCATACCTTCACACCTGTACCACACACGCATGGGCCATTCCTTTGCCCACTTTCGTTAGTCTTATATCCGTTTTCGCATTCCGCACGCGCTTGCTTCATTCTGGGTCTAGTCCTCGCTTCGTCGGACGCTCTTGGAACACCTCCTCCCGCCATACCACTGAGCATACCCGCTCAAAGATGATGGCCATGGATATTGACGAGGTAGCTTGGTCCCGACCACTCGCAAGCTCGGCCGAACCGCACTCTAAGCAACCGTATGTCGACTCTGCATCCTCCACAACCACCAATACCACGCACGCAGCATCCCAACCGACACAAGATACCCCCTCTGTCTTTGCCGCCTTCTTCAATCGGCCAACGATAGTATATACCAGGCCCGCGTTCGTCCACGAGCAGCAACAGCCTCTGCACAAGTCGGTCTCCACACCTGTCTCGCAACACCACACGCAGCAACAGCAGTATCACGCAGCCGAAACACGTACCCCATTTCAACAAGCACCCCCAAACACGACGACGAACAACCACCGCTACCGCTCGCCCGCCTCTCCCGACGACGAGTCCGAAGCCCGCCCGGCGTTCCCGCCTTCCGAAGTACCGTCTCCCGACGCGTCGTTGCCCGTCCAGCAAGGTCCCGTCGACGGCATCTTGGAGAATGTCGCTTTCAAACTGTCGTGTTCCAAACTCACCGAGTCGGAGGAAGGGTTGTGGGATATGGACGACGCGACCACGATGCCCCCATCGGTGAACGCGCTCGCTGCGTTGCATAACGTTGCGGCGAGCGAGGATGTGTCGCCGCCAAAGGAAAGTTCCAGGAAAGGTCCGTATGCCGTTCGTCGTTCTCGGAAGCCGCTGGATGATGGGAACAATCGTAAAATAACAACAGTAAGCTTGGTGTTTCGCTTGGCTGAGGAGATGTTAGAAGACGAGTTGCTGACTGGACCGACGTGATGTTGTTCTGTTACAGTTTTTCAGCCCTACTCCGGCAGGTCTTTCATCCTCCGCATTAGCCCCGAAACCCGTCAATGTCCTCGCGAACCTGACCGCAAAGCGCGTCAATAACCCGGGAACGTTGGATTTCGCTGTCACGAAACCACGCCTGATCCGCCACAAGCGCAAGAGCAACGACCTCTGCAGCACTCCCGCGGTGCAACGGACCGAGCAGAAGGTGTCGCGCATCGCATCAAGGGCGTCGGCCATGGATGTCGTCGTCATTGAATCCAAGACCGTCGTCGCAGAACCCTCCGCACCTGAACCTGCCACGGCTCTTCCTACCGCCACTGCATCCGTCTTCACCAAGCCTACTGCCCTTCCCAAACCGACGGCAAACAACCGGTCGCGGCTGAATATTTCGGCCTTGTCGTCTATGTCGTCATGGCAGTTCAAGAAACCAATCGCAGTATCCGTCTCTACAGTCTCTGGCATCCCGCGTCCACGGCCGTTTGTGCGTGCACAGACCGCGAACGGCCCGCTGGACTTCTGCGTCGACAAGAAGCCGCCAAGCGACGTTCGTCGGTCACGCGAGAACAGCACCGAGGAAGATTGTGTCTCTCTGGTCAACGAAGAGCAAGAAGTATCCGAAGACGACGCGATGGAAGATGATGACGATGTCGACGCCCACCAACGATCTCCGACAGCACGCCGCTGTGGTGCCGGCGCACGTCCACGATACACCCGCTCCTCCACCGTCCCCATCATCAAGGTCTGCTCCCCACCGTCCTTTGACATCTTTGCGCCGGGCGCTATGAGCGAAGGCGGCGGCAAGTTGCGGCAGATGATGGTGGACGCCGATCTTTCCTGCTCTCCGCCGTCAATATCCTCGGCATCAGCAACATCCCCTATGGGTCTCAAGACGCCCTCTCCCACTCGCTCGCGCACATCTCCAGCAGCGTTGGCCACAATCGCCGTAACCCAGGCGGTGGACGTGCCTCACCACACGTCGCTTGCGGCTGCAAGCAGGAGGAACCGTCTGATGCGCCCTGTGTCGATGACGTGGATCAAAGGCGCCGATATGGCTGCGTCGCCGGATAGCGTGCAACTGCTCGCGGCTTTGAATCGTGGGTGCAGTACGGCCCTTTTCAAGGGGCCTGATCGCAATGTACGTGTCATCCACTCTTCGCTCTCTTCATTTCTTAACATATTGAGCCCGATTGCTAACAATCCTCCCTGCCTGCCCACCACACAGCCCTTCTTGTAATTCTACCTCTTTGGACGACAAAGGGTCTTGGACGTACCCCTCCTATATGATACACACGGACATTCCCAGCTTTTGGCTACCCCTATACCTTCCCCTTATATCCCCTCTCGGGTTTAGCGCAGTCGCACGCGTGCCCGACCGCTACCATTTTTTGTGCTTTCTAGTTAGCGTGTATGGTTTTTTCGTTATGTGGTGTGTTTTTGTGTTGGGTTTTTGAAGTGTACTCGCACTCTTATTTGTGTGGGTGGGTTGCACCTCTTTCCCCCTTGGGTTAGGGGTGCTTTGTTTTTCCCCTCTTTTATAGACGGCCACGAGCCAAAAATCGGTAATGGACCACTTGAGTGTTTAAGAATGGATTCTGAAAAAATGTTCTTTTGGTTGTTCATGTCCAGTGGGAATGCAGCCTGCGCAGAATAGAACAAAATTGACAGTGACAGCGAAAATCGTAGCGGAGTAGGTCATTTCGAGGCTTACGTTAGCGTATTGACAGCGCGTAGCTACGAATTGACGGCGACATCGTCGTCGTCTGTCCGGCGCTCATGTGAGAGAAGAGGGATCGGGGCGAGCTTGAGTGTACTGTACATTGGGAGGAGTGTTAGGGAGGTTCATTCCTGACGTTGAAACGGTGCTTGCAACAGGATCACAGCATGTGACTAAGGACAGGAAGGGAAGACGTCTCTTCGAGTATTGCCTGCGTGCGGAACGCGGACAAGTTTCCAGCGAGCTTAGCTTCGGGGAAGTAGGCGACTTCATACGAAGGCCTTTAAACACCAGCCGTGAATAGTATTTTGCCACCAACATAGCAAATGGTCGAAAGCCAAGATGCGCTACCTCCAAACGCGACAAGAGCGCCATCACGCAACGCAGGCGACGCTTTGCCGATCTGGATGGAATTTTCGTGTGCGCAGAGCTATGTTACAAGGGAGTACCGTCGGCTCTGGCCACCTCTGATAGCGCCGGCAGGAATGTTTGGGCTGTTGGTGATAACCCAATAGACGGGCGGCGATGTAACCGTATTCTTGAAGGTTTCACAGTACTTTGCTTGACGTCGACGTGCATCCTTATCCCAATTTATGTCGAGAGATAATGGCATTGCGTTGATACTACTTGAACTCCAGTGGAGCCAAACTCACCTATGCAAACTGCTGGCCTGGACACCATGAATATGCTCTATGTGCTCTTCACCATTGCTGCTGTTGGTGTTCTTCTTGTTGCTGCTGTTCGTACTACTTGTTCGGCCCCACATGACTATAGCGACAGCCAAGATGCCAAGGACCCACCATGCTGTTTGCTTGTTTCTGATTCCGAGGATCGTCGTTGAAGCGGGCACTAGGAGGCGTCCTGCCGTTGGTCAGGGACGACAAGAAGACGGAGAGAATTGAGGGTGATGACCGAATTTCGGGATGCGCTCGGAGCATCTTGCGGGACGTGTCTTGACTCTTTTGGGAAGCTTTTGGCTGAACTGCGCTTCTGGGTCTCTGATCAGTGACTCTCTGCAAACGCTTTGACCCACACAGAACACCCATATATTATACTGTAGAGACGGCCGAGAGAGAAGCACGGCTTGCTAGGAGAAGGCCAGGGTCCCACGCTCTGCTACACTGTTCGTCTTTTCTACATAGTCCCAAAACGCAAACGTCCGAACCTTCCCGCGCCGAACTTGAGTTTGACCGGCGGCCGGGGAAAGTAGACAGAATGGCAGCAACGATCAGTGCCGTTTCGGAAGAGGTCAAGGGCCCGGTTTCGCCAAAGAAACAAGAGAAGAAGCTCTATTGCTACTGTTTATCTGAGGGCAATGATGGAGAGTTCATGATCGAGTAAGTTATCTCCTGGGAACCTTCAACAAGCAATAGCACAATAAACAACGAGCAGGAGTCTCATTGTTTCCTCGTTACTCGACATCTAGGTGCGATGGCTGTGCAAATTGGTACCATGGAAGATGTATTGACCCTTCAATGGTCGAAGAAGGTCAGTCTCGACAGACGATCTTAAAGGGGATGACGCGCAGTATATGCAGCAAGTAGTTTGGCTGACTTCCGCCCGATCCGCTCAGATACGCAATATCTATCAAAGTTCTACTGCCGAGAGGTATCGTCGCATCCCACAAAATCGTGTCTTCTCTTGAACTTCCACTGATCGTTTATTTGTAGTGTCAACCGAAATTTGGCAAAAGTGTATGTAAGTGATGATGGCCTTTTGTGTGAAATTCGAATGGTCCCGTACTTGCGTCTAATCGCACCTTTGATCGCGGACTCAGTCAAAGAACCTACTCGGAAGTCCAAGCGCGATAAGACTCAGATAAACTACAACGAGTTGAACGAAGGCGGGGCAGCTGTCGAGGAGGATCGATTTACAAAAACCTTGCAGGCGCGGACATTTCGACAGGAGAGCTTTCAAAGGGTTCGGGGAGATGAATTGACGTTGGAGTGGTTACGAAAGTCGGGGTTCAGGGAGCCGGTACTGGTCACAACCCCGGAGGGTCTGGACATGGCGATGCCGTCCAAGGACTTGATTGTGAGTGCTTGGCGGAAGATGAAGTATGCGGCCCTCCATGGGATCCTAGCCGGAACGCTGAGACTCTATAAATTGTCAGGTGGATCAAGTTGCGGACATGTGTGGCAGGGACCGGAAAGTGGACGCTATCGAGGTTTCCACGCAGTCTGAGCGGATCATGACCTTGGACGAATGGGCCAAGTACTTCCATCAGCCGCCCGAGAAGAGAAAGAGGATCATGAATGTGCGTTCTGAGGTGAAATCCAATTTTTCCAGAATAATAAATTTACTGTTATCATTCTAGGTCATCAGTCTGGAGATCAGCCAGACGCCTCTAGCTGAGCAAGTGAAACGACCGCGCGTCGTACGGGATCTGGACTGGACCGACAACGTCTGGCCATCAGAATTGAAGCGGGCTGGCGAATACCCTCATGTGCAGCTCTACTGTTTGATGAGCGTGAAGGACAGCTACACCGAGTAAGCCATTCTTCCCATATCTATCAGGGTAGTCCTTCTCTAACTGACCCTGCGGATCTAGTTTCCACATAGATTTCGGCGGCTCATCCGTATTCTACCACCTGCTTTCCGGCGAGAAGGTGTTCTACTTCATCCCACCAACGTCAACAAATCTCAAAAAGTACGAGAAATGGTCATCCTCGCCAGATCAAGGGCACACATTCCTGGCAGATGACATACGAGACGGAGCGATCGAAGTCCACTTGAAGGCTGGGAACACGATGATGATCCCTACGGGCTGGATTCACGCAGTATACACGCCTGAAGATTCGATTGTCATTGGGGGGAACTTTCTGCATGGACTCAATATCGATGGGCAACTCAACATCTATGAGATCGAGAAGCGGACCAATGTTCCTGCCAAATTCAGGTATGTGCGGGCTGTCAGGAGCGCCGTAGCATTTGCGGATGCTCACACTCTGCCTGGCTCAGGTATCCGTACTTTGAGATGATGCAATGGTAAGTCGCGCCTGAGCGGTGTTTTCGATCAGTGGGTTTCTGATCTGACGTCCGTCCAGGTATGCTGCTCGCAAGTACATGAAGATAGTGAAGAGTGAGTTCCCTGGACTTCGTTTGAAGTAAGGAATTTGAGTCAGTTCATTGACACACGGTATCATTGTAGATGCGCTGGAGGTCCTGTCTCCGTGGGAGGTAAAAGGATTGGACGCTCTGTTGACATTCCTGAAAGGGATAAGTGAGAAGATCCACGGTGGTGCGTGCCGGCCATTCTATGCCAGGTTGTGAGTCAGAGGTGCTTTTACTTACGAGCTTCTTTCCGCGCACAGGTACGACCAAAGCGGAAGATCGGAGAAACTTGAAGCGTAGTGTGCCCAAGGGTCTGAAAAACATCGACAATTTGCTCAGGAAGTTTACGCAACACATGAACAGGGCACGCAGCAAGAGGGTGGAAGGAAAGGACCTTATTCCAATGTCGCGGGTCGACACTCCTTCGCACGCCTCATCGGAAACGTCTAGCGTCGTCGTGAGTGGTGGTGGTGAGGTTGATCAGAAACCTCCTGCTTCCACCGAGCAGCAAGACATGGATGTGCCCACGCCGAGTGGAGTACCTACCACATTACTAGAACTAGCCCAGCCGATCTCGGACAGCGAGGATTCAGACGACGGCGAAAAGAACGGTGGAGGTGGGCCACTGGACGATGCGGACGATTCGTCAGATTGGGACGATGGGTCCGACGATGATGAGGACAGTGAGGACATGTATGGAGGGAATACCACGGATAGCGCCGATGAGGACGCTCACGCGTATATACCGGGAAAGTTCAAGAAGAAGAGGCCGATGACGACGAGGAAACGGAAACTCGAGGCTGATGTGGAGAAGACGTCGATGGCGGCGGAGGACAAATCAGTAGGGGGCACACCACCGGCAACGGTAGCAGCGCCTGCGAAGCGACGGAAAAAGAGCTCGACAGCAGCAGCTGCAGCGGCTGCCACTCCCGACCCGCCAATGGCAGGTAACGCCCTAAAAACTTCTCTGCAGGGTCGAGGTGCGTCCTCAGCTTCACCTCTGCCCCACCCGGTAGACCCTCAACAAAAGACCGAGGAAGCGGTCGCGTCCGGGAAGGAAAAAGACAGGGTAGCCTCAGCCACCCTTCCCGCGACGGCAACCGTGCGAGGTGGATCCGTGGCGTCCGGGGCACGGCAGGAGTCCAAAGAGATTGGAGTGAAGATTGCGTTTACGCCACAGCTGCCGTCTGATGCGCCCGCGTGGGTTACGGGGCATGCGCCGCATCAACCGCTGAATGTTCCAGCGAGACATGTTCCTGGAGGATCCGCTGCTCAGCCTTTGGGTTTGGGACAAGCACCGGGCGAGCCGCAGACTGCACCTGTAGTAACTTCAACTACGCCTCGCGCTCCCACCGCGGCATCGACGAAACTCCCGCAATTTAAATCTGTAGCAGCAACTTCAGCACAGCAGCGGCAATCCCCAAACACACTTCAATTTCAGCCACTAGCAGCAGCACCTCAGCAACGGCCGGCTTTCAAACCGTCAAACATGAACGGGTCGTCACCATCCGGCAACCTCATGTCGGGCCTACCACCGTTCTTGATGCCTCTGCCAGGGGCTGCCCCGACGTCCTATATACCACCCGCACCGGCATCGGCATCGGCACCAAATCCGCTCTTTGTGCCAGATCCGATCCCGCCTCCACCTCCTCGCAGCGCGTCGGCATCGACGTCAGCGGCCCTACCGTTCCCGTACTGGGCGTTTGCACCGAACGTTGGTGGTGGGGAAGCGTCTGCGCCGAACAACGCGGCGTCGTTACCGCCCTTCCTGGGTTGTATGGCCCCTGCGCCCTCATCGTCGACGATGATTCCGTTTCCGATAATGGGAGCTTTTGCACCGGATGCGATGGCGAGCGGTGGTCCGTACCTCGTGCAGCAGCAAGCACAACTACCACCCCACCAAGAGCTGGCGTTTCCCGTGTATCACCCGCACGAACAGCCGCTACTGCTCGCGAACCACCTGGAGCAATTCCAGCAGCAGCAGATGCATTTTGATGCGGCTTCCTCTGCGCTGTTGAGTCAGTTGGGGCAACTGGGGCAAGGACAAACGCAACCATTGTTGTCGTCGATTCCGCAGCAGCAGGTGGTGCCACAACAGCAACCGCAGAATGGTCATCACGTACAATTGCAGCCGCCGCCGCCGCCGCCTCCACAGCAGCAATCGCAGCAACACCAACAATTCGCCCCACCCGCACCTACAGTCCCCCTGACATCCCTGCAAGCGGTCCTGCAACGTCAACAAATGGCGATGTACTCGCAACAGCAGGAATCGTCACAGTCGCAGGATCCAACACAAATACCATCACAATCGCAACAACTAGTCCCTCTGCAACAACAGCAACCACAGCAACCACAGTCGTCCTCGCAAATCGCGGCGAAAGAAAAGAAGAAACCGGCGAACGTGCATCAGCGGCTGAGCAAGAAGTTGAATATGTTGGGCAAGCGGAAGTTGTAGGACTGCGGGGTGTGGGGCGATGCCAATGTGATGGATACCTCTAAGAGCAGGAGAAAGTGGTGTGCACTTTCCTTTCTCACGGCTTGTTGCGTAGCTTGTATTAGCAAATATGGCGTAAAGACAAAAGAAGGAAGCAATGAGGTGCTTGGATTGTGTGACCAGTGTGTACTAGCAGGTCTGTCTGTGCAGTGGGGACATCTGTGATATGCACGAACGAAGCCGCCTATGTGGGGGCTGCAGTCTCCCCTCCATAAAGGACGCGTCGACGGGAGCGGAGGTGACAAACATCCCCCCCCCCTTTTTTGCGTCCAACCCCGGAACAGAACTTCAGCAGGGGAAACAAACAACCACGCACCGTCGTCCGCCCCCGGTATTACGCCCGCCAACTGCAAGCTCGTCGGAGCGCTGCTCTCAAACTCCGTATAGCTACTGCGTCTGCGTCTGGACACCACATCGGCCACACTCGGGCCAATCTTCCCCCGCTGTTGAGCAAAGCAACGAGTGACTGTTTTCACCCCTTTTCAGCAATCATTCGCTCTCCGCACCGGAGCTTGAGCCAATAACGTGTGTGTGCGGAGGAATTCCGCCCCGAACCCATCTGCACATAGGGTTGGAGATACTGTCTAGCGTGGGCTACGGAACTTAGGGAACGAACGACGACCATGGGCGGCTGCATCTCCAGCCACGATAGTGGTGCAAATGAGGAGAGAAGTAGTAGTCCGAGGAGAGTTCAGCAGGGTGGCGCGGTGGGAAATGACCAGAATGCGGCGTCGCCTGTGCCTACTGGTGAGTGTACACTGCGAGAGAGGGAGTGACCGATAGCGAGAGCGGTGAGGCAAGCGTCGCAGGAGGCTGGACCAGGCGAACTCCTTCGCGAGCCGAGCGAGTTGTTCTCAAGCAGCGTTGGATGTTCTTGAGAGCGAAGCGACGCCAACGGCAGCTCAACGTCTCGTCGGAACGAAGCGAGAAGGATGTCATTTCTATCCTATGCCCAACAGTTCTCATTTCACTCCATGGATTACATACCCCGATGGTCATGTATCCGAACTTAGATTCCGTTCTCCTGACCCTCTCCCTTACTCCCCATGTTTCCAGGCGGCAACCGTCCGCTGCTCCCGCGTAGCCAACTCGATTACAAGCCCGACACACCCATGACGCTCCGCCAATTCCTCCGCAAACGCGACGAGTTCTGGGATACGATGCCAAGCTACTCCGGGCTCGCTCAAGTCTGGCAAGCCCTACGCGCCGCCTGCGAAGCACCCACCCTCGAACTCGCGCAGGCTATCGTCGACAGCGCCAACATGACCGTCCCCACTGGCCGCCTGACGGACGGGTGTTATGATGAGCGAGGGAATATGTACACCATCCCGGCGTTTTGTATCGTGGATCCGACCCGTGTGAGGGGTTTATTACCGCCGGAACGGGACGAAGATGCCGAGGGGGATCACGCTGACGATGATGATGGAGAAGGCGCGGATGGCGCAACTATCACCGACGGCGGGATAACAGGCACCAGCGGCGCATCAGACATAAAAGGCAAACGACTCTCCAAATCTTCCAAACGCAGCTCCACCACATCCCCACATCCGCCTCACCAACCGCCCGCACTCGACCCCACCGCGCCAACACTCACCCTCACCGCGCGTCTCAGCACGGGTAAAGACGTCAAGCTGCAAACGACGGCGGCGACGACTGTGAGGGATATGCGGGCGATGGTTGCGGGGGTTGTTGGTGAGGAATCGAGTACGACAACAGCGAAAGGAGGGAAACCGGGCAAACCGCCGAAACTGAAGTTTTTCTATTTGGGGAGGTTGTTGGAGGATGGGGCGAGTGTTAAGGGTTTGGAGTTGGGGGAGGGGTCGGTTGTGCAGGTTATGATTGTGCCGTCTTTGTGAGGGGTGGAGGATTTGACGCGAGGGGTATGAGGTGGAGGTACTGGGCGACTGAAGAAAGGGAGAATAGGGAGAAGTGATGGATTCAAGGAAAGAAGGAAAAAAGGATGAAGGGCGGATCCCCAACAGAACTACGAACGGAACAAGCACACGGTGTCGGTTCTCCGCATGACCCCTCGCAACCCACATCGCTACTCGCACAACTACACCACTTTCAACCCGTGGGAAAGACACTACCGGACTTCATCACCTTCCCCTGTTCATCTTCCGCCTTTCATCCATCACAAGCTTCTGTGCTTTGCCTTTGTCGCGTTTTTGGGCTCGTGCTCTGTCTTTTATCCCCGGGCTGTTTCATGCCGGTATTGTGAAGGCGAGATACGTATAGGGTTACCGTTTTGTAATTGTACATGTGAATACACGGAAACAAAAACATATAACGCAAAGCACAAAGAGCAGCAGCTTCTTTCGTGTATGTTGTTTTAGCTCAAAAGAGGGAGCAAATGTCCTTCCCTCCATCACATCATGAGTCCCAAGAACAAGAACAGTCTACCTATGCACATTTCCTCAGTATAAGTTACAGTTACAAAAAGACGGACGCTTCCATGCCCCTGCGCGGGCGTGATCCCACCATCCTCGATACGTCCCCGAACCGCGGTAATCCAAAAATCCGCATTCACCTAAAAGGAGTCGAGGTATCGCGCACCCACGGGTATGTACCGTCCCACCACCCACTGCACTACACATATCTACATCGTCATGATATTATCCGTCAGTGCGTCCCGGAGCTGCGAGTCGATCGTGATGGGGAAGGCTATAACGTTTGCCATGCTGCGAAGAATGAAAGGGTCGTCAGATTCAGCGGTAAATGGTGGGTGCGAGTGGAGACTCACTAGATCCCGACAGCGATGGACATTGCTCGTGTTATCATACTGCGAGACAGCAAGCGTTAGCCCCCCGCCAACGTAAGAAGGCGAACATAGCGAAAGGAAAGAGAAACTCACTCAATCCCAAACGCAGTCCCGCTACTCGTCGCATCCTTCGCGATGGCAGCGATCGCGCCGCGGACGCCGATTCCGCCGGGGACTAGCCATGCTATTCCTACAAACAAAATATAAATCAGTCATCAGAGTCCGCAAGATGATGGTAGGGTACTGTGGTGGTTTACCGGCGAGGATAGCGCCAATAGCGACGTCATCCGTCTGCCTCGCGTACAGGTTGCCCAGTAACCCAATCGAGAAGGCTGCTATTCCCGCTGTTATATCCTATCATCCACACGAGCAAATGTCAGCTTAATGCACGAAGGAGAAATGACTTTCGAAGAGAGGATACGTACGCTGTTGAACCACATGCTAGCCAACAAATTGACGCAGAACCCAGTCAGCGATGTCAGGGACATGTGCCACCATTGCCAGGGGAAGGCGCGGAGGTTTATCATGATTGATAGGTTCATCTGCCAAAAAACGAAATCATTTCCACTTCAATCAAGACGACCACTTTTAAACGGAAGAACGGTGTGTAATGTCTTACGGGAATCCACAGCGGCAACCGCCACACATCCATCGGCGCGCCCGCGACCGGGCACGCGTCCGGGTTAGAGCCGTCGTAGTCGGTGAAGAGTTGCATGAGGTGGATGGCTAGGCGGGAGCCGAGGGTTAGGCCGTACCTGTTGATTCAATCAATGATGTTTAGTATGTGTTCGGACTAACTGATACTGGACCTTTCACCGTACCCGAGTTTGAGCGCCCGAACAAAAGCCTGAAACATCCTCACACTCCCAGCGACAGGGTTAGTGCTCCCGAGTTCGAGCATGCCTAGTGTGCTGGCGATGTAAGTTAAGAGCTAATCATCTAATCTCTCAGAGATAACAGTTTAATTCAGACTCACATAGCAGTCCCCGGCAACAACGCACAGACCCCCGCAAGCGACACCACCTCATGACACAACCCCAGCCCCGTCCCCGACAACCCATCCCAGAACGCGAATATCTCCATGAACCGCGCCAGACACGCTATCGCGATACTCGTCAGCAGCTCCACAGCTCCCTCCAATCCCAAAAAGTTCGATAATCGCAGACAGAGGGAGGTGACACCCCCGAGGAAGAAAGCGGCGAGCCCGTCGGCCCATGTCCCCCTGAACAGCAACACGGCGATGACACCCGATTGCATGGCGCCGGCGAAGTGGCGGACAGGCCAGGAGTAGTCGGTGTCGGAGGTGATGGTTTGGAGGTCGGTGAGGCAGTCGTCGATTGTTCCGTCATTGTGTTTTTCTTGTTGTTGTTGGGTCGTTGTGGTGTCTTGTGGGACGGGTGGTGGGGAAGACGGCACGGAATTGGTGCTATCAGGGCTTTCGAGGATCCGCCGACTCTGCTGGACGCTCGGCGTGGTGGTAGCTGCCGACGCGCGGCGCTTCTCGTCGGTTTTGAGGGCTTTGCGGAGGGCGGAGACGCGGCGCGCTAGACGGTCGACTTGGTGGAGTTTGCCGACGTTCACGCCATAGGAGTAGGAGAGGTACTGTACGCGGCAGGGATGTCGGGCTGATCCGTCGCCGATCGCAACCATGATTGTTGACGGGAGGCAGAATACTGAGACGGGTAGGCTTAGATCTTCGGCCGCTTTTGCGATGCGGTGCTCCACTCTGTATAATGGAGCGCCGTAGCTTGACAGCGCTAATGCTAAACCAAGCAACATATCCGCCTCCCGACTATCCCGCGGCGCGCCAGTAGACGACCAGGGTATCGGCAGCCGCGCAAACGATGGCGCATGAGCGGGATGCGGGAAGTACCCGCTCTGCGAGAAACTCGAACTCCTGCTCACGCTCGCGTTCCGCAACAGCATCGTATCCAGCAAACTGCTCGTGCTCGGTCTCGCGCTCAAATTCCGCAGCCCGTGCGATATTCGCTGTCTGAACGCATACAGGCCTGTCGGTGTTCCGGGTGCATTGCTTGGCTGTGAACCCCACGCGCTGTGGTGCGGGTTGGATTGAAATGGAGGGCGGTGCTCACGGGCGAGTTCTGTGATGTCGCCGATCTCGTCTTCCTGCTCGCGGGCTTCTTCGGTGAGACGGGCTTCGAGGTCGTCTAGGGGGACGTAGATACGGGTTGATTCGGCTTCGCTGTTGCGTGACATTGCAGCTCAGTGAGTGAAAGAGTAAGTGAGTGCTTTATGAAGATATGATGGCCATCCGTCTTGCCTTGCACTGGATGTCCAGATCTAGATCACCCATATGCCGAGAAAGACCACAAGGAGAAGTTGGCATCGGGAAAACGCGTGAAATGCCTACGTCAGCACTAAAAGCACACGGGAAGTGTGACGTTCCTTTCCCTCCCACACCTTTTTCGCAGGTTTCTGGTTCGAGAGGACCTTACAAACCCCAACCTCAAGCAGACGCACTGCGCACAGGCTTCGTTGCAAAGTATAGTTTGCAGCTTATATTCTTGGTCAAGCACGAGGTATCGACACCCCACCAGGCAAGCAACCCTGGCTGAAGAGGTCGGTTCAACTCTTTCGTCGTCGTTTTTCACTTTCTCGTTCTTACCCTCTCGCCGTTATCACAGTCGCTTTGAACCGCTGTTTCTCTTAACCCCTACAGATCCTGTCTCGCACCTTCATAAATCCACGGCCGGTGGCTTTTTATCAAAAGACGGATTCATCGATACGGGCGGCTCGGACACCTCAAGTCGAGTACATCTCAGAGGAAAAAGTCACGGACATGGTGCTCGCGGTCGTGACCATGAAAACGTGGAAGGATATGCTCAAGAAATGGAACCAGGGGTTCGTCAGTCCTTCATGTGTGGCTTGATATCGCGTCTTTGCTGTCCGTCGAGGCATGCGCTGGTCTCGCCCAATCCTCTAAAGGCTCTTTCAGTCTCATTGCGTGTGAACCGGCCGCGCCGTTAGGTGTATTGGGTAACTGCTGTCCTCATCCCCATCCTGCCGACATTCTTCGAGGCGCCCTACAGTCGCTTCTTGTCTCTGATCTTGGGCACCAATTGCCTTGCTTGCGGCGCAAAAGCCCAGGTCGTATGTCCCGTTGTGCAGCAGCCGAATGTCGGCGGGCCTTTTACTTGAAATCGCCGGGCATAAGTTTCATGTGCCGCTTGGGAGCACTTTGATCTACTGGGCGTTGAACGAACCCATTACTCTGGAGCTATGGTTGGACGTCATGAGAGTCCGTGTCGACAACGATGTCAACGAGCGAACTGGACGACCACCAAGATTTTCCCGCACGTTGTTTGCTGAGGTCAAGCAGCATCGGCGTTTTCATTCGGACGCAATGTGGAGATTGCTGGATACAGGGGACAGGCTCGCGGCGGACAATGACGAGAATATCTACAAGGCTGGCTTGGGAACAGTGAAATCTACGCTCCGCCTAGCGCAATACTGGCAATGATACGCGCGATATCCATCCAGGGCAGAGTGAAGGTTTACGTTCTCGCTGTTGTCACCGCGCGCCGGCCCATTACACGACGATGGACGGGATACTCCTGGGCACGCGACCCAGACGCCGAAGAGTATCAGAGAGGCACTTGCGACCTGACCATCGTATTGTGCGGAGCCACGCGAACATCGTCTCGAGCGGAGGAATACTGTTAGAAGAGGAAGAAGCAGTGTAGCCGACGATGTATCAGTTACCGTTCATAGTCATTAGATAGTGTTAGTCAGCTTAGTCTTGTACCCATCTCTTGGAGAACTTGCCCCTTTTCTGGCCCGCAACTCTTCTCAATTTTCGGCCATTTGTCAACCCCCAATACTTCTCCACAGCCAGCAGCTGTAGCAATGCTCTCTACGCTCGCCATGACCGCTCTAGGCTAGGTAGCATAGCTGGCGCTTACCCAGCCCCCTCTTGATGTTGTTCTTCGCTCTGCTGGGTTGTTTATCTATAAATAGCCGCCCCCTCTTCGGCCATTTCCTTCCTCCCCAGCAGATCAACACCAGTTCTTCTCATCTCCTGTTCTAGTCCTTGTTTCTTGTTTCGCCAATACAATCTCTTGTCGCCTATCACTCTCGCTCTGACTTCTCTTCTTCGCTTCCGCCTCCATCGTCGAGATCATAACAGGCGCGGTGCAAAAGATACCCATCAGAAACTCGATCCACCGCCTGCTGAGCACCGCAAGGAAGTAGAGTCTTGACAGGTTCTGTGCGCTCTTGGTGGGCGTGACCTCTTGAGAAGAAAAGACAGCCGGTGATCTTATAGGTCCGGTCGCCGCTGATATGTTTTCGACGCGTAGGATATGTTATCCTTACGTTATGCACGTTGCAGTCAAGCGATCGAACGATGTGGAGGCATCCAAGTGCAGGGTGCGGCAGCCATATATCTATTCGGGATAGTAACCGACAGTTGAAACTTCATCACTGCATTTGGAAGGCCATTCGCTACGCATCCTCGGTTCGATCTCTACGGTGTGGATGGAGTGGACCCTGTAAACCGGTGCTATTTTATTGTACTAACACTGTTTGGGCTTTTTGAGATTTCCGCTCTAGGCGTGTAATGTTGTAAGAGAGTAGAAGCCAGTTGTTTCCCAAGATTCTGTGCTGTTGTTTGCAAATCCATGTGGCATACATACCAGTCCCATCAAGTACTTTCCTTTATCTTGTTCTTCAACAACGTTTATTCTAACATTAACTTGGTAAGAGACGCACTCGCATGCCCCTCGGAGCCCTAGGCTCGACTTAAGATGGAGTCAGGGCGCAAGCTTCCGCTGGGGTAAGTTTGGACACCAGAATCTAATGAACTCATTCAATCAAGAAGTACACGACAGAAGTATGAATTTCGTCTGGGAAACCCCTTGATTCCATGGGCCCAGGGCATGTTCCGAAAGACAACGTTCGTAGACCAGCCCACGCACTTCAGAGGCCGAGTGCGTGGGCCCTACCGCGAGCTAGATGACATCGGCGGTGGTTGGCAGTCATCATGTGCTTTTGGGTTGTTAAGAAGGACAAATGGTTGCTGTGCAGTGTCGACGGTTTCAATGACGGGTGCTCGAAGTTCCTACTACCACGGCCGAAGGTCGAACTGTGGCTGTTACCGGCGGTATGTGGACTTGAGCCGCTTGGGCCGAAGGCGCGCAAACGCGTGCCCAACGGGTCGGGTGCCGTTAATTTTCAACGGGATTGCATTTGCGCTCTAATTTTGGCCGCGGGTAGCCCCGGCAGTCCATTGTAAGTTTTGTATGTCTCCAACGAGCCATGGATGATGGGAACGGAGGACGACCTCCGGAATCTGATAAGCGAGAAGGAAGAGCAGGGGTGTGCCGTTTTTGACGCCTCCCATGAAGGATGAGAATTCAAAGGAAAAAAAGGAGGACTCTAGAGTCTGAACGTGGAGGAGGTCCCTCAGGAGTCAGTAGGATGAAGAGGGATAAAAAGAATGAACGAAGGCGCCGGCCCTGCTTCCCTCCAGACTTCGGCTAGACCTGGTATCGATATCCTCTTCGCACTGCTAGCAGTCGTCTTCATCTTCCGTCTCACGTCTGAAGAACGACATAGATACACGCGATGTCTCTTCCTCGTTTATGGCGTTGGGCAGCTGCAACTCTGATCCTCGCCACCTCTCTGCTGCTGGTCACCGCCTCGCCTGCCTCCGGCGCTTCCGCCCCTCGGGATGTCGCGGCTTCCACGACCTCTTCAGAACCGTTGACACTCCCGTCGTCTGCGCCAATGCCTTCCCAACAACCCGAGGACCTTCTGAGTCCCTTCTTGACCTCAAACGGGAGCGGATATTTCGTGCCGACCGTCAACATCACTTTCTGGAATAACGGCAACCCTTTCATTTCTTCTGACGGTCAAACAAAGTACGATCAATTGCCCAATGATCTCCTGCCGGCCATGCGGGGCGAAACATTGCCCGGGAACCGTTGGGATCTCTGGTTGTTATGGCTATGGCGCTACAGCGACAAAATCGAACCGCAAGGTTTCGAGCATCTAAGGTCTGCCATTGCATATGTTGCCCCCTCAGAGGACAAGAACTTGCTACATGCATTCAACAACATTTCGACCGAAGGCTCAACAAATAAGTGGCTGCTTGATGACACTTTGTGTGGGAGTTGTGGGGTACGATCTTTTGCTGTATTCCCTACCATCGTGTTCATGGACACTTCTTCTGCAGCACCATCTCCTGGTTGCACTTTCACTCACCATCGTATTCTTTGTCATAGTACACGATGCAGAAAACATATTGTAGTGATAGTTGTCTGCCACCCGCGACTGCAAACCTCACCGGAGGTCCCATTGACAACGAGTACTGTGCATTGCTCAATTCAGACAGGAAAGCTCGCCTCGCTACAGGAAAAACTTTAGTTACTCAATGCTTCAACTGGCCCATCACGGCCACATGCAATGACTGCATCGCTCGGAAGGCGAAAAAGAGTGTGTTTGTGAAGAACTGCCTGAGGTGAGTCAGAAGCTCCATGCCACTACCTACCTTTGTCCGATTGTTCCTAAGCTGCACGCCCACCACATCAGGTGTCATGAGTTTTGGTCGGCACCCCTCACTCCCGGTTACCTCTTCAATCCCTACACTCTGAACCTCTCCGACATCGGCAACCAATTCATCTACTTCGACAATACCGCCGGTTCTGGCTGCTCGTACCGAAGCAAGAGGGATCCAGGCTCCCGTATGGAAGACGCTTTCAAAAAGTGTAAAGTGACCTCGGTCTCGTACAGCGGAACCATACATGGGAATCTTGGTGACTGCACGGTTCACGCTCCAGATCCTACGGTTGTAGGAGCTGGTCATTGCGACAAGATGCCCGGTTCCGAAGAACCTATAGATTTTGCGTCAGGTCAGAACGTAATACCGGCACCAGAGATGTGTGCTCAATTCGTCCCCGGAGACCCTGGACTCTGCGAAGGTGATTTGCCGCCGTTGTAAGTATCGAGTCTGTATAGGGCTCCCCAAAACGCCTTCCATCTTCTCTGCCAACGGGGGATGGAAGAATGAATCCAACTTCTCTAACCCCTGGACATCCATTTGTTTCTCAAGGGATGAACCTGAAAAGTTATCTACTCCTCCCACGCCTCCCGGACCGACCAACGGCGGCGCCACACCCGCAAATCCCGCGGCTCCTGGAACCAACCCTAACGGCGTCCCGAACATACCCATCGAGATCGTTACGAACGGTGGACAGCAGCCACCCGTTCCGGGCGATCAATCCATCCCTGGCTCCCCTGTCGGCCAACCCACCGATGGCTCGCCAGGCCAACCCAGCGTCTCAGCCGCCGGATTCCCCACAAGCAACCCCGTAACCGCCGGCAATCCCAGCAACGCCACGACAGCAACCGTCCCGGCCGCCGCATACCAATGCTTCCCGATCGCGCCACCAGTCAACAATGGAAGCGCGCCACTCGACCCATGGACAAACACTACAAGTCCCATATTCACAGTCACCGACCCACACGGCGTGTCGCAAGCCTGTTATACCGTTCCGGCCTCCATCCAGGGTGCCGCTTCGGCGGCTGTCACTCCTCCCGCAAGCCCCGTGGCTCCCGTGTGTCCTCCGCAAAGTATGGAAAGAGAGTGAGCTGCTGCGAGTATCATACCCCGGTCAACTAACTCGTCTTTTCGGTTGCTTTCTAGTTACGGATTTCCGGAAGCGCAATGGCGTCTTATCGTCGCCGCGATGCACGGCTGCGATCCCGGTGGCGATACTGTTCAGCACCTGGCTGCTTGCCAGTTTGTAGACGCACAGAGTGCAAACTGTGTTGCATTTTCGGTTGGGCCTTCCATTTTTGAATCCATCGACGGCTTAATAGAATCATTAGACGCATAGAGTCTCCATAGACGTATAAATATAGATTAATAGTGCCCGGCAGCGGGCAAAGGCGGTGGGGGTTTACGTTCTGGCCGTCTAAACCAAATAATAACTTGACGGGTATGGGGATATGTTTCCGATTTCGACCTCACGTATGACACTTTTGAAGCACCCCGGTTCTGGACCACAAAACCAATACAGAGTATAAGTCCCATATCCACACTCACGGCTTCATCTCCTCGTCTTACAAGTTAAGCAACTACAAGAAGCCTCAGAAAAGCAACTATATATGCATCGGTCGCCTCTAAAAGCGATCCATGGTAAGGGCGAAAACCCATCCGGACCTGGCGGGGCCCTAGTCGGTCCCGTTGACGATTCCTTCACATCATCGAAACCCCGCCAAAGCTGTATTTCATAATAGGACTCCAATCACACTCACCCGCGTGGATGACGAGTGCGGTACTTCAGGGATTTGCGCTTCCTGCGAACCGCGTCCCCATCCAGATTGTCCTGTTCCAACCCACGCTGCTGTGGCTGCCGCGCCGTCCCACGCTGGTATGCCACAGGAATGTGCCCATGCATGACGTTGCTCCAGACGATGGCCTTCATATTGCTTGTGGCCGCGTGGTCTCTGTTGAAGAGGCGCGGTCGAACAGCCGCTGAGCTTTGGTGTGGGTTGAGTGATATTTTCTTGGTATTCGCATTTGGTGTCCATGCCTGCTGAACACAGTTTCGGTTTGGGCAACCAAGCTGGAGGGGCTGGAAGTGAGAAAAAGTCCGTCTTCACAGCATCAAAAACACACACTCACCAGGCCATGAAGAACCTCTTTGTGTCCTTGAGTCTTGACGAGTCTCGAACATCAGCCATATGCCCCTTACCCGGATGCAGCAAGCCGCTCGTCTCAAAAATCATGAAGCGTCCATCCTCCCGCCAGATGATTTTTGAGACGAGCGGCACTGTTTCCCTCTTTCGACGTGCCAAGTTCCTCCTATATCATCGGTGCCCAGTGTACTTGGCAAGTTCGTTCTGTGTATAGCGAACTACTTTGTCATAGCGTCGTAGTTTCCGTGTGGGCCTTCCTTGTTGTTTGGGGTGTTGCTCGCAAGCGTGTCGCGTTCCAGTTCAGTGTCGTGATGTTCCCTGGGGCCTCTTGCATATGCACAAAGACGTTGGTGGGTCAACCCCAAACCACATATGCATCTACTGTAAGGCAAGGCTCTGGTCTCCGTCCCACCAGCTTCCCTCGTCGTCCTCTTTCCCAGCTCCCGCTGCCCACCCTCAGTCTCCCCGAACACTCCCTCCCAAGATGACTTCTCGTCTCGGCGGAATGGTTGCTTCCGGGAAAGCTGGTATCGTACTCCTCACACAAACAACACAAAGTCTTTCGTAACGTGCCTTATGTTTTCTCTCTTGCGATTCAAGGCCTTCGCCCGGAGTTACCCTTCGACGATGAATTCTACGGCCTGAAAAACGAGAACCTGGACTTGAAGCGGAAAGTGAATGACCAGGATGAGAAGACCAAGCAGTATGTTTCCTGCTTTGAGATGGAAGTGCGGGCCTTAGGGAGTTTGGGATGGGACATCGGAGCATTAGCGGGCGCGATGGATTGCGATGGGAGACCGAGCGGTAGTGAGTGAGCTTAGACCGTCTACGCGAGCGAAGCGAGCGGTGAGCGACAGAGACCAGTCGCAGTTTGTAGGCGAGCGTCAGCGAGGCCCTGTCTTGCTAGAATATTTGCTAACCCCAGCTCAAAAATGAAAAAGGCTGATAACAAAAGTGCAAAAACTGACCGACGACCTCCGCCGCGCAAAAGAGAACTCCCTCGCACCCGCACCAGCTTCCATCGCGACCGTCCAGCGCGGTATGTCCACTCACTACTCTCACATACACGCATATGCAGTCGGCAAAACCCTGACGAACGACGCCCTTAGAGGCGCCCCCAAACAGGCGTCATGAACCGCCGCGAAGCAGCAGAGATGGAGGATCTGGTGGACGATTTGCGGACGCAGATGCGCAATGTGGCGAAAGAGAATTCCCAGTTGAAGAATAAGGTGGGGAATCAGACTTTGCGAGGGATATTTGGGTGGCGATTTTGCGGGGGATCGGTTGATTGATTTTCCCTTGGATATAGATGAATTTCTTCAAGGCGTTGCATGAAGCAGAGACGAGGAAAGGCGCGAGATATGACCATATTCCGCCAAGAACCAATTCGGTATGAGTGGGGGGGAAGCAGATGAGGTACACTTTGAAAAAGCGTGTTTCTTCGTCGGCGTCTGACGTCGTGAGCAAACGGTTTGTAGGGTCTGCGGAAGCTTTATCCGGCGTTGGCTGTGAGAGGGTGGGTACATACAATCCATGTCGCACACCCGTTGCGTTGTTGGCTTACAATCCAACTCGATACGCAGACGAGGCAGAGGCCGTGCAGCGCCAGCGCATCCTGACGCGTAGGTCCCTGCCATATATCCGGGCACGAACTCAGCTTAAAACCACTGAAAGGCGTATGTTTTGGATAGCAGCGGCGACGGAGCCTCGACACCGCGGAACGAAGAAGTAGAAAAACTGTATGTAAGCCCATGAATATGGCTTTGTCGTAGACAATCTCCCTTCTTCTGACGCTATCGTTGGTTGACCGCAGAGAAGAAATCGTAACAATGCTCCGCGCGAAACTGATGGACGCCGAACGCGATCTCGCACAGTCCAACGACGAGAACGGGAGGTTGAGAGCTGAGGCTGACAGGTGCGCGTTGGAAGCGCCCAGCGGATCGCCCGTCACATCTCCCCAACTCATCCCTGCGATACTTTCAGCAACAACCAAGAATCAACTTTAACCCTCCTCTCAACGCAACGCACGCTGTCCGACCTCCAAGCCCGGTACGACGCCCTCCGCGACACCTCCACATCCACCGACGCGAAACTGCGCGCGATGACGGAGAAATACGGGGAGGTGCTTAGCGCGATGGAGGCGCTGAATAAGGAGCTCAGAGCGGAGAGGGACAAGAGGGCTGAGGCGGAGGAGAGGTGTAGAGCGTTGGAGGGAGGGGAGAGGAGGGAGGGTGAGGTGGGGTTTTCTTGTGCTTTTGTTCGTGTGCGAAGGAGAAAAGCCGCAAAGCAACCTAACCCATCTTGACGCTCCAGCTGAAAATAATAATAGAAGACCTCCGCGCGGAAAAACGTCTCCTGGAAGAAGAACAGAAACGGCTCCTCGCCTCGCAATTCAACACCCAGCGTATGGACGAGTACGCTGCTGAGGCTGCCAAACTGCGCAGCCGGGTCGATGAGTTGAGCGCGCAGTTGGCAGATGCCTTGAGAGATCAGGCGAAGGGGCAGGCGATTGTGGCGGAGTTGAGGGGTATGTGTCAAAATTGCCAATGTATGGATTCATGTGGACCGGTGGTCAGTAACCTCACTCCACGTTCGTTCCCCTCCTGCCCATGCAGAACAGAACAAAACATCTCAAGAAGCCAAGCAAAAAGCAGAGGCAAGCCTCTCCAACCTCCAAGCCGAGCTAGACGAACTCAAAAAACAGTTGCGCGGGTTATACCCCAGTTCCAAACCCGACTGGAACGAGTTGCGTGACGCGCTCGAGTACTATCGGTCCAAAGGCGGTGTACGAGAAGCACCTAGGCCTGTTGACGATGATGTAAGCTCCCTTCACATGCCCCCTCGCTTATCCTCCAGATGTGTATATTGACACCATGGCGCATTTTAAAAAGGAACGACAACTCTTGAAAGAGCTCCGCCTGCAATTCACCCGCGCGACGGCAGACTTGGAAAAAACGCGCAAGCTGCTGCAGCTGCAGGAAGGCATCAATCGGGATTATAAGGATGAGGTGGCGGTTCTGGGGAGGCGGGTTGAGGCTGTGCGGAATGAGTATGGTGTGTATGAAATATGGGGGGCGGGATGTGGGTGGGGTGGGCCTTATGTTGATGTCTTTCTGTGTAGAGACGAGACTGGAGGAAGATGCGCGACTGTTGGAGCTGAGAGCGAACCGGATAGCGGTGCTGGAGGCGCAGTTGAGGAATGCTGCGAGTGTGGATGTTAAAGGTGCCGCGCAGAAAACCACTTGCAGTTCCCATTGTTGGAGGTGTGGACTTTTTTGCTCACAGCTGTTTGGTTGAATAGGCAAACCTGATCTGTCCTTAACGGATGATGACGACGTCCAGCTCGAAAAAGGTACCTCAAAAAACCCTATTTCCTCCCTCGTCTACCTTCCAACCCCTCACGCCACAACCCTCTCTCACGCCCGACAGGCCAAAACCTCCTCAGCATCCACCTCCATTCCGCCCGCCTCACTCCCGAAGGCGTCACCTTCCTCCAACGGCTCCACAACACGAACGAGCCACGCTCCCACGGCACGTTTGCGACGTTCTGTTATTTCGATTTCTTTGATTTTGAGACGGCCGTTACGGGGTTGGCGGTCGGGGAGAAGATGGGGTGGAATTTCACTGCCAAGTATGTTCTGGGGTTAAATGTGTTGTTGATCTGGGGAAGGAGAGAGAGGAGAAGAATGGGGACGATGACTGATGACTGATGGCTGACACTTTCATTGATCCTCTTGGCGCAGATATAAGCTCTTTATCGACGATTTCTGCCTTATGTACCTGCAGATGCAGCCCGTGACGGTGTATCTGTGCCGCGCGGATGGGTTGGATTTCGTCGAGGTTGCTGAATGGTATGCGGAAGAAAGTCGACTCGGGATCATTTGGGGGTGTTTGGTGGTGAACTTATATCCTTTTTCTAGTGTTGTGAGGTTCAAAGACTTGACGGATCCCAGCAAGGCAGACAAACTGCAGTATTATGGCGATCTCGTGAGCTCGCATGATCATGTACGGCTAGGCGTCCCGTGCGGGCCCGCTCTCCCGACATCCATACCACTCCCACTCTGCTCTCCTCTTGGACTAACATGCTCTCCGCGATTCGACAGAAGACGATCATCGGCCGGCTGAACTACACCCTCAGCGTCAAGTTGCCCATGGCGCAGACTATCCGCGCGTTCAAGGAACGGAGCGGTGCGTTAGGGCTTCTCGCTGATGCTGATGCTGATGTTGCAGCGTAAGTTTTCTGACCGCATCCGTTGTGCATTCAGTCATTGGCGTTTGTATGTCTTACTTACTTCCGATGCGTTGTTCAGGACCACGAAACACGGCAAAGTAAACGAGCTCGTCTTGAAGATTGATAAATGCGAGGGGTTGGACATCGACCGTGCACGGCGGCAAGACGGGAAAGCGGGCGAGCCGGCTGTGTATTTGGCGTTTCAGTTGCCGGGACATGATCATGTTGTTACGGTGAGTCCCGGAAAATCGATTGGGGGGGAAGTAAAATTGAAAGTGGGGGGCGGTTAGATTGACGTGGGTGGTTTCCTGAGTTGTAGAGCACAGTAAGGGGCACCGCGAACCCGGAATTCAACCTCCTGCGCACGTTTAGGATGGTGATGACCGCGGAGTTGGATCGGAAGTTGCGGACTGGGGATGTAAGGCTCTTTTTTTTCCCGTATCACTGCGAGCCACCTCCGGGTGTGGGAAGCTCACGTATCCCGCAAACCCCCACACACACAGCTCCGCATAATGGTCCTCGAAGACTCCGACAACGACTTTATCTACGGCACCTGCGCCATCCCCCTTCTCTCCCTCGCCCTCGGCGACTCCATCACCGGCGCATTTGACATCTTCGGCTCCGATAACGCGCCTGCCGGCAAACTGACGCTGAGTCTAAGCTGGGAACAGCCGTACAGAGTCCAGTCCGCGGCGGTGGTGCCTCACCTGGATTGGAAAGAGATGAGTGTCAAACGGATGCAACCACAGCAAAGACCGCCGCGGGATCCGTCCGCGCCTGTGCCGCCGCCGTTTGGGCGAACGACGAGGACGCGGCGGCGCCTCCCGCTCGGGAAACCGAAACCGGAACCGGGGGAGCATCTGACGGAGGCGACGAGTCGGTCGGCGTTGGCGAGTCCGGGGCAGGCGACGCCTGCGACCGGGTCGAGACGGACGAGTGTGGGGGGCGTATCTGTTGGGGAGGGCGGGGTTGACGGTGATGTGCAAGGGGAGCCGGTGCGTAAGGTCACGAATGCGCGGGATGAATTTTCCGATCGACATACCGCACATACACCATCAGCTGCTCACCACCACCACGACCAAGAACAACAAGAGGAAGAAGAAGGCCTGACATTAACAGTCGATGCCCTGCACCTCTCCTTACCGCCCGACCAGCTCCCCTCCGCCGTGTTTATCGCCCTCGAGGAGTTCCCACTGGATGTGGCGGAAGGCGGGGAGTCGCCTGTGTGTGATGTCGAGGAGAGCGGGGATGTCGCGGTTGGGTGGCGGCAGTGTAAGTTCCCCTACCTTCCCCCCTGTATTTGTTGGTTCCGTGAAATTCTTTTTTTTTATTTCGCACAGTTTTCCATTGCTAAAAAAGCTATGGCACTCCTCTGAAATCCCAAAACAGTTTTTCCACTGGACTCAACAACGCACCGCCGCGAACGCTTCCGCCTCCGCCGCGCCCTCCTCTCCCCCGACGACGCCGACGCCCGCTGCTCCCTCGCCATCCTCTGCCCCGCCTCTCACGCTGAAGACCGCCTGATAGGCTACGCCTCGTTTGACCTGCAAGAGTGGATCGAGGATACCCAAGGGGATGTGATTGAGGTGCCGATTGTGGCTGGGGAGGCGGGGGAGGAGGGGGAGGAGGTTGGGAGTGTGGTGGTTGTGGTGCGCGGGAGGGGGTGCGTTAGGGGGGTTATCGAGGAGTGATCGTGGGGTTGTTGAGAAGCGGGGGCAAAGGGAGGGGGGTGGGGTATATTTTTGGGTGTGTGAACAAGTAATCTGAAGAGGGGGATGCTCGCTCGGATTCAAACCACAGACAGACGAACAACGAAACTGTAGGTGAAGGAATAGTTGATGACCACCGTACAGTAGCGATTCTCCATGTGCAATGCCCCGACGCCAGAGCGGTGCGGGGCGTGGTCTAAAATACCGAGTCTAATATGTACGCCGGTATCTCTAAACGCCCTCCGTCCGTTCTCTGTCCTGCTGAACCTCAGCAAGGCGGTCGGGTGCACGATCCTGCGTGCCGGTTCGTGTTGCCATCTCGCTAGCGCCAGGCTGAGCTGAGCTCACACCGTCCGCGCCGACCCACGCGCCGCTTCCTTCCGCTCGCTCCCCCATTCTCCCGTCCAGCCCACCCTCACCTCCGTCCATCGTTCTCTCAGGCCCCGGCGAAGAGCGTTTGCCTTCCCACCGTGGGCCTCGCTGTGATCCAGGCACGCGCGGGCCCAGAACAGGCACGCGACAGCAACGCCGACCAAGAACCCGACGCCGTCGTTCTTGAAGAAGGAGGTCGCGCAGCCGGTGAGGATCATTGTTGTGTGGGCGTTCTCACGGGCGTGTGCATGCTCAGTTTGCGTTGCTGATGACGGCGGGTTGCCCTGATCGCGCATCTCACTCACCATGTAGGGCTCCACCCCGCCCATATCCCTCGTGACGCCCACCAAGCCCGCCCCGGCCCCGACCAACATGACCCCGAGCACGCTGTTCGGCACCCTTGCAAACAACCCGCTTAACGAGGCGCCAAACAAGCCGCCCGCCACAATCTTCAGGACGCCCAGGAAATAGATGGAGGACGCCGTTCGGGCGCCAAACCGGTGTTGCGCGGCTAGCCCGCCAGACCCGTGGCAAAAGGGGATTGACCCGAACCATGTGCCGAGGATGTTCATGAGGCCGACGCAGGTTGCTACGTGTGTGATGGGTGCGACGGGTTGGTTGCGACTCTTGCGGAGGGTGGGGAAGAGGTCGTCGGCCAGTTTGGAGACGGCGATGACGGAGTTGAGGAGGGTGAGGGGTAGCTGGCCGAGGCCGGCGGTTAGGAAACCTGTTTTGAAATCGGTGGCGGTGGGGACGTGGGGCGTCAGGTCCGGGAACCCGAAGGAGGGGGGTGGTGTTGTTTTGTCGATGGCGTGGAGTTTGACGGCTGCGATGGCTATACCGACCAGGAACAGCAGCACGGCGCTCGGGTTCCGTCTCGCGTTCCAGTTCCACACACAGGCTCCGAACGCGAGGATCGCAAGGAAGAAGTTATCAAGCCAAGCCCAGTTTGCGAATTCCCACGCGTTTGATTTGAGGATTGTGTTGACGCCGTTGGTGATGAGGGTTAGACCCGTGCCGAGCTGGATGCCGCGGACGATGGAGAGGGGGATCAGGGTGTTGAGGAGGGTGATTGTGCGTGTGAGGCCTAGGATGAGGATGATGGCGGAGACGCTGAAGCCTGCGGCGACGATTTGGGATTGGGGCATTTGTGTGGCGAGGGCTATTGCGGAGATGGATTTCATGGGTTGGACGCACATCTGAGGGGGGGTGGACAGGTGGGAAAGATGTGAGATTTCTCTTGCAACTGAACATCAATGGAGGGTCAAGTCGAATGGTGCTTGACACTTACGGGAATCCCAAATACGAACTGCCAAATCGTCCGCAAAGAAAGTAGACGCAGGTCCGTCAGTCAATTATGATTCCCTGTCACCCTCTCCTAAAATACGAATCCTCACCCCAGTGATGATATTGTACAGTCCACCAAAGATCAACGAAGCCGGAAGGGAGATCTGGCCCGTCTTGGTTAATGCCACCAGCAGTGGGAGCAGTGTGCCCATGTCGCCTGTAAGGAATTTCAACTCATTAACCACCGTCAACGATCAACGATCAGCCAAATAAAACCGATTGGCACGATTCTTCGCTGTCGCTCACAGGTATTGCGCCTGCGCCGCCCGCCGTCCCTCCGATGTCGTCTTCACCTCCTCACTTGAAACTCCCCAACCTCCCTCCCTCTACATACCAAGCGACCCACTAATTTCAGACAGAGTCAAGTTCTTCCAAGCCTCCTGAGTCCTGGCAGACATTGCAGCGGTCGTAAACTTTTTATCCTCGTCGCCGTGAGCGTTATAGTTGTGTTCTCCATCGTACGGGCGGGTGTGGTGAGACGGAAGGTGGGGGTCGGACAAGGAGGGCGGGGGTGGGTCTGTGTGTATCTCTGAGTGGGCCATGGGAGACGGATAGGGCCGAGCGAGAGAGCCCACGGCGGCGGCGGTGGGTTCGTCTTGCATTGTTAGCAGCAGCGGGAGGGATAGGAGGGAGAAACAGGAAGAGACAGGAGGGGGACGGAACACCTTGCGAGAGGCCGCGTCACACGTCACACCTCTCTCGCTCTCCCCCCCCCTCGAACACACAACACACAACAGAACTACGAACGGCCTCCCAGGACAGGACCTTCAGCCAACCTCATCTCCTCTCTTCTTTCACTCAGCCTACCCCTCGCTGCCTCTGGCTCTCTCTCTGTTCGACTCTCCGTCCGCCTGCAAAAGCCCCCCCGCAAACGTCACACTCTCAAAGCACACCCCTCATGTCATTCGGCGATCTCGAAAAGGGCTTGCCCCGGGGCGGCAACGGCAACAGCGGCCAAAACACCCCCTGGGACGGCAGAGCAGGGTCAGCTAGTAGCGGGCGAGGCGGCTCTTTCGGCGGCCGCCAGGACACCAACACCCACAACAACCACGACACGCCCCCACCATTCGCGGGTCCCTCATCCACATCCTCAACCTCATCACCACCAGCAGGCCACCCGCCAAACGCAAACGACGCAACAACGATCGATAGAGCGTCCCGTACGATTTTCACCATCTCCAATAATGTCGCGACGATTCAGAAACTTGTTTCGCTGTTTGGGACCGAGAAGGATACGGCGGATTTGAGGAGTAGACTGCATGATACGACCGAGGAGACGAGGGCGATGGTGAGGCAGACTGGAAGCGATTTGAAGGCGATACTCGCTGCGAACCCGTCGCACGCAGGAGGTACGTGAGCCCGAGGCGAGCCACGAGGCGAGTGCAGTGTAATACCGAGGGAAGCGAGGACGAACCCAGTGAGTGCGAGCGGAGCGAGCCACATTGCGCCAGAGGCGCATTACTCCCCTGACCACGGGCTCTTGGCGAGCATCAGCGAGCGTCAGATCTTTTGCGAGCAGAGCGAGCACCATCAAGCCTCCCCTTACATCGTTCTCAGTGTGAGCGACAGCGAACGGTCATTCTTCACAACGCACAGTGATTGATGATGCTTGATGGTCAATGAATGGTTGATGGGGTTGATGATGCTTGATGGTCGATGGGTTATAATGGCTGACCCAACCCACGCTTCGCTCCATTCCCAGGCGACACCTACACGCACCGGCAACGCAAAATGGCGCAACAAAAGCTTCAAAAGGACTTTGAACAAGTCCTCAAACGGTTCCAACTGGTCTCCAAACAAGCCGCCGAAAAATCCCGCGAGTACGTCTCCCTCGCCAAAGCCGCCCACACGCACGCCGCAGATGGGTTCCCCCCCGACGTCGACGTTGAGGATGCAGACGAGGGCCAGCCGCTGATGGCGGCGCATCAGAGACAGCAGCTGGTGGTGCTGGACAATGAGATTGAGTTTAATGAGGCGTTGATTGCGGAGAGGGAACAGGATTTGAAGGGGATTGAGCAGAGTATCGCGGAGGTGAATGAGATCTTTAGGGATCTGGGGACGATGGTGCATGAGCAGCAGTATATGCTTGGTGAGTAAGCGCATCGCAGGCCCCAACATCCTTGTCGCGAGCGGGAGCGAGGCAGTGTATCATTCCATTCATCACCCCTAATTAACTTCATCCATCATTCTAACCCCCCCTCGCAATACAGACAACATCGAATCCAACGTCCAAGCCGTAGAAATCAACCTCGAGAACGCCACGGGGGAACTACGGACCGCGGACCGGTACCAGCGCTCGGCACGCAACAAGCTGTGCTGCATCATGGTCGTTGTCGCGATCGTCGTGCTTGTGGTTGTCTTGATTTTGATCTCGTAGGGTGGGGACGGTGGCATCACCCCAACGCTCGACCCGACACGACACCTACGTCCCGCATCACCGCGCAACCCCAGATTCCTCTTCCCAGTTGAATTTCGACACGTGTTACATTCACGCAGAATCCCGATGGGGTGGTGGTGTACCCACCTCACAGATAGCTCGCGAGACGAGACGGTAATGAACAATGCAGGCGAAAACATCACGCCCCGAATCTGCTTCGAGCGCGGTTAAGTACTGTACACCCAACCATCGCTGCACCGCACGTCCATGACGCCCCGTCCCGCCCTTGCCCGGGTTGTCTTTTTTCACACCCCCCTTTTTTTCCCTGCACCCACACAATCCCGTCCCGTCGTTCCCTCGTTTCGCAAAACAAAAAGTTCTACGCCCCCCCCCCCCCCCCCCATCACACGGCCTTCCAAACTTGTAAATCTATCATCCCCTCCCCCTCCCGCGTCCATGTTTCCTGTACATACAAAACAGTCCCAAAAAAAAGTTGAAGCACCGCGGGGTCTCTTGTCTTCTGCCCTTACGATCCCCTCCTAGTCTGCGTCATGAGCCATTTCTCAAGCGTCCGGTAGCCCCCCATCCATACCGCCCACCCACGCCTCGAGACACCGCCCCAACACCCGCCACCGCCGCCACATCCCCACGAACGCGTCGCGGCCGAGCTCGCGCTCGATTTCGCCGCGGCGGCGCAGGAGGCGGGTGAGGAAGCGGTGGGGTGTCCGCGCTGTGTGTGGGCGGGAGGTGGCGTAGACGAGGCGGGTGAAGTGGAGGGCGCGGATTTTGGAGGGCCATGTGCCCCGGCTTGGTGGTTGGACTGATCTTGATGTGGACGTAGATGGCGATGGTGTGTATGCCGCGGTACGTATCTGACACTCGCGTTCAGCCGCCGGAGCCAATGATGCGGATACCTCTGCCGGTGGGGGTGGTGATGAGCCTGCTTCTGGGGATGACTTGGGGATGGCGGGTGGCGGTCGCGCACGGCACGGTGATGCATTGCGGGTGAGGTGATCTGCTTTCATCGTTGGGGAGCGGGGGGGGGGGGGCGCTTTGACCGTTTTTTTTTGAGTGAAGTGGGTGAGGTTCTGAATTGGAGCTAGCTTTTCCCCGTCATCCGATGCTCTGAAAGGGGAACTCGGATGGGGGTTTGGGGCGAAGGTGAATTCGACAACCCACCGCCCCGTCAAACAGGTCGGATCACGTCAGCAGGGGGTCGCGTCGTGCGTGACTCACAACGACATTGAATCTGGCGAGCAATCCCGCACCTTTTCCACAAAGGGAAGTCTTGGTTCAATGCAGCTGGATAGAGTCGGTTATCTTGCCGGTCATTACACCGCCGGTCATTTCGCATCACTGCCCCACGGCTCCATAACGAAGCTCTAGTCCTTTCGCGGTGGATTTGGGATCAAGTCCCCGGAGGTTGGTAGGGAATCATGACGACCAGGTCAGGCAAACAAAACGTACAGTACGGTAAGCATGCATCACCAAAGAGTGCCCGAGATTGCTCATTGCGGCCCACCCTTTGGCAATTTTTTTCCGATCTTGAAGCCACCCGATTTATCAGTTGGCAATCGATACCTACATGTTCATGGCGGTGATGGGCGGTGCTTTCGTTCCCCTTTCTGGTACTGGCAAAACGGGTGGTGGTCAGAATCGCCGCCGAGGGTCGCGCTCATCGGGTGGGGTTTGGGACGTCCTTTAAGCGTCGGAGGTGTGAGGACGCGACAAACGATTTCCTCCTCCTCCCGTGAAGACCTTTTCCCCTCCATCTGATGCTGTAGTGACCATTGTGTGATGCAGGGAGAGCCTGTGGGCCAGAGCCCGTGAGGGATTTCCATCTGCATAGACTGATTCATCATGAGGTGGGGAAGCCAGATCGCAAGAGTAACGAGAGGGGGGCGAGGGGAGTGGCTCCCACCCGAACGCGTCGTCCCCCATGTTCCGCTTGCTTGCTTCAAGCAAGCACATGCATGCAGCGGGACAGCTCCACTCCGTCGGCAACAAATCCACCCGGCACACCCAACCACCCCCACAACATGTCCCCCCACCGCCGCGTAGTAGTAACAGGCCTCGGCCTCGTCACCCCTCTCGGCACGGGTGTCGCCCACTCCTGGGAGCGCCTCATTGCTGCCCACTCCGGCATCGTGTCCCTAAACGGCCGCATACACCCGGAGACCGGGACGACCTATAACGGGATCCCGTCGCAGGTCGCTGCGTTGGTGCCGAAGCCGGGCGGCGTGCGGGGTGAGGAGGACGTCGGGGTTTTCAGGGTCGAGGAGTGGTTGACGAAAGCGGTGGGTATCGAGCGAGGACAATCGCGCCGGAGGTGCGGTGGGAATAGCATTGCGGATCACACCAGCCCCAACATCCTCGTCGTTGGGTATCGTTTTCAACCATCCGCTCAATCATCGCTTCGTTCCGTTCGTGTATCCCAATAGGAATCGCGGAACATGGCACCGTTCATGCACTACGCATCAAGCGTGGCACAACAGGCACTCACCGACGCGGGCTGGGAAACGAGGACAGCGCGTGACAAGGAACGGACAGGGGTGTGTTTCGGGTCCGGGATTGGGTGTCTGGAGGATATCGCTGCGACGGCGGCGTCGTTTTCAGAGAGTGTGAGTGAGTTGCGACCATTCTTGGGTGGGTGGGAATGATTGCTGATATTTGGAGTGTTACGGAAAACAGGGATTGAAAAAGATATCGCCCTACTTTGTTCCCAAAATCCTCATCAACCTCGCCGCGGGCCATATCAGCATGAAACACGGGCTTCAGGTTTGTTCACCCTTCCCTTGCTCTCATTCATTAGACATACAAGACATCTTATGTCTTTTCTAAGGGACCTAATCACGCTGCATCAACAGCCTGCACGACGGGCGCGCACTCCATAGGCGACGCGATGCGGTTTATCCAGTATGGGGACGCGGATGTGATGGTTGCGGGTGGGGCGGAGGCAAGTGTCTCGCCGTTGGCTATGGCTGGATTCGCCAAGTACGTATCCGCGCAGGGTCGGGTCGTTCACCCCAACTTCACCACAAGAACGAGCCGTCTTCATTTCTAAATCATTCCACGCCAAATAGATCCCGCGCTCTCTCTACAAAGTACAACCACGACCCCCCCTCCGCCTCCCGCCCCTTCGACTCCCACCGCGACGGGTTCGTCATCGGCGAAGGCGCCGGCTGCGTCGTCCTCGAATCCCTCGAGCACGCTACCAAGCGTAACGCCCGCATCTACGCCGAGATGCGCGGGTACGGCCTCTCCGGCGACGCGTTCCATATCACTGCACCCCCCGAGGACGGCAATGGCGCGGCGAGAGCGATGTGCAGGGCGTTGGAGACGGCGGGGATGAGGAGGGAGGAGGTGGATTATGTCAATGCGCATGCTACTAGTACCGGGTTGGGTAAGGCTCTTTCTCTTATGGGGGGCTTGTTATTTGTAACCTCACTGTGTGTGTGGGGGGGACTCTGGCCACGTTCCTGATCTTCTTGAATCAAACAGGGGATCTGGCGGAAACGAGAGCGATCAAGAGCGTGTTTGGACCCCATGCCGCCAACCTCGCCGTTTCATCCACCAAAAGCGCGATCGGACACCTGTTGGGTGCCGCGGGCGCCGTCGAGGCCATCTTTACCATTCTCGCCATCCACCACGTGCGTATTTCCCTTCCTCTCCTCGGCGTCCCCTGCATCATCGCCACCCCCGTCTTACTCACTAACCCCGCTGTGTATCCTCCTCATCAGAACATCCTCCCACCCACACTCAACCTCCACAATGCGTCCCCAGCGGAAGAGTTTTCCCTCGACTATGTGCCGCTTGAGGCGCGGAGGGTGACCAAGGAGGGAGGGGTGCGGGCGGCGTTGACGAATAGTTTTGGGTTTGGGGGGACGAATGCTTGCTTGGCTTTTGCGAAGTATTTGGGATAAGGGGTGGAGAGTGAGGGATGCGGATGGGGGTGGGTAGGGCAAGGGTAGGGTAGATATGGAGTAGGAGTATGCATGTAGGGGCGAGGCGACTGTCTGTCTGTGTATCTATGTGCCTCTCTTTGTGGAATGTTGCGCGTGCGGAAAGGCGGAGGGCGACGCGTGGAAGGCCCAAAGACTCCCAAAGCGCCCAAGGGCTTTCTCGCTCGGTCTCGGACAGAAGGCCCTAAGATCGCTTGCCGCCAGCGCAGGTGCCGCATCCCTCACGCCGAGCAGACGCACAAATGAAGAAACCAGCCCACATCCAGGCAAAAGAGGCCGCTGCCGCCTGGGACGCCTTCTTCGCCACCATGACTCAGGCCGACCCGCCAGCGAGTCCATCACCAGCGGAGACGCCACGATCGACTCGTCGGGGACAGCAGGTGAGTTCACGACAGCGCAACTCCCTCACAGCTCCTGTAGTCTCCATGTTCGAGCTGATAAGAAAAAACTTGCAGGTCCCGAAACGGGCGCACAACCCCGCTCCGTCCCATCCTCGCCGGGTGTCACCCTCACCACCATCCCCCCACCAGCCTCAAAAAGAAAACACAGCACCGACACCCACCCCCCGACGCCGCCTGAAGCCCACAACCGCCCGTCCCGTTCCCCATAGCTGGCGGGGTGGAAATGCGAAACACGCCGCTGGTGAGAGGGATATCGTGTTTTTGGACTTGACGGAGATCGAGGATACGGCCGCCGGACGTGGGGTTGGCGGGCAAGCGGGGAGCGATGATGGGGAGGAGGAGATGCGGCCGCGGGTGCGGAGACGGGGCCGGAAGACGAGGGTTGTTGATTCGGAGAGTGAGGAGAGTGGGGGGGATGGGGGTGGTGGGGCGGATGTCGGCGGCAAGGAAGCCAGGAGAGCGAGTGCGACGCGGATATGCACGAAAGCTGCGTCGATTGAAGTGATCGAGATCCTCTCCTCCGACGACGCATCGGACGTCGCGGCATCACAGGCGAACAACGCAAACCCTCAGTCACAATCCGCACACCCACCTCCCAAAAACCCCCCAATCCCCGTCCCATCAACCCCGCCGATCGCACCCGCCGAAGGACGGCTGTACCCCGATCCATGGGACGTAGACGACGTACCGCCAAGACTGGACGCACCAGCACGGTCTCCGGACACCTCACCAGGACCCTTGACCGACCCTCGTCCGCGGACCCACCACCGGGGGGGTAGGACGTCGCTGGAGTCATTGTCGCCAGTCTCATCAGAGTACTATTCGCTCTCTGACCGCTCCCACAGCCCGGCATCACCACCCACCCAAACACATGGCGCCTCCAAAAACGCGACCATCACCGACCCTCTCGACACCCTCGCCGACCACTTTAATGCCATGCGCGTGCAATTACCGCCTCATGTCCCGGATGACTGCCGAGAGCCCGCCGCAGATGTCATACAAAGCCCCACGAGATCGCACTCATCCGACCCGTTCGACAGTGACGGGATGGAGACGCTGATCCCCCGGAATGTGCGGATCAGCACGCCGCTCAAAACGGTCGCTGGATCGCAAGGTATGGTTCCACCCGTCAGCCCGAGCGGTAGCGCAAACTGAACCCTGATATCCGATTCATGGGTGGGGTCATATTCTTTTTTCTGTGTTTTTTTCGCAGGCTTCGTAAGCGTCCGCCGCCGCAAACACCGTCGCTCAGACCTCGACTCCTCGCTCGCCGCCACCAGCGTCCTCCACTCGTTCCGCCAATCCATCCGCGCCGTATCGCCTTTGCGTGGCGAGACCTTTACACCCACGCATAAACCTGCATCCCCACCGGCCGCGGATACATTACCGACGCGGGATGAGGGGGGTGTGAGGAGAGAGTCGTTTATGTGCATGGATGCGACGTTGGGGGAGATTTCGCCGATTGGTGGGGGCGGGGTGTCGTTTATGTTGGAGAGGGAGGAGTTTGAGACGGGGGTCGGGTCGCCGTTGGGGGGGCGGGGGGAGGCGAGGGAGCTGGGCGAGAATGAGAGCGTAGCAGGGGATGCGGGCGATGAAGCGCGTTGGAAGGTCGCAATGGACGACTCGGCGCGGGTTTCCTATCCATCTGCGGCGGTGCCCGCCGGGCGCGATGCGCGGACAGCCCCGTCGCTGCAGGGAACGATAGGGCAGCAGCACCTTACACGTGCGCTGCCATCGCTTGCCGTCCCACCCAACGCGGCCGGACCGGATCCGACGGCCATGGACGACCTCGAAAAACTGATGGGATCAATTCATATCAATACACCACAGACGGAGGTTGTGGCCGTTACCGACGAGGAAGAGGAAGCGGACGAAGATGACGATGACGATAGTCTGCGGGGCGTCATTGTATTGTAAGGGCCATCTTTCCCACCAACGATGGCGCGGCGCGGGCAGGCAGAGTAACCGAGCTGATGCGGAATTGGGTTTTTTGCTTTAGTGAAGGAACACCCACAAAACCGATACCGAGAAAAAACGTCCGCGAGTCGTTGTGGGATATCGTGCCGCCCGCTACGCCCACACGACGGCCGCTCGCCACCCTCAACACCCCCAGTAAGGCAAAACCCCCACCTCTGCTCCCCAATGCCCCCGCCGCTGTCTCTCACCTCCCCCCCCCCCCCCCCCCCCCCCCCCTCCCAGCTAACCTCACTCCCTCAACAGCCGCGCCAACCCCGTCAACAACCTTCGCCCGCAAACGCGCCGCGCTGACAACAGCGCTGTACCAAGAATTCAACAAGACGGTTTTCGGGGCCCAATTACCCCCCGACATGTCCGTCACCTGGTCCAAACGCCTCACGAAGACGGCGGGCCGCTGTTTCCAGGAGAAGCGGCTGGTCGGGGGCGCGACGGTGTATTCCGCGCGGGTGGAGTTGTCGGTTAAGGTTGTTGACGATCTGGGTACGTTTTTTTCCTTTGCCTCATATTCCCAACATCCGACCTTCGATGATGACCGTGATGGTTTTGGGGGATCGTCAAGCCAAGCTCCGCAACACGCTGATGCACGAGCTCTGCCACGCGGCCCAATGGCTGCTCAACCACACGAGCAGGCCGCCCCACGGCCCCGAGTTCAGGCACTGGGGCCGCCGCGCAGAGGAAGCGTACCCGGACATTGTGTGCCAGACCTGCCACTCCTACGACATTGCGTACCGGTTCCATTGGCGGTGTGTGCGGTGTGGCGTCCGGTATGTGGTTGTCAGTCATGTATCCCGGGGGGGTATGGTGACTTAGCCGGGTGCGGCTTTCTGTGCAGGTACGGCCGACATAGTCGATCGATCAACACGGAGACGCAGGCGTGTGGCGGGTGCGGCGGGCGGTTGGAGATGGAGGGCGATGCTGCTGCTGCCTCCGCGGCCGGGTCGCCGAGGCTGAAGAAGGATGGGACGCCGTTCAAGATGAATCGGTTTGCGTTGTTTGTCAAGGTAATGGATGCGTGGGTGGGGGCTTTTGGGGGTGTATACTACCCGGGGGGTTGTTAACGCACGAGGTTTTTCGCTGTGGACAGGAGAACTTTGCGACTGTGAAAACAGCCAACCCGCACCTCCGCCAACGCGAGCTGATGGCCCTCCTTGGGAAGATGTTTCGGGAGCAGCACCCCGGAGATCCTGGGACGCCTCGGGGGACATAACGTCTTTTACAATTCAGCTCATCTCGTCTGGTGTTGGGCAGTGGACGATGGATTGATAATACAATATATAGAAAGTGTGGGGACATAACGTTAATGCTAGACAAAGTGGGAGACATTGTGGATATGGGGGGGTTGATACTAGATGTACGTGACGGTTTGAAAAATAGATATGTGGGTGGGGATGCCGGGAACATATGATGTGAGGGGGGATGAGGCTGCTACCGATTTCTGGAAGAATGCTAGACGGGAGCTTTTCATTCGCTTGCTTCAAGCGGTGGTGGCCGCCGGCGCACATTTCGTGCATTTACAGTGGAACGCGTACTACAAAAGAAAAGAAAGAAAAAAACGACATCAGAATCCCCACTCTTCAGAAACCACCCCTCACCAGTCGGGCCCCCCTCTCCGAACACCCACAAACGGGATACTCACATATTTCTTCAACCCCTTCCTCCTCTCACCCGTCCTCTCCTCCCCGGCCTCAATCCAGCTCACAAACACCTCCTCACCCACTCGCACATCCCTCAGCGCCACCAGCGCCGCCTCACGGTCCGCACCGGGGAACACGAGTTCCGCGTTGGGTGCGCAGGAGTGGGAGATGAATGCCGGGGTTTGGTAGAGGCCGGTGCCGGTGCGGGTTGTGGGCGGGTGGGATGTGCGGAGGTGTTCTGCGGGCACGAGAGGGGTGGTGAGCGAGGGAACGGAGGGGGTGTGGATGGAGTAGGCGTTGTAGGCGAGTTTGGATTTGATGACGGTGTAGCGTTCCGGGGTGAGGACTGTGTGTGGGGGACGGAAATGTCGGTTAGTCAAGATGTGGGCGGAGGAGATATCTGTGAGAACAGCGAGCGACTGTTTACATTCGTCGAAACCGGGGGTTTTGGGCGCGATGATCTTTTGCAGGAGTTCGACTTCCTTTGTCTCGGCGTCGGACGGTTTGAGTTTCAGATCGAAGAGGCGTTCCAAGTGATCTGCAACGGAACGGAATTGCCCCACGGAAGCGGGGCGGGGGGAAGGAGAGTAAGTACATCGCCGATTCCGAAGAAAACCTCATCGTGGTCCCTCACCCCAAGCGGTATACTTCGCCCTCGTCGCTTCAGGGTCCCTCTGCGGCTTAACCTGCTCCTCAAACACCATCCTGCTCAAAAATTTGGCAACCAGAACCGGCACAACTACATTCCTCTCCCTGCAATACTCCAAGAACTCCTGTGCGGCCGGACCCGTTGTATCGTCGCCGGGGCAGAGGAAGCCGTGGTACTCGTCGTGAGCGGTGGAGAGGCAGGTGGGGGTGCAGTAGCGGGCGGTGGCGCATTTGGGGCAGGCGGTGGGGGTGGGCGGGAGGGGGAGGGTGCAGTGGGCGCAGTGGTCGTCGAGCTGTGGTTCAAACGGAGAGTTATAGATGAGGACTTCGCTGGGGTTTCGGCAGGGTTGCGATTTAGTTTAACGATACCTCGCAATGTGATACGATCGGCTGTACACGGAAGATCTCCTCGCCGGATTTCACGTCCTTGGTCACTGTGAGACCTCGCCTGATGATTTTCTTTCCGGACTCGGTGGTGGACATGGTGACTTCCTTAATTTGGACGTTTTCTTTCGGGTCGGGGTAGTTTTGGAAGTCTAGGTGTTTGTGGATGCGAGGTCGTCAGTCAAAGATCACATATCTGGCTGCTATCTGCGGGCCAAGGACTTACATTCAGCTTGCGTTTTCTTGATCTGAGATGATGAGGGCGATCGTAATGTAGCCAAAGAATAGATGCGAGATGAACCATAGACGTAAAAGAGAGTGGGGACGGAAGAAGAACGAGAAAAAGGCATTGAGTTAGATTTGACTGATTTGCAAGATTGTTTATTTGAATACAGGTGCATTGCAGAGGGAACATGTACAAAGTGATACGCCGTGCGAAGCGAAGCTTCTGATCCAGTCACTACGTAACTAAACCAAACTCCTTCCTTAAATAATGCGCATCACGGAGTCGGGGGATGTTTCGATCGTATTCCCCCGGGGTAAGACTATGTCTACCTCGCTTCTCGTTTTACTCTATGTCGACCTCCTCCAACGTCGGGCCTGTCCGTTGAGGCCCGCCAAGCCCTTCCGCACTTACTTCCGCGGCATACATCTCCATGATCAGGCTCATGACGGGTTCAGGCACGGTTTGTTGGAGGACCATTAGGAGGTTCATGGGCTCGCCGTAGGCTTGGAGCGCGCGGAAAAGGCATTTTGCTGCCGCAACGTGCATTTGTGGGCCTGGATGGTCACATAGGTGTGTGTGAGCGATTGACGAACGTCATTGACTTATTTCTCGCTTCAAACTCACCTCTTTGCACAAGAGCTTCACCCATCTGCAGGTGCTTCACGAAGAACTCTCCCCGCTCTTGGGGGTCCGATGGAATGGGCTCGTCCAAGTTCAAACCCCCTCCCATGCTTGCAAAGCTTTGTTCTTTTGGTGCCTTCGGCGCCGAGTGAGCATTGGCCCTCTTTGCTTGCTCTGCAGCCTTCCTCTGTTTCCCTGTAAACGACGTAGGCGTTGTCAACAATGTGCAACCACCGCTAGGGTTCCCACCCAACCGTAGATCTTTCGTCCACTTCGGTAGGGAGAAAAACATCCTTTCTACGTACTCAGCTTCCTCCTGAAGGCGGGGTCGTTGTGCCTCTTCTGGTCAAAGTACACGAGGTATCCGACGGCGGCAACACCGGTAACTACGGCTGCCGTGATTGCAAAGTTGTTCAGACCCATTTTGATGTTCGTAGTGTGTGAAATGGCTCCGAGCGGGTGATGTCTGAAACAGCAAGCCTTTGAGGACAGTGCAAAGCGGGAAGGCGAATAGCAGTCGTATCTACCAGTTGCTGAGCAGCGCTGCGAACCTTGCCCGCCTGCGTGTGTGCTTGAGGTATTTTCCGATGCGGTAGATCCGATGCCCGACCAAGACGGTTGCAGCCTTTGCAGCAAGCCGGCGTCCCCTCGCCCAATTCAACGTCACACCCCAAGCGCCACGCTTACATAATCGCCCAACCCTGCGCTTTCGTTCTCCTCCGACTGCCTGCAAAATAGTCCCTCCATTTCCCTCCATACTCAAGAAGCAAACTTCAGTCGCGGATGCTAAGCTCCGTGCATACATCGCCGCAATGGCCTTTTGACGCATCGCCGCGACAGCTTGGATGACACGTCGACTTTGGAAACGTCGTCGATACTCTCGGCACGAAAACGGAAGAATGTGAATGTCATCCGCTCTACGAGGACGTGTCTGGACTAAAGAACTTTGGAAGGATGCTCTGGGTCACATTGATTGAAGCTCGATTCACCGGAGTCTGTCACAGCAACCATCAGAGTCTCTTGGCTTCAGTTTCGCGAGGTTCACTTCAAGTAGCGTATTGAGATCAAGTGACATGCAAATCAACGGGGTAGGCTGCAACGGAGCATAGTTGGATTGCATTGCTCGATGTCAGTATGCTACTTCTCGTGACGGGAAAGGACGTTGTATATGTTAGAAAGGGCACCGTCGGGATAGCCCAAGGCGATGCTCGGAGCACCACTTGGCGAGGGCCATGAACTCGCTGCAGCGGTCCTCGCACAGAATGTGCAGATGTGCAGTGTCGAAGGTGGTTTCTAAACCGTGCCCAAACGCAGCCAATGAGGTCTGCGCGCTTACGTAACATTAGTAATGGGCGAGAGCGTTCGGAATTTGCGCTTCAACTTCCCACCTGCGCTGAGCGTCCACGTTTGCAATCCCCACACTACATACAACTTACAAGTAGAAAAGACCGAGAACCTCAGGGTAACGCCCTTTGTGTATATAGTGACATATAGCGTAGTCGCAGGCGGAACCGATTCGAAAGTGCTCACATTCAGATCCGCAAAAAAAAGTCGTTCATATCTCTACCACCTCGAATCCACGCATCGCAATGTCGCCCTCCGCCTCCGCACCACAACGGTCGTCAGACCACAAAGACGAACCCTCCACATCTCCCACCACCACCCCCGACACCCCCGCCGCCACCGTAATAGACGCCAAAGCCACCGAATCCTCCCAAGAAGACGCCTACGACCCCGAAACCGGCGAGATAAATTGGGACTGCCCGTGTCTCGAGAACATGACCAAGCCGCCGTGCGGGGACTCGTTCAAGGCCGCGTTCTCGTGTTTTGTGTACTCGAAGGAGGAGCCGAAGGGGTCGGACTGTTTGGAGCAGTTTAGGGAGATGCAGAAGTGTTTTAGGGATCACCCGGATATTTATGGGGCTGAATTGGAGGATGATGACGATGACGAGGAGGATGAGGACGAGGAGGAGAAGGAGGAGAGGAAGGGTGATGAGAAGAAGGAGGAGCAGGCGTCGGCTTCTCGCTAGATTTTTAGATGTCGGCGTCATAAGTCGTCACCTGGCTCCTACGCATTGCATCGACACAACCAGCAATCAGCTCTATCATACGACAAAGTAGACAGCCCCGTAACCATCATTTTTGCGTATCAACAAACTCCGTGTACACGTATTCTCTATATATATATATCTGTTCGAGAGTGTGCGCATTGCGACGGAAATCAGATGCATGTATACAGTAATGGCCACCTTGATGCTCAATGGTATCGCAGTTGGTAGCTTGCAAATTCAGCCTCTATCACGATGGGCACGGAAATCATGAACGGTATTCCCCGGGCCTCTGACTGTGCGATTCTTGTAGTTCCGTGTCATCCAGCAGCGGGACGGTCGATTGGCTAACCGAGCTCAAAATCCATATTATCGAATCCAGCATTCGATGCATCTTTATCTACAATTCTCTCAAGATTTGGGTGTATGGCAAATGCTCCAAATGGGCATGCGAGTAAAAGAAGCGTTACGGTGTGTGTTGGCGGATGTTATTGTGAGGTTTAGACATTCGGCCTATTGGCGTCCAGCGATCGGTCCTCGAGAGAGACGGAGACAAAGCTCTGTCTAGATCACTCAGAAAGTCTTCGATCTTTTCCATTGCTCAGCGAAGATAACGTGTCGTATTTTGCATCCACCACCAGGGCTTTGAACCGGTGCAGCCCGTGCGGTGAGTTCGCGGTGCATAACAACCTCGATCATTGAAACCCCGCTCGGTATGCAGGACCATTGGGAAGCAAGAATCTGCATCCCGAGCGGTTTTCAGGGCTCCTTGCGAGCGATTTGGGGCCACAGGTACATCAACAAGAAAGAATAACTGCCATCGTCTTCCCCGAACCAGTGGGGCCCATGATAAGTAGTTAGTCACACCCGATGTCTCGCACTTGCAGGAGTTCGGCGCGGGGGCCCGTATACCGGTCGTCTTCTCCATTGAGGGACGTGGCTGCTATAGTGGGCTCACTCGTATACGGGCTCCTGCGTTGGGTCTCCACCCTGAGTCGATCGGTAGCCCAATCTGCTCGGCGTCCATCGCATTCTCAGCAGTCATGTATCCAACCCACTCCCCGCGATTCGAACGCATACAGCTCAGCTGGTCCGGATGGGCTTGCCCCTATGCGGCAATTATATGTAGCTTCGCGAATTACCCCAAGCTGGGTAGTCGTAGAGTTCCAGCGCTTCCGTTGCTGCTGGTGGTGACATCTCTCTGGCCTGTACACAGGGGTGCTGAGGGTGTGGCGCTGTGGACGAGCACGCAGGTCTTCTAGGACCCGTTGTTCCTTCGCTGCCCGTCGTTGCGCATCCTTCTCTCTGTCAGCTTCGGCGTCGGCTATATATACCGCGCACATGCTGTTGGAACATGGCCAAGTTTCGTGCTTTGAATTCCGGCTATCGTTGCTTTGCGCAGCCAAAACACATCCCGCCGTATGTCGCTGGTAGCAAAGAGGACAAGCGAACTGCAATGTAGCATATGTATTGTACATACAGTATATAGCACGCGGATACACGCAAAAATGGTTTTGGAAAGGGATGTCCATTGCGCTTGAGTTCCTCCACGCCAACGTGCCCAACGCCTGCCCAACGCCGCAATCCCAGTCGACGACCCCCAGACGACCGCCTCACAGACGCGGACAGAGAAGGCCGCTGCTTCCTCTCCCGCTGCCCTCATCTGCGCTGCCGTTGCCTCCGCTGCCTTCGCCTTCACCTCCCGTCCCGATCGGCTTCTTCTTCTGCCCCATAGCTCTCTAGGGAAAGGCGACATCCCGCTGGCCTCCACGGTCAAAAACCTCCTCGCCCATATTCACGCACACCGAAAAATGATAGACTACCTCTCGCATATCCTTCGCACCTACCACCATGCCACCCGCTACCGCCCAGACGATTCGTACACGTCGCTCACCCTCGACTCTCGTTGCATCCTCGATTTTCCGGTCCCGCGCGGACTCAGCGTCACGCTGGGGAAATGCATCTCGCCGGAATTGAAGGCGTCTTATACCGTGGGGATACCCAACATACGGAGCGCAGGGTTTTTGTTTACGAGCTTGCCAGTTGCCGGGGAGGTCGGAGCGTTGTGGGGGGACAATGAGGGGGATGGGGAGGGGGGCTTGCTGGGCATGGACAGGGAGAGGGAGAGGGAAAGGGGGACTACGGAGGTGAAGGTTGTTTCGACGGTCAACAGAGAGGAGGGTGGGAATGAACTGCCTGCAAATGCAGCAGCCGTGGCGCTGGATCTTGATGCGCGAGACATATCAACCCACGACAAGGCGGAGACGGAGACAAAGAAGTATCTCCTTTACGGCCGAATCTTTGAGGATCTCCGCCTGGAAGCCATGTACATCCGCTCGCTGTCACAACGTACACATTTTGTTGCGTCAGGTGTAAACTCCTGGCGGCGGGCACCAAACGGAGCCAGTTCAGTAGGTATTCAACGAAAACGTCCACACTACATGATCATCTCCACTCACATCTACCTTTGATAGATAAGCGCACAGTTACTTCATGCAGGTGAATCCTACAACGCGGGGCTGAGTTGGACGTCGGATGACCAGGTGTTGGGGGTCAGCGGGTTGTTCCGGTTTGGGAACACTGGGTGGGCAGCTGGATCTGAGGTGTGTTATACCGCCAAGGAGAAAAGCGGTGGTCGTATGTATTCTGATTTGTTCGTCACCCCAAATGGATATGCAAATCTCATGGCTCTTCCTTTCTATCACCCAGTCTCATTTGGCGCCCGCTACAAATCCCTCGCTCCCTCCCGGCAACCACCATTATCCACGTCACCTTATCCACCACATGCCGTGAGATCCGCCCTAACATTCCTCGCCAACCCCATCATGGGCCACTTCAGCACCAGCTACACCACCACCGTCCGGTCCGGACTGACCATGTCAACACGTTACGATATCAATGTGTACAGCTATGAGGCCGATCTTGCGGTCGGGTTGGAGTACTTGAGGAAGGATAGGAGTCAGATGGTTAAGGCCAGGGTTAGCTTGGTTGAGGTGAGTCTTGCTGAAAGTCATACTCTCTTTGGTGAAAGGTCTCGGATATTGACTTTCCGACACTATGGATCAGGGCCTGGCACTGAAACTGGAAGGCCAGTATAGACGAGCCTTGCTTAGTATTGGCTTGATGACGGAGTTTGCACGGAATCCCCGGCGGTCGATCGGGATAGAGTTGCAGGTTTCATAAACCTGACGGACTGCTGCTCGGGTCCGCTCGGCTCGGCAGTCTGAGCGGCATACCACCCGGGACTGACTGACCACATCGCGAGCTCCCCCTACGGCAGCGTTCGTCCGCTACAATAGCGATGAGGCCAGACTGCTTAATTGTGAGATAGGTCCGAGGTGTGAGCACGGCGGACGGGGTTGAGGCGTTCCGCAGATCGGACTGTGGAGAGCGCCGAGCGTCGACCAGGTCCTCCTCCGTCTCGCCGAGTGAGTTGTTGATCCCCTACTAGACGCAGTGCCTTATTGGATGATTGGTTGGATGTGGGATGGTGGGATGGTGGTGTTGGTGAAACGTTACCGGGCCTGTGAGCCGGGAGCACATGGCGGCGGCGGCGGCAAACAGCAAGAGCGCCGAGTGAAATGGTGACAGTGGCTCCCAACCTGCGAGTACACTGATAGAAGCGCTGAGTCGGTATCTCGCGCAGACCACTGTATCGCTCCCTTCCTCCACTGTATATCGCTCCCTCCCTCCGCCAGTCCACCGTCGTCTTCACATTCAAGCGCGTCGCCGACGATGTGTACCGAGTGCTTTGAATCATCTTCAACTTCTTGTCGGCTAGTGGCCAGTGAATGTATAACCGCATATGGTCGACGAGATGCATTTTCACGTTCGTGCTTATATTGGTCCAGACGGATGTAGCTACGTACAGTACGCGCAAGTGTTTTGGATCGATTGTGCTGGATTTCCTCGGTCACCAAACACCTCTCAAACCAGGAGATGTGGATGAACATACCACAGTGTGTTAGGCTTGTAAACCGGTGTTGGGTCGGGCATTTGAAGAGCCGTTCGCCCTCACGGAGGAGGTCGTCGCGATGTCTCTTGGTCCAGATTGGGGATGGAATGGGTTTCTCGGAGGTTGAGTTGACTCGAGAAGAATTGTTCGGCTCTCCAGATCCAGAACTGGGCATGGATAGAACGATGCACCGGTTCCCCGGAATGTCTCTCGCTCGACGTGGTGTCGATTGGCCCCCGTGTATTTCGCAAGATGGCCTCCTGCAAAGGGAAAGAAGGTCAAAAGTTCCGACCACCCCATGCATGTGTCGATCCCCGCCTGCGTTGCGCCGCGGCGGTGTCGAAATCAACGGAGCGATCGGCCCATTTGTCACTTCTGAGTTGAGTTGAGCGAGTGAGTTGAGGTCACGCGGCGGACGACGGACGGACGCAGCAAACATCCCACCCGTTCCACCTTTCCACCTTCAACCCCCTCCCCCCTCCCTCCCAACCTCCCACAGATAAGCTATCTCCCACCCACAGTAATAAGAGGCCGTCTCAGTTGAATGCAGCGCATCCTCGCAATACATAACCATCTCAAGGACCCTCCCAATCCCTCCTCATCACTCTCGCTACCAACTCCCACTTCACACCAACCCGAACACCAACCGGAACACCAACCGAGCATGATGGTCCAATCCAACACTACCCCGGAAGTCTACATCGTCTCCGCCGTCCGCACTCCCATCGGCGGCTTCAACGGCTCCCTCGCCCCGCTCACCGCCGTCCAACTCGGCTCGATCGCAATCAAAGCCGCCGTCGAGAAATCCCGCGTGCCGGCCGACAAGATCGACGAAGTGTTCTACGGCAATGTCCTGTCCGCCAACCTTGGCCAGAACCCCGCCCGACAAGCGGCGTTGGGTGCCGGGGTGCCGAACACGGTTCCCTGCACAACGGTGAACAAAGTGTGCGCATCCGGTGCCAAGGCGATCATTTTCGCCGCGCAGGCTATCTTGACCGGCACAGCTGAGGTGGTGGTTGCTGGTGGGATGGAGAGCATGTCCAACACGCCGTACTACCTACCTCAACAACGGTGGGGGTCCAAGTACGGACACCAGGGCATTATCGATGGGGTTTTGAAGGATGGGCTCACGGACGCTTATAACGAGCAACCGATGGGGATCGCGGGTGAGCTGTGTGCGAAGGACCACAGCATCTCCCGTCAGGAGCAGGACGACTACGCGATCAACTCGTACCAAAAAGCACAAGCCGCCACCGCCGCCGGCTACTTCAACGAGGAGATCGTGCCCGTCACCCTCCCCGGTGCTCGCGGCAAGCCAGGCAAAACAATCACAACCGACGATGAAGTCCCCAACCTCAACGTCGAAAAACTCCGCGCCGTCAAACCCGCCTTCCAGCCTCAAGACGGAACCGTCACCGCACCCAACGCATCCACCCTCTCCGACGGCGCCGCGGCTCTTGTCATCGTCTCCGCCGCCATCCTCGCGCAATACAACCTCAAACCGCTTGCCCGGATCCGCGGCTGGGCCGACGCCGCCCGCGAACCCGAACGCTTCACCACCGCTCCCGCCCTCGCGATCCCCAAAGCGCTCAAACATGCCTCTCTGTCTATCGACGCCATCGACGCCTTTGAGATCAACGAGGCCTTTTCAGTGGTTGCGATTGCCAATCAGCGGATTCTGAATATCGACCCAGCGAAGATTAATAAGTTTGGTGGTGCGGTGGCGATTGGACACCCGCTTGGATGCTCAGGGGCGAGGATTGTCGCGACGTTGATCAATGTGTTGAGGCAGAAGGGGGGCAAGTTGGGGGTTGCGGGGGTTTGCAATGGTGGAGGTGGGGCTAGCGCCGTTGTTATTGAGTTGTGCTGAGTGGGAGGGAGATAGAACATTGACGGTGTAGCAGCTTGTTTTATCATGACATTCGAAGTCCTATCATGTCTGTGTCATGTCTTCCTCAAAACCCACCATGTCGCCTTCTGTAACGTTCGATAGAACATGGCTTTCGCACTTCCGCATAATACGAGGTTGACCTTGGCACGAGTATCGCGTGGGTACTAGGTAGGAGAGGTAGGCGTGAGGTTGTGACCCAGCAAGATTCCCAGCTCCTACCGCAATCTCTGAAACCTCACGGTGACCGAGACCATTCCCACGAAGCAAACCTCATACATACATACCCAGGAAATAAGCGCACTTCACCTCCTTTGAACAAATGCATTGGTACCATCTCTGTTTCGAAGTCTTCCTCCCACAATCACATTCCGCCACAAGCCGATCCCAAAAGCTCGGCTTCCGCCAAACCAGCGATCTCACCCAGAGCTCCTACACGCCAGAGCACGACTACGCCCTACTGCCCTACCCCGACGACATCTTTGCCCCCAACCTCCTCACCAGCTACCGCATCGGGACCGTCGACAAGCAGCATATCCGGAAAGACAGAAAAGCGGCGAGGAAGAAACAGAAAGCTGAGGGAGCAAGGCTCAGCCGGACTGTGGAGAACAGCGGTGTTGCGTCGAGTCCGCGGAATACACCCGAGTTATACCGAAAAGGGCCCGCTCGATCGCGAGGCACCGATTGGAGGATAGGAGATTTGGCGATTGAGTGGTTCGATATGCTGGATCCGAGCGAAACAGTCGATGAGAGGGGAACATGCTCGGCGGATGAGCGGCGGCCGACTGTTGACTTTGAGGGAGTCAGAGACCGGCGGGGATCGAGGTCGAAGAGCGCTGACCCGCATCTGGAGCACGGGGAGATGAATGAGGAGATGGAGGTGCCTAGGAGACAGCGGACGAAATCATCCAAGAAGAGGCAAAAGCCGAGAACGGTGCCGACTAGTGGGGCGTATATACCCTTCAGGCATGGCAAGACGGAGCTGAATGCGGGAATCTTGCATTTGTATCGGGATCGGAATGAGGTTGAGAGTATCTTGGAGGAATCTGCGACACATCGGGACCCAGATGTAGATGGCCAGCCGTCTTCGGAGGAAATTGATTCTGCGCGCGGGACGGGCACAATCCTCTGCGTGCTCGCCGTCCCAGCCTACATGAGCGCGCAGGACTTCCTCACCTTCATCGGCTCCATGCGCGACGAGATGTCGCATCTGCGGATCGTGCGCGACTCGCTACCAAACCGATACATGGTTCTCATCAAGTTCAGATCCCGCGAAGCCGCCGACGTGTTTGTGCAGGAATATAACGGGAGGGAGTATAGCTCGCTGGAACCGGAGACGTGTCATGTCGTTTACATCAAATCGGTCGAGTTCAAGTCGCATGCTATTCCCCCGTACGCGTTTCCACCTATGCCCAACGATCCAAGTACTTTGTTCTTACCTAACCGGCTTACTATCGGTTCAGACGCATCAACGAAACAGGCTCCGGGCGGCATGTCAATGGCTCCAGAGGAAACGCCTGACGAGCACTCCCCACTCCGATCATCCAAATCGCCTGTCGGACCCGGCCTCCTCGAACTCCCAACCTGCCCCGTCTGTCTGGACAGAATGGACGCCTCAGTCAGCGGCCTGCTGACCATCGTCTGCCACCACACCTTCCACTGCCACTGTCTCGCCAAATGGGGCGACTCGTCCTGCCCCGTCTGTCGCTACTCCTCCCGCTTCTCGGCCGCGGGCCAGGATCCCGAGGACGACATGTCGAACGAGTGCATGGACTGCGGGTCGACGGATAACCTGTGGATCTGCCTGATTTGTGGGAATATTGGGTGTGGGAGGTATCAGGAGGGCCATGCGCAGGAGCATTTCACGGATACGCAGCACCTGTATGCTTTGGAGTTGGAGACGCAGCGGGTGTGGGATTATGCGGGGGATGGGTACGTCCATCGATTGATTCAGAACCGCACGGATGGCAAACTGGTCGAGTTGCCCGCACCGTCGCGCCCGGGCCGCATTGACGGCACCGATACCTCCGGCGGGTACGAGATGAACTCCCTGTCCACCGACGGGATGTCCTTCCGCAGCAACGGCGGCGGCGGCGGTTTCGGGGCAGGCGGCCCAGGCGAACCAGGCAACCGAAAAAATGGACTCACCGCCGAAAATGGAATCACGGCCGAAAAAATGGAATCCATCGGCCTCGAATACACCTACCTCCTCACCTCCCAGCTCGAATCCCAACGCACATGGTACCAGCAACAGCTCACCAAACTCGAGTCCTCCCTCATGGACCAGATAGCCGCCGTCATGGCTGCGCTCACACAGGCTCAAAAGGACCGCGACGTGGCCGTGACCACCGCGGAACAGATCTCGGAACAACTATCGCGCGTGGAGAAGGATAACCGCGCGTTGCAAACCCGACTCGCCAAACTGCTCACCCGCGCACTCGCGTCCGAAAAAGAAGCCCGCGAAGAAAAAGCCGTCAGCGCGTCGCTGCTGGAGAACCAGGCCGCGTACCAGGCGAAGCTAGCCCTGCGGGATCAAGCGTTGGAGGAGAAGGAAGGCGAGGCAGGGGAGTTGAGGGAGCAGGTGAGGGATCTGATGGCGTTTTTGGATATGAGGAGCCAGGTGGAAAACAGCGGCATGGGGGAGGTGATGGGGGCGTCGGTGGTGGGTGTTGCGCCCCCGCCGGTGCCGCCGACCGGGAGGAAGAAGGGGAAGGGGAGGAAGGGATAGCGGGGGATGGGTGTGAGGTTCTACCGTAGAGGGCCATTGTACATATTATAGTGTAGCTCCGGAAGCAGGGAGTTATTTCCATTGTTAATCACATCTTTTCCTGCCGGTCGTGGCCTTTAGCCCAACTGCTCAGATGTTGAACTTTGGCAAGCAGTGCAAACAGCCGGTCAATTTTCTTTCTGTGTACATCTCTCAACTAGGCAGTGCAGTGCCGTTTCCGTGGTATCTCGCCAAAGGGCAACTTGTGTAATCCGCTACAACCCTTTTGACGGATGATTGTCCTTTTTGAACGCAGAGAAGGAGCCGCCGGTACTAACTCACTCACTTTGCGGGACGTGGATATAAAACTGATTGGGGACGCAGATGGGTTGGGCATCAAGGGGGGCAGCACATCATGCACGGGCGCGGGGACGGCGGCGGCGCCGGCGTCGTTGATTTCAGGATTTGCCGGTGGGAGCAGCTGCGACGAGCTGAAGGGCAGCGACGAGGGCAGTTAGAACGGCTTGTGAACTTCAAGATGCCTGCTGGATGCGGTGATTATGTTGAAAGGAAGAGTGTGCTTGGTGAGGAACGAGGAAGCCCTGATATTCGCCCTCCTTAACTACTCGCAGATGAATCTGAAACGCTCCAGGGTCCTCGCAGGTTGCCCGCGGGCGGTGTTCGCCAGCAGGGTTTCGCCAGTCTAGAGGTTCAAACTGAAGAAGGGTTCACCAGATTCCACCCAACAACCGCGACCCCGTCAAATAAGCCAATTCCGAGTCTGTCCGTTGTTCAATCCGACTGATGAGGATGTTCGTGAACTCCGCGGGTCATGAACTCGCTCTCAGTAAGGTCTTTTGGTGCGGAGGACGTGCACAGAAAAAAGCCGCCAAAATCCACAGTAGAGACACTAATGGCAATGAACATGCCGTTTCGTTCATAACTTAGAATGCAACGGCGTCCTCATGGCCATGCCTTCATTTTCGGAGGTTTCGATTCTGACATGCATCACACATAGTTTTGACGTCCCTTTCCTGTATGTAGAGTCACGCCGCTGCATTCTGAGGCATGAACGAAACGGCATGTTTATTGCCATCAGTGTCTCTACTGTGGATTTTGGCGGCTTTTTTCTCATTGTACTGTAGACTGTAATGTACAGTCACGGTGTAGGAAAGTTGCAATAAGAGCGGAGTTTGTGCCCGCGGAGTTCATTGTCATTTGACAGCGGCCGCAGCTGCAGGCTCCACAACCCCCACAAACCCCACATTCGACGAGCGGGCCTCACCAGAGCACCTTCCTGTACATGGAGGCTGTGTTTTGTTCATTCTATAGTGTCTCCAGATGCGACGCCGCCTCTGCCAGTTGATGGCAGATGCTCTCACAGGGATCTTGCCGCCCCGAGTTCGGGAAGCCGAAGGGACCTGGCGATCCATCAGCCCAATCGAACATCTTTATGCGACCTTTTTTTTTTTGGAAACGTCGTTCGGTGGCCTCTGATGAGTCTCTTGACCTCTATTGAAGCTGAAGAGGCACCTTCATAGATCGTTACTGGCGTACAAAGGGCGCGTGTGTGCGTTGCAGGACATTTATTGCATTTGGGGTTCATCAGAATTCAGCCGCCGCTGTGAGCAGTAGCTACTAGCCAGCGTACACTGTAGAGAGGATGTCTCTTCCACTTCGCCCATGGCTTTGGTCCAATGCTTGGAATTTGAGGCCCGGAATGTCGATTATTTGATGGCGCGTTGCAGAAATTTCGCTCGCGAGACCTTTCCTTTCCATACACTTCACGCCGATCAACCTGCGAGCTCGGAAGGGTAAACGTGGTACAGTAACAGCCGAGATCTGTCCAGAGTCCAGCTCAGACAGATCCTATCCCGAGGCGGAGGCACGGTGTGGCACGCTGCTCACTGGTCACTGGTGTGCGTTTGGGGCCGGAGTTGGGGCCTCTCCCGATCACAGACTGCGCCGTCACGCCGTTGTAGGCACTCTGGGCGTCGCCCTGCTGACGAGGAGCTTTCAGCTCGATTGAGCTCGCGGGAAGCGGCGTGAGCCATCTTTCAGCCCCATACGGCGCTCCAGATCCACTGTGGTGTCGTTGCACAGATACGATACTCGTATCCCGGATCTCGTGCCAACAATGAGGGTCATTTTTTCCGAGGTTGTTCAACAGATTAAGATATAGTAAAAGTCCATCTGTTACAACGTTATGAGGCCGCAATGCAATATAACCTTACATAAACACAATTAACGTTCCAGTCGAACAACGAGCGTTGTGGCTTTTGCCCTTATCTCAGCCTGCCATGGAAGTTCCACAACCGCCAAATTCCGGTGGGCCTATCCGGTGTGCCGCTTAGCGAATTCCAGCAGTACCTGAAATTGGGTACATGACCGTGTCACAATAGCCAACACCTACGGACATCTAATGCTCACTGCTCAATAGGACAGGCGCTGTCTGGCTTATGGTAAGCGAGATCCATGGCGGTGCGCCCATGATTGGAGAGTGATCAATTTTCGCCTGCTGCCAGGGGTTCCGGGTGTTTTGTGTGAGACTACCGGTGTGCTGCTTTACCTATTAATTGTACCGGGGGGGGGGCGGTGGTCACACACAGCCCGCAATTTTTCGCTGTCAGTCGAGCGCTTTTTTTCTCCACTGGAAAAAACTGCTCCCAGATAGCGTTTGGGGTTAGCGGCTCCTGATTATCCCAAGATCCGCCGACACGCTTCGCATCATGAGTTGTGCGCAATAACGAAGGCATGGATGAATGGAGGACAATCACGAGAGACCGGCCTCAGCGGCCCCTGACACAGGGTTCGTCCCCAATTCCAAATCACAAGGCTTATCTCGCATCGCTCTGTTCCGCACTGGGAGCATTCCGGTCGCCCTGTGGAAGAACGCCCTCTGGAAGACCGCTGCCCCGAACGGCATATATAAAGCCCGGGTGGACTTGTCCACCATTCCCTCCCCAGGCTCGTTCACTACCCTATTTCCCACTTGTCGCCTCGGTTGGTTCATTTGCCAAAATGAGCGACGCTCACGCCGTCAACCAGGAGGCCGAACAAGTCACGGTTCAGCCCGCCGGCGACCAGAAGCCCATTCACCACCACGACAGCTCCGCAACCCTCGACGAGAAGGCCTTCGACGAGAAGAAGGACTTCGAGAACTACAAGCAAGGAGACATCGTCGAGGCCGGCGAGGTCGACGAGGAGTTCGATGAAATCGCCAGGAAGATCAACTCCGTCGTGCCACTCACCGATGACCCCAACGCCCCGCAAATGTCGTTCCGTGCGATGTTCTTGGGAACAATCTTCGGTTGCATCTTGTGCGCTTGCAACAACATCTTCGCTTTCAAGACCACTCAACTCATCATCCCCCCCACCGTCGCCGTTCTCCTCTCCTACCCTCTCGGTGTCTTCATGGCCAAGGCCCTCCCCCACACCAAGGTCTTCGGCTTGAACCTCAACCCCGGACCCTTCACCGTCAAGGAGCACGTCCTTGTCTCCATGATCGCTTCCGCTGCCGGTGGTGGTGGTGGTGGTATCCCATACGGCATGGACAACGTCGTCGCACAGAAGCTTATCGGCGGGCAGGACATCAAGTTCCTTCCTGCTCTCGCCTGGATTATCTGCTCCCAGTTCATGGGTTTCGGTTTCGCCGGTCTTTGCCGTCGGTTCATTATCTGGCCTCGTGAGATGATCTGGCCCGGAAACTTGTCACAGCTGGCTCTGTTCATGAGTTTCCACCAGACCTCGGAGGAGGCCGCCGCTGAGGGTGGCAAGTACCGCATGACCCGTTACAAGTTCTTCTGGATCGCTGTTATCTGCATCTTCGTTTACGAGTGGATCCCGCTGTACATCATGCCCGTTCTCCAAGTCGTCTCAATCCTTTGCTGGATTGCACCGCGGGACTCCTATGCTCGCATGTTCGGTTCCGCGTCTAACGGTCTCGGTTTCCTGACATTCGCTTTCGACTGGCAATACATCACCTCCACCTGGATGACTACTCCGTTCTTCGTCACCGTCCTCATGTCCATCGGTACCGTCATCTTCAGCTGGATTCTCCCCCTCATTATCTTCTACACTGAGCCCTATGAGCACGCCGGTCACCTCACGTCCGAAACCTATGTCGACGGTGACTTCGTGTTCCCCGACTTCAACACCGGAGGCCTCTACGACAAGGATGGCATGTACGTCAGCAAGAAGAAACTCTACATGGAAGGTTTCCGCACCAACGAGACCTTCGTCGCCGAGAAGGGTCCCTTCCGTATCTCCCCTTACTTCCTTATGAACTACGTCATGTCGTTCTTCAACTTGACCGCGCTTCTCTCCCACATCTACCTGTGGCACGGAGATGAACTTGTCAAGCACACCCGCGCCATGCTCAAGGGTGACGGTCGCCAAGGCAACGACGTCCACAACCGTATCATGCGGAACTACAGTGAAGTTCCCGACTGGGTGTACTTCACCATTCTCGGCGTCTTCTTCGTCGGTATGATCTTCGTCGGGGAGTTCACCGACTTCAGGATGCCCTGGTGGTCCGTGTTCCTCGCCACCGGAATCGCCGCCCTCTTCATGATTCCCATCGGTATCATTCAAGCCCTCACTGGTCTTCAGATCGGTCTCAACGTCGTCACCGAGTTCGTCATCGGGCTCATCCTCCCCGGTGAAGTCGTTACCGTCATTTGCTTTAAGTCCTTCGGTTACAATGTCATGATTCAGGCGATGTCCTTGTTGGCTGCCCTCAAGCTTGGTCACTACCTCCACATTGCCCCATGGTACATGTTGATCTCCCAGCTCTGGGGTACCCTTATCCAAGCCTTCCTCGGAACCGGTGTCACTTTCTGGATCATGGACGCCTGGAAGACCCGCATCCTGCACAACAACAACTGGATGGCGCAAGGTTACTCGCTCTTCTTCAACGCCGGTGCCATCTGGGGAGCCATTGCGCCCAAGCGATTCTTCTCCGGTCCTTTGGCCCACGCTTACTGGGCTTTCCCTCTCGGCATGATCTTGCCTTTCCTTCCATACTGGGCGAACAAGAGGTGGCCATCGAAGTTTTGGGTGTACATGAACTTCCCGGTCATCTCCATGTCCTACGGAACATGGGGTGCCGGTCTGCAAAACAACTACTTCTGGATGACCATTATCACCGGTTACATCTTCCAGTTCTACTTGTACCGCAACAAGTACGAGTGGTGGTCCAAGTACGTATTCTCTTTTTCACATGTTTTCGCGGCTGTTGGTCTGTGTTCCGAGTATTGACCCGAAACTTCTTTCCTTTAGGTACAACTACATCCTGGGTGCTGGTCTCGACACCGGCAACGCCATCGCCACTGTCGTCATTGCTTTCCTTTCATTCTCCGTCTTCTTCCCGGTGTGGAAGGGCAACCCGAACCCCGAGCTCGGCTACTACGACTACTGGTGTGTCAACCCCGAGTTGTGGAAGGTTCCTGACGCCCCTGCGGAATAGATCCGCACCTCTCACTCGTGAGCACAGTTGATTGACTCCGCTTGGGTAGCTGGTATCCCCATGTGTAGATAGCATCATTTGTATATGTACGAGAGCCTCCTTGTTCATCAATGGACATTAATATATCGTACGAGACCATATATCCTATCGCCGTAGTTTCGGTGAAGTTATGTTCCCTACTTTTGCACTCACCAGCGAAACTTCCAATTGTCGCCCGCTTCTATCATTTGCGACGACACTTCGAAAGAGTTCTCCGACAATGCTTAAACCTGACAAGTGGTGGGAAGAGCGTTTTACTGTTGGCAATTTGCCAAAGACTTCACTCGTACTGGCTCTTCCGAGCCTTTACGCACATGATGTTCTGAGACCAACGACTCCGACCAACCCATAACAATTCCTTGCTTGTCGGCCTCGGTCACCGCCGCGCCCACGGCAACATGAAGAAAGAAGAAGACCAATCCTCTGCAAAGTTGGCGACCTCGTCGCTTCCCGACGACACCGAATCGCTGTCGGACGTGGACGGGAGTTCACAACAAGGAAGTCAGGTATCCGGTTCTCGAGCGAACTTAGCACCATCTGCTATCGCTGATGAGAACAAAACAGAGATGCAATTGCTATGGGTGGGGCCGGGGTGCACGAAAAACATAACCCCGCGTCTCGTTCCCATACGCTCTCCCGGTGCCATCCGGTGAATGCGATTCTCAATCGAGGAGGATATATATACTCGCTAACCGCATCCAAATAAACGCGGCGTCGCGCTACAACTAAGCCTGCCGCGGTCGGCCTGGTTAGATCATACGCCGCTCTTCGAACTCTTAAGAGACTTTCCAGCATGAGTTGTCACCTCCGCCGTAATAGCGTGGTGAAGATTGGGCAAGAACAGTTCCGCCGTATCAGCAGCGTTCGGTCGTTCCGCCATGTCAGCAGCAATTAGAATTGTTACGACATCTGGTCGTCGTCCTCCGACTCTTCGTCCTCCGACTCGTCATCCCCTTTGCCAATCCCCCTGCCATCCCCGACGGGGCCAGATCCGCTTTGCAAGTGTGAGGTTGTTACTGGGGTGGGGTTCGCTGGCCAGTGCATGCAATGCCCTTGCTCGCTAAAGGCTATCCTCCAATCCCATATCCTCGCTCGTCGCTGCCCGAAACTGATGCGCTCAGGCGGATCCCATTCTCGCTGTCGACGGCGAAAAGCCTTGCTAAGCCTGGCTGGCTGTCAGCCATGAATTTCGAGCTTCTCGTTCCGCCTTCAAACCCTCCATGAAACAGAGCGAGCGCTCGTTGCTCACATCGCGCATCCGGCTCTCTTTCGCTCTCGCCCATTGAAAGTTTTTGGGTAGCAGAGGAAGGATGACGGTGAAAGCCGTTTTATTTCGTTGGGAAGAGGCATTGCGTTCAGATTTCTTTGTCTGGTCACCTCAACGACACTTGGAGAGAACTTCGAGACTGCTACATCTCTGTCGGATCAGATGCAACTCTGCACCAAGGGATAAGGCTGTGAGAGTTTTCGCCAATGACTGTAGATCAAGTGTTGTTCGGGACTTACGGTAACGTTTTACCATGAGGTGGAACTGCTTACTTGCTGAAATTACGCTTGCTGGACGAGTTCCTCCAGCTACCGATATGATCAGCGATGTGCACATTCCTAATTGCCAGCACGGAAGACCACTGATCAAGCCGCGCCCATACCTGGACATCAAGATACGCATCCTCTGCAGATGAACGTCGTTGTGCTCTGGACGAGGAAATCTTGCCAAGCGTTCCCATCCCGCTTCGTTGGGTTAAAAATGAAATGCGAAGAACGCCGAACCTGAACACTCTGGCACGTCTCAGGTGCAGGCTGCCATAAATCATGCAAGCCCTCTCTAGTGCAGTCCGAACCCTGTCGAAGTCCGTCAATCGCTGATCCCCCACGTGACAATGCGCTGTTTTTCTCTCTGGCATGTGGATTTCATTTCCCCCGTCTTGTTCGTGCGCTTTCGGCAGAAACGCGTCAAGCCCATTATCGTACACATCACTCCTTGAAGAAAGCCCACGTGAAGAAAGAGTGGCAGCTTCCAAGGGACAAGGCAGTGGGCACGATCGAAGCTGGACATGGATCTGGACATGGATGGGTTCGGACAAGGCGGCCAGTACTGCGTTGATGTTGAACAAGCAGCTCTGTTGATGTCGAAGCTCGCATTCGAGCACGCCATACCACAGGAAGAGTGAGTTGTATGGACCCTGCAGGGAGTACACTAATGGAGAGCGGAGAGACGTTGCATTTTCGGCACACCCACCCAACCATCCTTGAGGCCAACGGATGCCACCGACTGGGTCATCGCTGATGTGCCGCGTGGGGGCGGATGAAAGCGAGCTGCATGTGCATGTGCATTGTGCACATGCATGTGGGATGGAAGAAGCGAAAATTGTGCGGGGGATCGCGGAGAACTCCATGTGAACTTCTGACCTGCCAATGCATCGATACCAGTGCCTGGAGCTCCCTGAACATGAAGTCCCGGAAGCTTTCATTTGGGCAACCTGGCCAGGGCTCTCATCAGTCACAAGCCATGAGCCAGGTGTAATGTGAGCGCTGGGGTTGAGGAGCCGTTAGCCCATTTAGTGGGACCCGCAGCCAAAAACAGCAGCACGGGACACGAGGCAAAACACACACGGAACGCCCTTGCGCTGCGAATCCTTGGCTGCTGCAGGGCGAGTGGGTATGTGTACCACGACACGGGCGCGTGGTGAGTGCCGCCGTCACCAATGGCACAAGCGTAAAATGGAGGCATCTATGACAATCAGGCAGCGATCGGTCTCCGGGCGGGTGTCCTTTGCAGTCCCACCTTCCCACCTGCTTCGGGAAATCAAAGCACCCTTGGACTGACGGACCTCGAGGACGAAGAAACTTAACGCACACCCGTCCCGCAAACACAGGCCGGCCCACTCCGTCGCACGTACGCAAGAACCAGCGCAGTGAAGGGCTTCCGCGGTCAGGTCTTAACTTCGAAAAAATAGGGGGGTTTGCTCGTAAAAATCGAAAAGCGGGTGGGGAATCCGCATCTCTTGACGACAGCGTCCGTATACTACTTCTCGTCTTGAAGGGCTACCTACCTCTACGTCTCAAGAGGGGCTACAGACAGCTCTCCCAGGTAAGTAAGCCATGAACGCCAGCAATTCTGGTCTCGAGGCGGGAATGCCTTTACCTTTTCGACCCGTCACACTGAATCCGCTGGCTCTTTCTTCAGGCTGTGCGCCCAGTATTCCCGGAGAAGGTAGCTGTAGAACCTCCACGGCAGGACGCCTCTCAACTATATCAGCAGTGGTTTTGCTGAGTGACCATTCCAGCGCCATGGCTCAGAAAGCCACGCCAACATTACGACCCGTTCCGGATCAACGGAAATCAATTTTCAAAGCTCTATTTGGTGGAGCCGGAGGTGGAGAGGGGTCAGGCTCCTCAACAGCGTCTGCCGATGGGGAGAATTCGTTAACGTCACCACAGTCGCCGACTTCGGCTTCAGCTTGGGGAATGTCCTCAGCATCGCCATGGGAAAGTGCACTTTTTCCCGCGACGCAATCAAATGCACAGTCTGGATTTGGCGAGCCAGGATCTCAGGGTATTCACCCGGTTGGGATCGATGGAAATACTCAAGCGTCTTTAGCAAAGCCGTTTTCGGCGGCTGTCCACTCACCGGGACTGCTCGACGACGCAAACGCCTTCCTGCCCTCGATTCTAAACCGTGACACATCTGTAGATGACAACAACGACGTATGGAAGCTTTTCAGCAAAGTCAAAGAGGCGGTGCCAAATGGGGCGCGGCTCGAAAACATGACCTGGAGGTTGATGCATATGCAGAAAAAGAAGGAGAAGGAAAAAGAGAAAGCTGGAGAAAAGGATATGTCGGATGGGATGCAGAAAGCAGAGGGGGCGGAGTCGTCTATATCGGCAGACGCTAGTTCTCCGATGGCCTTCAATGTCGGTGGATCAGAAAGCGCCCAGCGGATGACCGTCACCTCGAACGGATCAGATTCAAAGAGCCAATTACATGCGTATCTTACCGAACAATCGTCGCAAGGCATGGATTTCGAGGCATTCTCTGACTCACCGAATGCGTCGGATATGGCTCGCGATTATGTGGGTTTCGGGAGTATGTCGGACGAAGGTGCATCTCGCAGAAACTCGGTTTCGTCCAACACTACTCGACCGTCTACAGCTTCTCCATTAGCCATAATGGAAGGCTCATTCCCAGAGATGTCCATGCTATCTGCATCGCTGGAAAGCCACTCGTTCACCAGACCCTCTGCGGAGAACAGCAGCACTTTCACTCCAGGAACTAGCGCTCCTGAACGCGCCTCGCCCTTGAAAAGGGGTGCAGCTCGTCGGACATCTGCAAGGAATTTGCATGAGTTCACGACCTGTAAGAACTGTGGGACGAATAAAACATCTCTGTGGAGGAGGAACCCGGACGGAGAACCATTATGTAATGCTTGCGGGTTGTTCTTCAAGCTGCATGGTGTGGATCGGCCCATCAGCCTGAAAACGGACGTCATCCGAACGCGGAACCGTGGGAAGGGGACGCAACCGAAGGGGAAGCAGCGTCGAGAAACGTCAGGGCCGAACAAGCCACCAGCGATTGCTAGTTTCCGAGAGACGTTGGGTGCCGGGGGTCTGCAGAATGGAGGAACCGCACCCACACTACTCCGGAGTATGAGTAGTCCGAATTTGGAGATGATGACGAATATACCCTCGGCGAACGGCACCGCGCATCCCATGAAATCAAGTACTCTCGGCCCTACATTGGGTCAGCCATTACGGCGGTCGCCTGTTGCGCAAGGGATTTCGACGATGCCAGGACCTCCGCGGTCACAGCTGACAGCGGGGTTGAGTTCGGCGTCTGCCGCCATGGCTGCACAGCAAATGATAGCCCAACACCAAATGCAACAGCAGGCACAGATGCACTCCGCTCTGTCAAGTGGACTAATAGGCCCGTATTCGATGCAGCATCAACAAACGATGGCGTATGATACATCACCCCTCCAAAGACATGCTCAGTTACGGCAAGGCGTGCTAATCGGCTCGCTTCCAGGCAATTCCAACACCATGCCTCTGAGCATAACACCAACGTACCACTCAAACTCCCTCCCCACCTCCGAATATCCGATTGTCATGTCTCCATCGTCCTTCGTTCAGCAGCGCTCGTCACCGATCATATCGCACCACGGCTTCCAAGTCGGGTCGCCAGCATCGGTGGCATCATCACCAGCATTCCAAACGAACTCCTTCCTGCAGATGGACGTGACGGGCTCGCCGCGGCACTTCCCGTCTTCTGAACCGGGCTCATTGTCCTCGAGTTTCGTTTCGGGGGGAGATTGGAGTCGGTCGTCGTCGCCGGGGTTTGGCCCAGCGGGATCCGCAACCGAACTGCCTGTGAATCTGTCATATGGAAACCTGCAGGACTCGGCGGCCTTTTCGTCGGCGTTCAACATCGGGGCTCAGCATGCGAACAGCTGGGCGCCTGGATTCCATCCGGGAATACACTCTGCGGCACCAGCCGCTGTGCAACCTGCTGCGAATCAGAATGGACAAAATGGTGGGGGCGCTGGCGGGCGGTCGGCTATGGGCTTCCACACGTCCCAATCGGCAGAGGGGCTGATGATGATGAGCTCTTCCATGCCAGAACATCAGTTCAATTTCCGTTCCCAGCAGCAACAACAGCAGCAGCAACAACAGCAGCAGCAACAACAGCAATCGTCGATGATGCAAGGTTACCCAGACGCGATGTCCGCAGCAAATTTCGCGGCCGCCGACCAAATCGCCAACGAATATCTCAACATGGATACCCTCTACTCCCAGCTGCAAGGCATGGACGAGCTGCAGCAGATGAACGGCATGTCGACCACCCTCGCCGCTGCCCAACCACCAGACGGCGGCCCACCGACCCCGACGTACGATTCGCACCAGCGGCAGCTATCGGCCGCGGCAAACGAAGGCATGCGGTCTTCGCCCGTCTCGTTTGGCGGATCTAAAGACGGGCTTATGCACCATCAGCAGCAGCAGAACGATAACGGGTTCAACCAGCGGCTGAGTGATTACACGTTTGGGATGTTACAGGAACAGTTTGCGGGGAGCACTGCTGGCGCGGACCCACCATTGCTGTCGGAGTTTGACAGGCTGTCGGAGGGCTTGGATGGTCGGTCGCTGGGAGGTGGGGCCGAGGCTCATGATGGGATGTTGGGCGCTTGGTAGCAGTACGCCCGAGAGACCTTGCGATCGTCCTTTCGATACCTCTCGACTCGACATGCGATCCCGACGGCGTGTGATAGGAATCCGTGATTTCCTGTCAAGCTTCCTCTCGGATGAGGGCCGCTCGCCAGGACCCTTTACAGAACGCTGCACGGCTTAGCGCCGCATCAGCAACACACGCCTCGCTCTCCTACCCTTCCCCACCCATTCCCTCCCTCAATCCCCCCCCCCCCCCCCCCCCCCCCCCTCCCTTATCATTGCATTCGTTCGGGCATGCATCCACCACCGCTTGTGACATATAGGTTTCCTTTTTTCGGACCGTTGTATATACCTGCTTCTTGCCCCCTTTTCCTTGCACAACCATCCCTCCACACCATCTGTTGGCTTTTCTTCCCCATCCCCGTCCGTGCTTCTCTTCTTTACATTATCAATTTAATGTGCTTGTTGGTGCAAAGTCTGAAAGCGAACGTTGACGGTATTCGACAGCGTGTTGGAGGGGTTTCCGCTCAAATAAACTTTCCGCAACACGCATGCAAAGGCTAGTTGGCCTCCAAGCTTCGATCGATCCCCCTCTCAGCGAAAACACCTTCTTACGATTAGAGAGCACAATAGACAAAAGAAACCCTATACGTTACGGTACTTATCCATAGCTTCAAGTCATTTCACTGAACGCTGCCGCCCCGTATTATCATCTTGAGAATCGCGTTCTGGGCTCGAAAAGACGGGCATTCAGGGGGCGGTTTTTTACGGGTCCCCTGCTACAACACAGACCTGCCAAACCTGAGAAACGCGCAAACCCTGTATTTGTGCCGTATGCACCGAGTGGATGTGCGATGCGACCAGGCCGTATGGGCGTATAAGCCCGTGGTTGGCGTCCGCAAGTTGCTGCAGCGTATAGCTTTCCGCTTTCGTGGATTTTCCCGAGATGGTTTCCTACGCGGCACTTTTGGCGGATCCTGTTCTGGGGTCGTTGAAGAGGCTGCTCTGCTTGGTTGTCGGCGGCGGTGGTTCGTTGTGAGGGGGAGAGTTGGTTGGGGATGCGCGTTCGACGTCTAAGACCGGCGTTGCAGGTGAGGTCGGCGCCCCCATCATACCGTAATGCGGCGGCAGGTACGCAACGATCTGACCGTCAACTTCCATTGCATGCAGGGCCCAACATCCCATCGACATCCGACGCAAACATCCTCACCGTACCTCGACTTCGAATACGTCGCCGGGTACGCCGCAAACTACACCCGGATGGTCGCCCCACGCCCGCGGCATCCCCACTGGCCCCATGGCAGACCACCAACACCAATGCCTCCCAAGCGCAATGGGACGACATCCGCAACGTCAGCAGCATGGGCGTCTCACCCCGCCGACGACCCGGGTGCATATCGTGTACAATTCTGCATGACGCGCAGCTGCAGTACTTGACCACGACCATTAACCAGCTGAATGCCGGCGGAGGCAGGTGCGGAGTTGGGATAGTTCGGGGTTCACGAATCCGGCTAGTATGTTGATGGGGACGGCGCTGGAGAACAGTGTTGGGTTTGGGCAGTTCGTGGCGGCGCCTACCGGCGCGTTACAGCCATTTTATCGGTCCGGGAATGCCAACAATGGGACCGTGAATCGGGCGGAGTATCCTGTGAATGGGACTACGGGGACGCAGACCAAGATGGGTACGTTTACGGGGGTGACGGGCACCTCCACTGCACCGAATGAAAACACTGCCGCGGACCCCATGACCCGTAGTCTCGTCCCGCACGGGTTCAACTATGCCCCGAACGCTCGGCTGCATGTCCTCGGCACCTGGCGCGAGAGCGTCTCCAACGGCGTCCGGTGCTACGACACAGGCAAACCCGTCCACAACACCGTCTACGTCTTTTTCCGACGATGGCGGCCGGAACTTAAAAGTCCGCGTAGCAGGCAACTCGGCAAGACATGGGTAGGCGCCACGACGGGGCGTGCTCTCCGTCGACGACGCCTACGCCGTCATCGCCACCTTCGGCCCCGACAACGGGCTCGCCAGCTACGAGTCCCAACCATCACATCGACCGGCGTGCCGATGGCACTCATCTACGCCCGCACCACCGTCCCCTCCTGCGTGACCGACTACACCGCGCAGCGCACGCAGTACGCGAAGACCTACCTCATCCGCCGGTCGGCGAGCAGCTCGACGATCTGGTGTAAGCCCGAGATCCCGTGCCTGATGGGCGACCCCCGCGCGCTCGCAGCTGGTTCTTGATACCTCAGATAATGCGTGTGTGGTCATGCCCCGGTGGCACGATCTACCGCGGCGAGTGCGGCGCCGACGGGACTCGGACTAGGGGCGCTGTTTTGCAATCAGACATCCCGTTTCGATCAATATCAACTCCCAGGCCCACTAAAAATACTAAAGTAGTCGATTAGTGAGTGTTGGTAAAAGGGTATTTTGAGCCGGCTATTCGATCGCCGTCGCGGGCCGGTCGATAATGTCATCCCGTTGCTTTATCAAGTTTATCAAGCGAAAGGTAGCCAAGTTGCGGACATTGCCATGAGGCCGTGATAGATGCGAAGGCATTCTAGGCAGTCCTTATAGCTCGGAAAGGGATACCCACGCATTCACAGCGATTAGAGGATCTGCGACGAAAGGTTTACGGCGGCTTCAATGCCCTCAACCCTGCCCGAATACAAATAGTCTACATGCCATTGCCAGAGAGGAGTAGGTAAAAGAAGAACATCATTTAAATGCGATTTGAACCATTGTTAGGACAATGATTGCCGCACAACAGAAAAAGGAAAAGCGTGAATGCGACGACCAGGGGTTGACCCATTGTTGCCCGTTAACGGAAAAAATGAAGAGCACCATTTAAATGACACACCCATTGCTGCTGCCAGCCGAAAAAAAAGAAAACATCATTTAAATGCCTATTGGTGGTATCGCCTATTGTTGCCGACCTGCGACGTACACAATCGCCTATTCGTGATCAAGCTGATGGAAATGCAGTTTTAGCGCGGGCTTATGCTGATTGTCCTGTTGGAGCGGCCATGTCACAACGTCTCAAGAAGCTTTCCCCGTGAAAACATCGAGGCCAACAAACTGCGAAGGCGTTCAGCAAGTTTAAGCCTGTGTTCTGTCTTCCGATGGCCCATTGGGTCCGCAATAGAACCGGAACTCTGCCACTTTCCAACTGATTTGGGATGACATGTTGCTTCTCATGACTGTATTTTATACACTCTATGCTACAAACAACACTAAACGACAGACTACCAAAACCATTATACACCGTCTGTGTCAAACACACATGAACTGAATCGTAGTCCATAATCCATCAGACTACTTTACACCATCATCTCACGCGCCTAATCTAAATGCTTATCCCCCTCCTGATGCACACTGATCTCCACATCCCCCTCCTCCTCCACATTCGTCGCGCCCACGCTCCTGTCACCCCTCTTCTCGTCGTCCTTTCCATACCGGAAGAAATACGACAGCCAGAACGGCAAGAGCTCTCGCGCGTGTTCGGGGCCCCACTGCTCTTTCAGGTCCTTGTCGGCGGGGACGAGGCGGCCGCCCGAGACGACGCGGAGGAGGTAGATGGTGCCGTTGATGGCGATGTAGGAGCCGAGGCCCGCGATGAGGCCGTAGGCGATGCTGTAGGTCATTGGCATGATCTGACAGGGGGTGAGAATGAGATGGCGTTGATGGAATATGGGAGAAATGAAAGCGTGACTTACCGCAATGGTGAGGAAAGCAGGGATGGCGTCAGGGAGGTACCTCCAGTTGATATCCGCAAAGGCCGTCTGCGCCATCAACACGCCGACCAGGATCAACGCGGGTCCCGTCGCCCAAGGCGGGAAGGATGCAAAGATGGGCGCAAAGAACAAGCTCAGGAAGAAAAAGAACGACGCAGCGATCGCGGTCAACCCCGTCTTTCCTCCCTCAGCGATCCCGGCACCGGATTCGATGAACACGGTGTTGGGCGATGTGCCGAGGAGGGACCCGATGCTGATGGATGCCGCATCGGTGATGAAGGCGGGGTAGGAGCCTTCAAAGTCGCCGTGCTCGTCAACGAGGCCGGCGTACTTGGCCATGGAGAACAGGGATCCGGTGGTGTCCAAAATGTCAACGTACAACATCGTCACGAGGGCAATCCACACGGACGAGGACGAAAGGTTGAAGTCGAGCGCGCCAGCGGTGTGGCGGATCTTTGGGACGTCGACGACCTGCTTGAAGTAGTCGAACGCGCTGTTGCCGTTGTCGGTGTAGGGGAAGTACGTGATGCTCGTGGACCGGAACCAGCTGATGGCCGAGATGAACACGATTCCGATCAGGAGACTTCCCTTGACGCGGTAGGACATGAGGATGGCGATGATGATGAAGCCGAGGATGCCGACCCATGTTGTGGGCGACTCCATTGTCCGAGACGTGCAGGCACCGTTTTTGTCTTTGAAGTCCGGTGGGCATCCACCGAGCGTAACCAGTGTTGCGGAACTTCCACCAACGATTCCGATACCCTCGCTGCTTTGCAGTCCGATGAAGGCCAGGAAGAGACCGATGCCGGCCGCGGTGGCGGTTTTGATCGACAGTGGGACGACTTTAGTGAGGAGTTGACGGAGACCGAGGAGCGAGAGGGCCAGGAAAATGAGACCTTCGATAAAGACAGCCGCTAATGCTGTTTGGTATGACACCTTTCCGGTTCCGTGGAAACCAACGACTGTGTAGGCAAAGTAGGCGTTGACACCGAGTCCTGGTGCCAAAGCCAATGGCAGGTTGGCGAAGAGACCCATGGCAAAGGTCGAGATGGTGGCGATGGCTGAAGTTGCTGTGATGAGGTCTTTCCGCAAGTCTCGCAAGCAGTCCTGGTAGACTGGGTCGGCAAGGCAGACATCAGGGCCCTGTGTGCATCCACATGTGCCTCCAGTGTCGCTCAAAATGGTTGCGTTGACTACGTTTGAAGAGACGGATTAGGAGGGATGAATCGACCAGCAAAGCAGACATCAAGGTCCCCAAACGACCGTCGGAGTTTCCAAAACTCACCACTAATGATATATGCCATCGTCACAAACGTAGCGAGACCAGCTCGCATTTCCGTCGTGAAATTGCTTCCGATTCGTTCGTTCTTTGCTCCAGAGCCTTCGAGTTTGAACCACTTCCCTACGGGGGAACCCGCCACGCTGGCGTTGAGCCTATGGAAGAAGCCCATTTTCTATCTTAGGAGCTCCTTGAAGAGACGGTGCGTTTGAGAGTGGATGGATTACAGCGAAGCTGGAGTATAGGAGCGCTTCGATTTCACCACGGTCCTTTTTGTACGCGAGAACGAGGGTCGTCGTTGGCCGCCTGGTTGTTTGTTGTTGTTTTGTTCTTGACGGGAAAAGGTGTCTGACGCGCCCTGTTTTGCCAATTGGGGAAACGGGAGCGCGAACAACCGTCCCAATCTTTGCGCGGCGCTTTCGGACATCAACGGTCAACCAGAGGCGTGAGATCTGGGTTATTATCACAGTGATTAGATGTGAGACGCGCCGTGAGTGAGAATTTAAATTGTGGGGCAAATCGCTGATGGGGATGGCCAATCACGGCGCTCCGTGGATTTGGGCGGGCGTTCCGTCGCACGTGGTCGTGTCCCACCCACCCACCCCTGCGCGCTTACGTACGTTATTGACAGCGCGGTTGTCTAAGCCCGCCTGTCGTGGCGCAATCCCTGTTCACAGCCCAAACCCGTCAACATGACCCATCCAGCCACCTGGATTGTGTCACCGAGTCTCCCGTCCCTGCACAACTCGCGCTTACAACCATCCAGACTTTCTCTCCCTGTTCTTCTCTTCTCAAAGCCACAGCCACGGTCGACCGATCTGAAGCAGCTCCAGGATGTTCGCTGCGGGTATGCGATCCTGTAAACTGCTGCTGCTGCTGGTGCTCGATGTCTTTTGGGAACATCAGCCGGACAGTTGGGCTTTGAAGGCTTATCCTATGGCAATGTTTTCGAATATCTATGCTTCCGAGGAATTGGAGTCCAAGTAAGGAATGAAGAAGAGGCAACGGTTCTCTTGTGTATCGTATCGTCTGATTAGTTAGATTTCATTGGAATGTAGGTTCCGGGAACATCTCATGGCCAAAAACTCAGCTCCGAATCTGATCTGCATAGGTAGATTGAGCGTGCTGCTGCGGTCCGAGACTTTCTCATGATCTATGGCATCTGAAAGACTTCCTTCCATACAGGAGTTGCTTTTCTGGCGGCCCTCTTCTATGTAGTTACCGGGATATCAGATCCGTCGATAGACCCCAAAATCGACGTGCGCATGGTCGCCATGGACTTTGCGGTATGCTTGCTTCAACCAAAGAGATATGTCATTCCTCTCAAAGCGAGAGTGCTCATCGTACTCGCGACAGCTTCTAGCGATTGTAGCCCTCGCCCAGGGTCAACTGTGGCTGAACAAGAAATGGGCCATCGGCTCTCCCACCATGATTTCCGTATCGCTGAATACACTCGCCGGACTTTTCTTGTCGACATCGTACGTCTTCAAATTCCTCGCTCGATGGACGGTCAATCTGAATAGAGAGGCTCTGGTATCTTGGATGTATCGCCGTGCGCCAACGGAGTTGGTCGTCACCTGGGATGCACTCATGGCGCTGCATACAGTTGTAGGTTGCATCTGAGCCTTCCAGTTGGAGGAATCAGTTTGTCAGAACACTGAGTCTCGCCTTTTCGTCTGCCTGTACCGCCAGTTCTACCACAAGCAACTGATGATCATCTGGTATTTCGGCCTGTTCCGGCTCCTCTTGATCTTCATCGTCTTCAGAGACGTTTTCGATTGGGTACAGTACGAGGGTGCGCTGCAGCTTCTGGTCAGCATGACATACATTTTTGGGCTCTACCAACGGGACAGACGGGATAGACTCAGCTTCGCGGTCGCGACGGGGAAAGTGAAAGAACGGGGCCCGAGCTGCACAACTTCGGTGGTGGTGGAATCCCGTTTCACCCTCAAAGCCCTTAAAGCGCATCTCCAGTCCATCTGGACAAGCGCATTCGCCGACACACACAAAGAGGAGAACTTCCAATCCTACTTTGCAACCGTCTCCAAAAAGGCCGTCCGGCTCATGTCAGTGGCCATGATGACCTCCAACGTCGTCTCTACCACAAACCTGTACTTCCGCTTCAAAGGCCACCGAATGGCCGACACCGACTTCATCGTCCACACTGTCTTTGCCGTCACGGTCCCCTTCATCTGCATCTTCTCCTTCGCCTGCACCTACATGGCCGCGTTCGGCGGGAAACACCTCCTACGACAACAACGGACACTCACCTGCGCATACGCCCTGCTGCGGATAGGCACCACGGTACTCTGCATCTGCGCGGTACGGTGTATCCCGGGATACCTGGACGGGACGATGAACGTATACCAGGTGGAGGGGTACGAGTGGCACGTGTACATATCGATCTTGTTTTTCCATTACAATGCGCCGGTGTCGCTGTATGGGCTGGATTGCTTGATTGGGCGGTATGGGTTGGTTTGCAGCGGGGTGGACGTGGTGGCGGGCTTGTTGGTGGCAAAGTGGGGGAATGCGGATGGGAGCCCGTTGTTGCCGATCACGCAGTTGTCGATGGCGTTGTTTGCTGGTATGTTCGTTCTTGCACAGGTTTTACCAAAACATCGAACAGTCCTTCTCATGTCTATGATGTTTATTCAGGCCTCGTAGTAGTCCCCGCCGGCGAACGCAACCGCCGCGAATTCTTCCACACAGTCATCCTCTCAACCCCGCCAGAAGTCAAAGCCGCCAAAGCCGAAAAAGCCGGACGCCAAAAAATGTTCAAAAAGTCGTCCATAAGCACACCCAGCATCATCTCCGCCACGTGCATCCTCCGCGACCGGGCGCCATCTGCGGAATTTGTTGCCGAAGATGGAATGAAGAGTGATGTGTCGGCGCGGTCGGGGACGATGGAGGAGGAGGATGAGGATGTTGAGACCGGGAATCGGCCGGTGATATTGGAGAATAGGGCCGAAGCTGCGGTTTTGTAGATAGGAGATTGGCAGATCTGCGTAGCGATGGGGAGTTACCGGAGAAAGCGGTGGGATAGATTTTTGGCAAGGGGCGCCATACCTGTATTTATCCTCTTTTGGGCATTTTCTTTTTCTGAAACGGGGAGAACAATAGACCTTGCACTGTCTCTTGACACTTGGGGAGACGGACGGAGAGACAGGAGTTAACCACCACCGCCTTCGTCAAGGAATGTACGGTCTATGATGACATTCCAGTGTAGAAAGGCGGTCGACGACGGCCATCGAAGCCAAGCACTGCGGTCGTCGGGGTATCCTGATGCCCGGGGTAGGTCTTCCAACGGGGTTTTAATGACAGGGAGCCGTCAAATATGCGGGCGTCTGGCAGTTGACAGCTGTGGAGACCGCAATCCCAACAGTCGACACCTCCACACATTTCGTAGTTGGCATCCGCAGTCTTGGCAGGTCGCATCTTCAATTTCTTTTGCTCCGGCATAAAAAGCGCATTCTTCATGCGCACCTTTCTCATAAAGTCGCCTCAAGAGCCGCTTTCCTAGCATCACCACAGAAATCATATCAAAGATGCTCACACCCATTGCTCTCCTGTCAATCCTCTTCCTCCCCACCCTCGTCCCCGCCTTCCCAACCGGCGCCGGCCTCTGCCAAGTCGACCCCGCCGCCATCGCCGCGGCCGCCAACGGCGCCATGGGCCAACAAAACGAGCGGCTCGGTTTCACGCTGTCTACACCCGCCGGCGTGACTACGTATGCCGCGAACCAGCCTGTTACTGTTAGTGTGGGTGGGGGTGGAGAATATAAAGGGTTGTTGATTTATGCGGCGAACGAGGTGGGGGCGGAGACGCATTTGGGGACTTGGACTGTGCAGCCGGGATTCAGGGTATGTGATTTTGGGCGATTTGGTTGTTGAGGTATGGAGGCCGGCTGACAGTTGGCTGCGAAAGCATTTGGAGGGTGCCGATGCGCCTGCGGACTGCACGCCTTTCGGACCCGGTTCAACTCTCAGCCATGACAGCCCCGATGCGAAAGTGCTTCCCGCAAACTTTACTTGGTACGGAACGTCACGCACAACTGTGTCTCGTACGAGGACTCTGACAAAGGCTAATTTTGACTTCCTCTTCGATCTACCCAGGACACCTCCCGCAGCGGCCGCCGGAAACGTCCAGTTCTTTGCCGTAGTGGTAGTCGACACCGACACCGGCTTTCAGTCATTGACAACCGCGCAGGCTTTGACACCCGCCGCTTGATGGTAGCTGGATCTGAAAAGACGTTTTGGCGAAGTTTGGTGTCCATAAGCTATCCGGACTGCTTCCTCTTCAGATCTCAGAATGAAAGTCCAACCACCCTTCTGCGTTTTTTCAACCTTTATATTGTACGTAAATACGTTTTGAATCTTATCACCCGGACTGTCGCCTGTCAATCCAACAAGCATCTCCGGGTCTCCGACGCCGAAGCCACGGATTAGTCATCTTGTTTGTCCCACCTTGTGTCGCGTCGCAATTAAGAGCGCGTCGCGGTCTCTTCGGCTTTTCGGAGTTGGCGCGCTTCGAAATTATGGAAGAGTCGTGCTCTCAAGGGAGGTCGGGCTTTGCGCTATGTCCGCGACGACTGCAAAGTTTATAAAAGGCCAGCCCGTCGAGGGATTTCCTGTCGATTTGTTCAAAAAGCTCAGTCAACAGTCAATACCTTTCACATCAACATAAAGCGCTATCCATCATGACTGCAACCACAAAGATCGTTGTCCTGGGTGGAGGTTACGGTGCGATGGCAGCAGGTATGTGCTCACGAGATTTGCATCACGTTCGATAAGGAACCAAGTTCTGACGTTCTGGTTTTTTTACAGTCAAGCAGCTGACGTCCTCTCTCGGAAAGAGGCCGGATATTGAGATTACCGTCGTGACGAAGACCGATTTTATGGTTCACAGCGTGTATGTATCCTCATTTTCAGCATCGAACACAGATGTTCATCCAAACCTCACTAAAATCCATTGGTTTAGTGGCGCATTCCGCCCTCTCGTTGACGAAACCTGGGCCGAGAAGGTCTACATCCCATACACAAACCTCTTCCAAGGAGTCGCCAACGGCCGCGTCGTGCAAGGCAACGCTGTGGCCATCCACGAGACCCAAGTCACCCTCGAGGACGGCACCACCGTCCCCTTCGACTACCTCATCATCGCCACCGGCTCAGCCTACCCCTCCCCAACTAAGACCCCTCACCTTCACCGCGCCGACAGCATCGCCGAAGTGCAACAACTCAACAAAGCCGTCGCCAAAGCCTCCTCCATTGTCATCATCGGCGGCGGACCCGTCGGCGTCGAGATCGCCGGTGAGATCGCCGTAGCCGACCCAACGAAGAAGATTGTGGTCATCCACGGCGGCGACGAGCTCGTGCAGTCGCCGAAGAGCACCGCAGCGTACCGCGCCCGCATTCTGGCTGGTCTACACGCCCGCGGTGTCCAGGTCGTCTTATCGGAACGTGCGAAAGGGTGGGAGGAGTTGATCCCGAACCCTATCCAGAAGGGGTACCACGTCTCGGAAACGGTTCCGGTGACCGTCCACACGAACAAGGGCAACTCGTTCACCGGCGACATTGTGTTCCTCGCTAACGGCAACGCGAAATACAACTCCGACCCCGCCAAGGCGCTTGGAGAGGGAGTCGTGAACGGGCAGAACCAGATCAAAGTGCGGCCGACGATGCAGCTGGCTGATGAGAAGTACTCCAAGATATTTGCGATTGGGGATGTGAATGATACGCCGGAGAAGTTGGCGTACATTGCCGGCGAGCAAGGGACTTTGGCTGCTAAGAATGTCGTCAAGCTGATCTGTGAGTATTGATTGCGTCAATCTGGTACGTAGCTCGCACGTTCGTATGCTGACGTTATAGCCACCTCCATCACACAGCCGCCCAACCAACAAAACCCGCAATCCTCGACGTCTTCAAACCCATGGCTATGGGAGTCGGCATTGTCACACTCGGCAAATCCGGCGGCGTAATGCAATTGGGCTCATTCACATTCGGCGATTTCGTCGCTCGTCAAATGAAATCGAAAGACCTTTTCACATCAAAGAACTGGGCATTGTTGAACCTCTCGGCCGAGTTCAAGAAGTTATGATTGTGCCAGATACGCTTGTATTGAAATCACCCTCTCATCGCCTTTGCATCGCTTCGTAGAATTAATAGGACCTCATTTGAGTAAATTTTTTGTGTTTACATTAACATAATTTTTACATGTATACTGTGAGTGTCTTTAGACCTACTATGTACTGTATAGATGCCGCTGGATACCCTGAGAGGCAAGTCAAACGGTGGATGGGTCGTCCAGAAGGAAGTTTTTTTGTGGGATGTCTCAAACCTTACGAACGGTTATGAAGATGGACCAATGCATGCATTTCCGACGGATACGCTGCTTACGCCCGGACAACGCGTGCCGTACAACACGCACCGCACGTTCCTTTGACGCGCACCCAATACTCTTTTTTTGTCCATCGATGCCGCACGCCAGACTCAATGGCCCAATTCAAATGCACTATGTATAAATACTCCCTTCACAACACGGCCCTCTGGAAAAGAACTAACAGCTCACCATCTTAACCGCCATCATGTTCTTCAAAACGCCCGCCCTCCTCGTCCTCGCAGCCCTCATCGGCATCGCGCAAGCTGCTCCTCAGCCAGTCCGCACCGTCTCCTTGAACGGCACATCCCCCACCCCGATTCCATCTAACCAACCCAACCCGCCCACACCGGCGGCCGGCAACTCCACTGCGACCCGCAGTTTCGGGATGCTGTTGTATCCCGGGTTCACCGCCCTTGATGTCTTCGGTAAGTCCCCAACATCTCGCACTCCAACCCCGGCCCGTTCCTCACCCCACCCCTTCTTCCCTCGTCCAGGCCCCCTAGAATGGCTCAACATGCTCTCCACCTCCCACAACATCACCCTCTCCCTGATCTCCACCACCAACTCCACGAACCTCACCGGCATCTCCTCGCTCGCCCAGGGCACCCCGATGTCCATGTCCCTCACAGGGGCCGTCGGCGAAACCATCCTCCCAACCCACACGCTCCTCACCGCGCCTAAGCTAGACATCCTGATTGTCCCGGGTGGTCTCGGGACGCGTTCAGAAGTCAACAACACGGATATATCCGCGTTTATCAACGCTCGGTACCCCGAGTTGGAGTACCTGCTCTCGGTGTGCACAGGCGCGGCGCTGTTGGCAAAGAGCGGGGTGTTGGATGGACGGAGGGCGACGGGGACGAAGTTCAGTTGGAAGTTCATTACGGGGCAGAGTGATAAGGTGGAGTGGGTGCCGAGGGCGAGGTGGGTGGAGGATGGGAATGTGTTGACGAGTTCGGGGGTTACGGCTGGTAAGGCGCTTCATTCACGGCGTTGTCCCTGCTTTTGGTGTGTTGCTGACATTCCTTGCGTTTAGGCATGGATATGATGTACTACTTTGTTGGAAAGCTGTACGGCGAGAAGCTTGCGACCCGTCTGACGAACGTCATTGAGTACATCCCCATCAAGAACTCGACATTTGACCCTTTCGCGGACATTTGGAACGTTACCAGTTCCACTATGGCGTGAAATTTTGTTTTGTAGCGTAGCACCCCGTCGTTGATGTTATTTATGTAGATGTTTGCACTTTGGCGCAAGACTAGATGTAAGATTCGTATGTACACTAGATAAGTGAAAACAAAGCATTCTTCACCAAAAGATGGTGTTCCTGAGATTTGACACACCTACGCCGCCCTTTGACCATCCTCGGTCCACCCCTCCCTACCTCCTCACGAACATGCCAAACTCATACTCCAACCCTCTCTCCCTCTGCACGCCCACCGGCACCATCGGCCCCACCACCTCCCTCAACTCCTCCTCCCTTGCCTTCCTAAACACCGCCATATCCACCTCCGGGAAGAACGTATCGCACTCGATGGGAGCCGGCGCCTTCACACGCGTTAATAGGACGTGCGAGCAGGAGGGGTGGGCGAGGGCTAGGATGTAGATGTGCGAGCCGCCGATGATGAAGGTGTTGGTGGGGCGGGTGGTGGTGGTGAGGTAGGTGAGGGCTTCTGGAAGGGTCGGGAAGGCGAGGGTGGGGGTTTCTGGGGTGCTTCGGCTGTTGTGCAGGGGGTGTGAGTGGACTTGCCCACAAGATCATCACGCATGCCTCGTTTTGTTTTGAATGGAACCCTCACCTGCACACCTCCACCCTCACGTCCTCACTCCCCGTCAGAACGACGTTCACCCTCCCCTTCAGCGGCCTGAACCCATCCGGCATCGAATCCCATGTCCTGCGTCCCATAATCACCGCGTTCAGCGGTTTCTGCCCATCCTCCACATGCGTATCTCCCTGAGTCTTATCGGGGTAGGCGTTGCCCACCCTCCGTCCCAACCACGTTGTGACGGCGTTAAAGTACCGCATTTCGCTGGGAATGTGCCATGGTAGGTCGTTGTTTTTGCCTATGCCGTTGGTGTCAGCGAGGGCGGCGGCAATCAGGATGAGGTGCGGGATTGGTGGGTTTGGGGGTTCGTTTGTCATTTCTCTCTCGGGGGGTTAGTGATAAGAAGCAGAGACCTTTGGCGGCGGTGGCAACTGGAGTGGTTGAGCTCCTCGCTGAGCAGTTGCTGCTATCTAGATTGGCGTAAAGATGTCTGGTTCACGGACGTGGCAGCGAGCATCTGAGCATTGGTTTGTTGAGCCCTTCCCATTCTCCTCGGCTGCCTCCTCAGGTAGGCAAATACCGCCTGAGCTGCTGTCCCCGAGCTCCCAACTCACTCTCTTTCCTCAATGCCTTAACATAGAGAGTCAACTTCCAACATGCCGGACTTCATCCCCGACCTGGCAACAATTACTGAAGCCGAGATAGACAACCTTAGGGGACAGCAGTTAGACGTTCTCATCAAAAGGGCTGGGATCAGGCCTATACCACAGTTACTCGCTGGAAAGAAGGAATGTCTCAAGGTATATGCTCAGGAACGGGATGAGGCTCAGGGTCACGGTGGCGCTTCCAGTTCTCACGGGATCGGACGGCAAGGATCTGCGGCGGGTGCGAATATTCAGCAAATGCACCTTCCGCCGCGTATTCCAAACCGCAAACTCGATGGTAAGCGGTTTGCCGAGTGCCTTTCTTGGTCCTTTACCGATCTCAACCTTACTTAAAACGCCTCTACAGTTGATGTCATATACAGCGCTGTTGGTTCCAGTTGGTCTGACCTGCAGTGGCCAGGCGTCTTTGTCACAGCCGAAGGGGTGGATGTCAAGTTCGACCCGACCACAGACGGCTATAGCGTCAACTTGTCCCAAATCATTCCCGCCGTGATATCCGACGTCGAGGATCAACAGGATCCTGACGCTTACAGTGATGGTGGCGTCCATGTCCGATGTGGGATATTCAGGAACAGATTGAAGAAGGCTGGAACGGTTGGCAGCTTAACAGCTCAACGCCGGGGGGAGGATGTGTATAAGCAGGTTGCACTAGATGATGGAAGGTGAGATATTGCATGCGTTGAGCTTGCGCTGCATATGCAATTTCTGTTGCTCTGCTGAACGGGTGGCCGTATGCGCTGGGCGTGGGCCGCGTACGCATGTTTCCGTGCTCCGAGGGATTTGCTGAACAGATGCATCGACCATCCTCAATATAGATACCACCTTTACGTCGCATTCATGCGCATTGTCCGAAACTCCGATCCAGGACAGAAAGTTGTTCCCGGGACGACATCAGCCGATTCTTTGCGCCATTACGAGACCGCCTCCCGGCACGCATGCAACATGTTCCGCCTTTTACCGCCTGAGATCCTCACTGCGATCTGGAAATTCCTGCCTCCCGAGCAACTTCCCTGGAACAGACAGTCGGCGCAGGTCAGACGGGAGCCCATCGTCGTCGCACATCAATGGCTCGGGAGATGGAGAGAGGCGCCTCGCGATTCGCTCGTCGTACCGGCATTCCTGAGGTGTCGGCTGAACCTTGACCATCCGCGAATACACGCAGCCCTGCAAATCCTGGCCGAAGGGTGCGAAGACAACACGTTCCTCCGTTGTCAGAGGGAAGAACGGGATGCTCTCGTTGAACAAATGCTAGCTGCTCACGAATGCTTCGGGGAGTGTCTCACATTCGACGCCGGGACCAAAATCGGACGGCGGTTGCTCGAAGCCGCGTTGCCAAAGACAAAGAACAAGGACGGGAAAATGGGGATCTCGGTATTTGAACCAGCGGAATATCTGCACGGCAATTGCGGGTCCTACTTTGAGTGGGTGTGCGAGAAAGGGTGGAACGTCGCCGCATTGGCATGCTGTCAGATCAGCCCGTTGCCTGTCGCCGACCTGGAGGACGCGCTCATCAGCGCCTTCCTTCTCGGCGACCCCGTCGTATTCGAGCACGTCCGCGGTGGCGCGGTGACGCCGTTATGCCCCGCACGGTCAGCTACGATCATAGACCTTGTCCTCGACATGCCCGACTGCCCCATCGGGAGTCTCGACATGTTCATATACCTCACAGAAAACTCAATCATGCCCGTGTGGGACTTCCACTTCCATCAGTGGCGGGACCTCCCTCACATCATACACTACCTCAAACTCCTCCATATCGCGATCCCGCCAGCCACCGTCCGCGATTTCTTGAAACATGCACTTGTGCTTGAGCACGACCAAACGAAAGTGAAATTCGAGCTGATCCAGGAGTTTGTCAACAGCTTCAACGTTAACATCGATCGACACTCTACGGGGTTACAGAGTGCGATGGAGGGAAGGTACTCAGATGAGACCCGCGAGACCCATTGCCGCAAGCTCAGGGACTTGCTCTGGCTGGGTATGAGCCCCGCGAATCTCACACAGCGCAATTTGACCCGTCTGATGTGTCAGATCGCGGGTGACGCGGTGCAAAGCGCGGGTGAGAAGACGGTTGTTGCAGGAGGAGAGCCGAAGAATGCGGATACGACGACGGATGTGAATGAACAGCGGTTGTGGTGGGATGTGCTGAACTGTGTTAATGCGGCGGAACAGAGGAAGGCTGAAAGGGCGGGGATGATGGGCTCATTCTAGGTAGTACAGTAGGTAGGCTTTTGGCGTAGGGTGTGCGATGTCGAGGAGAAAGAACAGGCTTCCTGATACGTGGAACATCGGGTGATCGGAACCTGCGGCTGGCCGTGGGGAGGATCATTGGCCGCTTGGAAGTGACCTTTTTGTGGAGACGGTTGCAGAGTGAATGAGACGTTGCGGGGTCAAGGGGAAAGCTCTTCCCAAAACACACCGACGTGCTTGCCTCCGCCGTCATCTCCAACTGCGGGGCGATGGTATTGGTGGACTGTGATCGGAACGTTACGGCTCCACGAACAGGTGAAAGACTTTACACATTAGGGGAATGGGAACGCCCATAGAAAAAGGTCAGGCTTAGTCAAGCTACCGCGCTCCTTGCAAATATACCGCGAAGGATGTCAGGATTTAGGAAAATCTGTACAGTACATCCTATTATTTTTCCCTGGCTCTTGGCTGGCTCCCCATCAACTGCAATACATGCATATCCACTTCATCCTACATTCTTGCGGGTCCAATAAAGTTCATTCCACGGTACATTGATGACGACAACGGCTTGTATCTGCCTAACACCTCTCCCATACTCTCTATTCTTTGCAGGCTTCCGCGTTGCCCAACTCAGATATCTTTCGACGCGCCTCGTTTCTTTTTCGAGCGTGGCCGTGGGCGGCAATGGTGATTGTTGAATCAAAGAGTTGAGACAGAACATCAGGGTCCCCATTGGCGAATTCCCGCATGGCCTCGACCACCGCCTTTGGCTCACGGCCTGCTAAGACGGTAGGGAGCTCCATGTCCAGCCACTCCCGGATTTCTTCTTTTGTACGTGGCATTTATAACGTCGTTAAGAACGTGCTGGATGAGTATGCAAACTGTTAAAAAAAGGGAAAGCGGAAATGTGGAAATGTACGGGAATTGCTCCAGCATTCTCACTGCAGATGTGCATTCTACACCTACCCACGGCTTTCTGGTTGTGTGGCACTATTGCCGACGTCCTCAGAGTGGATGCACAGGCTGGAAGCGTGCACTGTATATATAGGTCTTGGGGGGGGCCGCCGTGTTCCTTTTGACTGGCCCTCTCGCAAAAGCGCAAAAGGCAACTTCAGCAACTTCAGCCAAACCGCCACCAACCTTGACTTCCGTTGCCGCCGACTAGACTGGACCACCTATTGGATCAACAACAACCACCCGACACCAGCCCCAGCCCACTCAGCTTCGCCCGCACCACCACAATGACAACCCCCCCAACCCCGTCCACTCCCGCCCCCAACTTCGACGTGGACCTCGCAACCCTCATAGACCTCGCCTTACACCTATCCCAGGAACTGCAGAAGAGGGACACGACGAGTGGACTGCCGCTGAAGGAGTTTGACCAGAGATGGTTTGAGACGGAGACGAAGAATACGGTGAAGTTGCTGAGTCATAATGCCACCAAGGTGAGGGGTGTGAAATGGATTGGGGGAGGGAAGGCGAGTGAGAGGGAGGGCCGAGCGAGGCGAGGGATGCTTGAGGGTCCCGAGCGAAGTGAGGAGAAGGCCAACGATAGTGAGCCCAACTTGGCCGTAAGCCCAATTGGGCCGTAGGCCCAGGAATGCTTGAGTGCGACGAGGCCGAAGGCGCAGGATTGCGGATCACACACCAGTCCAACGTCGCGGAGCGTGCAGGGTATCGTTCAACCATCCGCTCCATGCTGATGGTCGATGGTTGTTTATGGGTTGATGGTTGATAGTTGATGAGTTGATGAGTTGATGGGTTGATGATTGTTGATGAAGGTTTCCATCATCCGTCGTCCCTACACACCCGATCGCTCACCCACACACCCTCCTCTCCTCCCCGTAGCTCTCCCTGATAGCCCCCGAAAAATCGCGTGACACCCCCAAAGTCACGTCCGAAATCCACAAATGCCTGCTCCACCTCTCGGCTCTGATCGACTCCGTCCCCGGGTCCCTCGGGTCCGTCCTCCAAGACGAGATCCGCTCCACCGTCTCTTTACTCTTCACTGACGTCGCCTCCCTCGCTAACAACTTCCTAACGACGCCGCGGGAGTTGAAAACAGGGAGCAACAGCATCGGATATGCGAGTTCGACGGGGTTGGTGTGGAAGACGTGTGAGGTTGTTGAGGGGATGGCGTTTAGGAATGGGGAGGCGGTTGCGAGGCGAGTCAGGGATCGATTGGGGCTTGTTGAGGATGCGATTGAGGAGGTTGAGGGGACGATTGAGAATGGTGGTGGTGGTGGGGGCGCTGGGGGGTGGGGCGACCTCATGGGCGAGGACGAGGGGGATGATGCCGACGGGGATGCTGAGGATGAAGGCGGCAGGCAGTTCACACCCTCGGAAAAGGAACTCGCCAACCAATGTCTGGTCATCATGAAGGCCACAAAACTCCTGCTCAAGAAAGTCATCGTGGCAGTGCAAAACGAGGAACAACCATCCGCATCCAAAACCCCACCAACAACAACGACAAGAACAGAATCAGAAGCCCTCCTCACCGAACGCACCCTCATCCAAGACACCCTCGCCCGCGTCTCCCTTGAAACCTCCCACCGCGTCGACGACCTCGCCCTCCTCATCGAGCCGCCCCTCCACGCCAGCGAAGTCGCCGCGGCCGCCTCTGCGCTCGCACAGACCTGTGCGAGTGTCATGGAGGCGGTAAAGACGCTTGTGGAGGATGAGAAGACGTTAAGTTGGTTCGAGACGTGTGGCGCGCAGGTCGGGAGGGTGTTGGAGAGGATCCTGGAGCGGGATAGTGCGCGGTGAACGTAGAAGCGACCCCACCGCCTCGACCCATATATCGCATTACCATCTATTTTGTTTCTACAAGTTGCCCTCATCGGCGACGCCTCAGGCAGAGGTACAATGATGTGGATGGCAGATAACCACCACGGAAAATGGGATGGGGTGAAAACTCTAGACTACCGGGAGAATGCGTCTGGTCTGCGGCCATTGCCAAGCACCACCGAACGCACAATCGAGAGGAAATTCTTGGTGCTTAGGACGTCCCGATTGTGCACTTTCATCCGTAGTCGTAGTGGTTGTCTTCCAGGAATCTCAAACGGCGTCCAGTCTTGGTTGATACATTCGGGGTTGGGGCAACCCACCAATCCATGGACGTATTCCATTCTTCCCTTTCGAGCTTGCCACGGCCGAGGTGACAGCCGGCGTCCGATGTTTTTCTTCACACACCCGTGGCAGTCTGGGCACACGGAAGACGTTCGATACTCATCTAGCAAGTAGCATGGAATGCTGTTTCTTGCAAAGAGGGTGCGGAATCTGATTTCCATGATGAGTTGGCATATTAAAATACATAGTAGGTACCACAAATGATGGTCACTCACCCCTTGGTCTTTGATGACTCCTGAAAGCACATGGTCTTCCCAGCGTCGCTCCAATCACCCAAGATGACCACAAAATGCTTTCCATACAGGCGTCACATGTTCTTGATGAGCTTGCTCTCAGACTTTTGCCGCAGAGAACGCCTTGAATCTGCGAGCCACGTGAATCTGATCCCGGTAAAACTCATCCAGGGCGGGATCTGGGATATGGATGGGATGTCAGCCCATGTATCATTAAATTTGAGAATCAAAATTAAGTAGAACATCATACCTGCATGTATGTGATCCACAATGAACGCTGAGAACGCCTCGATGTTCATGCTCTTCTGCGACGGAATATGTGATTCCATCTCGGCGACGCCGGCATTGATCTTTCACTCTGTCATGTCTCTTCGAAAGAACCGAGACTTTGTCTCTACCGCCCGTTGAGTGGATGTGTATCTGGTACGGGGTGGTGCATTGTGAGAATGTGGCAACGGAATGTCAAAAGCAGTAATCAACTGGAACGTACCGAAATGGGCGCTCCTTCTCGATGTCTCGACAGAACAGGAGGTCATGCTTGCCCGGATCAATGCAGACGATGTTTGGAGCCTCGCGTAGTTCCGCAATGTGGTGCTCAAAATACAGCTGCTTGACTTCTTCCCGCATTTGCGGCTTGCTGCGCTTCCGGGCCCGATGCCCATACTTGAGCCCTGGCTTCTTGAAGTGGATGGTAACGGAATACCCGTTTGTGCTGATTGACCCATCAAATTTGAGACCAAGCTTCTTTCAATGTTTGAAGACCTTGTCCTATAATCCGTCATTCAGTAAGGTGATTGAAATAAGAGCGGAAGGATACAGACTTACATTCACATTGAGAAACTGCCCCCACAGCTCCTGCTTGCGTTCATCAGTGAGTTTCCCCGTGGGACGTCGGCCAACATCCAGGATATGAGTGCCTAGGATCAGCGTGTCGATCCGAACAGATGACTGGATTCGAGATTTGCGCAGCGGGATAGCGGAAAACAGCCGCATTCCACGGCGCTCATAGAGGCATGAGAGCTCACAATAGGCACCTGTGATGAGGCAGGTGCGGACCATGATTAGACAAAAGAGGGCACCGCGGGGGGGGGGGGGGGAATATACTAACTCACCTAAATATGCCATTGCGTCCACTGCAAGGCTGTACGCAAGCGGCTCATCCTGGGGAGGAAACAGAGCCCATAACTCGTCGAGGACGGTCCGCTCAATTCGTGTGAGGCGCGCAAATTCCTCTTCGGTTGGATACTCTTCAAACGTTGCGTACTTTGTAAATTGATGGACACGCCGATAATAGTGTCGCCGCTGCGCTCTCCGGAGATGCAGTACGACTTGCTTCAAACCAAGCCTTTCATTGACATAGCGCAGAAACATTTGCATAAAATGCTCCTGTACGTTGACTTTGAGGTTGGTGAAGATGCTCGTAGCTGTGTACGCTGCGGTCTGTTGGCTATTTCGCATGCGGATGGGGGCAAATCCGTGAACATTACAGTACTCTTGAACCCGTGGACGCAATTCTTGCACGATGACCGGATTGCCGTTGTAGCCCGGATTGTTTAGCAGCTCAAATATCACACTAATGTGCTTGTCGGTGATGTCCGGGAAATCGTGTAGAGGATGATCAGCTGTGGTGGGGTGGGCAGATGTAGCAGTCAGGACATTGTTTTATGGGAAATATACAGTGTAGTGTACCTCAAAAACTCACCAAGGTAGTACTTGATAAAGAAGGTGGTGTGGCGCGCAAGGACATGAACATCGGCGATGAACGTTGTTAGGCGCTCCCTTTGGACTTGATTGTGATTTTGGATTCGGTGAAGGGAAACCTTTGTGCTGGCATGTGTCTGCGGGCGGGGTCGTTGAACTGGTGGTGGAGGCGGGGGTTCAAGCACCAGGGATCCACCCGGTGTGCTGGGAAACCGGAAAGGGATGGGAGCGGGGAGGTTCAACGGACGCTGCAGACCCCTTTCGACGGGTGAAAGCCCTTGCCGCTGATGCTGCTCCTGCTGCCCATCTTCATCTTCGTCGCCGGAACTCTCGCCAACCATGTCTGCAATTGCTTGGGGCAAGTGGTGCTGGACAGACGATGGGAACTCAAATCGCGGGGGTTGCACTGGTGTCTGCACAGCGGCGGTTGGCAGACGTATGGGCAACCGCGGGGTAACCGGAGCAACCTTCCTCCTCTTCCGCCGTGGTGTGGTTGCTCCAGTAAAGATGCCACACCACAGGTGCCCCTGGAGCGCCTGGTGTGAAGACATGATGACTGTGCTGTGCCTTAAGTCAGTCGAGAGACATGTTGCAGGTGATTGCCGTGATAGCTGTGTGTCAAAGAACTCGCGTCAGTGCTGTGGTCATGGAGCTGAAGACGGTGAGGAATTGCGGTTGTTACCTGGTGGCGGTTGAAGGTGAACACGGGGATGCTTACTGCTCACAATAATTGCGTTGGGAAGGAAGGGGGTTGGGAAGGAGTAGAGTGGGGACGTTTTTTACACGCGTGTAAAGGATGTGGGGTAGCTTCCAGGGCAGCTTACAGTAGCTGGGCAGCGAGGGTAGCTTCTGGGGTTGATTTTGGCTCGAGCTCTCTCTTTCCCTTATCCCCCGGATGCTGTGGCTTGAAACAGGTTGTTTACAACACTCCCTCTCAGACTGCAGATCGAATTCGGTTGCCGTCGCAGTCGCCGCTCCACATTCTGCGATTCACTTCACTCTTCACGACACGATCGCCTGAGGCAGCTCGGAATAGGAGCAGCCTCGCGATACGCTATCCACTTGCGCAATCGCCTGAGGCAGCTCGGAATAGGAGCAGCCTCGCGATTCGCTACCTTCTCGACTCAACTTCCGCAACCGCTTGAGGCAGCTCGGAATAGGAGCAGCCTCGCGATTCGCTACCTTCTCGACTCGACTTCCGCAACCGCTTGAGGCAGCCTGGAGTAGGGGCAGTCTCGCGGTACGCTCTCTCGACTCAACTTCCGCAATCGCCTGAGGCAGCCTGGAGTAGGGGCAGTCTCGCGATACGCTACCTATGTTTCTATGTACAAAAAACCCACATTCCGCTCACAACCACATTTTCACGACATCCTTACTCTTCATCGCTACTGCTATCGCTGCTATCGCTATCACTCCCACTCTCCTCCTCTTCCCCACCCTCCTTCGTTTCCTCACCCGTCTTCGCCTCACGCAGCGCCGCCATCGAAGTACCCCCCCTCTCCCACCCACCCCTCTGCACCACCTCCCACGGCCCGCCTTTATCCAGATTCACCACCCACAGATCATCCAAGGTATGCTCCGACTTCTTATCCTCAAACAGCCCGCCGTAGAGTATCAGCTGGGACTTGTAGGTTGCCAGCATCGCGTTGTAGCGGGGGTGGGGCTGGGATGGGTCTATCGCCGCGGGGGTCTCTGCCGCTGGGTCTAACTCCGCTACTGGGTCATCGGTCTTGGCCTTCCCGCTCTTGATGGTAACGCCAAACCACCTCCCCTTCTCAACCTCGAACGCATACATGTCGTTCCGGCACACCACGTCTTCGTCGTCTTCGTTATCCTCCACGCCTCCGAAACGGATTCCGCGGTTCTTATGCATGATCATTGTGCAGCCGGCGCGTTTCGGGGGCGGCTTGCCGGCTTTTTTTGTCAGGCTCCATGTGATGAGGGAGGGGTCCGCGGACATTTGGAGGAGCCACATGTCTAGGGGAGAGGAGGGTTAGGGGGGGGGGGGGGGCGGGGGTTGGTGGGGAGGGTGGAGGGGAAATGTTTTACCGGAATAGACATGCCCGCTCTCGCGATCGCCGTCGATTTGTTTTTTGCAGTAGCCGCCGTAGAGGTAGATTGTGTCGTTGTGGGTTATGAATTGGAAGCCTGAGCGTGGTCTATGAACATCACAAAACTTAATCAAGAACAGGGCGGTTGATTGTGAATGAAGTGGGTAACAAATGAATGGGCCCCCTTACCCAGGCTTAGAAGCAAGGGACGAAAACTCGACTTTGGACCATTTGTACTCGGTCGTGTCGAACAGCCAGAGGTCGTCGTGGTATTTTGTTGTTTTGTAGTTGTCGTAGAAGCCGCCGAATAGGACCTGTGCGTGATAATGATCGAGTCGGTGATGAGAAATCAGGGAAATCGAGGGATTTCCTGGGTAGGCTCGAAAAGCATCACTCACAACAAAATTCTTCCAAACAGTCATCCGATGCCCACTCCTCGCGCTCGGTGTCGGTATATCCAGCTGCTCCCATTTAAGTTCCTTGGGATCAAACACCCAGCAATCTTTCCAGTGATGGAACTGGTTCTGCGACGGCGAGGTGTACTCGCCGCCGAAAACGAGCAGCTTGCCGTTGGTGAGGACGACGGTTTGGTGCCCGCTGCGGGGGGGTGGCGAGACGGGGGTGTTGATGCGACGCCAGTCTTTTTTGTCGATTCTGTATCTGGTGTGGGTAAGACGGGATCAATGATCGGTCAAAGACCATTGAACGTCACCATCAGCCACCTAAATGCTACCCTGCTCGCTTCGCTTGCGGACCGGACCTCAAGCATTCCTGGGCTTCCCGCCCAATTGGGGCTCGCTGCCGCTCGCCTTCTACTCGCTCCGCCCGAATCCCATACTCACTTAAAAAGCTCCCCGTAAACCTTCACCTTCCTCCCCGTACAATGCTCGCCCCCAAACAACCACACAAACGGCGCATTCCCTGCAGCAGCAACCCAACTCGCATTCGCCCTTGGACTCGGCGGCTCACATGCAACCTCCTCGGCAACCCCAATCCTCCTATCCCCCTCCTGAAACTGCTTGATCAGAATCTCAATGTCCTCCTCGTCGCCGTCGTCGTCGAATTTGGAGGCGTGGCGCGAGTCCTTGCGTTCTGCTTTGGAGGCTTGTTTGGAGGCCTTTTGGGATTTCGAGACGGCTTTTTTTGTCGCGTGGTCTTTGCGCTTTTTGCGCTTGTCCCGGGTCATCTTTTGAGAGGTCGGCTGTGTTGAGGGGGGGGACGAAAGTGGGGGTTCTTCTGGAGTGGAAGTCTGCGAGAAAAAGCAGTTGTTGCCTTGTTCTGCGCTACCAGGCGACCACGTCCTAAAACACCACCGACACCCAAGGACCCACCCACAATCTTGCGCTGCTCATCTCCCCAGAAGGTCTCACCCAGCAACCCCCAGCCCACGCACACACACACACACTATGGCCTCATCAGCGTCACTCTCCGCCGAGCGCCAGAGGTCAGGCAACCGTGAGTCAGCAGCTTCCACAACCACCAGTAACAAACCCGCCTTTACGCAGCGAAGCGCCCTGCACATCGAAGCAATCGACCTCCTCGCCCCCTTCTCCACCTGCGACCTCTCCGACGCCCTCACGAAACTCTCTCTCCCTTCGCTTCTGCCATCGCTCACTCTCCGCTCGCCCGACCCAACGAACCGCGTCGTTCAGGAGGCGCGCATCTGCGGTCCGGCGTATACTATTCGCCTGGTCCACGCGAAAAATACCACCTCCCCGCGTTTACCGCCCGGCACGCATCACGTTGACACCATCCCGGATTACCATGTGGTGGTGATCAAAGATGAGGAGGCGGCGACGGCGGTGAACGCGGTATGGGGTGGTCTGATGTCCTTGCGGGCAAGTGAGCTGGGGTGTGCAGGGGTGGTTGTGCATGGGAGAATACGGGATTTGAGAGAGCATTGGGACCTCGGGATTAAACTTTGGGCTATGGGGACTAGTACGATTGGGAGTGGTGGGTTTTCGAGGGCTGCGAGTGTTGGTGAGAGGTTGACTTTTCTGGATGGACGTCAGGTGAATGGTGCACCACCGCAGCCGTCACTGGACCCATATTGCGTTGTGGTGGAGACTGGAGATATTATTGTGGCGGATGTAGACGGCGTAGTGGTGGTTCCTATTGGTAGAGTGAGGGAGGTGGCAGAGGTGGCTCAGAAGAGCAAACAGGTGGATGAACTGTGTAGGAGGGACATTGAGAATGGGAGGAGCATCGCCAAGACGTTCAAAGAGCATCGGGGGAAGTAAAACGACGCTCATCAGTTGTGAAGCCCTTGTACAGTACAGTACATATTATGGCTTGTACAGTACGAAGAATGGATGTCCTGGGATGTCCGATTGAATTGGCATGTCGCAAGTGAGAGAGGGGGACGCAAGGGCCACAATCTCGCATGTGCGCGCGCCGTTTTCGTGACAGAACACTCTTTCCGCCCCTTCCGCCCTCGCGCACATTTTGCGTCTTTTGCAACGGTCCACTCCTCCAACCTCCCTTGCTCCTGCCGCTGCACATCCCCTCCACTCCTCCACTGCACTCTCCCCATCATAAAGGGAACCGCTCTGCTGCAGGCCGGCTACTCATCTGCAGTCTCCTGTCAGGCCTCTTCCTTACCTCGCTTCGCTGTTCGAACGCACCACACGCTGGTCGACACCTGTCCATTCTCGACGTCAAACGAGGCTTTTTTTTTCCATCAGGCCGGTCCTGCCCATCCCTCACCACCACCACAACACCAGCCTCCCCACTCAAAATGGCAGTTCAATGGGCCCCCCTCTCGCTCCCTCTCCCCCGCCGTCGTCAGACCGCGTCAGTCCTCCTCTGGATGCTCCTCATACCCATCTCCTTCGCTATATTCTTCTACTTTCTCTTTACTCCGAAATTCACACCTCTGGCGCTCGCATATGTCGTGTTTATCATTTTGGATCCGAGTCCCGAGACGGGTGCGAGGAGGGTCATGTGGATGAGGAAATTGCCGATTTGGAGGTGGTGTAAGGATTATTTCCCGATCCAACTCGTGTCGATGGCGGAGTTGGACCCCAGTAGGAACTATCTTTTTGGTTATCATCCTCATGGTATGTATGAGCGAGCGGAGCGAGCCACATTGCGCCAGAGGCGCAATACTCCCCTCACCGCATTTCTTAGCGAGCGTCAGATCTTTTGCGAGCGAAGCGAGCAGCACATTGCGCCAAAGGCGCAATACTCCCCTCACCATGTATCCCCAACCTTATCGTCGCGACCGGAGGGAGCAGAATACCATTCAACCATCGAACCATCCATTTGACCATTCAACGGTCGCCTGCCTTATTTCGCTTGGCATGCTTTCGAATCCCATCGGTGACCTTACCTTTTTTGTTCGTATTATTTTTTTAGGAATCATCGCCCTCGGCTCCTTCCTCAACTTTGGCACCGAAGCCTCCTCCTTCTCGCACAAATTCCCCGGGCTCAACATCCGTCTCATGACCCTGCAGACCAACTTCAACCTCCCCCTCTGGCGCGAAGTCCTCCTCTCGCTGGGAATCTCGTCCGTCAGCCGCCGGTCGTGCGATAATATTTTGAATAAAGGGCCCGGACATAGTTGCATGATTGTTGTGGGCGGCGCGACGGAGAGTTTGCATGCATTTCCGGGGATTGCGGATTTGATTGTGAGGAAACGGTTAGGGTTTATCAAGGTTGCGCTGAGGAATGGGGCGGATCTTGTGCCGGTTTACAGTTTTGGTAGGTACTCACTTGGCGAGCGGAGCGAGGGAAGCGTCATTCATATTGCATATCATGAGAATCACCCCATCTCACTCCATCTCTTTCCCCCCCCCCCCCCCCCCCCCCCCCAGGTGAAAACGACCTCTGGGACCAAGTCCCCAACCCGCCCGGGTCCGCCGTGCGCACCATGCAAGCGCTCTTCCAGAAATACATGACATTCGCGCCCCCGCTCTTCTTCGGCCGCGGTGTGTTCAACTACAGTTTTGGGATCATGCCGTATCGTCGGGCTGTTGTTTCCGTTGGTGAGTATCTCGAAAAGAGAATCACATTCCTCTCTTCTCTCATGTTTCTAACGTCGCATGATTCTAGTCGGACGACCAATCGAATGCCCCAAAATCGAAAACCCCTCCCAAGAAATCCTACTCGAGTACCAACAGAAGTACCTCGACGAGCTGATGCATATCTGGGACACGTACAAGGACAAGTACGCAAAGAACCGCAAGAGGGAGATGCGGTTCCTTGAATGAGAAGGACGCGTTTGAATTGCTGACGCCGTCGTGGGCGATGGCGTACGGGCCCGAGCTTGGCTGTTACCCCTTTTTTTTAGTCATATGATTCTCTTGATTTACTTTCTCTTACTTAGTTTTTAGTATATCCTCCAGCTCTAGTTTTGGCTTTTCGCATACTCTTAATCTTTCGTCGGTGCCTTCGTGGACATCAGACTTATTAAAGCCTGCGCAACGCTCACGTGATGAAACCCACGTGATGGAACGCTCTCTCGGACGCTCTTTTGGCCACCTGTACCGTAACAGTACACCCTTCTGGTACTACTGTAATTGCATTCTGACAACACTGGCGCTTTGGCACAGTTGAATACTGCTCTCCTTGCAGATGTGCAGGTAGCAAGCTCAATTCCCACTCCCAGACAACTTCTTTGTTTGTTCAGATTATGACCCCTGTCGCGCTAGGCGCGGCGTGGTAACTACTGTCGCGCTCGGCGCTTCGTGGGTGTTAACTGAACAGCACAACTAAGTATCGCAACAGAAAGCAACCGAAATGTGCCTCAACCAATCCTCCAGTCCTTACCCGCTCTCAAACAGCTCGATGCACGACCATTTTTGCTCTGCCTCATGCTCCTTTTTGTTTTATTCCTCCCGTTTCACACAGCTCCATCTCGACGGGGCTCTGGGGAAACCACCAACATCGCTCATCGCAGTTTTCGGCGCTTCTTTGCACTCACAATAAGCGCAAGCTAGCCAGTGTCCATAAAGCTGGGACCCCCCCAACATTAAGTCAGTGTCCACTGTCGGCGCGTCCGCGACTCACAGGCTACAGCACCCGGGTCATTTTCTTCATAGTCCTCTCCCCAGCCCAAGATCCTCCGGCAATTGCCAAACTTTTTTCCACAGAATGCAATGGCACTGTTGCCCTGCAGCTAGAAGAGCTATGACCACTGCCGGCACGGCCAGGCGTGGTATTCACTGCCGGCATGGCCAGGCATGATTGTTAGCTTGACTTTTGCTGGGCAGCATTCTGCCATTGCTTTTTGGAGGTGCCGGTGCCGGTGGCCCTCGGTACTTCCGCAATCGCTTGAGGGGCAGCCTGGATTTGGGCACTCGCGTTGCGCTTTTGATGTCGCTTTGAGGTATGTGAGCGATAGCGAACCGCGAGCGGGGAGAGCCCAGTGTGATTTCGCGCTGCAGCGTGAAGGCTGTAAGGCCGAGCGTCAACAACCCTAACGGGCTTTGCTTCCATCTATTGTCCGCCACGCCGTCGGGGGAACCATTTTCGCCCCACGCTGTACTAGTCAGCCCTCAATGGATTTTGGGGAGAAATTCGTCCCCCGCACGTTAAACCGGAACGGTCCTGGGCACCGTGCCCCGTCTATTCTCTGTGTAGGCGCCGGCTCTTGGAACGTTGCCGCGGCTTTGACACTCTCATGGTGATTTGTCTGGGGAATGGAGTGTACATGAGTTAGTTGGGGTGAAATAAATAGCAGGCAGCGTGGGCATGGGAGTGGGAGTGGGTTGGTAGAATGGGGCCAGCGCGAGTGCCCAAATCCAGGCTGCACCTCAAGCGATTGCGGGAGTCCAGAGAGCGGTCGTGCTCAACAAGGGCCGCGAGATCGGCGTAAAGCAAGCGCGCCCAGGCAGCACAGCCCATGCAGGTCGACCTCCCGCAAGCGGCGGTCGTGCTCAACATGGGCCGCAAGCCCAGGCGGTCAACACCCAGCGGAGACGCCCACGGCTGCACAGCGGCCACTCACCTCGTCAGCGCTGAGCATTCTCGGAGTGTGCTCTGGCCACTCACCTCGTCAGCGCTGATCATTCTCGGAGTGTGCGCTGTGTGAGTTGCCGGGCTTGAGCTGGAAGGAGGTAGGCGCCGGCCAGGGGGGCGAGGAGGCTGTCGTCCGCTGCAAGCGCTTGACGTTTCATGTGGGAGTGTGGTCTTGGAGATGCTGCGATCATCGATGGCCGCAGCAGCAGTGTGACCGGCAAGCCACGACTGCGTCACCTCCAGCGGATTGGCTAAGCAGCCAAGCGTGGCCGGCTCTGGATGACGGAGATACACACCCACACACAGCCACCACACACTCACACACACACACCCACACAGAGCGGCGGCGCAGCGGGTACAAAGATGGAGACTCGCAGCCAAGCGGCGGCAAAGGCGCCCGGCCCTAGCCGGTCAAAGATGGAAGCGGCCGCTGACAAGGCGGCGGGCGAGGTATGGGCGTGTGCAGCTGGCATATATATATAGTCTCGCCACCGACTTGCCATAGGCATGCGATAGCGCGGGCGGGGAGGCGCTACCGCGGGCACTGCCGCGCACAGGCGCTAACGACACATGCGCACCCACCGCCTTTTCTAGATGCTGGCCCGCCCGTCAAAGGTGGCAGAGGCCGCCGATAGGGCCGCTGATAGCTCCAACTTTGACGGTGAGAGCGACGAGGCGTTGGCGGACATGGCCACCAGCGTGCTGCTTGCCATCGGCGACGAGGGGAGCGAGTACGAGGAGGAGGGGGAGGAGGAGGAGGGGGAGGAGGAGGGCGACGCGGAGGAGGGGGCCGGGGAGGAGGAGGCGAGCGCCGCACCCAAGAAGTGCAGTGGAAAGTCCGCCAAACGCCTCCTTCAGCAAGAGAAGACAAGAATGGTCAACTTCTACGGGCGGGCAACCCCGCTGGTCGGTTCAGGTCATTGAACATGGCGGAAGCCCAGAAAACAGCCGACGTCGACATGGGGCGGATGAGGGAGGCTGCCGGTGCGGAGGCGAGGCCCGCAACCGCCAACTTGCTTGGCCACAGTGCACAACGTAGCCTTGCGCGGGCGCTGGTTGACCAGCTGGACGGCGACGACAGGAAGGCGCTCGGCGACGACGCGGGGAGCATATCGGGGACCATCGCAGACGTTGTTGTAGCCGAGGGGGCGCTCATCATGGCTGCCCAGAGCTTGGTCGAGATCTGCAGGCTGGCCGGCGAGCCCCTCCAACTCATAGTTGCATCCTCTCGGAACGCAGGCCGCAGCTACCTGGTCATGGACAGCGACGACACAATGCGGATCGTGGCGGGGGGCCTAATGGGGCAGCCTGTCGACACCACCCACGCAGCCCGGCGTGCTGTGGACACCTACGTGCGCTCCCTGTTTGTTGAGGGGGAGAAAAATGGGGGAAGAGAAAACACGGGGCTAAAAAAGATGGGGATGAAAAAGAAGGTGCGTGACCCGCGTTAACGTCACCCGCCGCGCTAGCGCTCGTAACCAAGTCGTCTCTGGCTCCGCCCACCCCGTGCAGGCAAACCCCTGGCGCCCATTGTGCCCATCTGGAAAAACAGAGAGGGCCTCCGCGATGCACTTCGGGACAAGTACAACAAGGCATCCAGCAGGGACATCAGGCGCACGCCTTGGCCGCAGATCCGCGCGCTGACAAACCCCCTCCTTGTCGTGGGCTGGCCGCCGTACTTGCCGTATGGCCACATCTTTGGGAGGACGGCAAGCAAGGAGGAGGTGGCAAGCTTCTCGCTGTACTGGGACTGCATTCAGCTCCGTCGGCGCGAGGACGTGAGCTTCGACGACCTTTTCGCGGAAGAAAGGCCCGGGGAACCGCTGGCATCTGTGCCCGGTGTGACCAAGAGCAGCTGGGAGGGGGCAGGGCCCACGGCAGCTCAGATCGAGGCGCTTTCTGGCCCCCCAGTCAGCGAAGGGGCGGCAGGGGAGGTCAGCGAGGGGGCATCGGTGAAGGTCGCCATGGAGGGTGTGGAGGGGGTGGAAGAGGAGGCGGCAGAGAGGGTGGCGGAGAAGACGGCAGAGAGAGCGGCGGAGAAGGCGCCGGGGGAGGCTGAGGCTGGGAAGCGCAAGCGCGCAGAGGAGGAGGAGCCGGAGCAAGCGCCCCCCGAGAAGAGGGCCAAGCCCACTGCAGCCGCGGAGGAGGAGGGGTCGGAGGAGGAGGGGTCGGAGGAGGAGGGGTCGGACAGGGATACTCCTTTGGACATTGGACTGGAGGAAGTCAAAGTCGGTGGTGTCGAAGCCAGTGGCAGGGCTGGTGAGGACACTGGAGTTGGCATCGATGGGGAAGCTGGTGGGGGAGTACGTTGTAACTATGGGATTGATATGGACGCCGACTGCGGAGTAACGGAAGATGATGCGGAGATTGTCGAATTACCAACGACGTTTCCCGGACCGGCAGCGTGGTGGAACAGGCTGCCGGCAGTGTGGAAAGGCGAGCCGTGGCCAAAAGTGGATGAAAAGCATCTCGCCTTCCTTGAACGCGTAATCAGCAGCAAACGCATGCCGGTGGGCCAGTGGGCTCTTGGTTGCGGCATAAAGGAAAGAGGAGGAGACCTGAGGATGCCGGCAGGGTCGTCGATCATCGAACTCGCTACCATTCAGAAGATTGTCAAACCCAACAGCTGGCTGAACGATCAAGCTGTCAACAGGTGCGGTCTTTCCAATGCGCATGTTTTATTGTTGTCACTCACTGATGCTTGTCTCTGGATATATAGGTGGTGCGCGTTGTTACAAGCCAGGTCATCACGCCACCCAACCATTTATCCGCCACTGCTAGTTGTTGGATCCACTTGGCTCCAAAGTGTCAAAATGGCACGGAGATCCAGTGTCCCTATTCGGCTTGTTCCGGTAAGAAAAGTTACTTAACCGTACCGTACTTAACTAAACTAACTTTCCTTTTTTGTTTTATGTTAAGCGGTCGATCAATGTTGCAGAGTACAACATACTGCTATTCGCAACAAACCCAGATAATCTGCACTGGGTCCTGTTTGCAATACTCGTCGCGGTGGCGGCGCCCAAGTCCGCAAAACCCCTGGGCCCCCCTGGTTCGCCATTAGGCAGACACGAAAACGTATCCCTTGATTTATTTGACTCGAAGCCTCGCCCGAATGACGACGACTACGTTGATAAGATGGCCAATATCGGCTCCCTCTTGTGGGATTGGTACATTACAGCCACTGAAGCCCCGCTCAATCACACACCGACACCAACGGTGTTATGATCTCGACGACGGGGGCGGAAGCGAAGTAGGGAAGACAGGGCGAGTGTGATAGGCGACAAGAGATTGTATTGGCGAAACAAGAAACAAGGACTAGAACAGGAGATGAGAAGAACTGGTGTTGATCTGCTGGGGAGGAAGGGAATGGACGAAGAGAGGCCGGCTATTTATAGATAGGCAACCCAGCAGATCAGAGAACAACAACAACAAGAGGGGACTGGGGGGCGCCAGCTATGCTCCTAGAGCGTGCGTGGCGAGCGTAGAGAGCATTACTACAGCTGCTGGCTATGGGGAAGCAGTGGTGGGTGTGGAGAAGCCTAGGGGGGATTGGCGAAATGAGAGGAGAGAGGAGGAGTGGCGATATTGCAAGAGGATTGGCGAAATGAGAGGAGAGAGGGGGAGTGGCATTGACATTGACATTGACACTGACATTGACACTGACATTGACATTGACATTGGCGTTTGACATTTGGCGGTTGACATTGGCGGCTGTCAGTAGGTAAGCTTATGGTATGGGCGCGTCGTCCATAACAAATGGTTGACACCCTCTTCACGCCTCGACAGCCCAATGACCAGAACTGCGGTACATTTGTGTGCATGATGGCTGATGCCATTGCCTGTGGTGCCGTGGGTGAGGTTACCGAATCATGGGCCGATACGCAGACCGCCGTCAATGCCCGCCATAACATCGCACTGAGCATCGTGTTGGCCATGTTTCTTCACGATGGTGATGCTCATCAGTATACGGATGTCACAAAGTGCTAGAGATGGAAGATGCAGATGCCGGGGTGGAAGGTGCAGAGATGTCAGCGTAGGAGGAGGTGCAGAGGGGGGTGCAGAAGGGTGTCGTGCCGTAAGATGCGAGCTCCTAGTTGTGATAGGGGGAGAGTATAGTATATCATACGTATAGTACGTGCCTTCGCATCCGTCATCCATCCACCTCGTAGCTTTCCTGAAACGCGTTGGAATCATCAATCCAACAACTGTGGTGTATACGCGCCTGGGGATGGATGTGAGGCGCTTGCACCTGATCTCGTTTGACATGATTTTCTTAACTGTGTCAAGCTTGAGAGGATGCTTATATTATGACGTGAGACAGCTGTGAGGAGCACCATCAGAGCTGTTAGAAACAGATGTGGTATGGACATCAGGGGCCAAAACTCGCTCAAGACGTGTTGGACCAGTTGGGGTTGTACTCTAGTAACTTGGGTCCACAACCCTAACCCGTTACCTTGACAACCCTAACCCGGTTAGGGCTATCAACCCTAATCCCAATCTCACAACCCTAACCCAGTGATAACCCTAATCCCCAACCCTAATCCCATGACACCTTCCGGTTTTCCACCAGCCCAGAAATGTAATTTTCCAGCACAGTATCTGCAATTCCACCGTGGTCCACGCAGACTCGACGATCAATTAAGCTGTGCTACGTATCACAGTTCCAATATCACTGGACTCATGACGTTAGCGCTGGACTCGTTACGTTAGCGCGGGCGCGGGTGCTAACGCCCGTAAAGCCATGTTAGCGCGGGCGCGGGTGCTAACGCCCGTAAAGCCACGTTAGCGCAGGCGCGGGTGCTAACATCTGTGAAGCCACGTTAGCGCGGGACGCATGCCACTCACCATGCCCCGGGGCTCCACGTCAAAGCAGACGTGCCCCAGGACGTGAGCAGACAAACCCCAGACCGCCAAGACCAAGCTCCTTGTTACGCACACTTACACACACTTCTCGCGCACACTTCCACCCTCGCACATTCAAGGCAAACCCCCGACCAATCTCTAAAAGCCCTCAACACGTCGCAGGTAAGCAGCAGTCCTGGATCCTCCTCGAGAGCAGGCCCCTTGCTCGGTCCACTTGATCTCACCATGTGCCTGCACAGCATAGCACAGCACAGCACAGCACAGCACAGCACGGCCATCATGTCATCACACCAGGCGCTCCAAGGGCACTGGTGGTGTGGCATCTTTACCGGAGCTACCACGCCGCGGCGGAAGAGGAGGAAGGTTACTCGAGCTACCCCGCGGCTGCCCATACGTCTGCCAACCACTGTATAGACGCCATTGCAGCCCCCACGATTCGAGTTCCCACTGTCTGTCCAACGCCACTTGCCCCAAGCAATTGCAGACATGGTTAGCGAGAGTTCCGGCGAGAGTTCCGGCGATGAAGACGGGCAGCAGCAGCAGCAGCGAGGGCTTTCACCCGCGGACAGGGGTCTGCAGCGCCCGTTGAACCTCCCCGCTCCCATCCCTTTCCTTTTTCCCAGCACACTGGGTGGACCCCTGGTGTATGAACCCCCGCCACCACCACCACCGCCACCACCACCAGCTCAACGACCCCGCCCGCAGACACACGCCAGCACGAAGGTTTCCCTTCACCGAGTCCAAAATCACAACCAAGTCCAGAGGGAGCGCCTGACAACGTTCATCGCCGATGTTCATGTCCTTGCGCGCCACACCACCTTCTTTATCAAGTACTACCTTGGTGACTTTTGAGATACACTATACTGTATATTTCCCATAGAACAATGTCCTAACTGCTACATCTGCCCACCCCACCACAGCTGACCATCCTCTACACGATTTCCCGGACATCACCCACAAGCACATCAGTTAGATGTTTGAGCTGCTCAACAATCCAGGCTACAATGGCAATCTGCTCATCGCGCAAGAGTTGCGTCCATGGGTTCCAGACTACTGTAATGCTCAGGGATTCGCCCCCATCCGCATGCAAAATTGCCAACAGACCACAGCGTACACGGCTACGAGCATCCTCACAAACCTCAAAGTTAACATACAAGAGCATTTCATGCAAATGTTTCTGCGCTACGTCAATGAAAGGCTTGGTTTGAAGCCAGTTGAACAGCATCTCCGGAGAGCGCAGAGGTGACACTATTATCAGCGTGTCCGTCAGTTTACAAAGTATGCGACATTTGAAGAGTTTCCAACCGAAGAAGAGCTTGCGCGCCTCAGACGACTTGAGCGGACCGTCCTCGACGAGTTATGGGCTCTGTTTCCTCCCCAGGATGAGCCGCTTGCGTACAGCCTTGCGGTGGACGCAATGGCATATTTAGGTCAGTTAGTATATTCCCCCCCCCCCCCCCCCCCCCCCCCCGCGGTGCCCTCTTTTGTCTAATCATGGTCCGCACCTGCCTCATCACAGGTGCCTATTGTGAGCTCTCACGCCTCTATGAGCGCTGTGGAATGCGGCTGTTTTCCGCTATCCCGCTGCGCAAATCTCGAATCCACTCATCTGTTCGGATCGACACGCTGATCCTAGCCACCCATATCCTGGGCTTGAGCCGACGTCACATGGGGAAATTCACCGATCCACGCAAGCAGGGGCTGTGGGGGCAGTTTCTCAACGTGAATGTAAGTCTCTATCCTTCTGCGCTTATTTCAATCACCTCGCTGAATGACGCATTGCAGGACAAGGTCTTCAAGCATCGAAAGAAGCTTGGTCTTAAATTTGATGGAACAATCAGCACAAATGGGTATTCCGCTACCATCCACTTCAAGAAGCCAGGGCTCAAGTATGGGCATCGGGCCCGGAAGCGCAGCAAGGCCCAAATGCGGGAAGAAGTCAAACAGCTGTATTTTGAGCACCACATCGCCGAACTACGGGAGGCTCCAAACATCGTCAGCAATGATCCGGGCGAGCATGACCTCTTGTTCTGTCGAGACATCAAGAAGGAGCGGCCATTTAGGTACGTTTCAGTTGATTACTACTGCCCTGCTGTCCCCACTGTCCCTCCCCGCTGGCCCCGCTATCCCCGCTGTTGCCGCTGTCCCCGCTCCGCTATCCCCGCTGTTGCCGCTGTTGCCGCTATTGGTTACGCCATCAACTTTATGCTATCAACTTCCGCCATCGCTGATCTCAACGCTTCCTGTGCTGAGCACAACCGCCGCTTGCGGGAGGTCGACCGGCATGGGATGTGTTGTCGCTTCGCCGTCGTAGTCGTGAAGAGCAAATCGCGAGCCCGGCTCCTACTCCAAGCTGGACTCAAGCGATCGCGGAAGTTGGCGGAACGTTCAATGAGATCAGAATGCGGAGCAATGCATGGCGACTGCAACTGCAACGGCAACTGAATTCGATCTGCAGTACCTCCGCTATCCCCGCTGTCTCCGCTATCGCCGCTGTCCCCGCTGTCCCCGCTCCGCTATCCCCGGTGTCGCCGCTGTCCCCACTCCGCTGTCGCCTCTGTCCCCGCTGTCGCCCCTGTCCCCGCTGTCGCCGCTGTCCCCACTGTCGCCGCTATGCAGATCAACACCCTCCTCAACCCTGTCCCCGTCCCCATCCCCACCATCCCCCCCCGTCACCATCCCCACCATCCCCTTTGTTCAACATTCCGTTGCCGCGTTCTCACAATGCACCACCCCATACCAGATACACATCCAATCTATGGGCAGTCGAGACAAAGTCTCGGTACTTTCAAGAGACATGACAGAGCAAAAGATCAATGCCAGCATCGCTGAGATGGAATCACATATTCCGTCGCACAAGAGCATGAACATCGAGGCGTTCTCAGCGTTCATTGTGGACCACGTACATGCGGGTATGATGTATCATGCATTGTCTTCAAATTTGGTAACACGTGGGCTGACATCTATATCCCAGATCCCGCCCTGGATGAGTTTTACCAGGATGAGATTCACGTTGCTCGCAGATTCAAGGCGTTCTCACTGTGGCAAAAGTCTGAGAGCAAGCTCATCAAAAACATGCGATGCCTGTATGGAAAGCATTTTTTGGTCATCTTGGGTGATTGGAGCGACGCTGGAAAAACCATGCGCTTTCAGTAGTCATCAAAGACCAAAGGGTGAGTGACCATCATTGTTTTTTATGTATCATTATGCTAACTCATCATGGAACAGATTCCGCACACTCTTTGCGAGAAACGGCATTCCATGCTACTTGCTGGATGAGTATCGAACGTTGTCGGTGTGCCCACACTGCCACGGGCGTGTGAGGAAAAACATCCGACGCCGGCTGTCACCTCGGCCGTGGCAAGCTTGAAAGGGAAGAATGGAATTCGTCCATGGATTGGTGGGTTGCCCCAACCCCAAATGTATCAACCAAGACTGGACGCCATTTGAGATTCCTAGAAGACAACCACTACGACTACGGATGAAAGTGCACAATCGGGACGTCCTAAGCACCAAGAATTTCTTCTCGACTGTGTGTTCGGTGGTGTTTGGCGATGGCCGCAGACCAGACGCATTCTCCCGTAACCGGTAGTCTAGAATTTTCACCCAATTCCATTTTCCGTGGTGGTTATCTGCCATCCACATAATTGTACCTCTGCCCGAGGCGTCGCCGATGATGGCAACTTGTATCCGTATATGGCTGAATCATAATATATCGTGTCATTGTGCAGTGAGAAGTGCATTTGGGTCGTCTATGTAGATGTTGATTATGGGTATGTGGAAGCGAAGAGACGGGCGGGAGGCTAGCTTTGTTCAGCTTTCCATAAATGGCAAGTGTTATCTTTCGATCCTGCATTGGCCAAAAAAAAAATCATCAATATGCAAGGAGCATTCAGGGATGCTCTCCCAAGCGCAGGACGGCTAATTAGAGGGACAACGTACCAGTAAGTATCAAATCCCCCTCATAGTTAAACGCAGCGCTGAAGATCTCGTCCGTATGGCCCTCGAGGATCTGCAACAACCCGGACGTCTAAGCCATCGAATCTCATCGCACATGATAGCATGCCGGCTCGAATGCGGGACCGTGGGATGTAGGGGGCAACATGACATGAAGGGCGAGTTGTTACCTGAAGACATTTCCCATCCTTAACATCCCACACCCTCGCGGTCTTATCCCTGCTCCCCGTCAATATCAGGCTTGCGGATGGGTTGAACGCAACCTGCATCACCCCACAAATATCAGCTTCCCCACCCACATCGACCCTCCGCACCCCACCTTCGTTTTGCGCATACCTTAGAAACCTCACTCCCATGCCCCACCAATGTCCACAAACACTCCCAGGTCTCGGTCCCATACACCCGTGTCGTCCCGTCCGCCGACGCCGTCGCGACCCGTGTGCCTGATATGCTGTACGCGACATCCAGCACCTCGTCCGTATGTCCTCTGCCCCCCCCAAAAAAAATCACAATCAACAATCAGGTTCCCCATCGATGGGTGTGCAATGATGAGACGTGACGGGGGGACACGCACCGTAAAGTCACCAAACACTCCCCGCTCGCAACACTCCACACCTTCGCCGTCGCGTCCATGCTCCCGCTTAACACGTGCGTGGAGCGGGTGTTGAAGACGGCGGCGGAGATTTCGGAGCGGTGGCCTATCAGCGTGTGCAGGTTTCTGAAGAAGGGAGATAGGGTGGGATGAGTGGGTGGGGGGGATGGGGAGGGGAGGGAGGAGGGGGTGGTACGTACCGCCGGGTGGAGACGTCCCAGATGTTGAGTGTGGAGTCAAAGGAGCCCGTGAGCATGTATCTGCCGTCGGGGCTGAACGACAGAGTGATGACTTCCGCAGAATGTCCCTACGAACCCCCCCAAAAAAACCAAAACAGATATTAAGCATAACCAAATCACATCTGATGCTGTTTTGCGTACCATCCCCCTCTGATCGTACAAACGCACCTTAAACCGACACACATCGCTCCCAGTCCGCACATCCCACAACATGCTCGTACTGTCCATGCTGCCCGTCGCCAGCACGGTGCTGTACGGGTTGAACGCCAAGCCGACGATCTCGCCCGTGTGCCCTTTGAACGTGTGGTGGCATTTGCCGGTTTCTGTGGACCAGAGCTGTGCGGGGGGGAGAGGTGTCAGATGTGGGATAGAGGGGAAAGGAAGGGAGGAGGTGAGGGGGGCTAACCTTGGCTGTTCGATCGAAGGATCCTGTTGCGATCTTATCCCTAAACCAACCCAACAAACGAACCCAGTCAGTCCATGCCCATGCTCACCCCGGTTCCAGTCCCCCTAAATAACTCCTACCCAAAAGGATTATTGAACGCCACCGCATAAACCACATTCTTATGTCCATCCAGCGTCAACAGTTCCGTGCCCGTAGCCGTGTTCCATACTTTACATAGGCGGTCATAACTTCCTGTTATCACCCTATATTTGCCGTCAGCAGTCTTCGAAATCACACGATGACGAGAACGATAACGGGCATAGCGTACCGGCTCCCAGATTTGTTGAACGCGCAATTCGTCAACGGCATCACATGCGCCCGCAGTTTCTTATGCATCTTGTACTCGGGTCCAGGCTGTTCTGATGTCGGCGGAGCATTGGCGGCCTGGAGGCCTATTTGACAGATCCACGATGGTCAGATATGACGCGGGGGAGGTCGGCGAATCAGCGGACGTACGGTTGATGACTTTCACGAATTTGGCATGGTTGATGTGGGACAAGACCGGGTCGGTGGCGGTGAGGGTTTGGGCGTAGGTTTCTGGATCTGGGCTAAACACTCAGAAAAATCTAGTCAACGCATCAGTCTCCGGATCCAATAAACCACCATCCCCTCCCCCTCCTACGATCCCCATCGTCGGTTATCACTGTCCCCCCGTACCTTTCGAAAACCCCGCTCAGATCGACCGATTTCGTGTGCTTCCGCTGCCCCTGTTCATACTCCACCGTGATGCCTGTAACAGAAAGAGGAAGGTTGCAATGTCACATTATGCGGAAAGACTAGCAAGATGAAGGCACATTGATACCTGGTGGATGGTAGGTGAGAAGGAGTTTCGTTAATCTCATGGTTGTCCGGGATAAGGGGTTGTTGGGGTGGGCCGTGTTGTGCTTCCAGGGTCGAAAAGCTGTGAGCGAGATCATGTCGGGAACTCGACGCGTATGTGAGCTCACGCGTTTCTGTCGGGTCTCTCTCTGTCTGGAACTTGGGCCTTCACATGCACTGCAAAAGAGATACCACGCCAAGCTCCACATTTCGTTCATAATCTTTATTTCACCAAACCCCCAGCTACCCAAGAAAAGCCTACCAAGACTACTACGCTAAATTTAAGAACCCGCGGTATATGCCAGGATGTTCGGGGGAAAGGTAAAAAGCGACCCAGCACCTCCCCCACAATCCCTTACCCCCTCCGATCCGATGATGTGTGTGTATGTGTTACAGACATGAGTGTCACAGTAAGGGGAAACAGACCGCAGTCCATAGAATCCCCCCCTCTTTTCCCCTTCTCGTCATGTTACTTCCTCCTTTCTCGATATGTTGAGTTTTCTCCACCTACTACGTTGAATGCTATATGATCCCTTCAGCGCGCACCGAAGGGGTCCCCTACGAGCGGCTTCTGTGGCTGCCCGAATAATTGGCTTGCCGGGGCGAAGAGCTCGCTTGCAGAGGGGAGGGTCGATTGTTGTTGCGGGTGCACCGACTGTTGCTGGGTGTGTATGTACGGGTTCTGTTGAACTGTGGGTGGGGGAGGTGGGGTGAGGAGCTGGGCCGCCGACTGCTGAGTGCGCATGAGGGGTTGAGTTGGCGGTGGGGCCTGTTCGTTTGCAGCGTTGGGCACAGCAAAGAGACGCGAGTTCGAGGGTTGAGCCCGCAATGGGTGGGGGGTTTGGGAGGGCGCGAAACCCTGTGTAGGCGGCGGCGGCGGGAAGAGAGACGACGCGCTCTGCTGCTGTTGAATGTGGTGCTGCACGCTGGGAGGACGCGAGTACAGCTGCGACGCCGACGGTTGCGTTTTCAGTTGCTGTTGTGGGAGAGCCGACGATTGGGCTTGAACTACGGGGGCGGGTGGTTGCTGCAACTGGACCTGCGTCTGGTTGTCTGCGACAGCTACGTTCTCCGCACTGCCACTGGTTCCCGCCTTAGCCTTCAACTTCGCCCTAAGAGCCGCGATCCTACCGCTCGACTCATCTATTTTCGCTTCGTCAACGACCGTCGATACGCCACCACCAACTTGGCCCGAATGGTGATGCTGGGCGTCGCTCCTCATGCTTGCATTAGACATCCTACGTGACATGGGTGGAGGGAGGCCGGCATTGGGGTGATGACCAGTATACCCTGCGGCATTGTACTGAACACTGTAGATAGATCCGGCACGCGAGGCAACACGGTCGGGCCCAGCCGGGGGGCGGTGAGAGGGCGTATGGGCACCGTTTCTCGCGGAGAGGTACCCAGGCTGGTATCCTCGGTAGTCCACATGTTGACCCGGCTGTTCATAGTACGACCTTACACTCGAGGCATTGGACGGCTTACGAGGCGAGAGAGGGTGATTGAAACCGCTTTGTTGGCCGTGGCCGTAGTAATCCGCTTGCTGGTGGTCGGGAACATATGATTGGCGGAATGGGCTGCCCCGGTGATGCTCAAGCTGCTGGGGCTGATGGTTATAGAGGTCACCCACCGATCGACTGGTGTACGTATTGTATGGGTGCGGTTGGTGCATCTGATAGGCCGGGTTAGTCGCGGACGAGAAGGGATCGCTTGAACGTGGTCCAGTTGCTTCCGGAGAGACGGATGGTCTGCGCGAGATGGAAGCGACAGACGGGGAGCGGGAGGCGCGGACTTGCGTGCCGATCGTTTCAACCTTTTGCGCGAGGGCTTGGTGCGATCTATAACAGAAGATCCGACGATGAGTTTAACGAATCTCAACATGAGAAACACTGCATGGAAGGACTTACGTTGTTAGGGTCTTGATAGCATCCAAGAGCTCCGTTTGAGTGTTCTGGGCGAGGTGATCAACTTCAACGACCTTCTTGAGCTGGTCAACTTCCGTTTCCAGATTGTGGACGCGGTTGTCAGCCGCCTGTAGTTCCGCGATGCGTGTCCTTAGTTCCTGGTTCTCGCGCTCGAGGGCAGCCAACCGTTTATTCTCCTCCTTGAGTTGGTTCAATTCTTTGCTCTTGTTACTCAATTGCTCAGCGGTAGTGGCGTGCGCCGTCAACGCGGCTGTGAGGCGATCTTGTAAGTCATCGCGCTGAGCTTCGGCCTGATGGATCCGGTTTTCGGAGTCAATTTGGGCTTGCTGAAGGTTTTGGGTTCCTTCTAGCTGTGCTTGGTGGACCATCTGGTCTGCTTTGGCCTGTACTTCCTGGAGCTTGTACGCGTGCTCGGACTCAAGATGTTGGCGTTGTAACTCAAGAGCAGCAGTAAGGTCCTCCGAGTTGTTTATCTTCGCAGCACCCGCGACTTCACTGTTGTATTGTTCCTGACGACGATGCTCAAGTTCAGCACGTGCATGTTCGAGTTCGGCCAGTTGTTGAGCTAGACGTTGGCTTTCGACCGCGTACTCCTGCTCGCGCGCGTTCAGATCGATGTTCCATTGCTCAAGTTGAGCCGTACGCGCGGTTATATCGTCCTCCTGTGCTCGCGCAGAAGCTTCGCGGCTCGCGTAATCGCCAAGACGGTCCACAGCATCGATGTGGTTTGAGAGGTTGGCTGACTGCAGCTCCGCCATGGCCTGTTCCGACTTAGCAAGCGCTTCCTGGAGTTCGGAGACTCTGGCGGCATGAGCATCGCGCTCAGCGGTAACTTTTTGAACTGCAGCATCGATCTGAGCTGTCAATTGCGCAACTTTCTGTTCGGTAGTAATGCGTTCTTGGCGCTCGCGTTCAGCCTCGGCCTTTGCTGCACGAAGTTCCTCTTCGACGCTGCTGTGAGCGGGAGACGTTGGGTAGGCGGTGTTCTGAGCGGGAGATGTTGAGTACGTCGCAGCGCTGTTGTAGTTGCCGATACTGGTCGGCGGCGGGGCCGAAACATTGAAGGGATCGCTGTAGGATACATTGCCGTACGTTGCGTTGGCGCTAGCGGGCGCAGGAGTATGCGCTGGAGAGAACCCCTTGTCGGCACCGTTGTTGAGGAACTCCCCGATGGAGTTGCGGCGCGGGCTCGTGGTCGGAGATTGGCCGGGAATCGGGTCGGGCCGGTAATCGGATGCAATCTTGTCAACAAACTTTGTCATCCATCCACCAATCCAAGCTGCACCCGGAATATTAACCGAGCCGTTTGGACTACCTGCGGAGGTTCCATTGTTGGCTTGCGGCGTGTTGTATTGAGTTTCCTGCGGCTGCTGAACGTAATCGGCGTAAGAGGCTCCTGCTGCGTACGAGTCTGGGTGGGAGTAAGTTGCGTTCGCGTAAGACGTGTACGTCGGATGCGGGCTCCGAGTGTCACCGGCGAAGCCGCTGAACACAACGTCGGCGTCTTGCGTAGATGCAGCCGAGATCTCAACGTTATCAAAGCCATCTGAGTTGTGCACATCGTTTCCGATAGTAGTAGTTTCTCCAACGAAGGGGGTGAACGTCGTCTCAACTGGAAAGGAAGCAGGGGCGGTGAACGTAACAGGAGAGAAGTCGGTCTCCTCCGGTTTGATCTCAGCCACAGTGGGAACTAGCTTTCTCGCCGGCGCACCTTTGTATGCCTGAGGTGGCAAAGCCGCAGGAGGTGGTGGTGGCGGCGGGTTATCGTTCGAGTCGTTCCGGACGTAATCAACTTCGTTTTGCGAGGGTACCATTAGTGCGGCCGTAGAGTACATGGCATCGAGGTCTGGAGTATGCCGATGCTCATTCAAGGAGGTGAAAATGTCCTCAACGCCGGTCTTCGACGCAGGCGCGGCCGGAGCTAACTGATTGATACCGTTAGGCGGTGTAGCTGTCGCTCCTGACCCCTGACGTATGGCGGAGAACTAATGATTGAAATGGCATGGGAATTGATCAGCCATTTATCGAACGAATGCACGGCAGCAGTGGCCTCGACCATGCTACTGCTGATCAGATCCCCCAGCCATGCATCATACACACCTTCGCCTTTGCCAGGCGGAGCTTTTCTTCCCGCTCTTTGTTTGCGGGTGCGGACATTATCATCTGGTAGAGAGTCGAGTTTGGATAGAGTCTCGTTCGTTGATGGTCGGAGGAGTGGTCTGAAATTGATCCTTATATAGTACGAGAGTAATGACGTGCCCTGTCTCCAGAGACTTGCGTCGCACGACAGAACCTGACAGGCCGAATTGGGATATACGCAGCGACGTCGCGGTGTTCAAACTTTTCTGGCGTGACAATCCAATCTGCTGTTTTCGCTTGTAAAATTTCTCGCCCTACGGCACCGGGAATTTTTTGAGGACTTCTCAAGAGTCTCTATGTGCGGTATGGTGAGCGAATATGTGTTAGATATTTTAGAAGTTCGGTTCTGGTGCGAACAACTCCAGTAGTCTCTAAGCGATGCCGAGATGAGATGAGATGGAAGTTGGTCGAAGAGAAGAAAACGATGAGGACGCTGGGTCCGGAGGCTATGGTGGGTGGCAGGCACAGGGAGGCGCTGACGGCCAGGATATAAATACACACAGATTGCTGACGAGGCAATGGAAGGAAATGAAGCTTAACAAAATGAAGCGTTAAGCTTCCACGACGACGAAAATGACACTTGGAAGTCCTCGAGAATGACCGCCCAACGGCCGCTCGGGCAGGTGTCACGTGACGCAAAAGAATTCAATTAGACGACCGTCCTGGCGAGTGACAGCCAACGTCCGAGCGCATGACTGAACGTCAGTGGAGGGAAGAATCAGAAATGAAATGAAGAATCCGGATCAGGGATAACAGGCCGGGAGACCATCGGACACTTCGGAGCCTGGGATAATGACAAGGCAGCAAACACATCGGTGGGACATGATTCTGAACGACGACCATGGCCTTCGAACGGAAACCTCAATTTCTGGAGCAGGTTTCTACACCCACATGGGAAAGCCATGCGTGCCGCTTGCAATGTGCACTGACCAAAAAGCAGTAATTCATAACCGAAACTCGTTAGTCTATGGACATTAATAGGTCTCGCTGCATGTGTGCAACGGCGGAGGGAGACAGTTACGATGACAGTTTCCGTTGTTGGCAAGGTGTCCAGTCCATTCTGCATGACATGATACATCAACATCAAAAGCATCTCCCACGGTCGCACGCCCAGCCCACATTCCGAGTCATCAGAGCGTCCCTCCAAAGCTGCTCCAATTCCGGATGGGAGACGGCCCGCACTATGCTGGGTTCATGTGGGTTCAGGTGGGTTCACGTTTTACCAATGATGAGGATAAACTCCGACGCGATTCCAATCGAGCCACAAACCCAGTTCGCGTCCAGCCGTGGACTGGGGCAGCTTGGGTCCATGTCGCACGAACCCGGAAACCGAGATTCGCGGTATTAGCTCCGGAGCCTCTCGCTTTGCCTCCCTCCCCTTCTTCAACTCGTGTCCCCTGCATATGAACTATACGAGTCGGTGAGCGGGAGATTCTCGTCGGAGAGCGGGATGGCTTGCATGTGCACATGCAGGAACTTCCAAGTCCCCCGCCTTGCAAAAAGGGGGTGCTCTCATCGGTATCCGTCACCCTTCAAGACGAGGAGACGAGGACGAGGAGGGCTCCGCTGTGAGAGGAGATGAGGTTTATTTCTTTGTAACTCAGCGTACTCAGCACCGGGTTTTGCAGGTTAGCAAGTTCTCAAAAGCAGTAACAACCGTGAAATGCTACGCTGTTTTGGCGATACCGAGAGAGCAGCCCAGGCCATGTCTTCATTTCAGAAAGAGTTAAATATAAACACTCCCAAGAAATTTACCGCCGGCAGCAGGCCAAAAAGCCTCGTGTTGATACCAAGTTACCCTCGCAACGGTCGTATGGTAAGAGCTCGTATAACTTATATATTCATATTGGCGGGCCGACCGCATGGGCGAGGGCTGGGGTTCCAGGTGCCCATGGGTCGCGTACGCAATACCAGCCCCTGGCCCACTGTTACCAAAGGAACGCTTGCCCAGACATTTTCTCTTCCCTTCTTTCTCCTACGACACCGGTGACCACCAGCGGAAACAGGGCTGCTGCTGCTGGTATCCCTCTGCCTCCTTGTTGACGTCCTCCTCCGTCCTTCCTTGCGCAGGTGGGCAGGAAGAAGTCTACTACGGGCTAGCCACCATATTCAGCACAGCACATAGTGCTCAAGTTCTGCTTCGAGACCACCACCAACCCACCCACCCACCAAAAGTCCCACCAGCATCCTCCACTGCCCAACCCCACGCCCACGCGCCGTCGTACGTACCAGTGGTGTGTGTCTATCTATATCTGGAAGCGAGTTACGGAAACCGCTCGCCTTCCGTCCGCTGCACTTTCCACGACCCATATCCTTGGCTCTGTGTGGTTCCGGTCGCCGGTCGCTCTGCCCGAGAACGCGAGACAAACTCCTCATATCCCCCCAAAGGGCTCGTGTCCTCCTCCCTGCCCAGAACAGGTTCGTCATGAGAGGAGGCTGCGCTGGCTGGTCTCTCGCCTTCACCCCCCCTCCCCAGCCGCCAAGCAGGATGTCATTGACAATGACCTCTCTTATTGACGCATCTTATTCTGCACTTCCCACTCCTCCAGGTGTCCCGTCCTCCGTCATTGTGAACCACACCCAGCGCCGTCTTGCGCGCCCATGCCTAGAGTCTCGCTGATATGACCGATAACTCGCACAAGGTGCATGAAGCGAAAGAAGTGCACGACTCTGAGCGTCCAACCCACCGTCAAAGGGGCTTTGTCCCTTTCCGTCGGCCTCAGCCACCAGGTTCGGCACTACATCCGTCAGCTGCGTACAATAATCAATCCTCGGGAACGCCGGACGGCGTCGACGGTCTACCTCCTAGTCAAAATCCTGTCACATCCTACCTTGTCCAACAGGTGAGACTCGTCTGTGCCCGTCGAATGAGCCCATTTCATATTGTAGTGCTGAAAAGCTCTTCCGTTTGGTAGCATCAGCAACCGCAATATCCTCCTAATCCTTCATACCTGCATCAACACGCTGGTAAGCTACATCCCAGATATTTGTTTATTTCCACCTATAATCGCTCTGTTGGAATGCTCAATCTCACTCTTCTTCACATCTTTACTCGTGCCGCTTTTTTAGGCCCACATGCAGGACACCCTCCACATGGACCACCCCATACGCAGGTAGGAGGACCGCAAGGCCGGGAGGATGGACTGGGCCCCGCACTCCCGCGACCCTTGCCGAACGCAAGGGCGTTGAGCAACCAAAGATCGGACATCAGGTTGGACTTGGGAATCTTCTTGCTTTCCCCATTTCGCTCGACTAATCCGTAGTTCCATCAATCAGATACGAGTTGGTGGTCGTGCAGCAGCCCTTGCGAGCGAGAATGTGCGGTTTCGGCGGCCGAGATCGACGATTAGGTGGGTTTCCTTGATCAAAGCCATGCCGGTTCTCTAGTCCTAATGTATCATCCCACCTGCAGTTGATCCCCCACCTATTGTGCAGCTCATAGCCCGGCACCTGCCTTCAAACCGTATCATCGAGCAGAGCGTGACGGACCCACCACTCCTAATTCTGCACGCATCCCTGTACAACACGGCTGGAGATTCGCCCACGATGATCATCGAGACGCCCCGTGGGAAGACTTCGAGCACCTACATGAATGCACTGACAGGCTGCCTCGTCTCGAGCGCGTATAGCTTGACAAACATACAGGGCCGGCAAGGGGTTTACTTCATGTTTGGGGATCTGAGTGTACGCGTAGAGGGCACGTTTACACTGTTGTTTAAACTGTGCAGCATAGCTGGGTATGTTCGTGGACTCTGCTCATTATTGACGCTGTCAACAACACCAGTTTAATCATATCCTCTTCTTCCAGATCAATGCCGAGTAGTTCGGAAGCCAATCACCATTCCAAGCACTTAATATCGACGGACGTTACGACTGTCATCACCGATATTCTTTCAGATCCATTCATTGTTTACACTGCCAAGGAGTTCCCGGGAATGTTAGGTAAGATCAACCAGCTGGTTACATTCCCAGAACTGCTCACTCAACCTTACTCCAACTCCCCTCCCAGAATCAACTCCCCTCACCAGGTGTTTCGCCCAACAAGGCATCCGCCTCCCCGTCCGAGGCGAGCGCCGCCGGACAAGCAAAGCAATCGAAGCAGCTGCCCTAGCCGCAGTAGCAGCCGCCGCCTCCGGGCCCAGCGCCAAAGAAGACGGCGTCAAAGTAGACGGCGTCAAAGTAGACGGAGTCGATGGAGAGATCCCAGACGGCGTAGCCGACGACGGCGAAGCCGAGGATGGCACCCCCAACGAAGTAAACTCAAGCTCCGCAAAAGTCGTATAGACCAAGCAAGAAGAATTGGAGCAAGGTTGTGTATCTCTTGTGCGTGTGCATATATGGGTCTCCCCACCTTGTGTGTCATGTAACATATGGGATTTTTCATTAAAATCCCCCGCGGCCCCACGTGTATTGATTTCGTTTCCCAGCCCTGTCGTATCTGCCCTGTAGACCATTTTCGTAGGGCTGGGTATCCCTGTTTCCCTTTTTTCTTTTACATTAACCTCATCACAACAAATGAACAACGGCTGACACCTCAGGACTGGCTTAGGTTTTGTGTTTGGGCGAGCATCGGGAGAAGAAGACACGACGCAGCGTGTTCTCCAGTTCTGATGCAATTGCCACTTACGTAACCCCCGCCGACACTGTCAATCGTGGACATTTGGCAGATTGTCCTTCCCCTACATTGCGGTCAATCGGCGGGTGGAGGCTTGCTGACTTACATATCTGTGCATTGAAACTAGCCCAATATGGATCCTTTCGGCTCTACCGAAGCAGGGCACTCTCCGCCGAATGAGCCCGTAGACGCCACCATTAACATCCAGGAAGTTGGCAGCGACGACTCTGCCGGAGTAGATGCGCCTAGGCGCCACGGCGGGGAAAGCGATGGGTCTGACGACGGTGCTAGGGAGACGGCAGGAGAACCTGGAGACGACGTCGAGGAGGAAGAGGAGGAAGTGGAGGAGAACGTAGAGACGGCAACGTCCATCCTCGGTTCCATTGTCGATTCCGCAAAAGAGGCCGTGGCGACGCCGCCCGAGAAAGGGCGCAAGTCACGCAGCTCGGATATCAGCGAGGCAGACGAGGAGGACGCCGAGAGCACAACGCTCCCAGGCGACTCGGCAAAGCCGTCGTTGTTCCAACCCTCGGCTGACGCAAGCAATCTGGAGGACATCCAAAGCACGCTCGAGTTCATCTCCTCCCAGGCGTCTGCACCAGGCCAAAGCGGCGCAGACCCAAACTTTGTCCGCCTCCGCACGGAATACGACAAGCTGCACAAACTGTTCGTCCAATCCCGCAAGAACGAAACCTCGCTCGTGCAGAAATGCAAAGACATCGCCTCGGAACTCTCCGCCAACGCCGCCAAGGTGCAGGCCGCGCTCCGGCTCAGCCAGAACGACCGGAGCCAGATCATCGCGTTGAAGAAGGAGGTTCGGAAGGCGTGGAAGATGGTGGAGTTGTCGACGGAGAAGGAGAATAGGGCTAAAGAGCTGATTAATAGCTTGAAGGCGGAGGTGGAGACGGTGCGGAAGGAGCTGTCGGAGCAGGATGGGGGGACGACGTACTCGACGGGGGCGAATGCGATGGCGGGGATCGGGAGGGATAAGTTGATTGAGATTCAGTTGGATCAGGAGGATCAGATTAGCAAGCTGGCCGAGGTACGAATCTCAATGCATCTGATGGCTTGTCTGGGACTTGTCATGGAGACGACAGCCTCCTCATCTCCCACTCCATCTCATAGCAACGAGATACTCTGCTTAAGCAAGTCGACGAAATCACCGCCGACCTCACCCGCGTCACCGCCGAAAACGACGAGTTTCAAAGCAAAGTTGAGCGCCTCGTCACCGAGCGCGGAACACTCACCGACGAGCTCCTCACCATCAAAGACCTGCTCGCGACCAAAAAGTCCGAACTAGACCGCGAATCGCGCGCCCGTGAGAAACTCGAAACCTCCCTCCGACAAGCGAACGAGATCAGCCTCCAAAAAGACGACGACGTCGCCGCGCGATTGCAGGATATCAAATTGCTACGGGAGCAGATTGGGAAACTGGAGGTTGGATGCAAGGAGGAGCGGGCGAAAGTGGAGCGGGTGGAGAAGGAGAAGGAGAATGTGAATGCCCGGCTGGCGAGGTTGCAGCAGGAGTATGATGAACAGGTGCTTACGACTACGAGGCTGTTGAGTGAGAATCAGCAGCAGACGGGGGAGATCAAAGGGTGGGAAGAGGAGTTGGCGAAATATAAGGAGGAGTATAGGGGTGTGACGAGGGTGAGGGATACGTTGCAGAAGCGGATTAAGGCGTTGGAGGATGCGAAGCTGGAGGCTGAGCTGGAAAGGGATCAGTTAAAGGTATGTGGATGCGGAGCTTAACAGATGACGACCGGTATGGGCCATCTGCTGACTTATATGCAACATTGCCATGGCATCTCAATAGGGCGGAAACCACTCCCTCTCTCAAAACCTCGAAGCCGCCCGCCGCAACCTCGACATCAGCCACAAACAAGTCGACTCCCTCACCCGCGAGCGGGACATCGCCCAAAAGAACTTCGTCAAAGCAACCGGCACAACCCAAAAGCAAATCACCGTCGTCAAACTCGCCGAGCAAACAAAGCGCAACCTCGAGCAAGAAATCATGGGCTACAAGGACGAAGCGACCAAGATGCGTAAACTCATCTACTCCCTCGAAAAAGACCGCGATCGGCACATCAATGAGGCCGGACGGATCCGGTTGGAGTTGGTGGGCAAGGAGGAGGAGGTCAAGATTGGGGAGATGATGCTGTTTGATTCGAGGAAGAAGATTGGAGAGCTGGAGAAGAAGTTGAAGGAGCAGCAGTCGTTGTATGAGAATGTCCGCGCGGATAGGAATCTGTATTCGAAGAACTTGGTCGAGGCGCAGGATGAAATTACGGAGATGAAGCGGAAGGTGAAGATTATGGGACATCAGATTGAGCAGCTGAAGGAGGAAATTGCGAGCAAGGAGGGAGGTTCGTATTTTCTCCCATCTTCTCAACTCGCTCCAAACGCAGTTCTCTTGCTCATCAACTACATGGATATGTGAATAGCACTGGTGAAGGAGCACTTCGAGCATTCCAAGCTCGAGAAAGAGAAAGAATCCCTCTCCGTGCAGATCGGCAAGCTCCAACAGCAGTACGAGGAAGCTCAACAGCTGATCCAGAACCAGGTTCGTATCCGCCAAAAAGGTGTCCATCCCAATCTATCTCATGACGACTCTGACATATCTCAACCCCCCTCCCAGCAATCCGAAGAAAACAAACTCCGCCACATAATAACTCAAGCCGACTCCGAGCGCCTCCGCCAAAAAAAAGAATACGACACCCTCGTCCAAGAGCGCGACATCCTCGGCACCCAACTCATCCGCCGCAACGACGAGCTCTCCCTCCTCTACGAAAAAATAAAGATCCAAACCTCCACCCTGCACAAGGGCGAGCTGCAGTACCGCGAGCGCGTGGAGGATATCCGGGTTTGTAAATTGGAGATCAAGAAATTGAGGAGGGAGAAGGCGATCTTGCAGACGGAGACGCAGAATGTGGAGGGGCTTAGAGCGGATATTTTTAGGCTGCAGAGGGAGGTGTTGAGGGAGAGGACCAGGGTTAAGCTGCTGGAAGGTAGGTTGCTGATCACGTCTTCAATATAATCCCTCGGCAGTCGTCTCACCATTCCATACTCCCACTCAGGCGAACTATCCTCCCCCCTCAACATCCACCGCTGGCGCAAGCTCAGCGGCAGCGACCCCTCCACCTTCGAACTGATCATCAAGATCCAAACGCTTCAAAGACGTCTGATCGCCAAAACGGGCCAGGTGGTCGAAAAGGAACTTATCATCAACCAGAAAGAGAAACTGTACAAGGAGGTGAAGGATGTGTTGCAGCGGCAGCCCGGGCCCGAGGTGATGGAGGAGTTGAGGGTTGTCAGGGAGGCTGTGAGGAGTAAGGTTAAGGAGTGCAAGGTGAGATATCATTCCAGACGATGCACCCCTGACCCGTCAAAGAGACGTTGGTGCTAACCCAAGACTTACACCCCTCACACAGGCCCTAGCATCAGAACTCAACATGTACCACTCCCAAGTCAACGAATACAAATACGAGATTGAGCGCGTCAACCGGGAGCTGCAGGAACTCAAGAAGAAGTACTACGAGAGCCGGCGGAAGCGGGGGGTTAATAATGGGAAAGAATATGCGGCTGTGCCGGGAGCGCATCATCCGCCGGAGTTGAGGAGGGGGAGGGGTGTGGAGAATCCTGCCAAGTAAGGGATGGTTTGGAGATGTGATCAAATGGGGTTTGATCTGATTTGTCTCTTCTTGTTGCAGAGCACGATTCTCTGGGGGAGGGTTTAACATGTCATCAACGCAGCATGTCGCTGCTGCCACAGCGCATGGATAGGGAACCTGGAACAACTTGACATTGATCTGCAGGACGTTGGGCGGTTTTCGGGCATTGGCCCTTTTGTACATATTACCATCGTATTTAGCAAGTTTGACATAATTTTCACTGGTGTCCGAGATGGCCGCTCGAGTCTTTTCTGGCCTGTCGCAGAAGGGCTGTGTGTGGAAGGAGGCTGAGACTACCATGTCCACAGATTATGCGCAATCAAATGCCAAAAAAGAAATACGCTGCCATATATTCCTCAATAATACATCCATAAAGTACCCCTACATATCCACGTGCTCCCCACCGGATAGTCATCCCACCAACCATCCATCAAAACGCAAGATCATCCTCCTCCATCGTCATCGGCAACGGCTCCACAACCCTCATCTCCAGCGGCGCGTTGTCAGTATCCCCCAACGACTCAGAAGCCATATACTGCAGATCCCCAGCCGTCATATCCCCGGCCTTTACAACCACAGTCCTCCTCCCCCGCCCGCCGCCCGGATCCGACATATGCCTCCTTAGAACAGGTGCAGGTGGTGTACACGCCGGATCGATATGGGATCGTTTGGCTGGGCGGGAGACGGGTGTGTCTGGTTCCCACAGTGCCTCAGCAGCGCGTTTGGATGATGGGTTGAAAAACGCAGTGTTATGTGTCGGGGGTAAAGTGCGTACTCTGGGTCGGTTTTTCTTGTCGAGGAAGTGGAATTGGCGTGGGGGCGTGTGCTGTGCTGATGTTTTGTGAATGAATGAGCGGGTTCGAGCGTATATTGGGGATGGGTGTGGGAGAGTGGAGGGTTTTTGTGTGTTCGTTCCGTTGGGCAAGGGCGTGCTGGCTATCCATGTTTGGAGTAAGGGCTCGTACCTCCTATACATAAGGCGTTAGTGAGTGCTGCCAGCCTCTGAGAGATGAGACGACTTACCATCTAGAAGTCTTATCCGGCCTCGGCGTCGCCTGCACTTCCAGCTGAGCTTTCAACTCCTCAATTAGCGGCACATGTCCCGCCCCTTTCGCCAACGTATCATAATGATTCAGCATCAGAAGGTTTATCTTCCTCGCCAGCGGAATCGCATCGATCGCCAATAAAGCTTGCCGCACGTTGCCCATCGCTTGGAATGTCGGGTAGAACGCGACCATTTCGTCAAGATCGTGGAGGTGGTTATGGTCCCGGAGATGGCCGACCCATTCCGGTGGCTCATTTAGCAACGCCGACGGTGTGATCATATCCACCAGCTCAGTGCCTCGGCATAGCAACGCTAGTCTATACGTTGGTGACAGTTCCGACGGCATACTGTCGATCCGCGCACAGATTTCCAGAATCGTAGCCGTGCAGAGACAATCGTACAGCTGGGAACATGACACGCATGAATGACGCAGCAGTTTCCGGATCCAGGGATTGATGCGTGTCTGCGAAGTCGTCATGTTCTGGTTGTCCATGTTGAGGAGAGTTCGCAGGCCGTGTACAATCAACAGTTCTGATTGACACCCGTCCAGGTACTTTCGCACAAGGACATCCTCGATCAGATGACACTCGGAGGTTCGAAGTTGACGTCCAACCGTGTGAACCCATTCCGTGGATTTGGTCAGGCGACTGGCGACGGAGAAAGACCATGCCATGTCGTGCAGCGTCCGGCCACCTGGGAGAGACCAGAAATAGACAAGGAGCTCCCAAGCCTAACGCAGGAACTGAGACTCGTTAGGCGCGTTCTGTTTCTGGGCGGTGTTTGATGTCACACATACCTGCTGGGGAGCTTGCGCGTTGATGCAGGCATCGACGACGGGTACTAGGACCTTCGCACTGGGGATGAAAGCTTTGCATAATTCGATGATATGCGCCCATAACACAGCTCTGCCGGTTTGATCAGCCATCCGAGCGTCTGTCATGTGGGCATGTGACACAGTCTTACCTCCTGTGATGTGGCGGAACAGCCTCATACCACTCTTCCTCCAACCCCAAATCCTCCTCATTATCCGTAGTCGCCAACGGGAGATTTCTCGCGAGGGCAAATGCGGAGAGCTCGGCCAAACTAGAGACTCTCTCCGGTTTAAGAATATGCTGACTGTTTTCATCATCCCGATACGTAGCAGACACCTCCTTCGCGTGATGGGACCCCCAAACATTCCTAGCGACTTCCCGGAAATACTCCTGAAAGCCAAGTGTTTGTCGACGGATAGGCGACGCGAGGTTCATCATATCCCCCTGGACATATGAGGCTAGGAGTGACGGCGATTTCGGCGCAAGAACCTGGCGTTGTCGGTTTTTGGACTTGCCGTACTTTTGCGTCACCTTCCCAGGAGGTCGACACAAGTCCAGGAAATTTGGCGTTGGTGAGTTGGCACCTGTTGTTCGGTTGACGCAACCCTGACCGGCGGTGGAGCTTGTCGTGCCCTTGTTGAGCGGCTGATACTGTTCTCCCGTCTCGGAGAATGCAGATAGCCTGCTCCTCATTTGGCGGAGCTGACGCCGAATTTTGGGTATCTGTGAAAAGTCCATTGCCCTTCAGCGGGGACTAAGTTGAAGGACTGTGAAGAGTTGACAGACTGCGTGTCCTCAACCTCGACGAGATTGGGGGGGCGACGGCGCTTAAGGGCTTGGGGGCTCCGAGTCCTGCTTCTGGGTCTGATGAGAGGCGACACTTGCTTCCCGTCCTGAGGTTGAGGTTTTGAGGTTGACATTTGAGTTTGGAAGGCTGCCCCCCCACATGCGGGACTTTCGGACGCCTTTCGGACTCGTTTCGGACTCGTTGCCACTTCCAACGCGTTCCAAGTTTCCACGCGTCCCAATAAAAGACCCAACCTTTCTCTTCTTCTTCTTCCCGAGTCTCGTTGGTCGTATGGGGCAAGACAACTATTCTGTTCTTCTCTTTGGCATTGCTTCATGCCCCACTAATCTTCCCCTTTACTCGGATTTTAACTCTTTGTCTCGCCTTTCTCCAGGTATAAATCAACAATACATGCAGACCACCATCCACACGAACCAAAAAAAAACAATATATCACATCCAGCTGGCCCCGCCCACACCCCCTCACTCACTTCTGCAACGTAACCCGCTCCACCCTCGCCTGCAGCGCCACTCCCTCCCCATACAACCGTTCCTGCGCATTCCCCGCCTGCGCATCCGCCGCAATCTCCTTCCTCCTTTCTATCAGATCCGCCGTCGACACGCCCTCGCGTTCGTCCCGCGCCTCGAGCAGTTCTGGGTCGATTTGGCCGGGGCGCGTGAAGGAGGTCATGAGAGAAGGCGGGCCGAAGGGGAGGATGTCGCCGCGGTCGACCTGCCAGAGGTGCCTGATGAACGGGGTTAGTTGATGTCGTTAGATAGGAATCTGGTGAGCATTGCGAGGTGTAACTACCATGTCTTCCCCCAAGTGTTGACGATCTTTGAGAGTTCGTGGTTTTCGATTTCTTTGTGCATTGAGCGCGGGATGAGGGAGAGCATGGGGAGGCTGATGATGCCGCCTTTTACTTCATAGACCTGGGGGTATTGTGAGTGAGGCGATGATGTCTCGTGACCCGGAACCAGTGGCATTGACGTACATGTGAATGCCAGTATTCTCGCTCTTCTGCTCGGGGATGCGATCGAAGTCAGTGAGTCAAGGGTCAGTAATGATCTAACGGAAAGCTACCTTCCGGAAGGTCATTGTAGAGCCGAGCGGAGATGATGTACTCCACGCCAATGAGTCTTGCGTCGGCTTCGGCGGAGTCGTAGATCACGCACTGGCACACGTCTTCTGAGAGCTGTGGGATGCGGAATGACACTTTGAGTTTGTGATGTCTAAATCAATACTTCGATGCCTGCCTCATCTCGCCGCCTAGCTCTCCTCCCATCAGCATCTCCAATCGCGGCCTTTCCATGCCTCGAATCCCAAAATCAACAGCCAAAAACATACATGCGAACATAAATGATGCGCCTCCACCTGCCGGTTGATATCATGACTATAGCAGTGGTACCCAACAATATGGCGACAGATCTGCTTCAACGGTTTGAAATTCTGCACAGCCGCGGCACCCAGGCCGAGGACTTTTGTGTCGAGAGAGACTGGGTCACCTGGGACCTGAAGAGAAGGTGGAATGGACCATCAGGAATGTCTGTTCATATGGGAAGCGGATTTGGGTACATGAACTTACGACGCCGTCGCCGCCGGAGATGACTTGTTTTGGGATGCTGCTGCAACAGGAGTGGTCTTGGTCTCCCATTTCGGGTTGTCAGATGCAAGAAGGATGTGCGGTACGCTTTGGGGTGTATTGGGGATTGGCAGGCTTTTGATTGGGAAGATCGTCGAGCTGTCAAGATGGCATGGCCAGGGACATCACTACATTATATACAGTACATGGCGTTTCTTCCGACCTTTCTTCCGAGAAGTATGCATGACTTCATGAGAGTGGAGTGATGTGTGGGGCGATGGATGACGTCGTTGTGACCGAAATAGTTTTCCTTTCTCTTAAATCTAATGCATATAGCGTCGGTGCATCACCGCACAGCCGACACAACCTACAATACACCAGCGACGGTTCTGACCTCAGTCGGCTACTTCCGATCTCGCGCACAATACGATCGTTCTGCGACCAAGCGCACGTTAGGCAGGCTGCTCTCCGAAACATACAGTAATTTATCCCCGCACGATATATTGATAGACATCCCGTCGCATGTAATAGATCGCAGCGCAGTTAATGATGAAAAAGGCATAACAGGGTTGCAAAGAGATGTACAGATGGAGCACACGTCCCAAGAAATTGTCCTTTCCCCTGCGCTCCAAAGATCTCCACATCACTTCCCCACACCCGCACCCGCCAACGCCTTCTCCCTCTCCAAAACTTTCTTCTCCCTCTCCTGCATCTTCCCCATCTTCCTCCTCAGCTCTGCCGGCAGCACGTCAAAGCACCTCCTGCACATCGGCTTGTAGTCCCAGTCGATGAACCCGTGCTTGGACGTCATGAGCGGGAGGTGGCAGCCGATGCAATTGAAGTGTGTTTGGCAGAATTTGCGACCCATTGCTGTTATTGCTGCGATGCATCGCGGGGGTTAAACGCGGTGAGGGTGATGGGGACACGGGGAGGGGGGGGGGGGGGGGGGAAGAGAGACTTACTCTTGCCTATAGCAGGTTCATGGCACATTGCGCAGACGTCACCCATGAGTTCGTGGTAGTGCCCTTCGCAGTAGGGTTTGCCCTTGTAGTCCCAGTATTGGGAGGCGTTGAAGGGTTTTTCGCATTTCGCGCATACAAAGTGCTAACAAGCGGAATGAAATGAGAGGGGTGAGCGATCCAAATCATGGGTGGCATACAGACCCCCGACCCCGACCCCCAAGGAAGAGAAAACGGACACACCCACCCACCTCAGGATGGAAATACTTAGAGAGTGCCGTAACACTCCTCCCCACAATCGGCCTCCGACAAGCCTGGCAAATCCTCAACGTCATCTTGTCCAAACAGATCGCGCAGTACAATTTCCCCTCATACATCTTCGCATCCTGCCCCAGCACCAGCTTACACAGACTACAATTGAAATGATGGGCATGAAACTTCTTATTGTTGATCACAATCAAGCTCTCGTTCAGCGCTTCGTTGACGGGTTTCTTGCATCTGTCGCACAGCTCCACGGCCTTTTCCTTGACTTTGAGCCGCTCGACGCAGGGCTTGCAGTAGGGTTTGGACTTTTTCTTGACAAAGGTGGACCCAGCGAGGGATTTGCCGCACGTCACGCAGGTGAAGTGATCCGGGTGCCATTTCATGTCCATGGCCGTTATGCATTTACCACGGATGATTTCGCCGCAGCGGCCGCAGCGGGCTCTGCGAAACGAAATAAGAGACAATGTATGGGTGTGGGTGGGGGTGAATGGCATGATGAGTGGGGGCGGCGGTGGGGGTACCCCGCTTGCCCAAAGGGTGGGATGGTTTTACATACCCATGCAGCACGGTATAGTCAAACTCACAATAGAACCTGCCCTCCGTCTCGAAGAAGATGTTCTCGGGAAAGGGCTCCAGGCATTGATGGCACACAAAACAGGCATTGTGATAGCGACTATCGTTCGCGTTGATGTGCGAGCCTGTGATGAGTTCGCGGCAGACTTTGCAGGTTGGGCCTGTGGGTTGCTGCTGTGGGCCGGAGGGCGGGGTTGATTGGACGGGGCCTGCGAGGTGTGCATGTGGGGCTGGTGGAGGGACGGATACTTGTGCCATGATGCGACCGCGAGGGGATAAAGATATGGGAGTGTAAATATGGGGGAGGATCGGTAGCTACTAGTCCCCGCTGGGCGAGAAAAAGGATGGTGGGAAAAGAGCGAAGAAAGGAATAGGAAACGAGCTCCATCATCTCCATCATCTCTCCAGAGCTCCGCAAACGCGCGTCACAAAGGCGGCGAAGGAACGAGCACTTTGGGATGCGTTTCGTGCGTGCAGCGACATCCGCCTGAGAGCGAGGTCGCGACATCTACAGCTGATCTACAGCCGCGGCCTCCCCTGGGTAAGTGAGTACCCTGTGTTAAGAGCACTCGGCGGTTGTCCTCGTGCTAACCCTCAGCACCCAAAGGCGCAGCCCAGCAATGGAACCCGCACCCATTCCCACAGACTCTCCCGAATGCAGCAAGGCTCTCAGCTATATGAGGGCAGCTTTGGAGCAGGTTGGGAAGCGGTCCAACTTGTCTTGTCTTGGAGTCAGTGGATCTCCCCACTGAGAATCGTGGTTGGAATTGCAGGCCCAAGAAGCGTATGATGCTGGGGAAGTTCCCGTCGGCTGTGTGTTTGTCCACGAGGGGGAAATCATTGGAAGGGGGAGGAATAGGACCAATGAGACGCTTAATGTATGGTTGAGAGGAACATCTCAATGCCTTCAGCTGTAGCCTCACCACTCACAGAGACGTACTTCCAGGGAACAAGCCACGCAGAATTCGTCGCAATCAATCAAATAACGCAAGCGGGCCACTCATGGGATGTGTTTGCGACCACAGATCTCTACGTGACGGTCGAGCCATGTGTGATGTGCGCATCAGCCCTGCGGCATCTTAATATCCGCAAGGTGTACTTTGGATGTGGGAATGATAAGTTTGGGGGGTGTGGAAGTGTGTTTGCTGTGCATCAGGAGTAGGTTCTTTTTTTGTTGCTGTTGTGTTGGCCGGTTGGGTGGGGGCATTTGTAAAGCCACATCAGCGTGTTCAGTACTGATGATGCTTTCCCCAATGCAGCACAACAAGCGAGGGAAGACCATATGAAGCAGAAGGCGGGTATTACAGGGAAGAAGCAATTATGATGCTTAGGAGGTTCTACGTCCGGCAGAATGATCATGGTACGGAAGCGAGGAATTTCCCTTGCCGGATTTCAAGCTCTGATGCTACAGGGCAGTGACTGATGTGCACCGGTCTTGCAGCTCCAGCGCCAAAACGCAAAGCAAATCGGGTATTGAAGACAGACATCTGTTGATCTGAAAGGCCCGCCGTTTGTTTTACCTCCCTCCTCCGCTGGATTGGCCCGTGAAAATATCCTGGCACCTAAGGGTGTTCACCCTCCCTCACACATATCCGAGCATCGTTTCTATCTTTAGAAAGAACAAGCAGCGCTGGATAGCCCATAAGGAAAGAAAGGATCGACATCCGTCGCGAAATGTATTCCACAACCCAAATTACATGCAAAGCAAAAAAAAAAAACAAGAAAACCCCATCGCACTGTTTGTCTATATCCCACACGAGAGGGTTGTAGCGAAACCCAAAAACCAAGCAAAGAACACGGTATCTCAAACGACGAGATCTTCGGCGGCGAGGAGACGAAGATGAGAGGATGTCGAGCGGGAGGTAGATGCTACCGACGAGCTGGATTTGGGGGGATGTTGCGGAGGGTGGGTGATGTTGATGTTTGGGCGGATTCGGCAAGCCGGTGGGTGAAGGCGGGATGGGAAAGGGAACAGAGAATCCGATATGTGCGAGTCGTTGAAGGTGGGGGGGCCGCCAAAGTCGTGTTGAAAAACACGGGCCCCCGTATGTGATTTGTATATATGTGCTACCGGCGCTTTTTGAGGAGTGTTGGAGCACCCTTGTCAGGGGTGTCGAGGGCCGCAACTCTTGCTCGGAGCTTATTGATGTCTTTTGTCTTGATTTTTATGTTGAGGGATTCCGCGACTAGGTCGTCGGCTTGTAGGTTCGCGCGTGGGACGTGTAACAGAAGGTCAATGGTTTCTGCGTTTGTGGGACATTCCTTCAGCAGTTGTTCTGAGTCGTGAAGAGAGAAGGATTGTTAAACGAGTGTATTCGAAGATGGGACATGAGCCGAGACGTTGGGAGCGATGAAAGCGACCACATACCTTTGTTTATCTTGATTATCGCCAGGCCCGCTCGGAACAGTGGTTTTATCCCTAAACATACTTGCAGTATAAGCAGCCATTCTTGGATGAAGTAAAGGCAGGCCACAAACTCATACGTACCCTCGCAAAACATCATATCCCATATCCTCAACGTGGTTTCCCACGGGGCTGTTGTCGTGAAGGCCGTCATGAACCACTGTGTTATATACATCAAAGGAGTCACATCTTGCTTTGCCTGTGTACATAGGACGTCGCGTCGTTAGCGATGAAGCCCTCGAGTACAACGGATGGAGTTTCGGAAGCTTTACCATGTGCCTAGCTACGGGCCGCAGTTTTTTGTCCAACAAAGCTTCGAACACTGCGGCGTCTCTGCGGAGCTGCAGTAGCTCTGGTGTGTACGTGTCCTTGAACGTAGTCTCGAGCGTCGTCACGAGTAACCAAAACGCATCCTGTGTCAAAAAGAAAGAGGAGAACGAGGGTGATGAGCACGCGAGAAACGTGGGAAGGTGTTGCGATGAGACAAGACATACCTCCGCCGGCATGTGCATCAACATCATTCCCGCTATCATTCCCATCCCCTGGCAATACCCGACCTCAGGCTTGTAAACCGCAAAGGCGCGAAGCACCCGACGCAGATTCTCCTGTCTGTGAAGGAAAGGTGAAGAGGTAGCCTTTTGTGAGTGAAGTGTGCATAGGGAACGACATCGGAGGATGAAGGTATGTACCCAGCGCCTTGTGGGTCGGCAAACATTTGGTGCTCTGTGGAAGGGATGAGATGACGATGCATATGAGTACTAGGATTCTTCGTATTCAAAAGATCGGGGTCTTATGCTAGGACGACTTACCTGGGAAGCAGCGCCCAATATCCCGCTCAATGACCTCGAAGATTGTCTCATCGGTCTTCTCAAGACAAGCCTACAGCCACGACAACGCATGTTAGGGCCCTCTTGGAAACCAGCCACCGACGAGAACGTCAAGACGAACTTACCTCCCACACTCCCGGCTTCCTAAATCTGTCAACGCCAGCAGTCGCAGACCACACTTGTGCGCGTATGGACTCTGGTACTCCTTGCCTGGCCAACTTCTTTATCTGGGAACGACGAGGAATGCATGTGTCAGGAAACTGGTTTGCTCTTTGATCTTGGATGAAGGAGATGTGGTGAATACGTACTTTCTTTTCCTTTTTCTTATGGCCCTTCTCCCATTTGGCGAGCATGGCCAACCACGCCGACTCTTTCGCAGGAACGTTCATCTTGCCTCGGCTGTTGGAGATGAACAGCAGAGGAGGATGTGAGCCTCGGAAGCTCACATGGCGCCCGGGCATCAGTGCATCAACCCTGCAGCAGACTCACTTAAAAGAGGACTTGCGGCGGTGGATACTAGGGTTCGCGGCGTTCCCTTCCTTGATGAAAAAACCATACTCGTCGACGGGCCGTGATACAGCTGCAGACTCTGCCATTGTGCCTGAGTGTGATTCTATAAGATAAGACTTGAAGACCGATATAGATTGCATACAAGGTATGCAAAGGTTCGTATGGAGGTATGCAATATGCTGTGCGTTACGGGGTGTGTTGTAGAGAAAAAGAGAAGAAACAGCACAAGACGGGAGAAGGAACGGGAGGATATGCGCCCTTTCGTTCGCTGCTCTACACACCCATGGGAGCGCTAGCTTGAGGCGTAAAATGGATAAGATGCGCCTCTTTTTCCCTACGTGCTTAGTGCTAGTATTGTTGTCGCTTTTTTCTGGAGAAACCGGGTTAAGGTTAATGGAGAGTGACCGTAAATAACCTCAGGACGCGGCTGCCAGTGGCCATTGATTACGTGAGCAAAGTGAGAAGGTTCAATTAGGAGGTGCTGCGCAGAAAGCCTCGTTTGACAGTTCCTTCTGCTTACGTTTCCCTGTCAATTCGTTGCAGGCTTGGGGCTTCCGAAAGCGTTTGTAGGCTACATCTTGATGAAAATGAATACGAATGGGTCTGAAGACATTCCGCATGTGAACTCACTAAGGGATCATTCTCCAAGCATCATCCTCTATGGATATCATGTCTATGTTACAAGATGCTACCCTCGTATCCCCATCCTACGCTGCCTATCTCCCATTATGCCCATTCTCTTCTTCCTCTCCCTTCCCCTACACAATATCCTCCCGTCAACCCAGAACGATCTACCCAGCCTCCGTCAAAACCATCCCCCTCAAAGCATCAAAGCTCCCATCCTCCACAGTCGCCAGATTGGACTCGCGATGTTCTATTTCCTGCGAGTATTTGCCTTTTAAGACAGAGGTTTTGGGTGGCCGCGCGGAGGAGGAGGTGCGGGACGGGCGGGGTGAGAAGGCGTCTTGGGTTTCTGCTTCTGCTGCTGGTGAGCCCGATGCGTGGTTGGTGCCCGGTTCGAGACTGACGTCGGCCGTAAGGGGAGGCGGTGCGAGGGAGGATTTGGACGGCGTTCGGGATGCTTTGGCTGACATTGGGCCCCCAACACCTGGTGAAACCACCGTTTTCCCATTCGACCCCATCCGCTCACTCCTCCCTCCGCCCTCCCTCCTCACAACAACCGTTTTCGGCGTACTCAACCGCTCCCACAATCCCGGATCCGCCTTCTTCACTTTCGGCCTGAACCGCATCGTCGGCACGTAGCCAAGTTTGTATTGTGGGCGTGTGCTGGGGAGTGGGCCACGGAGACGGTGGTTTGTTAAGGACGGGGCGGGGGCTAGGGTTGCTTGGTTTGGGCGGTGGAGGGTGGTGGAGGCGTAGGGGGAGGTGGGTTTGGTGCGATTGGGGGCAGCTGTGCTGGGGCGGCTTGGGGTGGTGGCGGATGTGGGGCGGGCGGTGTGTTGGGGATGCGTTTTGCTGGTGGTGGGAGTGCGGGTGGGTATGCGGAGGTATGGGTGTGTAGGGATCGGTGTTGGCTGTAGTTTACGAAGAATGAGTTCATAAATGTTAGAAATTCCGTACAAGTGAAAATCGTCTGCGTTCTGCTCTCACCTCTGCTTTCTTATGATGTGACGATCCGTTCATGAACGTAGCCAGCAGCTCCCGTCCGCTAACTTCAGACCACGGGTTGGTCGCTCTCGCCAGCATCGACATCTGGAACTGTCGTTCCTTCTTCGTCCGCTCTGTCATGTAATATCAGGCATATACTCAGCATTCAGTACGTTTCCAAGAGCATCCCAAAAGACATCTCAACCCCTCACCTTCCACCAAAAACGGCCGCACGTAATCCAACACCGGATACCTCTTCACATCCATCCCCAAATAACTCGGCTGCACCGGCTGCGACACCGGACAACAAATCATCGCGCCATCTTTCCACCACTTCTTCGTCCTCGCGGCGACGGTAGGAGGCCGTTTTCCATCATTCCCTTTCGTGCTCGTCCTTAACGGTGTGCGGCCGTTCTGGGTAGATTCCGCCTTTTCAGGCACGTCGGCGGTTGACGGGTGGAGTGTAGCAACTGACACGGATTTCGGGCTCTGTGATGCCGTCGCAGGCTGAGACGAGCTCGTCGACGACGACGGCGGACCGGGTCTCCGCGGCCGTACGATCCGTCGCGGGTCAACGGTGTGATCCGACTCCTCCCCATCCCGCGACGTGAGCTGCATTCCCCTTTGACTCCCCACATGTGCAAGCAGCCGTGTATGCGTCGGACGGGGTTTCTTCCTCCGTGACGATCCCGGCCGGGCGGAGGCAGCACTGGCTGTCCGTGAGCTTACTCGGGAGGGTTCATGAGAGAGATCGCCATCCGAGTCGGTGGGGTGGCCGTCCCAGACAGATTCGGAACCCGAGGAGGCGGTTTCTTCGCGGTCGAGGAGGGCGTCCATGGCGGAGGGGGCAAAGGCGTTTTTGCCTTCTACTGCGATGATGGGGTCGGCGGTTGGGGTTTCGGTTTGCTCTGCCATGTCGGCGGCTTTCATGTCACCAATGCTTCCGCTTGCTGCCATCTTGGACAGTTTCCTGACTGCTTGTTGGACGACTGCTGTTTGTTCGAGTTCCTGTTGCTGTTGTCGGCCGAGTAGCCTTTGTTCGAGTGAGAAGCGCACCTCTGCGCTTGCAGCTCGCGACGATTGGGATGGGATATTGAGAGCGTCTTCCCCATGCGTCGTTCGGTTCGATAACTCCGTATTCCCGTCCTCGCCGTGATCCTCGTTATCCTCAATCTCACTATCCCCGTCGTCGTCGTTATCCTCCTCATCAGCGCGGTACGATATAGAATCACTCGACGGCATCTTGTCAAACTCCACATGCGAACTGGGCAGCAGCAGCGGGGGCGTCGGAGAGGCCCGGTATGCGGGCTCACCCGGTATTGGCCGGTCGGCTGGGTGAGACATGATTGGTTGGGTTCCTTTCAGTCCCTGTTTATGTGGGTATACGGCGCTCTCTGTGTCCGCGAATGGGGCTTTCAGGCGATTGTGGCGTCTTGAAGAGCTCCGTACTCTAAATAGGTATGTTTTCGAGTTGGGTGCGCCAAAGCAAGCAAGAATTGGCCGAGTTTCAAGAACTGGCCCATAAGTTCACCAATAAGTTCAAGCTCCGCCTATAACAAGATTTCTTCCTCATCAGAGTCAACCACATGGTATGAGACTTCCGCAGGGCAACATGTGTAAGCCATCTAAGCCCAGACGGGTATAGAAGGCAGGTATGGATTAGGAGAAAGAGGGAAAGCGAATAAGAAGGAAATCCTCCGAAGAGATGTATCCTTTCTGGATGGTCTCTTCCTTCCTTGAGGAGTGCACAGATTAAGCTTACGGATATTTTAGTGCTCGGTGACGAGACCTGATGTGGGTTTATGTGCTTTCTTTCCTTCACCAGGATGTGATTGAAAATGGAGTATATTGACATACGACAACTAGGAAATGCATAAAGCCTCTCGGGGCTAATGTCGTTCTCTCCTGGTCTTCCGGAGCTGTTCGCAAAGTATGGCTGCGACGACGACATTCCTTTGCAGTGAGTCTGGGGGGCGGAGCTGGGATTGACAAGCGGACACGCTGTCGAAATTTATGTCATTGACAGATTTGTATAGCCAACCAAGTCCGAAACTATTGCTGGCCAACCCTGACGTTCACCTGGCAGAAATGCTAACAGGATACGATCCTTCCGATGTTCTGAACATCTATCATCCTAAAATGTCCGGAAGCCGAGGGCAGCAGACCTGGTAAACAACGTATATGCAACTCAACCTGGCGGAATCAAGCCGGCGCCCTTCCCTCTCTGGTCCATCGTGCGGCGATTTGTTCCGAGCGGCGCCGTCGAGCACTGGAGACCCCATAATCCTGCGCTGTTACTCAAATCGGAGATCGACCGCCAGAGACCATGTACATCATAAAACATCACCTATCTGCATCGCAACACGTCGTTTCACATCACGGAAAATCCCGCGAGGCTGGTCCATCGGGGAGCGCATCAGTAGACGCAGTTGATTACCGATGCACTATTTGCACCATACGTTACGTATGAAGACCATTGCCGAGGATTCCATACTCAAGAGCATTGGAGGAAGGACGACACGATGGGACGAAAGTTTGGTTTCTCGCCGTAATGGCAAAGATTCCGGCACGGTTTCCGACTTGCGGTTCACTGCGATGGACCCTTGTGTTTCCCGAGTAGGCAAAGCTCACCAGTCCTTGCACACCATGGAGGAATGAAGACCCCACCATCAGAGTAACAAGAAGGCTGCATTGTTATTGCTGTTGTGCGGCATCTCTGAAAGAACGAAAGGCAGGGTCGCCGGGTGGGGACCTTGAGATAAAAAAACGTGACGGTCAAAAGCGCGTCCGAGTCAAAGCGTTCTAATCGCAACGCCGTTCCTTGCAAGCAGCCTCCCCCTAATCAAAATCGCCCAACCCCCCTGTTCGCGCCCCCTCCACTTTTCTTCACACGCCCCCGATCAGACAACCCCCCCCCCCCCCCCCATCTCCATCAACTACAGACTCTCGTCTGCCTCCTCTGGGCATCGCCCTATCCCTCCACCGCCTTCTCCCACCGCACCTCTTGCCGCTGGTCCTACGCAATCGTACACCCTCCTCGCCACGAAAAAACACGCCCTCAACCCCCCCAGCAAAACACGAAAAAATGGCCCCCACATCCCCCGCCGCTCAAAAACCGCGCAAGGCCGCTACCGCCAAGAAGGCTTCTATCCACCCTTCCTTCAAAGAGATGGTCGTTCACGCTATCGCTGAACTGGTACGTCCTGCTCTCCAGTTTCATCGTGTCCGCGGTGCTCTTTGCTGACGAAATCTGCCTTCTCCTCCCTTGATTCACCTCCGCAATTACGCGTTACCTCCAACCAATTACCTTTCCCACGCTGCTCTACCGATGCTCATAGAAGGACCGAAACGGCTCTACCCGCCAGCAAATTAGGAAGTACATTGACGCTAACTATAAGGTGAGTCTTGTCGGCCCCATGGCTTTGCTCGGTCGATCATCGGGTCGTGATGTCCGCGTCATGGGGACATTTCGACGCGTTATTGGTCTTCTACCTTCTTCTTCGAGAGGAAGCGGCTTTCCTGAGTGCTCTATGCTACCTCTTTGGGTGTCGAGCAACTAGTGTCGTCTATATGTCTCTGTTGACGTGGGCACAGCAAAGTGCGGCGCAGCTATGACTGCTGAGCTTTCGGACGAAATCAATAGGCCCAATAACTTACACTCGTACTTCCTTCCTCTTTCCAGGGACTCAACGACAGCGCTGGCCGCTTCATCAACCAGGCTATCAAGACCGGTGTCCTAAGCGGCGAGCTCATCCAGCCCAAAGGCGCCAGCGGGCCCGTCAAACTCGGAGCGAGCGCCAAGAAAGCCACCACGAGCACCAAACCGAAAAAGGCGACCAGCACATCCGCCGCCCCGAAGAAAGCCGCTACCTCTGGCACAAAGAAGCGGACGAGCAGCACCGGCACGGCCAAGAAGAGCACAGGTAGCAAAGTTGCCGCCAAGAAGGCCACCACCGCCGCCAAGTCTGCTACCAAGAAGACCGTGAAGAAGTCCGCCGCTGCTCCCAAGAAGGCCACTGCCCCCAAGAAGCGTGCTGCACCGAAGGCGGCTGCACCTGTCCCCAAGAAGGACACCGGCGCAGCAGACAAGGCTCGGGCTGCGCGAGCGGCCAAGAGGGCGTGAGCGAAACTCAAACGTCCCTCCCATGTAGTCTTGGTCCCCTTTTGCTTTTGTTTTCTTTTTGCTTTATACCCCTCCCATCACCGCGTTTTCACACAAAACGGATTCTCGGCCCAACATTGTCGGAAAGGAGGAGGGGAGAGATGTGGGAGATTTGGGGCGTCTAGGATAGGGGTAGTGTGGAAAATATGTTTTGGCAACAACGAAAATCAGATCATTCCTCACCCGTATCCACATGGGCCTCCCGTATAATCTTATATCCCACCTATCTTTTGTGTTTCCTGTTTGTGTAAAGGTGTCTTTTGACACCGACGTGAGAATAATGGAGAGGCTTTTCTTACTTTCTACGTTTGATTTCCGTTTGCTGTACATTTGCATGAACGTGTGGGGCACGCCGATATTACAGTTTCCTAACTTTCCTACCTCTGGTATAAACGGAGCGGAAAAGCATTCTTCGCGCAACTACTCTCATTCGTCGTCCGGTGTTCGTTTTACTCTGAGTTCCCATTGATCTGGCGATCTCCTCAGGAGCTTCACAATGCTGCTCATCCAGTCTTCCGCTCTTGCGGGTGTCCGGCCTTCGTTGCACATGAAAATTCATCAAGCTTGTGCATTCCAGATATCGCAAAAGAAAATTGAGCTCAGCCATCGTTTTCTTTTTGTATTTTCACCTGTTCTGCAAAAATGTTCCATCCCACCATCCAACAAATGTACTTCCTCCATCTCCCATGAACCCATCGCGAACCCGCTCGACGTGAGATGACGCATCCCTTAACGATCCGACAAAGTCCCTTTTTACCGCTTGAGCAACGCCGTAATCTCTCCCCATCCGCTTTCTAAACCACGAGATACAAAATGCATCTCCCACCATGCACATTCCACCCGCACCTCGCCCACCATCCATCATCCCACATCCCCGTCGCCACATTCCGAAAAGGAGGTATCACCGGGTCGGCGACAAATTCCTGTTGAACCCTCTCCGCCGGTTCATGTACTGGCGGTAGGTGCGTTGTTTGTTGACTGAGACGGCGCCTTGGTCTGACTGAATTTTTTTGCCCTGTGGTTTGACAGAGAGAAGAAGATGGTGTGTGTTGGTTAGTATATGGTATAACACGTATGGGGTGCATTTGGAGGGCTTATCCTCCGCTGGATACGAGACACATCCACACACACACACACAATCACTAAACTAAACCCCCGCCATCCCCAAAAACTCACATGCGTGGTCTCAAACCCCTTAAACCCCATCAACGCCATCATCTTCGCCTCCTCATCCATACCCTCCATCGGGTCCACCTCGCGCACTTCATCCGAATCCTCGCTCCGTGAGTGGCTCATGCTCCTATCCCGTCTGTCCCGACTGCTTCTGCTTCTGTCTCGACTGTCCTGACGGCGGTGGGAGCTTTGGGGTGAGGAGCGGCGGTGGCTGGAATCCCGAGGCGCGCGGTCATGATCGCTGGAGGGGGAGTAGGGGCGGCGGGGGTTGACTGTTGAGGTTGAGGGTGGGGGTGGGGGGCGGTCGCGGCTATGCTCTATGAATTCCAAATCATTGAATCAGCCTCAACATGCGTGATTCATCACAATCCAATCAAAACAACCACATACCTCCCCTTCCCCGCCTCACACTCCTCCCTGGCGACCGCGACCGCTCCCTCGAATCCCTTGACCCAGACCGTGATCGCGAATACCGGCGTCGGTGGTCGCGCGAGTGTTCGAAATCCGGTCCGGAGCGGGAATCTCGTCTGCCGTAACCGGATGATGGGCCGCTGTGGGGGGCATCTAGGTCTCTGTATCGGGCTGTATCTGCGTTGAAGAAGTGAATGAGAGGGGAATTCCTGACAGCGGTCACGGACATATTTCTCCACGGCCCCCAAAACGTGCAGGCACCCAAAACATACCTCTCCCTCGCCCATACCCCTCCTGCCCATGCCCCCTATACGGGTCATCAAGGTCTCTATATCGCCCACCATCCCCTCTTGCGTCGCCATGTCCGCCCCGGCCGCCGTAATCACCCCTTCCTCCATATCCGCCCCCGCCGCCGTATTCTCCTCTGCCGCCGTAGCCGCCCCCGCTGCCGCGGCCGTATCCTCCTCCGCCTCGGGATCCGTAGCTTTCGGGGTGGGCGCGGGTGTCTCTGCTCATTTTCGGTGTGAGAGCGTTGGTTGGAATTCCGGGGAACCAGGTGAGGGAAGGAAGATGGACGATAGAATTCAACAAACCAGCCACCTGCGTAGAGACGCGATGCCGTCAATGACCCTCTCTTTCATGAGGGAGACGGGGAGAAGAGAAGACACCCTTGCTTTTTTGAAGACAGCACATACAAAAATGCAGGGCGAAGCTGCCGACCCTATTGGGTCTCTCGGAGTCGTATGTATATGATTGTCATTGTCGTTGTGGTGCGCCCATGCACACTACAGCCACATAAAACCCAGATGCGGAAGCGAACCGCACGTCGGTCTAGCACTGACTTCTGCAAGTAATAGTGTCGGCGTCCAGCGTGTGCTAGAAGTGCTACGTTGAATTCCCTCTGCATCGCGGGATCCTCATTCCACCAGCCCCACTTCAGCTCAACAAACCAAAACTTTGCAACTAGAGCTCGAGGCAACTCATCCATCAAATGCCCTACTTCTTATTGAGCAATGCCATCTCAACCGCCGCCTGAGCCCAATCAATCCCATGATTATGCCCCGCATGCCCCTGCCTTCCAATCCCCGCCCTCTCAAACGCCTGATCCTCCGTCAAACACGTCAGGACCCCCAACACGACCGGCCTCCCCAAATCCAACCCCACCCGCATCAACCCCTGGCACGTCGCATCCGCTATGTACTCAAAGTGCATCGTGGACCCTTTGATCAGTACGCCGATGGATATGCATGCGTTAATGTCTGGGTTTTGTTTGAGGAGCTGTTGGGAGGCGAAAGGGAGTTCGAAGGCGCCTGGGACGTCGCGGACGAGGATGTTGGAGGGGGGGACGCCGGCGGAGTGGAGGGTTTCTATTGTGCCTTTCACTAGTGGGTCGACAATGGAGAGATTCCACCGGGTGTGGACTGAGTGACGATACCATTGCCGTGAGAACTTGGGCACCGACACAGTAGAATATGAATATGTGCGGGTGAAAACTCACCTATGAGAATCTTCAAACCAGTCCCGTTGAGAACCTTGGGCACGACCCCTTTCTCGAATTCTGCCATCCCGTTCGCTGCTTCCTGTAAATCGAAGGTTTTCCAGGTCGTGTCCTCCAAGAGATGGTTTGGGACGGAGTTAGCCCAAGTAGGGACGTAAAAAGTCGGCGTAGAAAACGGCCAACATAAACCCGTCACGTGAGCCCTGGGAAACAATTCGAAGCGACGGAAACTCCCAGCAGCGAACCCAAGGAGTGTCGGCTTGAACCGGGTTCATTCCTTCTACCGTTAGACAGACATCAAAACTATACTGACGCCATGGCTTCCAGGCTGCTCGCTAACAAGTCCGCTCTCGGTATGTACTCCCGCAGGGTTGTGCAAAGAGTCGTCGGAGGCCTTGCTCTGAGTCGACATCTGGGCAATTTTGAGGTTTGGTAAACTGGGCGCAATGCTAACCAGTGCTTCTCTCGATTCCTACCGCATCAGCGCTGAAGCAGGCGCTGGCTCCTAGCGCACCCCGCTTGGCTGCCAATGTGTAAGTAGCCTGCTTTTTGGCGTCGATGATTGCGGGAATGCCTGTACTGATGTCGAAATTCTTGTAGCATCGTCTCTGCCCGCCTTCAGCAGCGTGCCGAAATGGCCTCCGGTATGGACTCTGATTAGCAGCACAACCGATAACGAAACGACACGGCTCAATAAAGTCTCCTCTCTGTTATTGTTTTAGTTCCCCAGCGCCCTGAGCCTAAGGTCGCCGCTGAATCCTTGATCAAGCTCTTCCCCGGTGAAGGTCTTGCAGCGAAATCCGGTTCCGTTCTCGTGACCGCCTCCATCGCCGCGTTCCTCATCTCCAAGGAGGTCTACCTCGTCGATGCTGAGGTCTTTGAGATGGCCTGTATTTTTGGTGCCTACTACATCTGGTACAGCAACGGAAAGGACGGCGCTATTGAGTACTTCAACGACAAGAAGAACGTATGTTGACCGGGAGGCGGAGCTGGTTGTTGTGGTGCTGTAGGGGAAGAATACTTATATCGTTTTTGGGCGCTGTTGTAGACTATCAAGCGTGTGCTTGAGCAGGCTCGTCAGGACCACAAGGCTGTCGTCCAGGAGCGTATCCAGCACGTCGGCAAGATGTCTGACATTGTCGATGTTACCAACGGTCTCTACGAGATGTCCAAGGTACGTAATCTCCGAACCAGCCAAATGGGTCATCGTTCCTGCTGCTCTAAAGCAAATCGGACAATGCTGAGGCGGTATTTACAACGTATAGGACATTGCGAGGCTCGAGGCTGAGGCTTACGAGCTCAAGCAGCGCGTCAACTTCACCCAACAAACCAAGAGCGTTCTGGACGCCTGGGTCCGTCACGAGGCGTCTGTCCGTGAATCCCTGCAGAAGGACCTTGCCACCTCCGTCATCGAGAAGGTGAAAGCTGCCCTCGCCGACAAGAGCACGGTGAGTTGGCCCTGCAATGAATTTTGTCGATGACACTCTTTGGCGTTGATTTCTCAATCGGTTCGAAACTGTCTTTCGTTCGGATTCATAGCAAGACAGCATTCTCCAGGACTCTTTGCAGCAAATCCAGAGTACGTATTTTCGCCCCGTAACAAATCCCTTTCCCTCGTTCTTTCAGACACATTTCACTCACTTGCTTCTCCCCTCCTTTTCAAAAGAAATCGCCAACGCTGCGCCCAAGGCTCGTTAGATCTTTGCATACCACACGTATTTGCCGATTTTCGAATTGGAAGAACAATAGATTTCCAGCATTTGGCGATAAGAAGAATTCCTCATCTGTCAAATATCTGCTTGCCCCTGATTGTGTAGCCTGTGCGGACTGTGGGGGTCAGAGGCGGGGGACATTGGGTCAGCACCTTCGAGTCGGCGGATGTCGCTGAGGAGCTTGGGTGGAGCGTGCCGGTTCAAAGGCAAGGCCGGGACGGTCGCTGAACAGCAGAACCTGCAATGACCCGGCGCTTCGCATTGACGTATGTGGCGATGTGCCTGACAAATCCATGCTGTTTGAAGCCTCGTTGTCGGCGAAAGCCGATGGACGGACGAAGTGGGACTTCCTGTGGATCAAATGGACTCCGTTATCGCATCACACAAGCGAGATTTTGCGTTGCCCTCCCCTCAATCTGGCCCCGGTGTCGGGCCGCATATAGAGCTGTTTATTTATATGTCCAGAGTCGGTGAGCCATCGGGCAGGACGCGCGTCGAAAAAACTTGTCCAGAAGAAGAGACGCGTTGCCTTGCTCTGGGAGGTGGTGATGTGAAGATTCCGAGGATTGCACTCCGAACTGTTCTGAAATAGCACAGTAATTTTTTGCACGTAGGTATCAGGGGGGAGTCCGGTATCCACAACACAGTCTGTTACGTAGAAATGGTAAGAAAGCCACGACAGTAAAAGTCACGATTGAGCAATGTCGGAATTCTGAACTTTCCTATCCCCAGCGCTTCCGCATCAGATCACCCCAAGGCCAAAAATCCTTCGGGTCCTCCCTCATGCCCACCTCCACCCTCCACGACTTCCAAACCGACATCCAAAACGTGACAGGCATCCTCGTCGCGGAACAACTTATCCGGTTCGGGTTTCCGCCCAAAACGTTGCAGACGGAGGGGAACGGGGAGGAGACGTTGGAGAAGGTGGGGGTGAAGGATGGGGAGACGTTTATTTTGGAGCGGGTGGAAGGGGGGTTTGCGCCGCAGGCTGGTGTTGGGGTAACCCGGGAAGCAGTATCACCGGCAGCGGTTCCGGCGGGAGGAATGGCGCGAGAACCACCCGCGCGGGCGAATGGACCGGTCGCTGTCGGGAAGGGGCATGGGATACCGTTGAATGATGGGATACTGCTTGTCAGGGTTAGTTTGACTGTGCATGTGCATTTGGAAGGATATCAGAAGAATAAAGTCTGATGCATCCGGTGCAGGAAATGAAGGACGACAACAGTTGCCTGTTCCGATCAATAGGTTACGTGCTCGAGCGATTCCCCGAGAATACGTCAAAGTACCGGCAAAGTGAGTCTTTTCTTCTCCTCCACCCATCTCAACTCCGTTCTGAACCCCCATGCTTCCAGTCATCGCTGACACGATCCAACGCGACGCAACATACAGCGAAGCCATCCTCGGCCGAGAACCATCAAAGTACCGGAGTTGGATCCTCGAGCCGAATAGCTGGGGTGGTGCGATTGAGCTGGCGATTCTTTCGGATCATTTCCAAGTGGGTGGGTTCTTCGACGCGTTTAGAGTCGCGTTGCCCGTGGACGGTGGTCTGACTGGTGATGTTCGACGCAATAGAGATCGACTCGATAGATGTTGGGAGTTTACGAATAGATCGATTCGGTACGTCCTTGAGCTCTCCTTTTGCGTATTACAACATCAGCCCGCCTGCTGACAGAACATCGCAGGCGAAGGAAAGTACCCCCGCCGGGTCTTCGTGATGTACAGCGGGATTCACTACGACGCGCTGGCTCTCACGCCAGATAAGAGCGCGCCCGCGGAGTTTGATCAGACGACGTTTGAGGGAGATGAGGGGGATAGGGTGTATGAGGCGGCGTTGGAGGTGGCGAAGATTTGGAAGAAGGTTAGTTGGGGTGGGAGCGATGGGGTTGCGATTGGTTGGAAGGTGCTGATTGGCCATCGTTGCGTTTTGTAGGAGAAGAAATTTACGGACCTTGCTAATTTCACATTGCGGTGTGGGATATGTAAGAAGGTATGTGCGCCGAGGCATCCGTGTGGCAGCAACAGTAAGATCAAGTCATTGGTTTACCTGATCTGGTGTTCTTGCTTTCAGGGCATCGTCGGCCAACACGAAGCTCAGGCGCACGCTATGGAGACGGGCCATGCTCAGTTCACTGAATACAGTTGACATATTTTCCTCGCGAATGAATGTACAATGGCAGAACGCCCATGTGGCTCGGGGAACTCAAATCCACGCACTATCATGACCCCATCTGTTACCTGACTCCCGAATGAGGCTGGCACTTTGTACTTTCACACCATTGATGAATAGACGCTTGCGAATTTGATGATATATCGAGAGCTTCAAATGGAAGTGGGGCTTCTACATGCGGATCTGCAAAATGCTACCTACGTCAACGCATCTCCAAAAAGACTCAATAAATACAGCCAACCCAGTCGGGCCGGTCGCAACTCCGGACGACCGGCGCCTTCAGCTCGACACATCTTCCATTGCACTATCGCTCTCCTCCTCACCGCTTTCTTCCTCTTCATCCGCGCTCTCCTCCCCCCAACTCGACCCCTCACTCCCACTCCCGCTCTCAACGCCCACCCCTCCGCCCAGAACCTCAATCATAGGTCTCTCGTCCCCACCCAAAGCCAGCAAATCGCCGATGTTCACGTCCCTCGTTCCGGCTGCATCGGTGTCTATGGCAGACGTTGTGACGATGTCTTCAGGCCTGATTGTGCTCGGTGTTGGTGCATCTGGCTTTGTATCGAAGACCCCTACGCCGAGGTTCTACGCAAAATGGAGGGAACGTGTAACACTGTAAGAACGACGTAGGATGAAACCCGGAGCGGAAGGCAAGATCATGCGGGAATGCATACCATCTCGATGTACTGCTCATCATCCTCATCGACTCCTTCGATGTCCACGTTCTCTCTTGCCTCGGGGTTTTGGGAGAGTTGAGCGAGAAGGGACGTGTTCGCGGCGGAGAGTTGTGGGAGGAACGCTGCTACGCGGGACATCACTTTCGATCGCAAAGAAAGACCCAGAACTGATGAATGCCTGGAACCACAACGCCATCGACTTCTAGCCTTATTGCCCCGCGTCCCTCTCCTCCTTTCTCCGCCTCTCTGCGCGCAACTATTTGACAGAGTACTCACATTCGGAAGGAGGCTCCGGCCGGAAAGTCTTTGGCCGACTCGTCCGTTTCACATCGTTTCCAGGATTGATCAGCAACGACGCTGTTTGGGAAAAAAGTCGAAGCTCAATATAAATTATCAATTCAGCGAGTATATGCAGAAAAACGTCTCCGATAACGGACCATGGATAGGAGACTTTTCTCAGCAAAAGCGCATGCCATTCAACGTTTACGTACACAGCGGGGAGGCCTGGTCATGGACGTCCAGGAAGGTGTATGGCGTCCCGGAGGACTTTGCCGGTGGACTTGACATGCTGTCTGTGTTGTATCTGTGCTGTCTGTGTTGGCGACGTCTCGCAAGCCAATTGCTACTGTATGTCTGAAAGGGTGAAATCCTGAAGGCCAAACAGAGGCCAAAGAGGCCAATTTCGCGACGCTGGCGACGGATGTTTTTCTCAACTCACAACTCGCAATCCCTCGTCAACGCATCACAGCGCACGCCCTAACAGAGAGCAACCAGCACCATGCTCTGCCGCTCGACACAGCTACGCCGCCTGGCAGCAGCAGCAACAAGACCGTCGTCGTCGTCACTGGTCCCTGCTCCTCTACGGTCCTTCCACCACGCCGCCAACCCTTTCTGCAGAATACCCTCGCTGATCACCCCGTTCCCCCGCACAACAACTCCACAACAACAGCAAAACCGTCTCCAATCCTCCCCCACCCTCCCCCAGCACCGCTCCATGGCAACCCTAAACCAAGTCATGCGCTCCATTCGCAAGCCCCGGCCCAAAACCGCCGCGGCTCCCGCCCTCGATGGGTGCCCGCAACGTCGAGGTGTCTGCGTCAAAGTCTTCACCGTGAAACCCAAAAAGCCCAATTCCGCGCAGCGTAAAGTCTGTCGTGTACGACTCACGACTGGCAAGGTCGTGATTGCGTACATTCCGGGAGAGGGGCATAACTTGCAGGAGCACTCGGTGGTCTTGGTGAGGGGAGGACGTGTTAGTGATTGTCCGGGTGTGAGATATAAGGTTGTGAGGGGGGCTCTGGATTGTCAGGGGGTGGTTAATCGGAATAAGTCGAGGTCGAAGTATGGAACTAAGGTGAGTTGAGGTTTGGAGGCACGGCGAAAAACAGATGGAGCGAGGGAGGAAGCGAGGCAGCGAGCAAAGCGAGTGTGAGCGAAGCGGACCCAATGCGCCATATGGCGCAAGAATGCTTGAAAGGGACGAGCGATAGCGAGCATTCTGGGTTTTCGCTTGCCGAAAGGAACCCCTTTGCGAGTGGAGTCAGCACAATCGCCTCGTTCTTTTGTAGGCTTTACACGTACTAACGAACATTTCATTCTCTCTTTTCTAGAAGCCGAAAACGGGAGACGCGGCCACCAAAAAGAAGTGATCTGTGTAACAGGATGGCCGCCAATGCATTATAGATGACATGCATCATTAGAAGAACAGAAAGAACAGCTTGTTTGTATATATGCAATGACAGGGATTATCTATTGAAAGCGTCAGGATTGCTGATGCTGCTTGAGGAGACGTCTCAGTTGACGCATCGGATGGGAGTTCGGAGTTACTCCGCTTTGGCTACTATGGTACATGGAATGCCCAGAATCTCCAGATATAAGAAACGAACGCACGCCGCAATTTTCTCATCGGCGAAGATCCGCTAATTGCGGATTGTAACCCAAACCTACATTACATACGTGTGCAGACCCCATTAGTCGTCGAGAACATGGATCAGCCATGGCGTAGGTTCCGGCGGCACGTCATCAAACAAGTATTGTCCACAGTAGTTCGCGTCGATGAACGGCACACCCTTGTGTACAAGATCGCATAATCGCGGTTGCTGACGGAGGACGGGGGCTTTGTAGTCGGTGATGACATAGTTAAGGTACTATAACCAAGCCAAAGCATGTTAGCGAGATAGACGTGAGGGTATCGGATGCATCAACGAAGAAGAACAGACCTGCTTTGGCAAGCTGGCGAACGTTTCCACGTCATTAATGACTTCGGCGCAACCGGCTTTCAGAAGTCTTGTGAAGCCACTCTTCTTGTTGCCCTGGACAATCAGAAGAACTCGCCAGCGTTCAAAGCTGCCCTTCCGTGGCTTACTCGGATCTTTGTAGTTTCCAAGCTTGACTCTCCAGCGTCGGATGGCGTCGAAGAGAGCCTTGTCGTCTAGATTGACAGAAGTTCGGACGAGCCATGTCTGCGTTAAAAGGGACTCGGCGCTCGTATAGCGCTGAAACGGGGCCTACCTTCGTTCGTGGTCGCATTGGACACCCACTCGTAAGGTTCCTCGCTGACGAGGCTTTTCGCTTTTTGGCAAGCATCGACGTATGAGGGTTGCAATACCCTGATAATGGTACGGGGTGAGTTGGAAGACTGACGTGATTAGAGGTGCACGCAAACTTACCACATCCCAGAAGCAATGGCGGCGAGACACTTTTCAGTGCGGCCGGGTTGTTTCACTATTGAACGTCCAGGGGAAGGAGAAAGTCAGCACCCAACCAGGTGGGCAAAAGCGTCAAAAAGTGACTTCTTACCAATGAGATGTGTTATGTCAGGATGCCAATAATCCAAATCCATAACTTTCCCGCCCAGAGCCACCAGAGCGTCGGCGATCCTTGTCCGCTCGGTCCGAGGTATTCCGGACAGAAGGAACTTCCTCTCCGCGGGCTGCAGGATCCTCGGTGTAGGAACCAGCAATGGCGTCACCGATGGTGGAGCTGGGGTCTTCCCGTCCTCTCGGCGCACGTCCGGTTTGTGAATCGTTCTCGGCGACTTTCGAGGAGTCGGCGCTGGCTTTCTCCCCTTCCGGGCGGGTTTCCCCACAACTCCACCGCCTGCGTCCTCCTCATCGGAACTTTTGGCACGTTTCCCTCCGTTATCCAACTGCTCCAGAAGTTTCCGTTTTGCAATGCGACCGTCGGGGTCATCGTATATGATCGCTGCAGCTTCGTCTTGTACCCGACGAACGGCCTGCGTTTGCGTATAGGTATAGGTGTCGTGTTCGGGTATGGGCGCTGATGGAGTGATATCTAGGCCAAGGGGTTGGTCTGACATGATTGAGCTGAGACTACGTGACTTAAGGAGGGAGGAGCGAGTCCGCCTGCGGAGGGTTGTGGGGTCCAAATATTTGTCCAACATCGCTCCATATTGATCTTTCGCTTCATCAACCGGATCCTCCGGCACTTTGATGGGTTCGGATGGCTGGGCATACATTTTCTTGGTACGTTCAGCGCCAAGCGAGACACTGGTCCGGATTGGCCGGATGGGGCTAGACGGGCCGAAATCGACAAGGTTACCAGCCGGAGCATCGCTCATGACCCGTTTGTCGGATTCCGACTTCGCCCGCATATTCGGGGAGGATATACTACGCTTCGCCTTTTTCAAGCCAATCTTCCCTCTCGAAGCCTGATCGACAGGAACCTGACTAGCAGGCGCGGTGATCGGCAGCGACTTCTTCGGATTGAAAAAGTGCGGATAATCGGCCTCATGCACCCTTTGACCAGTCTCACGACACTTCCGTAGCCATTCAGGTGACACCACGTACTTCCCTGTGCGTTTTGCGGCTTTGAAGTCTTTGAAAACTTCGTTGACCTGCTTTCCTTCATGGATGAAATGCGTGCAGGCATCGTTGTACGCCGGCAGGAGCTGAGCACCCATCTGTTTGGCGAGTGTAGAGACTTCGGGGCGCCGATGTGCGGCGCGTTGACTGAGACATATTATCACTCCCTCCAGAAGATTGGGCGGAAGGAGACTTATGTCGATTGCGCATGCGGGCAACGGAGCCCATCCTGCTAGACCGCCGCCTTCCTGTTTGACGTGAGCCGCACTGCCAGCACCGCTTTTCGTAACGTGATCCACAGCCCTTCCTAATCTTCTGGTAAAGGAGACTTCAAGCGGTGATGGAAGACTTCCCTCACCATCTTCGGTAAGAGCTTCTCTCCACGGATTTCGCGGTGTTTGTAGACATGACAGAACCTCCAAAGTGTCGAATTTTGGTCGGAAAGCGGCATTGGTGGCCGGAAACTCCTCGTCGTGGGAGGCGCGGGACGTACTATCTAGAGGCAAAACGGCTGCCGTCTTCGCGCGTTCAGCTGCAGCTGCAGGAGGCGGCACCACTCCTTCATCAAAGCGTAACACATCCAGCAATTTGCCGTGGGCGGCGCACGCATACAGCCACTCCGCAGTCGCCACTGGAATTCGCCAATCCTTCGCTTTCAAAAGTTTGGCGTTATCTATTCCCGGTTTCGAGATAAGATGCGTGTTCCGTTTGGAAAACGTTTCCGTGAATTCGGCCCCTAAAGCCGTTGCCAGCTTCTCGAGATGTATTCTTTCGTAGCCATCATAGCCCGATACGCCGATTATTAGACCCGAGAATTCTTCAAGTGGCACGGGTATGTTCAGTGGCTGGAATAATACAATATCACTCGGGTTGTGGAGCTTGTCATCGTCTATGCACCTCTCTAGCCATAGCGTGGTGACGAGTTGAGCCCCGGCAATGGGTGGTGTACGCTGGTGAACTAGAGGGCATAGTATCGTAGTGCTCGAAGCCACTGGACCACGGCCTACGCGGCTTTCCGCAATCCACATTCCTCCAGCATTCTGCACAATCTCCTGCAGTATGCCTTCTTCCATTGGGTCCAGCCCATCGGCAGAGAAATAGAGCCCCGCGAACAGCGTCTCGTTGAATACTGGCGGCTCATCTGCAGCATTTGCCTCCGCAACATTCCCGTCCTCCAGCTGTGGATATGTAACATTACTGTTTCCGAGTGTTGTAGAGTTTGTCGTATCACTCCTTTTCATATTCGACGACCCTTCTCGATTTTGTGCCACTCCTGCATCACCCCGACTGCTGTTAATAATGCGGCTTGATGCAGCATTTTTCACTTTACTGTCAGTGACACTGTTCGCACGTGGGAGAGAGCTGGATGCCGCCGTTTGTTTCTTTCCGAACGCTCGGAATGTGAAATCATCATCGCCAGATGTATTCTTAAGAAGGCGGACATCGGGTTTTATCTGCACATCTCCGTCTACCAGGGAGTCAAAGAAGTCATCAACCTTGAAGGATCCTCTTGAGCTCTGCCGACTGCCACTATCCTCGTTTATTTTCGACTTTGGTTTTGTTGGCAGCGATTCTTTGCCTGGCTTTTCGCCATCTGACATGCGACGCCCACGCGATCCATCGAAGGGGTCTTCAGTGACCGCAAACAGGTATGGATCCGTGGGTAGTAGAGTCCTTTGACGATAACAATCCCGTAGCCAACGTTGCGAGACCATTGGGACAGCTCGTGTTCCCGTTCCAGCTCGAAGTAGGCGCATATCACTGCCCGTAGGCTTCCTGCCAGAAATGAGGATGTGCGTGACGAAACCGTCAAACGTCTGTTGAAATGCGGCCCCTCCCTCCCGAGTCATTTTGCGAATACTCTCCAGTTGATCATTTGAATATCCTTCGCCGGGATAGATATTGCACTGACCTAGCCAGTTCATTCCCAACTTCGAGGATGTTTGTTTACGATTATGATCAACCTTCATTTGCGGCTTTTCGGAAGGAGCTTCCGTTTCCTTCACCGGAAAAAGTTCTTCATTCGCTCGCGTTCGGTGAGAAATGCAATTCTCGAACCATTCGCGACTCACTACGTGGATGGAATCAACCGTCATGGCGTGCTCGTATTTCCTGCCTTCAGGGCGCTCTGCTATGAGATGTGTGCATGAGCTGTCTAACGTGCCAGAATAGACCGCCCCATGTTGTGCAGCGAGCCGTTGTATGTTCCCACGTTCATCGGCCTCAAATCCGGTGATACAAAACCGGAGGTTCTCGAAAATCGGGGGTTTATCTGCGGTACGCATTCGGCCGACAGCTTGGAGCCAGTAGTGAGACCAGCAGGAGGCTGAAGCAAGTTCCACGAAAAGGGGCGCCGACTCTGCAGGTCCATGCTCCTCCAGGCACCGTCGAACGGCAAGCGAAGGGTCCCCACGGAAACGGACAAGAACTAGCTTCGCTCGGCTTCACGGAATTCTCCCTAGGCCACGAGACGGCAGCGTAAGAATAGTAGAACTGCTTTGTTTCTGGGCTTGGGAATCCTTCAGTTGAAGTTACGCCGGAATATGATCACTCTCGTTTTGCACATTGCTGGGTGGCATAAAAGTGCAATCCAAGTTCAGGTCAAGAAAAGTCCTGTACAGTACGCGTAGGAGAAAGTGGCTGTGCACAGCATTGGGCGAAGAACAAGTCCGAAAGTGCACATGGACAGCGGGACAGCGACCCTGGGGACGCACCTCGTATATATAGCAAGCAGCTCCAGGCTTCATCGACCCCGATGAGCAACTAGCCAGGGTGAGGCAGGTTTCATGTGCTCATTTCCTCGATGTCGCTGTACGTGGTGGTTCATCAATACGTAGATAAAGGACAAAACTGGCTACTATGACGTCTCTGGCATGGTAAGCACCCATGAAACAACATCTCTTCTCCTAAAACATCGGTAGGAAAGTGACGATGTGTAGTTTCACTCCAGGTTAAGGCCTTAGGGACTGGTACAATTGAAGTAAAGACCTTCGTGGCAGTCACTAGAACAATTTCCAAGCAAAAACGAACTAAAAAGTGTTACTTGCCATCCACGCGCTGTCGTAATCCGCAACACCAGGTTCCGACGCACAACGCAGGATCGAGACTGCACTATTGCCATCCCCAATCTGGTTGGTGAGAATTAGCCATATGAACCTCCATTTTCATTTTGCAGCGACACTATATGGCCGGACGCATATCTCGCCGCTCCTCGATCTCCCTTCCAAATGGCTCAGAGCCCCGATTTGCGCCCTTTCTCATCCCAGAAGCCATTGATAAAGCCCTTGTGGAAGCCGAGCGCCGACAATCTTCATCCAATGTCCTAGAAGGGATTCTTCCGGCGCATCAGACGCTCACAGGAGATTTTTATGACTCTTCCAGGGCTTATAAGCAGAGAGCGGCGGAACGTGGCGGAGGAGGCAAGCTTTGGGAGGTGGACATTGTTGTGGAAGGAGTTGAAGGCGAGGAGGAGAAAGTCAGTGGATGTGACGAAGCCGAGGAGGACAATCTGTTGAACGAAGAGGAGGATGCGGATGCGGAGGAAGGAGGGGTTCGTTTCACAGAGCCAGCACTACAAGCTGCTGCAAAAGCATGTCAGGCCCGAAGCGGGATTCGTGAGTAAATCATCCTTGATTTCGGAGTTTAGCGCTTTCTGGTCCAATCTATTGACAGTTCTTCCTCAGCTTCAGAGTCTTTGCCGCCCTTACCGCCTATCACGGTCGAGAGACTTGAGATGCGGGACGAAAGATTGACCGCGGACTTGGTAAGGTCCCGAAAGGCGGTATTTGACCTGAAGCAAGATATCGACGGCCTGCAAGCGGCCATGGCTTTCAATAAGCATGATGAGGAACAGGTACGGTCCTTCCTGCAACCTGCCAGCTAATCTCCATCCTGTGCTTATTGATTCCCCAGTTCGACACCGTTTTTCGCACTATGGTCCAAGAAACCGCACAACTCATCCAGAACCTCGACTCGCTCTCCCTCGCCCTGCCCTCCCACACCGAGCGCCTGGTCCTCCTTGCCGCGCAGTACGATAAAGACCTTTCGCAGCAGACTCAAGCGACACTACAGACGGCCGCTGCCCATATGGCGGAAGCACGAAAAGCCCGTGCGGCGATGCATATGTCACATGCAAAAATACTAGCGGGGAAGAAAGTGAACGAGAAGAGAGCTGGGGGCCTGGCTGGTAGATTGTTGGGTATGGGTGCGCTAGGCGACAGCAGATTGGGGAGTCGCATAGGGAGCAAAATGGGATCTAGGACTGGGAGTGCGAGCGAGCTGAGGGCTTTTGGAAAGGTGGCAGGTCATACGGATAGTAAAGCCGATGTCAGCTAGTGCGTTTACATACGTCCTTTGTTTGTACATAGTGCATTACATCACAATGCGAAGAGAGTCTACATATCATATCTTCCGATGTTCTTCAACCGATCATCTACGCCAACCCCCGATCTAATAGGACACGGATGCAGAAACAGACTGTCCCCGACTCTCGTCAAATTCCGCAATAGCCCCATCTACATGTACCCACAAGTTGTCCAAAGGATCGTTTTCAACATCGAAGTTCATAAAGACTTTGGCTATCACGTGGCTTATCTCTTTCCGCTTCAGATCGGCTGTCGTGAGAGTTGGCACCATGGGGTCCCCTTTGGCGAGTTTCTCTGATGCCTCCCGTCCTAAGGATCACATGTTAACTATCCGTCATATTCATTGACATGTAGCGGGAAGGAATTATGTGTACAACCTCGACGAAGAACGTCTTCCTGCATTCCAGCGAGTGCAGCGCAGTGAACGCCCCATGAGGAAGTAGCACGGCCAGGAGATATACTGTGGTGATGATGATAGGTGGGCATGTTGACCCCAGACGCATGTCCAGGAACCGTGAGTGACTGGTGCTTACCGGTACAGGAAGGTAAGTCCATTAGAGCCTTGCGTCTCCAGAATCTCCATTGTGCAATCTTGCAGCAGTTGCGGCGACACGTTCAACAAATTGTGAGTATTGATTTCTGTAAGACGAGATGAGCATGTAGATTCGAGAATAGGGGCGCAATCAAGTTCCCAAACCATGAAAGTGTGTAGCAACAATGACATTCGGGCACTCATGTGCGCGTGCAGCAAACTGCTCAATCACACCGCAAAGCAGACCCACACCATCTATGCCATTCGAAGGGTCAGGACACAGCAGTGCAACCAGCTGCCCACGAATCATAAGCAAACTGTTTACCAGTAATGTCTGTTCCCTTCCCGAACTCATCCAAAAGCACAAGCGAGCGGGCAGTAGCGCACGCTAGCGCAACTCCGACCTGATTGACATCAATCATGAAGGTGCTCTGCAACTTTGAGACAGACTCCCGAGTCTGCACTCTGGTCAGGATCTTGTCTGTGAGTCCAATTGTGGCGCGCTCGGCGGGGACAAAGCTTCCAATCTGTGCCATGAATGCTATGAGAGCCACCTGAAACGTCAATGTCAGCACCCATGCGAGAACGATGAGAGATCTCCTGGGAAATAGACCTGCTTGAGATAGATCGACTTTCCCGACGAGTTTGCGCCGGTAAGCAAGACAATCCGAGCCGAGTTGTCGTCGAAGCCTAACTGAGTGTTGTTTGGGACGAAGACATCCACGCAAAGCTCCTGGAGCGGATGTCTGGGGAGAAGGCATGGGAAGTGTACACGTCCCCTTTGTCATCTAGCAAGTGAGGATCCTACCTTCCGTTCCGTATCTGCAATACGTTTTCCTCTTTCATTTCGGGGCGCGAATAGTGATATTTTGCAGCTGCTTCCGCCAGCGACAAGATGCAATCTAGCTCCGCACACACTTCCGCCGTTTTCACCAGGGTGCTACGATAGGTGAGCACAGTCTCCTGCAGCTTCTGCATTATCTCGATCTCACGGTCGACGATGATCGAATGGATATCCCCGATCGTTTCGTCGAGTTCAAACATACGATCGCTTTTGTAGTACACGGTATTCGAAGTACAGAACTGGAAATGGAGTCCCTCGATGACAAAATCCTCCTGATTCGTCATCCCTTCCTTGAGAGGGATGGTGATAAGGTAGCCCAGCTGCGGGAAATAGATCACGTTCATCGAAGTCGCAAATTCCGGCGGAATTATGTCTCCGAGTTCGTGCGCAACTTGAGACAGAAGATCGTCCAAGCCGTGGTAGGTTCGCTTCATCTCGTCCAGTTCGTCATCGACATGAGGTTTAACGACAAATCGCGCTTCATTCACGGACGCATCAAAGTCCACCACGTTGTTGATGAGGGAACCGACACTTTTGAGTTCTTGGACGTTGCAGACTTCGTTCATCTTTTGCAGCAGCGTCAATTGCGCTTCCGTGGTAATCTCCCGCAGGATTCCTCGAACTTTGAGAGAGTAATAGGCAAATTTCAGGATCATCTGCCATTCCGGGATAGTCGCTTTGCTTTTCATTTTCCTCAGAGCCCTCGGTATGTTCTTTATATTTCTCAGAGCCGCGCGCAGTTGATCGACCTCATATCGTATATCGGTCATTAAAAAGAACTCGACTGCAGCGTGGCGCTGGCGTATCACTTCAACTTCCATTGAGGGTCGAAGAAACCACTGTTTCAATAGTGTCCGTCCCAGTGGCGTTTTGGTATTGTCTAGGATTCCGAATAACGATAGCCCCTCTTTGCTCCGTTTGCTGAACATGTTCGGATGAGCTTCGTCTTGGAAGATTTGCAGGGACCACATGGCGTCGGCATTAATCTGCATGTACTTTTTGAGATTGAATTGCTCGACTTTGGCGACCTCCATGTCGATATTTCGCTCCAAGATGGCGCCAGTCAGCTTTGCTTTGCTTATGTAGTTTAGGAGAGCCCCAGCACAGCACACCATCTCCTGATTTTCGAGTGAGATGATGCTCTCTAACTGGAACATCATCGACAGCTTGTTGCCCGAAATGGAAGGATTTGCTTGCCCTGGCTGATCCAGATCGGGTCCATCGAACTCGTCTACATGCAGTGAGAGGATTTTGTTTTTCGCGGTTTGATAAATGAAGTCGGTTGATGGACGCACGGCGATCTCGATAGAGCCTAATCTCTCATCTGCCGCAGTAACGGCGGCTACAAAGTCATCATCGGCCCTAGCACTGACAATGATCGTCGACGGCTGCACTTGAAACTTCAAAAGCTGGACGATCTCGAAATGCTGATCATCGTTGGCGTCTTCCATCAGGAACAGGACCGAGTCCGCGACGTTGTAGTATGCAGCACCTATCTTCCCACGCCGGTACGATAGTGCTAGAACATTTTTCTCGAATGCCAGTCCTTCAGGGTGGTCGTCCGAATGTGTGCCGTTGGTCGAACCTTCTTGTTGAAAGCGAACGTGTCGTTCTTCTTTGAGATGCGACATGGGTCTCGAAGTTTCGTCTGACGGCACGCTCCCGAGGAAAGGTGGCACCAGATCAACTTCTGGCACGCGACGGCGTTTGGGTAAAGGCGAACCGATGCTGCTTTCTGGCGACGCCGGGCGCATTAGTGCACGCCTCAGAGGGGTATGTTCCCTTCCCGGAGATTGTGATGCTCGACTCATTTGAGACCATGTTACACTGCTTGCTGCGACGGATGTCGCGTCGTCGTGCGACTCCACAGAGCGTTCTCTTTCAGCAAGCGTCACGCCTCTGGGAGCAAAGTGGTGCGACGTCCCCGGTTCCGCCTTTAAACGTTTTAATTGAGCGGCGTCCTCAGAGCGTCGTAATCGTGATGTTGCGCTAAGCCCAGTAACGCTCGTATCTATGCTTTCGTTGTCATCGAAACCTCCCCGGGTAATTGCGGTTTCTGGTACTGCAAGATGATTGTCACTTTAACAGCCTCAGGGAGCCCCAGACATTTCGCACCCGCATCAACATTACCTTGTCGAGGGTTTGAGCTCTCCTGCGCGGCCGCAAGTTCTCGTTTGTTCGGCACCGATCCCGCAATACTACATCTATCAGAGAAAATGTTGACGATTTCGCTGGCCGAATGACTGACGGTCAGCTTTTTTGCACCAGGGAAGGGTTGCTGGATATCGGTCATCATGCAATCCTCTTGTTCATTGGCGGCCGCGGCTGAGATTGACCCGCGCTTTGAGCTCGGGATCATGCTCGCGTGTGTATCAGTAGACATGGATCGAACTCGGACAACTTCGTGGGAAGCCGCTTTCGATAAGAAACGATGAGAGACAAGCGCATCGGAACCCTCTTGGGTATGCTGGCTTTCATTAGTCATTGTGCTCTCGACGACGGAGAACTCCGCAGGTTGCGCGTGCTGTTCCATAGCGTCTTCAAACCCGTTTCCCACTTGCGAGGCTTCACCAATAGGTTGTTCCGCAACTCCCGCTGCCGTATCTTCCTCAACGTCGCGTTCGATTGGCCAGAATTCTAGGAAGGAGTCTGGGGCTGCCAGGGCATCTTCCTGCAAGAGCGTCTCTTGTCCACCCAGCATAAAGTTGGAGTCGCTGAAGCTGGACGAGGTACCCCCAACGTCCGGAAGGAAGCGAAGGTCGGGTAGACAATCTCCATCGGTAATGTTGCCACCATTCTGCTTCTGAGAATCGCCCGCACCGAATCCCCTTGTAAGTCCTTCCATGCTGCCTTCCATGGCCGTGGTTGAAGGGCTGTTAGCCATCGCTGGACAGTCGTGATTTCTATGCCTTAAGGAGTTGAGACCGACAAAGATACAGAAGACCGAGCATGAGCGACCACCACGCCCCTGTTGAGCAGAAGAAGACACCACCTCTCCTGCGACTGTCCTGCGAGTTTCGATGCTGCTCTGCTTGGGAGACGAACCGCAAGATGGCAGAGAGTACTCCATGAGAAAGTTCCCACGACGCGTGAGAACTCTTGAGAATTGGAACACAGTTGCTCCTGTTGCTCGCTCCGAGCAACGTTTCCGTAATTCTCCAGGTTCTCCCCACTGAGGATTCCTTCGAGTTGCTTCATGATTCCATAGCACAACAATGGCGCAACAGCAGCAGCAACAGCAGATCTTTCGCCTCGCCGTCATATGCGCCAGTAACCAGAACAGGAGTATGGAGGCCCACAATGTTTTACAGTGAGTAGAAGTTTCGATTCCATGCATCGACTCGATATCTGTTGACCGGTCTCATCACCTTACAGCCATGTCTTGACTTTGTAGGAAAGCAGGTTACACGGTTTCTTCTTATGGTACAGGAAGTGCTGTGAGACTACCAGGACCATCGGTCGATAAGCCAAACATATACCCTTTCGGCGTACCATACAACGATATTCTCAATGATCTTGTCAAGAAGGACCCGCAGCTGTAGGTGGTCTGCATACAGGCCCTAGAGGACGATAATTTCACTAGTAGAGGATTGCTGATGTTCGCAATTGGCGCAGGTATAAGGCAAATGGGCTTTTGCCCATGCTCGATAGGAATCGGCGAATAAAGCGGGCCCCAGAACGGTGGCAGGAAAATCGTGACATATTTGATATTGTCATATCATGTGAAGAACGATGTTTTGATGCAGCTTGCGATGGTATGCGAAGCCAGATAGAATGTTGCGACTGGGATTTCCTGTGTCTCTGATTCCCTCCCCTCCATGCAGACCTGAACAATCGAAGTGGGGACCTCAATCGACCCGTACATTTGATTAACATAGAGATTCAAGATAACCACCAAGAAGCTGCAGTGGGCGGTCAACTTATACTGCAGCTCGTTAATACCATCGCACAATCGCAAGACCGCGATGCAGATATGGATAGAATATTAGATGAATTCGCGTCGCGGACGAACGCGCAGGTTCTACACTCGGTCTGCTTCTATTGAGGCGTTCTCAGAAGATCGCTGCACAGCGGTTAGGGTAGGGCTGTGCCTGACGAGGTCTACATAGGGCTGTGTCCATTCTATAGGGTTTTGAGAACACACGTCAGCGTACTCAACGCCTGGTTATGTGCAGACCTCTTGTACGTAGAGACGCCTGGCGATCAGGCAAATCCTGAGGCACGCAAGATGTTTCCTGACGGGGCCGAGATATAGAGAATGCTTCGCCGACCTTTAGTAGCAATCCTTATCGTCAACCATATACAATGTGTTGTTGTCGTACTGTACTGTACACGCACGCGTTCAAGTTGGCGGAGTTGATCTTCTAGAACTTCTGACAGCGCTTCTGTTGAAATTCCGTTGTTTATCTTTTCGTCTCCAAGTCACAGACATCGAACTATAAATGGAAGGACTTCTTTATAGTGTCAGCTCCGGAATGCCGGTCCGAAATGTGGCTTCAAAACCTGGCTTGAAATATATAACTGACGCCCTTGGTTCCGCTCATCTCCAGTTTGGAGAGTCTGCGACAGTTTCTCAGATATATTATACCCTTAGTATACATACCCCTACCAGTCAGCACAATGCGCGGATCGGAAGCAATCTACGCCCTGCTGGCCCTTGCTGTCGTTGGTGTGCAGGCAGATGTTTACATGCGTAGGAATCGATTTTCTCCTGTTATTGGTATACATGATAGGTGCAGATGACTGACACCGAGCCTATTAACAGACAACCCTCGAGGTTCGAACAACAAACTAAACGAACAGAGCAATAACGTGCAGAACGACAACAGGTGAGTTCAAGACGAGGCATCGCAGTTTTGAGACCAAGCCAGTGCCAACCTTTCCACATGGCAGACTCTTCGACTCTCAGAACAACGGACGCGGAGGATACCAAGCAGGCGATGACTGCAAGATACCATGCCAGAACAATAATCAGCAATATGACGCAAAGATGCCGGGTGCTTTGAAAGGCGTCATGCAATTCTACGAAGGCAGTGAGCTTGAGATTCAATGGTAAGCGACGGGCCATCCTGATGGACGCTGACGATAGATTCACTTAACGATGTAAATCTTCAACGCCGAAGGACGAACCAACACGGCTGTGGATTGAACCCCCGTCTTCACTGCAACATGGTCCTCCAGTACATGTGCGAAGACTCCGCCCCTGGCCTCCGTGACGGTACCACGACCAGCACAATCGTTCAGGATCCCACTGCAGCAAATTACATGACATACGGACAACATGAACCTTTCTCGTGGTATCAGCAATGTTCGACACGAAAGCGGAACAAGCGGTTGTTCACGGCGGATAGGAATCTGAACGGGGACACGGCGATCTTCACTCGTCAGAACAACAACGGGCAGAGATTTGGGTTCGAGTGTCCTGAGGAGAGGTAAGCTATGGAATGTTTGATGGATATACCGTTTGAAGCCTTTCTGAAACGGTTTATCACCTGAAGGGACTACTATCCTTACTGGCTCCCCACTCCATGGCGAGATATTTACACATGCACGGACGAACCCAAACGATGCAAGTACTACCAAGCCACCAGCCAGAACGGGAACGACAGAGGCAGCTGCTCCGACCCACAGGTGCGTCAGAAGGCATCTCTCGCTAATTACATCGGTCTTTGCATCGGAAATGATAATGGTCTGTTTCACAGTTCATAACTAGATTCGATTGCGAGCAAAACAGTGCCACATGGTCCTACTCTGGGAACTTCAACGTCCCAGCGCCCGATTGCGGCGTATGCCCTACCACACGGAACAACCATCTTGGTCAGGCAGATGGCACGACGCAGTCCCCGTCGTACACCTGGACCGTCCCCGAGGGTGTGCACCCGGACGGGACGAAGTGTGTCCTCAGGCTTCGGTACAACATCTCGACCATGGATTATGATGGCTGGGGGACGGATTCGTTCTACAATGCCGCGAATTCCAAAGTGAAGGGTAAGCACAGCGGGGAGACGGAATGCATATGCTTGTTTCAACAAACCTCATCGATCATCATCATAGGTAATCCAACGGTGGACTTCGTCGGGATGGGGAATAATGTCTCCGGCCCGTTGACGTTGAACATCAACACCGCGCAATTTGGGCGAACGTTTGAGGACCGGTCCCATGTGTTCATTGTACGCAAACAGCCGGCTGAGTTGAAGCGGAACTTTATTGGGACTTCCCGGATCATCAACCTGAATGTTCGAGGCAGGAGGGGAAACATTGTCGATGTAAGAGCCCTCCATTTATATCATTACGCCGGTTGCGGCCATCAACATCTCTTGTTGACAGGTTTATCCATCCGTGGAGTACGACTTTGTGCCAAATACCATCAATGCGAAGCGCGGCGATTATCTGCACATTCAGGTCGGTGGTGAACTTAGCATTTGCCTTTCAAACCTACATGACCTGATCACCAACAAAAACAGTGGACAGGCTCCGACGCAAATCAGAACGGCAACGCCGGCAACGGCCGCGACGGCACCGACCGCAGCAACCTCGTAGTAGCATCCTCGCAAGGCGTCAACTACCCCATCAATTTCAATCCGGACGGCGACACCCCACCAGACCACTTCACCGACAACCGCAATATGATTGCCAAACTAGCGTACCTCGATCAGACGAACTGTACGACAACCACCGATGCGAATAATCCCCAGAATTGTGCAAGGATCAATTCTGCGAGTGGGTATTTCAACGCCGGGTTGGTGAGGGTTGATAATAAGGGGACGTTCAATTTGTTGAGCACGAGGAATAGCGCTTTTTCGAATCGTGAACGTAAGTGGGATCGTTCGAAATGCTGTTGCGCTTGTACATTTCTGGGTCATTTTGAACTGGCGTATGCGATCCCCCAACAGAGAAAGCAACCCTCAACGTCTCCGAAGACATGGACAGCGTCGGCGCCGCAATTGGCATCGCCATTGGCGGAGCCGCCTTCCTCGGCGCCGCCAGCTTCGCGTCCATGCGATTCGTGCGCTACGGGCGAAGCAATCCAGCCAGCAAAGCAGGCGCGATCGTCGGGGCCCTGCACTTGACCAGACCGCAAAGCGAACACGCATCGACGCCGTCGGACACCGAAGACGTAATGCGGCATCCCTATATCGCAAAATTCAACGAATGGTGGTTGTGGAAAGGCCCCCGAGTTACCATCATCACCGCGTTTGTGTTGGTCAACGCTGGGGTCTGGATTTACGGATACTGTCTCGCACTTGGTGTCGACCCGGCACCGTACTATCCGTACGCGAAAGGCTTTGGGAAGACCCTCAACGTCAACTGCTCGTTCATTCTCATCACCGTGCTCCGCAACACGCTCTGCTGGTTGCGTAGCACCCCGCTTGCGGACGTGATCCCGCTGGACGACAACATCGCGATGCATAAACTGGTGTTCGCGTTCATTGCGGTCGGGGGCATTATGCATGCTGTGTTCCACTACCTCGACTTTGGGTGGAATGAGCAGCGGTACGGGGTTTCGACCGGGCATCAGGCATTCGCCAACCTGGCTGGAGTGACTGGGCATTTGATAGCGTTAATGATGCTCTGCATGTTCCTGTCCGCGGTGTTCATGCGGAAGTACTTTACTTTCAGACGATTCCGGTACGTGGGAGAACTCCCTTGCGAGCATCCAATTGATAAATTCTAACGGCATTTCGATGTTTTACCACAGATTCGATGGCTACAGAACCTTCCTTCTCGTGCACAAGCTCTGGATGCCTTGCTTCGTCCTCCTCTGGCTCCACGGCCCCATGTTCTGGGCTTTCTCGCTCTGGCCCCTGGCCTTCATCGGCCTGGAAAAGCTCGTGCAGAAGCGTCGCGCCAAGGTGGACGTGGTCGTCATCGATTCGAAGATTGTGGGTCAGGACATCCTCGCGCTGAAGATGAAGATGCAAGGAAAGCGAAAGTTCAACTACAAAGCTGGACAGTACCTCTTCTTGAACTGCCCCGACATCACGGAACTGGAATGGCATCCGTTTACGATCACCAGCGCTCCTGAAGAAGCGCACTTCAGCTGCCATATTCGTGCTCGGCCCGACATGGACTGGTGTTACAAGCTACGCACTTTGCTCGGCCACGCTCGAACGGAGGTTGTGCCGAAGGAGGGCCGACAGTCACTCGTTGTGAGGCCCGTTGTGAAGAAATCGGGGAATCTCGAGGCGGGGGAGGTCAAACCTGCCAAAGAGGACAAGGCACAGATCATGTTGAGGGTGGACGGCCCATATGGGAGCCCGTCCGAAGAAGTGTTTGACCATTCGACAGTAGTTCTCGTCGGCGCCGGCATTGGAGTCACACCTTTCATCTCGATCTTGAAATCCATGACCATCCGTGTGAAGCAGCGGGAAGGTTTATCAAAGGAAGCGAGAGCCGAACAGCAACGTCTCAAGATCCACTTCTTCTGGGTGTGCCGCGATGAACAGGAATTGTCGTCGTTTAAGGATCTCATTGATGCAGTTATCTCCAATGCTGATCTGAAAGATCATGTGGTTTTGAATACGTACACCACTGGGGTATGGCTCTCCGCTGGCCCATTTGGGGTGATATGCATTGCTGTTCATGCTGACGCTCTCTTGCGAATTTCTCAGGAGCTCAATCTGAAGAAGGTCACCTTGCACGCTTACAATCAGTACTCCGGCAAGCCTAACTGGGGACGCATTTTGAAAGAGATCGCCGGAGCTCATCAGGGAGAAGAAATCGGGGTGGGTGATGTTACTATCCATCCTTCACATATCGTCTTCTGAGTCTTCCGCATCTGCAGGTCTTCATGTGTGGGCCTTTGCCACTGGCGCACGACCTGAACCTTGCCTGCAAGCGGCAGAACCATATGGCGGCGAAAGGAAAGCCTGGGGACAAGGAGAACCGGACCATATTCAAGTTCAAGAAAGAGAACTTCTGAGAATCAGGGGGTAGGAATAGCTATTAGTCGTAGTTTCGGAAGTTTAGAAGCGTTTGCGCGCGGATGATGACTCTTTTAGTAGGCACGTAGGACTGGACTTTAGTACCAACAATTGTAACATTTATCTTTTCGGATGCCATCTTGCTAGTTCCGATGGCCATATCAAGTTCTCCATATTGCCACTGGGATTCCTCTTCCCATAGCGCGTCCAAACCAAAACTTTCGTTGATGTCCAAGACCAAATGACCACCCCCTGGACTGGCCCTCAAACACGATCTCTGTTTCCCCAACCTATCCAAATCCAATTCAACATGGCACATTTGGAGCCCACAATGGTTGTCGGATTGTTGATATAAGTTTTGATGCCAATTGAGAGATGTACCAAGGAGCTTCGCCCTACTGCAGAGCCAAGTAGAGAGTTCCCAAAGCCGTCGCAAACAGAACGGTATATCCTGTGTTGTATACGCCCTTCAGGTGAAGCTGTCGTCCGGTGTCCCATAGCTGTAATAAGATGCGTAAGTAAATAGTTCCGTGACCGTTCTGCTCAAAGCTTCCTTACCAAGTGTCGGCATCCATTAAGCGAGTGGAAGACCAGGGGGGCAGCAATGATTATCTTGGAAGCAATGAGAACGGGAGCAGGGAGGCTTTGTACAAAGTTGATGACGTCGGCTGAAGCGAACGGTGCGAGACCGTAGTATGCGCTTCCGAGGACAAAGGCTGGGATGACGTGAAAGATGAAATTCAGGTCATGCTCAACTTTGAGAAGACGCTGTGAGGTTTCCTGCTTACCACCAGAGAGACCAACACCAGTGATACGGTGCAAGGCAGATAGCGCCATGGAGAGCTGAACTTTGTAGATGCTCAAATGGGGTGACCTGGGACGGCCTAGGCGGATAGACCTTGCGTAGGAGTCGACATTCAGTGTTGGCTTTCCGGCGTCGGGGTCATTCACTCCACCAGTGGTCGCTCGGGACACCGGGGTCGACGAAAGCACTCTGGCTGAGCGCAGAGGGGCCAAAGCCAGTTGGCTGATTGGGCTCGCTGTCCCTGCAAGACATTTGTCCGTTAGAAAATTGTTCGGGGAATTGAAGACAAGAATCGCCTCAAGAACTTACTAGTGGCAGCAAGACGAAGTCCCCGGTTGGCTAGCATTGTATTGGCTGTGCAAGTGGATATCCGATGAGGGTAACTGTACGTTGGTGTCGTCGGGAGATCTTGAGCGGGATGGAGGAGGAGAAACGGACGCACACGGGAAGAATAGGAAGCGTGGGAAAATTGATGCAAGTCTCAGCGCTCACTCACATCCTGAGCGCGCGCCCTTGTGCAACACCGACGGAGAGGCCTCTCCTCTGCATGCTGTCATTTTCGAGCCCACCTGTGCTCTTCCCTTTGTTGACTTCAGTCCTGATCAAACTCGGTGGATAAAATTTCTATCCTTCATTTGCTTGCCCAATCTGATTCGCCCACCTCAGGCCCTTGCAACGACACCCTGTATACATGCGCACTAAGTCCTTTCTATAATTGCATTTCCAGAACGTAAACGGGGTATAGTTTACAGTGATGCTCCTGTATGATATGCATCCATAGAGCGGGATGCTCCCGTCTAGTTCATTTGCTGGAGCACGCACACAAAAGGCCTCCGAACTTCCAAGCCAAGCCCGCATTTCTGGTGACAGCTTTGTGAATTGGCGGTGAATTGTTCACTCTACGGCGCTGGAGGCGTGATGTTGAACATGGCTCATCTGTCGCAAGGTTCCATATGTCGCAGAACACATAAGTTTCCCTCTCCTTTGCGGCGGCGGCAGCAGCAGGCCGTGCAATGGCTTAACTACGGGTCTCCGGCATTCTGAGAATGACCTTCCTCAACTCAGTTGGTGGTTCCTCAGCCCAAACTCGTCACCCCCTACTCAGCGCACCTGGTAGATCAGAGGGTGGACGCAACTTTCTCAGAGAGTACACGGATCCCTACTTCTCCTAGTAGCACGTTGCGCGGGCAGGATGTGAGCGCTGAGATGCAAGTCGCTGCTTTCTGCGGGAGGCGCGCGTGATGATTTATCTTCTGGCTTGCATCTGCAGTAGCTACTTGCAGCTAGACTTGCAGCTCTTGCAGGGCAATTGCAAGGCATGAAAGGAATGAATGAAGCCCAACGCAACGTCTCGTTCGATAGGTCATTGCGGGGGACGTTTTTCTTTCATTGGTTTCCATTTGATTCAAAGTACATGCAAAGGTCATCAGAACTATCAATACGGTACTTTGCCGCCCCACCACATACTGCACATATCTATCTTAGATGTAGGATTTAAAACTGTAAACATATAACTTGTCCCAAGCATCAGAGACCATTCCTTGGTTCCAGACCGAGAACGTCTCTAGGTGAGCACCCTGCTGCTCAACACCAGGGGCCGAACGGCATGCTGAAGTATCCATTCAAGTGCGCATCGATGGTGGGGATGAACACGCTTCCGGCGCACTGGGGGTCCTCGCCATTTGCGTCGTTGCACGAGTTGAGGTCGCCGTTCTTGCTGATCCAAAACTCCTCGCGGTGGTGCTGGAACCCGAACGACTTGGGCGGGAGGTGGGGCACGATGTCGGTGGTGTGTGTGATGCGGTAGACGTGGGATGCGAACGGGAGGGTGGAGACCCAGTTCGCGAAAATGGAGTTACCGACGCGGGGTTCGCCGTAGGTGTATAGCTTGAGAGTCTTGCCGGCCGAGTCGCCGAGCCAGTCGACGATGTCGATAGCCGTCAAAACGGAAGTGGCACCACCTATAAGTCAGCGACGAGGATATTGATTAGAAGCGGTCCGAGGGGACGGGGAATCCTCCAGGGCATCAACATCACGTACCAAGACTGTGACCTGTTACAGTAATCGTGTAGTCGGTGCCGTACTGCTGAAATGCCTTCTGGATGGCGGCACGGACGGCGCTGCGGGAAGCCGTCACGGTCGACTGGAAGCCGATATGCACCTTGGCGCCATCGGGAGCGCGCAGCCTGCTCAGACCCACGTCTGAAGAAAATGAAAGAGTGAGCTCCTCGGTGTTGGTCGCACTGCAACCATCGCAGGCATGCTTACTGGCATCAGCTTTGAAGAATTTCAAGTCGTTAATGGCATTGGTGATGGAGCTGGTGCCCCGGAAAGCGACGATGATCTCTTTGCGAGAAGGGTTGACGGCGACGTATCTGCAACGTGGAGAAGTTAGATATCTGAGCATTTGGTTCTAGCGGAAGGAACACGGAATTGGGAGCTTACCCCACCGTGTCCGTCTTGCTGTCCACAAATTTAGAAATTAACTTGGTGCCCAGGGTGCCTCCGGCGCAACGGTCTTTGCAGATCCAGCCATCGAGCCCGTTGAGGCAGTCTTGTAATGAGGGTACGTTAGCGCTCATGAACAATCATCATCGTCGATATCCATAATGAAGCTTACATGCAGCCGCAGAGTAGAGCTGGTAAAGTTCAGCATTCTTGAGGTCATCGCCTCCAATCGCGATCAACTTCTGAAGCGAATTGGTAGGGCCGTTTGCCGTCTCGTTGACCGGCAACTGTTCGGTCGGGGGAACGCTGGTCGTCGGATCCTGACGGGACTTTGCGACTTCCTTTTGAATGACAGCGTTGATGGCGGCGGGTTGCAAGTTCGCAATCATGTCGGGTGTCGCGGGACGACCGATCACCTATTACATTGAAAGGACGTTTCGATTGATAAAAGATTTCGACGCAGCAAGACATGGAAAACTACATCGTACTTACGTTAGACAAGAAATCCAAGCGGACTTGCTGATCGGATCGAGCTTTAACTTGGGGCGCGGCACGTTGCTGCAGGTTGACTACGGCCGGCGATGCCAATGCTCCAGCAGCGGAGACGCCGAGAAGGGCGATGCAAGTTTTGAGGTGAACCATTTTGATGAGGGATGAGAGATCGTTCAACGATGGGTGATGCGATGAGTATCGAAAGAATTGGGACAGCCAGCTGTCTTATGAGAAGATATGCGAGGAGGGGGATGTCGGAAAAGGGATTCGGCCATCGCACTGCTGCTTTTATAGGCGAGCACTGTATGAGAGGTCCTGCAACATCTCAGAGCTCAGCGCTCGCAGTCTCCTCTTCACTTTGTTTCCAGCGCACATCTTCGCTTGCTTTGCTTCCGTCGTCGGGACACCAAAAGGTCATGCGCCGTCCCCAACGACGTACATGCTCGGGATCGCAACGTCCTTCCACCAGTAGACGCATCCGCCGCTTCACGAAATGTCCTCATGAGGCTCTGGAATCGCACACGCCGCCGTCGGGATACTGTAGTTACAACTCCCCTCGGAAAATGTCCGCCCCTTGGTCCCGTTGGCAAGGCCGGTGGGAGCGGGGGACAAGGGATGCACATAGACATCCTATGGCCGGCGATGAGAGTGGAGTACGAGAGATGCACCGGTAGACACCTGATGTACATTGCACATGCCAGGATCGAGCAGCTTTCTCTATGGAGATGTGGGAATTTTTGCCGGCGGCCAAGCGGTGGCAACGTCTCTATGTTGTTTACCCAGAAGCCTCGGGGGCATATCGTTCAACTCGCTCCCATTGGCGAAAGTTTGCCCCAAATATTCGGCAACTCGCAAGCAGATCTTGATTCCTCGTCCTCCTCCAACAAATCACAAATCCACACCCTGTCATTCAGGCTTGACAAAAGGGTCAATGCCGTCAAAAGCCTCAAAGCATGACGCTACCCCTTAAACCCGTATACCAGCTGGGTTGTGCAAAGTAGCTGGCGGGCAAGCGGGGGGATCAGCGATGCTGCTCACGTATGTGTATTTATTGTGCTACCCTAGGGAAGACGGGGGAAGCCGCCTACTGACAGCAGATACGCGTGAGGCGCGACACTTGTCTGACTGCGCGCCGATCAACTACCCTTCAGTCCAGTTTTGTGGACAGGGGCAGGAAAGTTGAAAGACCCGCATCCCCTTTGGACTTTTTTTAGCAGCGAAACTTTGTAAATGCCGGAGCGACACAGTACATGCGCATCTGTGAGCATGCCTTGCACTCCCGACTCTCATGCATGGAAATAGAAATTCCGGACTAGTTTTCAGGTCTTGAGTCCACGTCCGCGTAAGAAGGCGTGATGCCCCATTCGTGCTCGCTGACTTTCCAACTGGGACAAGGGACAAGAAGATGAACGTGAGAGCCTCAGGCGCTCCCAAACTGTTGCGATACAGCATCAAAGCTCCCTTTGACATCAGACAGAACGCAGATTCCTGAGTTTGATGGCCCAAGCATGAACATTTAATACGATGTTAGAGAAGCGTCCTGGGCACGCTGCCAGATCATAGATGAATGTTTTGGCAGCTGCAATGGTACAGTAGAAGCATCCGGTGGTCGTGTGATCTCACGACGGCGGATCAGATTAATGGCCTTGCACACTGGGCTGCTGCGGGAAGATGGATATGAAGTGATATGACAAGTGTCGCATTGTAAGATCTAAGCTAGGAAAGATGGAAAACACAAGATAAAAAAGCCTGCTGGGTCATAGCGAATGAAGACCAGGTTCTTTGGTGCGAGGGAAGCAAACGTCCCGTTATTGGTTTGGAGTCCAAAATTTGGATGTTTTCCCTGCCGTTCTCGATCTCCGCCTTGATTCCCAGCGGAACGAGAGTTAGCCACTCCAAAGCCTCCGCCGTGTGGTCATTCTCCTGTCATGGTATTCGTATGGTATGATTGAAGGTCTTCCTTCGGATGGAGTCCCGTGGCCTTAACGACTACTTGCTTGTCTAAGTCGGGCCAATATGTACATTCGTTTGCGGACATCTTCCTCCACACAAACGGGATCAGGTTTTCAACGTCCAGCCGACGAGCTAATGTTTTGCGTTGTATGGAAGGCGACTATCCCCCCAGCACCTTTCATCATACTCCGTCGCAGCATGATGAAAGAAAAATGGGAACTTGGCTTTCCGCTGTCACTGTCAAAATAGCCACTGTCAATTTGAATCGGATTTGACCTCACCGAGTGGACGCCCACCGAACTCTGAGAAATCTCTCCTTTCCCCCGCCAACCTGGCACGATTTATTCCGTGGCCAGCATCACAAGGTTGTCTTCTGCGCTCTCCATGCTTGCGAGGATACACCTCAGTGATGCTCCGTAGTCAGCATCCCCAGTCCACGCAAGGTGGGTTCCTCTACCTGCCCTCCGTCCCTCTCTGCGCACGGTGCCAACATTAAACGGCAGTCGATGTCCAGGCCAGGTGCCCGCGCCTTCGCTGCAACAGCTGGGTCAACCGGCATACCCGCCGCTTCGTCCCTCTTACAACCTGTGGATACACGATCCTGGGTTCTCAAAGCAGGACTTGGTCATAAACCCTGACTGCTTTCCCGGGTGTAGGGTTGGTGACCTTCTGAAGATCACTCAGCCAGCGTCCTCCGGAGACAACAAAAATGGTTTTAGTCAATCACAATTCCCCAGCTCGAGGGGAGGTTTAGCAGCACTATCCGTACGGCAGCATTCCAACCCAAACCAGCATCACCGAGGAGTCGCACACGGTTCTCAGGCAGCAGAGGACAAGTCGAGGACGCTCATCTTGCAGGTGACATCTGTCGATCGTGAGTTTATCAACAAGCAGTCTCAGCTGCAGGTATTCAAAGGATGTTCCCAGTTGTATTGAAAGGTTTCCTGTGGAGTCTCATCGTTGTGATTACCAGATATCCATTGCCCAACACATAGCGGCCATCTTTGAACTTCACGCGCGGAAGGATGTAGTTGTTACGAAGGTTGGTTGCTTCCGGCGCAGTGTACTTACATTGTCTCTCGACTGAAGATGATTCGCTTTGATAGGTCGAGCGGGAGGCGATATCAGCGGACTATGTGGAGATCTGTTTCCGGGATCAATACTTGGGTCGGAGCGACATGTGGCGCATGAAAACGTCTCTCACAGGAACCTGCGTGTACGAGGGCAAAAAGGTGTCGTCCCTGGGCATAAGGGCGCAAATCAAAGACATTGTTGTCTCTGGCAGAAAAGTAAGTGGCGTTGCGATCGAAGTGACCGGGATGTAACGCGGGAACTTACCACCGACCCTGATAGGCGTCATGTGGATATATCAACGACAACACGAAGACCATTTTCCGCTCAGAGACGGCAAAATACTTCATTTGCATTCAAATGAGCAAAGAGATGTGGGAGTTTGATGAGGATGGCGAATTGTATTTCGAAAAATGCGTGCACGGCTTCTTGCCTCAATTATTCGCCAAGTGGAAGGAGGCTGGCGCCAACCACGTTGTGTCTGTCGTTCTCTTTGCCCGCATTCACTATCAGACCGACGAAGAGGAGGTGGTAGAAGACACGGGCGACCAAGCACCTTTGTTCACTCCTGCACCTGAAGGTGGTGGTGCTGAGGACGGCATACCATTACTGAAGGATGCATCCGGACGGTCATACAGGGACTTTTATAAGGTCGTCGTAGACTGGGCCATTCGGAGCGATTGGTCCCAGATTCTGATACCTTTGGAGAAGGAATTCGTCTCATTCCAACGGGACGTTCTACAGCAGTCGAGCAGCGAGGGTTCCACCATTCTTGCTGGCACAAATTCACCCGCAAGTGAAGGCAATGTTTTGGAAGCAATCAACCTTGCGCTGAATCCATTCGATAGGCACTATATCGATCGGGACCTTTCTCGTACGGGGCTCGGAATCGTCGTTATTACACCAGGACCTGGAGTCTACGAAGTAGATAAAAAACTGCTGCGACTGACGGCGCACCGTATGGTGGATAACGGAATAGGCCTTGATCTTGTCTGTCTAAGCAAACCGCCTCTCTGCACTGTGCCGCTATTTCAGTACGTTTCGAAAGAGTGCCCGTCGAGTCTGACAGGTTGGGGTAGCGGACAGAGTGGAGCCAGCATTGATGCTGAATCGAGCATCAATAGCGAAAGGCGGTGGGCCTCAGCACTGGGAGGCGCAACAGGGCAGAAGGGACCAGAACGGTCAGCGGACAAAATGGGAACCGGAGCCAGTGACAGGAGCATGGGGACGCATGCCGCACCTGGCTTCAGCTCCGCAAGCGGAACTTCGGGGCAAGAGCGTAGAACGGAAGCATGGGATCCACTATACTACGACGATGCGACGCCAGAAATACCAGACAAAACCTTCTACACGGTGCCACACTGGATCATGTGTAGTTTCTGGGCACGAGAAGGGGAGCAGGATAACAAGGGATTCCGGCTACGGTGCAAAATGTACGAGGTGCAGATGATGGGCGTCATGGAAGAAATCGGCTCTACGATAGTGATTCCGTATATGGAGGAGCAAGATTTGGCGGAAGTCGGCGACGTGCAGGTTGTGCAAGTTTCGAGCAAAAAGCAGAGCGATGCCCAACAACAACCCCCAGCACCTGTGGAGCGTAATGCGTCTGGAGTGGTACGCTTCGATGTCGGTGGGGATGATGATGAGAACAGCCCTGCTGTGTCTGTCATTGACGATTTTGTGATTGACACCGAGCAATACGACGAAAGTGTGTTTTTACCTATCATTAAGCACCAGTCGATGGTCATCAAAAACCGGTCAAACTCGGGGATGAATGTGGGAGGATCCTCGGACGTGGATTCACTAGCTTCCAACAAAGGCGTGCGTGGAGGGTCTAGGCTCGATTTGCAGCATCCTTATGCTACAACTGGGGGTGCTCGGGGGAACTTCCTCGGCAACGTAGTGTCCATCAGCCCTGAGGGTGTGGCGGGTGTTGTCGCGCTAGGGCCGCAAGCCCGACAATCTTTGCATCGTATGACGCTGAATACAACTGATAGTGTCAGAAGTGATGACTCAGGAGGGGGCCCAACGCGGAATCTTTATCAGAACTCTGGCTACTATCCAACATGGGAGGAAGGCGACACGTTGAGATCGAATGACCGAATTGCTTTAATCAAAGCAAAAGCTCGCATCGAGCAAGTACGAGCCGCGGGTGGTGTTTTAGGCCGTGATCCGTCGCAGATCTCTATCAATAGTCAGCCCTCATTACGGGGCACCACGTCGGATACCGCTCTGTCGAGCATGTTTGCAGGAGGTGGTTCCCAACAGAGGGTGTTGGCGAAGACAGCTTCAAATACATCCCTGACAGCGGAAGCTGCCGCAACAGCTGAGAAGAAACGGCCTGCCTGGGCGTCGTCGGCAGCGCAATCTTCCGGAGGAAGGACAAGTGCACCAGTCAGTCGTAAATCTAGCGTTCTTGCAAGCGACACAGCCTATGGCGATTCTCACACTCTATGGTCCGGCGCTGGAACGTCGCCTGGAAAAGGGGATGTCAGGCTGTCGCAGCCTTCCCGGACGGAGGATGCCAGGGCCAGCGTACCACAAAGCTTGCCCATCGGGGCGAATTTGCAGAGAGCGGCCATTGAGGATACCGATTCGTCTGGTCTGCACTCGGCATCGACGACTCTTGCACCCATTCGCATCCGTGGGAACCAACAAGTTGGCTTGCGGCATCCTTATCGAGAAGGATTGTCAACGTCGGGGAGCTTCAAGAGCCACTCGCCCTTGGCAAACTATGAATACCTCCGGAGTCAATACCCTCGAGTCTCTCCAGGCAAGACAAGCGGCTCGGGCGGCAACATGCGCGCGCCCACGTTCCAGCAGACGTCTTTCCGCTCGCACTTGATCAATCCATGTAACCCTAGCCGCAATATCATCCGCGCTACGAGTCAAGTCCTGCGATGGCAACACGTTTTCCCACAGATCATCTTGCCGATGCGAAACGATTTCATCATTGCATGGAAGAGTTTGTCCATTCCTGCCTGTTTGCCTCTGACAACCGACTTTTTCCCATCCCCTGAGGATCTTCAACAACTGTATCAGGAGTACACGTACACAGTCTCAGCGGCCGATGATGCAACGCCTTATCAGTCTCGAGGTACTGGAAGGTCCGACGAAGGCCGAGGGACGCAGACAACGAAAGTGGAGGGATTGCTTGTGGATTTGGTGGCGCAACGTCTGGCGCAAGGCTTTCAATTGATAATCGCCGGCTCGACAAACTTGGGTTTGCCGGGTACACCCCTCGGCGAACGAGGAGGCGATGTGCCCCAGCAAGCAACTAACATCGGAGGTTTCAGTTCTCAACCGGGGAGTTTGCGGCAAACTGGCGACAAACCCAGTAATCCATGGAAGTCCAGTGCATGGAATGACACTTCGCAACGGTCCACCGCACAAACGCAAGTTCAGGGACGCTCAGGCATGCAGCAAGCAGTTCACAAAGATCGATCCCCTTCATTCGGAGCATCCACAACCCCGGGAACAAGAGCTTCGCCCCGGGCGTACTATCTGAGTCTCGGTGATCATGTGCACAAGCTTTCTCATGATGCATCCGGTCAAAATGTGGAGGTCAAGCGATACGTCCGTAAGGTCACCTATTCCACCCTCCCCATTCAATACGCGTGCGGGATATGGCGGAAGCATGATACGTTTTATCGACCCAAGCAACTGGGATTCTCTTACCCGCCTGTGACATCGTACAATTGGAACTATCTGGACCACTTGATTTCGGGCTATCAAGAAGAACTCACTGAAAACCTGCGATTCTGGCGAACGCGCTTCCTTCTGATCCCAGTCGAAAATGTCAACCATGTCAACCCGTTCCTTAACCCTCAGAATGACAATCTCGATGAAGAAGAAATCCGCGTCGTAGGATTTGAGAAGTTCATCGAGGTTTTCGAGAAATCTCGGTGGGTGCCGCCGTGGGAAGAAGATGACGTTGACTTTCCGCCGCAGAATCAGTTATCCGGAGGCAGCCGCAGAAAGCATATCCCAAAGCTTGGAAAGAAGCTGCAGATTCAGCTCACGACGCTGAATACGTCCCGCTTCATTAGAGAGGAGGTGTTGAGGAGGGGTTTAACACGTATGGGAACAGCAGGTACGAACCCGGGTGGTGCAAGTACAGCCAATCAGAAGGCGCTGCCTACGACACTGCCAAGACGTGGATCCGCCACATCTCCGGCGACCTCAGTGAATGGCACAAATACCGTGAGCCCAACTCCGTTGACCCGAAGCTCACCATTCTCCGCGGTTGCCGAAGCCATGCAAGCACCTCCACCTGCCGGAGTTGCTTTCGGGGATCGTAGATGGCATTTCCGGCTGTACGAGCGCGTGTTCATCGGAAGCGAATGTGTAGAGTGGATGGTGCGCAATTTTGCGGATATAGAGACCCCGGAGGAAGCTGTAGCATACGGCAACGCGCTCCTCAAAGAAGGCTTCTTTGAGCATGCAAATCGCAAGCATCGGTTTTTGGACGGGCACTATTTCTACCGTGTTCGGGGAGATTTTGCAAAAACTCCTGGCACCGCGGGAACGAAGGACAAGGAGAAGGAAAAGCTTGGCGGAGTTCCACTCTGGTTTGGAAACCGCGCCAAATCTTCGACCAACCTGTTTGATTCGAACAGCGGCAGTTCCAGCCCGTCCGTTACTACCAGTAGCAATACTTCAGCATACCCGAGCAATGATGCCTTGGCCCCCACGTCTACGAATGCTCTTGACATGGCTGTTCAGGACAGTCCACAGGCTGCGCAAACCAAATCTGTACGGCAGGCTGTCGAACCTTACGCCTTGACACGACGAATGGTCATTGATCTCGATGTTCAACGTCGATCTCCCAGGAGAGAGACCGCGGTTCTGCACTATGATACTGTGCACAATCCTCGCCACTGCTATCATTACCAGATTCATTGGTTGGCTTGCAGTCCTCGATGGATTGAGGACCTTGTGGCGGGCTGGGCACGGGTCGCTGAGAAATGCGGGTTCAAAATGGTCGAAGCTGGAACTTCGCAGGTACCGTGGATTCGTTACGTCATCTTTTATCTATAGGTTACGTGGCTCATGTTTCTCCCTACAACAGGCGGAACCCCTTTCGGACGATAATCCATTCCAGTCAGTGACATTGATCAAGCCGTGCATACCACTGCCATTACATCCGAAGGCACCATTCCCATCAAGTGTGTATCTGACGGAAACGGTTCGACGCTTCAACTTCGTATTGGATATGGAAGCGGACAGCTCTTTACCAACCAACGCCGTGACCTGGTCTTACGACAGAGGCAAAGGGTTCAAACGCACTCAATGGGTGCACCGTAGCGGTGTTGCTTTCATTCAAATAAGCTCCGAGGACGAGGAAGTGGGTTTTTGGTGGGTTGCCAACCGCATGCACCTAACTGGATCAGCCAGCGTGTCGCAGCAGGGTGGCGCAGGCAAGGAGGCCCGTGGAAGTAGCAGCAGTGGTGTCGATCCGGATACTCTGATGAAGACGTTTGCAGATTTCTGCAACAATGAAGCAGAAATTCGCCAGTTTTGGGACGAGGTTTACGAAACCTTTTCCGGGATTTACGAAGCTGCCACCGCAGAAAGTAGCGCCAAGCCCTTGCCTGGCCAAGTGGGGACTGCCCAAAAGGCACATCAACGAGCAGCATCAACCGGCAGCAACAAAGGGACCAGCTCCGCGGACGCGGCAGCCGCCGACGATAGTGACCGACGAAGTGAAAACAGCATGGATGCTGTTGCCGGCGTGTTGGTCGTGGGTGCTCTGGAGGCCGCGTCTGCAAATATACCATACGACCTCGGCGTTGATGCTGGACTTCCGACAATGCGTGTTGGAGAAGGGGGCAGGTTGATTTGCATCGACCGACTACCTTCTGAACCACTTCTTGCGGACATGACGGAGCATTTGCAAGGCTTGGGGGCCAAATCCATTCCCGTGCCGCAGCAGAGCACTGAACAAGCGGAAGATGGTCTCCGTCCTAGCTTGAGTCGTACTGGTAGTATCCTAGACCCGAGCTTCTTCAGGCCCCCAACTCCGGGAAAAGGCGCCAAAGCTGCGCTACCGAAGGGAAAGGAGGAACCCCCTCGGGCTGGGGAATAATACGCGGGGCAACCTCATAGAGGCGGCGTAGACGGGCTATCACCCGTTGCCGATCCTCCGTTTCATGAACATACTACATATCATCCGTGAGATACCTTCGCTCGTGTAGATTCTCTTAGCATGTACATATGAAGTTTAGGCTGGGCAAATAGTATAATGGTCGCAAACAGTACCTATTTCTTCGGTCTGCAAATCATTGTCGAAGATCACAATACAAGATGCCATGAGCATTGCGCTTTCGGATGGGTCGTAAACCTGCACTAAAGAGTACATGTTACGCTACGCTTGCTAGGGTACTTTTTAAATCTTTGCACGTCATGGTCATGACGTGCGCGCTTTAGTGAACGATACGAACGCATCTCGGTAGGCCGTCGAGAGCCTGACTAGAAATGACCGTCATGGGGAACAGCTGTCGCCTGTTCACCCGAAGCCGTTGTGCGTCACGGCTCGGATGTTGATTTGCGGTGGGTCGAATATCATGTTGCCATGATGATTTCGCTATGCAGCCGTGGCGTTCACGTCGTGCTTATTGCGTGAGAACGTTTTGTTATGTTCCCAGCACCTCATTTGGCGATGACGCCGCTCATATTCAGTCTCCGACCTGTCAAATAAAACAATGACCTCTTGGAATCTCTCCAAAAAAGCGATTATTCTTTCGTACTACAAGAGCTGTGAGCATAGTAGTTGCCAAGACTAGAATCCTCAATACCTCGTTCGTGCCCCTCCGCTTCATCCCCATCAAACCCCAATACACGCCAGCAGCGCCTTCGAGTAATCCCCACTCATCCCTCACCCATCCTAGCATACAGCGTTCCGCCAGCTGCTGTTGATGCGGCCTCCTTGATCATTGCCATGACGTGCGGGTCGCGGTGCCGCACATTCGGGCGGATCAGCTTGTTCTCTCTCGTGCCCATCCCAGCCATTGATTTCTCAAAGAGGTGGCGATGTAAGCCGCCCTGGATTCGACGGAGCGAACTGACTGGAGAAAGGATGGGTTGGTGACTCTGCGTATGGGTGAATGAAGCGGGTAGTGGTTACTTACTGACGCTGACGAGGGCCTTCCCCATGTGGCCTGAAAACGCGCTTTCCACTACAGAGTCTACCTAAACGCTTATACCTATTATACCGTCATCAACAGATGGAAATCATGCCTCATCGAAAACGCCAAGCTGCACTCACTTGGCCCTATACGCCGCAAAGACGGTACGTAGATGCGCGTCGGGGGCGACAAGTAGACTGATGAAGGCGCTCTCATCCGTGCCAATTCTGGCCGCCTCGGCTCTGTAGAACGCTTCCACATCCGCACTGACATCCGGCTGTGCCCGTTTCGAAGGAACGTAAGCATTGCGTATTCACATCTCCAAAACATTGTGCACGGTCGTGAGTGGATTGACCTAGACTGTCCGGTCTCATCCCGACTAGCCTGCAACACTGTAGTAAGCAGTTTCCTGAAGTGGTCGGGGGTCTCAGACTGCAGTCAGATCTTCATTGTATTTGGCCCTGTATGCATTCTTGATCGCAGCCAATTCGGCATTGGTTCGAGACCTTCATTTGTCGCCCAATGAAGGTCTCGATCAAAGCATCTTCGTCTGTTCCCAATCCCGCCTAGATGTGGAACATGATAAGGTGGAAAGAAAACGAGCAGGTGCTCAGCACCACCATGGAATCCTCTTCACCACGTCACATCTCAGACCATAGCTTCTTTCAAACAACCGGCGTCGAGTTCCGGGAGCGACATGGTCAAGGATACCATTACTTTCTTGAAGTTTCCGCCGCATTCAGAGTCAAGGTCTTTGACAAGTTCGCGGCCGAAATGAGCACGGTAGGCAGTATCGATTTGCGGTGCTTGGTCGGGAGCTCGGTTGGGGTTTCGATGAGGGCTTTCTCGTCTGCCGGATGAAGAGGCAGGTCTATTCTCGGCCCGGTATGGGTTCCGTTTCAACCAGTCTCGCACGAAAACATGTACCACTCCCGAAACCCCTCATCGCCTTCCTCAACCCCTAAACATCCCTCCCCAGCTCCTGAGCCGACAAAGCCGGGGACCCCGTCGCATAGTACGACAGCACAGGGGCCTGCGTTCCATATCCCTGCTGGGGCGGCAGTGTGCCGTATCCTGGCCGCTGTGGGTAGCCCTGCGGTGGATAATGCTGCTGCTGGGGATATCCTTGCGGGTACTGTTGCGGGTACCCTTGCTGTGGCAGACCAGCACCGTACGGAGCGCTATATTCTATAGGGCTGCTGTTCCGGAAAGCCCTGCTGCTGTTGGGGATATCCCATACTGAGGTGGAGCGCTGTATGGGTGTTGTGGTGCGCCGCCGGGTGGAGGAGCGTAGCCGCCTTTGCGGGGGATATCCTTGCAGAGGGTATTGCTGCTCTGATTGCTGCTGCTGCTGCGGATAGCCCTGTTGGGTAGTATGGAGGCTGTTGGTGATAGGCCCGGTCTGTCGGTTTTGTGGTTGGGAAAATGGGTGCCTTCTGAAGCAGGTTCAACGCGTAAGCCAACGCAAGATGACAGAAGATGGCCAAGATGGACGGACGCCAAGTCGTCAAGGAAGTAGCCCTTTATGTATTTGAGAGTAGGTTCGTCCATTCCTTGGCAATTCCTTGGCTTACGCAGGGGTTTCAGCTCCTCAAGTCAATCCATACAGCTTGTCTATGTCTTCATGGCCCCAATTCAGAAGTCAGTGCAGTGCATTGAGGTGCAATGTGCAGCCTGACCACAACATCGCGTTGCCCCGTTTCCCTAAACATTCTGAGCAAATCCTGCACAAAGCGTGACAAAGCCTACGCTGTATTGAATCCTAGAAGCTGAAAGTTTGTTACGTAGATTTGAAGGAACCGTCGTTGGGAAATCAAGCAGATAGCTTGTCATCCTGACAGTCAAGTATCAGGCATATCGTTTTCGGGTAAACCGTTACAGGAGAGTTTTGTTCCAAAAACTTGTCCAAAGTCTCTTCCATGAACTCGCTACTTGAAGAAGCGCTGCTGGCAACACAGCATATTCAGCATGGTGCAATATTGCGGATAAAGGATGGAGCTATCAAGGGCCGGTCGCCTCAGTTCTCGGTAACGCTTGTTCGCCAAGCTAGATGTGATGTGTCTCTGAAGGCTAATGAAATGTTTCCATATCCCAACCGCTTATGATGGTTCCCATCATTCAGATGTCACCATCAGACCTCAGCCTAATTCAGCATGCGTTTGAAAAGCCAGGCGAGGCACGGACAATGGACACGGGCCTGACGCTCGGGGAGGAGGAGTACCACATCATCCGCGCAGATCGAATGGCCGTCTATGGAAAACACAAGAGCAACGGCATCATTATATGTCGGACGCACCAATTTTACATTTTGGGAACGTATGAAAATGGGATGCATGCAAGTATTGCTGTTGAGGCTGTGGAGAAGTTGGGTATGTCTCGCGCCGCTTTTTCTGGGGCGACGGGCATCGAGGGGTTTGTGTGTTTATCAGTGTCTGGCTTTCTCTACGTTAGCGGACTATTTACGGAAGAAGAACAAGTGATATCTATACCCCTCGAGAGATCATGTCATATATGGAAAGCTGCGGGACAGCTTTCGACATTCCCATTTGGATGCTTGCTTGCTGCCAGTGACACCCCTCCACCTCCTCGTCATACCAGGATTCCCATGATGTATGAAATCGACATGAATTGCGCTATACCCCCAATGAACATGCTCCTCAAGCGCTCTGAACACTAAGTTTCTGCATGTCGCCCCCAATCTGTTACTTGCTTTCTGGGAAGTGCCGAATCGATGTGTTTCGGACTACCAGAACCCTCTTGCAACACAGGTCGATCAAGAAGGCTTTGAATTGGAAGACGATTTACAGTTCGCTTTCTACTCTGTGTGTGGAATCAAATTCTTACAGATGTTCAGTCGTCGGACCCATCCTCCTCCCCTCTACCCTCATCGTCACTCTCCTCCTGTTGCTCCTCCTCGCGCGCCCTCCTTTCCTCTTCGAATGCAGTCTCCTCGGCCAGACTAGGGTCATTTTGCTCGGTAATGAACTCCACGTTGCCCGCCGCGCCCTCACCGGTGGCGTACTCCTTCTGCAACTCGGGCAATGGAGGAGGCACGAAGCGGGTTTGGTCCTTGTGACCATCGCCTACGTAGATATTGGCAAACTTCTCGTTGTATGAGACGACGGTGGCTCCTGGCCATCGCGTGCATCGAAGCAGGATGGGCGAGAACTTTGCCGACGAGAGAGTTGAGCACATCCGAGACACCCAGCAGGCCATTCCGTCGTGTTCTGCAAAGAAGGAAAACCCATGAATCGACAAGCATTCCTTTCGTATGCGACGTGCATAGGTGAAGAGTACCTTCATCACCCGTCAGAGGGGAGAGAATCGGTGGTCCGGTCTCTGGCTCAGCCTCCGGCTCCTCTTCCCCGTCTCCGTCCTTCCCTGATCCATTTTCGCTGCCTTCGTCATCCTCATTGCCATCTTCATTTTCCTCCTTGGGTGGGTTGGGATTCTCCCAGGTGACACGACCTTGCGGCAGAATGTAGGGTGTGTGATGAACCCAATTGGAGATTTCTAGCAGAGCTTCGTTGGAATGAGCCTCGTACTCCGGGTTGATGATGATGCTTGGGGACGCTGCAGCATTCCAGGAGGGCAAACTATTAGCAAGCTACTTATGGAATGAACTTGCGTGTGCACAAGCTTTCTGAAGCATACCGTTTTCCTCATCTTCATTTTCCTCCTCCTGATCGAAAGCGTAATATCCAGCCGGACTCACGACGGTCGCGGCAGCGATTCGGGCAATCTGGCATCGCAGATATTGTGCTTCGGTTCCATTGAATGGTGGGTAACTGACAATCTGCGATTGTGATGTAATGACATGAATACATACAATCTCGCAGCAGGTGGTTGGCGGTTCACTGCCTCACCTGACGCTTCAAATCACCCGTGAACAGCTTGCGAATTCGTCGCGACGCCTGCAATTTCTCTGGGATTACATCCGGCAACCGACTCCATGCGCCTCCAGCTAGAAAGAATAGTCTACGAATCAATACTTGTGATGTCGACAAAAACCCCACCGCGTGTGTCCCACATACCGAAGTTGCACACATAATACACATATTTATTGACACCAGCCCGCGTCTCCTTCGGCAGTGGGACGACCGGCTTCACTTTCTTCTTTGGATACTGGACCTGCCCATCTTCACCCCCCTCTCTGTTTTCGGAATCTTGCCCGGCCTGCGCATCTTCGCCTGCTTCCGCCTCCGGACCGGGCTCTTCGACAGGCTCCTCCTCATCTTCGGACCCTTCCTTTAGCTCTGCTTCGATGATGATGTAGTTTGCATGTGTGCCGAAGATTTTGCCCCAAAGCCTCACGGATGCGAGAGGCTTTTCCGTAACCAGGCGCTTGAGAGAAAGGAAGAGCATGAAAATCTCTTCTTTTCCAAATGAGACCTAAAACATCTTCTATGAGTAACAAGATATGGCTTCATCATCCGTTAGAGAAAGAGCTTACCCCAGCCCATTCCCAGAGGTTTGCGAGGTCCATAATATCAGGGATCTCGCCCTCAGCATCGTCGCCCCCACCATCCAGAGATGAACGCTGCTCATTTCACCGTCAGCTCCTACTCAAGATGCGCTGTGCATTCGATGAGGAAGGCTGGCATACCTCGAATAGCTTCACCTGCGCTGCTTCAACCTCGCTGGCGGGATGGACGTCATGGACTTTCTAGATGGCATTGCTGTGTCAGACCAAGCTTTCCGGTTCTATCACCGTATGGGGTATCCTTACTTTGAAAGCTCCGGGGGCGGTTGGTTTGTCTACGTGGAAGTGTGTTCGCTTGATATCTGCGGAAATCCGTTCAAATGCGTCTGATCCATAGCAAGTTCGAACTTGTCAGTACGCCCATCCCATTTATAGATACATTGGCAATGCTAACTCACCCACTACGTTGTTCGGACGAGTCTCCAAAATGTGCATGACCACCTCCGTCAAGTGATCATATAAGTTCATGTTACTCTTATCGCTCTGAGACATAAGAAATGCTTTGGCAAGCGCCAGCTCGCTGTCCTCAGGAAGCTGAGTGTCCGGCTTGATGTACGCATCTTTGCGGTTGAGAAACGGATGAGCGGGCTGCACAGGCTGAGCTTTGTGTACTTCCACAGGTGTAGCTGGCTCCACTTCGTCTTTCGGTTCGGTCGCTGGTGCTTCGGCGGCCCGCACAGGTTCTGCCTGTTCAGCTTCAACGGGTGCTGCGGCAGCCGCGTCTTCGGGGGCTGCTGATGGCTCGGTTGGCTGTTCGGGGGCAGCTGGTGCGCCTTCTTCTTCCATCTTTGCTTTTGACCCTCGCTTTTTGGGTGGATAGATAAGTCTCAGATCAACACACACCGATGTTGCCAGAAAGGACGTCCGAAAGTCTTCCCGACCATATCGACGCGGATGCTGTCAATTGCGCTTACGTACACGCGGAGACGCTGTCAGTTGCATAGCCCTCCTCTTCCCCTCGATGATCTGAAACAGGTGGAATGAGACGGAAAGACCCAGCACTTGATGTTGAGTAAATGACAGTTCGCACTAAAGAAATCACCTAAAATCGAAAAAGGTTTAGAGAGATTTCAAAGCATCACAATTGGAACCCGAGCTATGGAAAGGTCGCAGGAAGCCGGAGCATTCGATGGGGCTAACATTGGCAGGTCTGATGTTTAGATATAAGTTCCAGTTGTCCTGGAGACAGGTTCTGACACGTCTTACATCCAATAGATCTGCAACCAGTACTCCAGTGAAGGTAAGGGCGCACTCAACTGAGACTGAGCTGTTCAGCGAACCCCAGAACTGATGTGTCTTTCGGTAGATGGTGCGCAGGTCTAGCGTGTGTACTGGGGGAGGACTTACGCCTCTTCCTAATGAGCGTAAGGAGCACAATGCTGACCGTTACTTAGTTCGCCAATACGCTGCTAAGGCAAAACTGTTGCAGATCCTTCCGCGGCTGGATTTGCTTCCATTTGCACGTCGCCAACGCCGGGTAGATCTCGGCCGATGACGCCTGTGGGCCGCTCAAAACAACCAGATGATGCATTGACAAGGTAGGTCTTCTTTCAGTACATAGGAAATGATGACTGCTCGCAAATATACAACGTGACAAAGGCAGCAAGGTTCCAAAGCCAGCCGCGCAATACCTGATGTTTGGGAAGTCACCGCGGCAAGCGCCGTAGCGGATGTGGCGGCAGACGGTCCGGATGTTCTCGGGATGCTTGACGATGGGAATGTAACCCAGGCCCTTCTGATAGAGATGGCGCAACGGAGGACCGAGCTGGATGCCACAAAGGTAACTGCTTTGAAAGAGCTATGTTGGGATATTGTAAAATTCATCCATGAGCCTCCCAGAAAGAAGTGCGAAGCGTCTTCCTAAACCTTCGTGAGAATCTGGCTCAGTCGAAGGAAGCCATGCCAGACTTTGGTGCCGATGACGAAGTATGGTTTTGTCGCATGGATGCAGGGTACGAACATTTACTAAGCAAAGTGGCAGCAGGAAAGCAACCCATCGCCGTCCACCCCATCAGATCCAGCTGAGCTCAAGGCTCTGATCGCAAAAGGCCTTACACGGATTCAAGAGCTCGATAAGCTGCTGAAGGAAAAGAGTACGGTAGGTTACCGGGCGAACTATTTCAATCTCTTCCTATGCAAAAAGACCTGGCGTTCAGGCACGATAATCAGAACCCGAGCTTGACGGACATCTTCCGTTGCATTACATGTCTCAAGATGGCCAAAGCCCTAAAACGAGATCGCCTATCTCGGGAAGCCAGCACAACTGGTTCTCGAAATCCAACCCAGCCTGGAACGGCGGCTTCATCTGATCGGCAACCCGATTCGGATTCCGACTCCGATTATGAGGACGGATATGATCAAGCAGACGCTCACTCCGTCTCGGCGTCCGATACCTCGTCGCAGGATCTCGAGCTGAAAAGTGTGCACTCGCTCGACACTCGGACATTCATCACAGAGCCCAAATTTGGCACTCGGAATGGTGGGACGAGGGTCAAAATTGGGGTACAAGCATTGAGGAACGCTAGTGGGATCGCGCCCGCGCGGGCAGTAGAGGCTGGAGATGGTGAAGAAGGTGAGATGGGAAAGTGTCATTGTTGTTTCCGACTGGTATTCTTGAAGTCTGCGTCGGCGCTCACCGAAGGCTGCTTGTTTTCGGCCCTATCAGGCCTAATACAAACCGAAACGGCGACAAATAAGAGGAAAGGTTACAAGAAAGGAGACTTCATCCAACGAAACATTGTGGTATGTCTCGCTTCTATTTGTATGTCACCACATTATTGGATCGTCGAAATACTGAACCCCGGACTACTTTCTGAAAGCTCGGACCCGATGCCCGATATTACAGCGCCATGACGGAAGAAGAATGCGACCGCGTCGAAGACATCTTACGTCGAATGGATGATGAGGAAGGCGACGACGTTGAAAGCTGGGTGGACGGACGTGCTGATGGGCCGAATGGGACCGAATGCATACATTCAAGGCCGAGGACAGACACCACATCTACAAGTACAGATGCAGGAGCGTCGCACATGCCAAGACCCATGTCCACCACATCTAGTGCATTCTTCCCTGATGATCCCGAGCGTATGCGGTTATTTGACATCGACAGGTTTGTATTCATCTCGTCACCGTGCGAGAGTTTCCTACGTCATTATTTTCAGGTTCGATCCACTCACAGCCTCCGACCGCGATTCACAGAAAGCTTCAACTCATCATCCCCGAGCCAGAATGGGACGCCAAATCCATCATCTGGTCCACGCCCGCAACATCGACCACTGTTTCCGGACACCAAACACCTCTGGCCGTCCCGAGATCCATGTCAATGTCGCTGGCAATGTCAAGGACACAGGGTTGGCTTATGCATGCCGGTAACCAGATGAATGATGTTGGGGATGCCAAGGCTGCTATGGGGTCTAATCAGAACATCGGCAAAGCATTTGAGAGTCGAGGTGATCATCCGAGACTGCAAGAAGTGGCCACTATTCCAAATCTCACACTGGGCTTTTGCAGACATAGAGACAGTATTCCATGAACGAGAAGCCATGGAAGGCCCCGAAGTCTTACTGAAAGACGAACTGACCCGATTGAATGAGATAGACGAACGGCTACGATTGTTGAAGGAGGGCGAAGAACGGGTAAGTGGTGTTGTTTGGCTGGTTATACCATGATCATACGCTCTTCGTCGGTGCTCATATGCAGATTCTTTGGTCTCAGCCGATAACGAGACAGGACTTGGACCGTCTCCTGTACGAATGCATGCGGTCGGAAGCGGACATCCAGAGCAGAAGATCGGCTGCTACTTCGGATTGGGGTAAGTTATTCGAACTCTGTATACTGATAGTCTGTTGTGTTGTGTCGTGGACGACACCCAAATTTACGTTGCTCTTCTCCATTATCAGATGTCACGTCGCTGACCGCCTCTTCGAGATGCTCATCTAGAGCTCAGACGGAGGCCGAACGGCAGCAGCTTGAGCAGCCGCCTCTTATCTTATAATGTCTCTGCGGTTCGCTCTTAAATGCATGGGCACGCCCGCGAACTCACATCCTACATCGTTTACTTTTACGAAAATGTTATTAAAGTTCGGCGTAACATACATGAAAACGGAACGCAAATGCTAATGTGTGACAGGTCCCTGTCCTTGTATAACCATGATTTTCGTGCAATGTCTACGAGAAGTCAGAGGAGGTCCGAGTCCCGTATATGTTTGAAAAGGACGATCGCGACAAGGACAGGGTTGTAGGAGAAAATGTCATGTCGCAAAAATGTTTTCAAAGCCCGTCGAAGGAAGGCTTTCTGCCCTGTAGCTTTCGCATCTGCCTCGTCACGACGGTTCGACCCAGCGGCTGGGCAGCCGGGGTCGCACGCGGTCGTTTAATGGGAGGCAGACGGACAGGGTCGGTTCTGCCCAATCCAGCTCTTGTGGCAGGACGAGCAGGTTGATGAGTGATGGCAGCCAACGCCGCGGTTGCTGCTTTTCGCTTCGGCCTAGGGGTTGGCTCCAGATCCTCCAGGGTCATGGGCTGATCTGGGGCTGGTTCGTACTTCTTTAGAGTCGTTTTGGTCGTTTTGGCGCGTGCTGTTTTGGTGGCTGTACTAGATGTGGCCTGTGGCTGAGAGTTGGATGCATTGCGTTCCCGGAGCCTTCTGTCTTGTCGTCCGTTCTCATCAATATAGGTCGCCTCGCCCAGATCGAGAAAAGGTTTACAACTTCTGACAGGGGGCTCGTCCAAATCCTTCTTTGCACGTGAAGCATTCCTAGTAGATCGAGCAGGCGGTTCGGCGGGAACTGGGTGCGGTCCGTAACGTGCACGGAGCCGCGCTTCATTGGCTTCCAGGTCCGCCTGCCTAGCCTTCCGTTCTGCTTCAAGCTTGAATTGTTTCTCGTTCCAATCCTGCTCTGCTTTCCATTTGGCCTGGAACCAGTCTGCGTCAGCCATGTAGCTTTTCATGGGTATCCGCTCCTCCCAGTGCTGTTGGGCGCGGAGGCCATCTTCCCGGTCTTCCTCCAATTGAGCAATCGCTTTGACGCGTTTTGGGCTTGCATCAGGTTTTTGAGCCGCTTCGATGAGCTTCGCTTGCAAACGGGTCATCATCTTCGGTCGTGGCGGAGTCGCAGCGCGGGGCGGTGGAGGAGGACTCGCCTTTTCAATCTCCTTTTCAAGCTTCCTCCTGAAGGCTGAAGATGGCAGAACCATCAGCATCACACAATGCAGATGCCATTGGAAAGCCCGGAATACCACTTACTTGCAGGCGATTCAATGATTTTGGGAGGAGAATCCTTCCGTGTCTTTCGCACGGGATTGTCGGCGAAAGGCGACATTGTCCGCACGGGCACCGCAAGCTTCACCGGGGGCCCAACGGGAGATTTGATGCGGTCCACTCGATCGGCGTTCTCATCATTCTCAATTGCCATGATGGATGGACTTTTCACGAGAGGCGAGCGAGGAGAAGGTGCGACGTATGACATACTCAAGGGTGTCCCGGAACGCGAGCTGCTTTTTGATGGTGACGGTTCGTAGGTGGGTGTCGATGTGGATCTGGTTTCAATGAAGCTGCTGTCCCTCGCAATGGGCCGCGTGGGAGATTTGTCCACTGACGCTTGTAAGCTCGACGAGGATTCTGAACCATTTTCGGATGGGACTTTGGCCTCTTCAGGTTCGCAAGCCATCGCTAAGCCAAGCTCTGGGGAACATGATGGGCCAGGAGAAATGCGGTGACCGACATCAAGCCTAGAAGTCCCGGGATCAGTACTCCAAGATTCAGCTTTCAAAGGCCCGCATCAGAAACTTACGGCACGATCGCATCCATATACTCTGGCACAGCCTTAGGATACTTCAAACCGATCTCAGCTGCAAACTCCCTAAATTCCGCGACCGACTCCAGCTCTGCCAATGGAAGGAAGTCGGAAGGCGGAACAGTGATTTCTACTATCCGTCGCTGATCGATGTTGGGCTTAGGGATGCAAGCCAACATTTCCGAGTACAGCTGATCTTGCGCCTCCTCCGCGGTACTTGTGGGTTCCCGTAGACGTAAACGCGCGGACAGCGGGACGTTTTTGCGTGGCTCCTCCGTTTCTGTTTCTTTGCTTGCTTGAACATCTGGTCAAGGGCATTAGCAACTGTTTACTACGCTTTATACCAGCTACGAGATAAAATGCAGCTTACCAGCTTGAACCTTGGAGACGCGATATGCAGCCATCTGAATTGTTGTCATAGAATTCCGGAAATTCTCAAGCATCGCATCGGTAACGTCCGAGGCATTTGCAGGGCCGTCATCAAACAGATTAACCCCACGCGCTTGAAGCATCTCCAGAAATATCACAGCATCCAAGAATTGGCAGCGGTCGATTGAGTACAAGGCGATGAAGGTGAGGCACTGTATAGAACCGTCATTTTTGCACCAATCAGCTAAGGACTGCTGCTGTGAATCATTCAAAGGCATCATGGGCAGTTCCTCCATAAATCTTTTCGATGTCTTCGGTGCTAGATTGGGACAAATCAGCATCGACATCCACTTTTACTTAGCGGTACAGCAGGGAACTTGCTTACATTTGAAGGTCGCTTCCATCAGCATATGCCACAGTCGATCGCCAAGAGGAGTCCCAGAGTAGGGCCGCTGTGAGCTCTTTGTTAATGACCTGTGTACCAGCGGTTCCCATGTGACTTATCTCGAGCTCACCTGGACTTGAATAGCCTCAAACAAGTCCGTAGTGATTTTCAATATCATGTCCAGTTGTGCCCCTTCGTCCGAAGACAGCTCTGGACGGCTGATCGCGACATAGCGTTTCGCATATCGAATTTCGCCATGGAGTACCAGCACTTTGACAATCTTCTCAGAGTACTGGGTTTCTATAGCTAGTTTTCCACTTCTAAAGGCGCCTGGCTCACAAAGCAACTCAGTAGCCTCCTGAAGTAAGATTTTTAAGCGAATGTGAGTAACTTGCAGTTGAGATCTTTAGAACACATAGTGACTTACCTTGAAATTTCCATGATCTAAAGCCCAGAATGCTTGGATCTCATTACGATCCTGAGCGTCCATTCCTCGCTCGTTTGCAAATGCCCTATCCTCTCCATTTTTCAGATCTTTCAATAGATAGAGCACAAAGCGATTTTTGTGCCGCGGATCTGCGTCGCATGCATCAATGTGCTTTAAAAGGTCGCAGAGCTCTTGCAAGTTTTGAGGCGGGAATTCCGGCGCGTCGGGAGCGACGCGATACTGCAGAATATCCGCGAAGAGATCATTGTCAAACATAGCTCGCGTCTTCGCTATGCTATCTCGCTTCTCTGGCTTGTATAGGAAAGACCCAGAGCCCGACACGAACTTGTCGGCAAGGTTTACGAGTCGTTTCGGTTCTACCGGTTTCGGCTCCGCGGGAGGGAAGAAGAAATGGATCTTTCGGCCGGCGGTCAGGACAGTGCAAGCAGTGACACCTTTTGGTTCGATGTCCACCTGCTTGCTTGACGAGTTAAAAATTGGCCGGTGGGTGGTTTTCTTGATCCTCCCATTGCTGCTAAGATCCGTGACTGCCAGAACAGTCGTTTTCCGTACGCCCAGGTACATGTTTACGACGCTAAATATGCGCGCACCGTAAGGCGATGCAACAACGTTCATGCCAACAACAGCACCCAGATCTTCCCCGATCGGAAATATGGTAGCATGGCTGTCCTTCTTTGCATAGTATGCGTCCAGCGGCAACACGGATATAGACGGTTTGGCGACATCGCCTGAGCCTCGGCCTTTGGTAACCGACTGGGACACAAATAGTGTCCCTGGACCGCCCCTTTGCCCGTCGTCACGCAAGAGCATTTCTACGACCGGCATGTGCCTCTCCCCCACCATGAAATTCGATAGCTTTTCGATCCTGGGCTTGTTTCCGCTGTTTACCCGCCACACATCTACCCTCCCCATGATGCTTCCCGTGAAAACTATTAAACGGCTGTCATTTTGATCACAGTGAGTCCCCAGGCTCGTAATATCGCCTACGCTTCGGGCCCTCGGCAATGGGGCAACGACGCGAAACGTGGGACTAACTTCATCTACTGCTTCGTCGCGCTGTGGGTCGCTCACGGAAATGGCAAAGAGCTCCTCATTGGTCGCAAAGACCATGAATGGGGATAGCTGCTGACTTTCCCAAGATTGGGTAATCTCGACAAATTTGACGGGCTGCTTGATTCCGCAATCCAGCTTTTGCCATCTTCGTCCAAAAATCTCGTTCAGATACACCGAGGTCGTGTCCGTTGCCGAATCGTGTATGCAAAGGACGAGTGTTGGACGGCCTTCTATTATGCCCGCGGCGGCCGCGGTGAACTTGGCTGTCACACGAATTTCCCCACCCCACTCATCGAAGCGGGGCAGGCCCAGAACATCCAGGACGTGTAGTTTATCCAAGGGCCCGTTTTCTTTCCGGAAGACTTCTACGACCGATGCACTGAAGCGGTAAAACCAACCATCGCGGGCTCCGAGTGGGTGTTTTTGCGGTACCCAGCGACACTCCCCAGCTAACTCGTGCCACGCTTGTTTGCGAGGTGCTGAGACGCAATGCTTCGAGTATGAAAACCCGACGCGCGGAGGATCGCCCAGGCCCTCGATGGTCCATCGTGGCAGAGGGAGTTGAACCTCCAATGAGCTCTCGGTTTGCGCGGTCATGCGTGTGGGACTATGAGATACGTATATGAGAGTGCGTGTGAGTTGGAGTGCGTGTGTGCCACTGTGCGGGGTGCCAGCGGGCCGGTTGAAATGTGAATATGCCTCGAGACAGTGTGCTGATGCCCAAAAAAAGAGAGAGCAGGGGTGAGAGAAAGAAGCGCCTTGCAGAATGCGCTCCCTTTCGGTGGTCGTGTCCGGATGATGTGAAATGTCCGGGAGTAAGGTTGCGCGGAACTCAGACTCATGTAAGCTTCGCGCCTCCAGGCGCATGTGCATGCCTCACATACATACTCGTCTCCGAGGGCGTCTCCTGCACGGTCAACGCAAGGTCTCGCTCGATTGCGATCACACGAGTCTTACCGTCCTCGAGGGTGCCACCTCCCCACGATATATGGTGCTGGTCAAGCCTCATAAGATTTGGAATACCCGTCACCCTCCCGGAAGGATGATAATTGATCAGTCGGACACCAAATATCGACGCCCTCATCTTCACATGGACCATCACTGTCTATATATTACGCCGCGAAGTGTAGATACTACGTACAATGCATCTACTGCCTAATCGTTTCCCAGCAAAAATTGGGCTCATGCACTCGCAGGAGTCACGGAACGCGCAATCTTCAACAAATCCGAGAACATTCCAAATGCCGTGACGGCTGCTCCCGCTCCGGCGCCTTGAATGATTAGTGGACTAGGGAACCGCTTCGTAGTGAACGCAATGATGTTGTCGCTGCCAGTGAGCGACGCAAAGGGATGATCCAACGGGTATCTAGATTTGGTGTGATATAGTCAGTCATGAGTATCACCGTCAAGTACGTAGAACATGCATATACACACCTTTTCAGTTTCACGGAACTCTCCCCCTTGGGATCAATCACGCCGACATAGCGCAAAACGCCGTTGGACTTCTGAGCATCTTTCTTGAGGGAATCGAAATGGCTGTCGTACGATGGGAGCTTTTCCAGGAATTCTGCTGGAGTTGGTACTCCGCGAAGCTCCTCTGGGACAACGTTCTCCACGGAAAGAGTCTTGAGATCCAGTGAGAGGCCAGCCAGCCGTCCAAGGATCACAACCTGCCATGATTCCGAGTTAGTTTAGCAACAAATCATTGAGGCAAAGCTGGACGACAAAAACAAACCTTCCGTGCGAAATCCATTCCGTTGAGATCATCACGAGGGTCAGGTTCCTGAAACAGATTCATAGGTGAGCCAGAAGGGTACACCCGTGTGGTACATAAAGATGCAAGATCCTACCGTGTACCCAAGCTCTTTGGCCACACTGACGGTCTTCGAAAAGGTGTCTGTCCACTCTTTCGACGAGAAGTTATTGAAGAGATACGATAACGTGCCTGAGAAGATGCCCTCAATGCGGACAATCTCGTCCCCCGTGGCGATCAGATCGTCCAGTGTGCTGAGGATGGGCAGTCCTGCACTGCAAAGTCCATACATGAGTATTACATCCCATCGAAGGGTCGGATACGCACAGGGAACATACCCAACGGTACTCTCATGATACACAAGCGACCTCGGCGAATGCGCATCCCTAATCTTCTTCCATAACGCATAGTCACCGCTGAAACCCTTCTTATTCGGCGTGACGATATGGAGCCCCTTTTGCATCCACTCCGGGTACTGCTCAGCCACGGCATCCGAGCTCGTGCAGTCGACCACCACGCACGGCTTATGCGAAGCAGCATACTCGATGAGTTTGGGCAAGTCGGCCTGAGTGGACGACGACTCCAACTCTTTCTTCCAGGAACCTGCTGATAAGCCTGAGGGGCAGAGAAGCATACGCCTGCTGTTGGCGAGTCCTATAACCTTAAAAATGGGCTTTTTGCAGCTGGTGATTTGAGCTATGAACTCCGACCCGACCAGGCCAGGACCGATGACCGCTACGTTGAAATGGGAGGAGACCGTCATTGCTTTGATTTTTTCTGCAGTGGTTTTGGAGGCTGTTGCAAGATTATGGGAGCGACGGTGTGTGAACGGTTCAGCGCTGTGACTTTGAGTCGCTCGAATTCCAATCTCTGTGACACATCTCCAATGGCGTAATCTCTTGACGCGTTCTCCTTCGTCCTCTACGCGCTTGTGGAAGTGACGAAGAAAAAGAAAGCCCGTCTCTCTCACCCCCACAGCTGTATCACAGCCGGCGTCCACTATGAAGGCATTCTGGCAGGCGGTTCAGGCTTCGCTGGCGGCTGGTCGTGTTTCGTTAGACCGTGTGTTGAGGCAAAAGTCCGCACATTGGGGCATATGCACAATTGGGCCCACTGCGATATCAGCTGTGTGCAAAAACACACAGTCAGTTCGTGAAAGATGCGAGCATTATGTACAGGGAGTCACAGTAGTATCACGCGACAGGGTAGCGTAGAAGTAGAGCGCTATCAGATCTATAGTACGCCGTGCTATTCTCATGTCCTTTTCAGCGCCGCCCGTGCCGCTTTCAGGTGGTGCAGAGCCTAATGGTGAATCAAGTCAGCGAAAATATTGAGCATTAAAGCGTTGAGCCCTGCTACCTTCTCCTGAGCCAAAATCTGACCATCCAACCATTGCTCAATCCACGTTTCCCAGCCGAGCTTTTCCTCATTATGCAATCGCTCCACTTCAGTCTGTGCAACGGTCAGTATCGTGTTCAAGCGTTCTTTCATACCCTCCACTTCGTCTTCTGAAAACGTTGAGCGTTTATCGCCGCGTTTCGAGGCTGGGGAGGATGGCGTGTTGGGGAGTTCTGAGAGTTCGTCTAGTCGGGATTCGGCGACGTCGTTCAGGTTTGACAGCGTCTGGGTATAGTCAGAATGCGTGCGGCATATATTTGCTTCGGAAGAAGAGAAAGCCCATACATACCTGAAAGGACGCCAGCGTAGTGTGATAGTCCTGCATGTTCTCATGGAATATCGTCAAGTCCTTGTTTGCCTACACCAGAGAGTACATCAGGACGCGGCTACTTTTCCTCATCGTCATCTTCCGGGAACACAAAAAGCTTACATGCGCTTCATACACATCAGCCACGCCTTTCAGATGCTTTGATACTGCCAGTAAAGAGCCCGAGAACTCATGGCAACCTGCAAAATGAGACGCGGGGTTCAGCCATCACGTCACAAAGCCACTCCCTCACGCTCGACGTACCAAAACACCCTCGCTTCCAACACCAGGCCAGGTTCCGCATCATTCTTCCCTCATCTGCTTTGCCACGACCCATATCTTCCAGTGCATTTGCCATGCTGGCATATCGGGTGTGCAGTTCTGAAAAACGAAAAACTTGAAGTCAGTCTCGGTTTCGAATCGGGATCCCGTTCCCGGTCGCATACCTGAAACATTGTCCCGATGCCTAGCTGAAGCATCCAACATCGGCGCCATGTGCGATTCCATCAACGAGAGATGCGTCGCAAAGCGATCCATCGGGTTCTGCACAGCGGCCACTCTCCCATCCTTACGCGCCGGAACTGAGACAGCAACCCTTTTCAAAAAGTTTGCCGGCCCTCCTTCGGGGCCTTGCAAGCTCCTCCTCTGATCGAACATCTTCCTCCCCTCAATCCACTCATCGTCGTCGAGGACAACTTCGATCTGATCTTCCTTGTATGTTTGCTCTTGACGAAGTCTGGCCAAATCGTCTTTTGTCAGGCCGCCCATGCTTGTTCCGCCACAGCTGAGGAACAGGACAACGGCGCCGTCGCTTCTGAGCAGAGGATGGCGTGAGATCGCACCTAAGTATCTTTCCAGACCTCTTCCTCGGGACTCGACAAGGCCCTTGTCGAACTTGTTGGTGATCAAGCTATGTTTCGGTGGGAGTGTAGGCAGTGGGATGATTGTGGGTGGATATCGGCGTTTCAGGTGATCGTGTAGCCATTCGAAGTCCGTGTATCGTCGTTGAACGCTTAGCGAGGTGTACAGCTGCTTGTCTTCATCGTCAAACTAGTAAAGCCCGTCAGAAATCGTGGCATACTGAAAGACATGACAGTATACATACCCATGTAAAGACTCGATATGCTACAAACTCATCCACCACCACGTTCTGCTTCTGTGATGGCTCAAACGACACTTTGCGGTGGCGCTCCGGAGATTTGACTGTGACTGAAAACCTCGGGGATCGACCACCCCATGTGAGACCCCGCTGTATGTGGCTCAGTTTCAGCGCCAGTGGTGGGTACCCGTCGACATCATCAGAAAACAACGTACCTCTGTTTCGATGAGATGCTTCTCTTCTCCAGGCTCAGTATCATCCATGTAATCCGCAAACATGGAAGACCGGCTTCCATCCATGTCGCTGAAAGTACGCGGAGCAGAACCGCAAGCGTTTCCGAGAATGAAATCCTGCACACTGTCACCACCTTCGAACCAGCTACCTAACAAAGATCGCAGACGTTTGCGAAGCTTGTCCGTCATAGCTCCCATGCCGTTTCCGAGCGCGGACATTGCGGCTGAGGGATAGCTCGACTGCGAGATGGATGTCTCTGCGAAACTCGATACGACGCTGGGGTCTGGCATGCTGATCAGGGAATCCGCCAAAGTCGGATTAGATGGCATGATGCAGTCCAAGGGTGGAGAATCTAGCGGGCCGGTGATTACTAGGTCGATTTGGGACCGCGTTTCCAGAGGTGTGGTGTCTGATGCAAACTTGATTGCTAAGAAGTCAGTTCGCCTCCACGGCGCCAAAAGTGGATGTTCACTACTAACCTGAAGGTAGGCGACAGGGGCAAAGCCAGCTTTGCCCAGACGCTCTGCCTGACACCATCCTTCGCTAACCTCAACCTCCTTTTCCCACTGAAAGTCTCCGCCGTCGTCCTCAGTAAACACCGTGTTCCTAACATTCCGCTTGCCAAACACCTTTAGCCTATCGCCTGCCTTGAACGAGATGGCATCATCAGACTCGTCGAGGCTTGCGTCAAAGTCGTATAGTGCGATGGCATCGTAGACCGGGACGACTTCGACATCATCGTCAGCTAACAGGACATCTGCAATGGTTGGAGCCAGTTGACCCGAGAAGACATCGGTCAAAATGGCCTCTTCTGTGGTCAAGTCCGCGGATCTTCTCAAAATTGATTCTCTGTTGTTCGCCGAATCTGATGATGTTATGCGCGGCAAAGTCAATCTCCAGTCCTTCGCGTCCTTCCTTTTGCTAGGCCCAGCAATCGGCAGCTCTGTAGTCTGCGGTATCTCGTCCTTGCCTTCAAGCAACGTCGAGTTGGTGCCAGTACCAGGGGTGCTTTCCACACCAGGTGGTAGTAAAAACTGTGTTTGGTGGTCGGCGAGCACCGGTATATCGTCTATATATCGAACCAGAGAGGAGGTCAACCTGCTGCCGCTTGGGACATCCCAGCAGTCTCGTTCCCACCTATGGATTCTTCGAAACTTTCTTCCTCCTGGCCCCCACCGTCGGCGTCCCAGTGGATGTTTACTAGAGACGTCCTGACACGGGACTTGCGGGACGCAACGGACAGCCTGGCTTTGATGCGACGAGCCCGCAGTGTCGACGGCCTGGCTGGAATTGAGGGGGCCGTCAAGTCCATGGTCCGGCTGTTTGAAGTCTTGAGAGTCCACAGGTAAGTTTCGAGTCGTCTGCGCAATGCAATGCATTGAGGTTTCTACAGTATATACAAGCCCTGAGTGCCTGGCCACTACTCAAGTACCGACCTGGTCACTTCAATGTTTTGTGTCGTGCAGCGGTTAATGACGTTGCGGGAGTTGCAAAAGGTGCTTGCGGTGCTGCGTTGAGAGCGTTTGAGCTGTCAAAATGAGGGTGTTTTCCCACATGTTCGTGACCTTCCCTCCTTAACGTCCTAGCTTGCATGTCAACCTGCTCTTTCTGTTGCCGTCCTCGGCCTTTCCGCATCTGCCTTCAGCCCTCATTATAACAGTGCTGCTTCACTGACGCTCCATTCATGTCTCGCCCATTTGTGGCGCCCCCACACCACGACGTAAATATCTGCATTAACCTGCTAGCAGTTCGCGGTAAGTACCACACCGGAACACCAGCTCACTATATCCAGCAGGACCGGAACCCCAAAGCTTCCGATAATATACAGTAAGACCGTCATGCGCAGACGTCGGCAATAGATATCCCCATTTCATCGAGAAGCGGCGGTTCCCGAGCCTGGATGTCTCCACCGCACCAGTAACAGGAGGGCTCCAAATGCAGCCTCCATGAGTTGTCATCGCGTTCAAGTCGCGTTCGCGATGTGCGCTGGTGCCGTGCCGCAGCCGAAGTCACCGGTATGCGGATTAATCCAACCGCATCATAGGCGGTCGGTAAGTTCTGAGGTGTTTCGAGTGTCGCTAGCACACAACAGCACAACAGCACAACTGGGCGCAATAAGCGGAGGTCACGCAGGCTTATCATCAGAAGCATTCAGAGCATTCAGAGCATTCGTTCTCGTCCTCGTCGATCCTGAGAAGTGCATAAAATAGAGGATAGAGTAGTGGAGTACTGTGTAAACTGGGTTGGTTCCTGCCGTAACCTTGATCTGCTTGTCTGTTCTCAATGTCCTCCGCCACACTACTCGCCGACGAAACCGTCCCTTCCCTCACCCGCCTTGAAGATGTCTACCCGGCGAACGTCCTGGACTTCCAAAGAAAGCGGTACCAAACCCTCCAAAGTCGCTTTGAGGCCCGCTTCAAGGCGAAACCTCACTTTTTCGCCCGCTCGCCCGGCCGTGTGAACCTGATTGGGGAGCATGTTGACTATTCCGGTATGACTGGGGGCCGAATATCCTTCACTATGCCTTTGTTTTGTTCGTTATGCTGATTATCAAGTCCACCGCAGGGTACTCCGTTTTGCCCATGGCCATCGACCGCGACGTCGTGATTGCGGTCAGGGTGCTGGAGGACAGTGAGAAGAAAGGCGACAGCGGGCGCGTCGAGGTGGTGCTGGCAAACACGGATGAGCAGTTCGGAGAACGGACCTTTTCCCACGACAAAGGTACCGCTGTTGAAATCGACTCGACACTTCACGATTGGAGCAACTACTTTAAGTGCGGATACAAGGGTGTTTTCGAGAACGCCAAGAATCTCGACTCCAGAGCTCCTCTGTCGTTCCATGCGCTTATTGATGGGTCGGTGCCCGCAGGCGGAGGCGTCTCGTCCTCGTCGGCCTTCACATGTGCGTCTGCCCTCGCCACGCTGGAAGCCAACAAGGGCCGGATGACGAAGGGAGAACTGACCAACACCGCCATCAAGGGAGAGCGATACGCTGGTGTGCAATGTGGAGGGATGGACCAGGCCATCTCGATCATGGCACCAATGGGGTCCCCCTTGATCATCCATTTCGAACCGAAACTGTCCGCGGACCGCATCTCCTTCCCTGTATCTACCAACACATCATCGTCCCCAGTCTTTGTCGTGACCAACACACTAGTCGTCTCCAACAAAGTCGTCACGGCGCCCATCCACTACAACCTCCGCGTAGTCGAGACCCGTCTTGCCGCCGCCTTACTCAACAAACACGTCGGCGGAGCAGACGCAACCACAGACGCACCCCTGCTGACCCTGCGCGACATCCAAGACCGCTACGTCCGCGATACCGAGTTCACAGGCAATGAGACGGCCGTCCTCGCCAAACTGTCAGCTCTCACCGACACAGCACTCAAACGCGAGCCCTACACCCTCCCCGAGGTCGCAACGCTCCTAAACACCACCGTCGACGCCGTGAAACAACGCTACATCGGTCCCATCGTCATTGGCTCCGACGAATTCCACCTGCACGCTCGCGCCAAACACGTGTATGAAGAATCCCGCCGCGTGTTCCAGTTCCGCGATACCTGCGCACAGATCGCCAACACCGATTTCAATCCCACCGTCTTCCTGACTGCCCTCGGTGACCTCATGAACGCCTCGCAAGACAGCTGCAGGGACCTCTATGACTGCTCATGTGACGAGATCAACGATTTGACCCGGATTGCGCGGGAGGCTGGCGCTTACGGGTCGCGTCTGACCGGTGCTGGATGGGGTGGGTGTGTTGTGTCGCTTGTGGCTGAGAGCGAGGTGGAGAGCTTTATTGGTAAGGTCAGGGAGGCGTACTATGATAAGCGGCGCCCGGACTTGAAGGGGAAGGATGCGGAGATGGAGGACTATGTATTTGCGAGCAAGCCCGGTGGTGGGGCTGCTGTTGTGAGGCTGTAGAGTGCGGGGAGTACAAGACAGTCAACAGACTCGCGTAGAAACTAGTTTTAGAGCGTTCGCTTCTCCTTCCTTTTCGAACGATGTAGGTTAGCCTGTACACAACCAAGAGTCTTGTAGCATAATCTGAATCAGTGGCTTTCCCATTATCATCAACTTCCATGGCAGAGATTGTCTGTTTCGCGAAGCAAGGGCCTCTATCCCCGGTTCACCTTCGTGAAAACATTCCGAATTCACCATTTTTCCATCCTCTTCACCCATTGCAGAGAGAAACCCTATAAGCAAGTTTCAGCAGACTGTTACAGACCAAGCACTCAACCCCAAAACCCTCAGTATGAAAATGCATATATATAATAATGAGAGGAAAACAGATTTCTACAGGGAATCATATAAGCTACAAAATCACAGAGCGGCCACTATCCCATCTACGCGGTAAATGTTTCCGTCCGCAATACGACATAAACCCGGTGATAACCGCACCAAGGTGTCTCGTTCTATATTCCCCAAAACTATGGTCCTGTTGGTGAGCGACCTTCAGGACCAGACATCTTCGAGGTATCGTCCCTGAGACCGCAAGTCTTTGACCCAGGCTTTCGCCTTTTCGGCCGAGGCGAGCTTGCCGTGGGTGAGCGCGATGTGTTCGAGGGCGGCGTGGACGTCGGCGGCCATGTGTTTTGCGTCTCTGTTTGAGATGAGAGAAGGGATTACTAGATGGATGACAATATGAACTCGTATCACATACAACATACCCGCAAACATAAAAGTACGCGCCCTGCGTCCCAATCATCCTCCACACATCCTCCGCAAACTCCTTCAGCCGTTCCTGCACATAGACCTTCTTCTCGCCCGGCACTCTCGAAAACGCATCTACAACCTTCAACTCCATCTTCACATCGCCCGCCTCGACCTTCGTCTTCATATCCTCAAACTCCGACTTGTACAGGTAGTCCTTGTCCGGATGCCGGCAGCCGTAGAACAGCCATGTGGGGCCGACTGCCGTTTGCGGTTGCTTGGCGGCGATGTGGAAGCGTTCGCGTGTGAAGGCGCGAAAGGGCGCGACGCCGGTGCCGGGGCCTACCATGATGACGGGGAGGCGGGGGTTGCGGGGGAGGCGGAAGGAGGAGGTGCGGATGTAGAGAGGGAGGTGGAATTGGGGGATGGGGAGTGATGGGGTTGGAGTTGTGACCGTGCCGTTTGTGTGCCCGTTCACGCCATTTGTTCGTGAGGTTGTTTGCTGTTTGGCTTCATGGAGGCGTTGCAGCCAGGAGGTCGCAAGACCTTGGCGGATGACTACTTCGCCGGTCTCATCGCCTTCCTTCCCAGGTACGAACGTGCTCGCTACCGCGTGCCGGACCATCACGGCCGTGATGCCCACTGTTTTAGGCGTTTCTTTCGCTGACGATGAGATGGAGTAATAACGAACAGAGATACGTGGTAGCAGCTCGCCGATGATGACCGAGAGGGGTATTTTGACGGAGGGAAAGTGGGACAGGACCTGGGCCAGATCCTTTTGGGACTTTTCAACGAAAGGTAGGTAGATATCTCGGTTCTCTGCGATTTGAAACAGGGCGTCGCGTTCAGCAGGGTTCGTAGCATGTTTGGCGAGAACCTGTATAAAAAATTGCATCATGTCAATCAGAGCCGTTTCGTTATGCGACATAGTCAATTGAAATGAATGAGGACATACCTCAAACTGATACTGCTTGAGAATAGCCGTCAAGTCCAAATAATGCAACAGAACCGTCCTCAAAGTGCTCGGCACAGGGAACGGAATCTTGCTATTTGCCGCCAATCGGTTCTCTTCGTTCACCTTCAACGTCACAACCCTATCCAGCTCCTCCTCGCTGAGGGCCAGCACCTTCTTGTACCTCTCCAAATGCTCCTCATCGTTCACCGGCCAGATCCCAACATGATCACCTGTCTCATATTTGAGATCGGAGCCTGACAGATCCAGCTCGACGTGCAAGCAGTGTCGTTCGATGCGGATCTTCTTTTCGTTGATGGAGAATCGATTCGAGACTTCGACGGGGAGACGGACGGATGGTGCGAAAGCGAACTCGTCGTAGACGTCAGTAAAGAGGGGTTTGGTTGTGACGATGCGACCGTAATGCGGGTGTTTAGCGTCGTGCTTAACTTTGGCACCACTTTTGGAGGTGGCAAGACGTTAAAATAAGCAAAATGGATCCGCGCGCACTCCGAAGTACGGCAGCATGCCCACGTACCTGATCTCAACATACTTCTCCCCATCACCACCGTCGACAACATCATACTCCTCGGCCCCGATCTTCACCTTCTCCCACCTCCGTGGTTTCCCTGCACTGTATTCCCCTCTAAATACTTCGACATCGGAACCGTTGCTCGAAGCCACATCTATGATCTTGAAAGTGGGAACATGGGGCTCATCCTTCTTCGTGCCGGATTCGCCCACTTCCACCCCAAAGTGCCCAGCAACAGCGGCCAGGGCTCCCTTCTTCCACGCTGCATAGTCTTCTTCCATGCTACAATCGTCGTCGCCTTCACCCAACTCGCCAACCCTCTTTGCACCAATCGCTTTGAGACGCTTGTCGAGACGGCGTGCAATGGCGTTGAAGTGCTCGTAGGTTTTGTTGCCAAGACCGAAGATGATGTACTTGTGGATTCCCTCAAGCGGTCTATTCTCCAATAGTTCGTCGTCGTCGCCGTCTTCATCGCCTTCATCGGCACCTTTGCCTTTCCCGGACATTATCCATTCGTAGAACTCTGTGGCATTGTCGGTTGGTTCTCCTTCGCCGTAGGTGGCGAGGAAGTAGCCATACAAAATGTTCTTGCCGTTCGTGGTTTCATCCAGTGCATCACCATCCGCTAGCTCAGTCATGTCGTATTCTTCAACATCGAGGATGAGCGCCGGCACAGAGTACTTTGAGGTGACATCCTTTCCAAAACGGAGTGCCAGGTCTTCCGCGGTCCCCGTTTGAGAACCGTAGAAGAGGACTAGGCATGAGTCGCCGGAGACGGACGCTATTTTTTCAGAGAGAGACTTCTTGCCAAATTTGCTGCGAAATGGGATAAAGTATCAGTTGCTGTTTGCTGGCATATGCTGCAAGGCGAAGAAAATTGGAATTGTCCGGTGATCTAGCATACGCACCTGGGTGACTTGACCTCGGCGGAGCCTGGCTTGACGGACCCGGACGGTCCGCCGGAGGCTCCCTTTGACACAACGGCACCGGAGCTCCTATTGCTCGTGCTCCGCTTGTAAAATACATAAAGGGTTGTCAGGATTCCGACGGCGGACAGGATGATAACGTCCGTGCTGTCGATAACCGCCATTTTTGCGTTCGGAGACGATGAATTGCGATACGGCGGCGCTGGGGTTTCTGGAAAACTGAAGGATATCCGCCGAGGGTTCGGGCTGCTTTTTCAAGTGTAACGAGCACGGAAGCCAGTTATTTGATACAGTATTTCCATAGGCCCATGAAGTCACGGCCGCCAGTGAACGCATCAAAAGCACCGGAAAGGCAGCCGACCACTCCGACCGACAAATGGGCCGTTGACGTGTGTGGGGAGGCATGCAGAGCTTTACAGTATGTAGATTGAAGGTTTCTCCTCGGGAGCGGGTCCTAATCAGAATCAATCAGAGCTGCTAATCAAAGGGACCGCCTTGTTTATCCTTTGTTGGTCGCTCTCCGATGATGCGGAATGACACGCGCTCGCGGACTTCGCGGACGCGGCTCGGGGGGGGGGCAAAGGGGGGGGAATGGCACGATGCTTGTTCACATTTGGCACTCCGACGAGTCCGACAGGACCGACACGCCATTCCGCACGTTCCACAAGACCACCCACCTCACCTTCGCCGCCGGCGCCACGGGAGGAAAAAAAGAGGGGAGAGCCGCATTTAAAATGACCGAGTGCACCTCCTCTGTGAAGGCCACTTCTCCACATCTGGCTCGCCATGTAGGTCTTCATATAGAGGTCGTTCGGAGTAGAACAGGCTTAAAGTAAACCTCGATGCATATTGACCACGCTCATCTCATCGTCGAAACAACGTCTACGGCCACGGCCTACACACCCGAAACCGAGACCCTCAAAAAGACATTGTTGAACTGGAAAACGGTCATGGAAACATGGCCTCCAAGCGTCGCGAAGCGGTGGAAGACCGACGCCCGAGAGCGACTCGTTCGAGAAATGATGAGGTTTCCTCCAGATGACGAGGCCGATCTCATAGACGCCGTTTTCAAACTGAGAGGAGCTTATTTCTGGGACGACTACGATTCGTTTGGGTTTTATCAGACTATTCTGCGTTACCAAAGCGGCAAAACGGACCTGGAAACGAACATCGCGCCGCGCATCGAATTTGCCTATTCGAATGGCATCGTGGGAGACACTCCTGATACGCCTGGAGATACTTGTGAACAGTTGCTTTGGTCCATGTGGTATGCTGTCTTCCACATGGCCCACCGCACCTCCTGGCGCCACGACTCTGCAGGCCACGATCGCCTCCTCTCCCTCGTCAAAGCTCTGCACGCACGACCCAATCCCGCTCGCCCATCGCCATTACCCGACCATCTGAAGGACAACTGGATATGGGACGGCACATTCGGCGAGCTATGGAGCGATTTCCTGCTGCTGAAGCCGACAGGGCTGGAAGTATGGCAGAGTGCGTGGCGTAACCCATGCGCTACGCCGTTTTCAGCGCCGGATCGACATTCCTGGGCGAACCATAATGCTTTCGTTGCTCGGTTGGTGAGAGATATTCCGCGGTGTTGGGATTATCTACCCTGGTTCTTTCGCTGCACAGGGTCATTGCAAAGCTTCTCAAATGAAGCTATTCGGTCGGGCGAAGCTCACTATGAAGTCGCACATGATGAGGATGTTGAACCAGAAGATGGGGAGGCGGAAGGCGGCGAGGGCGATGGCGTCGACGCACAGGGCAGCGGTGCAGAGGATGCCGAGGCTGAAGGGGGCGAAGACTCAGAAGACCAGGACACAGAAGATGAAGAGGTACCCAGATACCTCAAACACGAGTTGGAATTAGACGTGCCCGCAGCTGCTGCATGGATCTTTCTGGCCGGAAATAGTCTATGGGAGATAAGCAAAGGAAACCCCAATTCCGTAGAGGTTGCAAAGGCACAGAAGGATATGGAGGCGTTCAGCGAGCCGCGGTGGCGGCTTTGGAAGCAGCAGTTTTACGAGGTTTCGGAGTGTGAGCTGATCACTGCAGAAACGAGGCAGATTGCACGGGAAGCTTCTGAGGAGATGGAACGTATCGAGTCGTGGGTTTTGGTTTGAATTCATTCACGCGCCGCACATATGCCATCCCAAGCGTTTGAGCGCGACGAGCCAATCCTCAGTACGAATCTCCTGAATTCCTGCCTCGCAATACCTCTGCCCCCAGGGTATCAATGTCCATGCGTGATATCCGAACTCCACGGGGATTGTAGTGAATTTTGACTGACGATAGAGGACACGGCGATTCTCCGTTGCTCAAATGCTGCAAGCTGTGACTGGAGAGCATCAGATTTCCTATATTGCGGACCAGGGCTTGATCGTAAGTTATCTATTGTGGTCTTGCCTTGTGCCAGTTCTGAGGACATAAAAGATGAGCCATACAAACGGTATAACTAGCTCCAGAGACGCGTTGAAAGAACGATGCTTTATAAGGCTGAACTGAGCCACAGCGACGACGGGATGGCGAGCCCCTGCCCTGCCTGTATCCGTTGAGCAGTTGCTGGTTGCAAAGTGTAGGCCAGTAGGGGGGTGAGTCAAGGGGCGGCGATTGAACTCGAGGAGGTTGAAAACCCCAACGTAGCCCAACGTCGCAAAGGTGCTGGGAGAAGGGTGTGGTAGACGCGTCAGGGTGTGGTTCGTCAGGCTGGTGTCGTTCTTGCCTTTTTGACCACTGTTTTCCGAGTCTCGGCCTGCTTCGATTTACCTACTCTCGTAAAGAATTGAACGGTAAGTTTCCACAGGGAAGCAACTGTGAGCCCGGTTCCCATAGTCCTAGGACCTGCAGTGCCTCTGCCTGCATCCAAATTGCATCGACTCATCCGTCCGCGACTCGCTTCACAGTCTCGCCCAGTACATTCCTGCCCACCATGATCTCTCTCCCCTCCTACGACTCGCACTACGACCATTCCTCAAACATCTACCGGACGCAACAACGACAGGCAAAGCATTACGCATCGGCTAGCCCTGTCAAAGCCCCAGTAGAATGCAGATTCTCGCCGTACACGGATAATGGAGGGTGGGTATTTGGAGTTCGGCGTGGATGATCCTGGGAAGATTCCATTCACGAAGGATGGGCAGAAGAATTGGGAGAGAGAGACAGTCGGAGTTTGCTTGGAGGACCTGCTTCCATTGTACGAGTCCTGACTAACGCCACCATTATTGCAGAACTACCCTCGCGGTTGCAGGCGACGACTTTGTAGTGGTTGCTGGTGATACGCGTCAAAGCGAAGGCTACAGCATCAACAGTCGATACGTACCCAAAGTCTTCCATCTGTGAGTAGAGATATGGCATGGGTGTCGCTACTTTCCTCATTTGCATATTGTTGACATCAACCGCCGTCAGGTCCAACGACTGCGTTCTTGCAACCGGGGGAATGTACGCTGATGCTGTCACACTTGTAAAGACCCTGGAGCAGCGATTGGAGGTAAAGCAAACCGCCTTGGCTCTTTTTGCCGTCAACTCCTTTTCTCACTCCCAGCCAATGAAAGTGGTACCGCCACGCTCATGACAAACAAATGAGCAGCGGCGCCCTTGCTCAGATGTTGTCGACGATTCTATACCACAAACGCATGTTCCCTTACTACGTATGGAATACTCTCGGGGGCATCGACGAGGAGGGCAACGGGGCTGTGTACAGTTACGATCCAGTCGGAAACTTCCAAAAGCAGAAGTGGGCTTGTGCGGGTTCTGCGGGACATCTGATTCAGCCGTTCTTGGATAATCAGGTAGGCGCGCGTCTATCCTTCGGCTAGCGCCTCCACTTACCTGCGGACGAAACAAATCTCGAACTCTCGCTCCTCTCGCAATAGGTTGGATTTGTCCATCAAAAGGTGGTGGAAACACTGACCCCCGAACGGGCCCTACAAGTCACGAAAGATGCTTTCACATCCGCCACAGAGCGCGATATCTACACCGGTGACATGGTGGAAATGTTTGTGGTCACGAAGGATGGTGTGCAGAAAAGCCAGTACCCATTGAAGAGGGATTAAGGGTGCTCGCAATCATCAAGGGGCTGTTCCTGCGATATTTGTGATCCTTGGCGGGAGTTTTTGTTGTCAATAAAGACGATAATTGTACATTCCGGAGTTCGATTCTTTTCTTTCCCTTGTTGAATTATGTTTTACGGGAATGAGTGGAGGAACTGCAATTTACGACTTTCACGACCAGTGGGAATATATATTACATGAACGTTGCCCTGAGGTTACGCTACTATGGGGACACTCCGCCGCAACAAATTGCTTCCCGAAAGCCGATTCCTACTCGATGTAAGCGGCAATCTCATCGTATGTGAAAGTCTAAACGGTGAAAGAGAAGCGATCAGCCCCACAGTCACAACGATCACTTAAAGGGCAGTAAGTGGGTCTTACATGATACTCCAGGCTATGGTCCATCTGCACAACCGCACGTTCGCTTTCGGAATCTTTCTCCTTTAGTCGTCCTAGCTGTCCCACGAGTTCGCCGTCGGATGATTGTAATACAATCACGGTGCCGCCCACGCTGGGAAGGCAGGTTTCCAAATGGCGGTCCTTGACGCCTAAGTTTGCAACTTAAGAGTTTGAATGAAGATTGAGCGCAAGACGGGAAGTGCATACCTTCAACAATATCCCCGGTGTTCAGTCGAAGGACACATTCACCGGCCGTAAAGACGTCTTGTATGACACCCTTCTGATTGTAGTGCCGGCCAGAGGCAAGGGATTTGCTCACGACTCGCTGAGGAACAAGACGTACGTCTGAGGCATTTTACCCATTATGAAAGGCACGCGCGAGCTTCAAGCTTACCACCAAAGCGTGCGGTCGCAGCCATGACCGCGCGGACGACGACCCGGCGGAGCTTGCGCGCGACACGCTTTGCGATTTCGATTGGGAGCGGTGACCATTCGAGGACGGTGATATGCGTTGAATGTCTTGAAGCCAGCATCTTGCGATCTGCATGAGAACATGTTAGCGATCTATTATTGAAGGGAACACGTCACCAGGGTAGGTCCGGCTTACATCTCGACTGCCGTCCATCTCCACTTTGACGACGGTACCCGAAGATCGAGATTTGATCTCCTGGATAACACCTTGCTGCCCTTCATAGCGTCCTTCGTTTATCCGCACTACATCGCCAGCTCTCAATGCTACTGTATACGTTGATCATGAGTCATCAATGTCCAACTTTCAAATATCCAAGGGAATGAATCTGAGAACAAACCATCACGATCAGGACTTCGCTCCCTTTTCTCTCTTCTGGCAGACCGCGGCAGTTCTTCCGACGGTGTCAACTTTGCTTCAGCAAGCGGCTATAAAATGCAAGAACAGATTCTTTTTGGAAAGCTTATAGAGAGGACGGTAAACACACAAACGCCCTGCCACAGAAACTTACGTCAGGACGTCGTTTCTCCCCCGGCTTGATGTACTTCTTCTGCTTGATTTCCAGCTCCGGTGCTGGCGTCGCGCCTAACCCGAGAAGATGTGGCCGCGACTTCAACGATATTGGTTCGATAAGGCCGTCCGGGTTTTTGCCGACGGCTTTGCCTTTCTCCCACCCCATTCCGCGAAGGAGGGCCTGGCCGAACTCTGCGATGGGCACTCGCTCGTAGTCCTCCATCGTCGATTCCTCGGGTCGCAAACTGACGTCGTATCGGTACTTTTCAGTAACATCTTCGATGTCGTTTAGGCCGGGCACGGAGTTTTGCGCCAGAATAGGGAGACTCGTTATGCTCGGCGTCCACTCCGCTTCGATGCCTTGCGCTTCTCTCAACACTGCTGCCATGGCCTCCTCTTCCACTGTCATCGTCACAGCGGCAGCAGGTTCCTCTTCTCCCACTGTCAATGGCGTCGATGCACCTGACTGACAAGAAGCGACTGAGTCTGTCGTTCTGACCACTTTCCGCTTCTTCATGACTTGAAGACCAAATTTCGGGCCGTGTGACTCTTCTGCCTGTGAGATTTGGGATGCATCGCCGGCGATCTCCATCGGCGTTAACCCTTCGGATGTTACAGTCGTAGTTTGCGAAATGGTAGTTGACGCTGCAGGGCCAGCGGTAACAGCCGTGCTCGTCACTGTCGTTGTAGTCCGGGTGACCGTCCTCGTCGTTGTCCGCGGCCCTTCCGTACTCGGCGTCCGCTCCATATCCGGCCGGCCCCGCCACTCGTTCTGCTTTATAAGCGGGATGACCATCTGCTCCCGCGATTTGCCCCGCTTCGACCCCACGAACCCTGCCCCAGAAAGTCCGTTGATCAACTCGTCCGGTCGATTGGTCCGGCTCTCATCGTCGGAGTCGGAGTCTGCTTCAAGCTGGCTTCGGCCAAGTCTACTAGAGCCGAGGGCGAGCTTTACGTTGTGGTTTACGCTCGACGGAGTGCCTGAACGAGGAGTGGAGTAGGGACTATTCCCGCGCGAGGATGCCGAATTTGACATGGCTGGAGGACTTCTGTCGAGGGCTGCTGTAACCGTTATGTATTCGCTGCAAGAACCCAGGCTTTTCCTACAGGAATGGATTTCTCTGAAAAAGAAGATGAAAGCTATCCTGTCTCTCGCATATACAGTATGTATAATATAAGGGGCGTTGGGTTGAGGTCGAAGCGAGGGGAAGTTGCTGATCTCGTCGACTTCCCCGCCAGCATAACCTCGCGCGTTGAAGAACCAAAAGCTGGAACACATGGTCAATTTGAAGCCCATTCGCAACTATTCGCAATGCTTGGACGTCTTACAGCTTCACTGAAAGCCATAAACTGGCCATGGCGCTCCCACAAGTTGGTCAGTCCTCTGCTTTCTTCCTTGGATGTTTCCCGTCCAATCTTGGCTAACGGCACCGTCATTTCAGGTGGGTCGCGACCTATTGGGGAACATGTACTTTGAAGGTCCGCCAATGCGTGCGGGGACAGACCGCACCCGCCGCATAATAGAATACTTTGACGGGAGGACGGAGTATTACAAATATGAGCCGGAGCTCATTCCCGCACAGTGGCAGGCATGGTTGAGGCATACGCGGAACGCACCGCCTTCGATAGAGGTGTGGCTTCAGTGTGCGGCTATAAGGACGCTTGCAGAGAGCTAGAAGCTGACGTGCTCGTTGGGGTGGTCAATAGGAGTTGCAACAAGCGGAAGCGCAAAGATTGTTGACGATACAAAGAGCACGAGAGCTGGACGCCAAATGGGAGCAGCGAAAGATCGAGATTGAACAAGAGAAGTTGGCCTCGTTGCCTGCAGGTTCGTAGCCATCATCTATTCTCCAGAGGAGCATATATGCTGACTCTACGTCTCTTCCACAGGACGGCCATCGCCAGCGTCGCCAGTCCCTCCGCCAACGGCACCTTCAACTGCGCCAGTCGGACAAGGGGAGACCTTTGAACCGGGAGCATGGAACCCTGGGGCGAAGTGGCGGGGTGGATGAACTGTCCATCGCCGTCTACTTCATCTCTGGAAGCGAAGCACATATTTGAGGCGCGATTCTGTCACAATTTTGTATATCCATCATGTCTCTTAATGTATTTGCGAGTGTTATATTTCATGTATGATTATCCATGTATCAACCATGGCCATTTTCTTCTAGCTTGTACATGATGGCCGGATACCAGTAAAGTGCATAATTAGTGGTTGCCCAAGCCGTCGCCATCTCTTCTCATGCATTGTCACCGAACGGCGTCGCCGTTGCTCCTCAACTCATCAACACTTCAACACTTCAACTCTTAACAAGCACTTCGAGTGTAAGGCCATTCATGGTATTTGGAAACTACTAACAAAGCATGAGGAATGCGACGCTAAAGAGGTCTCACTAAAGTACATCGGTCGCTGTCTGAGATCCCCGTCCCTCACGTCATGCTTGCCCACACGGCAAAGCTTGTGGGAAACTCGTCCCGCACCCTCACGGCCGACCAGTCCACACCGTCGTGTCGTCTTTCCTGATCCTTCAAACTCAGTTTGTTCCGCGCACCGCCTTGGGCAACCTTCCCGACTTTGATGAGACCGCTCCCATTGTTGGAGGAGCGGGTGAGATGGCTCAACGTACGAGATAAAACGGAGGTGGATGCGGTCAGGGAGACTGGGTAAACATCCAGCCCTTGCGGGGCAGGTCTGTCGGCTGCCGGCTTGAAGTTGGGGCCTGTGGCAGTCAAGAACGAGAGAGCGCCTGCTTGTGCGGCTGCCATTTGACTTGTCGAGGGAGAGATCCTAACTCGTGGACGTGGGAGGTTTTCGTTTCGCGTGAGTCGTCGCAGAGATGCAGTATATATATTCTAGCGTCTTGGCAAGCTCGTGTGTGGGAGGGAGTTCCTTCCTAATAGGTTGAAGAAATAGGTTTTTCTGGGTGTGTTCCTCTCGAGAGTTTTCCTCCTGAGGGACCTAGACAAACAACACACCGGCTTGCAGAACAATGCCGAAGATGCTAGTCCATCCTAGTTACTTTCCTATTCGGTCAAGTCTAAAGCCGTTTAGAATCCGGAGATAAGGGCTGGGTCCCAAGTCGACGGGATATCGACAGCATTGGTTACATGGTGTCAGTTCTGATTTGACACTCAGCCTAACCCTAGCGCCAATGAGTTTTTGTGGCGTGCGCTCAGACATTCCTGTTCCCCTGTTCGTCCTTACTCCCATCGGCATCGCAACCTCGGCGTCTATATATTCCACCCTTACTACCGGTTACCTCTGTCCCGCCTGTGACGCTCGAGTTTTGGAGCATACGAATCGGTTACCGTGCAACTCCTCGGCCCTGTTGATACTGGTTACGAATGCCGAACTAGGCGCACACAGTTAAACGTGGTCCCGGTTCGAGAAAACCCACACTGCACAGCGTCGCAGGAGCCGCAATGACTCCGAGCGAGTACCGCTACCTCACGGAGGACATGTTGAGGAACTGGGACAAAGGGGGAAGTTCACAATTGTAAGTGCGCACATGTTCCCTGGGGTTGCAAGATCTCTTCGATTGAGCTTTGCCTGTGCAGCTACCTCACGGCGCGAGCATTATTCAATGGGGACCGACCTTTCGACGATGTGCTGGAGGAGCTGCGACTAATGACTGCGGAGGTGATACGAGCTGGCATGCACGAGCAGTTAACGTCAGGGGCAGTGGCTATGTTTTTTGCTAGCCTCTATCGAGAAACGACAAAGCGAAGTGGGGCTGTAGACGAATCGATGGCTGCTGGACACGTCGCGCCGGATTCCTTAGAAGATCCCCTTCTGGTGCCGTCGATTGTCGCAGACGGGTTATGGACCTACGCAGCGGATCTGGAATTCAGGCTGGATAGCACATTCTTGCGACAGTTTACTCCCCCTGTCCCTGTCCCTGCAGTTTTGGAGTTCCCGGCACGAAAGCCGGTGGAACCGCTGGAACCGACGGCAGAAGGTCGGAGATTGGAGATCATCATAAAGGAGATATTGGTGCGTGCACAACGATCAATGCTGGGTTCTTCGTGCGTGGCTTATGGTATTTCTCTATTCCGCAGGGCAAAAATTTCATCCCAAATGTGATCTCTAGGGAACGGCTCGAATATAGGACGCAGCAGAAGGCTGGTCTGATAGCGGCAGCTGAGCCGCTCCAGAAGAAAGAAGTACGGTCGAGAACAGCGATGCTCTATCTGCAGGAGAAGTACAACCTACTGCGCGAGGAATCAGAAGGCTACTCCCGCCTTTTGGTCCTTCTGGCCGATTCCCTGCCGGATGTCTTCGATCCTTATCCGCCCGCGGACGGTGTACCGGCCATGTCTGTGGAGGAGGCGGTTCAGCGAAGGACAGAGGCTGTGGAGGAAAAAGTATGGGCTATGAATGAGCGTATGACGCAAATGACGGGGAGGTTCGACTTGGATCCGAACCGAATCCTCGACGTGGCGCTGGACGCTTTTGCAGTAAACATCTCCGATCACTGGGATTATTTCGTTCGACTGATCGAGGTCAGCAAATGGGGCCCAACCATTACCATGGAGAACGGGAAACCGGTCCAAAAACCGAATCGCATCTGTGGACAGATCTTGGGGTTCAAGTTTGACTGGTACAATGGCTCGTCGAGTACCAGAGACGTGCCCGAGTCCTTGATCTTTGTCGCGGCCGTTCTGATCAAGCACGGCTTGGTCAATTTGGAGGATTTGTTTCCTCATTTGAGTCCCACCGATGAACGCTTAACGGCTCTATATGAGCAGCACTGCCGCCACGTTCTTCAAAAGCGAGGAACCGCAGGACGGTTCAAAGGGCCTGAACTCGCGGGGACGTTAGGAGATGACGGCCGGGTTTCGACCGCAAAAGCAACCGGCTTGCCCTCGTTAGCCAAGGACACGAGGCCACAGCCTTTGACTAAGGTCAACCAGAAAGCGGAGCTGGCTACGGCTCTCGTGGCGATCGGGGATACTGCGAATGGACTCAAGATATTGAACAAGCTCCCTGATTTGGTTCATTTGCACCCGGATCTGGCAGATGCGATCTGCCGGCATTTGAGCATAATGCTCCAAGACTGGGATACATCCCCAATCGCCCATGCGCGGCAAGTACCTAAGCCCTCTCCCGAGGACTTCCGACCGGGTACGAATACTATCATTTTGCGGCTAGCCCCACCATTTCTAAGAGTGACGAACGGTCGCAAACCACACGCACCGCGCTATCGCTTCTTCTATCGAAACTGGCACGCTAGTGTGACAAGATGCAATAACGTCGGAGAGGTTATCAAGCATCTCCGATCCTATTTCATGCGCGTTGGTGTGCATCTCCACAGAGACCCGCTACTACTTGCAACCATTCTCCGAATTGGCGCGAGGCACATCACGGAGTCTCAAAAGCGGCTTGGAAGACCGCACGCGAAAACGGAGCCTATGGATATCGTCGAGCCTCTCCAACGACAAACGTCGGAAAGGAAAGAAGGGACGCCCGGTCATGGTGCAGAACGTCATACCAGTTCGGGAATACCGGCTCCTTCACACGTCGATGATCCCTTTGAAGGAGTCGACCTCCAGGGGGTGCTCAAGGGCTGGATCAACCTCATCATCAACCATATCCTTCCCGCGATTTCTCGATCGGAACCGAACCCTGCGAACTCTCTCGGTCTGTGGAACATCATTAAGCACTTCCCCTATCAACAGCGTTTTGCCATGTATGGCGAATGGGGCAACATCGTGTATAACACTACGCCTGAAATGCAACTGGTGAAAGCAGGTTGTGAACGAGACTGCAAATACATCCTGTCGTGAGTAACCGTATACCTTTTTCCAAGTCCACCGTCGATCATTTTCTGATCCTCTCATCCACACCGATTTTAGGCGATTGAATAAAGAGTCTGCTAAGCAGTCTGGTCGACAGATCGGCAAAGTCTTGCATTCCAACCCGGTTGTTGCCTTTTCGTACATCATCACGCGGCTGGAGGCGTATGATAATATGATTCCTTTCGTGGTAGACGCCACTCGCTACTTGACGGAGCTCGAATTTGATATCATGCCCTATTGTCTCATCGAGGCTCTGGCAGATCCCAAATCGAAAGTGCAACGGAATGGTCTGAATGTATCGGATTGGTTGAAGTCGCTAGGAACGTTCACCGGACAGTCGTACAGAAAACATCAGCTGGACTTGGAGCCAATGCTCCGCTATCTAATCAACCAGCTGTGCGACGAAAAGCTGCACGATCTGCATATCTTGCAGGAGCTCATCAGCTCGATGTCCGGGGTGAAAACAATGGAGGATGTGACAGAGGCGCAACTGGAAGCTATCGCGGGGACGGATACGCTCAAACGGGAAGCCCTTATTTGGGAGCCCATGAGACTGACGAGGAAGTCCGGTCTTCGCCTTATGAAAGCGATGGTGGATGGGGATTACGTCAGGAAAATTGCAGTACGAATCAGCCAGCTAAAGCAGCAGATGCCCTATTCTGGAATGGGTGACGAGGATGACAGCATGGACTTGAAGATTCTGGCATCTATGACTGACTACGTGAGTTTGGTGCTCGAAGCCTTTCAAGATTGACTCTGCATCAAAAGTCTGACCTTTTGGTGAATTCTTTAGTGCCAACGAACGCTGCTGCAGATGCTGGAATTCCTATCAGTGACTTGTCCCCCGGATATGTTCGTTCAGGCCATGCCTGACGTCGGCGTGTTGGTGAACGATTATGGTTTGGAACCCGAGCAAGCTTTCCTTTTGGCTCGACAGAAGCTGGCACAATATGTGAAGGTACGGATTGTCGGGGTCTTCCGCTGCGCCATACCTCCTCCAACGGTCTTCTATGTGATTTAGTATCCCGAGGCGGGAGAAACGCGGCCCGAACCTCCACGAGACCCCAACGCGATGCAAGTGGACGAGCCGCGGCAAACCGAAAAGGATAATGAGCAAGTGGACCCTGCCTCCAAGATCATGAAAGGCAACGAGCCGAATGTTGAAGATGTCTTACGTCGCACCGCCGCGAACGTCGACTTTGGCAATCCAGTCTGGCAACTGGGACTGCATGACACCATCCGATCAGTCGTCCCCATGCTCCCCGCGTCTGTTTGGCGTCCCATGAGTCCCGCCTTTTACGTCACATTCTGGCAGTTGAGTCTGTTTGACATCTTCGTTCCTGACGCACGCTACGACGCCGAGATCGCGAAACAGCGTGACAGAGCGAAAGCATTGGAGTTAAAGGTCAAACAGCTCAGCTCGAGCCAGGAAGATGAGGCAAAGAAGCTGAAGAAGGACATCGACCGTTGTCATACTACGAAGAATGCGCTGGAGGCCGATCAACTCGCGCATCAGAAACATCATAAGAAGGTTATCACACGGCTGGAAGCTGAGAGCGTCTTCTGGTTTGAAAACAGTGAGTGTCAAGGAGTGGCGTTCGCGTCTCCACACAACAGTGTTCTTGTTCTTTCTAACTATCATTTGAAGGCGTCAATCGGAATGACACCACGCAGGCGGTCATTCAATACTGCATCCAGCCGCGGTGCACACAATCTGCCGCAGACGCAGTTTTCTGTGCGAAGTTTGTGTTGCTGATGCATAAGCTTGGCACTCCCTCTATCCCTACCGTCACTCTATATGACAAGGTAATTCGGACCGAACACATTCTCTCCCATGATTTGAAACTGACATGTTCGACAAAGGTGTTTGCCAAAGACGTTCTCCATGCGGACATGTTTTCTGGCACGGAAGACGAGGCCAAGAACTACGGTCTCTTCTTGGCCGTTGTCTTCGCGTCGCTTTCGTCGTGGCATAACGACAAGGCGTTGTTCCAAAAGGAGGCTATTGGAGAGAAGCTACCAGGTTTCCTGAAACGATGGCCTCCCGGGGCACCGAATGGCAAACTGGATCTCCGGAACGGTGACTGGATCGATTATGATGAGTTTCGACAAGTCCTTCGAAAATGGCATCTGAAACTTAGTAAAGCCATCACTGCATGTGTTGCCAGCACCGATTACATGCAGATCAGGAACGCCATTTTCATTCTGGATAAAGTCAACAACTACTTCCCAGCGACAAAAGAAGTAGGCAACGTCATCGACTTCAACATCAAGAAACTTCTCGAAATCGACCCGCGCGAGGATGTTAAACAGCTGGCTCGCAGTGTTGGGGCCAAGATGGGAGCAAAAGCGAGCACCTGGGTCAACCATCAAGACTTCTGTAAAGGCGCTGATCGCAAGCTAAACCCTGCTGCAGCTCCATTTGTACCCTCCGCGCTTTCTATGAAGCCTACCCCGGTTGCGTTGGTTAGGGAACGCCCCGCGCCGTCTACTCCGCGAGAAGCTCCTCGTGCCCCTTTACGAGAGGTCCTGGAGAAGCCGCAGACCCCTCAGGTGCCCATCAAACGTGAGGAACCGGTCAAACGTGAGGTGCCGATCAAACGCGACGAGGATCGTGAACCCCAGGAGTCCAAGCCGAAGGTCAATCCCCCGTCGGAAGTAAAAGCGCCGGCACCCCCGGTCGTGGCCAAGGTTGCCGAACCCAAGGAGCGACCGCCCCCTGAAATCAAGGTGGTGACCAAAAGCCCGCCGCGCGATGACAAGACGGAAGTGGGAGAAATCAGGCGCGTGGAACTCGACCGCGACGACAGCGCGCATGATTCTCGTGAGCCGCGTCGATCGCGAGATAATGGCGTCAAAGTGAAGGAATACCCCATCTTGCACCCGTCGCTACCCGCACGTCCGCCTCCGCGCGCTTCGGGAATCAATCAGCCTCGACGTGATGGAAGCAGCCCGTTACCCTCGTCCACGAAGGCTGCGTCCTCCTCTGTTCCTTCGTCCGGAACACCAAAAGTGAGCGAGAAGACCGATCGCCCGAGTTCCAGCGTTCTGGATCGCCTGGGTAGCAAACGCGACGAGGCTTCGGGGCCTAGCAGGGACGAGAAGGAGAAAGACCACGAGGCCGCTAGGGATGCCCGTAGCAAATCGAAGGGCCGCGACGGAACTGGGGAGCCGGAGAGCTTGTTGTCGGTGGTTATGAAGGATCGCGACCCCCGGAAAGACGAGAAGCGGGGTAGCAATGGTCGGGAGAGAGACAAGGACCGGAGCAAAGATCGGGATCGGGATCGTAAGGATAAGGATCGCGATCGCGACCGAAAGAGGAAGGAAAGGGTAAGCATGCCCGCAAATGGATTTCGCTTCACAAACATGGAAAGCTCACGACAGCTGCGTTATAATTTTATCCACTAGGAGGATTCTACGGTGGATGACAAGAGAGAACGAAAGCGTGACCGCGGAGATAAGGAGGATCGGGAAGCGAAGCGGTCGCGCCGCGAGGATACGACCGAAGATCCACCGGCAGCGGGCGGCGGCAGTTCATCGGCTCAAAGCAGCAGTCGGAAAAGGCATGCAGAAGATGGTGAGCACCGAAAATATTCTTGCAGCAGATTATTGTCGCCCTTCTTTGTGTAAGAGTCTCAAGGTACTGATGAATGACACTCTTTTACGTAGACCCACCTCCTCCTCCCGGTGGAATTGATTCCTACAGGCCTGGATCCGGCCCTAACAAGCGTCTCCGAGAAAGCCCGCGCGAACGTCCCCACCACCGCGACAGGGACGATCGTCGCCGTCGTAGCTCCGGCCGTTAAATCCGCCGAAAAATCACCAAAGTATCCCCAACTCCACCAAAGTTTTTCTCCCCCTAGTCATAAGTTATACTTTCTCGTCGGGATGGGGAAACCAAACTGAAGCCCTGATGTTGGTCGGAGAACGGGGTCCGTGTATTCACACACGAGTCATTCTAGCGCACTTTTCTGCATTTGCCACGTTTTTCTGTACACGGGCGAGCAAACAATTTTGTTGTATGTATAACATTTTCTGTGATCCCATATCTACATCTTTACATGTCGTGTGGGATCGCTGCTTCGAAGTCCATGCGCATTTGATAATGAACAGAGGATTCCAGTCCCTCGCTAAATACAATAGCACACGCACACAACCGTCAAACTTTTGTATGTCGCGGGATAATGCCCGAGCATGCGAAACTACCACTTCGATCCGACCACACTGAACAGCTCAGCATATTCAAAGTACCGTCTAAGAGAGGAAACGCAAAGTCAGATACAATGATCGCCAGTGCATAAAAGAAGAGGCAACACCAGGATTGACTTACGTGATCAACCGATACTCCTGTTGCGGCAAGTTCATCGATATCAGAGCGTTCTGCACTTTCGCAAGACCGTGTTTGCCGATCAGTTTGAACAGATTCCGTGCAATAGGTCCTGGATACTGTCATCCACAACAGCAAATACAACCTCTCGTTAGATCGCTATCGCCCAAAGAGTGAAGATGGGAAAGTCAAGGACGTGCATACCGTAGTCTCAACAAACGCCCGATCAAGCACCGCAACCAGCTTCGCCACGGCCTTGAGCGTCTCGGTGATGTTGCCTTCCTCCGCATACATGTCGAGCAGCCGCAGCCATGATTTTATCGAGAACTTTTGGCTGAGGCAAAGCTTGTAGGCTTCTTTTGCGTCGTCCTGTTCGGTGGAATATGAGATTGCAATGATGTAGGGATATGGGCTGAGGTGCGGGTTGGGACTCTTACTGGATGCTCTAACCGCAATGCAAGGTCGCCGTACACCTCCCATTCTGCGCCTGTTTTGCGGTATATCAGGGCGTTGCCTGTTTGGTTTTTGAACTGTGCCATTTCCTGATACGCAAAAAGGTTCAGTGTAAACGAAAGCTGTGAGATTTCGAAACTGCACCCGGAACGTGATCACTAACCTGCTTCAGCAGCGAGTACAATCGAATGTCCTGATACAAGATCAGGAATTGGTTGTCCAGCCATTTCTCGCATAGCCTCTTATTCTTAAATCCGAAGGACACACTCCGCCGTGGGCCTCGTGGGTTCTACACGCGCAAGAAGGGGAAGAGAAAGCGTAAGCGAGCCACAGTGGTCGCAACAGTCATACCCACTCGGGTGTAAGTTCCTGGGGCTTACCGGCACCACGCCAGGGCTATCATTCTTCGTAGACTCATTATGGCTGTCCCCACCGGCCTTACGCATCAACTCATCAATGCTCAACCGTTTCTTCTTATCGCCTTCCGGTACCACGGGCTTCTCCGCGGCCTCAGTGGGCTTCGCAGGCTCCCCTTCTGGCCCCGCCTCGTTTTCCAAATCCACAGCCTCCATCTGCCCATCACTTTCTATTTCATCCTGCGCGTGGTCTTTCTCCTTGGTCCCGTTCTCATGATTCACTGACGGACTGTCCGCCGCTTGTCCTCCTCCTTCTGTCCGTTCCAAGTCCGTCGTCTTGTCCTGCTCTTCTTGCAGGGCACGATGTATCCTGTATTCCTCTTCCATGACGAATACCTCTGACCGGTGCCGGAGCAGCTCGTCCCATCCGACGTTGGAGGCGATGCGGACCAGCAGGGAATATGCTTTGCTGAACGTTCCTCGGAGTGATAGGTACGATAGCCGTTTTAATTCGGGATGGATCTGTATGGCCAACGGTTTGAGCAGACTATATTACAGTGCAATCCCTCATTTCAACCCACCTCGTCTTCCCGAGGGTCATTCTCATCGTAGATGGTGCCGTTGCCTACGGGAGCGTTCTTCGGGTCTTCGTTCGCCTTCAGGGTTGATGGATCGGGTTTGAGAGGCAGATGCGTCCTGGCAGGCGCCGGCATGCGGTGTGCGTCTTTCTCGCAATATGAAAACATCGGGCAGGCATTCAATGATAAAAGGGCCTGCGTGGGAACATAAGCATCGGAAAGAAGCACGTGGGGTCTGAAGCGGTAAGGTTGAACCGTACCGATTGAAAATCTCCCATATCGATATAAACCTCTGTGAGTTTGTGCCACGGCGCAAACTCTGTTGGCGCGTAAGTTACACCGAGCTTGGCAAGTTTCAAAGCCATGTCGAGCTTTTTCTGCAGAAAAATGTCAGAAGTCGCGTCGCCCGTCGAGAGCGTCGCTCCAGTGGGATTGTACCTTTTTCCTGAGGAAGTCGGTCTGAACCAGTAACAGGCCGTGTGAGGTTGGGTGTCGTTTCAGAGCTTTGTGCAGCACTTCTACTGCATGAATCTCCTCGTCTGCAGACATCCAACGGTTACCATGAATCCTGATATCGGCCGTGCATAAGTTTGATGGATACCTGTGTCAAGGTACGACCGCGCTAGAACAGCCCCCACTTCCGCATCCTTCTCATACAACGGCTGAAAGAACTTTGCCCCTTCACCCGTCCTCCCTGCCTCCTTGAAGTAATCCGACACGCCATTGGTGAGGTGATTGCTCCAAAATGTTGCGTTCTGAACTTCAGGGTCGGTGCCGAGCTGCCAGCCTGGGAAACTCGAGTCAGAGGCTGCCTTCGGAATCGATCGGAATGTTTGCTGAAGGTCATCCATTTCGCACCTTTCCAAAACTCTCCAGAAGCGGCTTCCAGAAACCTCTTCTCGGCAGCTAGTGTCGGCAGCGCATCAAACTTCCGCAACCCCAAAATTGGTTCGCCATCATTCCCATCCGCTTCGTCATTGTCATCTAAGATCGCACGCAAGACAGCTGACACGTGCGTTTCTTGCCACATCGCGGCGTTGTCGATGGAGTGCCTGTTGCCAGAGCATGGGCGTCAGCCGACAATCCCACAGTTCACATCTAACTGATCCTCATTCACAAGCGCACCTGTCCCCGCGCACGTCGATCGCATATGCATCAACTCCTCCCGGAATCCGGACTTCAACTCGTACGTCCACACGGGAGAAGGCATTGTAGCAGCAATATGTGCCGGAACGAATCTTCCATGTGTTTGGCTTTCCCCCAACAGATCCCATCGAATACGTGAGCGAATTCAGATACGCGGCGAGCGTTGCTGACGAGCTGCGAGAGGACATGAGGGGACATACGACATATACTGCCATCCCGACAATCAAAGAAGCGCCTTGTCCCCTCGTACCTTGCATCTGTCCCAAGTACATAGTGATAGGATCCAATCTGTAAAGGTGCACGCGTATCAGCCACTAACCATCGAACATCAAACATCAACCACCCATCAACAAGCACGTGGGTGAGGGGAATCCTGCGCCTTTGGCGCAATGTGCTGCCCGCTCCGTTCGCTGAAGCTCGCTAAGATATGCGGGAACGGGAGTCTTGCGCCTTTGGCGCAATATGGCTCGGTCTGCTCGCGGCTCGCGTCGTTCGCGTGATATAGCTCGAACATACATCTTTCACCTGCGTCTTTGGATTCGTCTTGATGATATGGCATAGATCCGGAGGACCCAGCTCGCGAAAGGTCGCTGGTTCAGAACAGAAAACCGTTAGTGATGATGGGGGAGATCGTGGGAATGTCATTCGTCATTCGTTGAAGTGTCAGTTATGAGGCCCCTTACCTAGCGACTCTGTCCGAGCGGCTAAGCTTTCTGCGACTTCATTCTCAAAGAACTCCGGCACACCTGGGGACAGAGGCAGCGTGAGAAGGAGGTGTCAGTCAGTTACTGGGCAGGGCCTTCAACTAGTTGGCATACAGCACTACATACCTCGCAGGACTGAAGGGTCTGCGGCTACCACCATCTTATGAGACTGTATTTAGGGCACGGCGATACTGTGACAGCTGTCGCGGTAGGGTTCTGGACGAAACGAGGTTTGTCTCGCAGCTGGCGGAACGTACTGTAGGGTACACAGTGCGTATTACGATGAGGGCGGTAGGGCGGCGTTAAGAAGCGGTCAGAGTCAGAGTCTTGCGGTCTACCACCCAACCAACGCGCGGGCGGTCCGATGCAGAGAATCATACATAGTAGTACTGTAGTTGGTGTTAGTTGGGACGGCCTGCGCCCTCGTCAGTCACTCATCAGTGATGATTCTGATGAACAACGCGTCGCGTGTTTGGGACTGCATCTCACAACGCCCCCCTCCAGAGAGCCAAAAGCTTTCACTTCCCAACGCAACTACCCGAACCTGTCCGGCCGGCCACAGGCAACTCTCTACAGGTAAACCTCTCTCCATTGTCCCCCACAGTCCATCCGTCCACCCTCCCAAGGGCCTCGGCCCTACACGCTCAGTCGTTCCGAGACACCGACGCCGCCATCGAATACGCGCTCAAAGCGCTGGAGAAGATGCAGCACGTGGGGGAGAAGGAAAAGGAGAGGGTAAAGGAGGAGGAGGAGGAGGAGACGGAGAATCAGATCAAGCAGTTCAAGAAGACGGCGAAGGAGGCGAAGGAGGCTAAGGAGAGGGTTGAGCGCCTGGAGGCGAAGCTGGCCAAGCGTCGTTTTCACAAACAACCAGAAAGTTGCATACCATATGCACCATCAAAACACCGTCCAGAAATCCACACATTCATTCAACGATTTCACCAGTACATCCTGATCAAGCATGAGTTCCGATAACTTGCTTTCCCCTAAAGCCGCCGAAATCACTGCCCGCTTGACGGACCCGAAAGGATGGTAGGATGTAATGTGCGCGCAAAGATTGCGCGAGATGAATGGGTGCTGAGTTCGAGTAGATATCTTCCAAGTCTTGATTACTGACAGATGCATGCTGTCAACAGGGTACCCACAAGCAGCGCTTCGATGAGGAGGGGCATGGTCGTGGTATGGCCGGTATGTACCTCGCGTTTGGCATGCATCCTCCCACGCATCCACGTTGTACTAACGACTGATTCGCATCGTAGGCCGGAAAGACCTGGTCGATTTTGACGGCAACACGACCTCGACGCACCGTAAGCACAGTCCATACGGAAGTGATAACGATTTGAGGGAGCGTATCGATGTATGTTATCGCCCGCATCCAATCACACTACTAAATTGCACGCATCCTGATCATAACACTCTTCTGTTCTTCAATTTCTTCCAGAACGAGAAGCCCATCGTGTGCTCACGGTCTTGCGAGTCCGACATCGGCGTCACGGCGCGCAAGATCAAAATCTACGAGTACGCTGAGAAGCACTCGACGGGCGAGGATCTGGTGCTGAACAAGACGTACTCGAGCATGGATAAGGTATGTGAAAATTCCTTCCTTCTGAAATAAGCATGGTAGCCACCATTACCAAACCACTATGTCGTCCACCACAGCTCAAGGAACACACAGCAACGCTGATCCCTCCAGGCTTGCCCAAGCTGCTCGATGACCAGAGTCTCCATGAAGTGCGCAACCTGGACGATTTCGAGAACGGAGGAAAGTACCTGGCTCTGACGCCACATGACCGCGCTCATTTCAGTGAGGAGAGAGTGCCGACTGCCTTCAGAGACTGAGGTGGGGTTGATGCACAGATTGAGAGAGGAAAGGATGTGAATTGATTTTGATGGGGAGGGATTCTGGGAGGGATTGGAGATCGGGACCTGCACATCGATGTAATAGTTTTCTTTTTGGAATTAAGGTGTGGGAGCACATGGTCCTCTATGGTGGGCTCAAAGGCCCCGGCAGAACGTTTCCTGATCCCTTAGCAGGTTTCACATCGCTCCCGTTAGACGGCGGTGTGTTATGTAATCTCTGGAGGCAGTCGGCACTCTCTCCTGTGGGCCTTGGGATGACTGTTACAACGGATATGGAGTATTGGTGTGCAAAAGAACAAATGCGTTCCTTGCGCCGGGGGTAACTGCGAGCTCGTATGACGGTTGCGGTGTTACAGGCGGCTAGGCTAAGGGATCCACCTGAGGCTTCTCCCTCATGAGGGCCCTTGTGCGCGTTTTACGAGCCAACTTTTATTACACTTGCTTTCGCGGCGGGCAACCACATCATAAACGCACAATGCAAGAGCGTCCCAGCGCAACATAAAAGGAGGGACGGGTTAGCAGGCCCCGACATCCTCCCATCGATTTCTGCCCAACAATCTCATCTCTCAGTCCAAAATGAAGATCGCTAGTCTCTTGGCCCTCGCCACCCTTGCTGCCGGAGCGTCCGCCGCATCGACCAAATCATGCTCCAATTTTGACAACGTCAAGATCCGCGCTGCTCCCAACACCAAGTCCTCCACCAAGGTCCTCGGGCTTTTGCAAAAGAACAAATGCGTTCCTTGCGCCGGGGGTAACTGCGAGCTCGTCGCGGGCGGCTCCTATGACGGTTGCGGTGTTACAGGTGGTACATCTTGGTAAGCTGACAATACCACGGAAGATAAGGGCAGATCGATTTTGCGACGCTATGCAATACTTCGATGCTGAATCCCTCTTGTTGTTTACCTGTTACAGGACCAAGGTCACCTACACCCTTCCTTCTGGCAAGGCCACGGGATACATTGCCTATATGTGCCAACATTGGAAATAAGCATCTGCCTGATTAGTGGTGATAGAATAGAACATAGGGACTCCTTTGATATCTGCTAGTGGTCAATGCGTCGCTTTCACGTCTCTCAGTACACCGACAGCTATCACTACATGCTCTCAGGATTCCATAGATGTTTCTCCATATGACGCAGCTCATCCCGTCCTCAACGCGGAACATATGCAAATAGCCCTAGGTGTTTAGAATCTGCTTTAGATCTTATCAATTATGGCCAATACAGTAAGTTGAGGAGGTCAGATCCGAGATATACAAAGTTCGCAGCATTCAACAAACACATGGACGATCTCGTCAATAACCAACCAATGACGGTCATTCATAGCAAGCGAGTACAGAAGCTCCCTGCAGGTATCCAAGCGATCTCATAGCGGATACGACTCGAGATCGAGGCTGTGGACGGTGCTGCCGGTGCTGAACCGTCGCCGGCAGCACCGTCATGCTCAAATCTATCAATCGGACTCACGCTGAGAAGAGCCTCGGCGGGTACGACTCCGTTTGAGGCTTTCCACGATCAACGTTTGTCGATAACTCGCGACTCTGTGCAGCCTACACCCGGGAGCTTTGTACCCAATTCGTCGAGTAGGAAAAGAGCGAAACACGTCTTCTCGATGCAACGCATATCTCGGTGTTTCTGCTTCTGGCGCCGTCGTCGCTAGCGGGTCCTCTTCCAGTCCTCTTCGAGCTTGATTACCTGCACTAGTTGTAATGACATTTCCTTCGCCTCGTCTATGAGGATCTCGATCCATCGGTTCAACTTCTCACCTCTTTTTATATAACCCTCTGCCACCTTCTTGAGATGTTGCCGGTCAAGCGTTGTGTCCTTCGCTAGGACATCTCGCGTGAATTCAAGAGACAGGACTTCACCCTGTGCTTTAAATAGCGCCTTATTATAAGCAGGATTCACGCGGAGGTACAGTAGATCAAAACTCACACCAAAGGAAGGCGCTGAACCACGTCCGAAGAGCGAATGAAAGTATATTTCACATTGTTGTGGGGTGAGTTCTACCCCGCCCTCACATGCGCTGCACGTCGCTACGAGCTTCTCAAACGCCTCCGCCGTCGTCGCCGAGTTATGGTTGGCGAAGGCCGAGACGTTACCCCTCGGCACTGGCATGGTAGCTGCCTGTTTGCCTTTTGCGAAGATCTTGGAGCCTCCTATATATTTGAGTCTCTGAAATGAAAGGCGCCTCTGCCGCTCGAACCTGGATCTGAAGATCCGCTCAAAGTCATCCTACACTTGGGGCACATAATTCATCAACAATAAAACCATCTACTTTTCTGCAAAAAACCAGTGAAAAGCGACCCATATAAAACGTCTTCAAGTTGGTTGGTTGGTTTGTTTGTCTGAGCAAGTTGAGATCCAGAAGATCAAGGTGGGCCACATGCCCCGAATCAAATCAAATCGAACGAACTTGAGAAATCCAACTTGAGCGACGGCCCCTCGTGCTCTGGCGCGCCGCCAAAAACCCTCGCAAGGGCTCAACACTCTCCAGTTCTCAACAACCCCTAAAGGCTCGTGCTCACACGCCAATTTACCTCTACCGAACGGCGGTCCTCATCCCACACACTGTCTGGGGCCACTAAGTTCGCCCCGGCGTCCGCCCTAACTGCGAAATTAGAAACCAACATCCCACGAAAATGGCACCAACAGACGACGAAAAACCACCCCAGTCCATAGACGGCCTCTCCACCACCTCCGAGTCTCCCCAACCTCCACCCGGCCCATCACCCGAAACCAGCAACATAACCAATCCCGGTCTGTCATTCTGGGAACAACGGCGAGCAGCCTGGGTCTGCGGTCACAAACCATACCCGGAAGAGGAGGCCGATAAGGCGAAGGAGGCGAAGGAGGAGCATTGTGATTGGGCGAGCAAGAGTCCGGTGCTGAGCGAGGTGCAGCCGGGGCATATGGATGCTATTTATAAGTCGATGGTGGAGGGGAGGAGGTTTGCGAGGCCTGTGCCGTTGCCTTTTGTTGTTGCTGTTTTGGTGAGTGCTGCGACAAGCGAAGCGAGTAGAGTGCGAGTGACAGCGACCTTAGGCGCAGGAGTACTTGAAGGTTCCGAGCGAAACGAGGAGAAGGCGAGCGATAGCGAGCCCAACTGGGCCCTAGGCCCAGGGATGTTTGAGAGTTGGTTTGGTCTCGGAGACCGATAGGTCGACCAGAGCGAACGCCTCCGTGAGCTATAGCGAAGCGCGAGCGGAGTGATCTATTGCACCAAAGGCGCAATGCTCCTCTAACCACGGCTCTTACCGAGCCTCAGCGAGTTCACATTGCGACTCACATCGTCCTTAGTGTGAGCGACTGCGAATGGTTGTTCTTTTACATATGAACTGACGGATTGTTCCCCTTTCTTCATTAGGTCGACGGATGGAAGAAGGAAGGGCTATGGTCACCTGCGACAGGCATTGGCGGGGTACAAGCCGGGTACCCACTCGAAGAAGAATCTCGGCATCCTACTTGAGAGTTGCGCTCCCGAAGCGTACCAACAGCAACCTATCAATACCTCCTGAACCTGGTGAAGCAGCAGGCCCTGTAGTCTGCCCCTCTACCAGCTCATCGCGACATGACGAGGATCACTAGATGCCGGTCTCTCGGGAGATCAGACGGTACCGCGAGAACCGGGCCCGCGCGAGATCACACGGTGGAGCGGATCGAACGTGGCGATTGGAGGAGTTGTATAAGAGGATAATCAGCGTCGAGAGGGGGGGATCTGTACCTCCGCTTTCCCCCTTAGTGATTCACCTGCGTATAAGCATGGATTTCACAGCATCGGAGGTGCCTCCCATTCGGCGCCCCCAATTCTCCGACCACGCGAACCCACTTCCGGGGCGTCACAGCCCGAAATTCGAAACTCACCAGAAGCAGTATTACCCTGAGCCGATAATGAAGAGAGAGTAGAATATGGGTCTATTGCCCTCTCTTTTCACCACCTGTGTGCCATGGTGTCCCGACCCTTGATCGGAAGCTACATGAAGAGAGGGACCCCCGAGGTTTAGGGGCGGTAGAGGCGTACGAGACGATGGAAGGGACTGATGTAGTCTCCACTTCAATGAAATGTGCGGCTTCGGTTTTGGGAAGGTGTGGGGGGATGGTGTGATCGACCTCATCAAATCACCCATTTGAGAAACATCGTTCGGCACAATGTTCCAAATGGGGCGTCTATTCTATGCGTGGAATCCTAGATTATCTTGAGACGGCTCCGATGTTCTACTTATTATCTAATATACAAGACCCCGGAATTCGAAACGTGTACATGCGCGCTTTCTACAGCGAGCTCTTCTCCTTCCTCGCATCCCCCGCGTTCTCTACCCTCGCCTTCTCCGCCAACTTCAACAACGCATACATCCCCTGCACGCGTCCCATCCCCTGCACGGCAAACCGCTTAGCAATCTTGACCGCGTTCCCCAAGATCACCTCCACCTCCATCTCGCGCTGCGACTCCCAGTCCAGGACCATGGATGATTTGAAGGTTTTGTTCCGGAGGGAGGATTCGATTATTTCGTGGATTGTTGCTAGTTTCGGGTATTCTCGCGTTGCTGACGGTGACAATGTGGGAAATGCTGACTCCGGATGTGATTGAGGTGGAAACGCATCCAACTTAAAGATGATTTTGGCGGCATGGAACACCTCGGCCATGACCGCCTCACAATGCTCCCGGGCGTCAGCGTCGACGAGCAGTTCGTATGTCGGGCGGGACCCCGCGAGCACCGAGGACGGGTTGAACGCGGCGTTGAGACCGAGTTTGTGCCAGCGAACGATCTGGATGTTGCGCGATGTGTGCTGCTCGGCGTCAGTTACCCCGCCCAATTTGAACAGGTCCACTAACGAACTGGTACGGGTTGCCGAGAGCGTATCCCTCCCCGTTGAATCATGGGATTCACTCCCGTCAACAGAATCCGTGTAGGGTCCGATCGCAATCCGCATCCACCGGTGATGCACAACCACCCCCGGCTCCGTCTGCGCGGCCGCTATAACCGTCACAGCCGACAGGATCGGGTTTGCAGGAAACCTTTGCCTGTACGGGGTCTCGATGCCCACTCCATTCTGTATCAGGACCACAGCTGTATGCGCGGGCGTCACTGCGGGCGCAATCAGGTCCGCGGCCGCCATCGACGCCGGGCGCGGGTTGGTTCCATCAGCCGAGAGCTGCACCAGCGATTTAGTGGCGACAAGGATATAGTCCCATCTTACCCCGCTGTTAGCGGCGTCATCGCAGGTGCGGAAAACGCCGTCGGGGCGGAAGGTGTAGTCGCCGAAAGGGCGGGTTTTGAGGGTGAAGCCGGAGTTGAGGACGGCGGAGTAGTTGGAGCGGCAGACGAGGGAAATGGAGGTTTTGTTGGGCGAGTGAGGGGGAAAGAGGTGGTGTTGGAGACGGGAGGCGTAGAAGGCGCCGACTGCTCCTGCGCCGACTGTGAAGAGAGGAAGATGAGTTATCGCGGTACGTTAGATCACGGACGTTGAGCGCCCGTTTATGGCGACGACTATACGAACTACACGATATGGCAAGGCGAGACCGTACGGAACCCCACCACTCCGGACCACCTCCGAGCTCAACCCAAACTTGCAGGCATATCAAAGTCCCAAAGCCAATAACATGATGAGAAGAAGCATACCTACGAGGATGTTTATCGTGTCACCCATATTACATGTCAGTTTTTGCCCGGTCTTGAAGGGAAGCTGGGAGACCGCAGAGAGGATACAGTGCCCGCGCTGGTTAGGTTCTTCTACGTCAAGAGAGCCGGAGAAGTCAATGGCGTTCGAAGGCAGACCTGCAATAGGGGCGTTCAAGTTGAAGTATTCGCTTGCCCAAAGGCTCGGACGTTGTCGAGCTTCTCCCACAAGCTGCGACCTATCAGCGCTCTGCGCAGCCAATAATACAGGAATCACGCCGAGTTCCGCCCAACGCTTCCTTCCCGCTTTCCCGAATCCCACAGCTAATACGGAAGTGAGCGAAGTTTTCTGGCTACATACAGTAGTCTCTATTTTAACTGATGTACAGTACGTCCCGATTTCACTATCGACTGGAAATGAAGCAGCGGCTGAATGATACAAAATTGGTGGAGATACCCCCGAAGAACGCCCCCATGAAGACATTTTCAAGCTTCTAGCTTTGCATCAACGCAGTCCTCCTTGTTGATCGCCAGAATGTCCAAGTACTTCTCCAACTTGGCATTCCCACCTAGCCGGGCAATCTCAGCCCGCGCCTCTGCTTCGATTCTCACCAGGTACTGCCGCACGTATTCGAAGGAGTTTGTCTTCTTCATGAGCTGGATGGCGAAGTTTTTGAGCTCTGGTGAATCCGTCTTCTGTTTCAAAATACCTAGGAGAAATACAGGAGGTCAGCTATTGCTCTGCATTGAATCAGGCTATCTGGCGATAGGCTTACGCACTTAACAGGGTATTATTTGAAGTGTCAGTCCGGATGCAGTGAATGATAGGGAACGAAAACTTCCCCTCTGTGAGGTCTTCGGCAAAGCCTTTGTTTTGCGAGTACTGAAGGCAAAACGGCGGTGAGCTGATGTCCTGGTATCGATGACCAATGGTCACGGGCTTACCAGATTGGACTGCAGGTTCATGTAGTCATCACGGACTTGGTAGTGAACTCCGAGGATGTTCACAAGGTCGGTGTAATCTCTGGAATCATACACAGAATGTTACTGATCTTTCCAGCATCGCAGAGACCCGTCTGCACACCCCTCGAGGACTTTACCTTGAGCCCTCCGTACTGATCTGCATCAGCTTGATTGCCAGTCTCAGCAAACCGCCCGTCTCTGCAGTTGACACGTGTGTGAGAAGACACCATTCACCGAGTTACAGAGCGTCAACAGCAAACACAGTACTATTCTTCACCATGTCCATGTACTGCTCTTCCGTGGGACATGTGCTCGAATCTCTCCAGTGGATCTCCATCCCCTGACCCTTGTGCAGTTGCAAAAGCTCTTCCGTGTAGATCATCATTGCCCGCGGATCATTCAGCTGGAAGAGTTTCTGTAATGCAAGGAAATAGCTATGGGTATAGTGCATTGAGCCTGTCGATTCCTTCATAGGAAGGTGGCGGACAGGGGAGGCCTTACACGTAGTTGGCGCAGTTGATGGTCGCAGGAACCCCATAGATTTTGTGAGCAACTGGCAAACATGCGGAGCCGTAGTTCAGTACCGATAATACTTCCTCGATGGCTTCAAGCCGATTTCCAACCTGGATTCCCTCTTCGGAGCATAGAGTCATCTTCCACGTCGTCAATCCTAGAAGTCACGTAGCGTCAGATACACGTTTTGCGCAAGTCCTTCTCCCGTTTGTCAGAAGCTTACAGTAAACTCGCACTATGCAGCATCTCCACCGTCTCCTTGATGACTTGCAGCTTGGTTGCAGGTACTTGCAACCATTCTCCGAAGGCCTCTAGCAGCTTTGTGCGAATTTCCTTGCCGGGGTTTGACGTCAGATAGAGGAATGGCTCCAGGAGCACTTTGTCGTCTGGTGACAGAGGGGTTGAGGATAAGTAGCTCATGATGACGGCGAAGAGCGGGGCAATCGAAAGAGTGTATGAATAGCGAGGGAGCACTTCGAGGACGTTGTAAGGTGGGCGCTGTCTCTGCTAGTTGCAAAACGACGAATGGCAAGCAGAGGAGGCATATGTAGGGAGACGCGCCAGATCATTGCGACCTGCGGTCTCTGGGTCTGTGCCGTTTTTGAGGCAAGGTTGCCACGCCACAGAACAGGACTTCCCATAGAGAGTCAGACATTGGCTTGCATTAGCAGCATAAGGACCCTCGGACCGCCAATAGGAAACCAGCAAGCCTCTTGACTGCCCTCCTGAAGCAACATTGACTGTTGTTTCGTCTTGACGTGCAGCCCGCAGAGTCATAGCCGCAGCGATCCTAGATAACGTGTCGGCGGTCATCACAAGTATCGGGCCATCACAACTATACACCGTTAATACTATTACGCGGCACGGGCCTGGTATACCATCATGGTGAGAAGAGCTGAGGGTGTCTCTGGCTGTTTTCACAGAAAAAGTAACCGTTCCATAATATTTCATTCCCCATCCAGCCTCTCAGGCTCGAAATCAAGGTGAGATCACGGGTCCTAGGAGTTTTGCAGGAGAGGAAGTGTCGTCATAGACAGTCGCTCAGCCGATTTTCTTGCTGCAGAGAAAGCTATCGAGTCGCTCGGACCGAGTGAAGGCTATCGACTTCCACCCGACAGAGCCATGGCTTTTGGCAGCCCTTTACAATGGGACCGTGTATATTTGGAACCACGAAAACCAGGTACATACACTGCTTGAGTTGCGCACCTGGTGAGATCCGAGAATGATGAACTCACATCGCTGTCATAGAACCTGGTGAAGACATTTGAGATCACGGACCTGCCTGGTAAACCATGATGCTGCTAGTGATACTTGACACCTCCGAATTTCATATGTTTAACGCCCCGATCCGCTATAGTTCGTGCCGCCAAGTTCATCGCACGCAAATCATGGTTGATCACAGGGTCGGATGACATGCAAGTCCGTGTATTCAACTACAACACGCATGAGAAAGTGATTGCGTTCGAGGCGCATCAAGATTACATTCGTCACATTGCGGTGCATCAGACACAGCCATACGTTCTGACATGTTCAGATGACATGACGATAAAGTTGTGGGACTGGGACAAGGGATGGAGGAACGTTATGGTGTTTGAGGGCCACACGCATTTCATCATGCAAGTGAACTTCAACCCAAAGGATGGAAACACATTCGCCAGTGCATGCCTGGATCGTACCATCAAGGTGAGCTACAGAACCCCGATGTTGGAGGCTCGAATGTGTACTGACACCTCTTGAAAGGTTTGGTCGCTCGGGTCTCCGACACCAAACTACACACTCGAGGGGCATGACAAAGGTGTCAATTGCGTAGATTACTACTACGGTGGCGACAAGCCATACCTGATCAGTGGCGGTGATGACAAGTATGTGTTGCCGCGACGTTAGGCACGGGATCATTGGGTTAGCCCATGGTTCGCTGGCTCACATAGCTCATCCTTTCAGGACCATCAAAGTCTGGGACTACCAGAGCAAAACTTGTGTGCAGACTCTAGAGGGGCATACGCACAATGTCACTGTCGCGTCCTTCCACCCGGACCTCCCCATCATCATCAGTGCTAGTGAAGACGGTGAGAATAACTTTCTTCCTGTCTTCTGTTTCTCGCTGCATTCTAACTTTGTCGGACAGGCACGGTACGACTTTGGCACGCCAACACCTACAGGTTAGAAAACACGCTCAACTACGGGATGGAACGCGTTTGGGCGGTTGCATATCTCCGAGGAACAAATGATGTTGCCTTCGGATATGACGAGGGCACCATCGCGATAAAGGTAAGGTTTTTCGTTAGTTCCTGCAGTTCTCAAACATGCTGACCTTGGAACGCACTTGAAGCTCGGACGAGAAGAGCCAGCGGTCAGCATGGACAACACTGGGAAGATCATCTGGGCAAAACACAGCGAGATCCAGACTGTGAATGTCAAGACGAGCGCGGATGAGAACATCAAAGATGGCGAGAGGATCCAACTCGCAACGAAGGAGCTGGGAAGCTGTGAGGTGTACCCGCAAATGCTGCAGCACAGTCCGAACGGGCGGTTCGTGGTTGTCTGTGGGGATGGGGAGTACATCATATATACCGCAGTCGCGTGGCGGAACAAGAGCTTCGGGAGCGCATTGGAGTTTGTCTGGGCGATGAACTCAACCGAGTAAGTAACGTGCGTACAACATGTCGTTCGTCAAGGACGAATTCTCACGATGGGCTTGTAGATATGCCATTCGCGAGTCTTCCTCCAAAGTGAAGATCTTCAAGAACTTCAAAGAAAAGACGGAGGTCAATATCAGACCGACGTTCAGCGCAGAAGGAATCTTTGGGGGTGCTCTGCTGGGTATCCGGAGCAGCAACTTTGTCAACTTTTACGATTGGGAGACTGGAGTTTGCGCGCGGAGGGTGGACGTTGTTTGTCGGAATGTAAGACGCGTGCATTTCAGCGGCAATGCGAGGACACGATTGCAGATGCAAAACTGACATCATGCTGCTCGGCAGGTGTACTGGTCTGAATCCGACCTCGTCGCCATCGTTTGCGACGACACGACGTATATCCTCAAGTTCAACCGGGTTGCCTTCCAGCAGTATATTGACAGGCATGGTGCCAACAGCATCACCGAAGAGGGAATTGAGGAGGCTGTTGATTTTGTTGCCGAGATCAATGAAGGGTGGGAGCACCCTTTTGCCCCAGAAGGCATCTTTCAGTCGGCCGTTTCACTAACCCGTTGCGATTTCTAGCGTAAAGACTGGATGCTGGGTCGGCGATTCGTTCATCTATACGAACAGCACAAACCGTCTTAACTACCTCGTCGGAGGTCAAACCTCTACCCTGAGCCACTTTGATAACACGTTGTACCTATTGGGCTACATCTCACGAGACAACAGGATTTATCTGACCGATAAAGATCTGGGGGTGTACAGCTATGCTCTCCCGCTGAGTCTGATTCAATATCAGACCGCAGTCTTGCGCGGCGACCTTGCACTCGCCGACAGCATTCTGCCCAGCGTACCAGCCGATCAAAGAAACCGTGTCGCGCGCTTCTTGGAGGGTCAGAATCTGAAGGAGCAGGCACTCGCCGTTTCCGCGGACCCCGAACACCGATTTGACTTGGCCATACAATTGCAAAAGATGGAACTCGCTTACGGATTGGCTGGCGAGCTGAATCAGGAGGACAAGTGGAAGATCGTTGGAGACAAGGCTTTGGAGATGTGGCAATTCGGGCTGGCTGAGGAATGTTTGCGGAACGCACAGGATTTGGAAGGTCTGCTCTTGCTGTACCAGGCCGGCGGGAACGGCCGGGGCTTGACGGAGTTGGCAGACCTTGCTGTGAAGGCCGGCAAGAACAACATCGCCTTTATATGCTACCTCCTCCGAGGAGAGATGGAGAAATGCACAGACCTCCTCGTTTCGACGGACCGTATTCCAGAAGCAGCGCTTCTTGCACGAACATTCATGCCCAGCCAAATCGAACACGTTGTGGACCTCTGGCGCCAAGATCTTGTCAAGAGCAACAAACTCAAGATCGCTGAGGCGATCACGGGCCCGGGGGACCACCCTGAGCTCTTCCCTGACCTGGAGTACGCCTTGTTCGCCGAAGAAGCCTTCAAGCGCCGACGGGAAAAGGGGGCTGTCCCCGCCACCGATTACGAGGACATGAAGGAGAGCCTGGACTGGGATGTTATTGGACAGCTGAAGGAGCGGTTCCCTGATGGGTTACCTGATGGTGGTGCGCAGCTTGAGCCGGCACCGAGTTTGGATGGAGAACGGGCTCCAAGTACGAGGAGTGTCCGGATGAATGTGGACGACCGCGTGCAACCGGGGGAAGAAGTGGTGGGTCTTCTCACCTTCCTACGTGGGATGTTCGATGGGGCACAAACTCATCCATGCCACTATACATTTTTTTCCAGGAGAGGCCGTCGTACCGTGAAGACGAGCGCGTCGACACCATTTCGGATAACATGAGCCATATGAGCCTGGAGGTCAACACCACGGGCACTGGATCAGTGAGGGTACGTCAACGTGGACGCTTTCTGGCTGGACTGAGAGATATCCATCACTAATACCACGGCTCCTTTTGTGCATTTCCTCGCAGGGGGACATAGACTTTGACGATCTAGCCTCATTTACAGACGCATCGATCCCACAAGAAGAGTTCCAGGACGGCGATGAAGACGTGGACAAGTTCCTCGCGTCGACTTCTTCGTCGCTTTTAGATTAGGATTGCTTGGAAGATATACCTCCTCCACTTTTTCCAAACTCCCGTCCACCCCCGCATAGCCTCACCTGTATGCTGACACCCGTGAACTCTTTCTTTTCTTATTATTACCCACTTATATACGTGGCACATCCGTCGTTCAGGCAGCGAGTTTGACCGGTCACCGAGTTGTTGCAGACGTCGGGATGTTCATTCCGTCGTGCGGTCCATTTCATCACGTCCATCACGTCACTGAACGCGAGCGAGTTGAAATGAAATGCCCAGCAGTGGTGTCACACGTGGCATCCTCACACAACAACTGCAGCGTCCTCCAGGCTCCTCCTGCTTCCTTGTTTTGGGCTTGGCGTCCATGTTTCTCGTACGAACAAAGGGCACTCTTAAGAGACTCGCAACTTACAAGACCAGTATCGATAAAAATAACTCAGTCTGCCCTCAGTAGATTTCTAGTTTCCACCACAGGGTCAGTAGGGTATCCCGCCCATCCTCGAGATCATTGTAGAGCGTGGCGAGTTTGTAGAGCAACGATCGGTTTTTGGTGCTCCACGTATTCTGAAAGCTTGGGGAAGCCCTCCACAAAATCTGGAACCCCCGTTTTTGAGGAGACGTTGCTTATATAACTGGTCTCTCTCTCTCGGAGGCAAGGGAGGAAGTCAGTTCGTTCGTGAATGTTCTACATAGCTCGCAAACTGAGCTCTGCGGTTGCGCACAACCTCCCAATCCCGCATATTCGCTCCGAAGAGTCAACGACGCCTCCTAACTTGCCCGCTCGTGAAGCGGAAGATTCAAAGCACACCAGTACGCTCTCAACGGCATCCTCACGCTCCGGCTCTCCGTTGCGAAACACGGTCGTGCCGCCTTCCGTAGTCCTCCCATATATCCCAAGTTACACTCCAACTCCTCCACCAGCAATATCTCGCAACATGTCGACAGCCACATACTCGAACGGCGTAAAGGCCGAATTCCCGGGGCGGACCGAGGCCAAGACAGGTTACTCACCACCTCAAGACACGCAGGGCTTGTCTGCCGATAGCTTCCTGGAGGCCAGCGCGTATGCTGCCCGTGCACGCAGATTAGTGAAGATGGTGAACGTCATGCGCGATGCGGGAGCGCACATGGATCTGGATCTCCCAACGATCGTGGTCTGCGGAAATCAGAGCGTGGGAAAAAGTAGTGTCCTCGAAGCGCTTTGTGGTGTCGTTCTCCCACGGAATGAAGGCACATGTACGCGATGTGTGACAGAAGTGCGGATGAGCGAGAACGATACCACAGCCAGCGATCTTGCTACCGAGTGGAATTGCACTGTGAAGTTACGATACGAGTACGACTCTATGGGTCGACCATTGAAGGCGGTCAAAGAGATCCCCTTTGGAACCGAACTGCATAAGAAAGAAGACGTGGAGCTGATCGTCCGACGCGCACAGAAAGCCCTCCTGAACCCCTCAACGAACGTCACACAGTTTCTGCAATACAACTTTGATGACTCGACAGCAAGCACACGGGATGCGGAAGCTGCCAAAAACGAACTTAGGTTCTCGAAGAATGTGATTTGTCTAGATATCCGTGGGGCCGGTGTCAATTTGACGCTCATCGACCTGCCTGGAATCATTCGGTCTGTTGATAAACGGGAGGACGCACAATACATCGATATGGTACAGGATCTTGTCCGGCTGTATATCAGCAAAGAGAGGGCGATTATTGTGGCAGCCATCACTTGCAAGGATGAGATCGACAACCAGGTATGCAACTCTGTCACCGACCTACCTTGTCTCCTTATCAACATTCTCTGTTTCAGGCAATCGTCCACATGGCAAAGGAAGTGGATCCACACGGCATGAGAACCCTCGGTGTCCTCACAAAGCCCGACACAATAGAAGCCGGCACGCACGACAGATGGTTGCAGGTCATGTTAGGTCATCAGTACAACCTCAAACTCGGATACTGGATGATCAAGAATCCGTCGAAAGCGGATCTCGACCGTAACATAACTTTCGACGAGGCCAGGAAAATGGAAGAGGCCTTCTTCTCCGGCCAGGCGCCATGGTCTACGATTCGGAGACAGCTGGATCGGTTTGGAATCGACTCTTTGCGGAGAGAGCTCAGTCGTCAGTTGACGATGCTGACGGAGATGTCGATACCCGATATGCAGAGTCGGACGGAGGAGGCAATACAGGCTACCGTTGTGGAGCTGAACAATCTGCCGCCATCCCTCGGCGAGAACTCCCGAATCGAGCTCCTGCAGATGGTGCGGCATTTCTGTACGCTCGTCAACTACAACGTCACTGCGCACCAAGACTTCAAGCAGTTCTATCAGCAAATACGGAAACACTTTGACGTGTTCCGTGAAGCAGTGGCTAGCACGAGACCACAGTTTGCGATGAGTCACGGCAAAGGAGGTGTGGCACCAGCGACGGCTATCGCCTCCCTATCCACGTCGATCTCATCGTCCATCTCATCCGTGGTAGGGTGGGGAACGGGGTTCGACCCACGCCGCGCTGAGATACCCGGGAACAAACAAGCAAAGAAAGAATCCGGCCCGGTACCAGAAGCCACGGAAGTGGATTCGAAGAAGCCTATTACCGTCCACGATGTGCGGCGGATCATCGATGCACAAAAGGGACGGGAGCTCCAGGGATACTCTGCGTATGATGCGTTCACATATGTAGTCTCGATGTTCCAAGAGGAGTGGGCGAAGGACGGGCAGATGTGTTTAGCCGCCGTCAATCATGAGCTGCATACGCTGATTGGGAAGCTGACCGACGATGTGTTTGGACGGTTCGCCAACCTGCAAGGCCAAGTCAGGTAGGAGTTTGAAGGGGAAAGCTGAACTGCCGTCGGCGACATTCGCTAAGAAATCTTGATTTCATTACAGATTCGTCATCCAAGCCTTTCAAAACGAGCTCTACCGCTCCACATCGGAAGTCGTAAACAACCTCGTCACCATGGAACGTCGCTACCCATTCACAATGGGCTCCGACGAATTCACCCGCACAAAATCCAACGCGCTCCACGAGTTCCGAGCCCAGCTCGAAGCCGCACGCAACGGTCACCTTTCAAACGCATCCGGCGCGACCAGCAACGGAGCAGTCGCATCCTCCTCATCCTCAAACGCATCAGGCCAGCCGCCCAAAGTCGAGACAGTAAACAAAGCCCTCGCCGCGTTGGCGGAAGCAGGGTTCACCGGTCTCTCCGCCCGCGACCTCACCCGTCTACGCTCCGAAACCCCCGAAGACGACGAAGTCCTGCACGTCATGGCGGCCTCACACGCCTACTTCCGCGTCGCCTGCCGTCGGTTCAGCGACAATGTACCCATGAACGTCGATTTTCACTTCATGTCCCGGTTTTCGGATCTGCTGGAGAAGGAGCTGGTCGCGCGGTTGGGGATCTTGGAGAAGGATAACGCCGCGGTGGATTTCATGCTGCAGGAGAACAGATTTGTGGCGGAGCGGAGACGCGCATTGGAGGATCAAAGAACGAGGCTCGAGGCTGTTTGGAGGAGTTTGCACGAGTTTGGATATTGAAGGGTGTCGCCGTCGTCTTTGGGGATGGGGTTTCGAGTAGTGTGGATTCACATAAAGAGGCTGTAGCATAGCATTCGTTCTGCACGCAGTGTTTACCCGAGTTTCCTTCCCTTGAAAAGTGATTTTCTGCATCTTCATTTGGATACATAGCCTTTGAAACTTTTGTGTCTACTGTACAATATATTGACCCCGTTGGTGTCTACGCAAGATTTACGACCTCAACATTGCAACCCCTCCCTTCGCTTGTGAGAGACCCACGGTTTTCAAGATTGCGGGAACGAACAACACCGGTCGTTTCCAACCGGGAGCCTCGGATTTATTGATGCAACAATAACAGCTGGTAAAGGATGCTGCCTACGGATGGTTTCTCTGAACCCCATACTGATTCCTCATCCCACCCTGCGGACGCTGGTAGTTCGCACCATGCTGCGCTCGCACCAGCGGCTGGCTGGGCGGACCGCCAGAAAATATGGCTTTGAGGATTAACCAAGTCACTTTCAAGCCGTAGCACGAGACGACGGAAGCGAGGATCCAGAAGGCGATGTTCTGCCATGCGGCGAAGTGGCGGAGCCAGATGAAGCTGGGGAGCTGGGGGAGTTGGGGGTGCTTGTGGCGGAGTTCGGCATACTGTAGACGCGACGGAGGGTATGGTTAGTTTGATGCTCTAGGTTTTCAACGCAAGTGAATGGCAATAGAATCAAGCAACGATCACAGTACCTCATCATCCAAAACCCCAGCAACCCATTTCCAAAACCTTACAAGCGACGCAAACTCATACGTCATAACCAGATCCCCCGCCCTGTCGCTCGGCAAAATCGGTATATCTGTCTTGGCGCTCATCCTCAGCCCCTCCTTCAACTGCTGCCGCCCCCGTTGCGTCAACACCGCAACACCGTCCCTCCGCACAATCTCTTCGGGTGCAAGCACGCCAGGTAAGACGGTTTTGAAAACGACTTCCTCCTCCTCTGCCACTGGCAGACGGTCCCTGTCATCGCCGCCTCGGAGGCTGCTAGGGTCCACGGTGGACGTGCGACGGGACGCGCCGGGGGACAGCATGTTCATGAGCCCACGTCCTGAAGGTGGTCGGGCTTCCGGTTTGGGGATCTTGCCGTCCCAGACGGCGATGATGTCGTCGGCGCATTTATCCAGTCTCTTGATGTTTTCCTTGATGATCTCCTGGTTTGCGTTTGTTAACCCGTCGCTGTGGCGACGGCCGTCGTCATTCAACTCTCGCTGCACGTATCCGATGGCTTTTCGTGCACTGCGGAAAGCCGTGGTAATGGTAAGGATAAGGACAACGAGGAGGCAGCTTCCTAGCCAGCGTAGTAAGGAGGAAACGCTGGGATCGGCGGAGGGGAAGGGTGAAAGTTTGAAACACTCGGTTTGTTCGGTTGGTTGATGTTCGGAGCCAGTTGAAAGGAAGTATTGGGATGTGCGCCTGCCGGTGGTGGGACTCGTGGCAGAACTGCGCCGTGATGGCCCGCCTTCGAGGAGAGCGTGCAGTCGCTCACGGCTGTGCAGTAGATTCGATAAGATCATGGTGACCTGTCCACACGACTGTGAGAACCGAAAGATGCCAAGAAAAAGAAATCCGGTGCGTATTACCTCATCGGTTACATTCAGAGACTCGGCTTTCCTTGGCGAAGCGGTCGCATTGCTGATGAGGAACACAGGCTTTGACTCCTGCCTCTCCCCTATCTGACTCAGCTTCGTCCTCGACTCATGGCCGCTGTTGAGCAAGGTCTGAAGAACCTTGGAGTGCGCCTCCGTCCCATCATAGACACCGCCAAGATCCCGCGCATGGAAGCGGGTACCGTACTGCATCCTGTTATCAAGTGACGATATGGCAGTCTCGATCGCCCTTAGAACACTTAGAAGCGTCTCATCATCGAAGGACTTGAAGACCATCTCAAGAATCTTGAGATATGGCTTGACCAGGGTTTTGGTACCCGAAGCGCCGCTCACTGGGCGTACCGACGAAAAAATGTCGAACTCTTTGGCACGGTGGAGGAATTTGCCGAGGAGGATGGTGTAGAACATGAAATTGTCATGGACGAATTGTATCCTGTTTCCAGCGTGAGTTGCGAATATTCGTCATTTGCTGAAGAGGCATGCAGCTTACCATCTGTCGTTGTACTTGGCGTCGGGATTCTGACGTTTCCATGGCATGATGTATGCTAGCCATAGCTCGACGACCTGGATGAACTTATAAGTCAGAGTGAAACGGAAGGGATATCACATGATCGACTCACCGATATGAAGCTGTCATCGCGGGGCCAATAATCGAAAGCGCACCGGAAGAACCAATACAGCTTAGGTCGCACGATTTGATATGCCCGCCTAGAGAGAACGTCAGCGCTATTCTAGCCGGACACTACAGAGGGCCTGGTGCTCAACATACCCGCGCGCAGACAGTATCTCGTACGCAATGTAATCCCTATTCCGATCCGCGGTCGCCCTATAGATCTCATAAAAGTCGACCGTGATCGTTTGTAATATGAGGGATTTGATGCAGATGATTTGGGACTCTACAGGTTTTAGGTAGCCTGGGTTCTATCGGAAGAAGAGCAAATATTAGCAGGCAGTGAGTTGACATGCAATGAGGACCATTCGTGAAGACATACACTTTGTCCCAACTTGGAAGGGCTGGACAGAGCTCCTGTGTCATTTTGGCACAGCCAGACTTCCACGAACGTCCCCACAACGAACTCAGATGCAAGCCTCCGTTGGCTCATGTCAATCTCACTGCAAAGCATTTGGTCAGCATTTCGTTCGTCATTCCATATGCATCGCCGGTCCCGCACCTTGTCGTAAAAACATTCGTATCCTTCTGTGTTCCTTGCACCTTTCCGAGCACATTCGCACGCGACTGCTGTGCTGGCGATTGCTGCTCATGCTTCCAAAAATGTTCCACGGTATTGTGCACGGCCTTGTTCAGACTCTGCCTCATAGGTGTCAGTTCCGCCAGAGGTCGCCGCATTGGGGTAGTCAATCCCCGATGCTCCATCCGTCCGCGCATCCCTCCTGGTGTCCCCGGACTTGCGATGTTCGTGAGGGGTTCGTCCTTGTCCTTCATCGACGACACAGGTAGAAAGAAGTCCAGGTATGCATCCACCAGCTCAAAATAGATCGGAGATAATGGGGTTCGGTTTGATGCACTCGCAGCTCCATCTTTGGCCCAGGGGGAGACAGCTTTTGGAAATGGCACTGCCGAGAAGATTCCCTTTTGCGGTGACTGCCCGGTCGCGGATTGAGTGTCCCCAAGTACCGAAGATACCGCTAGCTTCTGAATCGCACATAACCTAGATGTCGTCAACGGTTCAACCAAATGTTGGAAATTTTGGGGCCACGGAAAGGGCATCTCACTTACGCGAATGAATACATGTAGTACTCAAACATATCTGGAAGAAGATGGTTCAAGGTTAGATGCAGTCGCTTCAACGGAGGTCAAGGGACATTCACACAAAAGTACATACTGAACATTATCTTCACAGTCGGCTGGCGTCCTCGCTTCGGAGTCACGATCATGTGGCCCATAGTTCGCGAACTCTCCTCATGCTTCAGCCGAGACGCATACAGAGGTGGCAGTTGATTTGTGTCCAAGTTGCTGATAGCTTTCCGCGTCGGGGCAGGCAGTTGGTCGAATTTGATCTCGTAGAGCAAAGAGCGGTCATGCAACTTCAACAGAGTTTGGAAGAAAGGGCCGCCCGGTCGCAGGAATCGGAGAAGGATATCCTTTTCATTGGAAGACAAATTCCGTGAGAGGTAGCACGGGTCACCGGTACCGCCATACAGCTTCGTTGTTATGCGGGATAGGTAAAAGTGCAATGGTTTTGCCACAGTCGAGTCGCCCTGGTCCACGAGCCATTGCTCAACCAACTGAATTGCGGCGAAAAACGAACGTGGATCGGTTGCCGAGACCAGACGGGACAAAGGGTGGTTGGCCTCCATGTCGCTCTGTGTGCACTGTCAGCGAGTGAGTGAGTGAGTGTGGGAGACCGCTTGTTCTTTTGCCTAGCAATCGTAGGTCATCTTCGGGCGACATGGAGACAAATCTCTTTTTCTGCCAGTGAGCCTGAGTGAGGCCAAAAACTTTGGAGCAACGACGCGTTCGCGGCCGGGGGTTCGAATGTCCGAGTCCTCTTTGGCGTGTTCTCCTGTTCTGCGATGGGCTTGCATAATCAACGCGTTTCCAATCCCGCAGGCCGCGAATTTCAAATTTCCAAGGACATCTCATGCGCATAAAAAGGGTTCCTAGTACTTTACTCCCCTTCTGCCCCACCTCCCACTTCGATCATCTCGTCAAAACACCACTTTGTCGCTACTTGCCATGTCCTCACGAGCTGCTTTGGACGTCGCCTCTGTCCCCGACTCGGCTCACGAGAGGTCTCAGCAGGGTTCAAGCGGTGATGACCAAGGACCGAAGATCATCGACGCAAACTTCACTGAAGACAAATCGGCACCCACGAAGACGGAGCCACTTGAAGATGGAGAGCGAACGTTCTACACCGCCGATATGCACCCGTCTGTGCTGAACAATTTATATGGTCAAGCCTTGAAAGTTCTGACCGTTGCAGCAGCGTTTGCCCCAGCAGCGTTCGTCAAGAACCCGGGGGCCGCCTTGCACAATGCCACCTCCGTCATGGCGGCCGACGCGGGAGCAGCTGCTTCTCAGAAACCGGCCATGACTCTAGGGAACTTGAAAACATTCCTGCTGCAACATCACCAGCGAAATCGGGCCGGTGCTGCGCATAGTCCGACCACATCGAACCAGATGCCACTTGTCAACCGGAAGTTCCTTGAAGGCCCGGGCAGTAGTACGCATGCGGACAGTGGTGGTCCACATGGGCCTGCGAGCGTGAAACGGGTGAAGATGCTACGCGTCGCTCACGCAAAAGAGGATGCAGCATGTAAGTGGACATTGAGGTTGCCCATCCTGCAAGCATGACTGAGCAACGTACTCTCCAGTGTACAAGCAGCCATTGGGCAAACTCTTTGGAGACTACATGGCCCCCCGGCCAAGCTCCATCGCCGCATGGGACTCGCTCATCGAGGAACGCATATCCCAAGCGTACCGCGAGGGTCAATTCGACAACCTTAACGGCTCCGGCCAGCCACTCGACGCATCTGGGGCGCCCATGAAAGCGAAATCAACCGACGCCGAGCACAAACTCAACCCATTCATAGACCGCACAGAGTTTTTCCTGAACCGGATTGTGAAATCGCAGGGGTATGCTCCGCCGTGGGTGGAGATCGCCAAGGAGATCGACGCGGATATTGCGACGATGAGGAGTGAGTTGCGGTCGATGTATCGGGAGGCGCGCAAGCCGTTTAGGGAGACGACGGAATTGCAGCGTAGCGTCAGGGAGCGGGGCCGTCAGCAACCAATTACTGCGAGGAGCTCGGACAACGGGAATGACGAGGTCACCGTGCATGCCCGCAGTCGCTTCTGGTCAATCATGAGGCAGCTACTCCCCGACACACCGCCCCCGTTCCCACCAGACCGTAGAGCATCTACACCCCCGGGCACCGCACCAACATCAGCACCTACATCGTTAGCATTCCACGACATCAACGCGCGTATGCTGTCATGGGCCGAAACGCGATCTCGGTTGATCGATGCAAAGATCGATCGCTACAATATGAGCACGCCGAGCGGATTTGGGCATCGGCAAAGGGTGCTGGTCGATAGGGAGATTAGGAATGCTATTGCGGATGTGATGAAGGAGGAGGAGGCTGGTGAAGAGATGGTGGCGTGGAAGTCATGACGGAGAGGGGCCATGCTTCCACGTTCCGATAACGGGAAGTGTGATTCGACGCCGTAGGACATAAAGCGTGGATCGCAGCGCCTTCCTCGCGGGATCACTCTTTAACCTGCCCGGCCTGGGAAAGCGTGGGCGTGCGCGCATCCGAACGCTTCACTCACGGTTTTTCGCGGGGGTTACTGGACATTTCTTCGTGCACGAAACTTAAGCAGTCTACGCATATGGCATCAAGACTACGGACAGCTCCGGAATGGAGACACGTACTCGAATCGCCTATCAAGCCGGTGGATGCCTGGCGAATGGGTGCAAGCAGCCGGGAAAGCTTGCGTGCGGTTCAGGGCAGGAGAGCGTACGACACGGTGCGAGGGCGCCCATACCAGAAGTGAATCAGAGCTTCGTTTCGAATCATCAGGCGACGGAACAAAATCAGAGATGATACTCCTTTCGAGTGTCAGAATACATGGAGACGATCTCAATTGTTGGTGCCAACAATAGGGTGGATGGAGAGGGCACACTGCAGAGCCTTTGAATTTTGAAAATCATGCCACCCGGGGCGATACGCATAGTTATTGAGGTACTGGCGGGTCTTTATCACAGTATGTACTATGTAGGGCACAGTGATTAGGCCCTTCCTCGAAAGACCCCATAGAGCAACTCATAAAATGTAGATCACTATCGTACTAGTATCGAAATCTATCCAAAAAGTGAAGTCGGGGCCGCAGTCGAATGACAGAATGAAGCTTGTCCTGCACGTGGCGCAAATGGTGACCGACGGATCAATCCAGATGCGGAGGAAGAACAACCCGCTCGGAAATCTTGTCGATCTCACTATATATGCGGTCGACGACGTTTTCGTCCTGCCCAGACACCAGCCGTAAGATATCCTCCGTGAGCTCGTAATTCCCAAGGACTAGAAAGAAAGACAAACTATTAGGCCGCGCCAAACATGAAGTGCGTTCCAAACGAATCCCACTTACTGTCTACATGATCGGGACTATCTGGCCCTCCTCGAACCTTCGGGAGCGAATTCAGGATCCCCGACCGTCTCGACGGGTCCTCCCTCGTCTCCCTAGTGATGACCGTCACCCCCTCCGGGTTATATCGTTTCTGCTTCCATCCATGTTGACACATATAACCAAGCGACAAGAGCGGGACGGTGCCGTCGCCGTCCGTCGTCTGAACGCCGTAAACAGTGTTTGATGCCGCGTCCGATTGCGATTGGTCAATGTGCATGTCCGCGTTGCCCTCTTCTGGGAAGGTATCGCTATTTGGGGGTCTGGCCGTGACGGGCGCCGCAGTAGGGCTCGCCTCCCTTTTTTGTACGCTTCTCGATTCGAGTGGCGTCCCCCCCAACTTGTTCGATCGCGTGCCGTCCGATGGCGTTTCAAGCTTGTAAAAATATTTGCGCTCCGTCTGAAGGCCTGTCCCGTACAGACATACGATTTTGAAATTTTTGCCGAACTTCGGCAGAGGGGTCAATAAGGGATTTGTCCAAGCCCGCGAATCCTTCTTCGAGTCTTGCAACTGTTCCTTGGTTTTGGCGATACCGTACGAGTAATCGTCCGACCAATATAATTCCGTACCATCTTTCGAATGATGATCAATAAACGCTGTCATGTTTGAGGCTGTCAAGTGGAATTTCGGCTTTGAACTTTTAGAGTCACTGGTTCGGCTATCCGTCGGACTGCTGCCGACGTCCACCATTGCGCCGAAGGAAGGCTTGTCACTGTGAAGTTCATCCGGTGCAAAACTGAACGCGTTTCCCCACAGTGCCTCTCCACCGTATGGCAACATGGAGGCCATTCCGCCCCAAGAGCGGAAGAGCTTGACGCGCTGTTCCCGGGAAAAGAAATAGTCTACCAAAGGAGCATGCGGGGTCCATCAACATTGCGAATCAAGACACTGATTCAAAGATTGAGGGTGACCTGACGACTCATACCTAATAAAGAAGTGGCAGCTGCATTCAACTGTGCTGTATCGCGCATTTCGCCGGATAACAGGGTCGCAGCAGCCTAACCGTAAATCACGTCAATGAGGGGGTCGACACAATCTCACATGGTCCGTTGACGCACCTTCGGGACCCCTAACAGAGTTCCTGCTATATTGATCCACCCAGCCAGATACTTTGCGTTCCACTCATCACCGTGTTGCGCGCGAATCCAGTTGATAAAGTAAAGGAACACTGTGCTTCCCATACTATGCGAAGCTATCATAACCTTTGCAGCGTTCTCATCACCGCCATTCATGATCGCGTGCTTGTAAGCGATTTCAATGGTGGATTTTAGTTTTGTGAAATACAAGTCGCGAAGCTCTAGGTTCTTGAACGACAACCGCCAATCGTAGGCCGCCAAATGCATGTTGTTTGAGTCATATCCAATTGAGCCGAGGTTGGCGATGATCTTCGCCCAGACCCAAAAACTGCCATATAACACAATCAGATAAGCAAGCAAGAGTGTGGAGCTTCAAGTACAGCGACCTACCCTGGAAACAAGAAGTCCGCACTATCTAGTCCTTGCGCAGCCCTCAACTTCACACCCACCGGATCTTTCCCATTCTCGTCGAGCATCATGTGCTGCATCCAGCAGTCTTTGTTGAGTAACAATGCCTTGATCTGATCCAGGGTTCCCCACATCCTCTTCCGGAAAAACTGCCTGCCGCAGAGGCGAGTTTTCGTTACCATCGCCAGCAAAGCTTCTTCATCAGCTTTCGATTTGGCGTTTTCCTCCCTCTTTTCGGCCACGGCAGGTTTGCTCCGCTTCAGCCGGTTGCGGGAGGTGGTAAGCTTCTGCGGCAAATACTGTAAGAGCTTTGCGCGCTGGTTTTGCTTTTTGGCGGCCTTTGATTTCCGATCCTGTATTACGCTGTTGAGCTCCTCCTGAGCCGCTTGACGGTCATGCTCCGAATTGACCTTGGTCTCTGGGGCCGTGTTCCACACCTCCAGTCCGGTGGACACAATCCCCGGAATGAGTACAACTGGGTGCTTGACCTGCAGTCCTTCCCTGGCGAGCCGCGCGCCTGGTAGGAAGTCTCCGTACTCGATGTCGGCGTTCTCGCGCGAGCGAAACGGCAACATGGAAGTGAAATTGCCGAGGATATCCAATTTAAAGCCAGGTAAATCGGAAAGATCCATGGAGAGGCTAAACCATCGCTCAAAGTTCTCGGATTCGGGAAAGTGACTTCTATACGAAAAGGTTCCGATCGTGCCGAGAAGAGTTCCCAGGATGAAGAAGACTCGTCGGAACTGAACACTCAGAGTCGATAAGCGACAAGAACACAGATATCCAAGAGCGCAGAACGGAAAAGCATACCTCCGAGAATTTCCTTCGGATTTGTGCCGTTGAGACAGAGAGTCTTCTTGCGGTGATACGTTGCCCTTCACGTTCTACTACCTCGATTACGGACGGTGGAATTCTGTTCCGGTTCCTCCCCTTCCGTCCTTGCGATGTGCTGTTCGCGCTGGCCCTAGCCTTGCTTTGTCTCGTTTTGCCGGACATGATGATGCAAAGCCACTCCGATTGATGAGGCGTTGAGCTGGCATTTGCACTGAATGCGTAAGAAGACCTCTCGTCACCTGGGCTGCATGTGCTCCGTCTTCACCGTCGCAAATCGTTCCGGTGTCTGTTTTCGTCTCCCGTTCAAGTGCGTGGTGCTTGCTTCGAACGCGTCATGGCATCGACACGCCGTGTTTGGTCATGGCCCTCATGGCCTCCGCGATTACGGTTAAGCTTCAAATTCGGAGCGTTCGTATGCACTATAGGGATGCTGTCCATCGTGCACTAATGGTCATATGGAGCGGACCGGTGTAGAAAGCATAAGGATCCCGTGGGAAAAAGACGAACGTGCGCACTCAAGACTCGGCCTGTTCCCATCCAGGCTCTCTCGCCGTTGTCGGATCTGTGATCTGAACATAACCTTCTCATACCAGTATCTTGACACCAGGACGCCAAAAAAAGACGTGGGCATGAACCACCTGCAGATTGCGTCTTTCAGCATGGAACTTTGATTTGGCCGAACCGCGCCCTAAGGACAGTGGTAGTGGAGTGAGGCGCTTCCGTAGACGTATGTGTATTGATGAAGAAGGAAGGGGATGCCAGACATGCTTCTACTGAAGCGGCCTCCCTTTACTACCCGATGATCAAAGTTTGTCTCCTTCGGTCTCTCCGCGTCACGACTGGCCGCCTTGATCTGAGTGCTTCGATATTCAATGTCTGCAGACCCATATTCAACCTTGGTGTTGCGCCGGGGAAGGAGGAGGAGTCCCAAGCAGCGGCCCCGTTCACCTTACTGCGAGGTAAATCCAGTTGAACTCCCGTCTTGTCCGCCTCTATTTCAACGGAACAACCAACATGGTGTGTGCTGGTGATGTTCCCCTGTGAGCTGAAATCCAAGCATGACCAAACTCCAACGCCCCTGCTACTCCACAAGTCGGAGATGCCCATCCGGCAGCGAAATAAAGCGTTGCCTCGACGCCAACAACCCAATCTCCGCAGATCGGGACCACTTTCCGTCATTTCGACCATTTCGACCCAAAAATCAGAGCCGCAATCAGAATCGGGAGCTCCCATTCGAAGAAAGCAGTGGCTAAAGTATCGTCATTGAAGTGCGGTATGTACATGATAAATACAAAAATATTTCGAATGCTTCGTTCCGAGTGCTAGAGTTGCAGGCATTTCGGTCGTTCTTGGAGTGGGCGTCCGAAATGTTGTCTATCGTAGATAGGACTGAGACAAAAAGCTCACAAGAGCTCCTTGACGTATTCGACAACGAAAGGCACGGCGCGGAAGACGGCAACGACGGTGACGAAGGTGGTGAGGCTCGACTTCACCTATTCGGGGTATTAGTTCCGACATCCGACAGTGGAAATAGTGAGAGTGGAGACTGAAGTTCAGCCTTACCTTCGCCCTGTTTTCACGGGCTTCCTCGATGGAGACTTTGGGAGCTTGGCCGAAGGAAAACATTGTGTGATAGTGTTGTCTTGGGGGTTGGGGATGAAGTATGGGAATGCGGTGAGCTGGGGGGGCAAGTCGGGGGTTGCCAAAAATGCATGCCAACCAGCGATCAAAACAGATCAAAACGGTTTTCATGCACACCTCCCCGCGCGTATTAGATAGTTATCATGTTTGCAGTTCGCAGGCGTGTTCGAAGCAGGTTCGAAGCCACTTTTGCACAAAGTCCGGCTGTCCGCGCGATCCAGGGCGCGATCTCTGTGGCCAACTCTGCTAACTCTGTGGTCGCGCGTGATGACCGACTCGCATTCCGCTCCCGTTCGGCCCTTGGCCGCCGCTCGCCGTCCCACATTTGACGAAGCTTCTTTCGCATACGCGGCGTCTGATCTGCCTAGTCCAGTTGTTTGAAACTCGCCCGTTTTCGTCGTTGGAAAGTCATCAACCTCTGCACGATGGGCATCGGTTCCTCAAAAGTCCCCATCGCGGGACAGGTGGTCATCATCACGGGATGCGACACCGGCTTCGGTCGCGATGTTGCGCTCCAACTAAGCGCCAGTCCGTATTCCGCCATCGTCTATGCCACCTGTCTGACGGACGCCGCCGTGAAGGACTACGAACGTATCAAGACTGAACAGGGAGGCCGCTATTCTTCGACTCTACGCCCTCGCCAACTTGACGTGACAAACTGGGCAGACGTGCAGAAGTTCGCGGCAAAGATAGAGGAAGAGTGCCCGGAGGGTATCTTTTGCGTGATCAACAACGCCGGTATCAATCTGGGGGGATTGTTCTCGTGGACGGAGGTCTCTGAGTTCCAGAAGGTCATGGATGTGAACTACATGGGAACCGTGCACATGATGAAAGCCCTGCTGCCTTCCTTGCTTCGATACGTGAGGAAGAACCCGAACTCTGTCCTTGCGCCGCGAATCGTAAACATAGCGTCGGTGGCAGCGCGGACGGTCGCGCCGATCTTGGCTGCTTATTGCCCATCAAAGCATGCCGTTGAGGCTGTTTCTTCAGCAGCTCGTATGGACTTGGCCCCGCTCGGCATCCGTGTTGCGGTTATTGAGCCTTGGTTCGCCGGGTGAGTGGTCGGAATGATTTGGAAGGTACATAAGTGGCACATACTAATGGACATTCTCCCACGCCAGAACACCCATGGTCCTTGGTGGCGTGGAGCAAAGGCTCGCCAACCTCAAGAGTCGCTTCCTGACCGTCCCCCACAGAGAAGAGCTCGGAGAGTCATTTCTCGACACGCTCGTTAGTCAACTTGGCACACCCCCCCCGCTGACGATGGACCCGAAGCAAGTGGTAGACACAATCTTGAAGACGGTAGAAGCGACGGAACCCAGGTACTTACTCTGGGAGAGCCATGTGCTTTGATTCGTTTGCAAACCTTCCTGCTTAACGCTCGGTATGCAGTGCGCGGCAAGTTGTAGGATTCATTGGAGCGGTCGTCATCTTTTTTGTGCAACTCCTGCCCCTGACTTGGATTGACCGACTTGCTACCTCGCGCTCACCGGTCCTCAAGAGCGGCTTGGTCCGGAACGGAAGGCAGGGACGATTGTTGTGAGGTGCCATATCCGACCTCTTCCAAATTCACGTGGAGTACCGAACACTGCTTGTTTATCAATTCTCGCAACAATCAGGCGTATTCTCATCAAGTAGCGTCAGGCGTCGAATCCCTCCTTCTCCATAGCTCCGAACTTACATCAGAATCAGACCTTATAATGTCGATGGCCAAATGTGATTCAATTCCCATAGCTTAGTCTCTTGTTTGTTCGCTAGAGCGACGGTTTAGGGGCTCCTTCAATGTTTTCTGGCCGTTCGCCACTTTCATGCGCTCAGGTAACAATGACACGATCCTTCATGTTTCCAACCCTCTATATATATTTGCGTCTGCCTTGCGAAGGGACGCACAGGACATTTAAATCATTGGTGTGGTATGCTATCGACGGATCTATCCACTGACACCCCGCATCCTTACGACTACACAGCACATCTATCCCAAGCTGCCGAAACCGGTGCCCCGCTACGATGACTTGTTCGAAGCACCGCCCTGCTCACTCTCCGCTAACGCCTTCGCCTCTTTCTTCAGCGTCTCCAGCCCCATCCCGTGATTTAAAACCCCCGACATTATCTGATCCAGAGCCTTATGCCTTTCCTGTCCCAACGAGGGTGGCCGATCGGCAGACAGCATCCGAGTGGTGGGCTGGGCTACCAGGGCCCTGATTGTGGGCTCAAGGTTATCGTACGTTATGAACTTCGCAGTGGAATGGTATAGGTACAGCAACGATTCTAAACGTTGTTCCGACTGCTCGACTCGATCTCGTACGTGGTTTTCGAATCGCTTTTGCCGGCGGAGGCTGATAAACTCCTTCCACTCTTTGTTCTCCGCATCTGCCTTCACTTTCGCTGACCCCGTCTCGCCTGCTGAGCTGCCGCCATCTAGAGCGTCGACCGGCGAAGCTTTACCACCGTGCGTCGCCGTCACGTCTTCACTAAAACTCTGACTACGAAGGGCTTTGAATTGACGAATCTTTTCGGCGAGATCACGTTTGCGCTGTTCTTCACGGCCACGCTCTTCTACGGACTCTAGTTCTTTTCGTGCTGAGGCCTGCTTCGACTCTTCAAAGTACTGCTTTCGCTTTACTTTCATCGCTTCGCGGTATACGGTGTTGGGATGCCGTGCTTTTAGAGACGCGGCGTTCGAAAGATCGACCCCTCCGGCGGCGGGTTTTGCGGAGGGTGAGGTTGTGGAGGACATGGAACGGCTCGGTACGATCTGTGTTGTCGGTCTGCATGACTGCAGTGCTGCGACCGTCCGTTGAGGGTGTGCTATCGCTCTGTGCATTTTGCGGAGGTTCTGTGTGTCGTCGTTGCAGCTGTCGGGGCAAAGGTCCCAACAGTCCAACTTGACAACTCTGGTTGAGGGTGAAGCTACTCAGTCACGTGCGTGGGAATGTGCCTTCCCGTCAGCTTCCCGTGGGCGCGAGTACGACAACTGTTGCAAAGCACTCATCGTTTCGTCGGAATAGCATTTACGCCCTCTCACAGTTCTTAACAATGTTCCCAAGCCGCACTGCAACCACCGCCGCATCACGTCTGGCCACTCGCTGCGTGCGCTGCCAGCTGAAAGCACAGCGGAGACCTGTCGTAGCCTTACAAAGTCAGAGAACGCCTTTCACCACCAGTGCGGTTTCCTATGCTCGACGCGCTCCCGGCTCACGAAGTTCAGCGAATACGTCAGACGGTGCGGAGGAAGCTTCTGATAGGCGGAAGATAGAATTTGCGGAACGGATCTTGGACGACGTCTTTGCGGCCGGGAAGGGGAAGAAACAACGGAGAGGAGCAGAACTGTCGGACATAGGGGAAGAGGCAAGGGAGGCCCACGAAGCAAAGCCCGAAATAAAGCTCGCGGGAAAAGCGAGGCGGAAGCTGGATGAAGAAAAATTAGTCCCACAGCGAGAAATAGAAGAGAGCCTTCCAGATCATGTCGCGTGGGGACGGGACGCCTTGCCGAAAGTACGATATGCGGAGTTTGGGATAGAAACCGCTGACCAACGCGCCCAAGAGACTGCCAAGGCAGAGACGAACCATGAAGCGGATGGTGAGGAGGGTGCGCTTCCAAACGATCCGCAGCAACTAGAGAATTCCAAAAGTGAACCAGCAGAGTCGGACGACTGGTATGTGGATCAAGTATACAACCAACCGGAAGAGCAGCTTCGACCGAGCGACTTCGTCCCACTATGGATGCGAGGCGCGGACATTGCCGCAAAACGAAGTCAAGGGCTAGACGCGGCGGAAGAAAAGCTTGAGGAGACGGGAAAAGGGCCACTGCGGTTGAGCGAGGTGGTGGCGGTGCTGAAGGCGGAGAGAGCTATGAATATGGTGGTGCTGGATATGCGGGAGAAATGTGATTACACGGACTACATGGTGATTGTGGAAGGGCGCTCGAAAAAGCAGCTTTATGCGATTGCGGACGCTGTTAGGAGACGGGTAGGTTTTGAGTGTGAAGTTTTCCGAAGCCCGAGTTTCATTCATGTCTTAACCTTCTCCTATTTACAGGCAAAGCATCGCATCCCTTACGACCTCTCATTACCGCCCACTATGACGATCGAGGGATCTGATTCGGACGACTGGATGGTGATGGACCTTGGGCGATTTATGATCCATGTTTTTACGCCTGAAGCGCGAGCGGCGTATAATCTAGAAGGTCTTTGGACTGCAATCAGGGACCCGCTGCTGGAGCTGAGTTCCGAGAACGATCTGTAGTTGCGAGATAGTTACGGCCATTCGTTCGAAACGGCAGGTTGGCCTTACTAAACATGGAGCATGTCAATCCACTTGTGCGTTAGAAAGCCCGTTGTTAACCTACAGGATTTCACACAACGGAACACGAGCGATGTTTTGTCATCACTACCGTGTATATCAGCCCATAGATACCAGTATTTACAATCAGATTACATTTGGCAGCCACGGACTTGAAACATATGCGGTGTTCAATGTCAACAACCTACCCTGCGCTGAAGCTTAGCCCTCAAAAAGGCTATGGTATATAGCGCAGGCTGCGGAATAGCTTATTATGGAATACGACATCAAAACCCTCAATGGTGAGATTGCACAGAGACAGGGGAGATCATGATGGTGGAGTGAATGCATCTGTGACCTAGCGGAACAAAAGATTCAGGTTACTGTGCAAATACGGTTTATCTGATTGAACAAACGGGTCTTACCTGCACAATGGTTTCCATCAACCTCCAATTCTCCTCCAGCACTGTGCTCTGGAAGACGGGTGCGGACCCAGCGCGTGAATGCGGCTTGGAACTGCTTTCCGACGCCAGGTCTCTATTCCGTACATTCCGGTGGGGAGCCGTGGCAGGGACAGGCGCTTGTTCCCCTGCGTCTTGGCGTGAGGTTGGTGTTTTGTGCCGTGTTGGAGGAGCCGTAGAGGGGACAGCAGTTCGCTGCCTGGTGCCGCTGCTCGAGGCTGCCGGCGTTTGATCCGCGTCCCTTCGAGGAACGCTTTGTGTCGTTCTTTCACGGCTATGAGGGACCACGTTGTCTTGTTTCTTGATTGGTGACGAGCTCGCGATGGTTGCGGGTGGAGAGATCTTCTGAGTTGAGCGCCGACGGGTGTGGCTCGCTGTTGGTGCACCGGCAGACGATTCTTGGGCCGGTTTTGGTCGTTGCGCGTCTGCTTTCAGTTTCGCAAGTAGTCCTGACGATCCGTGGAATACAGCATTGTTGAGGTATTCTCCCTTGATGGGCCCGACATGTCCATGTGGCACTTTACCTTCAACGATTGCATCATCCTCGGTCGTTGCACCGTTGTCGCTGCTAGACGCCACTCCCTCAGAGACATATCTCTGCTGAGGTGTCTTGTAATTTGGTTGGTCATCGTTCTTTGCGTCCAGCTGGTTCCCAGTTCTGAAGCTGCGCGCAGCGGCAGGGGTATGCGGTTCACTGTAGCGGACAGCTATTTGCGCCTGCGCGGTTGCGAGGAGGTAGAAATGAGCAAGGTGCTCCAAATCGGTAGCATCTGAAGATCTATCGCGAATCGTTATCGTACCTCATATTTCCGCAACTGCTTTTTGGTGTTCTCGAGCTCTCGCACGATGCGGTCTTCCAGTTGAGATTTTGTTCCTCCTACAGGAGTTGCATCGCGCCTCAAGCTGTCGCTCTCATCATGTAGGCGAGTCAGATCCTCGATGATCTTCTGTTTGGTTGATAGCTCTTGACGAAGATTACTGGAATCGGCTTGGAGCTTCTCGCATTGCTCCTTGACATCTTCCAGCGCTATGAGAAAACAAAGCAGGCACAATCATTGTGAGTCACCTTGATGGTCTCCAATTTCCAGAGCATCCGGCGCTTACTCTTCTGCTGCTCTCGCAGTGATCGTTCCGTTTGCTGAACCCTCTCCTTCCAATGATCCCGCTCAACCTCCAAGTCTTTGATCTCTCGTGTCATTGCCTGTATCGAGATCTTTTGCTGCTGATTGACGCGATTCAGTTGATCCTCCAGCGATTCCTTCGACTTTGTGAAATCTTGAGCGGCCTTTTCCGTCTGAATCTTGCGGGTACGTTCAACAGCAACAAGATGCTCCAAACGTTCCGCCTTAACTTTCTCGGCCTGCATTTCGGCTTGGAGTGTTTCACGATCCGTGTCGGCTTTCTGCAGTGCTTTGCTTAGCCGCTCGACGTCGAGGGCGGCGGCGGTGAGACGCTTCTGGAGATCATCACGTTGGCGGTCTATAGAGGCGGCAAGGTCACGAGACGCGGCCACATCTCTGACCAGTCTCGCTTTGTCGGCCTGGAGATTGGCCACATTTCTGGCGTTGGCCGCAAGGGCGCGTGCTGCGTTCGCTGCCTGTTTCTCGTGAGCCGCCAGATCCAGTTTGGCTTTTGTCAGATCAGCGCTAGTTTCGTCGAGCGCTTGTTGAAGCGCCATCACGCGTTTATCCCTGACAACCATTTCCATGCGCATGTTACTGCTCTCCTCGCCCGCCATTTTGACGCTGGTGTCCAAGCGTTCGTGCTCGCCGACGAGTTTGCGGTATGCGGCCATCAGGTGCTCACGCTCTTGATCTTTCGCCAAGAGAAGGTCATCCAATTGCTTGATCTGGCTCTCGCTCTCCATCAGCTCCGCTTTGAATCTTTCCCGCTCATTCGTGGTCTCCTCCAACAGCGCGTTCAATCGTTGATTTTCTTTGCTGACTGCACCGAGATCAGAACCAACGTTGCTGGCTTCCTCCGTCAATCTCTTGCACTCCGCCGCCCATCGGTCCCTATCCTGTGTCGCTTTGTTCAAGTTCTGTCGAAGAACACTGATCTGACCTTCGCGCTCGTTCAAATGCTCTTTCATTGATTGGATCTGGTCATGCAAGGTATCAGCCTCTTGCTGTGCGTTCACGGCAGCGGCCTCAGCTTTTTCCACCAACTGTTCCAGCTCGACTATCCTTTCACATTTGCGATCCATCTCATCCCGATCTCGATCACGCTGCCGATCAATCTCCATAAATAGGGCTTTCTGCTCTTGTATCTGCCGCGTTTTTGTCTCGCTCTCTTTGCAAAACCGCTCACACTCAGTCGTAGACCTCGCCAGTCGTGCCTCCATGTCAGCCACTTTGGACCTCAGCCCGCGTGCTGTGTAAGCTTCGCGGTCCTCGTTTGCCTTAAGATCCACGATATCCATCCTCAACGCCGCTTCTTCCCGTTGCAAATCAGCCACAGCCCGCTGAGCAGCCTCCGCGTTGCGTTGAGCATCTTGCCATTGCGACTTTATGGCATCACGTTCACCTTCCCGCGCTCGTAGTTCGCGACGAAGGCGGTCGACCTCGTCTTCTAATCGTTGGACGGCATCCGACGTGCTTTCACCGCCTTCGCGATGCCGCACTACCGTGGCCTGCAAATCACGCTGAAGGATCTCAATCTCGCCTTGAAGATGCTGTATCGTAGCTTGCGCTGCTCGGAGGTCTGCGTTTTCATTGCCCGTTGACTGGGCAACGTCAGCCGCGGTATTGCGAACAGGGGACATGGTGGGAGCAGAAGGCTCCGGGGGTGCTGTCGGTCTTGGTGGCGGCTGCTGCCCCACTGGTGTTGATAAGTCTGCGGGATGAATTCTCCGGAATAGCTGCAGCTCTTCATTGACCTGCTCGTACAGAGCTGCAATGTTGTCCCGGTCATTCGTCACAGCTTCAATGCATCGCTGGACCTCGCTCAACTGCTCCTCGAAATGCTGGAGTACCACAATCAGTTCGTCACGTTCATGTGAGACAGTCTGATATTGTTGTTGAAGCTGATTTAGTCGTTCAGTACTCTCCTTTTGTTCATATACAGCCCTGGCCAACGATTCCCGCAATGGCTCGCATTCCGCAAGACGATCTTGCGCCTTGCGCTGGAAATCCTGGGCTCGCGCTCTCGTCGCTTCCAAATCCTTTTCCAAGGCGTGCGCCCGTTCGAGCTTGTGCTTCATGCCCTTCAAATCATTCTCGAGTGCCCATTTTTGAGCTTCGAGCTCACTCGCTCGCCCTTTCAGGGTTGCATTTTCGATTTTGAGCTTGCCTAGTTCGGCATGCAGCTTCTCCGCCGCGGTGGTCACCGCCGCTGTCGCTGTTGATGACGACGGTGGGTTGTTTGCGAACTGATCGACGGCTTCAGGGCGCGCAGTAGCCGACAGGCTTGCCTGCAGACGCTCGTTCTCTGCTCTCAAAGCTTCCAGCTCAGCTCGGAGAGACCCTACTCCAGACGCCTCAGAATTCACCGTCCTCGTAGACCCCATCACACTGTCAATGGTGGCTCCCTTGGTCGGGCTTCGTAAAGATGATCGCAAATCTTCGCGATCAGTCTTGCTGTTGCGCGCGGCTTTGTTAGGGGATGGACTCCTCGGCAGCGGCGCCGAGAATCTCTGTCGCTCTTTTTGCAGCTGGGCCAGAATATCCTTCTTTTCGGTCTCAAAGGATTTATACAGCGCCTTCTTGTCATCCTCATGAGCAGCAATCTCTTTCTCGAGGGCTTCCACATGCTCATGGAATAAATCTGATTGGGCTTCAAGCTGTGCTATCCGCTGCCTGGCCGCGTCGAGGTCCTGGATGACATGCTGTTTCGCATTGGTGGCTCCAGCTGTTGACTTGAACTGCACGCTGGAGAACTGCTGTGCACAGGCGATTTCCAGTTGAGTTCCCAGCCGCGCAATCTCCTGATTCCGGGAGATCATCTGTTTGCGGAGCACATCCAGTTCGGTCTCCAGTTCACCGTTCTTGGCAGAGACCAGCTCCATCTCTTTTAAGAGCGCCTGAATCCGCTTTTCCGAGAGAGCAACCAGGTCGGCCACGACGGGATCTGGGTATGGGAAGGCGGGTATGTGGGCCGCGTCATTATCCTGGGGCTCCAATCCCGTCTCAATATCGAACTTCTGAATCCTCTCATAGACTTCTTCCGCTGTTTGTTCGTTCGGCGGAGCGTGCCCTTTCGGGACTGGGGCTGTCGTAGCCCTCGGCCTCGGTTTGACCCTCCCGTCAGTCCCGGAGACATCAAAGGTAACATCGCCATCGCCCGTCCTCTCCTTGAAAACACCAAACTTGATGAACACCTCCTCCGCCTTCCGTTTAACGGTCTCCACCTTCTTCTGCTCGGCCTCAACACGATGCGCATATTGCGATGCCACAAAGCGCAGATCGGCGGACTGCGTTTCCAGACGCCTCGTCATCTGAGCAGTTCGCCTATCGCGTTCATCCCGTTCATCGGCTAGCCGTACCAGGTCTCGGTGCAGATGGTTGTTTTCAGCTGTTAGTCTGCTGATTTCATTGCGAAGGGACTCGATCTATTATTGGAATTTGACCCGTAACCGAACAGGTAGTCAGTTTTCGCTCCCTCAACAAAGATAAGCAGGGGCTGAACCATGCCCGGAAAAGGTGACATCTTCCCCCGTCCGGAAGCTCAAAGCTTCCGCTGCGTACCTCACCTGACGCAATGCCGCCCCAGGTCCACTAATCTCCTTCACAGAGTCCTCCTTCAACTTCCGGCACGTCTCCGTCGTCACCAGCAAGTCTGCCAGCAGCCGCTCGACAAGCGATATTGCACCTTCAGGGAGGGCTTCTTTATAGCCGAGCTTCTGAAGACGATGCCGAAGCGTTGCGCTGTCGAGGGATCCCGTGGACGGGACGACACCTTTGTTCGAGCGCTCGGGTGAAACATTCCGGGCGGTCGTGGCGGCCATTGTGTGCACGGACAAATCTGGCGAATTACACTTCCTGAGGAAGTAGGTTCTGGGGAAAGGTGCACATATGTGGAAAGCCTCACGTCTCGCCGACTCGCAGCCGTAACGCCAAGTGTTACGATCTCCCAAATCTTGTGAGAATTTCGCACCTGCTACCCAGCCTGCTACCAAGATGCTCGAAAGTTTGAGACTGATTTGAGACGCGCCTTTCGGACATCGTGGCAACGCTAACGCTGAAAGCCATGAACCAGGACAAGACGGAGGACGGCCTCAAAATGGAACTCGGAAACAGCTGCTTTCACAATTTAACATATTCGTCTGGAGCAAGATTGTATGGGGAAAGGAGGGAATACGCCGCAAAATTATACGCCGGAAGAAATAAGGCACTATGGACGACGACCGATATACACCGATTCACCAAAATTCTCACTGAAGAACCACGTAATTTGCCGGGAACTGTGGATGTAAAGAAGTCGGTGTCAGTACCGAAATAAATGAGGACCATCCAACCAAGCGAGTACACACCGCGCCTTCTCGGCCGTTACAACGGCCCGTCCACCAATCGTTCTGGTTGTTCGTCTGCTTCGTAATGGCGATGATGTCACCTTTCCTGAAGGAAAGGTCATCCGCTCGCTCACCAGCGAAATCGTACATCGCGATGGCACTGGCACTGGTCTTCCTTGCCGGTGGTGGTGGGGGAGCGGCAACAACGGCAGGACCGGACGGTCTCACGAAGCCTCCAACCTTCTCTGTCGGGGCGCCGGCGAGGTTCGCCCACTGAGCGGGCTGCGCGACAGGGGTCGGTTGTTGCGTACCGAATGGTGTTGCGGCGACAATGGCGGCTGCGGCTGCGGGAGATGGCGGTACGACAGGGGGAGGAGAGTTGTTGCTGTTCTTCTTGAAGTTGGAAAGGAATCCTTGACCGGGAGTATGAGGATTCGCCGCTGCGTGCTCGGCAATGGCTCCGAATTTTATGTCAAGTGCTCTGTAAGCGAACGCATTGAGGTCAGCATTCACTTCCCACTATAGACGATATCGAAACAGAGGACGTAGTACCTGTAAAGGTCATCCGCAGCCGGAGGCGGTGTAACCCCACCGGTCAGGATCTCCTTGGCGCTGACCTTCCTGTTGTAGAAGGAAGCGTTCGCATCTTTGCGCTCAATAATGGCAGATCCCTCGATCGACACTCCAGCAAACAGTCCTCGCGTTTTGCTGCATTCATAATATATCGGCTCGATTAGCTTGACGAAACTCGAGGCACGATGCGCGGAAATTCCCGGAACTAACCTGTACGAGAAGATGGCGGCAAGATTTCCAATGGTTCCGGCGGCTTCGACATTACGACCGACAGGGCCAGCAGCAACTACAGGCTTGTCGTGAGTCGCACGTACATTGCGGGCAGAATACATTTCACATACGTACCAGAGAGGTTTCCTCCCAATGTGATGTTTCCTCCATGGCAGAAGGCGCGAACAGCGTCCTTGGTGTTCAAAATGATGACAAAATCCGTCAATTCGGCACCGATTTGACCTCCAACACCCATTCCCGCCGTGCCCTGCGGTCCAAGAAGAGTATATTTTCGTTAACTCCGTAGCGTCCACCAAATCTGCTGAACCTTAGAAGTCGAGGAACATACGATTGCCGAGGGAGCTGACCAAGCTGTGATATGAATTGAAAACAAAGTCAAAAGCGATGAGGCGATTGATATACGCAGGATGATACGCTATGTTCCTTCACTTACATCCATCTTCAAGTCTATGCGATGGTGATGATACGGGTGGAGGTGAGAGTGGAAAGGTCAGCAACGTATCCTGCGGGGACGTTGGGAGAATGGGTAGACCTACTTTGCAATCACAAGACCAGACCCCGCACGGCCCGTGAATAGGAAGCCAGCCTTAATGACCGTCAATACGGCTATTCCTTTTGCATTCGCTGCAAGACAAAAGAGCTTGAGCATCCAACTCATACTCCACATAGAAATGCCTACGGCCTCCTCAAGTACCTATGACGTGAGACGGAATGAGCTGGTCGGGCCCACGACCGGTTGCCGGTTTGATAAAATGCTCGATTGTCTTCGCAGCCTATACATAAATCCTGGACATCAATTTCCGTCGACGTCGGACGATTTCCATGGAACCCTCAGGTTTACCTTTTTACATTCCGCGGCCATATCCGTTGGTAGTGGTGAGTTGACCATATTTCCTGCTTTCTCTATTAAAGGTTTGCGAGTTGATGTTGGTTGAAGTCGTAAAGCTACTTGCTGAAGTTCAAATTCAAGGTGCATGTGGGAGTGGGAAAGGGGTGTCGAGCCTTTTTGAAGGTCCTTGCGGTGTGGTGACGTGGGGGTTCCATCTGGTTCCCCTCGTGCATCCGTCACTTTTGCAGCCTCTTTTTGCCGATGCCAAGCGAGTCAAAAATTCATCATTCATCATCACTACCGCAATTGGACGCCCACCTCCGACTTTTACTTACCCGATCCGCGGCTTCTTGGCAGATGGAGGCTCAGCGCAAAGACCGAGTCGTGGCACGATTCCACATTTAATCCAAGTTTACCTCACATGACTTTGACTGATCTACTTTAATTCTTAGCCTCACCGTCGTCCGCAAACGCAGCGCCTCATCATCACTGAGCGCACCTTCCTCCTCCCAACTTCGGAGATCTCGTTTTCCCACGCTCGCTACTACATACATACAGTCTTGCCACACAGCGGGTATCATCACCTAGTTACTGTTCTCAAGTGCTCGCCGCCATTGTCCTTCACCAGAAGCGAGTTTGAGGAGCATCACATTTCCGCCCGCACGTCACATAGTCACTCGCCCGGCATGTCCAAGATGTCTATGGACACGAACCTCATCAAGACAGGTTTGTGCTCCCCTTCCAGGCTGTGTTCTAACTGAAAGCTTCGTCACTCAAACTCACTGCTTCTGTCCCCACTCATGTAGTGAATAAGCTGCAAGATGCCTTTGCCGCTGTTGGGGTTGCCAATCCTATCGACCTTCCCCAGGTACATATACAGCTGTCAATTCCACGGGGGAAGCTGGGGGTGGCCGAACGTTGGGGATTCGACTTATGAGCCACCAGCTGGATGCTGGCTTCCAAGCTCACCGAGAAGAATGCGAAGCATTCATATCCAGGAAGGTCACGATGCTGCTGGATGCCTAGAGGCCGGCCAAACACGGACGCCTACGATAACTTGTGGAGAGAGTCCATTGAACCTACGCGAAACGCACGCTGAAGTGTTTGAAAGAGGGACAAATACGTCTGACCATGAATCGTTTCGACAGATCACCGTCATTGGAAGTCAGAGTAGTGGGAAGAGTTCCGTGTTGGAGAACATTGTAGGACGGGACTTCCTACCCCGAGGTGAGTGCTTAGCGATTTGCGATTTTCCAACGCCCTGTTTGTACTTACTGCATGTTTACAGGAACTGGTATCGTTACTCGGCGACCTCTCGTCCTTCAGCTCATCAATCGTCCCAACTCGAAAGGCGAAGTAGGCGGAGTTGCGTCTGAAGAATTCGATACCGCAGCACTGAAACAGGAATCTGCCGGCGGCGCATCCACGCCAACAGCCCCCTCTGAGGTGGACGAATGGGGGGAGTTCTTACATATTCCCGGGAAGAAGTTCTCAAACTTCGATGAGATTCGGGAGGAGATTGTCAAAGAGACGGAGGCCAAGACCGGGAAAAATGCTGGAATCTCTCCTGAGCCCATCAATCTGCGTATTTACTCGCCGAACGTGCTAACGCTGACTTTGGTCGATCTCCCCGGATTAACCAAAGTTCCGGTTGGAGATCAGCCGAAAGACATTGAAAAGCAAATCCGTGACATGCTTATGAAGTTCATTACAAAGAACAATGCCATTATTCTGGCTGTCACTGCTGGAAACACGGATTTGGCGAACTCAGATGGATTGAAGTTGGCTCGCGAAGTGGATCCTGAGGGTGTGCGGACTATCGGAGTCCTGACCAAAATCGACTTGATGGATCAAGGCACAGATGTCGTTGATATCCTTGCTGGACGTGTTATTCCGCTCCGACTGGGTAAGGGCGATCGGGCGATTGAGCGATTGTCGACATCGAATCGGGTCCATAAGTACTAACGCCTGGAATGTAGGTTACGTCCCCGTTATCAACCGTGGACAGCGGGATATCGAGAACAAGAAGAAGATCTCATTGGCTCTGGACGCCGAACGCAACTTCTTCGAAGGTCACCCTTCCTACAAGTCGAAGGCGCAATACTGTGGCACACCGTTCTTGGCGCGCAAGCTGAACATGGTGCGTTCAATTGGATGATACCTTGCCGGACTAGTCAGTTCTAATGGGTTCCTGTGTCAGATTCTCATGCACCACATTCGCAACACACTGCCTGAGATCAAGGCCAAGATCCAAGCTGGCCTTGTCAAGTACACTCAAGAACTCGCTCAATTGGGTGATGTGCTTACTGAGGATCAATCAAGTCAGGTAAGCCTTTACCGCGATGGATTTCCATCACCCCTCTCACGTATCTGACCCCGTCGATGACTGCAGTCAAACATCATCCTCAACGTGATCACCGAGTTCACAAACGAGTACCGCACGATCATCGATGGTACTTCCAACGAAATCACCAGCGATGAGCTCAGTGGAGGAGCTCGTGTTAGCTTCGTGTTTCACGAGATCTTCGGATCCGCTATTCGCAGCATGGATCCTTTCGACCAGATCAAGGATGTGGATATTCGTACTATTCTGTACAACTCTTCGGGATCTTCCCCTGCGCTTTTCGTTGGGACCGCTGCTTTTGTGCGTATGAGACCCTGCGCGCTTATGTGTGCATTCATTCTGCAAGGTTTTTGGGACTTATCATATGACATCCCACCACAGGAGGTGCTTGTGAAGCAGCAGATCAGGAGGCTGGAGGAGCCAAGTTTGAAATGTGCTTCCATGATCTACGACGAGTTGGTTCGCATTCTCAACAAGCTGTTGCAGAAGCAGGTACGGATGCTTGGAAACCTTGAACGAGGGTTGAGGATGGGAGTCTGAGCTGCAACTATGACTCTGCAGATCTTCAAGCGTTTCCCGGCCATGAGGGAAAAGTTTTACGGGGTTGTTATCAACTTCTTCAAGGTACATACTGAAAAGGAAAGTTGCACCTCTGCGGCAACGTTACTTACTATTGTTTGCCTATCTGTCTCCAGAAATGTATGATCCCAACCAACAAGCTCGTGCAAGATCTCATTGCGTAAGTTTACAGCGATTCATCGACGATCGAAAGGAGAGTCGATTGATCAGCATTCATGGTTTTCAGCGGAGAGGCATGCTATGTCAACACGGGGCATCCGGATTTCATTACTGGGCACAAGGTAGTGTCCTTACGTTTATGGAGGCGAAAATCAGGCTTCTAGAAACTTACAACACTTGCGAAACTAGGCGATGGCGATCATCAACGACCGAGTAGTGGCATCCAAGGCGCCCCCACCACCCCCACCAGTCGACCCTAAGAACCCCCGATCAGTCGCTCAATCCCCGGCTGCACAGTTGCCGCAAAGAGATCCCAACGCCGACATCATCGCCCAAGCAAACAACAGTGATGGCTTCTTTGGCAGCTTCTTCTCCAAGAAGAGGAGGCCTGGAGTTCTCGAGAACCCTCCTCCGGTGTTGAAGGCGTCTGGGAACTTGTCCGAGAGGGAGTATATTGAATGTGAAGTCATCAGTGAGTGTCAGAATCTTCCGCCTGACCACCACGTCTGTTGCGAACGTCACTAATATCACCTGTCCATTGTGTCGATTATAGAGCTTCTGCTCCTATCCTACTTCTCCATCGTCAAGCGCACCGTCTCCGACCTGGTGCCTAAATTTGTCATGCTCAAGCTCGTCCAGCACACGAAAGAAGAGCTTCAGCGGGAGCTCCTCGCCGAGCTCTACAAGAAGGAGGTCTTCGACGACGCTCTCCAAGAAAGCGATTTCACCAAGCAGAGACGCCAAGAGTGCAGGAAAATGATTGAGGCGCTCCAGAAAGCGGACGAGATCATTGCCGCGGTCTGAGCGACGCTGAAGCGCTTGTGCGGGGTCACACACTGTCTCTGTTTTGTATCACATACTCTTCTTTCATCATAGGCTATCCTCTTGTGTTCCTCATTGTCTAATGTAGACTAGATCTATATGCTTTCTATGGTACGCCTATCTCAGGATACGTCCAGCATCATGCCCGCGTCGGCCCCCAGCGCCGAAAGCGACTCTTTGCCTTTCATAATCTCGGCGTTAACGAAGCAGTCGGTGGATCGACTACTGTCGGCTTCGTCGGATTTGCTGCCCTGGGGTGCAGTTCTTCCAATGCGGATCTCAACGCGACAGCCAAATCCTGAATCTCCTCCGCAGTGTTATGAGCGTGCAAACACACCCTCACGCGTTCCGTCCCCACAGGTACAGTCGGCGACCTAATCGGCCTGACATCAAACCTCTTGTCCTGCAACACCTTCGCCAGCATGACCACGTTCGCGTTGCCCGGAAACACGATCCCTTGCACCATCGTATCGGAATGCAGCAGCTCGACAGTGGGTGGCAGGTCCCGCATCGCGGATTTGAACACTTCGATCAGACCGTTCAGTCTCGCTTGTCGCGCTTCCGCTTCCCCCTCCATCACCTCGTAAGCGCACCGGATGGCGAGTAAGGCGTGTCCGGCCATCATGGTGCTGTACACCAGTGGCCGGGCGTAATTGCACAGGTACTCTCGCAATACCGCGGGACCGAGCACGACGGCCCCATGTGCGCCTACGGCCTTCCCAAAGGTATGTAACCGGGCAAAGACCTTAGATTCGAGCCCTAGGTGGCTGACTAGCCCACGGCCACCGGCTCCATAAGTGCCTGTCGAATGCGCTTCGTCAACCACTAGGATCGCACGACCGTCAAACCGCGACAAGAGGGTTGCAATCTCTCTCAACGGGGCGATATCGCCATCCATGGAGTAGAGAGACTCGATGGCGACAACCACCGTTTTACAGTACTTTCGTCCGTTCTGTGCCGCCTCCTCCTCTGACCCAAGCATATGCACCAAAACATTCTCCAAATCCTCCACATCATTATGCCTGAAGCTCCTCACATTCTCCCGTCGAGCCCTGCACATCCGTATCCCATCATGCATCGAAGCGTGCACGAACTCGTCGTGTAACACCCCGCCGTCCGGCTGCGGTAATGTTGATAACAGCGATAGGTTTGCATCGTATCCGCTGTTGAAGAGGAGGGCCGAAGGGGAAGAGTGGTAGTCGGCGAGATATTGTTCGAGGTCGAGGGCGGTGGAGCTGTTGCCGGTGAGGAGACGGGAGCCGGTTGAGCCTAATGTCTCACGCGGCAATTGGGTGGTGTTGGATGACTGGTAAGCGTCGTCAGAGCCCGGATAGAAACGCCGACGTTGCCATGGCGCCTGGTGCTGCAGTGCAGAGAGGAAGTGCGAGTGGAGTTGCGGGGTTCGGGCCAGGCCTAGGTAATCGTTTGAGCTGAAGTCGGTGAGGCCTTGTCTGGGTATCGGAGTGGAGCGGAGGAGATTTTGTGCCCGGCGACGACTGAGGGCCACTGAGAGCTGGGTTTCGAGGGTCGTCGGGACTCCTGACTGCGAGCTCTCTATCGGCAAACCCCTCGTTCCTTGCATGCTGCTACAGTAAGCGGTTTGCCAGCCGACGCTGAAAGCGAGCACGGATGCTGCGAGCGGGGAGGAGCGGGGTCTTGCCGGTGAATGAGATTGTGCGTGACTTGCGCGTCTGATGCGCGTACAGTATAGTAGACCCTACCCACAGCTCGCATATACTGGCAAAGCTGTATGCAGAAGAGAGCATCCGGGCTATATGTACAGCGGATTCAGTGAACGCTCTTCAGCCATCCTTGCACTGGATAGCCGATTGAGTCTTATGATAATCTGCAAAACCATGGCACATATAGCTCGTTGGAGCGGAACTTCCGAGTGTGCGGTCGAGACTGCAAACAAAAGCCCAGTGAACAACTGACGGCTTTTAATCAATAAGAGCTCATGGTACTCATCCATGCGAGAGAAGAGGGTAGTTGCCATGCCCGACAAGGGGGAATGACATCAGTCAAATCCGCGATCGCAAGAAACAAAGGTAAGCCTTGTATGTCATTGTTCACCTCTTCCAACTCGCTTTTCTATGGATTCAACTCAGGTAAGTGCTGATCCCCCTATCACACCATGTCCTGACTTGCGGCCTTTTAGGTTCTCATCGGGGAGATATACCTGACGGATGTAAGTACAGGCCTTTTGGGATGAAGCGTTGCTTACATGTTTCTTGTTGAATTTCTCCGACGCGTGCTTCTCTGAAGTAAGGGCCAATCTTCCTGGCAACACCAAATCTCCTCAAACATACTGTACCATTAACGGTCCTACATTCTCCTATGTTTCTTGCGACCCTTGCGTCTTGCCAGGTTCCAAGGTGAGTTTTACTGCTCTTACGAATCCTGATGTGCGCTCCCACAGGTTCTCATCGGGAGTCACGACGGAGGTACGTGTAAAGCATTGATAATCGGCAAACCATTAACGCTTAGATCCTCTCAAACGCGTCGTTTATCCTGCTGACTCGAGGAGGTAAGTGCGAAGTGTTCCAGGGTCGGCCTGTGGCCTTTGTCATAGGCTTTCCGATCTCGTAAACTTGCAAATGTGCTATCCGAACCTCTGGACACGCCCCTCTGCTCCCCTACCTCTGCCCCTGCCTCCTTCCTCTCCCTTCCCTCTGCTCCTCCCTCTGATCCTCCCTTTGCTACTGCCGCTCCTCCTCCATCTGCTGCTCCCTCCCTCCCTGTCACTGTCAACGCTACTTTCAACCGCCTTACATGGACATATAGTCTCCGCCGTTGCTGATACGCACAGTCTCGACAACGCGGATCTCGATGAAGGGGCCCGTGAAGCGGGAACCCCTCAAACCCTCAATATCGCGGCCAGCATACTCGTTTCCTCGATGAAAACGTCCTACTCCTCCGCCGGATGGACGTCTGCAGCAGAGGGAACGTGTATGGGAAGGAATCTTGGATTGTCCCTTCCTCCTCCACAGCAGCCGGTTCCTGGTGCAGTGCGCCGACTATCGAGCGATAAAGGCTGGAAAGGAGTGGGCAGTTGGGGTGGGGGGATCACGGATCTACTGGAGGTCCACACTGCCTCGGGACACGCTTTGGTGGATATCCGTGCCGTAGCCCCGCTCCAGTGGAGGCGACCGTCGGGCTTCCTGTTTCCTGGTGTTTCCCTGTCTTTTGATTTTAGTTTGTGAGAAAAAAAAAGAGAGGAGGCGCGAACCCGTCATTTTCATATGGTCAGCTGATTGACGGCGTCCACTTCTGACTTCAAGTTCCTCAGTCTGAATTCCAACTTGCATTTTGCGAACGAGACTTTCTTCCTGTACGCATCGTGGGGAGCATAAGTCAGACAGGCTTAAGTAGGACGTGGATATCAAGCTTCCTTTCTTGTCAAACAACACCCGTCGTTTCTGGGCGAGCAGAGGCTTACTGTGCAAGATGTTACGATGGTCCGGCCGCGTTGGTCGGTCTCCCAGCTCTGGGCTCTCTGTAAGTTTGGCATGGGCCCCATCTCAATTCCACCTATAGCTCACCATGCTGTCCAAATCTCAGCTCTTGAGGCGGTCCGCCACTCGCAGTCTCGCAACAGCAGCACCAAAGTTCAAAGTCCCATTACACGATGAATGGAGCGAAATGGTGAAAAAGGAGCTGAAGGGAAAGGACCCGGTGGAGACCTTGACGTGGAACACACCCGAGGGTATTGCCGTCAAGCCACTGTACACCAAGCAAGATGTCACCGATGTGCCTGAGGAGGTACCTGGGAAGTTCCCGTTCACCAGGGGACCGTATGCCTCCATGTATACGTTTCGACCATGGACGGTCCGCCAATACGCCGGCTTCAGTACGGTAGAGAAGAGTAATGCGTTCTACAGGAAGAATCTTGCTGCCGGACAGCAGGGTCTCAGTGTGGCATTCGATCTGGCGACGCATCGTGGGTATGATAGCGACCATCCCCGTGTGACGGGTGATGTCGGGATGGCGGGTGTCGCTATCGACTCGGTTGAGGACATGAAGCGGCTATTCGACGGAATTCCGTTGAACAAGATGTCTGTGTCCATGACGATGAACGGGGCTGTGCTGCCTATTCTTGCCATGTACATTGTGGCGGGAGAGGAACAAGGGGCGCAACAGAAGGAGCTTGCAGGGACGATTCAGAACGACATTCTCAAGGAATTCATGGTCCGGAACACATTCATCTATCCTCCGGAGCCGTCGATCAAGCTTATTGGCGATATCTTTGAGTATACCGCGAAGAACATGCCCAAGTACAACTCCATTTCGATTTCTGGTTATCACATTCAAGAAGCTGGGGCCGATAACGCGCTGGAATTAGCCTTCACGATAGCGGACGGGTTGGAGTACGTTCGAACAGGTATGAGCGCTGAGGGCCGAGTCTCTTATGCCGCCGTTGAGGGTTGCGACTAAAACAAACCGGTGGCAGGTCTGAAGGCCGGCATGACTGTTGATGAGTTTGCACCACGCTTGTCGTTCTTCTTCGGTAAGAGATATTTTATGCGTGGCCTTCGATGAAACTGGCACTGATCAAAAGCTTTCAGGAATTGGGATGAACTTCTACATGGTACTTCAGCGCTTTCATAGAAAGGAGGCATCGTGCGAATACTGACTTCGAGTTCGACAGGAAATTGCCAAGCTCCGAGCAGCGCGGAGACTGTGGGCACTTATGATCAAAGAAAAGTTCCAGCCCAAAAGCAAAAAGTCCCTCCTCCTCCGAACGCACTGTCAAACCTCCGGATGGTCGCTCACCGAACAAGACCCCTACAACAACGTTATCCGCACCACCATCGAAGCCATGGCAGCCACTCTTGGCGGAACGCAGTCTCTGCACACAAACGCGTTGGATGAGGCCATCGGCCTGCCAACCGAGTTCAGTGCACGTATTGCGCGTAACACTCAATTGATCTTGCAGACCGAGGCGCATATCCCGAAGGTCGCCGATCCGTGGGGAGGAAGCTACATGATGGAGTCGTTGACCAATGAACTCTTCGATATTGCGAAGGGTATCATTGATGAGGTGGAGACCATGGGTGGGATGGCGAAGGCGGTTGCGAGTGGTATGCCGAAGCTGAGGATAGAGGAGGCTGCCGCTAAGCGACAGGCCCGTATCGATTCTGGCCAAGGTATGTCATTCCAATCCCCAACCTTCAGAAACAAGTTACCCGTTTGGCAGCCCTGACAAATATCCCTTCCGCGTGTACAGAGGTGATTGTCGGAGTCAACAAATTCCAAGTCAAAGACGACAACCCCGTCGAAGTCCTAGCCATTGACAACACCCAAGTCCGTCTCGCCCAAATCGCCAAAATCAAATCCGTCAAAGAAAACCGAAACCAAGACCAAGCCACCGCCGCCCTCGCAGCCCTCACCCAGTGCGCCGAAACCGGCAAGGGCAACACCCTAGCCCTCGCCATCGAAGCCGCCCGCGCCCGCTGCACGGTCGGCGAAATCACCAGCGCGCTCGAACAGGTCTGGGGACGGCACAACCCGACCGTGCGTGTCGTCAGCGGCGCGTACAAGTCTGAGTATGGAGACAGTGATGATATTAGCAAGACGTTGAAGATGGTGGAGGACTTTATGGAGAGGCAGGGTCGACGACCGCGTATTTTGGTGGGGAAGATGGGGCAGGATGGACATGATCGTGGCGCCAAGGTTATTGCGTCTGGGTTTGCGGATCTTGGGTTTGATGTGGATATTGGGCCTTTGTTCCAGGTAATTGCGATTGGTTTTTGAACCATCTCCCTAAGAGTTCCTAAGTTGCAACTGACATGATTTTGATGTGTTGTAGACGCCAGCAGAACTTGCCCGACAAGCTGTAGATGCTGATGTGCACGTTGTGGGTGTAAGCTCCCAAGCAGCTGGGCACAAGACGCTGGTTCCCGAACTGATCTCTGAGTACGAAATCATGTGCCACTCCTCTCCATACGTTGCTACATAAGACTGACCTCTGTTCTCACTTCAGACTGCAAAAACTCGGGGCAGGCGACCGCCTCGTCGTCGTCGGTGGCGTCATCCCGCAGCAAGACTACGCATTCCTCTACGACGCTGGAGTCGGCTGCATTTTTGGACCAGGGACAAAGATCCCCGTCGCTGCGCAGGAGGTCGTTCAGAAGATCGAGACGTGGCGCGCTAAGACTGATGGCGACGCTGCTGATGCGCCCGCACGATAAACACGTCCATTGCATTTCATATCTTGTCAATTTTCATCTTCGTTCTACGTATCCGTGAGCGCTTAGCATTGTGGGAGGACATCTTTGCCAAGCCACTTTCATCACATCCTGGAAGTACCCCACTCTTAGATTCTAGTGTAGGAAGGCCCGACAATTAGGTTTCTGCTTCGCATGTCGATGCTTGTACAGTAGGACATAAGCCGTGCAAGTAGCTATATATTGACGGTTATCGAAATCTAAACGCTTAACAAACTCCAGTTGGTTTGCGTGCGATTCATTGCCCGGCAACGGGTGTATTGGCAGCAGCATCTCCTCCCTCACCACCAATGACCGCCCATTCGCCCTCCAGATTCTCCTTCCACAGAGTGACCTTATTATCACCACAGCTGACCGCCAAAATGTTCCCGCTGGTGCTCCAGCTCACCCTCCAAACCACATCCGGGAACGGCTCACGCTTCAACAGCTTTTTGCTCCACCCAGCGCCTTGTGGATCCTGCGTCCAGATCACCACCGTCTTGTCCTGTGAGCAGGACGCGAGGTATGTCGTGGGTAGGCCGATGTTGGGTGCGAAAGCGATATCGCGGACCCAGTCGGTGTGGGCTTCCAGAACGGTTTCTTCGCTCCAGAGGGTCGGTGAGGTGGTGTCTTCACGCCAGATTTTGATGAGGTTGTCGCAGCCGGCGGTAGCGAAGCGTTTGACGAGGTTGGGTGGTGCGGAGCCGGATACCTGTATTAACGAACTGGGGCTGGTGGATGGGGCCCAGGTGACGGCGTTACAACCGATGGAGTGTGCTTGGAAGGAAATGGTGTCCCACGATCCGTCCTCTGTACGCAATTTGTCAATGTACGGTGTCTGCACCCCCGGTAGACAAAAGAAAGGCGTACCTTTGCAAGTAGAAAGGGAGACTTTCCCATCAGAAGACGCAGCAGTGAGTACAAGGCCAAATTCGTGAGGTGCCCATGCGAGGGAATTTACAGAGGCCGTATGCGTGATGTGCTCCCACACTCGAGACCAGACGCCGTTCGTCTCCTTCCAAACCGCCACCTTTGCATCATATGAGCACGATGCCAGGACATTGCCGAACTTGGGATGCGCCCATGCTATTTGCCATACGGGTCCGTCATGCCTGTTTCGTGCGAAGGAACCATGTGGTAAGTCTGGGAGAACTGCTTCCAGACGTGGTGGTCCGCTGAATCACCATACCCTCTCAAAGTGTCGATCAGGCGATGGTTTTCGCCATCGACCTCGTATATCTTAATAGTACGATCCGAAGAGCACGTCGCCAGGCGTTTGCCGTAGTAGTCCAGTTGTGCATCGTGCTGAGTGAGAAAAAAGATCAGTGGTCAAGATCGGCGGTGGTTGCGACGGTCAGGTTCAAGAGAAGCTTACGATGAGGTCCTCGTGCTGCGTGTCGAACGTCGTTATTGTACCAGCGGCCTGTAGATCGTCAGGGCGAGTGAGCTGGAAGTCAAGAAACCAGTGTCGTTGGTAAATCATATCTAGATGTCTCACCATCTTGGACACAAAAGCTTTGGAAATCGTGCGGTGAAGGTGTTGGTATTGTACTTCGAAGATAGGTCCGTGACAGACCAAAGCGCGGGGGCTGCTTCAGACTTGAAAAACCTATCTGTGGCTCAGTATCGAGAGTGCAACTGGTGATATGTTGAGCGTATGCCACTACCGGAGTTCTCTCAGACATTGGCAATGCAAGCAGCAAACGTTACGGCCCGTCCACAGCGTAAGCGGGCGTGGCGGCAGGATCAAGGCAGAAGCGACATGAGAACACGGTCTCAGGTGGACTTGAGAATTACGAGGACTTCGAGCGGCGGTTCTCCTGCAAAAAAAGAGGGCAAAAACGAGGCGCGCATAAAGCCGCATAATGACGGTCCAGCTGCCCCTGCCACGTGAATTGACCGCGGAATTCACTCTGGCTCCCTCGTCGTCGTCGTTGGGGCTTGCTCCAAAAAGTGCTCAACATTTGCAGCTAAAGCATTCGCTACGATGTCGGCTATAATACAAACAACACAAAAACAAACAACGATGCTCTTACCCGTCGTCACCAGAGCCGTATCGCAACGCACGGCCACTAGGTCGCTGTGCCGGTCCGCGTCCACCTTCTCGCGGATCGTCGGTCCATCTGCCGCCCGCCTGACCCCAGCCACTGCCAACGGATTGAGGTATGAATCGGGATTGCTTTAGTCCATGATAGCTTGCAGATTCTAACCCTTACCTTCCCTCAGAACTCTCCCTACTCAGAGTCGTAATGCCCTCTCTCGTTTTGGTCAAGCCCGGTTTATGGGTGAGAACACGATTGTGCGCACAATTATTCCCACCACGTTTGTACTCATTGAAGAAATACAGCCGATAAGATTATCAAATGCCCACCAATGGCGGAATCGATTCAGGAGGGAACTCTCACTCAGTGGCACAAACGTAAGTCCTTTATGGAGGATTTACTGCGAAGCCCCAATGGCTAAACCTTCTTGCCCTTTGCCCTTCAGAGGTCGGAGAGTTCATCGCTCGCGACGAAGTGATTGCCACCATTGAGACCGACAAGGTATGTTCCTGGTGACTTTGGACAAAACGGTTTCAAAATCTAACTCTCCTAGTCGGGCCTCTAGGTTGATGTGACGGTGAACTCGCCGGAATCCGGGAAGGTGCTTGAGCACTTTGCGAACGAAGGCGACACAATTTCCGTTGGAGGAAATTTGTTCAAGATTGAACTGGGAGATGCTCCCGCCGAAGAGTCGGCTCCCGCTGCGGAGAAGGAGGCACCAAAAGCTGAGGCACCAAAAGCTGAGGCACCCAAGCCAAAAGAGGAGGAGTCAAAGAAGGAGACTGCCAAGCAGGAGAGCAAACCGGAACCAAAGAAGGCTGACGCCTCTAAGATCGCCGCACCTGGTAAGAGATGGTAGAGCGATATACACGAGCCTGAGCAAGGGCTAACAAGATGTCATCAGCGGCTTCAAAACCCCCGGCTCCCAAGCCAAGTTCTAAGGCCCAAGCCCCTGTTGAGGGTGAGGAATTCGCTGGTCAGCTGCCCGGATCCAGGACAGAACGCAGGGTAAGTAACGCCATCTTTGGGAACACACAAGGATAGGATATATGCTGACATCAGTATCTTTTGTTTGTCAGGTGAAAATGAACCGCATGAGGCTGAGGATCGCTGAGCGTTTGAAGGAGTCCCAAAATGTCGCTGCATCGTTGACAACGTTCAACGAGATTGACATGACGTGAGTTCTTTGCCATAAAAACTGATCCCACTCACAATCATCTGGGCCGACACTCATATGGACCCATTACACAGAAACCTCATCGAAATGCGCAAAAAGTACAAGGAGCTCGTCCTGGAGAAACACGGCGTGAAGCTCGGATTCATGGGCGCTTTCATTAAAGCGGCCTCCGTCGCACTGAAGGAAGTCCCCGGTGTCAACGCCTCCATTGAAGGCGGTGACATTGTTTACCACGACTTTGTCGACGTCAGCGTCGCCGTCGCAACACCTAAGGGTCTCGTGACCCCGGTCTTGCGCAACACCGAGTCGCTTTCCATCGTTGAAGTTGAGAAGGCACTTTCTGCGCTCGGAAAGAAGGTATGTTTTCGCCGTCCCGTCTTTGGCGGCATCGCGCAAAATCTGACTCATTTTCGCTCTCAGGCCCGTGACAACCAAATTACCATTGAGGACATGGCTGGAGGTACATTTACCGTGTCCAACGGTGGTGTCTTCGGATCCCTCTACGGAACCCCCATCATCAACCAACCCCAGTCCGCTATCCTGGGCATGCACGCCACGAAAGAGAGGGCCGTCGTCGTCAACGGAAAGGTAATATCCAGTTCGTATAAGAATCACCACCATTCCCACCTCACATGCTTACATCTCTTCTTATCCCAGGTGGAAGCTCGCCCCATGATGTACATTGCACTGACCTACGACCACCGCGTCATTGACGGACGTGAGGCCGTCACATTCCTTGTCAAGGTCAAGGAAATCATCGAAGACCCTACAAGATTGCTTTTGGATGTTTAAACGAAAGCTCTCCCGTCATGTTATAGGCTAACCCCCGAGTGTTTTGCCCCATCTCTCTCATTTGAAATCATAATACAATACCTCTTCGACCAATGTTTCTATGATGAGTTGCGAATTCCAAACGAAGTTGATATGAGATTCCTCTCAACTTTATGGGACGGGCCATGCGTTGCATTCATTTGAGCAGATAGTGACCGTAATCCAATGTGTCGTTGCCTGCTGGCTTACCTAATGCGCGGAGATTAACGGGAGAAGCCTATTGACGGCATGCTCGCAACTAAGCGAAACCTTATTTTGAGTGGGGCGAACAAGGATGGCGTTGTCGCGGGATTCATCCAGCTTCTCGAGTGCTTCGACTGCACCTCGAGCGTCTCGAGGGAACTCACAGCCAGAAACGGTGTAGACCACGCCAGTGAGCACCCATCAACATGCTGCTGGGCAACAACGAACAGGAGGATCTTGCCGTCGACCGGCACATATACCTGAACGACCCGACCAGGAACTCGACGCAGAAGTATCTGCATAATAGCATCAGCACCTCGAAGTACAATGTCGCCACTTTCGTGCCCAAGTTTCTGTTTGAGCAGTTTAGCAAGTATGCCAACTTGTTTTTCTTGTTCACCGCTATCATTCAGGTAAGCCTCTAGATATGATGTTCGATATTGTTCGTCCATTCTGACATTTCTTGGGCTCTCGCAAATATAGCAAATCGGCGATTTGTCCCCTACAAACAAATACGGCACCGTAATTCCCCTCTCCATCGTCCTCCTCGCCTCGGCCGCCAAAGAAATCCTCGAAGACTTCCGCCGCCACGCCCAAGACGGCGCAACCAACACCCGCCACGCCAAAGTCCTCTCCGGCACCCAATTCGTGCCCAAGCAATGGCGCCACATCGTCGTAGGCGACATTATCCGCGTCGAGAACGGGGAGTTCTTCCCCGCGGATCTCATATTGCTCAGTTCATCCGAGCCCGATGCATTGTGCTACATCGAGACGAGCAATTTGGACGGGGAGACGAATTTGAAGATTAGGCAGGGGATCCCGGAGACGGCGGAGATTTTGACGCCCGAGGAGGTTGCGAGGATGGATGGGGTTATCAAGTCGGAGTTGCCTAACAACTCTTTGTATACCTATGAGGGGACGCTCAGGTTGGGGCATAAGGAGATGGCGTTGGATCCGGCGCAACTGTTGCTTCGTGGAGCCATGTTGCGGAACACACGGTGGATTTATGGGGTCGCTGTGTTTACTGGCCACGAGACAAAGTTGATGAAGAATGCAACAAAGACCCCGACGAAGAAGACAAAAGTGGAGCGGTTGGTCAATACCGAGATCACCTTCTTGTTTGTCATTTTGGTGTCCTTGGCCGTCATCAGTGCAATGGGAGCTCTGCATCGCCAGGTAGGCTCTCAGCCGCCATTTCCTGGAAATGTGGTAGGCGCTTTTCAATCTGACTGTCCCGCATCAGCTTAACAACCCATTCGAAGAGCATATTGTGAGGTTCGACTCGTCGACTGCGTTCGCAAGATTTCCCGGAAACATCTTGACATACATCATTCTGTTCAACAATTTGATTCCACTCAGGTAAGGTGGGACCCCTTACTGTCGTGGAATCAGCTTCTTCTGATCGTTTCTTCATTGTGTAGCTTGATTGTGACGATGGAATTGGCAAAATACTTCCTCTGCGCCCTGATTAACCAAGATCTCGACCTCTACCACGAAGAGTCCGACACTCCGGCAATGGCACGTACTTCCTCCCTCATCGAAGAGCTCGGCCAAGTCGACTACATCTTCTCCGACAAAACAGGCACCCTAACATGCAACGTGATGGAGTTCCGCATGTGCACCATCGCCGGCATCGGGTACGCGGAGGTTGTCCCCGACGACAAGAAAGTGCGGGTGGACGAGACAGGCAAAGAAGTCGGCTTCCATGATTTCGTGAAACTGAAGCGGAACGAGCAGTCTCATCAGTCTGCACAGGTCATTCAAGAGTTTTGCAGGTTGTTGGCGGTTTGTCATACGGTTATCCCGGAGATGAACGAGGATACGGGAGTTGTGACCTTCCAGGCATCGTCTCCGGATGAGGGCGCCCTGGTGAAGGGTGCTGAGTTGCTTGGATGGGCGTTCACAACTCGGAAGCCGCGGTCGGTGACGTACACGCATAATGGGCAGGCTTACGAGTACGAGGTGCTCAACATCTGCGAGTTCAATTCGACCCGAAAGCGGATGAGTGCGGTCGTTCGCGGGCCTGATGGGCACATCAAGCTGTACGTCAAGGGTGCCGACACTGTCATTCTCGAGCGACTGGGGCCGAACAACCCGTATGTGGACGTTACTTGTGCGCATCTCGAGGATTATGCGAACGAGGGGCTTCGTACGCTATGTATCGCCTATCGGGATGTCTCGGAGCACGAGTACATGGAGTGGGCCAAGATCTACAATGCGGCCGCGACGACCATCAACAACCGTAGTGAGGCTCTCGATAAAGCCGCCGAGCTCATTGAGAAGGATTTGTTCTTGCTCGGTGCTACTGCGATTGAGGACAAATTGCAGGATGGCGTTCCAGAAGCGATCCACACGCTCGCACAAGCCAACATCAAGCTGTGGGTGTTGACGGGAGATCGTCAGGAGACGGCTATCAATATCGGATACTCATGTAAATTAATCACGGAGGAGATGAGCTTGATTGTCTGTAACCAAGGCACGCATTTCGAGACGAAGGAGTACTTGCTCTCGAAGCTAAATGCGGTCAGAGGTGCTATTGGGCAAAATGAAGGTGCCTCCGGCAATCCTGCGACTACCTTGGAGCAGGATCTGATCAAAGAGTACGGCTTTGGGGGCTATGTCAAACGAGGATATGAGATGTTTGGCTTCGAGAAGAAGGGGCCCAAGATCAACAAGGATGCTTTGCCGGAGACAGAGGTGAGCCAGAGCAGGTATCATTTACGGTTCCACCACCCAGCTCACACGTTTCCCTCCCCAGCCGTTAGCCCTTGTCATCGACGGCAAGACCCTCGGGTACGCTCTCGAGGACGACATCAAAATGATCTTCCTGCAGCTCGCCACCATGTGTCGTGCCGTTATCTGCTGTCGTGTATCACCACTTCAGAAGGCGCTGGTTGTGAAACTAGTCAAAAAGAATGTTGCGGAGTGCGTAACTCTCGCCATCGGTGACGGCGCCAACGATGTCTCCATGATTCAGGCGGCCCACGTCGGAGTTGGCATCTCAGGGATGGAGGGATTGCAAGCGGCTCGCGCGGCTGACTTCGCTATTGCTCAGTTCAGATTCCTGAGAAAACTTCTGCTGGTGCATGGACAGTGGGCATATGCGAGGATGAGTAAACTGGTCCTTTACAGTTTCTACAAGAACATCACGCTGTACCTCATTCAGCTGTGGTTTGCGAGCGACAATGGGTACTCTGGCCAGGTGAGTTGGTGGCGGCGTGCTATTCCTGCTACTGGTTTGATCAGGAAGCCTGATTCGTTTCTCCTACATGAAAGACCCTCTTCGAAACATGGACGCAGGCCGCCTACAACATCCTTTTCGCGGTCTTCCAACCCATCGCGATCGGAATCTTCGATCAATACATCTTCAGCCGAAACCTAGAGCGGTACCCACAACTCTATCGCCTAGGCCAAACCGGCGAGTTCTACAATCACAGCGCGTTCTGGGCATGGATCCTCAATTCCTTCTTCCATTCTCTTCTGCTGTACACCATGATGCACTCCGTGTACGGTGAAGGCGCTATGCTGGGCAATACCGGATATACGGCGAACATCTGGATCTTCGGAGAGACGCTTTACACGATGGATCTGATTACCATCACGCTCAAGGCCGCTTTGACGTGTTCGACTTGGAACCGATTCACGCACATTGCGATCTGGGGCAGCATTGGGATGTGGTTCTTTTTGTTCCCCATTTACGCTGTGGTTGCTCCTGCCATCGGACTTGCCAAAATGGAGTTGGGACAACACATGATCGACTACATGATGCAAGCACCGGCGTTCTGGTATTCGATTCTTTTGATACCATTAACGGTTAACTTTAGGGACTTTGTTTGGAAATAGTGAGCACCAGTCATTTCTGATGAGCTCTACGTGACAATCTCATTCTGATCATTTACTGTCTACCTTCTAGTTTCAAACGCCAAGCCCTGCCTCGATCCTACCACATTGTGCAGGAGATCCAGAAGTACAACATTCCCGACTACCGCCCACGCATGGAATACTTCCGCAAAGCCGTCACAAAAGTGCGTCAGTTCCAACGTATCAAGCGCAATCGTGGCTTTGCCTTTTCGCAGAGCGACAGCGGACAGGCTGCTTTGATTAGACTGTATGACACTACCCGCAGAAAGCCACGTGGATGAGAACACTTGTATTACAAAGACGATTGCTATCGCATAAACATTACATACCAACACACATCGTGAAGTACTCTTTAATTGTTCCGATGTATCTCGCCATCGTTCGATGATCCAAAAATATCCAATCAGGACAGTCACCGCCTTTCTTCAAATGAGACCTCGGTCCAGCCACCATCCCTTTCCGTACGAGATGCAGAGTTCTTCACCCTTTTTGATGGATTTTCCCAGCACCCATACTCCCATCCTCACTTCGCCCGTTTTGGCATCCCGATAAGTCTCGAATTCCACGTTCGGCCTGGTCGCCACTCCTCGGAAATCGTTTATGAACCGTCCTACTCCACCTGCCTTCTCCGCATCGACACTAAGGCCTGTGTACCGGTCAAAGGAAAGGATATAGTCACTCGTGGTCGAAGCGGTGTCGGCTGCGTGCAGCTCCCCTATATAATCACACACATGTTGGCGTGGTTCCAGCTTTGCGGACGCAAACAGTCCGTTTTGCCCGTGCGCTGGGTGAGACGCACTCATTATCTTTTTGACCGTGACGCACGACCCACGGGAGCGCAGGTCGCCGACGTCTTTCTCGACGAACCGGGCCGGGGTCACCGGATCGAAGGGATTAGCTGCCTTCTGTAAGGGCCAACCTGAGGGCAGGTAATGGGCTTTGACGCTGGCCGGTACACCTCTCGCCCAGCGATTCTGGCGAAGGTATTCCACGGTGGTTGGCCATCCTTTGGGTATGCCTCCAACCTTTTCCTGGCCAGCCGGCATCGCAAAGTCTGGGGAGCAAATCAAAGGAGACGTTGGGCAGGTTGTAACAGAAAAGCAGTAACACGCGAACTCCTCAAACGCCTCAAATTCAGGCTATTCAGGGCGTCTTCTCCAGCGTCTTCCCTTTCCTTTCCATGACCCACAACCTCCCATCACAAACCATACCCCGCATTGCACAGCGCAACAAAGTGTCCTCCCCCAACTCAAACAGCTGCCGGAACCTTTGCCTTCTTGTTATCTTCCAAAGATTCAGAGTAGATAGGCCTTAGAAGCAAAAATGTCAAGTAGCAGCGTCAACCCTTTCATTAGGGCGCACGGTAAGCAGTGGAATGCGGTGCAAACCTTCGTGTTCCTACCAGTGCTAACCAAGCGCCTATCCTTCCTGAACCAGATTCTAGGCCCGACTTCCGCGAGCAGGTATGAGCTTTAGTCTCTGCCTACTTCCTTATGTAGCCCGATGTGCTTTCGGGTAGTGCTTCGAACCCTTCTCCTCACCCTACCTTCTTCGCTCCCTTTAGACAGCCGCAGACCGGTATGGCGTACCAGAAAACTTCCTTGAAATAGAAGTACGCAATCCTCAATTCCACGGAGATGGTCGGGGAAAATATGTTGATTATGAAATCGTCTGCGATGTATGTTACGTCTTGGCCACCGTCCCCAGATCCATTTACTAATTGGAACAACCCACAGACGAATATACCGGCTTTCAAGAAGACAAATTCAGTAGTGAGGCGGAGGTTCAGCGACTTTGAATGGTTTCGCGATGCATTGGAGCGAGAGTCTACACGAGTCAACATCCCCAGCTTGCCGCCAAAGGTGTACTTCAACAACAGATACTCCGATGAGGTGGTCGAGCAGAGGCGGGTGGCATTGGAAAGGTTTTTGCAAATGTGAGCAGGTCCCTACCGGGATGGGATGGAGACATAGTTCGCGCCGTGGCGTGCTGGGAGATCTGGGATTAACAAGTTTGTTTCTCTGCAGAGTTGCTGGGCATCCGCTTCTCCAAACAGGTTCGAAAATCCTTCAGCCTTTCATCCAAGGTAAGGATCGATCGATTTCCTCCACCGAGTCTTCGCACTTACACACACCTCACAGACCCAAACTTCAATCGAGATCTATACTGAGATCCCATTATGAAGAAGCCCCTTGTAAATAATCCGGCACATCCTTTATAGTTACCTAGCCAAAACCACACCATAGTTTCTTTTCTGCCACACTGAACGGTAAAAATTCCACCGCATCATCGTAATTCACCCCCATCCCCCAGTTCTTACTACTTAGTCTCGTAGCTAGCCTCCTTTTGTTTTTGGTTTTGGGAACAACAATTTGGCTTAACGGTCCAACGTGAAGGTTCCCTCCAACGTTTGCTGGTATGTACCTGAGTAATTCATTCCACCTTGCTTGGATGGCTCTGTTGGAAGACACTGTCATAATCGTTCATGTCTTGTGGTGATTCTGGTCATGTCCGGTGAGTAAGCTTACGCGTGCCGATGAAACGCGTGCAAAACCAGGGACTGGCAGTCTGGCATAGGAAGGCACCCTCCTCGCCTCGCTTTCCGCACTTACATCCGCCGTCTTCGCCCTCCCCTCCCAGACGTGTATAGTATAGCCACCGTTCCTCGCAGGTCTTCTCTGGATTTCTCTCCAGCAGTCAATTCCAGCTCCACCTTGTCTAGGTATCCGATTATCCCCCCTTCACCCCGACTTCCCTTCGTTCGTGTCGACATGATTGTTGAAAGCTATGCTCGGTGAGGTTGGAGATGCACCCTTTTGGGGCTATCGAAACCTCATCGGGTGGGCGGGATTGTTGGTTAGCTGGGCAGCCTGGGCATCCTCTATCGAGGCGACGTGACCGTGAACCCGGTAGCTACTCTCTTCATTGAGGTAGACACAAGGCGGAAATATATGAATGACGAATAATGTCACTCAATATCCCCACGTACTTGTTGCAATTCCTCTTGGATGTGGGAATTGGGACGTTAACGACCGGGAGCCCTGAGAGGATTATCGATGTGCACAAAACGTTACCCTGGGGCGATAGGACAAGTGCAGAGTGTTTGTCGGTGGTCGTCTACGAACGTGTTGGTGTCGAGCCTGCCCATCGACAAGCCATTATCACATCATTACATTGCACCACAGGGATTCGAATTTTTGATGTTCATGTTTGGACTATACACAATCCACAGCCATGAACCCGCACCGATATATATTCCCATTGAGGTTGCCGCATGGTTTGAGGATCTCCGCTACACGGCAGCTAGTCATCTACGGAACTCCACAGCGGGTGCGGATATCCTATGTTTCACTATCAATTCATTAATGTTCGGTCGGCTAATCCGTCAGGTCGTTTAAGGTAACTTGAAAGGTCGAAGGATATCGTGACTATGCCGATGACGATCTCGAAGGCTGGTCGCGAGGGATAGACGGAAAGCAATGAGGGTTAAGATCAAGAGGCAGCTAACGCTACTGCTGCTACCAACAATACAGGTCGCCTTGCTGTCACATACCGATCAGAATGATCACAATCCATTCCAGCTGTTCTCCATGTGAGCTTGTCTGATGCTCTTTCAACATATCCAGCAGATCCGAAATGACGGACACACGTTGATTTAAGAGATCAACTCTGCAAAGAAATGGGTCCGACATTAGTTCGCTGATTGGGTCCTTATCAGAGACATGAGATCCTTTACCTTTGTGTGATCTCCAGATATCCCCGAATAGCCATGTACAAAGGTTCTAAAGCCGGTTCACTCCTGCAATTCCAAGAGCGTCAGTCCGTCTGAGGGTCAGAGTCACATATGCTCAGTTCCGCCTTACCAGAAAATCTCCGGAACATCTGTTACAAAAGCGATCAGTAAAGTGCACGAGTTTGGGAGAGTCCCGAGCCACCCATCCCACTCACCCAAAACATTCGAGACCAAATTCACGTTGATTCGCATGATGAAAAGTTGCCCAATCTTCTTGTTGACGGATTTCCTGCGATCCAACAAGTCAGCATGTGGAAGCTTCGATTCGGCATGGAAGCCCACTAACCTTGTCATATGAATCTTTCCAGTCTCTGCCAAAATCTGAGGGACGTGCTTCGTGCTCTCGATAGTCTCCTCAATGAGCCCTTCGAATAAAGCCAGCTTTACTGACTGAGCGATGGCGTGTGAGATTGTCAACTTGATCATGTAATTTGCTGGATTCTGATGGCACATGCGGGAGATGGTGAGACAACTGAGCTGAAAGATCATCGACGTACAAATGAATCCCGACCTTCAGAGTGATGATATCGTTGTAGATACGCGGTTGATAGAAGGCTAGGATATCAGGAGTAAGCGTCCTGTTCAAACGCGAGGCCCCGGTGTGATGCGTACTCACCGTTATAGTGGAAAACAAACTCTTCGATCTCGACATCATCTGGAGCTAATCCAAAAATACTATGAGACATCGTCTCGGGGTCAAGGAGCACCATCATGAGCAACATACCCAGCTTCTCTTCCTCAAAGGGTTCCAACTCCTTGAGCACCATACGCTCCTCCTCTTCTGATAATCCCCACATCACCACCACTCCATATGCAAAGAACAAGCATTCGCCGATCGGTGCAATGCGTTTGGCCAAATCATCGTAGGCGATGGTACTGGGCAGACTCCTTCCCGCTGCATCGATGTTTTGCTCGAAGAAGGAGTCGATGTTATGTAACGAGGCGTTAGGGCGAACACCGTCCTCTGTTGGCGACATGAGTTCCTCCGGAACCAGATTTATCAGATCTGGAACAATCAAAGGGTCCAAAGTTCCGTTGGTTGCGGGTATGCCGAGATATGGAGTGTGGATGGCTTTGCGCAAGCGAAATTGGGTTTAGTTCAGGTCTATAAAGTCTGCTACGATGCCTTACGACGGTACCTTCGTCAAACTTCTTGGGCGATGTCTTATTCCTCGTAGATCTGCTCTTCAGGAAGTCCATTAAGGGGTCCATCTTGTAGGAACTGTAAACGGCCCATGTCAGTCTCACGTGCTACGTGTTGACGGAGCTTTCCGGCTACGAAGTAGAAGGGCCCTCACTTTGCGGTACAGTAAGCCGTGACTCTCGGAAGCCATTTCTTCTCCAGTCGACTCAACCATCTTTCCTTCTGCTTCTTCGCAGTAACGTGCGGAAGCTGGGGTAACGTGTCGGGCTCTACATCTAGATCTGCCTGGTTCTCATCCGTCGCAGCGGGCACATCCGCCGGGAATAATGTAAGCTTTTGTGAGGTCTTTGTTGTACTATAAAGGAAAAGTTAGAGATCTCTGATCACCACGTGCATCGCGCCAACCCCACCAACTCTAGAAGCTCACCGTTTTGGCTGCTTTGGGCCTTTCCCCTGAGGTGCAGTAGTTGCCGTATTCGACGGTTGCGAGTTCAAATTCGGGTTGGAGGCGCTCAGAGACGAAGTAACGGGCGCGGGGAGCAACGGTTGGGTTTCCTCGTTTATACTGCTACTACTGTGGTGAGGAACTTTGGTATTCCGCTTATTGTTGGCAGTGAGGGAGGCCATGATGAGAGGAGGCTATCGCGCAGGTCGAACGTAGTATGCGACGAATGTTGGTATAACGGTCACAGTTGGAACGCAGAGAGGTTCTCACAGCTGATAATTACGCCGAAATTGAGTGAGCTGCGCGGAAGGGTTATATATACTGTATGCCGTCTTCCAAGCTATTCAATGAGAAGGTGCGCGGACCCAATACGCAGCTTTACTTTGACGAGAAAGTCGGTGATTGCAGTACTGTACCGTAGTAAGCCTGGCGGGATGAGAAAACGTTGGTGCGATCCGCAGAATTCACCACACTTCATACTGGGGAACGCGGGAAGGCTGTCATTGACATGCGTGGATCACGTGCCCGCATATTAATCTCGAATCTTTACATGCGATCCTGCCTGCAAATCCAGGATGGGAGAGACTTGGCCAACAATCAAGAGACCCATGAAGCATCGTAAAGCATATGCGTAGCGCAAATAGTACCGTGAAACTGCGTCTTCATTTCAATGCTGTTCCTCTTATGATGTGCAGTCGCTACTGTCGCGAACGAGAAGCTATTTACCGCATGACGAGCTGATTGAGGCAATGCGGGCAAATCCGTCGAAAAGCCGTCAAAATAACTGGTCTGTGAGTTTCTATTCTTCAAGGACAATTTTGTTCAAAAAAGGTAATATCAAATATTAAAGTGACTACAGTTACAGAAGAAAAGGGAAGAAGGCAAAGAGTAGAAGGATATTGTATCTTATGTATGTGGAGCATATACACGGTGTAAGGATATGAGGTTCTTCCACAAAAATCTAGATCCGCCTAACGAGCTGCATCCGGAACATCAACATCCTCCGGTACTTTTGGTTCGCCCGCACTTTTCGTTTGCGTTTCCGCCCGGGAATGCCCTTCCTTCGGTGTTCCCTCCCGGCTCCTCTGCCCCACCAGCTCGTCGCTCATTCGTCGCTCGAGCCTGTCGTGAGGTGTCTCTTCGGCGTACTCGGTCTTTCCAACGACAAAGTCAACCCCTGGTTCACGGCCTTCGCCTGTAGGCCCTGGCAACTCCGACTTCTTCTTCAGAAGATCGCTGACGAGGCGGCTGTGTTCTGGGTCACTCCCAATCAGCTTGATCTGCAGGATGCGTTTGTATGTGATATTGGTGGCGTTGTAGGTTTCGTAAAACTCGCCGTCAATCATGGCGTGGAAGGTGGATTCGGGGATGAACTCGATGCTGAAAGGCGATGGCATTTGACCAACCCGTTGAAGATGTTTTCGGCCGAACGAGAACTGCTTGCGGAAGTACGACCGTAAGGAACCGATACCGAAGACTTCCAGTTTGCCGTCATATGCGCAGTGAGGCGTCCAATTGGAAATGTCGGTGGCGCCTTTCTGTTCGCGGACGATGGATCTGGACATTTCAGCCACTCCCCACAGATCGACGTGTCGTCCCCACATCCCTGGGATGTTTTGGATGACCATCTCGATGGGTTCGTGCGTCACACGCAGCTTCTTGTTGCCGTCGAGCTCGAAGCGATCGCCTGCAGCTACAAGCGCCTTAACGCAGTTGGTGATTGGGGGTGCACCGTGTACCAAGACACCGAGTGACTGTCGACTGTACTCCATGGCGTTCTTGACACGAGAACCGCGACGGTTCTCCTCGAACCCGAGCCCGACGCGACCTTGGAGACCGATCGACGAATAGTTGGACATCTTGCGCCTCACGGTGCGGGTCTTTTCCTTGCCGGCTTCGCGCACCCAACCGCCTTCAGCAGTCTCCAATTCGACGTCCCAGATGTCCAACAGCGTTACGTGGCCGTTCAAACGATCTTGAACGATCTTATTCAAGCCTTCCAGATGTTTTCCGGCCACATCGCTGCCAGCCACGTATCGACCCCAACCGAGAACTTGAGAAAGGTCATTTCCAGTACCGAATGGAATGACGCTGAAGAAAATGCGTTCGTCATGTTCGACATCAAGTCCCATCTGAATCATCCCTTCAACAACTCCAATCAACGTCCCATCTCCTCCTGCACTCCAGACGTGCAATTTCTTGATGGATTTTTGTTTTGTAAGAAGCAGGTGGAGGTACTTCAATCCGGCTGATCTGTCTTTCTCGTCGAGGAAGTCATACAGCTGGACCTGTACGTGCGGGTTATCACGCATTCGGTAGTGTTGGATGTTCATTTGAACAAGAGGCAGCCCTTGTTGGTTGCCGGATTTCGGGTTGGAAAAGATGAAGACATATTCTGTGGGAACAACAACCAAGGTCTCGCCGTCGACGCCTTCAGACGACACGATGGCAGCGGCATCATCCGCCGGCCTCTCCTTGCCGTTTCCACCTTCAACCCTGACTGAGGTGTTCCTTTTTGGTCCGGGGTACGAGTCATCGCCTTCGGGTCTGGTGTGAGTGGTTCGTGAGTTGGTCTCGGCGTTGTCACCCAAAGAGATTGGCGGGATGTTCAGGAGATGCTGAAGCTCCTTCTCCGTTGCAATTTGCTTTTTGAAGGAATAGAAAGAAAAAAGTCTGAGCATTCTTGAGAAAGAGAGATTTGCCCTTATAGCTAATTCCGCTCACCTCAGGGGACATCCCATTTTCCTTGATTTCGGATTCTGGGTGGACACGTTTGTCCGCGGTGGAGACTGCTGTAGGGGTTACTCCTGGAGAGGTGACTGCCGGTGCCATGATTAAATTTTGCTTGTATGTTATTTGGTGTCGGTGGAGGCAGTGGAAGAGGCTTGAGCGTTGGTTGCCGTACTCTCTCAAGAGCAGTGTGGTACGAAGGAGGGTGTGGTGGTGGTGTGCCAAAAACTTTGAGAGGAGGGAAAGCTTGTCCGTGTCCCCCGTCCTTATATATCCTTGGAATAATCCTGAATGGAAGGAGGTGGCTGGGCCTCTTTTGTTCTAACTTAGTCTTGGGAAGGGAAGCTCGGTCGTGACGCGCTCTCGTGGGGAAATACCTCTGCGGGCGCCGTCATGCCACCTCTCCCGCCTGACGAATTGCACATACGACAACTGCCCGATTTAGTGCCGCTGTAGTATAGTTTCTCATAATATCAATCTCGACATGGCCAAGCAAAACGAAACAGTAAAAACCTTCGTTGTCAATCTCGAATGCCGTCACCACCTAAAAGTGATGTCATCATGTCACCACTGTCTCCCAGCTCCCTCGTGAACGATCACTCGGTATTTTGTCTTCGTGGCTTCGATTTGAAGCTCCGATGCTAAGCCACCCGTGCCGTACGCCGCCGAAAGGCCCGAATCCCACATGTCGGCGATGATGTCGCACAGCAATGACGTGATGAGTCAGAATGGAGATGCGGGTGACTCATGGGGTTCAGACATTCAACATCGAGCTTTTTTCGAAGAATTCAATTTCAATCGCAAAGATCTTGGAAGACTTCACTCGTTAACCGAAAGCACAGAAACTCACAGCCATAACCACGAAGGAACAATGACTACCTCAACCGTCTCCTCGCCGTCCATCGTGCTGCTATCCGGGGACGGCATCGGCCCCGAGATTGTCGCCGAAGCACGTCGCATACTCACCCTCGTTTCGACCACTCTCAACTATAACTTCACCTTCCACGATCAGCATCTCATTGGCGGCGCCGCTATCGATGCCACCGGAAGTCCTCTGCCCGACTCCACCCTCAACGCATGCCGTTCCGCTTCCGCGATCCTCCTCGGCGCCGTTGGTGGGCCACAGTGGCCCAAACCGGCCACGAAAGAGAACCCTAGCCCTGCGAGGCCGGAACAAGGATTGTTGAAGCTACGAAAAGAGTTGGGATTGTACGCCAATATCCGCCCTTGCAGCTTCCCGGCGAAATCGCTCTTGAGCCTCTCGCCTTTGAAGGAAAGTATCGTGGAGGGATGCAACATCATTTTTGTGAGGGAGTTGACAGGCGGTATCTACTTTGGAAAGCGGCAGGAGGAGAATGAAGAGGGTGTGGCGTGGGACACCATGGAATACTCGGTCGGAGAAATCCAGAGGATCACGCGCATTGCCGCTTCCATCTCGAGTTTGCATTCTCCGCCTTTGCCCATCACATCCATCGACAAGGCGAATGTGCTCGCAACGTCTCGTCTATGGAGGAAAACTGTTACGCAAACTTTGAAGAACGAGTTCCCCGCCATACCTCTCCAGCATAACTTGGTCGATTCCGCGGCCATGCTGTTGGTGAAGAGCCCGATGTCGCTGAATGGAGTCATTCTGACTGAGAACATGTTTGGGGATATCCTGTCGGACGAAGCCAGCGTAATCCCTGGAAGTTTGGGGTTGTTGCCTAGCGCGAGTTTGAGTGGGTGGGGAGCGAAGAATGTTGGACTCTATGAGCCCATTCACGGGAGTGCGCCTGATATTGCCGGAAAAGGTAAGCTCTTTGATGTCGCGGATTGCAATATGACGTTCTTGCGATCTGCATACCCTCGCTAACCGTTAATCGTCCACAGGCATAGCAAACCCCATTGGAACAATTCTCTCCGCTGCAATGCTTCTCGAATACTCGTTCGGCCTTGTCCGAGAAGCCAAAGCCATCGAAGAAGCAGTGGCCATCGTTCTTGACGAACAGGCGTTACGGACGAAGGATTTAGGCGGAGAAGTCACCACCAAACAAATGGGTGACGCGGTGTTGAAGGTTTTGGAGGGGCTCTTGCAAAAGTTGAAGTAGATGATTAGTTGCTGACCTACATATTCGGGCTGGATGTGGTGGGAAATACATGGGAAGCGTATCTCGGAATCCATGACACCATGTGCGAAAAGATTGTGAGAGTCGGCGTATCATCAATGCTATGCGTATTGAGGAAGCATGTCCTTGGATCGTATTTCCCATTTCGCAATTCTACATGTACACTAGTTCCCAGCCTTATTCATCGATTCGTACGCCTCAGAGTCACACATCGGAATGCGATAATTTTGGATCTGATCAGCTTTTCCATGACATTTGAGCCATGCTTCTCATTCCTTTAGCCCTATCACTACATGCCCCCGTCTAACTACGATAGTCAGCGTTGATACTGATATAATCATGACTGAAATCACAGGTGTACATTGTGGCCTCCTCTTTTCCCATCCCCAAGTCCACACTCAGCAACAGATCTTCATTCTCCAGAATTCGCGCTGCTTTGTCCTCATCGCTTTCATATGGTGCTCCATCCTTGAAGAGATGGATACTCTCGTTGCTGCCGTTGGCAGCGGAGGACGACGACACGTGAAGACTGACTTTGTCAGGATTCAATCCCGCAATCTCAGAGTACCCCACCGCGCAAATGATTCGGCCCCAGTTGGCATCTTTCCCGTACAGCGCTGTTTTGACGAGCGGGGACGTGGCGATGGTGCTGCTAACTTTGCGAGCGTCCACGAATGTTTTCGCGCCTTTGATGCGGATCTCGACGAATTTCGTCGCGCCTTCGCCGTCGCGGACAATGAGCTTGGCGAGGTCTGCGGCAAATGAGGTGAGGTTATCCCGAAACTCGAGGAACTCGGGGGATGATATGTCGTCGATCAGCGTGGCAGATGCAGAGGCGCCATTGGCGAGGACAGCAAACGTGTCGTTCGTGCTCGTGTCTCCGTCAATGCTGATGGCATTGAAAGACCGATCGGCTGCGTACTTTGTGGCCGCGTCAAGGGCCTTCTTGCTGAGTTTCGCGTCGGTGAACACCGCACTCAGCATGGTGGCCATGTTCGGGTGGATCATCCCCGCCCCTTTACACCAGCCGGCCATCCGGTACGTCTTGAACTCCTGACTCCGCAGCTTGGGGAAGGTGTCGGTAGTCATGATCCCTTCCGCAGCACCTAACCAACCATCATGCGACTCTTCCAAGTTGGGGGCTAGTTCTTCGATGCCCTTGACAATCTTGTCCATGTCCAAATGTTGGCCGATCACACCCGTGGACATGACGATCGTCTCGGGATGGTTTTTGCTGCTGGCAGCGTCTCCCTTACTCAACGCTGCGTCCACCACCGCACTCATCCTCCATGCATCCTGCAATCCCTGCTCACCAGTGCACGCATTCGCACACCCGGAATTCACAACAACGGCCCTCAATCCCGTGCCTCGTTGTTTCCCAATCACCTCCTTCGACACCTTCACAGGCGCCGCCGCAAACGCATTCAACGTAAAAACGGCAGATGCCGTTACTGGGAACCTTGCATCTGACGCAATGATAGCGAGATCCTTAGGCGGGAACGGAAGCTCTTTCTGCTTTTTCACGCCCGAATGCCATCCTCCTGCTCGCCATCCTTTTGGGTATGTGCCGGTAGTGGGGATCAGTTGCTCACGGGGCCATGCACTTCGTGTACCGTGAGCAGGTTTTGCTGACGCTTCCGTGGATTTGTTGCTGGAGAAGAGGGAGAGCATTCGAGTTTGCGAACATGCTGCCTGGCCAGGTTTGACGAGGGGATACCATCGCGAAAGCGGATGGGATAGGAGGGTTCGTGAAAAGCTCGACACGGACATCTTTTCCACGTCCTGGTTTATCTATCGCTGTTCCTGATACTGATAGTGCAGTTGACGGAGCGCTTGGTCTCCGATTCTTGGACTGAACCGTTCTGTGAACGGCGTACGGATGTCGAAATCGCGCTTCAGCGAATACAAGGGGAGGATCAGGTTGATGGAAAGAGACTGACGGCTCGTATCTCCTCCGTCCGCAACTATATATCTCACAACCTTCCCGCTGCTGTCAAGAATACGAGTGATCTTGAAGTTGATCTCGGCGGTGGAGTAGCGAACAGAGACGCGGTTTTTCGTATGCGAGCGCGCTGATCATCTCGCACAGACTCACGGATCGCAAATCTCCACTTTTCTCGCCACGTTCAAACGTCTCCTTCCAACGACTCCACAACTCCGCCGGAAATCCCATCAGCCTGCTCCAGTCATTCCGGATGATGCATATAAAATATTCATTCCTTCTATCACAAGCTCATGAGAGGGTTTATCAATTACAAAGGTATTTCGCTCCAGCTAGGGCTCATAGCTCAAAACTGAGCGAAGCCGGGTAACGCGAGGGGCTGTCCATGGTTCGCCGTTTAGAAATCCTTGGCGAAAGCTCCAAGAACCTCCTTGATCTTCGCGTCGGTCTCGGGGGAGATGGCGTTCTCCTTCTTGATGTTCTCGAAGATCTCGGGGGCTGTAGCCTGGACATGTGGGATGACAGCAGACTCGAAGGCGGTGACCTTGTCGACCGGGATTTTGTCAAGGAAACCGTTGACACCTGAAGAAAATGGGATAAATCAGTTGTTGCTCTACAAACTCGTGTGCAAAACCATGCCATCTGTTCATCGAACTCACCAGCGTAGATGATAACGACCATGTGCTCGACGGAGAGAGGAGTGTATTGCTTTTGCTTGAGGAGCTCAGTCAAACGAGCACCACGGTTCAGCAAAAACTGAGTCGACGCATCCAAATCGGAACCGAATTGCGCGAAAGCAGCGACTTCACGGTACTGAGCCAAGAAAAGCTTGAGAGATCCAGCCACCTGCTTCATAGCCTTAACCTGCGCGGCGGATCCGACACGGGAGACGGACAGACCGACGTTGATAGCGGGACGAACACCTGATGGGATTGCAGCTTTAGATTTTGAAAAGGAATCTACCTGAACGAAGCATTGCTGACATACCCTTGAAGAAAAGCTCAGCCTCCAAGAAGATCTGACCGTCCGTAATGGAAATGACGTTGGTGGGGATGTAGGCGGACACATCTCCTCCCTGGGTCTCAATAACGGGCAGGGCGGTCATGGACCCTCCACCCTGGGTCTTGTTCATCTTCGCGGCACGCTCGAGGAGACGAGAGTGCAAGTAGAAGACATCTCCGGGGTAGGCCTCACGACCGGGGGGACGACGAAGCAACAAGGACATTTGACGGTAAGCGACGGCCTGCTTGGACAAATCATCGTAGATGATCAAAGAGTGCATTCCGTTGTCACGGAAGTACTCTCCCATAGCGGCACCGGAGTAAGGAGCCAAGAACTGAAGAGGGGCGGCGTCGGAGGCGGTAGCGGCGACGATGATGGAGTACTTGAGGGCATCTGCGATGGCGCTATTTCAGCTGACACAATTCTAATCATCCATGCTGGGCAACAGAACACATACCGTTCTCCTCAAGGGTTTGCACGAACTGAGCGACGGTAGAACGCTTTTGGCCGACGGCGACGTAGACACAGTAAAGCTTCTTGGCCTCCTCAGACCCAGAGTTCCACCTCTTCTGGTTCAGAATGGTGTCGAGAGCGACGGCGGTCTTTCCGGTTTGACGATCGCCAATGATCAGCTCACGCTGACCACGACCAATGGGCACCATGGAGTCGATACACTTGATACCGGTCTGCATAGGCTGCTTCACGGACTCACGGGGGATAATACCGGGAGCCTTGACCTGCACACGCTGACGCTTGACGTCGACAAGAGGACCCTAGACATGATCATCGTTTCATCAGTCACACCGCAGATTGGCTTCCAGAATCGATTGCTGGGGATAGGGTGAATATACACACCTTGCCGTCGATGGGGTTACCGAGGGCGTCAACGACACGACCCAACAATCCCCTGCCGACTGGGACGTCGACAATAGCACCGGTACGCTTAACGATGTCACCTTCCTTGATGAGACGATCGTTACCGAAGACGACAACACCGACGTTGTCAGCTTCCAAGTTCAGGGCTTGTCCCTAAAGTAGCGGAAGAGATAAGTTTCCCATCTGGCTAAGCTCACGGGCCGGAAACAGCGGGCAGCACGTACCTTGAGACCGGAGGAGAATTCCACCATCTCTTCGGCCTGGACGTTGCGCAGACCGTACACACGGGCGATACCGTCTCCGATGGAGAGGACACGACCGGTCTCCTGGATGTTGCCCTCGGCACCCTCGGCACCGAGAATACGGCTCTCGAGAATGGAGGAGACCTCAGCAGTTCCTAAAGAACAACAAGATTCTCAGTACATCCCTTCGTCTGGCTCCCAGAAAAGACTCACTTCCTCCATATACATACCAGGCTTGGCAGCCATAGCGCGAGCGCTGGTGCCGAAAGACCTTGCCTATCGACAAAAAAAAAGAGGAGTTCGTCGGTTAGAAATCAAGTGTGACCGCATCAGGCCTCAGATTCTCGTATTTCTGCTGAGTGACTCCCGCAAGAATTAGTTCCTCCCACTCCAGCATCCTCCACGGCTGCTCCAACTTCCCAAATACAGCGTCTTCCTCGTGGGATAATCGAAAAGGACTGACGCTCAAAGCCTCCAATCTGCCGATTCTTCAGACACTTACCAGACCCAATCGGGCGGCGGGGGAAACGAGACCCTTCATCATTTTTGCAGCGAGGGGTATGTGCCTTGCGAGAGCGCTGAGAGGGAGTGCAGCAGTGTAGATGAACGGAGCAAAGCGAGGTAGCCTCTCCTGCAGCCGATGAGGTGTGTGCGTGAACGAACCGTCGAGAAGGGCCGTTGTTGGGGCTCTCGGGTAGAGGCGGGATGGCTGAACAACAAACGGGCGGTGGAACACGTGACTCGTTCGCGCAAAAGCCTACAAGACACCCGGTGGGCAAACAGTTTATGCACCGTTTCGTGCAGGGATCACAAATCGCAAACCATGGCAGGCGTTTGCAATGCATCCGCACCATAATCGAGTCAACTGGCCGATGCAGTACAGGATGCCTGCATCGCGCCATTATATTTGGGAAAGGCCAACATGTTGCAGGAGAGAATGGGTTTCAGGCTGCTAAGAATGTACAAAATCTGTTGCCGACCACCTAGGGCCATGGTTTCGCATTAACGCTATCAATATCCTGGGAATGCTTGAGAGTCGTTCCCACTATTACGTCCGAACCATAAAATCATTGATCTGGCGAGGGAATGAGTGTCAGAGACGAGATCTTCACACTTCGATTGTACCTCGGATGGGGGATCACTTACGAGGCAAAGATCAAGATGTTCTGCAGAGTTATACAATAACCGAGGTACGCTTCATCACCGGATGTGTGATGTTGCAGAATGTACTTCAAAAATGTTACGGCCTGCAGGAAAGAATCCACTCGTCAGCCTTCCTCAGGCATTTCCTTTTTTGAATGTGCCCCTGTACTTACGAATCCGCCACCAAGAGATCCGAGAGCGATGGAGACGCCTACGAAAGCGCATCCCCGTGCTCTCGTAGCGATGTTGGGGCCGCCAAACGAGCCGTCCCCTTCGCTGTTCAACATTTCCCGGTCGATAAGATTCACACTGTAAAGCCAGGGGATCGCAGTCAGGATACGTTCTCAGTTAAACCAGCCCATCCTAATGAGGAGATGAGCCTCTCTCGTTCAACCGATCCGCTTCTTCCTATCGTCTTGTTTCCCCCCCCCCCCCCCCCATGTCCAGACTCACATAATCAGTGCCAACGTCGATAAGATCCCCGGAATCCAATCCTCCACACCCGTCGACACCGGCAACGGTTCTGGTCGCGTTCGTGCATAGGTCAGCCCATCAATGAACGTCCACCAGGCAACAGCAAACTGAATGAAAGTGGTTATCAGCCTTCAGTCCGAGGATGCGCCTTGGTCACACTGCCAAACAAGCAAGGCGTACCAGGCCGCCCGACAGATATCCCACAAACGCAATCCTCGACGGGAACTTATGCGAAATGCTATCGAACAGCTGAATGATCACATCCCCGCACCAGCCGCAGTAGAACGCAGTTTTCGACCGTCGGTGTGGAGTCGATTCCGATGGGTCCAGGGAGAGTGGTTGATAGCGTGGCATTTCGGTCGTTTGTGCGTTTCTGGGGGACTGGACAAAAACGCTCTTTCGTCAACAGCTGTCGTTTATCCGGCTTTCCCTTCCACCGTTCCTTTCCACTCCATATGTTGAAATCAGACGGAGACGGAGGCAACGCAAGATGTTCGTGATCTCCTGAGTGCAATCAGAGGTGTGGAAGGAGACGCTCCAAACACCTTCCATGAAACGTCCGTGGGAGCCCACAGACACACTGGTAGCTCTTCAAACTCAGCATGAGCATACTTACCAACTGTTGCCGATGCGATTTTCAAGATTTAGAGAGAAGGGATGAGGTTTGAAGTTTGAACGGCGTCACTGCTCAGAAGCGCCCAAGCTGGCAGTGGAGACGCGATGACATGACTCATGCAGAATAATAGGCGCTTTTGACAATGCAGAGCGGAATAGTCGGGAAGACTAACAACAAAGAACGAAACCATACGAGATATGATAAGCAGGTAAATGTTTCATATTGAATGCCGTGACAGGAAAGGCCAAAAATTGTACTTTGTTAATCATGTCCGGGATAATGGAACGGATCGAAAGTACGATGAAAGAAGGGGGATCGGGGTGTGTATGTACAAAGATGAAAGCGGACTGTTCATCTTCCAAAACGTTCTACCAAAGGGTCCATCTAGGTAGGCAAAAGGAGAGGGAGGAAAGGGCCCCATTCCGGGAACGCAGAATTGTTCTTATCCGAAAACGTAGTTCGACTGGCCATTGTTCATGCCATTCTGCTGTGCACCGTTGCCGCCGTGCATTCCGTGCATGTCGAACATGCTGTCGTGGGCACTTTGGCGGCGCTGTCCAGGCTGTATCATAGGGAATTGGTATCCCGGGGTAGCGAAGCTCATCGCCTGGGGCATAGCGTACTGCTGCCCTTGATGTGCCAGGCTGAATTGGTTGTTGAAACCGCCGAAGCCGCCAGGGTGAGGCATGCCGTGTAGCATCGGTGAGGCAGGTAAGGAGAGAGAGCGCTGGTGTTGGATGGTATTTTGCTGGTTGTGCAATGCCAGACCGCCGTATCCGAATTGAGCGAAATGGTCCTGGTCAGCCGGCATTTGATGCTGCTGATGATGGTATGGGAATTGTTGGGATGATTGCACGGCGCGGCCGGGTAGCGACTCGAAGCCGCCTGGACCGGGATATACCACTGAAGACGCCATGGAGCGGAGGATAGGGGATGTGGGGAGTGACTGAGAATGCATGTGCTCGAACGGATGCGGGTGGGGAGTCGCAAACTCGACAGGAAGTCCTTGTCCTCCGAGCGCCGGAACTGGAGAGTTTCCTCTGCCTGAATTGTACCCGTTGACGGACTTGATCGCGGTAGGTTCAGGAGCGGTTGTCGGCGGGGCCGTCCCTTGTCGAGAACCGGAGTCTCCCGCGTTTGCTGCTGCCTCGGCTCGCTCCGCCGCCCCATTGTGCACTTTCAAATGCTGAGACAAGTTGTCCGAGCGCGAGAACTCCTTGTTGCACCCGGCAACAGGGCACACGTAGGGCTTTTCACCAGTGTGACACCGCATATGCCGGCGAAGGTGCTCGTATCGCTTGAACTTCCGCCCGCACACAGCTCGTCCGGACAGGTCTCTGAACGAGCAGAGGTAGTTGCGGCGCTCAGTCGTCTCCTTAGGGTGATTCGACGGTAGAGTGGGCACCTGAACGCCATTGAAGGAGTCACCCGTCACTGCATTGGCCATTCTGCTGATATCCCCACCCTGACGGAAATCTGGCGGAAGCAATGGCATGTCCTTGCTAACGCTGAACAAGGACTGCGCCCGACGTCGTTGCTTGTAATTGGGCGAGCCTTCGAAAAGGTTGAACACGCCGAAACCGGGTATGCCAGGCATCTGATGCTGCAACCCCATGTGGGACATTGCATTGTGAGATGCAGCGTCGTCGTCCGACATGAGCGACGGAGGAGCCCCTACGGACATTTCCGGAGAATTCGAGTTTATCAGGTATGGCGCACCCATTGACAAATTCGGCGACGTATTGCGCGATCCATCGTACGAGAAACCGTCGTGCTGCTGTGCCTGAAACTCGTGAGCGAGCTGGCCAATGGAGTCGTGGAACTGAGTATTCGTTGGGGAGACGTTGATCCAATCTTCCAGTGCGACGTTGGAATCGCCGGGGAATCCGAGAAGGTCTGGCGCCAGTTGCAACGTTGGCATGCATTGCTGCTTGGCCAACTCCAGGGTCGGAAGCAATGGCATGGGGTGCGTTGCGACTGTAGTTGGCTCGACCCCCAACGCCTCACGCTTCAGGTCCCTTTCCAACGCATCCATGAACAACCGGTCATGCGGAACAGAGAACCAGTAGAAGACTTTCTGCTTCTTCTGTGTTCTGATGCAGTTGTTCTTGTACAGAATTTCCAAGAACTCTGATCTCGGCTCCTCCAAAGTTGCGTCGATGCCCGGCTTGAGATTCCGCAAATCCGAAAACACACCCTCTTCGAACTTTTTCACATTGCTCACCGGTCGACCAAATGCCTCAAATCGATAGATCAAGGAACGCACGATGTCTGTCCCAGTGATGTGGAAAAGATTGTTCCATAGGACACAGGAAATGTGCTCGCCATTGGGTAGTGTGAAGCGCTTGATCGTGTGCTCGGGATCCCAATTGGTTGGTGCAGTGGCAAGGAACAGTTTCAGGTGATCGAGCAGTTCTTGATTTGCAACTACTCCTCCGTTCGGTATTTGCTGGCTGGCTGGGTCTGCATTCCCGCCGGGCGGCGTTTGCTGCCGAGGAGATTCATTATGGGCTGGCTTTTGTTGTCCCTGGGGTTGTGGCGCAATGGGTCGCTGGTGGTGTTGCGGCTTCGACTGCTTGGGCTGCAGAGTGACGGCACCTATCGAGTTCTCAATCGCGGCGTTGCTCCCTACAGTAATTCCTTCGGTTTTCAGCTGTAACGGAAGCGCTAGGTCGTGACGAACTGGCGATTGCTGTAGACCAGTGGAGTAGAGAGTAGCTTGAAAGTTCCCCAGCTCGTGGGTTCTTTGTGCTGCTCCCACGGATAACCGCCTAGCATCTTGACCTAAGCCAATCGTTGGTACTGCCCTTGACTCGACAAAGGCTTGAACGACTTGGCGTGGTGCCGGAGGACCCGAGGGTTGACCGTGCACGTCACCTGATGCGGTCGCGGTGTTGGACGACCGCAAAGGACCATCTTGAGTTTTGAGTGTGGGTGCAATCAGTTGGTTCTGACCAGACGTCGTGGCTGTTGGCGCAGGTTGTCCTTCACTGCGGTTGGTGGTGGTGTTTTGGGGTTGCAATCGCTGCTGCGCGTCGCGTTGGCCTTGATCGCTGGTGCTGATGCGTGGGAAAATTGTCGACTCGTTGGTGCTTGGGCGCGAAGCTGCAACCGGACCTGTTGGAGAACGAACCGGCGTTGACGACTGCGCTTCTTGCTGCTGCTGCTGTTGTTCTGTGTGTTGCTGTTGCTGCGACGGTGATGGCTCCCTGGCATGCGACGTTGCAACGGGCCCTTGCGTCGAGCTGGACTGAGCTTCTGGTGGAACTTGTCGCTGAGCGTCCCCGACCACAGACACTATGGCTTCTGACCGTCCGTTCTGTTGTTCTTGGTACTCGTTCATTGTTGAGTATTCTGCAAAGCGCGGAAAAGTGAAGATTTGTTCTGTATGTTTGAAGGAGTCCTCCGATGCGGGGGGAGAGTGGAAGGTGCTGTTGATTGAGGATATGCCGCGGACGCAGGGTTCTCACACGAAACCGTACAAGAGAAGCTTTGAAGTGTTGTTTCGACGACGGTTGACAGAGATGGAAGATCTCGCAGGAGTAGGTAAGGTCAGAGAAGAGCAAGAGGAGGAAACGTCGAGCCGAGGGGGGCGCTGGGTAGAAACAGGCGTTTTAGAATCGAGGGAGCCAAACGGGCTTGATGGAAAGTTTGAGGCGAGGCGGGGGGAGGGGGGTTGAACAATGTATCTATTGATTGCCGGGGCGGGCACAGCTCCGTCGGCTATTAAAAGCTTTTTCCTGGGGAGGGACGGGGTATGCGCGAAGTGTCGCAGGATGCAAGTAAGGAAGGGATCCTTCCTTCGCCGCCGGAAATAGCAACCGAAACGCACCAACCCCTTTGAAATCTTTTTCCCCACAGAGAGGTGTTGCTGGCGAAAATCAAAATCCGGCCAGCACAAGGGCATACATATGATGCTGATGAACGTGCAAACCAGTAAGAACGCAGCTCAGCTCTTTCCCTAAGCTCAGCGGCGGACACTCGCGCTGGGAGAAGACCAATGGAAAACGCGCGCGTGAGGTAATGAGCTTAATTAAGAGCGCCACACTGCGCAATTACACCTGACTCATGCGCTGCGGGATCCCAGTGCGTTCCAACTTCCAATCGTTCAAGGAAAGGTCCCCATCGCACATGGCGTGTGGAATGTTGGTGTGGAATGTTGGTGGATGGGCCCAAGCGCCACAGCAACAACCATCAACAACATCAACAACATCGGTGGCGCCAATCAGTGCGAGCACAAAAGAACAAACCTTTTGAACACCGGGGCTCGAGTCATATGACCTTATGTCTGACTCCACGTGATTCACTGGTTTATTTACGGATTACGGAAGAATGACAGAACGCCGGGGAAGCATTGCGAAGATTCGAGGTCCACATGGATTTTTGTTGAGAAGGGAGATGTTGATTCGGGGATGATTTCCTAATGACGCTAGCTCAGAAACGCAGACGATGCGCGCGGTTCCGGCGCTAATCATCACTCGCATCGCTACTACCACAGTAAACTATCGCTCCAACCGCGACGCGCCAACAGGCGGAGAGAGAGAACCGCAGAGAAAAAAGCACAGCGGGCAAGCAAGCTGCAGCGACCAGAGAGACAAAGAAGAATATCTGCATCCACCGTCCTCTCGCACACCCTGCACTATCTCTCATCGTTTTCAACGACGTGTGGTTTCGGCAAAATTCCTTCTCAAGCCTCTCCCACCTCTGTCGCTGCCTCCTTTATCCCTGTCCCGGGTACCAACATCGTAGCTGATCTCGTCGTAGGCCTTCTTGCTGTCGGAGTTATCGGTCTCGCATCACTCTACTTCTTTCGCCGTACTTCTGCAGATCCTTCTCGTCGCAAACGTCGTCGCGGAAGCAAGCAGCAGCAGCACAAAAAGGACCGCAAAGCTCAACCAGAACCACTCCTAGACACCGCACCAAAACACAACACTATGTCCGTCGTCGGAATTGACTTCGGAACTCTGAACACAGTTGTCGCCGTCGCGCGCAACAGGGGTATCGATGTTATCGTCAACGAAGTGTCCAACCGCGCCACGCCGTAAGTGTCGGAGATGTAGATCACCTGCGCGTTCGTGGGAGTGGATATCTGGGGAACAGGAGGGCAGAATGGGGCACAGAGATGGGATGGGGAAATCATGGTCGGAGTTGGAGCTGTGGTGTGAAAAATTGGTTGTGGGCGTGCGAAGCTAAGCCGAAGCTTCGATTGAGGAGGAGCGATCTCTCAGCATGGCGGGGGGCGGGATGAGAGCCCGCTGTGGGATGAGAGACTTGATGTGAGACTCTTTGAACGGACACTGATCGATCGTTCTCTCTTATCACACCATAGATCGCTAGTTTCCTTCGGAGAAAAGCAGCGTTACTTGGGCGAAAGCGCCAAGACGCAGGAGATCTCCAACTTCAAGAACACCGTCGGAGGATTGAAGCGTCTGATCGGAAGGCCGTTCTCGGATCCAGATGTGAAGCTGGAAAAAAAGTTCATCAACGCCAACCTCACCGAAGGCGAGCGTGGCGAAGTCGCGGCTTCCGTGTGGTTCCAGGAGGACCAACGTCAGTACACATTCACACAGCTTGCGTCCATGTTCTTGACAAAAGTCAAGGAGTTCACCAGCAAGGAAATCAGTATTCCCGTCACCGATGCCGTTATCTCGTGTCCTGGGTGGTTCACTGAGCACCAAAGGAGAGCTCTCCTCGACGCCGCAGATGTCGCCGGTATCAACGTCCTGAAGGTCCTTAACGACACAACAGCGTCTGCGCTCGGATACGGTATCACAAAGGTCGACTTGCCCGACCCTACTGACGCGAAAGCGAAGCCCAGAATCGTCGTGTTCTTCGATCTCGGCTACTCTTCGACGCAGATCTCCGTCGTTTCCTTCGTGAAAGGAAAGCTCATCGTCAAGGGCACCGCGTATGACCGCAACCTCGGTGGTCGTGATTTCGACGAAGTGCTTGTTCAGCACTACACCAAGGAATTCACCGAAAAGTACAAGATTGACATTGCCAGCAATGCGAAGGCCATCTTCCGTCTCAGGCAGGGATGCGAAAAGGTCAAGAAGATCTTGTCTGCCAATGCCGTAACTGTTTTGAACGTTGAGTGCCTCATGGACGACAAGGACGTGTCCGCGCAGGTCCAGCGTTCCGATTACGAGGAATGGGCATCTCCTTTGATCCAGCGCCTGTCTGCTCCTCTGAAGGCGGCTCTTGACGCTGCGGGCGTTACCGCTGAGGAGGTCGACTTTGTCGAGCTCATTGGCGGATCCACCCGTATCCCTGCGGTGAAGCAGACCCTTGCCGACCTTTTCGGTGCCGACAAGCTCTCCACCACTCTCAACCAGGACGAGGCGGTCGCTCGTGGATGCGCTCTCCAATGCGCCATGATCTCCCCTGTCTTCAAGGTCCGTGATTTCGCGATCCAGGACTGGAATGGCTACCCTGTGGAGCTGTCTTGGGACGCCGCCCACGTCCCTACGCCCACTAACGGCGAGAAGCCCGAGACTGTGATGGAGGCTTTCCCTATCGGCAACGCCATCCCCAGCTCTAAGGTTCGTTGAGGGTTTTGTTCGCGGGGTGCGCATCGATGGAAAACTTATCCCTTTCTGATTTTCCCTCGACTTACAGATTCTCACATTCTACCGTGTGTTGAAGGATGAGGAGATCTCCGCTCAAGGAGGCTCCGTTTCTCTCGATATCGACGCTGCGTACAGCGAGAAGCGTGCTGAGCGCACATACCCCGAAGGTATCGGTGCCAAAATTGGTACCTGGACGTTGAAGGGCATCAAGAAGGTCGGTGGAGTCACCGAACAAGCCAACGGAGCACCAGAAGCGAGGGCCACCATCAAGGTCAAGACGCGTTTGGACGGCAACGGATTGGTCGCCATTGAGAGCGCCAGTCAAATCGAGGAACAGCTCGTCCCGGTGGAGGAGCCCAAGAAGGAGGCCGAGAAGAAGGATGAGGCCACTCCCATGGACGTCGACTCGCCTGCCGCGGAGAGCCCTGCTGAACCCGCTGCCGGCGACGGCCCCAAGACAAAGCGTATCATAAAGAAGCACGACCTCACCATCGTAGCACGCACCTCTGCCGCCCCCGCCGAACTCCTCAACAAATGGAAGGACGAAGAAGGTCAAATGGCTGTCTCTGACCGTCTCGTCATCGACACCGCTGAAGTCCGTAACGCGCTTGAGGAGTACGTCTACGACACGCGCTCCAAGGTTGACTCGGCCTGGAACGAATTCATTACAGAAGCCAGCAAGGCGACATTCCTCAAGGACCTCAACGCCATGGAAGACTGGCTGTACACCGAAGAGGGCGAGAGCGCCACCAAGGGCGTCTACGCTGAGAAGCTCGCTGGCCTGCAGAAGGTCGGAGACCCTGTCAAGCGCCGCTTCCTCGAGCGTGAGGAGCGCCCACGGACAGAAAAGCAATTGCGCGAGTATATCAACTCCGTGATCGTCAACACCACCGCTGGCGATGACCGGTACGCCCACATTGCCAAGGAGGACCTCGACAAGGTCGTCAAGGAGTGCCAGACAAAGCTCGCATGGCTCAACGACGTGATCGCCAAGACTAACGAGCAGCCCAAGCACCAAGATCCCGCCGTCACCATCGACCAGCTCCAGAAGGAGCGCGAGTACCTGCACCTCATTGTCAACCCCATTTTGAGCAGACCCAAGCCCGCGCCCAAGAAGGAGGAGCCTAAGGAGGAGCCCAAGAAGGAGGAGGCTACGAAGGATGAGAAGCCTGCTACGCCTAAGCCCGAGGGGGATGCCAAGGCCGACAAGGAGGCGGATGACCGTATGGATGTTGACTAGGGTAGAGTCGCTAGTCTCAAGCTATTGTTACTGCGTCGTCCTGAATGGGGTTCACCCTGTATTGACGGCGCCTTCTGTTGCTACATTACATATGTCTTCTTACTTGTGTTTGTATATCTCCTTCACCCCGTATTTAGTATCAATCTCTTTGCAAGTATTTACTCCAACTAGAATATGTCTCTTATTATTCGAATCTGCATTGCGCTGCGACGTGTCGCCACACCTGCTGTTTCCTCTTTGGTTCTTACCTGAATGGGACGAAGAGAAGTATGAGGTTGTTGGATGGTGCTGTACTTCGCTTTCAGGCGTCACATGTGCACAGGTCACTCATCCCGCGCTTCAAAGCTCCTCGCCGCGGTCACATCAAAGGAACGGCACAAATTTCGATATTTTGTTGGGAATGAAAACCTATGTACATATTGAAAGGAAGTCTCGTACTCGTACTAAAACTTCAGAGGACTGTCGGGGCTCTCCGAGAAAGGTGCGTGAAGACTCAGTCGCCGGCCGCATACCACCCGTATCCTTCGACAGTCTCATGTTTGGCGCCGACAAGGAACCAAACATAGTCCTGAAACGAAAACGCCAAAAATGATGAGATGCATCGTCCTTGCCAGAGATCAAAGACAACAAAAAGGCTTACATGACGTCCCCTCCAATAATAAACAAGATAATACGTCTCACCCGCCCCAGCCGCAGCCACCGCACCCGCCTCACCACCCCCCAAAACCGGGCCAGGCATCCCGGTTGCCAAACCCTCACCATCCAAAGGCCCCACACTCTCCGCCTGAATATTCCCACCCCCACTCTTTGGCACAATCTCATCCGGCGCACCCATTGCCTCCAACACCTTCACCGCCGGCGTTCCCTTCACACCCAAGGTCTCCGCTAGATGTTTCATCGTGACGTGTTTCCTGCCGTTAAACTTGTCGACATCAACATCGTGTTCGCCGCCGCCGAAATGGCCTTTGCGAGTGCGGAGGGATTGGTATTCTGCGGCGTAGGTTGAGATATCGGGCGTGGAGGCGTCGTTGTTGTTGGGGGTGGACATGACGGTGTGGGGGTTGGCGGGGGAGAGGGTGGATGGGAGGGCAAATGGACGCGTGAGGAGGAGGAGTGCACAGAGGAGGGTTGTGAGGAGGAGTGGGAGGAGGAGGAGGGAGCGGTGGGATCTTAGGATGGGTTTTGTGGTGATGTTTTTCTCAGACATGAGGGATGGAGTGAAGAGCTGTGGAAGGTCTTGGCGTTCACAAGGCTGTGGGCCCGGGAGAGTTCTTGACGCGTTCTCTCCAGACTTCTTTTCCCACATCAATCGCTTTGCAAAATGGTATCATCAACCAGTAAAGCTCTAAACTGCAGAAGATCATAAGATATGTATGCACAACGTATGCCAGACACAGGGTGGAAATACGGTTATACACAGAACACTCCCAGAACCAGAACCAAAACCAAACCCAAAGTCCAAAAAAGAGGGAGGGCCAGAGAGTATACGGGAGTGTAAAGGGAGGGGTTTTCGCCACGCCGTTACGCCAAAAGAAGAGAGGGTATGGATGACACGCATCGGAAGATGAAGCCACGCCAACTGATAACCCACCGGCTAAAAAAAGGAAGGAAGTTTCGCAGGTGGTATGCGAGGGATATCGAACAGTGAACTGCGAATTTGCAATGTGATGGTCCCGTGGAGAAAATGTGATTCTCCTTGTCCTTCTGCTCGCGAGGTGGGGTGATGGTGGGGTATCGGCAGGCGGGCGTCTTGAGACGCGGCGTGTGCACCGCTTGCTGAGAGTGAGCACACGCAACGCAGATGGGATGAGAGCCAACGCGACGCCATCCGGGAGGTTCACGGATCGATTGGCGAAGCAGAATGCGGCGTCCGAGGGTTTGCGTCCATGATGCGGCGTGACAGAGTTTGATGCATTCTTTGCAGGAAAAGGCATGCGGAGAACCTCTTGAATGGAGCAGCCTTTGCTGCGGGCATAAAGGTTGACTGGCCGAGGCAATGGGAGAGCAAAGCGAGAGATCTCGTACGTCGGATAGATCAGGAAAGCGAATCGTCAACTGAACTGTCAAAGCTGACCGTCAAGCTGGCCCTCTACCATCCCCCGTTCGGCTCAGCCTCAACTCCCCACACCAGCGGCCGTTCACCCTCCTCTCCCGGTCCACGCGGACTGAGTTTCTGATACAGGTCGGCAAACAGCCTCTCCATCCAGTTGTAGTCGGGTGTGTCGGTGAACTCCAATTCGCGCGCGTACTCCAGTAGCAGACCGAACGCGTCGGGGAGACCGGAGGCTAGTTCGTAGATGAGGGTTTGCTCTTTCATTGACATGGTCTTTTTCCAGCCTTCGCGAGAGCTCAGGGCTCGGAGGTTGGACCATGGCAGGCGTCTGCTCAAGCGATGAGGGCATTGATTGGGATGGGTGCCTTCAAATAATACGTGTTTCATCAATCTCAACGACGTACCCTTTCACTAACTCGATAAGAACATAAGCCAGCGACTCAATGTCATCCCGCCGAGTATGTTCCTTGCCGCGATGCACATTCAATGAGGCGTATCGCGCGGTTCCTGTCTTTGACCTTTTCAAGTCTATCTTCTTGCCAGGGATGTGCTGACCGGAGTCGTTGATGTACCAGGCGGCAAGCCCGAAATCAATCATATAGATCGTTGGTGATCGGGTAATGTCTTCCCCTGCACGACCAACACAGAATTGTCCCGATTTCTGGTTCGCGGTCAGCGATTAGGAGAAGAGAACACGTCATACAAGGCTTCGGGTAAACAACTCACCACATCACGAAAGACAATCCCACGCTCATGCAGTACCCTCAATCTTTGCAGAGTTTGAAGCGCGCAATATGCCACCGTTCTCAGAGGAAGCCGTCCACCAGGTGATGCCGCTTGAAGAGCCGCCAAACTTGGACCGAGGTGCTCCATCACGATGACATGGTACTGTCCCTCCGTTCCTCCATAGATGACCCTCGGGAATCCTACGACGTCCAACAGCTCCTGATACATCGTATCTTTCGGAAATGAGCGCGTACAGTCAGATTCCCGTCTGAGAACCGAAAACGACGGAAATACAGGAGAGATACTCACATTCGTGTTGTAGTTGAGGCACATGGGCTGAGGATGATTCTCGCTTGATAGCGACCTTCTCATGCGTTTGCACATCCTCTCCGGCAAAGACCTCTCCAAAACTCCCCGATCCGATTTTTTCCTGCCAAACAGTGTGTGAGATGATGACATGCATGAGTGAAATACGATGCTTTCCCGCGCGCTGATAGGCTCGCTAGCTCTCTCTGTGCTCAAGCACTCTCACGCCCTCGGTGCGGGCATCGCTACCACTAGCCATCGTCAAGCTTCTTCCTCGGTAGCTTGTATTTCTTGCGCCTACGGCGCAAAAGGCGGCCGTCACTCGCATACTAGGCTTCCACCTCGCCTAGTCCCATTGAAATACTTACATAGACGTCCCACCTCTCGGCAATCCGGACCATTTCTTCGTGTGTAGTTTTTATGGGGGTGGAACCTTGTAGGCCACAAGCGTGCGTTTCGAATTGCGGTGCGGCCACCGAAGGAAAGAGCGCGACGGCGCTTATAACGACTTGGAAAAGGTCAACGTTTGCCGTCTCCTAACACCTCTTGCGATGAAGGGGTTGCGAAAGGGCAGGCTAAGAGTTGCCGACAGCTGGGCGGGGTTACTGGGGGATGACCTCAAGTCACTGAGTTTCCGTTATGGGAAAAAAGTGGGGGGAGCTGCACTCAGAGCTGCACTTGACGCCGTCTGAACGCGTTCGCCTCGCCTCTCCGGAAATAGCGTCACTTCGGGAAAGTGCGTGGCGTCGACCTTTCCCTGCGAACAGAAACTCGAACGCAATCGCACTGCCCCCTAACTTGAAGTTGAAGTGAGGTTGAAGGAGTTTGCCGACAATGAGTGTCACATTCAAGTTCAGGGTTAATCGGAAGCTTGTGGTAGACTTGAAGACCAGCAAAGATCGGGACGCATCAAGAGAATCAGACTTCTGGACAGCCCCCCCTTTGCTTGCAAGGCCTTCTGATTCTCTTGATGTCCCCTAGCGATTCGCATTCGATGTGATCCTTAATCTCCATTGGGTTCAGTCGGCTTCCCAGTTAACGCTTGTGTGTACACAATTTCGGTGATTTCTGTGTGTGGGGCAGGTGGAACAATAATGAAAATAAAAAGATATGCCAGCCACGTGACTGATTCGTCTGTCCAACTTCTTCCGCTTCCAAGCCAGCACTCCAATCGTGTGCGTTCAACATCAGCTGGCGGCATCGCAGGAATACCAGGGCCTCGTCCGTCACTGTTGCCTCTGATATCTTTGAGAGTGAGCTGACTGGCGGTATACTTTGATCCCTTGTTCACGAGTGGAGTCCTTACAGCGGCCGCCTTTTGTTGCAAGTCAACCACAGCTTCCCGCTAGCGCCCGACGACGACGGCGCGCATCTATCAAATATTCTGTGAATACAGTACAGCGAGAGCTTTCCACACACATCCCGATCTTCTAGGAATCTCAAATAGGAACAGAATGCCGGCCATAAACCCTCTCTTCAACCGATCGGTCTTTTCCGCGGCGACTCGCGCCGCTATTGGCCCTATGAAGCCGAATGCGCGGTCTCTCACAGTACCTGCCGTTAGCGCTCTGACAAAGGTCAACCCCTCTTTCGGTCGTGAGCAGCGGTCGCTAGGGCCTGTGAACTCGCCTGTCAGTCAGGCCACCAGAGGAGGTGCGTCAGTGGAGATTGAGGAATTGCAGTGGGAAAGCGCGGAAGAGGGACGGAAGATTTATAGTTTGTTTTGCCTACTGCAGCTAAGACGACGACTAAGCAGAACATCATGCACCCTGAGACGTACGCTGTCACGTCGCGGTGGTTCGTGCCGCCAAAAACCCGTCAACTTGCACAGGCTGTCGGTATGTTTACAGTTTCTGGAGAGGAATACGCACAAATAAGGGAGTGGGGGGGGGGGGGGGGGGAGCAGTCAGGAAGGTAGACGCTAATGGATCATACATTGCTCGTTACAGAGATTCCATATTACGAGGGCGAGGATGTGAGCTTGGACACCTTCACAATCAACTTTGGACCCCAGCACCCTGCCGCCCACGGAGTGTTGCGTCTGATTCTTGAGCTGAAGGGAGAGATAATTGTTCGCGCCGACCCGCACATTGGATTGCTGCATCGTGGAACAGAGAAGCTCATTGAGTACAAAACGTACCTGCAATCTTTGCCGTACTTTGACCGTCTTGACTATGGTTGGTAGCTGTTGCTCTTCTAGTCGCAGGGAGTTCATGCAACTTACCATAGATGATGCCGATAGTGTCTATGATGACGAACGAACAGGCCTACTCTCTTGCCGTTGAAAAGCTCCTCAACATCGAAATCCCCGCTCGCGCCAAATACATCCGCACCCTCTTTGCCGAAATCACCCGTATTCTCAACCACATCATGGCTCTGACCACGCACGCCCTCGATGTCGGTGCTCTGACCCCCTTCTTGTGGATGTTCGAGGAGCGTGAGAAGCTCATGGAGTTCTACGAGCGTGTGTCCGGAGCCCGTATGCACGCCGCCTACGTCCGGCCAGGCGGTGTCGCCCTCGACATGCCTATTGGACTGATGGACGATATCCACAAATGGGCTGTGCAGTTCAACGCCCGTGTAGATGAGCTGGAGGAGGCGCTCTCTATCAACCGTGTATGGAAGGGGCGTTTGATCGATATCGGCAAAGTCACCGCCGAGCAGGCCATCGAATATTCCTTCTCCGGAGTCATGTTGCGCGGATCCGGCATCGCGTGGGACCTGCGTAAAGAGCAGCCATACGACGCCTACGCCGACATGGAGTTTGACATTCCAATTGGAACCAATGGCGATTGCTACGACCGGTTCTTGTGCCGTGTTGAAGAGATGCGTCAAAGTTTGCGGATCATTTCGCAATGTCTGGAGAAAATGCCCCCGGGACCCGTCAAGGTGGAGGATAACAAAATCGCGCCTCCATCTCGTGCGACGATGAAGGAGAGTATGGAGGCGTTGATTCACCACTTCAAGCTGTACTCGGAGGGTTACTCTGTGCCGGCTGGAGAGACCTACACGGTCGTTGAAGCGCCAAAAGGTAGGCATAAGTTTTCCTCGATTTATAGGGAGTAGCTGAGACACTAAACTCGTTCGTCGAATATAGGTGAATTCGGAGTGTACCTGGTCTCAGACGGGTCAAGTCGACCATACAGGTGCCACATCCGTGCACCTGGATTCCCACATTTGGCTGGTGTCGATTTCATCGGCAAGGGTCACTTCCTGGCTGATGCTGTCACGATCATTGGAACTCTGGATGTTGTGTTCGGTAAGTCTCATATAGTCCTTTGGTTGAGACGGGAATGACGCGAACAGATATTAAATCCTCCTTCTCCATTCAGGTGAAATCGATCGTTAAGTGATAGCATCGCAGCAAACCCAAATCAGATACCAGACATTCCTTCATTGATATCAAAAATGCACTCCAGCATAGGCTGCTACGGTCTATTTGCTACAGTGTCATTTCACTTCGTGTTACAAATTTTGTTTATTTTCCCTCGTTTTTTTTTTTCCAAAATTGCCAAAATTGCCAAGTTCATTCGAGTACTTGGTGAACCGGCGTGACTCAAATGATAGTAAGGGATGCGTCAGGAAGGGAAGGAAATTAAAGCTAATATGTTACAGTAGAATGGGACCGAGATGGGTATTCCGGGGTGTAGTGGTGGGGGGAGATACGGAAATGCCCTCACTACGGCCCTGCCTGGTCCGTAGGTCCATTATCCGGGCCCAACGTGCTTTCCCCAGACTGGTGCACCACAGCCCACGCGTTCCACTTTTTGAGCATCTCCATCCACGAATCCGAGTAGGCCCAGATCCCCCACTTGACCCACGTCTTCTTTAACCGTTCCAAATTGCAAGCGCACGGGCCATACACGCCCTCCCGTTCCCTCACAGCGGGGCAATGGACGCGGTCGCCATGCCGATACCCGATATCCTCGAAATAATGCAGCTCGTCTGGCTTCAACAGCACCCCAGCGGCGACGGAATGCACGGGCGCGTCGCCCCACCGCTCGTAGTAGAAGTTACCCGTCGCGTCGAGGTAATTGAACAGCTTAGTGTACTCATCCGATCTGAACCAGTCCAGCGACGCGATTTCAAAGTTTGACCAGAAATGCAGGCCGTTGTAATCGTCGGCTGTCATATCCCACATCAGGGAGAGCGTGTCGGGTATCGAGGTGATGTTTTGGTCGGCCATGTAGGCTTTGACCGTTTTGCCGAGGGATGGGACGGTAGCCATGAACTCGGGCGCGACGATGTTGAAGCCATATTTCTTGTTGGTTTTTTGCATGTAGAGGAGGGGGTCGTAGGAGAGTGGGCAGTAATAGTCCACGTCTGGCTCAACCTAGTAGGGTTCGCAAGAATAGATTGATAAGAATGCGTCAAGAGCCGGCACGCTCATGAGGGATCATGCCAAATCTGCATACCCTCCAGTAGTACTTGAAATCCTTCAACAGCTCATGCTTAAAGAAAAACCCGCTCTGGTAACGGCACATATGGTGATAACTGTCCATGTCCGCATACGGCACGCCGTTTTTCGCGTCCAGCGCCATATGAGCGCGAGCTCGTTTCTCATTGACGCTCGTGGGCCATGACCAATGTTCTTTCTCAATCAGCCCAAAACGAAGGTAGCGATCGTCCGATTCCGAGATGTTTTCACCTCGGACGGCCGAGAGAAATGCGGCCACTTTCCGTTTGAAACTGGGATCCCACTTTTTGTCGTTCAGGAAAACGTACGGGTATCTGTACCTATATGTGATTGATAGAGGGTCTTTGGTCAGGAGCTTGAAACTGTACGGTCGTCAACAAGTATATGCCGCTATATCACTTACTTGGCATTGAAAACCGGCTCGAACGTCCTCAGCGTATGTATCACGTCGTCTAGCTCCTTATTCCTCGACAATATGACGATAGCAGCGCTGGCGCGCTCTCCGCCCACCTCGTTGTAATAGCCCAACTCCCGGGCGAAGCTCGGTAACGGACTGCTGAGCATGTGGTATTGCCGTACAAGCGCCTTATGGTTCCACACCGCCGATACCATCAGTGTAATAGCGAGCAGCATCCATATTACTTGTTCTGATATACAATTTGACAGTTGCTGCACGTTAATACCCCACACCGAAACTCCGACTCCGACCTCCGACGAAGCTGCATTCCTTACTTCTTCGCGTGTTGGGCGCCAAGCGCCCCACTGGCGGAGTGCTCGCCCACATTGAAGGAGGCTTGCGGTTTTCTTTTTCCCAGCAGACCTTTTCGATACACGATGTTGTCGTGTGCCTGGAATGATTGGGAACGTTGCCCGTGAACCACAGCATGGGCAATGGACGGCTGAGAGTTCCGCTGACTTTTATACAGTTGGTTTCGAGAGGGTTGGGGGCCGAACAACGAGTTTACGCCAAGAGGATCAAAGTGGCCGTAGGTTTGGCACAGTATATAGACGGTCATCAAACGCCAGGAATCAGGACCATCCATCCCAACTTCCCAAGCGTGAACCAAAGACAAAAACGCGTTTCGCCGCAAATTGCGCGTCCTGTTTGAAACACTTGCCAACTTGGGCCGACAATTTACTTACTACTGTTACATACAGTTATTTTACCGATATGATGGCAGCGTTCCCCTCGTTCCCCTCGTTCCAACCCTGCTTTCAACCCACCTCCCTGGTAAACCTAAGCGAATACGGAATAAGCTTCGAGATGCCTGTGGCCCCTCGCCGATTCTCCCGGACTGGAGTAAACCGTTCCGTCTACTCCGGCTTCGCTCTTAGTGTAGCTTCTCATTTTTCAAGACCGGCGACATGTCCCGACGACTTTCAGCGAGGTCAGAAGTCGACACCCTCCAGAAAGCCATAAGTCCCGCTCTATACGTTGCGGTAAGCGAGTTCGGCCGCCTAAAGGACAAAACAGAGCTAGGCTTGACTTTTTTTCTTGTCACCAGTCTACCAGTTCGATAATCCTATGCACTGTCGCTCTTTCGACTGCAATTTACATCAGAAGGACGCGACCGGATCTCGCTTCTCGAGTCTCTTTCCGGCTCGCCGGGATATCACTATGGGGTTCGATTATTTACAGCGCTTCCTTGATCCTCATCCAACAAAGGCCAAGCGACCTAATATGCATGGCCGGCATGGCGCTGATGGTGGGAAGCGAACTGGCCAGCGTCTTCGCTACCTCCGTCATCGCTTTGAATCTTCTGTTCGTATTCGCTTTTCACCTTTCGCGATGTGCGGATATCTTGAATAAGTGTCACACCGTCCTGGTGTTTTTCGCATCCGTTGCCATCCCAATGGTGAGCTGTTCGAATACGATCCTACTTGCTCTGATGCATGATTTACCTCTTTTCCACTCGGGGTTTCTAGATCGCCTTGGGGCTCGGAAGCTTCAATAAGGGCATTGGGGAGTGCTGGTTTAACGGAGAGTCCCCTCAGCAACTGTTCGCTAACGAATGGTATGACGTGTGTGAAGCCCAAATCAGTATAGATTGGCGGTCATATCTCTCAACATCCATTCCAGGGCGTTTCTTTATACGTGGGTCACAGTGTCGTCAATATTGTCAGCATCCTCAGCTTTCGTCGTATGGTACCTCTTGACGAGTAGCAGCAGGAAGAGGAGCACGCTAGCGGAGGATCGGTCGAAGCTCGACGGAACATCAACAAACACCCGTCTAACCATGAGCAACGATCGACATGTTAGACAAGGAATTGCGCGGATTGCCATATATTGTCTCGTACCGCTCTGCAGCCAGGCGTGGAACCTGATCTATGACGTTTTCGTGTACTTATATACCGCCGAGGGCGTGGAACCCACGCCGCAATTCAAGCGCGCCGCTTACTGGGCTGTATTCCTCGCGAACTTGACATCTGGATTACAAGTGAGTTTACCAAATGCCGGTGATATCAAGTGAAAGTGGCCACTGCTAATGTTAAACTGAGCAGGGAGCTCTGTTCTCCGCAGTCTTTCTATTGCTCGACCCCGCAGTCCGAGAAACCCGCGCGTACAAGCAGCGGGGCCTCATCAGAAAGCATTGCCTGCCTTACATCAACCTGGCCGAGTACGTGAACCCCGAGCCGGGCTCCGGAAAATTGGACGAAGAAGGGCAAACGGAAGCGGAGAACCCGAGAAACGAACCGGTGAAACGCTCGTGCCTCTGGTGGAGATATTACGAACCGAAGTTTACGAAAGCACCAGGAACGAGGCGGGAGAGAATAGCCTTCTGGACGGTGTGGGTGATGTACGGGAGCGAGAGCGCGCTGCTTGAATTGGATTTCCGGATGAAGACGAACGCAGAAGGGGAAACCATCAAGCTATCGGCGAAGAGGCAGGGTTACATGGCAAGGCTGTGAGGACGTTCGGGATGCACCATACCTGTTTATATTCAACTTTCCTAAAGTTTTGGATAATTTTGCTGAATATACTCCTTCCTTCTGCGTCTTTGTACTAGCGGGCAACTTTGCGCTCGCCTCTTCCTCAATACTGTTCCTGGTCTGCCTGTCGCCACACATTGCGACTTGCTTTGAGTAGATCGCGAGGTGATGGAGAACGCGTCTTCCGAGTTGGGGGTTTTGGGAGCAGTTTTGGGAGGCGACGCTGTGGGAACTTTTGGAAACCCTCGTCCAAAAAGTCACTTTACGATCTACACAATAGCAGTATAGCCAGTCATTCTGGGTGATCTCTCACAAACTAGTGTACACACGGCACAGTCGCTTTCCTGGGTTGCAAGCAGTATAGCAGGCCAAGTCCAAGGTCAAGGAAATCACGGAACCCGCACCACATGAACAATAAATCTGTAAGTGCCTCGCCATCCTAGTTACTATACACATCGTCTCTGACAGTTTCCCGTATCCAGTTCGAACGACTGCTTGCTGAGGCACAACAAAATACCGCGGAGTTGGAACGCAAGAAGGCGGATCTAGAGCGAAAGAAGGCAGAGGATGCTCACCGGGAGCGACGAAAGAAGCAAGAAGAATATCAAAGAGAACAAGAGCTGAAGAATGCTCTGGCGGCGGCGGCGGCGAAGCCCCAAGTGAAGGGTCCGGCCCGTGTTAGTACCGCTACGCAAGGAGGGAAGCATGCTGCATCTACGGAACGGGAGCGTGATGCTGACTTGAGGCGTCCTTCTTCGTCGTCAGCCAGACCTCGGCCGGCCGCAACAAGTTCACGACCTCGATCGCTTACGCGAAACGGCTCCTCGGGGCAGGCAGCCGTCAAGAAAGCGCCGGAAGGAAAGAAAACTGGTGGATTCAGGAATGATTTTCTCAGTCTCATGAAAGAGGCTGAGAAGATTTCCAAGCAAACATCAAACCAGAATGTGATGGCAGAATCAGGACGCGGCGCAAAGTCGGGAGAACGGGACAGCGTTGAAGGTCGAAGTGCGAGCCCAAGGGCAGAAGCAAGGCCAGGGTCTTTCCGTCCCGAGTCCACCCGAAAGCCTGCACCTGCACTTCCATCCGCGCGAGCTGCTCAAAAACGGACAGACCCTCGAAGTGAATTCGAATCGGCACGGGCATCCAGCGCTGAGCTGAGCAGTTCCCGACCAAAAATGAACTCGACAGCGGAATCTCGACCAAGAAAAACCAGCACGGCAGACGAATCTCAACCACGAAAAACCAGCATGACAGACGAATCTCGACCACGGAAACCCAGCACGGCAGAATCAAGTACCAGCCGCCCTAAACTAGATCCGCGAAGCGAGTTTCGAGCAGCGCAGGGTGCCAGGATAGAACCAGTCTCTTCGCGCATGAAGGCGGACCTCAGGAGTGAACTCGAACCGGCTCGGAGGAAGTCGGATCCACGGACCGAGTTTGAGATGGCGCGCAAGGGCATTGCAGAGGCTAGAGTCCCGCTGCGACCGGATAAAGCACCAACGAAAGCATCACGCACAGATACTTCCAGGGTTCCCAAAACAGAGGATCGACCGTCCGTGTCCCGGACGAGCGGCCCCAGCCTCGATCCCAGGAGTGCTTTCGAACTTGCACGCAAAGGAAGCGCACCGTCCCTGACTAGTGCATCAGAAACGAAGTACAGCACGACAACCGTACGGTCTTCGAATGGCACGTCCCGACCCGGATCAACAAGTGTGGCTGCTCCGAATAAAGGACAAGCGATGGACAGGAGGGACGGCGGTAGGACTGTTAAGAGCACTGTAGCGAGGCCTCCTGTGACCTCCGTCACCTCGGTTACCTCCGTGACATCAGCTACTAGCCGACCCAGTGTGGTCCGGCGCCCAGTAGAAGATCGCGACCGGTTTGAAAGACGGGAATCTGCAGGTGATCGAGGCCCCCGTCACTTCGAGGGGCCGCCGAGAGATGCAAAGCGGCGGAGGAGTTCCGATGAAATCCGTGACGCTCCTTCTCGCAATGACCGCGAGGCCGCTCGACCTAGCAACCAGCGCCGCCGAGGATCGGACGTTACCCTTGAAGATCTGGAGGACAAAGACAAGATGGGTGATCTTATTTGGAGCATTTTGGGGCGAAATAAGAGGAAGTAAGTATGGTTCGAACGAGTGGGATTGAATGCAAACAGTCCGCGGTACTCACACTTGGGATCTGTAGGTACACGCAAATGGACGACTTTGACGACAGTGATATGGAGGCGGATATGCGTTCCATCCAGCGTGAGGAATCCCGAAGGTAGGTCACCGATGAGCTGCTGGCTTTTGGGCAGTCATTCCAAGCTAACAACCTACGTCTTTCGTAGCGCGAGAATTGCTCGCAAGGAGGATGAAGAAGAAGAGGAGCGGCTCGCGCGAGAGGCACGGAAGCGAGCCAGGGGTTGAACGTCGGGTTCATCATTGAACATATTGTTTCATCGCGAGGTGCTCCGCCGTTTCACGATAATATACCCATCCTTCACGCTCGATGGCGCGCGTGATATATACAATACTTCGTTTCGATTATGGTGATGGTCTTTCCTGGCGTTATGCCTTTCCCAACATGTCTTGGAAAGAAAGGATATTCATGCCTGCCCCTCACATCTCAGAACGGTCGCATATTGAAGGCCAACAAGTGACCCGGGGTACCTCGCATGCATCGACACCTGTTCCTCCACTCCCCTCTCACACCTTGGCAAGGCCAGGTCCAATCTCTCACTTTTCCGTGATAGGACGTACTGCTTCTATCCGCAGCAGGTTGTCCAGCGTGCTGGTCATGAGAACGCCCCCAACATCCTACCGATACGGTGCCGATGAGAGTGGCGATGAGGGGATCGACCCAAGCGGAACATCGAGCAAGGAAGCTCGTTTGCGCCACATGGCTGCAGTTGGACGCGACGGTTTCAGCTGGATTCCGTAGCCTCAAAACGGAAATCGCTCTAGTGACTCTTCCGTGAACGGTCATGTAACGTAAATCTCCATGGAACCCGTTCATTTTCATCTTTCTTGGCGAAAGTCGCTATGCCAGAATTACAGACTTGATATTGCGAGTGCGAGTCGTCATTACTGTAGTAAATATGATGCCCATGGCGTTCGTTCCATGCGGCAGTCTGCCATGCAGCATTCTGTGCGCATATGTACTGTACCAATAACGTATGGGTTTTGACAGGCGATGGAATAGGCATGGTTGACGGCCGAAGCATTCAGGGACTTGATGAAAGTTGACATAACGTAGGCGTCAAAAGTTAGTACTCCGAGTTCCCGGTCCCGCGCGCTTCCGGCGCCGGAATACACCTGAATCGCTTCTCATTGGTCAATTTTCGCAATCGCAACGCGACCAGCAGATCGGATGTCGATTGCCTGTCTGTTTCAACACTTTGCACCCGTCAAAAACGCAAAGATACAACCACGAGTTCCGCAAACAGCGAACTCAATAACGCAATCGCCGCGGCAACAACTTCCCTCAAATTTTACGCCCATTTGAACGAAAACACCGTGAAAACATGACACCCTCGTGAACGCACGCCCGATTGCAACGGCACGCTATCTGTCGATTCTGCCGAGGCTCCATGACCCAGCTGCTGTTCTGTTGGGACGACTGGGAGTTCATGATCACAGATGGTCAGGCCGTCGCGGCTGAATTGATTTTCGCCTCCCAGTTGGGGTTATCGGACGACTTACTTGTGGACCCTAATCCGCCCACAAACCGGCTGTATATGACCCCAGGCCATGGGCGGTCATGAAGAGGCTTCAACTCAGCCATGCCAATCTACGTAGTACTGTTCATTGCCGGAGTTTGCATCACATTGGACCCGATAAGACATTTTCCTCCTAAACCGCCAACCCGTGGTCAAGATGTGTAATTGCGAGCAGCGACAGTCCTGGCAGGCGTCTAAGCTCAACAAGACATGGAGTCAAAATTCTATAAAAGCCGCCCTGGCTTACATGCCCCGTCGACACATCCACCATACCCCCATAAGGTAATATAATAGTGGTAGGCAGTAGTGGGACAGTGCGCTTCAGCCGTGGGACACCGCCTCAACCCATCACTTTGATATTTGAGTATCCCACATTGCCTCCTAATCCTTGATTCCTTTCCCGCGACCACCTCTAGTACCCTACCTTTTAATCTCCGACGCCGGTTCGTCTCCTCCACTTCGCCATGTTGATCTCGACTGCCTTCTTCGCGCTGGCCGCGGCAGGCACCGCAGCGGCCCAAGCTTCTACCTACCGTTTCGCTCCCCTGAAGACCGTCCGTCCGGAAATCGAATACGCCAACTACACCCCTGAGCAGAAGACATTGGTTGCCAAGCAGGCCAGGGAAATGCTATATGTGAACTCTCACAGGCAAGCGGGGCGAAAGGCACAAAATTGAATTCATGTCGACAGATTGTTAACGACTTATCCCTTTCAACGCGTTAGGTATGTCAAAAAGGACACAGTAGGGGTGGACGTCATCGCCGGCATCAACAAAATCGTCGACGAAGCCCCGAAGTTGTCGAACAAGGCCTTCAACGAGGCTCTCAGCGGTCTTTTCCTTAGCCTGAGGGATTTCCACACGAACTATTACAATACCGGTGCGGCGTCGTGTTACACATACCTTACGCCGTTCAGCTTCCAATTCGTCGACTCCAAGGATATCGCCTTTGACCCCCGGATTGTTGTGCAGTCGTTGACTACAATTCCCGCCGTCCTGCAAGCATCCCCGGAGGCTTCCAAAGTGCAGGTCGGCGACCTCCTGACGAAGATCGACGGTCTGTCCTTCAGGGAGCACTGGGAGAAGAACAAGGCGAAGGTGGGCGGTGCTAACCGTTACGGTGGATACCGCTCTGCCCTTGGCCTGCTCTCCCAACGCGGCGGTCTCCTGTACCCCACCCCCGAGAACGACACCATCAAGTTCACATTCTCCCGAAACGGAAAGTCCTTCGATGTGACCGTTCCCTGGGTCACTGCCGCCAACAAGGCGTGCATTGCTGATGCGCCTCTCGGTGGTGGTGCCTCTAAGGCGCCCACCAACTCCCTCACATCCGAGAAGAAGTACCACGGATTGCCCGATCGCAGCCCCAAGGAGGTCCTCGCCGTCAAGATCGACCCCCGTGTCGACCCCAGCAACGGTCTCGACGCTTTCCCAACAGACATTGGTGCGATCGCCTACAAGCCTACAGAGTCCGCGATGGTTTTCTACTCTCACTACACTCACGGAGGCCGCAACCTCGGTGTGATCCGTTTGACCTCCTTCACCGATGCAGCCGACCCTACCTCCGAGATTGCCCTCGGGGAGGTTCGCCGTCTGCTTTTGGAGGACTTTGCCGAGACCGACGCCGTCCTCGTTGACCTTCGTGACAACGGTGGTGGTTCCTTAAACTACGCCGATACTCTTCCCCAGTACTTCGGGCACACCGATTACGCTCCTGGTTACGGTCGCGCGATTGTTCACCCCAACAACGCCGCCATCTTCTTGGGGTCTCCCTACGGTGGTTCCGACTGGGCCGCTGCCTACAACGCAACCAAGCCCGGTGACAAGTACACCCCAGCGATTCGCTTCAACGCCCCCGAGGTCGTCAACACTGTCGGCACCCTGTACTTGAAGCCCGTCGGTCTCCTCACTGACGCCAACTGCTACTCTGCTTGCGACACTTTCTCTGGCGCCATGAAGGACAACGGTTTCGCAACTATTTTCGGCGAAGACAAGACTACGGGCGCTGGTGGCGCGAACGTTGTTGAGCACCGATCTTTCTTCCAGGTCGCTGCTCCCCAGATTTTCAAGCCTCTTCCTTACCAGGATACCGACGCCAGCGGCGCTACCAGGAAAGGTGTTGGAAACTTCAGGACCGCTTGGAGGGCCACCATCCGCTCTGGCCTCAACAACGGCAAGCTTATCGAGGATTACGGTATCTCATCCGACGTCGTTGTTAGGCAGACCGTTGCCGACGTCATTGGTTCAAGCAACTCCAGCACCCAGTTCGACAAGATCGCTGACTACTTGAAGCAGAAGGGTGTGAAGTCCAACACCGCTAAGCTTTTCTTCCAGAGCCCGTTGGACACCACCCGTGGCTTCATCGGCCAGAAACTCGCCTTCCCTTACACATCCCAGGACATCAAGCTTCTCGTCGTCAAGGATGCCGCCGGCAAGGAAGTCGCCCGCGCCTCCCCCAGCCCTGTCCACGGCCGCACCAAGGGTGTCCTCTCCAGCAAGGGCCCTCTCACCGCCTTCGGATACACCACCTACACCATCACCGGCTACAACGCTGACGACAAGAAGGTCCTCAAGACTCACCGTACCGCTCGCGTTCAGCCCGGCCCCTCCGACTACCTGAAGGTTTCTGCCGGTCAGACCTACAAATTCGCCAACACTGCTGCCGACAAGAAGTACGCCGTCGTCTACAACCTTAACACTCCCGCTGCCAACGGTTTCCAGATCAACGGTGGCAAGCTCACCGTCGGAAACGGCAAGCAATACGTCGACAACACCAACTCCGCCTTCACTCTCTTCACCAAGCTTCCCGGTTCCGGAACCCTGTCTTTCGACGTTGACGGTGCCACCGAACAGGACTACGACTACTTGACCGTCTACGTCCGCGATTCCACCACCAATGCCGCGCCAGTTGTCATTTACAAGAAGTCTGGCCAGTTCGCTGAGTCCGTCTCCTTCGACATCAGCAACCTGAATGGCGCCTACGAGCTGACCTTCGAGTTCACCTCCGACGGCGGTGTCACCGACCGCGGTGTGACTCTCTCCAATATTGCCATCAAGGCTTAGATTAATTGCCTCATTGTATACCCGACACTCATACATGGACTAGATAGACTCCATCTGAATAGATAGACTTTTAGTACTATCAAGGTCCTTTAGGAGGACCACCTACCATAATGTAATAGATCGCATTTCGAATCGAATTTCAGTCTCCTACTGCAAATCTCAGTCTCCAGCGTTCCAAAGTGATATGCGAAATCTCCATCGCTCCACTCCACGGTAGTCGCTGTGACGACCGCTCGGCTGATATAGGAACTTGCTTCCGGACGTTGTTCCTCAGCTGCATCAATTGAGCCGGAAATCCACGCCCAGTGCTGACTCTGCTGAGACTGCCGACGACACCCAAACAGGATCCAGCGGGATCATGATCCTGTTCAAGTGGGTGGCCAAAAGGGGGGGGTAGCTGGTTATGTGGCACCATGAAAGTCACTGAGCCTCTCCCTGGCAACTTACTACAGACTACTGACACCTCTGAATGAGCTGAGGCGAGCGAAGGGACCAGGGCCGAGTCGCTGAAGGACAACGATCCTGAATTGTTCGTGGACCCCAATGTTCTGTCCCCCGGAGGTTACGATAAGATGGAGAACCCGTCTTTTTCCCCCGACTTCAAGAAGTTTGCGTTTACGATGACCAAGAATGAAACCGACTACGCCTACCTCGTCTTCCGTGATGTCAAAAGCAAAAAGCCCATTCACGAAGTGTGTCGATCGTTCCGCTCCTGAATGGCTCAACAACGGCACTGCGGTTGCCTATTACCGGCACCCGGCTCCTAAGGGCCTCACCTGGGAGGAGGCCGGCAAAAATATCGACCGGTGGCCAGATCACTACACGTTGTACTATCACAAGTTTGGCAACGCCCAGTCCCACGATGTTCCCTGCACTGTCGCACTGTGTGGTCGAGAGGATAGCGGTGAGGCTCCTGCTCCCGCGTCGCTTCTAACTGCTGGCGGTCGCTGTCAGTGATGGGAAAGGCGGCACCATTCGAGTAGTTCTGCCTCCCAAGCGCTCGCAACTATGTGGTTGTCTCCGAGTGTATGCGGATGCGCAACAGGTGGTAATGTTCATTCTCTTTTCAGAAGTCGCTGGTGCGGCATGGGACACGAGGAATGCTGCCGAAGTGGAAGAAGCTTCGATGCCGAAAGTTCCGACTGGCTCCTGTCGCCGCCCGAGAGATACTCGTGCCCATGGTCGCGCGTTGCTAGCTCCCTGGGCCGCCCGCCAAAGGCGTGCCTGACAGCTCAACGATAATTTCAGTTCAGCGATAACCCTTGTATACTGTCGCTTTTGCCCAAACCCTAAACCTAGAGAGTGCAGCCATTGTTGTGTGCAGCAGGAGTGCTGTGTGCTGCAGGAGTTTCAGGGAGTGTGGTGGTGAAGGTCGGCGCAATTGCAAATGTGATCTTGAGCCAGAGATCCCTCGACGCGTCTCTTTCGAAGGAAGGTTCGCGAGGTTCACTCACATCGCAACTTCCCACGCTATAAACATGAAAACGAATTTCGCAGCAGGCTTCGACGCCATCGGAGGGGCTACAAGCTCTCCGCAATGCTTCACACTATCATCAGTGCCGGAAAGCTTCACGTTCGACGAACGAAAGGTACTTACTCCTGGGTGAAGGTTGCGATTATGTCTCGCCGCAACAAGATCACTCACGAATTCCAGCTTAGCGCTGCCGACTCCAATGAGAAAAAGGAGGTCTTTCTCATACAAGTGCGTACTTGCTCAGTGTATTCGAAAATGTGTATTGGACTATAGCAGCTGATATGCGCCTTTGTATTCAGTGGCTTTCCTTTGTAGAAAGGGACTTGAACAAAGTGGATGCGGTGAGGTCACCAAAGAGGACAATTGGGCTCTCATTGACCCCCTCTCACGCGGCTGCTGAAATAGGCGACGGTCAAACCCGCTCAAGCAGAGCTTGAGAAGACACTCCTGAAACGTTTAACGAGCACTGCACCGAAACCAACGCGTCCCATTCGACAGTCAGTGGCAAGATGCCTTGCGCTTTTGTATGCGAAAGGGGACGGCCGAACCTTGTTCGACACGCTGGCGGCAATTCAAGCCATCGTTGCCAGCAAGAAACCCGAGGATCCCTCCTTTCGATTGTGAGTTCACCATCATCAAATGTCTCACCCGAGCCTCTTCCTTATGAGCCGTTGCAGAGCGGCTATCACATCCCTTGGGATACTGTCGGAGGCGCACGGTGGAAAGGTTGGCTGATTGAACAGTGAAATTCCGGCGAAACTAGACCGGAATTACTCACCATCGGACCCCAAATAGCTACTGTCCTTGTTTCCGGAGACGGTTTCACTACTATCCAGATGTTTGAAGAATGCAAAGGAGAGCGAGGTGGGATGACTCATGTAGGAATCTGACATTGACATGGCTAAAGGCATATCCTTCTGCAGCTCGCGCTACGATATGAATCGTATGTCGCCTTGGGGCGCTCGCTGAAGGGAGCTGGGAGAGGGGCGAATGAGCAAATGAGCAAAGACATGATCAAGATCGCAAAGACCGGAATAGCTGATAAGCTGCCGCTGATTAGAACTGCTGCCGTAGAGGTGAGGAACACTGATGCCTTCAACTACAGCTGGCTTTCATGCTCAATTTAGACCTTTTGCGGCCAGATATTTCAAGCTGTGTACGAACATACGAGTTATCCAGTGCCAACGAAATTTGATGACTACGAATATCTGATTTCCAGCGCTACGAAGGCCTTGGATGGCAGCAACTATTCCGTCCGCAGAGCTGTGTCATTGTTTGTGGCCTTGATCCTGGCTCAATCGCAACAACCGGCTCCGAAGAAAGATAAAGGCAAGAAAGCAGCCGGGACAGAAGCAGAAGCGGCGGGAACCGCGGAGAAGAATATTCTTGAGGTTGATGAAGTCTTGAACGTGCTCAGCACTTTGTACATCAAGAATACATCCCGGGAGGTGCGCATTGGCATTCTGGAGGCATATGCGACCACGCTGAGACGACTTGGTACCAAAGTTGTGGAGGACAACTACGCACAAATTGTCAAAAATGTGCTGGCTCTATGCACCAATCCGAAGTTAATCCAAACCCCAACGGAGGTCATTTTCATGCGCCAAAGTTGCGACTTCCTGCTTCGAGACACAATCGGCAAAATGCTTGGAGAGACGGCACAAATCAATGCCATCAAGGAGCTTGCCACGGGATGGTTGCGGAGATGGCCAGCAGTGTTGGGAACGGATGTGGCTCCGAGCGATTCGGCCCTCGTTTGCGTGTTGAACGAAGTCGCTGCACTTTTCATCGATTTGGGACCAGCCTTGGCGGGCGAAGAAAACATCGTCATCGAACCCCTACTCAAACTCATCGCTCATCCGTCACGATCTGTCAATCTATCTTTGGCCTGGTGCCTGCGCTGCTTGTCCGCCGCCTTACCATCGTACCTGCCCAAGCTGATAACAAAGTTGATGGCGTCTATCCAGAAAGATCTTCCAAACTTGCAGGGCGACAAACCGGAGATCTTGGCTCGGTTCCTAGGGTACGGAAACGTTCTGGCTGCTCTAATCAGTGCCGCGCCTTCTCGGACTCTTTACGTATCCTATGAAGCGATGGCACGCATATTCGGTCTTTGCGCCCAGCTCTTGCGAACGACCTCGGCCTCGAAAGATTTCCGAGCTGTCAGCGCTCTGGCGAGGGTTGCCTGGACCTTGATCGCCTCGCTGATGTGCTTGGGTGAAGATTTCGTGCGAGTGCACACCTCGCAACTCCTCCTCATATGGAAGAATGTCTTTCCGAAACCGGCACCAAAGGAGTCGGGCGTCCGAAGTGAATTGGAGTGGGAGTTTCTGCTCATGAGCAAAGAAGCGGCCTTGGCGGCTTTGCATAGCTTCATGGTTCACAATTCGAAGGAAATGCAAGCATCCGACGTGGCAAAGCGAATCACGGTGTGCCTGAACAACACATTGGCGTTCATGTCGACGTTGCCAGCGACGTATTACTCCGGACCGCCAATTCCACCGGGCGCGGTCAATCCTGATACGAAGTACTTTCAGATGGAGAATTTTCTGAAGAAACGACTCTTTCTTTGTTTCAAAGTCCTTTCGCCGCCATCGACATTCGAGCTCAGCTTCTCTGTGTTGCTTCGTGCGTCATTGGATGTCTTTGCGCCGGATCCCGAGAAAAATCAGGATCGCCTGCTGACTGCTATGGGCTATGCACCGGAGAAGCCAGGAGCTGTTCTACAGCCCGGATCTCAGCCGTCGTTTACAACTTCGTTGGTGCAAGGATCCGTGGTCCGTATTGCGCACGAGGCTGGAGCGGAGGATCGTGGGATCGCTGCGGTACTGAACAATGACACTGACATGCAGCTACTTGAAGATCTGGTAAGAGACTAGCTGATGGACACGTCCTTGAAGATCTACAGCTTTTAACCGTTGATCACTCCTTAGCTGGACCACGTCATCCCTGGCGCCTTGGAGAATGATCCCCATAGCTTGTATCTACAAGATGTAACGCACCTGCATTCACAAAAGTCATTATCCTCCTCGACAGCATCAAATACTTCTTCTGAGCTTGCGTACAAGCGCCCCTCTCCCGCGCCTGTCGGCACTGCTACCATTGATTCGGCGGTGGAGCTCTTTGCTTTGCTGCTTCCGCTTCAGAACGCTGCGGTTCAGGAATCCCTGATGGAACAACTCATCATCTTGGCGAAGTCGCAGGGGACCAAAGTACCGCCTCTTCGGAAGCGGAGCGTTCAATTAAATATCCTGGTTGCTATCCTCGGGTCTTTGAGGTATGTGATGGGCAAAAAAGGCAGTCTCGCCAGCGGGAAAGTTGGCGTCCAGATTAGGGACCTCGTTGAGGTAAGTCTGTCGGGACTCGGCAATGGATGAACCTATCGCATTTTGTCTGACCACGGTGGGGCTTCTATTGGACATATTAGGACTTCCTGGTCTCCCCCGATGTCCTGTTCCGCACGCTCGCCAGCGAAGCTTTGGGACGCCTGTCGCGCGTTGTGGGATCATCAGTCTTTGTCAATCCGCTGGTACAGAACTTGGTCGATCAAATTGTCAAGAACCGCGAGCCGGATGTCCGAGCCGGTTCGGCATTGGCTCTGGGGTACATTCTGAGCTATGTGGGTGGCATGGCCGCCGCCTCGCAGTTGAAAACCGCCGTCGGGATCTTACATTCTCTGGCATCCGACTCCCATCCACTGGTTCACACCTGGGCTTTGCATTCTCTATGGTTGACGATCGAGAGCGCGGGACTGATGTTCGGCCCGTACGTGAACTCCACGGTGTCGCTAACGGTGAAGCTTCTCACGTCCGAAGCGCACGAGCTAAGTGCACCCGCGGCTAACGAACAGAGTGGAAACGGGAATGCAGATGTCTACCCAGCTATCGGGCGCATACTGTATGCCCTCGTCGGAGTGATCGGGCCTGAGTTGCAGATGTCGACCAAGATCCGCGAACACTGTTTCGCACTGTATGAGCAACTGAAAGCCGAGGATGATCCGTTCGTCGTTGTGGAGGCTATTCGTTGCATTCAGCACTTCATTTTGTTTGCCCCGAAACACGTGGATATTTCCACCTTGATCCCGTTTTTGCAAACACAATTGGCTGGAGAGTCAACCACCCGGAATTATCTCATTCGAAAAGCTGCTGTCACGTGCCTGTACCAGCTCGCTCAACGAAGTCCGGATTTGGTCCTGGAAGCAGCCGGTAATAATCAGCTGGAGGAGCAGCTCTTCGCCCTCTTGGATATGGAGACCGACGGAACGGTCCGGGATGAGATTCGCGATATCCTCATGAATTTGTTGAAGCATGTCGCCTCGGAAAGGCCATCTCGGTGGCTTACTTTGTGTAAAAGCATTCTGTCGAAGACCGGAGGCTCAGTTGGTGAAGCACCTGCTGCAAAGGATATACGAGCTATGGCGAGCGTTGCCTCTCTTCATGGCGGACAAGGGGATGACGACGATGATGTATTTGCGGTCGAGCACTCTGAAGAGGATCCGCCCGCAGCAAACGAAAAGCCCAGTGCAGCTACACCGACGAACGCTTCATCTGTGCCGGCAAAGATTGTTCTGTTACTCCTCAAACCGCGATGGAGGACGCAGGTTTTCGCTTTGATGTGTCTTCGACGCCTCTTGAAGGAAGTTGCCCTGACAGGTGTCAAAGAGCACTTCGAGCTTGGGCTGGCCAGAACAGCCGCTGAAAGAGCCGGCAGAAGGCCGGACTACCTTGTCTTCAAGTTGGCAGACTTGATCCGGATGGCATTCTCGGCAGCAACCGCCAACGTGAAGGACCTGCGACTGGAGGGGTTGCGCTTGTTGCAGGATATTTTGGAAATCTTTTCCGATGCGCCGGATCCGGATTTCGATGATCATGCTTTGCTCGAGCAATACCAGGCGCAAATAGGGGCGGCCTTGACGCCGGCTTTCGGGAGCGATTCTGCTCCGGAAGTCCTAAGCCTTGCTTGCCAGGTATCCGCCGTGTATATCGGTAGCGGGATCAATCAGGAACTAGCCACAATGTCGCGGATCTTGAGATTGTTAACAGGCGTAGTGGAGCGTTATCAGGGTACGTTCTGGCAATTCGAAAGCTTTAAGTCGCTCTACTAACCTGTTTCACAGGCGGAGAGGCCGCAAGCGACGCACCTCATGCAGACCTGCTGGTTCGCATTTCCATCCTCACGTCATGGGCGAAACTGCGGATAGCAACATTCTCCCATAGATACTTGGACGAGGTGGTTGATCCAAATCTCCCTTCGCTTGCTACTCTGTGGGTCGGTGTCCTACATGATTATGCGAGAGTGAAGCTGGAGCCAGACGTCCTGTCAGCTGCAGCTGGGGACCCGAGTGCACGATCAAGCATCGATAGTTACCTGGAGGCTACTCGGAATACTGTCCTGCCCGTAAGTCATTTCACAAGTTACATCGTGCGTTTGCAGTGTGGGCTACTGAATACTCTGATTAGTTCTACCGGAAATCTTGGCTTACTATCATGGAGGCGTTGACAAGCCTCCTCGACACACACCTCGACCTATTTGTGAAGACAATGTGGGGAAGCTCGGAAGCAGTCGAACTGGCACCAAGGCTGTCGAAGACGTATTTCACTCTGCTTGGTCTATGCGTGGAAGCCCTGGCAACCACAGAAACCGCTGGAACTCTGAAATTCAGCGGCATTCCTGGCTTAACGGCGGGTGGCAATGTCGCCAGCTCCACCACGCAATCGTTAGAGGATGACGCCAATCTATCGCGCGTTTGCTTGGAAGCTCTCCAGCGATTGTTGAAGCCCGCTGCCCTTGGAAACGATAACTTGTTAGATGCGGTGAGTATCTGAACTGTGTAATGAACGACCTTGCATTCTTGACGAAGAAAGCTGACTTCTTTCGCATTTAGTCCGTATTCTTGGAGCTGATGACGCTTTTTGACAAGTTGGTTCAGACGGAAGATGTTCCCGTCCAGGCAATGGTTCTCCAGATTACGAAGCAAATCATAGTAGAACACTCAGATTATATTTCCTCCGAGGAGAGTGACCTGCGGTTGCGATTGAACTCTATGGGCGGGTACGTGCAAAGCAATTTATGCGCTTGAAATACGAAGGGGCAGCCGTATTTGACCTCCGCACGCACAGATCGCTCGACGGAGCTTCCGGTGCGATTTTGGAGCAAGATGAAAACGGCGATAAATCATCAGGCCCTTTGATGCTGAAGGTGCAAAGGGTTCTGAAGATCGCGTTTGACATATTTGTATACCATGTGCCGATCCTGGCGAACAGTCCTACGGCAGCAGGTCGGTGCATTTCTTTTTCGCATTGGTTTCTAAATTAGGTAGACTAACTGGTTTATGTGACATAGTTACGGCCAATAGAGATTCGAGCCCCGAGACCGTAGCCTTGATACTGAACGCCTTGGATACCTTGACCATCCTGGCTACCACACCACCGTTACTAGCAAGCAGCAAGCATATCCTCATTCCCTTCTCGTTCTACATATTCCAGGGTATGTTGCTTCGGAACGGAGACCGGCTTTGCAATGCTTACACCCGATAACTCAACTTCCCGTGTGCGAACAGCTCTTCTACAAACAGAAAAGTTCCAGGAGAAGGTCGCTCCTCGAGTTCTACTCTGCATCCGTGCTTGTCTTGACAAGCTCAGTGATGCAAAAGACTCGACGCTTGCTCCTGTGTTGCAAGCAACGGTGTCGTCGCTGCTGGACAGTTTCGATAGCGAGATGTGAGTTCTCTTCATGTGAAGCGGGCCATACTCGCATTATCCTTCTCCGTCTTCTGATTTCACTGATCGAATTCTAGATGGCACCTGACGACAGAGCTGACGGCCGCAGACCCAGCAGATCTCTTGATTCTGAAGAACGCTCTCATGGGCATTGTCCTGATAGTTACTGGAGCGCCCGCCTCAACTTACGACGATCATCTCCAGACCAGGTTCTTGAAGGGGCTTGGTCGCAGCTTATCGCACTCTGAGGACGAGGTTCGTAAATCCGCCAGCTTTTACTTGCGAAGACGCGGCCATTGACCTTCATTCCCAATTGTTTCATTAGATACAGAAAACTGTGCTCCAATGCATCAAGACCATCCTAGCGTCTTCAGCCTCTGCAAAGCCGGAAACTGCACCCATCTTTACCTCGTACATCAGGCTTCTGTTGCCTCAAGTGGCGGTTTGGGTACTGCAAGCAAGCGCACAACTACGGAGCTCTGAGACTCTCACGGCGAGCGTGAAGTCAATAGAGGAAGGACTGCGATTGCTGCTTGTGATATACGGTGTTGTATCAGACACAAAGAGTAAGTATGCTCTGTTTTGTTCATCAGTATTCGACTTCTGACACGCTTTTGTTGCAGAATCTGATGCATTGGCAGTCGTTGTGCATATATACATTTCCTTCCTCTCCAGTACCGAGGAGAATGGCATCCCAAGCTTTACGTCTTCGGCTCAACGAGAGCTGCATATCGCGTCGGCGCAAATGCTCTTTCAGCTAGCCTCAACGCAGCCGCAACATTTCAAAGCGGCCATCTCTGGCCTTCCTGAGAACGATACGATGGCGCTGCAAATGGGGCTTAAGACGCTGGCGGAAGTTCAGCAAGCGGCTGCAGCGCAGACTAAGGCATCATCGACGACAAATCGGGGCTTTACTAGTTTTGCAGCTTTTTAGAGTGCATAATCGTCTTTCTTATATTTAAGAATGTGGATTATGTCTATGACGAGGGTGACAGATAAAGGATTGTTGATTATTCGGATTGTGTAGGGATTTACAGTTTTTATGCAACGTTCGCGGGACTGATGGTTCGGAATGACAGACGGGAAATGTCAAATGACTGAATAAAAAGCTAGTTGGATTGGAAGATGTTTGAGGTCCTCTGCGACTGAGGATAATGCCTGCGACCTCTGTAGACGTAGTCATCGGGACCGTCAGAAGGCTGAAGGAGGCTGTTGGACGGGTTCCTCTTCAAAGCCGACGGCAGCGACGGGTTGTATTCATTGTGTTGCAGAAAGGTTTTGGCCGGACGAGCAGGCTCCTGTCTCGCATCGGCATAATCATCTTCGAGAGTCTGACGAGGCGACGGAGGTTCCTGGGGGTAGTGCGACTGCTGCTGGTGCGACTGCTGCTGGGGCGCGTTTTGCAAATGAAAGATGTCGCTTGCGGATTTTTGCTCACGCACGGGAGTGCCATAAGATTGTGAACCGTACGCATCACTTTGCGGTTGGAACAGAGTCGATTGGTTCCTATCGGTGCGAAATCTGAGGGACCCACCGCTGTTTCCAGCCCTAGGTTCGGCGGAGGCTCTATGGCCAGCGCTGTCATCTCCACTCAACGGCTTCAGATTGAACACATCGGTGGAGTTTTCCCTGAATGATTGCTGTCTCGCCACCGCATTGCGCGTGAGATAGTCATCGGCGGTATTGTTATTGTGCTGCTGTCGCGACACGCCACGAGGCGTGTGGGTCATGGAGTGATAAGACGAGGAGCTCGGTTCGTGGTAGGTTCCAAAAACGATTTGAGAACGACCGCCAGGAGAAGCGCCCACTGAGGCTTTGCGGCTGAAGGTGGGTACAGTCTGTGCTGCACCGGAATCTCCCTCATCTTGGCCCCATGGCTGTAAAGAAAGGGAAACGGTGAGTCCTATGTGACGCGCGACGCGAACCAATCGTGGGAGCATCTTGAGGGCCATACCGTTCTGAGCATCTTTGCGAGAGTACGGGTTCCAAGTTCAGCAACCTTCAGGAGGGTCCTTTGGCTCTTGAGGATATTGCGAGCGGTCGAGTGTTCGATTGCGGTTTGCAGAAAAAAGCAAGCTCCCAGGGAATCAGCGGGAGTCGAAGTGCGGAGGGCAAGTGTGTCAGCGGCCCGTGACGTGTGGATCTCGCGCGACACAACAGACTCTCCCGCCGGGATCAGACTCGACATCCCGAGGGAAAGGCTCCATTAGAACTGCAACTCCATGGAGGTGGAAGTGAAACTGAGGCTGTCGACCCAGGCCGCGTTCGACAGGGTCCTCGACGCTCTGAAGACCTCAGAGGAGTGTCCAGGAGTCCTTCGCGTCGACGTTCAAGAGAACTGGTACTTCGACACACCGACTGCAGACCTGTGCGTATGTGGTATTATCGACTTGCAAGATGGCACAGCGAGACATTGATTGAGGTGCCGCTCTGGCTCTGGCCCCTTTTTTGTCTTCCGCGGATTGGGGACAATAGAGAACGATCACGGTCCGTCTTGCGCGTTCGTCGGAGCATAAGCAGGGATACTGGGGATAGCCACGCGAAATGCACCGCTACGAGTAAAGGTGAAGCCACGCTGGTCGATGGCATCTCACGAGTGGAAGAGGTATTTGCCCGCCGCTTCTTGTGTGAACGCTTTCGCTGCCTGTCCTTTTTTCGTGCGAGCCAATCGCAAATGATATCTCCCAGTTCGAAATCCCGATTGAGTGTGATGCACTTCAGCGCATCGTCAATAATCCATCCAGCTTTTGTACCAACATCCACACGTTTGTGATCCATTAGTGCAGGTTTTGAAGGAGACGTGCGGTTCTCATCTCATCAGATTGTTCATGACTCGATGGGCGTTTCCAGCAAGGAATTCTGGAAGAAGTTGATGCCCCTATGGAACGACGCCTCTCAACTGCACGTCATTGGAAAATACTTCACTGAGAGGCATAAGATCAAATGGCGGAGCTGGAACCTCGAAATCGATTCGACCACGTACGATTTCGGGAAGGCGTTCGAGATTGAGATCGAAACGGAGCGTCCGCACGAAGCTAAGCGGGAAATGTACGTTTCTAGTATTCAAGCGTTCGGAAACGCGATTGTCTCATCTACGCTTCATTTAAGGGAAGCATTTCTCAAGGCCAACGACATCGCATACACCACAAGTAAACGCAACAAGGTGCATAATATGCGAATGGGATCCATAGAATAGCGGGCCATAGAGTAGCGGACTCGGAGGGCACGCTATAGGACCTTAAGAAGTCTTCTTCAAAATTTAAGGATAACAAACGATGTATCACCAGAACACTGACACCGACGGACTAGGACAAAAATCTTCTGATAAACGCTTCAACGCTAGTCTATGGCATGACACCTAAGGACACCTCTCACTGCTGCTGTTGTTGGGGGCCTGGTGCCTGCCTCTGACCCCCGGGCTGCTGGCCACCCTGTTGGCCGCCGCCGCGTCCTCGACCACGGTAGTTGCTGTTGCGTTGATAACCGTTCTGATAGCCGTTGTTGTTATTGCCGTTGCCGTGGTACTGGCCTTGACCTTGCTGGGCGTTGTTATTGTTATAAGCGCCTCCCCGACCTCGGTTCCCGCGATAGCCTCCACGGCCACGACCTCTATGAGGACGCTGTTGGCCGGGATGGGCATCGACCTGCTGCTGAGGCTGTGGCTCGGGTGCCGTTACTTGGGTGGAGGCCTCTTCGACCGGTGCGGGAGCAGCCGGCTGGGCGGATGTATCGATCAGAGGCTGTTCTTCATGCTGATCGTGGTGGATGGGAATTTTCACTAGGGCCGGGGCAACGACAGCGTGTTCCTCTTCGGAATGCTCGCTTTCGACCGGTGCGTGGGTTTCCTGTTCCACGGGATGGGCTGGTTCCTCGACGGGAGCTTCAGCAGGGGTGCTGTCTTGTAAATCTGTGCGGAACGATTGAAGCGAAACGAGGGTTTGAGTATGATGTTCCAGTCAAAGGAAAGTGGTCTCAACAGTGACGGTTCTACATCATCGTTCAGGCACAGGCATGTTATAACCATTTAAAGTGTCTTCAAGACTAATCGGTTGTGAAGCATCATAACGACTGGAGAGGGACTTGGGATAACAGCGAATCAATACACTTACCGAGCACTTCACTTGGCGTAAAGAAGCTGATGGTCCCGAATGAAGGCGCGGCCTGTGGGGCTTGCGCATCTTCGTGCGGGTGGGCTGATTCCTCATTGATCTCGGAGGGAGAGAAAAAGGATGGAGCATGTTGGATTTCAGCCGGGGTCTCATCGCTCTCAAAACCAAATTTGGGCTGTGGGCGTGGGTTCAGGATTATCTCGACAGCTTCGGCAAGACCACGGAAGGTAACGTCTTGGAAGAAAGTGATGCTTGAACGCTCCTTGTAGTTCTTCAAGTATTCTTCAGCCTGTTCGACTGAGAAACCTGGTGCACTTGATGATGTGTGACCAGGGTATCAGTCAACAACAGGCAGCAATAGTCAGTGTGCACGGTCCTCCAAGACAATGCTTACGTTTCAATGTGCTCGATACCTACTCCGGTGACGAATGCACGGAAGTAAAACAGAGCATTGTACTGATTCTCCGATAGGGCGACGTTCGTGTTGGCCAGGTTAGACAGAAGTACGTTGAGCACGTAAAACAATTGCAGAATTTCCTTCTGCGATGCGGCGGAAGCGTTCTGAACGAGGGGATACCGAGTTCGTGAGCAAGTCATATAGAGTAGCCCTCAAATCTCAACACTGTCTCACCTTCTCCTCTTCAATCGCAAGTTCTATCTTGGACTTAACATCCTTGTCTGTGGCGATATCCTTAGCACGGATCGCCTTCGATTCTTCGGCACCTACGGCAACCAGAAGTTTGGCGGATTCCTCCAGCTCCTTGAATGCGTAAGCAATCTCCGCCTTCTTCTCCAGCGCTTGGAGCTGGTCTGCATTGAGATCGCGCTTCGCCGACTGCTCGTATTTCTCCAATTTTAGCTGAAAGTTGATGGAATTTGCAGGGTGAGATAGTCAGACAAACCGAAAACTTGGCGAGCGCAACATTACATTACTGATTGCTTACCAGCTTCTTCTTTAAATAACGAAGCTTCTTGTTGATAACCTCCACGTAGGGGTTTTTGCTGACCGGGTGTGCTCCGTCGTCGACGGGCGACGCCGAAATAGTAACCTCCGAGTCGACGACAGAGGGCCTATCGACAGGAGAATTTGCGGAGTCGCGGCGGCTAACGTCACCGGAGGCAGAGTCGCTAACGTCCCCGTTGGGGTTGGCGTTGGTATTGTGTTTGAGGGCTCTGCGAGCCTTTCGGTTTATCTTGCTCGGCGGAAGGCGGGCATGCTGCCCGGAACCAGCCGTCTCAATTGCCGCTGCAAGCATTGTACGAGAGCAATTTTATACTAGATGAAGGGTGATATCAACTAGCGTTTACCGTGCTTTTTTTTTGTGGGAAAACGGAGGTGAGATTCAAACGATGGAAGTCGACGATGGCACGGGTTTTGACGAACCTCGGGAGTCGGGACGCCTCTTTAATCTTGCAAAACTGTCAATGTTCAGGCACGTGACTCCAAATTGCGAGTTGTATTTAATGAAATAATTCTTTTCTTCGGTCTATCAAATCGACTACAATGCGCTATATACCCATGGCGTTGCGATGCATCTCAGGTCTGTATGGGACGCCTACAAAACGTCGGTTCAAACCTCCGTCCCTCCTCCCTCTCGGCTCCTGCCCTCAGACGTAATACATCGCCCACTTGGCACGATCAGCCTCGCTGTCAAATTCGGGTACGAACTCGACCCTTTTGATCTCGTCGAAGCCTTCCGTCTCGCTAGGAGGTTGATAGCGTGCCCAGAAGGAATTGAAAGCGATGCCCGGTAACTTGTGCACCTGCGGCTGACCAGAGGTATCTTTCGACGAGGATTTGTCGTTCTTGCGACTTGCCGCCGAGAACGGCTTGGGGATACCTCGTGGGTCAATCCAGTTCCCGTCCCGGTCACGGTTGCCCATATACGTTCGGAACTCATTGTTGTGTGCACAGACTTGGGCGTCAGCTAGGAAGTGGAAACATCGGAGGGGTATCTTGTCCTTGCCAAGCCTGCGCGCACATTTGTCCGCCAATTGGAAGTATAACTTGCGCGTGGCAGGGTCCGGGTTGGTGTTGTCCACGATGACGGATTTCCCCGCGAGCAGAGACTCTTCGGCGACTTTAATGCACTTATCGCGCGTCTTGAGTGTGTCTTGGTTGACCTGCACGTATCCGTGCGGAACGAGGTGACGCTTCGCGAAGGTGGACTTGCCCGATGCGGGGCAACCGACAAAGACGATAATCTCGGGTTGCGATTCAGGAGGGGCCACTAATGGGGTATCTGTTGGGGTATACAGCGGTTTGCCGGCCTGGTTCTCGAGAAACACTTTCGGATCAAACGGTGGAATGGGCGCATGGTGAGAATGGTGTTTGGTAGGTAAATTGGCGGCTTCCAGCGCGGCCAAGGTGGTGAAGTGGAAAAAGGCATCCGGGGTATAGAACTTGCATCCCACGTTCAGCGCAAACTTGTGATCTGTATCGGCGAAGTCCTTTTTCACTCCTGGTTTGTGTCCGGCAAAGCGGCCCGCCGCGTCGCCTACGTAAAAGCTGGCATTTCGGTCTATGACAATGCCGCCGTTGTATTTGCTTTCAAAAACGTCCCACATTCCCGGCCGAGGCTTTCTGTTCCAGTCATCACCCGTCGCTCCAAACACGATGATAGATGGAGCCGCCACCCCAGCTCTCTCACAATGCTTTTGAGTGGCATTGATCACGTTCTCGATACGTCCCATGAAAGATGCCTTCCTCGCGTTGCTCCTTGCGTCACCACCATTGAGTCCGTTTTGATTTGAAAAGATGACCACCCGGTACCCTTGATTTTGACACATGAAAAAGCGATCGGGTATCGAAGTGGAGAAAAATTTCCAGTCGTCTGCTCCTTTGGGATGGACATGGGAACCCTTCACGTTCGATATCGTTCCGTCAAAGTCGAAGCTGGCCACGCGTTTCGAAGGAATCTGTTGCTTGTAGGTTGCGACGAGAATACTGCCTTCTTGCGACCACTTGACCGGTGCAATGGACGTGAATGGTGTACCTCCTATTGTCATGACGTCCTTTGACTTCTTCGCGAAGAAAGGATGGACTGACTTTGACTGTGCAGATGGAGGCGAGTTGGACTCGATTACCGACACAGAGGTTTCCAGAGTGACGGTCGTCGTGGTTGAGATAGTGGTAGACGAGCCGTCGACCTTGCTGTTGACACTTTGGTCTTCGTGGTCGATCTTCCTCTTCTTCGTTGGGGACGAGGGCCCTTGGGGCTGAGAGTATACCGTCGTGACAGAAACTTGACTGGAATGGCCGTCCTCCACGTGAACAATATCCGTCTCTTGAGAGTCGGCAGCAGCCAGGGCCTTCGCTCTGCGCTTCGTCATTGTATGAAGGCGACTGCAGATCTATACTGTACTTAGTTGCGCAAGCCTTTCTGATCACGCGGGCCATTTGCGGCCAAGAACACATTCCAAGTCTTCGAAGTTGATTCCAAGTGAACGCGTCGAGAAAAGGCGAACCCGATTTTCCCACGACTTCCCTTTCCATTCAAAGTGTTCCCATCGTCGATCCAAAGAACGATGAACTGGACAACAGGCTCTCGAAGCACAGTGAAGAAGAACCTTCAAAGACAAAAGGTAAGCTTGCGAACTCTCTCCTTGGCCGCGTCACGTATCGCCATCTTACTGTCTCTGTGACCCAACAGCAACAGCAGTTCTTTCAAAAGCAACGACAACAAACGACGATCACGGGCGTGGACTTTGCGGCGCCCGGGAGAGCCTGGGCGATAGTTGCAGGGAAGGAAAGAAAGGATTCGAAATGTGCACATGGATCGAATCCTACGTCGAAGAGCAATGCGGACCCGCAGGTTTCGTTGGACCTCATAAACCTTCTCGGATTATCCCCAAGTAAAGTCGATGGAAGCGGCTGAAGAACTGGTGTGAAAACAGAAGATCTTACACGTCCTTCTTGCAGAGGCGGCGGGCACAGGTGGCAAGAACCATTCGCGTCGAGCCGCTGTGACCACGCCATCCCGTGCCTCGACACCGCTCACGTTCCACACGCCGACGGAACGATCGATGGAAAGAGCAGATTCGTCGAGGGGAAACCAAAATCCTACAAGCATGGGAGCTGGAAGCAATGCGGACCTGTCACCTCGAAGCCTACCAGAATCAACGTCTTCCAAAGGCCGAACGGCGGATTGGGACGCGTTTCTCACTTCTGAGCACAGGCTCAAGGGGTCGGAGGAAGTTGTGCAGAAAGAGGCAAGCTCTGAAACGCCGGGACAGATCGAAGATGAAGAATCAGAGGAGTTGTCCATGTCATCCTCTCCGAAGGACGTTCAGAAAACGTTAACCCCTCACACCGCTATGGAACATGTCGAATTTACAAACTTCTTGAAAGAACCATCCATCAATTGGCAGCAATGTTCCTCTCCGGACACCTTGTCGTCCATTGCATCATTCACTGGGATTTCGAAACATGCGTCTCAGAATTGGAACGACTTCCTCGCTTCTCCTCTCGGGATAATAATGAAACGCAAAGGCTTTGGTTTTGATGGTAAGATGCCTCTCATTATGGTATGCGAATCAGAGATTTTTGGGAAATTACCGTCTTGACTGAATCCCAGATGAAAGCTCAAACGCTGGTAGCGACCTCAATGAGATAAGCGCCTCCAAACGCCCCGGGAAGCAATGTTGTGGACAGGACCATTTGGGAAGTAAAATTCTGGATACGCTTCAGCGTCAGGGCGAAGCGATCCAGTCGGTGGCTGCGGAGATCAACAAATTGGCGAGCACCGTGGCCCATCTGGAAGAAGTTGCTCAGGAATGGTTGGGTCGCTACGAAGCAGCCACCACCAGCAAACTTGACGTTCATAGTCTCCGCGTAGACCATGCTGAGGCCCCACAGTCACCTGTACATTCCATTACAAGTCTAGCAGGCGTACGTTCATAGAAGATAGGATCATATTTCAAAGAATATTACAATGCGTGTGAGGGCGGCAAGTACGTCCTACGTATTGAGTGTGGGCACTTCGCTCAAGAATCAATGCAGCTTTGGGGCCCCAACGGATGCAAGGCAAGACGAACGTGGGCAAGAAGCCCACCGCGAAAAAACAACACAAAAACTACAAAACACATCGCAACGTCGAAAGGAACCCCGCGGAGGATCGCTTTCCTCCTCCCATGCTCAGGCGGTTTCCCGTCCTTCATTCGGCTCGAAGCCGCTTGTGTGCACTTTCCCCAACGTCTTCATCATCCTCGTTCTGCTCGTTGGCGCCTCCCCTGCCCTCACCACCAGCGAAGATTGTGCGTACAAACTCCAAGAGAGAGCCCTCATCTTCAACTTGACCGTCTTTGTACGAAGTGGCTCTATCATCGTCCGCATCGCCACGAGGTTCATTCTTGATGGAGATATGCGATTTCCTGTCGTGTTCATTTTGGCGGTATCCGTCAGCGGCCCTGCCGAACGAAACCTCATTGTTGGTTTGACGTTGACCGCCGTTCTGCAACGGTCTACCGTCGTCCTCACGTTGGCGTTTAGTGCCGTTCGATTGCCCTTCGGATAGGTCTCCAAAGTTTTCGCCTTCGTGCTCGGTGACCTCACCAGACTCTGGCATAGTGCTTGCGAGGATCGCGTCGGCCAGGGACGAGGCTGCTTGGCTATCGAGGACGAGTTCTGATCCGTTGATTGAAGCCTCATCCGAGAGCCGTTCGCGGCCAGTGTCGGGAGTGCGAGAACTACCCCCACGCGAGTATCCTCCCCTCCTATCGTACCCGCCACGACCTCTATTGCTCCAGTGCCCCTGGTGTTGGTTCCACTGGATGCGCTCATCGCGCCTTCTGATGTTGTCAGGCGCCTGGTTCTGCACGCCAGGGAGTTCGGATTCACTTAGACGTCGCACTGGAAGCAACTCTCCGTCGTCCACATCGTCCGCAACAGTGCCACTCGCTCGGCTTTGCGGTCGGAGGTCAGTTCTCCTCTCAATAACAACGGTGCTCGTCGATCGACCGGGTTCGCCGCGCCTGTCCACAGAAGTTGAATGGTCAGAGGAAATCGAGCTCCTGTATTTCGTGTTGGTGGATCGACTCCAGTTGCTATCCTGAGGTCGGCTCGAGGAGTGGCTGTGGTCTGTCGACGAACGATGGCTGGTCCCGTTCCAAGAGCTGTCAGGCATGCCTCTCGGGTTTCTGTCGTAAGTGCTCGAAGCCTTCCTCTGAACATCGGCCACACGCCGCTTCTCCCTCTCCCACAACTCTTGGCACCTCTCTTTGCGATCAGACGCCCTGGCCACGTCCTCTTTCGTGTCCGAGAGCAGCCGTCCCAGCTCATCCAACTTGGCGGTGAGAACGTTGATTTCCGTTTTTGTTGTCGTATATTTCATGTCCAGAAGCGTGTATTCGTGTTCTGCGTCCAGATACTCCTTCTCCAAGCGCTTGAGCAGGGAGCTGTCAGAGTGGCGACGTTGCGGAGACATCGATCGCGAATAATGGGCTGAACGCGGCGGAGATCGTCTTTCGTCGGACCTCAACGTCTGTCTCCCACGATCGGACGATCCCACCCTTTCATCCGATCGATAGTCCCCCGAATATCTATCAAAGCTGGAAGTGTTCGCACTGGAGTGAAGGGAGCTTCGGCTGTCATACCGCCCGGCCGACGTCCTATGATCAGTTCCCACAGATTGGCGGGAGCCTGTGTAACTGTAGCCGTAGCTTGTCTTGGATGGGTATCTCTCATGGGTATTGTCGCTCGAGCGGTTGCCGGAATCCAACACGCTGCTGCCCGAAGTCTTTTTCTCATAATGGTAGCTTCCGCGAGTGTGTTCGCTCCGGCCTTGTTGAGTTTGATTATATCCATACCGGTCTCTTTGATCTGAGCTTCGTGGAGCTGGATTTTCCAAGCGTCGGACGGGCAAGTCAATACCCTCCTGAGACTGATCGCTCCTCTCTTCCGGCTTCTGCTGGGCGGAAGCGGGACGCGACGGCTGAGAATACTCTCGTTGCCCAGTTCCTGAGTAGTTACGGCGATCCACGGAAGTGTACCCTTTACCGCCGTCTTCGAGGCGTTCGTCGCTTCCGTCGGGAAACGGTCGTGAGTGATAGCGCTGTTCTGTCACCATCGCGTCCTGTCCTCCTTGAGTGGGAGATTGGTGTTCGCTGAGATTTTCCATCCTGATGAGTGACTTCGTTCAGCAAGATCCGGGACGCAGAGTCCTAAGCTTGCGAAGGCCCTCCGAGATGAGTCTGCGAGATGTATTTAGGAGCCGGCGCTTGCTCGGTTGATTTTGGTTGTGCAGGGAGCTGATGGCCAGCATCCTCTTAGATCGTGAGGACCTTCTCAATCTCGTGGATCCGTTGGAGCACGTGACCCGGCCGTATATTATTTCACTGTGTCGATCAACTGTCGTCCAGGCCTGCAACTTGCAACGATGTCCAGTGTTGGCACTCCAACTCCGTCCCGCGAGACATAGTACCTGTACGTAGGCAAACGCATAGCTGAGCGGCCGAGACTGCGATAGTGCAGATACACTCTTCTCTGGCCGAGGGCAACCCAAGGTAGCATCTTCCTTCAGCGACCTCTGGCAAAAACAAAGTGTCGCTTGCACTCGTCAAGGGAACGAGTTCGATTTGAGCACCGGACGCTTCACCCTCAAGCTGTCGCGGCAGAGTACGAACGAAGTGGCGTTTCTTCTTGCGGCTGGCGAGTGTGGACACATCGGTCCCACATCGTCGCTCCAAAGCGTGGCAAGTGGCGGTGGAGCTGAATCCTGATCACTCTCGAACTTATCGCCCGATCGGTATACTCGGGGGAACGAAAGCTATCGTAGGTATCAACCTGTACCATTTTCCTTTGCTGCGCAACTAGAGCACAGCGGCAGACACTTCGGCCCTGGTAGCAACGATACGAGCAACCGCCCAGCGTGGAGGCAGGGGGGGACCAGAGGTCGCAGTGAAAGCTGTCATTTTGTTCGCTTTTTCGCGCGTTACTGTCACTCTCACACAACGCGTTGAACATCAAAGCTTTCCAGTTCTCCTGCTCATCAACTCATCAGTGCTTTCCCTCTGGATTCTGCTATTCACAGATGATTCAAGAACATCTCGCTGCGGACGAAGAGAAAACGGAGCTATCAGATCAGGTTCGCATATCCATTTGACACCGATCTTGGGGAACCTATCGACGAACAAAAGTACTTACAACATATTCGCAGAGTCCATCCGAGGACGGTGAAGAGTCTGGCAAAGTGAATGGTCGGAAGCGTAAAACCCGAACGTCGTACAACCCGTCGATGGAGGACATCAGTGAGGATGAGTCACAGAATCCTTCCCCGACCAAACGAACCCGGGGAAAAACCCAAGATGCCCAGGGCTCAAACTCGCCTGCCAGACGATCGGGACGAAATAGCGGCAAAACTGTGCAGGCAGACGGTGCTCCAGAACAGGACGAGGCGGACGACCTGATGGAAGTTGGTGACGATGGTTCGAAAGAAAATATCGCAACACCCAAAGAGGAGGACGCCAATGGCAAGGATACAAAAACAGACGAGGCAGTCAAGACGGAGTTACCAAAGGCGGCGAGCGGAACTTCAGCAACACCGGCACCCAGAGGGCGGGGTCGACCATCTAAAGGGTCTGACACGCCCCGAGACACCCTGGGAGTGAAGAATGTGGACGAGGAGGAGAACGAAACGGAGTGGGATGAGAAAGGAGAACTCAAGATCACAAAAGATGGCGAATTACTGGGCGGGCGGGAATACAAGATCAAATCGTTCATCCTGCCTCGCCACCCAAAGCGCCGTTACATGCTCACAGTCGACATCTCAAAGGGCTTACAGTATCGTGACACTTATATCTTCTTCTTGAAGAATCCACACATCACCCGTATCCAGGGTGACGAAAAGGACAAAGCATTTTTGGAAGAGCATGGGATCCTGCCGGGCCAGCTTCGTCGCCGTCCCGTCTCCATCGCTAGTGCTCGTAGCATCTTCCGCGCTTTTGGACATAAGTGTATCAAAAGGGGCAAACCAGTGAGGGATGACTATTGGGTTGGAGATCAAGAGGAACCCCCAGATGAACCCGAACCTGAGGAGCCGGAGGACACCCCGCTACCACCGAGGAGATCCGATTCTCGATTTGCGCAGCCCATGCCTCGCGAGTCTACACTGCGTCGGCAGATGCATCGAATGACACATGAGGAACGAGAGCGGCTGATGCCGTTTTCCACGGGCAATCGCATTCTGATTCCTGCGCTTGCTGTTGGTGATGAGCAGCTGTATAAGCGCGCGGCGTCCGCGGCTGATTTCAACCGCCGGCTCCGTTTACAGAGGTCCACAAGCTTCTTCGACACCCACACGAATATTGAGCAGATGCCATCTCTGTCTCAACCGCAGTCAATATCTGTCGAGATGAAAGTCGGGTCGATAGCGGACATTGCTCGCGGGAATGGCCTCTCGATAGTACAGAATACGGACCCCACCGATTCTGATTGGGTACGTGTGGAAATACCTCCAGAGGACGAATTATACCCAATAGCTATTATTCCAGGACAATATCAAGGAGCATTCCCAGTGTAAGTGCGCACACGCTATAGACGTATAGGCAAACAATGCATCGGCTGATTAGCCCAAATCAGAGCTCGGAACAGATTCTCCGCAAGCGATGTTGTTCCCGCGGATCCGACTCCAGCTGCAGCGCCCAACGTGAAAGATATAACCCGCGCTTCAACACCAGCACCGGTAGCCCTGCCACTCCCACAATCGGCCTCCAAAGCAGCTGCATCGGTAGGTCAACATATCATGAAGCGCCAATAGCTTTTTCCGTAATGCCTGTTCCTAACGTGGTTCTTTGAACCATAGCCTGCGTACGCGATTCCCAAGGTGCGACATGCGGAATATACCTGCGGGGAAATTACTCGCACAGGGTTGCCTTGTAAGCGTGTAGTATTCACCGCTAATGAGAAGTGCCTATACCATGCGAAAGCGGTACGTTGTCGTCCTATTCGGTCTACTTGCTGATGTACCAGTAGTCTAACTGTGTGCCTATATCGCAGGTGGACGTTCCGGCAGTGGACCCCAATGCATGCGTTCACTGCCACAGCATAACGCCCAGCCCGGCCCAACCCACCACCAAACCGCTCCCTAACATCTTACTCAGCTGCGCTAGCTGCAAAACGAAGCATCATCCATCATGCATCGATTTTGACGACGCGGTCCTGATTAATAAGGTGCAAACATATTCGTGGCATTGCAGCGATTGCAAGACGTGCGTCAAGTGTCATAAAGCGGGCGATGATAGCCGGTTGTTGTTCTGTGATACCTGTGACCGGGGATATCATACGTTTTGCTTGGAGCCGCCGTTGGATGAAGCGCCGGAAGGTATGTTTGAAGCGCATAGGATCGATTTTATACTTGGTGACGTTGCACCCATCTCACAGACCTTTCACATTTACAGGCACATGGCTGTGTCCGCTCTGCGCTGTTTGCGCATCATGCGCGACCACCAAAGCCACCGACTGGAAGCACGCCATCATCCCACCCGAACCCGAGAAGAAGTCAACATCGTACGGCACATACCTCTGCACATACTGCCCAGATTGCTACCGTCAATTCGAAGCCAGCATGTTCTGCCCGGTATGCATGGGTATGTATAAAGAAGACGAGGAGGCTGCGATGGTTTGCTGTGATGCATGTGATAGGTAAATGTCCGTCGTTTATGGGCGATCCGTTGGAACAGGTTATACAGATTACTAACGCTGTCTATCACAGATGGATCCATGTAGCATGTGACGCGACCTTAACATCAGCGCAGTATGAGAAATTAGTGGAAGACTCGGACAGCAAGTATACATGCCTGCTTTGCGACGATACCAAGATCGAGACGTTGCGGACTCAGGATAGTGAAACCCCTGTCACTGGCGACGGGGTGAAAGTGGAGAGGAAGGTGATTGAGTTCGATAGGAAGAAGATGGTTGTGCCCATTGTTGGGAAAGAGAAGAAGAGGAAATTGAAGTCATGAGCTGGAGGATTGGCCTTTGGTCAAGAGTACGGGTATTCGGTTGTGGATAGTGGATTCCCATTGGGCATACTCCGACGGTTTCGAATAGGAGTAAAACTTCTCGCTGCAGATATATGTCAGCAACACATGACCGCAATCTGCTGTTCATTCCACGTCCCAGACTTTTTTTGATATTCTTCGTCGTACTTCATACATTAGCTCACATGAAGGCACGAGAAAAAAGAGCGAGGCAGTCCATGCATTGTCCTGTCAAAGGGGGCCGTGGATACCCATGCATCGGAGTGTGTCGGAAGCCGCCATTGCATATGCGAATGACTGATTTCTGTGGCGCTTGCCACGATGGAGGGGAGATTGACGGGTTTTTTTTTCTCGGATTTGGATTTGAAATGTTGTTGGGCCACATCATCATGCACGCACGCGCGACTCTTCTGATTGACGAGTGAGGGCAGGAAAAAACCAGGTCCTAATAAGAACGCAAAGAAGGCAGGGTCTTGCCCCCAAAGCGATATCTTATCTATTAAAAGCGACTCCGACTCCGGCAGAGCATTGGTATATATCCGGTTCAGCTACCCTCCGCAACCCCACCTCCTCTACCCCACATTGAAAGCTAGTCGGCAATAGAGTCGAGCCTGGGATTTTTTGCGCATTAAACCAGCTTCAGCTTCGCCACAATGGGTTTACTATCACTGGGAACCCCTCTTCCGTGGGAAGAAGCCCGCAAGCACGCCGACCATGTGCGGAAACACGGCATTATCCAGTTCCTGAACATCTGGAACCGAATAAAGACGCGAAGAAAGGACCACCTACTATGGGGTGACGAGGTACTGCGAAGAGGTTGCGGGCTTTCGCCCATGCGATCTTGCGAAGCATCCCGTCAATGCAACCGAAGCTGACCTGCTTCGGGGCATATAGATCGAATACGTCGTTGTGCACTACGACGAAGAGAACAAGCAACCGCGAGTGTCGTTGAGAGCCCACGATGTTTTGGAGAAACTGCAAGCGCTGGAGATGGATGCCATAGCGAAAGGGTGTGTTGAGGACGGGGCGCAGACATGTATTCAGCTGGGAAAAGTCTCTTAACATCATTTGCGTCTCTAGTGAAGTCTTCGAGAGTTCGTGGAAGCCAGAATACGGACGATACATGTTGGAAGGCACACCTGGGCTTCCGTATGGCTACACGCTGGAGGACACTCTGGCTGTCGAAGAGAGCATGCGACGAAGGTGATTATCATCTGATGTGCGACAACTTGGCGCATCGAAACTGACGTCCCCCAATCCCCAGGCGAGAGTTGGCTACATCGCTGTTGCCACCCAATGAAGCCGTCTTGACAATGACAAACTTCCCATTGCTTGGTTCTTGTGGGTTCACAGAGCCATCTGCGACGGCGACACCAGACTCTGGCCCAAGCATGAGTCTGTTCATTCCGAGCGAAGCTATCAACCCACACGCTCGGTTTCCCACATTGACTGCGAACATCCGGGAGCGTCGTGGATCAAAAGTCTCCATCAACATGCCCATCTTCAAGGATAAGAACACCCCGTCACCATGGAAGGAGCCAGCTCCTTCTTGTTTGGCTAGAAGCTCCACCAAGTCTTTGTCTACAGCTGTTGCCGCCGGATGCTCAAATGGAGAAGTGAAGGCGACTGAGCAGGCTGCAAAGTCTCTTGATCAAGAGCATCTTCCCTCTTTGCCAGACTTGGTCCCCGACGCACTTCCTGATCACATTTACATGGATGCCATGTGCTTCGGTATGGGATGTTGCTGTTTGCAAGTCACATTCCAGGCTTGCTCAGTGGAGGAAGCTCGATTGCTGTATGATCAGCTGGCTGTCGTGACACCCATCATGATGGCGCTATCGGCAGGAGCACCCATCTTCCGTGGGTATCTAGCCGATGTGGATTGCCGATGGAACGTCATTTCAGGAAGTGTTGATGACCGGACGGTGGAGGAACGTGGACTGAAGCCTTTGGACCACTCTCGATTCCGCATCCAAAAGTCCCGATACGACTCGATATCCAATTATTTATCGCCTGGGCCTAACTACTCTGGCGGGTGCAGTCTTTCTCCAGACCTCGCCAAGATCCCAGTAGAGCAATTATCCTCCATCCCGTCGAAAGGCATGGAGTTCTACAAGGATCAGTACAACGACCTCAACTGCCCGTACGACCCAAAGATATACGAGCAACTGCGCGAAGGCGGAGTGGACGATTTGCTTGCCAAGCATTACGCACACTTATTCATTCGCGACCCGCTCGTCGTTTTCAAGGAACTCCTGGATCAAAATGACGAACTCAGCTCCGATCACTTTGAGAACATCCAATCCACGAACTGGCAAACGATGAGGTTCAAGCCGCCACCACCTTCAGCTCCACATATCGGGTGGCGTGTGGAATTCAGGAGTATGGAAATCCAGCTAACGGATACGGAGAATGCAGCTTTCGCCGTTTTCGTTGTTCTGCTGGTCAGGGCTATCCTGAGCTTCGATCTGAATCTCTACATTCCTCTGAGCAAGGTGCGTTATCAGGCGCATATGAGGGCGAATATCAGACAGCTCAACTCACATATTCCATGTCCTTAGGTCGATGAGAATATGCAACGAGCACACTCCCGCGATGCTGTCCATCGCGAGAAATTCTGGTTCAGACGCCAAGTCGTCGGAGATCCTCAGCGCAAGCTGTCGGAACTTGGATGCAAGTGCAAAGGCTCGACCAACCAGACGGTCGCCCAAGCCATCCACGGTGAAGGATACGTTAATGGAGTTGCGAACAGGGATGACCCAGATGCTTTCGATGAGATGACCCTTGATGAGATTATGAACGGCAAGGTATGTACCGCACTGATTCCGTTCATGCATCCAATGTCACGAAGGGAAGACTTACATCTCCTTCCCACAAAGCCATCGACCAACTTCCTCGGTCTCGTGAACCTCGTCCGCCGGTACCTCAAAACCCACAGCGAGGCAATCAAGGAGGAGACGCGCGCCAAACTCGACACATACGTCGACATCGTGTCGCGCAAAGCATCAGGAGACCTTCAAACGGGGGCCACGTGGTTGCGCAATTTCGTGACGTCTCACCCGGAATACAAGCAGGATTCCGTGGTTAGCAAGAAGATTGCGTACGATCTTTGCAAGGCGGTCGAAGGACTTGCTGGTAAGAAGGTCAAGGGTCTCAACTGTTGAGCCTTCGGCTGGATTGGACCGCGTTGCGAAAGGATGTGCTCCAATAAGCGTCGACCGCATGATCTCGGACAGACCATCGACTAGCATCGCATCTTCGCACAGCAAGGACTGGGACCTTTCCACCTCACTTTTCCCAACCATGTAGTAATGGTTCCGGTCTACGCTTTAGGATAGGATTCCGCACGCAGCATACCATTTACTTAGGGTCTCCCCTTCCACCTTCATTTATTACGCTTCTCAAGGCTACTTCATTCGCGTCATTGACACCATGGGGGAGTTCGAGACAGCCAGTACCGCACGATTCTCTCTACGTAGGTCTTCATTTCGCCTTTACATAATATGGATATGCTTCGCTATGGGCCGACGTCCCTATTTCGTTGCCCCCGATGAGTTCATGGGATCTGTGCTATTGCTCCGTATGATATACGCGGGATAAATCCATCCCTGCATCCCTGCGACGTTGGCTGCGGTGCAGTGCGTCCGATAACGTCAATGCCGCTCTCACGCTACATGAGATCGTCCTCAACCATATACAGAAATCGCCCTTCAAATTCTTTCAATCCCGCTCATTCCTCATCAGTAATCAGGACCCGCTTTCCGGGATAGATCGCAACCACACGATTGCCGGAGATCTCCAGCGCCGCCTTGTTTCCTCCATACACGCTCGAGATCCCAACATCGACAACGTGGACCTGGATAGTGTATGGTGGAACCGAGGTCAGTTGTGGGATCACATCAAGGAAGTGGTTTTTCCTTCGCCTCACCTTGTTGTTACACCGTGAAAGGATCTCCCCTGTTAGTTGTGGTGTGTGGCCGATGACCATCCGCGTGGCCTAATAAAATGAAGGACTGTTGTTAAGACCGTCCAACGCAGGCAGGTAACCGGACCCATGAGCGCCAAAACGTACATTGACCATGCCCAAAGCGGTATCAAGCGTGTCGCAGACCACCTTCTCATCGTCGTTAGCGTACCCGCGGTACCAAAGCGGCCCGTCGCCTTGAAATAGCTTCACGCCCCAGAGCTCATGTGGGGTTCTAGTGGTAAGAGCTGTTCGGGCGGCTTTGTTGAGGGCGTCAATCCCTTGTGCGGCCCATGTGGGATGGAGACTGCGAGAGGGGGCACATGTTAGATGGCATAAGCGGGGAGAACAAATGGCGGAATCGAGAAGTTGCGCTTGACTCACCCGCCGTGAAGGAACACTGTCCCGTTGACGATAGCTGTGATATCCCACGTCCGCAAATACCTCCCCAGCCATCCTGAGAATGTCCAACCAAGGCGGCCTTTAGCAATCCGACCTCATGCCCCCTATGATCCACGACATAACGCGTCCGTCCATACGACACCCACCATCCTTGCTCCACGCCTCTTTCCTCTGAGGCATGCCTCCAAAGCTCTCCACGTCCTCGTTCGCTACATATCTGAAATCCTCCATCATATTCATCACCTCATGGTTCCCCAACAGCGGCACGACCCTCCCGCCAGCCTCAGCGGCCTGCTTCGTCAGTCGGCGGATGAAGACGTACAACTTCATCGTGTCCGGCCCGCGATCGACGATGTCACCCGTCTGCACGAGGATGGATTTGTTGCCTACCCAGTTCCCATCTGTGTCTGCTAGACCCGCCATTTGAAAGACGGAGAGTGCGTTTGGGTAGTCGCCGTGCAGATCTCCGATTGCGACGATACGGTCGGTCAGAATGGGAGCGCCTGGCGTCGTGACAGCCGCTGACGGGGCGGCTTCCGCCGATGTCGATTGCGTCGTTCTGAAGATGTCGTCTTCTGCGTACTCCTTCTTTATCTTCCAAACAAGATAGGAGACGAGAAAAACGAAGAAAAGAACTGAGAAAGGGTTCGGAACGGGCCAGCCGTTTCGCCTTGCGGCGGGTTCTGGGGCGTCTGCCGGCGTTGGCGCGGCTGCGGGATTGAGAGCCTTTGCGCCCTGCCGGCGGCGTCGTTTCTCTGCCCTATCGGTGGCCGGTGTATCCGCCATTGTATGTGTGTGTGTGTGAAGGATCTTCGATTGCGCTGGACGCCTGGGTCTGCTGGATCATGGTCCATGGAGTCTCCAACGGCAGCGGCGACGCGTTTGTCACAACACGTTCAAACCCCTCTCCTCCCACGCTCGTGCTTTCTCTCCTTCCTGAGAAGTGTTGTTTGCCTCATCAGTCGCCGGAACGAAACATACCCTCCGCACTCAAACCTCTGCGAACACTGCGAACACCGACCGTCGTTACCTGAGTCCCACGCGAAGACCATGCCCAAAAGAGCCAATTCTCCAACCTCCATCTACACAAACCTGCGAGAAGACATCAGTAGCGAAGACGAAGATGGCGGAGTTCCAAGCTCACCGCCCGCGAACTCCAACGCCAACAGCAACAGAAGCAGCGCCAATCACGCTACCACTCGTCAGCCAAACGGCATAACCAGCGCCACTGCCCGCAGCGTGTCGATAGCCGGCGAAAACGAAGGCCTGTTACGACAACGTCCCAATGGTGCGAGCAACACCAACTCACCGGATATTAGCCCCTCGGCCTCTGCCTCATCCTCTCGAGTCGGATCGGCATCTGATCTTTCGTCCGCAGTAGTAACACCCGGAGGAACGCGACACCCAACACTGTTGCGGAAAATGTCGAGCTATTCGCTGTCAGCTATTCGCAACATGAAGCGACGCGTATCGCTCACACCAACGTCGAGGGAGAACGGGATAGTGCTCATCGTGGGGTTCATCCTGGCGACGATAGTGATGTACCTCGTGTGGGAATCGTTTGGGGCTAAACATGTGGTGTATAGGGTGGTGAGGGGGAAGGATCGGGTGCTGTGGAGGCAGAAAGAATGTGGTGGAGACGATAATCCTTGTGAAAATGAAGGGGAGACATGAGAACCGCTCCAGAGCCGGAATGCGGCAAGCCTTTTTTGGGTGTTTTTTGGGAATCAAAATATCGAGCATCATACAATGTGAACTCTTGTAAAATCATTGGGGAAGGCGAGGTGATGCTTCGCTCGAATAAGTGGTATCCGTTGTGATGTTCATGTCTAGGTCGTGCCGGTCGACGGGATTCTCACGCGTGGCGGCGCGTCTGAAGGAACCGGCGGCCTGCTTGTTCGCCGAGTTGGCAGTGGACATTTCGCAGTTCGCAGTTCGCAATTCATACCCGAACAGAGGACGGCTTCTCTTAAAAGACCACTATATATCATATAGGTTTCGGACCGTTTTGTCTTGTAGCTAGCGACACGGTCAAACTTAGAAGTTCCGTGCGGTTTAGAGCTCTGGATAACGGTCTGAATACTATAGAAACGAAGCAATCGAATCTTATTCCATAGAGGGAGAAGGGAGCTGGAGAAGGGAATCGGAGAACGGAATCATAACAACAAATGTCGAAACGAAACTATGCCGCGATGGAGAGCGAGATTTCTCCATATAAGGCATTTTCCATGCCGCCTCTCGACGCGGACTTGAAGCGGTCGGTCGGGCCACACAGCAAGGAAACAGTGGCATACTTCTTCCACGAGGAGGCAGGGAGTTACCATTACGGGTACGAGAGAGCGCGGGAAGGGATCATCAGGATTAGCATCGCTGATATTGCGTTTCTTTGACCAAAGGGAGGGACATCCAATGAAACCAGCGCGATTATCCTTAACACACAACCTGGTCGTGTCCTACGGGCTGGAGAAGAAGATGCTGAATTTCAGGGCGAGGAATGCGTCTGAAGAGGAGATCAAGTACTTCCATTCGGCGGACTATGTGGAGTTTCTCAGGAGGTGCGGTGAATGTAGTATGCACCCGATCGGATGTTCGCGGCGGACTGACCTCTTCCCAAACATGCAGAGTAACGCCAGATAACTTTTACATGTACGAGCAATGCCTGCGTCGCTACAACGTCGGGGTCGAAGATTGTCCGGTGTTCGACGGCCTATGGGACTTCTGCTCGATGTATTCAGGCGCGTCAATAGACGCTGCGCGGAAGTTGGTCGCGGGAACGGCGGATATTGCGGTCAACTGGTCGGGCGGCTTGCATCATGCGAAGAAGTGGGAGGCGTCGGGGTTCTGTTATGTGAATGATATTGTTTTGGGGATATGTGAATTGCTGAGGTGAGTCGAGGGATGTTCGAGACTATCGACTAGAGTTGGTGGAGCTGAACATCATCTCAACCACCTACAATAGGGAGTTCCCACGCGTCCTCTACGTCGACATTGACGTCCACCACGGCGACGGCGTTCAAGAAGCCTTCTACCGCTCCAACCGCGTCATGACCGTCTCCTTCCACCGCTACGACGGCCACTTCTTCCCCGGCACAGGCTCAATAGAAGAAAAAGGCTGCGCGGCAGGACGCAACTACGCCGTCAACGTACCCCTCACCGAATTTATCAACGACGAATCCTACGCATACATCTTTCGTAGCGTCATGACCGACGTGATGACTATGTTTAGGCCAGGCGCCGTGGTCCTCCAATGCGGGGCGGACTCATTAGCTTCTGATCGGCTGGGCTCGTTCAACCTCAGTATCCGCGGACACGGCGAATGCGTCAAATTCATGAAATCGTTCAAAGTCCCCATGCTTGTCCTCGGCGGCGGCGGGTACACCATCCGCAACGTGGCACGGGCATGGACGTACGAGACCAGCGTGCTCACCGACACCGACCTCGAGAACGAATTGCCGGGCAACTTGTACATGAGCTACTATGGGCCGGATTACCAGCTGCATGCGCCAATTGTAGATCCGAATGCGGAGGATACGAATACGAGGCAGAAGTTGGATGGGATTAGGGAGAAGGTTAGGGAGTATTTGAGGGAAATTGAGCATGCGCCGAGTGTGCAGATGGATGTGATTCCGCCGGGGTTGGATAAGTTGTATGATGTCGACGGACGGCAGGTATGGCGGGATGAGTGCGCATTGGTAACGGCGGTGGTTGGATTTCGAAATGACAACCATGCTTTTCCCCGCATCAGGCCGACGACGCAGAAGACACATACGCCGACGTCCGCGACTACTCAGGCATATTCGCCGACACATCACGCAACAAGCAGAAACATACCGCAGACGAACGTGATTACTACGATGGGGACCGTGATCATGATCGCGACGGGGACGACAGTGGCGATGAGGATCTCGAGATATGACGTCCATCTTTCTCACGTAGCATCGCGGGCTACGGTGCGACGTCACTTGCAGGATAAATGAAGAGGGGATGTGTTGAATCAGTCAATTTTGCAGATATTATGTACATAGTTTTCATGCATATAGCGAAGCGGTGGAAAGTAGGAAGGAAGGGCCGGCGAGTCTCGGATGTTATTCATCACGCAAATCACAGTTTGGGTGCAAACTTCTTTTCGGCCTCCTCTTGCTTGTGGTGCTTCTCTCTGAGGGCCTGTACTTTGCGGAGCTCGTTCTTAGCGATTTGGATCGTGTGAACTTCGTCTGGGCCTGTGATGGAGATTGAGGAACGGTCAGTGAGGGTTAGGATTGGCGTGGATTGAAATGCCAGCCAGCGTATCACTATCAGTCCTCACCATCTGCTATCCTCAATGTCCGGGTGGTAGCGTACATCCAAGCCAATGGGAAATCCTGTCCCACACCTCCAGCTCCATGTGCCTGAATAGCACGGTCGATCACCCGCGTGGTCATGCTGGGCACAATCACCTTAGCCATAGCAATCTCGTTCATAGCCGCCTTTGGGCCATGCAAATCCATGGTATGTGCCGCCTGCAGCACCAGCAATCGCGCCTGGTCGATCTCCATCCTACTCTGTGCGATATCAAAGGACTGTTTGCCGTGTTGGGAAAGGGTCTTGCCAAACGCCTTGCGAGCAGGGTCGGTGATGCGCAACAAGTGGAACTCGAGGGCGCGTTCGGCGACGCCAATGTTTCGCATGCAGTGGTGGATCCGACCAGGACCCAGACGGCCCTGGATGATCTCAAACCCGCGACCTTCGCCCAACACCATATTCTCGAGAGGGACACGCACATCCTTGAATACCATCTCCATGTGTCCGTGCGGGGCATCGTCGTAGCCGAACACCGTCATGGGCCTGACGATAGTCACACCGGGAGTGTTGGCGGGTACGATGATGACGCTCTGCTGCTTGTGCTTGTTGTTGTTATCCGGGTCGTTCTTACCCATGACGAGGTAGACAGCGCAGCGAGGATCGCCGGCTCCTGAGATCCACCATTTGCGGCCGTTGACGACGTACTCGTTGCCCTGCCTGACGATGGACGTCTCGATATTCGTCGCATCAGATGATGCCACTGCCGGCTCCGTCATTGCGAACGCTGAGCGGATCTTCCCTTCCATCAAGGGCACCAGCCATCGCTTCTTTTGCTCGGCAGACCCATATTTCGCAAACACCTCCATGTTGCCCGTGTCTGGCGCGCCGCAGTTGCACGCCTCAGGAGCCGTGTGCGACCGGCCCATGACCTCACAGAGCACGCCATATTCGAGGTTGGTCAAACCGGGACTTTCGGGGTAGTAGCTAGGAAGGAAGAGGTTCCACAGTCCCAGAGACTTTGCTCGGCTCTTCAGATGCTCCAGCAGGGGTGGGATGACTTTCCACCTGTCCGCCGATCCTTCCTTTCCGCGGCTGGAGAGGTAGACTTCGTCTGCAGGGATGCATTCGAACTTCGCAACGGAAGTACGGTGTGAGTTCACATTTCCCTTCGGTCTCGCTCTCAATCACACCAGTTTCCAAGCCAATCGTACTGTACCTCGACAAAGTCCTCCAAGATCTTCTTGAGCTTCTGGGCGCGGTCCCCTAGCTGGAAAAACGTTGTCGCGGACATGGCCAGTGTATTCGTGCGAAGGAACGGGAATTCAGAACCGCTACACCAGGTTTGACTTGAGAATGCCAGCAAGGCAAAGGGTGACCCAGCTGGTCTTTTAAGTACATGCAGTAGGTCTGTTTATGCTGGGCCTGTCAAAGCGGGCGGAAGTCGCGTTGCGTTTCTGGACCGCGGAAGAGAGACCAAGAAGACGCGGCCGTCCCACAAGAGGCTCCAGCTGATGTGACGTTTCACATGAAGGGCCGCCATGACACACAGTCCGCCTTCGCTGCGGGGGCGCTGGCGGATTTATCGACGCTCAGCTCTCCTTCGACGTACCCTGACTGCCTCTTGACTTGCAAAGCTTGGACTTCGTCACTTCGGCAGGAGTACCACCCACAATGTACATAAGGTATAGGTTCACATTCTGTGGAAGGAGGGAGTGCGGTCGCAATTTGCTGGGATGGCTCATATATCGCAATGCCCACACCCCGCTGTGCTCATCAGCTGGCTGTCGTGGGAGCAACGGTACTCATCATAAGTGAGAGAGGCACTTTCAATGTCATCACACTTGTTGTGGGTATGAGGATGCGGACGCCGGTATACCTGACAAACGCAGCGAATTCCCGGATGACATGGCGCAAGTGCAATCATGGAAGAACATGGTTCCGCCGTCACAAGGAAGGGGACACCACACCCTTTGCCATTACTGTTACCGTGGGGACCACTTTGACGTCAATGTCAACCTCAACAATGTTGATGAGGATGACCTCTGGGTCTCCACCTCTTGATGTACCGAACGCCAGCCTAAGATTGGCAGCAAACGGAGCCTTCACAATTGTGGCATCTGCCCCAACTGGCGGAACCCAGGTACTCCCACCAAGTACTCCCACCATCCTTGTTCACGGCCTCCCTTTCCCCGGTGGCACCCCGAGTGAGCTTGGAGTCTGGGACAGTAGAGAAAGAGTATGCGTAGGGCATCTTGGACATCTTGAAATATGCATGACAAGCGCCCCAGTCCTTACGAAAATAGGGAATCGGTATGCGAGTTACGGAGAGACGAGCGACAGGCAGGGTCGAGGTACTCACAGTTATTAGTGCCTGGGCAAAGTCTGTTCGAACTTCGCGCACGTGAACAAGGCACAAGCCAGAGCCCCCGTCTCTTCGTCACCGCGTCCAGCCCACGTTTTCAGTTTGGGAACATTTGACCATGGGCAGCACTCCACAGCTGCTCGTACAGTACAGTAGACCTCGTCCTTACTAGGACTCCCAGTACAGTAAGATCAGGACTCCCAAGACGTTGAGCGACGTCCTTCTAGGTCGCTATATCTACAGTAGACGCCATTGGGCGGAAAAAGACCCAAGTCCACCGCCAGGATGCACAGTTCTCGGAGATCATCGTCAACTCGCTTCCGAATAGCATTACTCCTTCTGGGTCTCCTCTATTGCATCATCCCAGTATTCGCCTACGACGACAGCCTGTATACGGATGATACACCGCAATGTTGGGGGATGTGGGGCGCCCCTGGCGATAACCATAATGGAACGATAACTGTCAAGTTCAACGACATACCAAATGGAGAAACATTTGCCCTCCTTGTCTACGAGTATCAAAGCGATGCGATACAGCTGGACGAGACGGGGCGGGGGTTATGGTGTGGGAAGAATGCGATTGACCAAGGGCTGTGCGTAGAGGCGGACCGCGAAAAATGGCTGGTAAAGAATGACGCCAAGAACTACGTGAACGAGCTTTACGTCGTTAATGCGACGGAGCCGGCGAAGACATCGGAGCCGTTCGTCTATCAAGTGCCCCGTACCGGGTTCTATTGCGTAATGGCACAGTCCACGGAGGATCGCGATCACGTTTTTGTTCTGGGAATCACATTGCAATCCGCTGTGGGTGCACTGCCGGGCGTCGAATATCCAAAGCTTCCAGTAAGCCACTCTTCCCATCTGACGGGTCCTTCGAAGTTTACCATTTGCTAACAACCAAATGCGTATCCAAAGTTCTATGGTGTGCTGAGTATCGTGTATCTCTTCATCGGGGTTGCATGGATGCTGCTTTCATTCTGGAATTGGCGAGATCTGCTGCCGGTCCAGCACTACATCTCGGGTGTCACTATCTTCCTGACGCTCGAGATGGCTTTCAACTATGTATGTCGGGACTGCAGACCTACTGCAGAACTCCCAAATGGAAGCCTTCGGCATGACGGCGCTGATCTCGCTTACAATCTTTAGGGCTTTTTCGAGGATTACAACAGGCTGGGACGAAGCTGTGAGTTCGCAATGGCTGAACGCATTGGTCGATTGATATAATTCTAACTCCCCCTGCAGCGGCCGGTCTCTTGGTTGCCTCTGTGATACTGAACGCTGGACGTAATAGTATCTCTTTCTTCATGCTCCTGATTGGTAAGTGGGAACTTAAACGCCATACCGGCTGTAAAATGCGTAGACTGAGCTCTCGCCTTCCCCAGTTGCACTCGGCTACGGAGTGGTGAGACCGACTCTAGGCAGTACCATGAAGAAGTGCATCTACTTCACCATCGTGCACTTCGTATGCGGAGTGATTTATGCCACCAGCTCCTTGGTCGTGCGGGACGTGACCATCTGGGTGCTCTTGTTCTGCGTCATGCCCCTATCGACAACGATGACCGTCTTTTACTTCTGGACGCTGAATGGTATGCGAGATTTGTTAGGACGAAGGCTGGGAGATGCGAGCACTCAACCTCAGCAATCGTATTATAGCGATCACCCGGACAATGGAACATCTGGAAACGAGGAGGCAGAATGTGAAGCTGCAGATGTATCGAAGTAAGTTGGTGTATGCCTACTAGAGACCGGGCCTTGCGATGGGATCACTTTGCTTACTGTTTTGGCCCTTAACAGCACTCTGGAGGATACTAGCGTGCTCGATAGGAGTGATCCTCATTATGTTCATCGTAGACACGGTACGAATCATTAACCAAAGGCGCCTCCGATCCATCAGCAACCAGCGCTAACGTTTTACGCTCCAGATATTCTTCTTGAACAGCGACAGTCTCTCTTGGATGGCCAAACACTGGCAAGTCCGGTGGTTCATGCTAGACGGCTGGACGAACCTCCTCTATCTTAGCGTCTTCCTCGGTCTCTGCATCCTATGGCGGCCCACGGAGAACAACCAGAGATACGGGCTAGATGAGTTAGCGCAAGACGACTACGAGTCAGATTTCAGGATAGCCGGCGACGGGCCTGTCGCGGGACAGAACCTGAATCTGAGAAAGGTCCCGCCAGTGGCGAGGGATGAGGAGGAGGGAGGGTTTGGAGGCGGGGCGTTTGATGACGAGGATGAGGATGATATACTGGCGGGAGAGATATTAGAGGACGGGGATGATGAGGACATCATGAACTGGGTGGAAGAAAATGTGCCGGATTCACCGAAGCGGTCATCGCCAGAGCATAATCGGCAAACGCCGAGGAGAGGGGATGACAAGATGCAATAGCGCGTACAAATGGGATATCATAATGGCAGGTTTCTTGCATGATGCAGGTCACATTAGCACCGTGATCCAACATGCGCTGTGCAACTTTTGAAGTGGCAGACTGTGGACTTGCACGGACATTTTACCGCGGACCTGCTGTACTGTAAAATCATGGACGTGCGGCCGTCGGCCAGCGTCAACCTTTGAGTATGCCGCGGCAGCGGTTGGCGATGAAGCACATGTCAGGGTCGACGCCGATCGACGCGTGACCTCCAAGATTCAGAAAGCGACCCCACCTGCGCATCCGCGTCTCGCTGCTTTCGCTGCAGGGGCTTCTCATAAACGGCGTGGGAAAACTCGACGCCGCACTCAAGAGATCATACATACTTCCTACACGCCTTGCACGACGATAACCATCACCTCTATATCCTCAAGAACTCAGAAGGAAGCATAGCGAAAATGGCCCCTACAAAGGAACTGAAGGAGTTCAGCGTCCAAGATGTCGCTTCGCATAACACGGAAGAATCGCTGTGGATCATCATCGACGGCGTGGTCTACGATGTGAGTTCCAATTTGGGAAATTCTACCGTCACTCAGTCGTATTCATACTGACGACATGCTGCGCTCCCTTACCAGCTGACCCGCTTCGCTGATCTTCACCCCGGCGGTTTGACTGTGCTGTTGGACGTCGCTGGGAAAGACGCCACGCGTGAGTTTATAGTGCGTTGTTCCAAGTTTTGCCAGTCTTCTTTTGCTCATGCCGTTTGTGTTCCTCAGAGGAGTTCTATGGTCTTCATCGTCAAGCGGTTCTCACGCGACTCGGCCCGAAGTATGAGATCGGCCGCATCGCTGGCCACAAGCAGAAGATCGCTATGGCCAAGCCAGGTGCGTTGGGTGGCGGATTAGGGAAGTTTGTCCATCAACGTCCGGTCTTAAAATCCTTATCTCACCACAGGCGACATCAGCAAAGTCCCATATGCCGAGCCCGTTGCATGGCAAGGATTCTACTCTCCATACTACACGGAGTCCCATTTCAAGTTCCGTGCCGCCCTCCGCAAGTTCTTCGACGAAGAGATCCTGCCCGACGCACCGATGAAGGAGGAAGCCGGTGAAGCCGCGGATGATGAGACTTTTGCGAAGTTGGGCGCCGCTGGCATCCTTGCGTGCCGTATGGGTCCCGGCCCGCACTTGAAGGGCTTCAACCTACCGGGAGGAGTCAAGCCGGAGGAGTTCGACTACTTCCACGAGCAGATCGCGCATGAGGAGGCCGGTGGTGTCGGTCTTCCTGGATACCAGGACTCTCTCGGCACGGGAATGGTCATTGGACTGCCTCCTGTCATGCACTTTGCCAGGAAAGAGGTCAAGGAAAAGGTCGTCAGGGAGGTCCTCACCGGGAAGAAGCGAATCTGTCTGGCTATCACGGAAGCCACCGCTGGAAGTGATGTGGCGGCGATCGCAACAACGGCAAGGAAGTCTCCTTGTGGAAAGTTCTACATCGGTAAGACAATCGCCCGAGGTGTTGCATGTTCTTCCAGATGGCAAATGACTTACGCGGTATCCTCTAGTCAACGGAACCAAAAAGTGGATTACCAATGGAAAACAATCGGACTACTTCTCGACAGCCGTACGCACCGGCGACGGACCTGGTGGAATCTCCATGCTTTTGATTGAGCGAAGGTACAATCTCCCTCCCTTCATCATTCGTTTTCATCGGGTACTAAAATCTCTTCCATTCATAGTGAGGGAGTGGAAACGAAGCAAATCAAGACGTCTTACTCAGCCGCGGCAGGTACTGCGTACATCACATTTGAGAACGTAAAGGTCCCGGTCGAGAACCTTCTCGGCAAGGAGGGTGGAGGATTCCAAGTCATCATGTTCAACTTCAACCACGAGCGTTGGTTCATCGTCGCTGGCGTGACCCGGGGCATGCGTATGGTAGTCGAAGAGTGCTTCAAGTGGACTCAGCAGCGTATGGTGTTCGGCAAGCCTCTCATTGAGCAGCCTGTCATCAGGGCAAAACTTGCAAAGATGGTTCGTACTCAACCTACCACCTTACTTGTTTTTGAAGTATGCCTTCTTACTGACACGTCAAACAGATTTCCGAAGTAGAGTCGGTACACCATTGGCTCGAGAACATGACATACCAGATGACAAAGATGGACTATAAGGAGGCATCAGTGAAGCTTGGAGGACCCATCGCCCTGCTCAAGCTGCGGTGTACCCGCGTCGCCACCGACATCTCTGACGAAGGCTGCCAGATCTTCGGAGGACGCGCCATCACAAAGGTATGCCCTGGATGTGGGTCGAGCGTCTGAAAGCATCGCTAACTGGAGTTCTTTAACAATTCAGACTGGAATGGGAAGGTTGATGGAGGGTTTCCAACGGACCTTCAAGTTTGCTTCTATCTTGGGGGGAAGTGAAGAGATTATGGCTGATCTGGGTGTACGTCAAGCAATGCGCTTCTACCCTACAGACGCCAAGCTTTAGATAGGTGTCTTCGCCGTGTGTCTGTGAGAATGTGGGCGACGGGGACTTACCTTTTGAGCTTGAGCGAATAAATAAGTAGAGTTGTCAACATGAGCCAGCATTCATGTTTGTATTTGATTTCTATCGCGGTGCTTTGCATATACTTGATGGAGTTGTCGTTACCAGATTTCCAGGCCATTAACTTTCGGAGAAATGATGCAGAGAATGGATTGCGATTCATGAAAGCATAAATAGGCGAGATTTGTTTCGTGCAGGCCTGAATTTCCGGAGAACGCACCCCGAGCGGCCCCGGTTCTCGACCTGTTGCTTCTTTTTCAGATTTGTGCCAGCCTTGATTGAGGGTTTCTTCTTTCTAGACGGGTTCGAATTGAGGTTTTGGAGATGAACAGTGCTTTTAAATTACATATGCTAAATTTACATCGGGATCAGGGTGAACGGCCTGGAATTATTCAAGTCTACGTAACTAGGCACTACTTTTTGGCCTCCTGCCGTTTCTGAAACTTGGCAAGGGCAGCTTCCTTCCCTTTCCCTTTAGCAGCCGGCTTTCCTTTCCCCTCTCCACCAGCCCCAGCACCGGCACCAGCCGCATCCTTGCCCTTGCCTTTTTTGACTGGCTTGGGGCCCCTCTTTTTGTTCGGTTGTTGATCCGCCGGCGAGGTTGACGGCGCCTCCTTCCTCTTCTTTAGATTCTTCACAACTTTCGATGTATCATCGTCCTTCGGCGTGTCCTTCGCATCGCCAAAGGAGACGGTAACAGTTGGCTTGGCGGTGGTCGGGTCGTCATAGTCTGATTCCGCTTCCGACCGGTTGCCGTCTGCTGCCTGATCAGCGCTTGCTTTACTTGCTTGTGATGCGGTTCCTCGACGAGTAGGTTCAGCAGGGGACGCGATTGTGAGACACGTGAGGCGGGACCGTGCGGCGATGTACTCCCCGATAGGCGTGGCTTCCGGGAGATTCAATCGTGCGGTCACTTTTATTGTGGTGGAAGACTCTTCGGTGGTCGAGTGTTTGATGGCGGGTAACTGGGTGCGAACATTGGCGAGATCCCATACTCTCACCCCACCATCCGACGAACAGGACACGACGTAAGTGGTGGCCTCGGCGTCTCCGGCGACGTACGCGTCAATATCTTTAATACGGTTCCCATGGCCACTGTTCCATCGGAAAAGCGGCGTGCCGGTCGGAGCGTACACGCCTAAGGACCTATCCTCGCTTCCCGTTACAATCACCTCCAACGTCTCGGTAGGCTTTTCCGGATTCCGTATCGTGGTAAACACGATCGCATTTATCCTCCCCACACTCTCAACCTTTCCGACCAGTTCGGCGTCCTCCACGGCGTGCACGTGGACCAAATTGCCCATCAAGATGGCGTAATGCGAGCCACTTGGGCTCCATTTGACCCGGTCCCCAACTTTCGGCAATTTCATCGAGTAGGCGCAAGCGCCTTTCGCTAGATCCCAGCATTTCATCGTCCCGTCCCCACCGACACTCAACAGCACTTTCCCGGAAGGATGCACATCGATCCAGTTCACGGCACGTTTGTGCCCATCGAGCGTCTTTAGCACCTCCCAATCGCTCGTCCTCACAATCGCAATAGTGCCGTCCTCGCTGGCTGTAAACAAGTGCGTCTTTTTGTAGAATTGTAAACTGGTAGTGGTCCCCGAATGGTGCATGAGTGTTCCGACTTCTTTTCGAATGCGGAGGTCGTAGAGCTTGATGTGTTCGTCGGTGGAGCCCGTGGCGAGGAAGCGGTTGGAGGCAGCGGCTGCTTTTATACACGAAATGTGTGCGGGATAGATGAAGACTGGTGTCACGGTGACGGTGTTCACTGAGCTATCTGCCTCAGCCGACTGCTTCTGTACGTCGCAACCGTAGAGCAGACGCTCGTAGGTTCCCACTATTATGCGGAATAGGTGAGGGGCGTCGGTGGTCATTCTCTTGAAACTGTGGCAATCTGGGAGGAGGGAACGCAGGTGTTAGCAAATAACCACCGATAAGAGCGCGGCCGACGGCTACCATACGTACCTTTCGGATATGTGCTTCACGGCGTCTTGTATATATATACCATGTTTTTCGCAAGGAATCCCAGTTATGTGAACGTCGAAAAAACAAGACGAAAACCGTGCAGACAAGCTCAAAATCTATTATCTAAAGCGGGACCTCAGAGTCTCAGACGCACGAGGCAGGTGACACAAGGTCGCACAGGACATGGACATCTCGCTCTGCTCTTCCTTCCTCTCCACTTTTTTGCTTTTGTACACGTCAACCACCAGAAAGAACCCACGGCATTGCCCTCAAACCATAGCAATAGTGCTTGCCTGTTTCTCCAAAGCAACGTTACTGTACCGCTATTGCTCAGCTTCCAGCTAGTGAGCCCTGAACTCCGCACGAACCCCAGTACTAAACACCGTAGAGCGACATGGCCCGCCCAAGAGGTCGACGACTAAACAGGGCACCCTCCCAGAAGGTGTCCCGCAAGCAGAAGAACCCTTACGATATTTCTTTCGCCGGTGTACACCCGCTTGTCCGCAAAACGTGGGACAAAAAGCTGACCTTGAAGCAGAACTACGAACGCATGGGACTCGTGTCGGCGCTCAACGGAGCAGCTGGAGGAACCGAACACGCTGCGGCGGATAGAGCGATAGAGCTGGCGGCGATCGAGGCACGGAAGGCGGAGGTCGAATGGAGGGTAATAGACGCCTCCGCGCCGTCAGTAACTACCCTGTTAGCAACGGAAATCGCCGACGACGACGAGGACAGTGAGGAGGACGAAGATTACGACGTTGAAGTTGACGGCCCGGTGCAGATAGACCACAGAGCGAAGCGGATTGGGCGAAAGATTGGGCTGAAATCTATAACAGCAGATGCCCCCGTGGCGCCGAAAACTGCTGTCATTGAAGCTATGGAGGCGCAAGCACGGGATATTGTGAAGCTCGTGAGGCACGCTTCTGAGCAAGAGGGGAAGGTGTTTGGGGACCTGATGAGGAAGCATGGCAGAAATTACGAGGCAATGGCGATGGACATCAAACTCAACCGATTCCAATTGTCTGCTGGTCAACTGCGGAAGAGGATTGAAAGGCTTATTGCAGCATGATAGATCGGTTTCCCCGCATTCCCCTTAATCCAAATCGTGCATAGCCCATTCCTGCTTGCCATTCGTCTCGTAGCTGTTTCGATCATGTAGCATACGTTTTGTTTTGAGAAAGTAATTTATTCCCTGGCTCGTTCTTAAATAGGAATCGCAGCAGCAGTACGACACATTGGGAATACTCTATGGCCTGTAATGTGATCGTCGATAAAGGTTTCCAAGAAATGAAGCATCTCCTTCCATAGGATTCTTTCAAGATTCAGGTCCCCCTTTCTTTCCTTAAAACCTCGTCATGCGCAAAATCACCAGATGCCTGTCCTTCATCTAAATCACTGTCCGAGGCACTGCTCCCATTCCCACTGTCCTGGTCTTCATCCTCGGACTCATCACTACTATCATCAGAGCCACCATGGTCAACCTCATCCTGACTGTTGTCCTCCGAGTCGTCTTCATCGCTTGATTCCTCGCCTTCCTCGTCTTCTTCAGCTTCCTTGATCTGTGCTATTCGGGTCCGTAAGACTGGCTGGTATTCTTTCATCATTGCATTGGTAGGATCGCTTGAAAGAACTGTTGATGGTCAGAATAAATGAAAGATCCGCATATCACCCAATGGGTCGCTCAAATCGTACGATGACGCACTAGCCATCACTTACTCTTGGCGGAGATCTGTAATGCCCGAGGATATGATTTCGATGCAATACAAGCGAGAAATTCGTTTAGGAGCAAGAAAGGATCATTCGACATGTCATCGTTCTGTAAAGTCAGGATGTTTAAACATAACAGCTCCACGGAGAAGTTATCTTACATCTGCATTGGATGCCTCATGGAGGCGAGAGTTTTCGCGCTATATTGTGCTATCAATACCTTCTCTGCCGCACTTCGCTTTGATGGCGGTGCACCACCCTCATCCGCTACCGGCGATTGTGCCAGCACGTTAGTTGTCTTATCGCTTTGTTGTCGGCCGCTCAAAGCAGGTTTTGTGTCTCCTAAGAGCTCCAAAGCTGAGGACTTCGCGGAGCGACTCGCACTCGCGCTTGCTCTCAACGAGGCATCATCGTCCGTTGCAGACCAGACATCGGTGGAGCCCACCCGGACTGCCGAGACTATGGCCTCCTTGTGTGGTGCTACTGGTGGGAACCTGGTTCGCACCTCCTGGGACTTTGCAAGGACGGGTTTTGAGGACTGCGGTACGGACTTTGGACCGTGACCTTGCTGGAGCACCCGCTCGCCCGCGATCATCTGGGTGCGTATGAAATTTTTTCGACGGTAAAGGTGTCGTTCAGGACTCCCCCGTAAGGCTAGTTTGTGCTTTCCTTAGCTGCTGCTCTGTTGGTTCGGAGACGTGCATATCACGCATCGTCTAACGGCCATCGTTTTAAGGTCCTTTGAGTCTATCGTTGACAAACCGTTGAAGGTTCGAGCAACCTGTCAAAACACGTAAGCAAGCGGAGTCCTTGTCAACTCAGCAATTAACAGCTTGGCCCGCCGCCCTTTGCACCTTCGACTCCGATTCTTTCGCTCAAGTCTCTTCTAAAAATGCAGGCGATCGCCGCCTCAAGCGGGAAGCAGGTGAGGAGACACATACGGTTTCTACTTTTGATACCGCTCAGAGGTTCTTGTTCACTGAACGCATCCCTTCGATGCAGAAAGATTTGCTACCGACTGGGACCAGGGGCAGGTCCTGGCAGTCGGGGGCATCGTATATTCCACGGCAAAGCGATGACAGCCCATTAGGCACCTTTGAGACGTTGGAGTCGACATTCATAAGGAGTTCCCACCGGGGTGAGCGAGCACTCTTCATGCAAGTCCACTGCTTCCTCGGGAGAGTCACTGACCAGTTCTGTTTCGTCATCAGAACCACCAGACCCCGATATCCTATCTCGCAAGAACAAGCGAGCAAAACGTCTCACAGAGGATGGCACCAAAGGTGGTATCAGGGTTCCCCCTTTGCCAGACCGAACTGCAAATATCTCGCCAACGAGGCAAGATAAGAGCGGAAAGAAGGACCGCGAGTCCTTCCGGACGACGCTAGTCAACATGGTGATGTAAGTGTTGTCACGATCGAAATGACTGAGCCAATTTTGGAGGAGTGACAGGATCTAAGATGTTTAAAACAGGCAGAAGGCCAATGAGGCCCTTGCGGTCTCACGATCGATGGGTGATGATCTCGATGAGGACGGGCCACCAGGGGGCCTGCAAGAGAAGGATACCATGGTAGAGGTGCATCATCCGCGTCCCTCGAATGGGGCAATCGAAGGCTCACTTCCTCCCATACAGCAACGGTACTACTACTACATCACCAACGGCATCGATACGCACCATGTAGCCGAAATGGAAGACCAATGGCTGGAAAACGTGCTCCGCCTCCTACCCGACGAACTCAAAGTCTTCCACCAAATGACCCTCGACACCCTTTCCGCCGAGATGCGCGAAGACTACCACATGTCGGTCAAGAAGGCCATCGTTGACTTTGTCCTCAAAGATCCCCGCGAGAAGGTCGAGTTTGCTGCCGACACCGCGCACGTCAGCCAAGAGAATTTTGTAAACATCCGCAAATCGACGCCGTCCTGGCAGAGTGCGTATACACAAGCACAGCAGCTCATCTTCAAGAACTTGTTCTATGTCAACCCCACGATCGTGGAGACGCAGGAGCTCTGGCATAAATTTGAGAACTTGCGGATGTTTGATTTAGAGAGTGTGCTGGGAAAGGGCGTAGCTTATGAGTTGAAAGCTTTCAAGACGCTCATGACCCAGCGGATGGAGAAGGCTTATGAGAAGCTTTTGACAAGGTAGGTGGTCTGTCAAATGGAGTGGGAGATTCAACTCAGAGACTGAATCTCTTCTGAAACAGCTGGTACCCAGCGATGCTGAACGTGTTCTATCAAAACACGAAACGGGACGAATGGTCGGCAATAAGCTCCGAGAAGATTGAAGTATTCTTCCGAACCGTTTCGTTCATCCTCGCAAATCAGCTGAGGCTCATCATCCAAGGCTCCGTGGACGACTTTGTCTCGCTTTTCGATAGCGACATCACTGTGGCAAACTCTGCGTCGGGAGCACAATCAAAGGGACGCACAGGCCCAGACAATGCAACCCAGTCCGTCACTTTTGTTCTTAAGCTTGTCCTCGATGACACGAAAATCACCTTCGAACCAAGTCTTCGCGACTTCCTTACTACCATCGATGGACTCTTCGATGCTTTATTGGTCGCAGCCGATAGGGTCCCAAAAATCGAGACTCAGTTGTTCTCTACGGGGCAGACAGTGACGAGCACCCGCGCTGGTATCATGAACCTGAAGCCCGAGCAATGCATTCGTGTGGCATTCGCCGAGACGTTTCCAAACGTCGTCGCAATGGCGCGGGCAAAGTTGAGCGACACCATCACGAAGCGGTTCTCGACGCCACAGTCCTACATTCAGGAATACGATAAGCATCGGGGACTCATCACAAAAGCTGCTGCGCAGGAGGTGAACGCTTTTTTGGCGAGCGAGCCAACGTCCGAGCAAATGATGCAGGAAGTGAAACGCTATCGGGAAACAGCGTCCGCCAAAATCCACAGCGCATATCCATTCACCGTTCAGTTCCCCATCTTCGAACTCCAATGCAATGACTTCATCAACAGCTTGTCGGAGCGCGCGTTTGATCTCAGCAGCATCATTTTGAACAACTTGGGCGTTTTATTCAGGGAAGATTGCAATAAGATCACTGCGTCGTTCGAGAAGATTTCGAAGACGATGCTGACGCCACCGACAAACGTGGAGGAGATGGTTGGCCTGCAGAAGTTCATTGATACTACGAGGACCGTCACTATGCGGACTTTGGAGGATCAGGTGGATGAGGCCAAGAAGAGGTGAGAGATGGAAACGTCCCAATACTAAGCGCATCGCGATTTGAGTATCCCCAGCTCAAACGAATCTCTGATTGTAGGCTCAATTTCATGCTCATATATTCGAACCTGACGGTAGAGGACTATGATCAGAACACCGAGCTCTTCACCTGGCCCTCGAAAATGGCGCCAACCTTCGCCGACGCCGAAACTCTCTTAACCGCATCTCGCACATCCAACCAAGAAGAGCTGAAGGCGAGGCGCGAAAAACTCTTGGGAGAGCTCGACGGTTATGCGAAGCAGATTGAGGAGTATCACTCTTTCGGGAATTACGAGGAGATCACCAAATACTTCAAAGCCGCTCAAAAGCTCCAGGCCAGACTGGACTCCATCGCTGAGCGCATTATGGTGTTCAATAGAGAGGAGGAGATGTTCGGATGGGAGACCACAAAGTTCCTGGCGCTGAACGCTACCATGGACTCGCTGGCGCCATTCTTGACATTATACCAGACGTCTGTCGACTTCCAGCGCTGCTACCACAGCTGGATGACGGGTCCTTTCCTCAAATTGGACCCGGAGGTTGTTGAGGCGGAAGTAACAACGATGCGGCGGAATATCTTCAAATTGTGTATCCAGTTCGAGAACGACCCTGCACCTTTGGAGATTGCTGAAATTACCAAGGAGAACATCGAACGGTTCCAGATTTCTCTGCCACTCATCAGCACGCTGTGTAATCCTGGCTTACGGGAACGGCACTGGAAGGAAATCAGTCAAGTCGTTGGATTCAGATTTCAGCCCGACGAGTCAACAAGTCTATCTGGAGTATTGGAACGGAACTTGGCGGAGTTCATGACCAACTTGGAGCAGATAAGCGGCGTCGCGACAAAAGAATACTCTTTCGAGAAGGCATTGCAGAAAATGTACACGGAATGGCAGGATGTCGAATTCGGCACCGTGGAGTATCGGGATACCGGAACACATATTCTATCTTCGTTAGATGACATTCAATCCTTGTTTGACGACCACATTGTCAAAACGCAAACGATGCGAAGTTCGCCCTTCATCAAAGCTTTCGACGAAGAGACAAGGGCCTGGGAGGAGCGTCTCCTCACTATGCAGGAAATTGCGGATGAGTGGCTGAAAGTTCAGGCCACCTGGCTGTATCTGGAGCCGATCTTCTCATCTGAAGACATTATGCGGCAGATGCCTACGGAAGGAAAACGATTCGTGTCCGTGAACAAGACCTGGAAAGACATCATGGTGTATACCAATCAGGATCGCCATGTCCTACGCGTTTGCTCCATGCCCGATCTGCTGCAAAAGCTGAAGGAGAGCAACATAGAGCTCGAGCTGATTCAGAAGGGTCTCAATCAGTACCTCGAGGTGAAGCGATTGTACTTCCCTCGATTTTTCTTCCTGTCGAATGACGAAATGCTCGAGATCTTGTCGGAGACTCGGGACCCTAAGCGTGTCCAGCCACATCTCAAGAAATGCTTCGAAGGTGTCAACAGTCTCGAGTTCGATGAAGAGGTCGAAATTCTCGGAATGTACAGTAGTCAGAAAGAGTACATCAAGTTCAACAACCCAATCTCCACCGCCGCAGCGGCAGGTGCTGTGGAGCGGTGGTTGTTGGATGTCGAGAAGGCTATGTTGGCCAGCATGCGAACCGTCACAGCTGCTGCTTTCGACGATTACAAGGTGACGCCACGAGAACAGTGGGTGCTAAATTGGCCAGGGCAGGTCGTCTTGGGAGTCAGTCAGATTTTCTGGACAAAGGAGGTCGAATTCGCCATTCTCGAAGGTCGAAAAGACGGTCTTGCGAAATATGCCGACCAGAACACCGAAAGGCTTTCGAAAGTCGTTGAGCTGGTCAGAGGAGACCTCTCCAGGCTCTCGCGAACAACCCTTGAAGCTCTAGTCGTCATTGATGTTCATGCTCGCGATGTCGTCACGACTTTGGATGAGAAGAAGGTCTCTAGTACGGCGGATTTCGAGTGGCTGAGTCAACTGCGATACTACTTCCCCGACAAGGAAACGGGGCTCATAGTCAAGATGATCAACTCCGTTCAGAAATACGGGTACGAGTACCTGGGCAACACTGCGAGGTTGGTCATTACGCCTTTGACCGATCGTTGCTATCGAACGCTGTTCGGAGCGCTGCAATTGAACTTGGGCGGAGCTCCGGAAGGCCCTGCTGGGACTGGGAAAACGGAGACCGTGAAAGATCTTGCGAAAGCTCTCGCCATGTTTTGTGTCGTGTACAACTGTTCTGATGGTCTGGACTACATCGCGATGGGGAAATTCTTCAAGGGACTCGCATCAGCTGGCGCTTGGGCTTGCTTCGACGAATTCAATCGCATTGACTTGGAAGTGTTGTCTGTGGTGGCGCAACAGATTCTGACAATCCAGCGTGCAAAAGCGGCCAAGCTGGAAATCTTTACATTCGAAGGAACCGAGCTGAATCTCAACCCCGTCTGCAACTCGTTCATCACTATGAACCCGGGGTACGCAGGACGGAGTGAACTGCCCGATAACTTGAAAGCTCTGTTCCGACCGGTAGCCATGATGGTACCTGACTACACGCTGATTGCGGAAATCAGTTTGTACAGTTTCGGGTTCGTCAACGCACGAGGTTTAGCTGTCAAGATTACGGCCACCTATCGACTCTGTTCCGAGCAGCTCAGTTCGCAAGATCACTACGATTACGGCATGAGAGCCGTGAAATCGGTCTTGAACGCCTGCGGAGCGCTGAAGTTGAAGTATCCAGATGAGAACGAGAACATTATCGTTTTGCGATCCATCATCGATGTGAACCTCGCAAAATTCTTGGCTCAAGACATTCCACTATTCCGCGGCATCACAGCAGATTTGTTCCCTGGGGTCACATTACCTACTCCAGACTACGAGCGTTTGATCAAGGCAATTGGGTCTACCTGCGTCAAATCCAATCTCCAGCTTGTGCCAGCATTCTTGGAGAAGATACTGCAAGTTTACGAAATGATGTTGGTTCGACACGGTTTCATGTTGGTGGGAGAGTCTTATTCGGGCAAGACCGCGGCCTATCGTGTCCTGCAGGGTGCGTTGACGGAGATCAACAAAGACTACCCGGATGCTGAAGCCAAAGTCGTCACCTGCATCCTCAATCCGAAGTCGATCACAATGGGTCAACTCTATGGGCAGTTCGACCCGGTGACACATGAGTGGTCAGATGGCATTCTCGCCATTGGCTTCAGGAACTTTGCTTCGAATCCTAGTCCTGAGCGAAAATGGCTGATTTTCGATGGTCCCGTTGACGCAGTCTGGATTGAAAACATGAACACCGTTTTGGATGACAATAAGAAGCTATGCTTGAACAGCGGGGAAATCATTCAGCTCTCGTCTACGATGAGTATGATCTTCGAAGTTCGAGACTTAGCTGTAGCCTCCCCAGCCACCGTCAGTCGTTGCGGAATGATCTTCATGGAGCCTGAGCGGCTTGGGTGGCGCGACACACTCTTCGTGTCATGGCTCAACACCTCGGTCCTCTCCGAGGAGCAAAAGAAGACACTGACGGGAGCCGTGGATTGGCTTGCTTCTCCAAGCATGTTCTTCGTACGGAGGAATTGCGTTGAACTATCAGAAACCGGGGATAGCAATATGATGGCATCGCTACTCAACATTTTCGAAAGTCTCGTGGATGATTTCAGCAAAGATACTACTACCCCTGGAGAGCTTACCGGTGCGATGATACAAAATTTGTTTGTCTTCGCCTTGATCTGGTCGGTGGGAGCCAGTGTGGATGAAAGCGGGCGATCGAAGTTTTCGGCAAATCTCCGCAACTTGTTGGGAACCGCACCACCAAGGGATTTCCCGAACGCTATCAAACTCCCCGAAGGATCGGTGTACGATTTTATGTACGATAAACGGGACGGTGGTGCCTGGCGACCATGGGTGGAAACCATCGCCACGAATTGGACGATACCTGCGAAGGTGAAAGTGGACAACATCTTAGTACCGACAGTGGACACGGCACGGTACGGGTTCCTGCTGTCTCTACTTGTGCGCCATCAGAAGCACGTCCTCTTCGTGGGTCCTACGGGTACCGGCAAGTCGATGTATATCCGAGATGGGTTGATGAACAAGCTTGCGAAGGACGTCTTCGTTCCAAACTTTATCAACTTCTCTGCCCAAACGACGGCCAACCAAACTCAGGAAATCATCGAGTCAAAATTGGACAAAAGGCGAAAGGGGGTCTTTGGTCCTCCTATGGGCAAGCGGGCGGTATTTTTCGTTGATGATCTGAACATGCCGGCTCGCGAAGTATACGGAGCACAACCACCCATAGAGCTATTGAGGCAGTGGATGGACCATGAGGGATGGTATAGCGACAACACTTTCCTGAAGTTTGAAGGGATCCAGTTTGTTGGTGCAATGGGACCTCCTGGGGGCGGGAGAAACCCAGTGACATCAAGATTCTTGCGGCACTTCAATACCATCACGATCGCAGCCTTCGACGACCCCACGTTGCAAAGAATATTTGAAACGATTCTTGAATGGCATTTAACCTCGAACAACTTTCCGAAAGAGATTGCGGAGTTGACGAAGCCTATCATTGAGGGAACAAGGCAGATCTACAGAGGCGCAATGTTGAATCTGTTACCTACGCCCAAGAAGTCGCACTACACCTTCAACCTTCGAGATTTCGCTCGTATTGTACAAGGTGTACTGTTGTCGAGACCTGATACTATCACGGACAAACCCAAAATGGTGCGGCTATGGCTTCACGAGGCATACAGGGTTATCTATGATCGGCTCATCGACGACGAGGATAGGAGTTGGTTCTTCAATTATGCCAAAACCCAAGTGTTGAAGGATGCTTTCAAGATGGACTTCGAGCAGGTCTTCGAGACTTACGATAGTAACAAAGACGGAAAGGTCGAACTTGACGATTTAAGAAGTTTGATCTTCGGCACATATTTGTCACCACGGGATGCCACAGGCCGAGCTTATGATGAAATCAGCGACCTTGGTCAACTGACCGAGTTCATGGAGAAAAGCCTCGCCGAATACAATCTTGTTAGCAAGAAGCCAATGAACCTGGGTATGTCGTCCGGTGGGATTTGCGACGGACGTTTTGAGCTAATGTGCTGCATTTACTCCAGTGATGTTCCGATTTGCTATTGAGCACCTATCTCGCATCAGCCGAGTCTTGCAACAACCCCGTGGGAACATTCTCCTGGTTGGGGTCGGGGGCAGCGGGAGGCAAAGTCTGACACGTATGGCAGCATACTTGGCCGAGTACGATGTCTTCCAGGTGGAGATTTCGAAGAACTACAACGTGCAAGCGTGGCATGATGATTTGAAGAAAGTCTTTAAGTCGGCCGGCGGGCTAGGCAAACCGACCATCTTCCTGTTCAGCGACACTCAATGTCAGGATGAATCGTTTTTGGAAGATATCAACAACATGTTGAACGCTGGTGAGGTGCCCAATCTCTTTGCGACGGACGAAAAGCAGGAGCTTTTCGACTTGATGCGATCGGACACTCGAGGCGGTGGGGGTCGTGGAACAGATTCATCACCAGCAGCCATGTTCCAGTGGTTCTTGGAAAGATGCAGAGAAAATCTGCATATCTGCTTGTGCATGTCCCCGGTTGGAGACGCCTTCCGTAATAGGCTGAGGAAATTCCCCTCGCTCATCAACTGTTGCACTATTGACTGGTTCTCGGACTGGCCTGACGATGCTCTTGGGGCAGTGGCAAACAAATTCCTTGCGGATGTCGAGATGGAAGACCACGTGCGAGTGAGCGTGGTGCAGATGTGCAAGTACTTCCACGAGAGCACCAAAGCTCAGTCTGGCAAATTCTTGAGCATCTTCAAACGACATAACTATGTTACGGCGACATCGTTCATCATGCTCATCAAGACATTCATGGACCTTTTGGCCCTGAAGCGGGCGTCGGTGTCAAAACTACGAGATCGATACGTAAATGGTCTTGAGAAACTGGCATATGCGCAGGGTGCAGTTTCCAAGATGCAAGTGGACCTTGGAGAACTGCAGCCGCAGCTTGTTAAGACCCAGGCAGAAACCGATGTTATCATGCTTCAGATCGAGAAGGAATCGGTCGAAGTGACGCAAGTGAAAACGGTCGTCAAGGCTGACGAAGAAGTCGCGACAAAGAAAGCCAATGAAGCTACGGCAATTAAGGAAGATTGCGAGGCTCAACTGGCAGAAGCAGTTCCAGCTTTGGAGTCGGCTTTAGCGGCGCTGGACACTTTAAAAAAAGCGGACGTGGATTTGCTGAAAACTATGAAATCTCCTCCTGCCGGTGTCAAGTTCGTTATGGAAGCCGTCTGCGTGATGAAAGACGTGAAACCGGTCAAAGTTGCGGATGCGAGTGGCAAAAAAGAGGAGAGTTACTGGGCTCCAGCACAAAAGATGCTGGGCGACAGTTCCTTCTTGGCGAGTTTGAAATCGTACGATAAGGATAACATCGATCCTAAAATCATGAAGGTCATTCGCTCCAAATTCATCGAAAATCCGGAGTTCGACCCCGAGAAGGTGGCGAAAGCTTCTTCGGCTGCCGAAGGTCTTTGTCGTTGGGTCAGGGCTATGGAACTGTACGATAGGGTAGCGAAAGTCGTCGCACCGAAGCGAGAAGCTCTCGCCAAGGCAGAGGGAGAGGTCGCCGAAGTCATGGGCAAGTTGAAAGAGAAGCGAGACGCTCTGAAGGCCGTTGAGGACCGTATGGCAGCTTTGGAGAACAACTTCAAAGCAATGACGGATAAGAAAGACGCTTTGGAGAAGCAGGTCGTATCAGTTTCCAACCAGTTGATTCGAGCAGAAAAGCTGATTGGGTCGTTGGGTGACGAAAAAGATCGTTGGACGCAGACTGCTCACGACCTGCAAAAGCAGTATATTGCCTTAACTGGAGATGTTCTCGTAGCTAGCGGAATGGTCGCCTACCTTGGGGCATTTACGAAAGCTTATCGCGACGAATGTGTTCTGGATTGGACGAAAGCTTGCAAGGAGAAGAATATACCGTGTTCGGAATCAGATGATATCAAACTGGCGAACGTTCTTGGGGATCCTATTCAGATCAGAGAATGGACACTCTGCGGACTCCCTAAAGATTCTTTCTCGATTGACAACGGGATTATGATTCAAAACGCACATCGTTGGCCATTGATGATCGATCCGCAAGGGCAAGCGAATCGGTGGATCAAAAACAAAGAGAAAGCGAAGAACTTGCAAGTAATCAAGCTCACCGACTCGGATTACATCCGAACGCTCGAAAACGCCATACAGTTTGGAACTCCCGTTCTATTGGAAAATGTTCTTGAGGAAATCGATCCTGTTCTCGAACCCCTACTTCTCAAACAAACATTCCGTCAAGGAGGTGTGGTATGCATCCGTCTCGGTGACAGCACCGTAGAGTACTCGCCAGAGTTCCGATTCTACATAACAACGAAGTTGCGAAATCCACACTACCTGCCGGAACTCTCTACGAAGGTAACTTTGCTGAACTTCATGATTACTCCTGAGGGGCTGGAGGATCAATTGCTCGGTATTGTAATCGCCAAAGAAAGACCGGAACTGGAGGAAATGAAAGCGCAGCTTGTTATTCAAAGTGCTGAAAATAAGAAGCAGCTGCAAGCTGCTGAATCGAAGATTCTGGAAGTCCTCTCATCGTCCGAGGGCAACATCTTGGAAGATGAAACCGGGATCCAAATTTTGTCTTCGTCAAAAGCATTGGCCGTAACGATCAACGAAAAGCAAGTGGCGGCGGAGGCAACCGAGAAGACGATTGATGAGATTCGTGTGGGATACAAGCCAATAGCTGGTTATTCATCCTTGCTGTTCTTTTGCATTGCGGATCTTGCAAATATCGAACCCATGTACCAGTACAGCTTGACCTGGTATATCAATCTCTTCGTCACATCGATAGAAACAAGCGAGAAATCTTCCGATGTTGAACAACGGTTGACAACGTTACGAATTCATTTTACGGAGGCTCTCTACCGAAACGTTTGTCGATCGCTGTTCGAAAAAGATAAGCTTGTGTTCTCCTTCCTCTTGACTGTGGCGATTCTGAGAGGTCGGGGAGAAGTGAATGGAGACGAATGGAGATTCTTGCTTACCGGTGGAATGGGCATCACTGGCAGTAAAACTCCCAAACCGGACACACCATGGCTTGGTGAGAGGTCATGGAACGAAATATGCCGCTTGTCATCCTTACCTCCTTTCCAAGGATTCGACGTCGATTTTGTTTCTAACATTGACGAGTGGAAACGATTGTTTGATAGCCCAACGCCGCAGACTATTCCTCCTCCTGGGAAGTGGAAGGATACCTTGGATGCGTTCCAAAAGCTGTGTATTCTAAGAGCACTGCGCCCGGATAAAATGATAGCCGCCATTACAGTGTTCATTATCGAGAAGATGGGCAACAAGTTCGTGGAACCCCCGCCTTTTGATCTTGCTAGTAGCTACCAAGATTCAAATACTACGTCTCCGTTAATCTTCGTGCTGTCACCTGGAGCGGACCCGATGACCAGCTTGCTGAAGTTTGCGGACGAGAAGAAGATGGGAGGCTCGCGACTCAACTCTATTTCGCTGGGTCAGGGACAGGGACCCATTGCAGCGAAGATGATCGCGGCAGGGGTACAAGGCGGAACTTGGGTAGTTTTACAAAACTGCCATCTTGCCATCAGCTGGATGGCTAGTCTGGAAAAGATCTGCGAAGAGCTTGCGCCAGAGACGACTCATCGCGACTTCCGGTTGTGGCTCACCTCGTATCCGAGCGATAAGTTCCCGGTGACGCTGTTGCAAAACGGTGTGAAGATGACAAACGAGCCTCCTGCAGGGCTACGGGCGAACTTGACGAAATCGTACAACGGCGACCCCTTGAATGACAAAACGTTTTACGAAGGATCACCAAAGCAGGCCGTCTTTGAGAAGATGCTTTTCGGGTTATGTTTCTTTCACGCAATCATTCAGGAACGAAGGCAGTTTGGACCCATCGGCTGGAACATTCCTTACGAGTTCAATGACACGGATCTGCGCATTTCTGCACGCCAGCTGCGAAACTTTCTGAGCGAGTATGACACCGTTCCATACGATGCTTTGTCATACCTGACGGGTAGGTCTGCCAAATTTCATTCTTCTCATATCAAGGAAATGCTAAACCAGATCTCTAGGTCAATGCAATTACGGTGGGCGCGTGACGGACGACAAAGATCGTCGTTGCCTGATGACGTTACTCGACTTGTTCTATACGCCGCAGATTGAGAAAGACAAATACAGTTTCTCGCCTAGTGGTAAATATCACGTTCCGGACAGCACCAGTTACTCGGGAGTTCTTGAGTACGTGAAGACCCTGCCTTTGGAAACACGCCCCGAGGTCTTCCACTTGCACGAGAACGCTGACATCACCAAGAGTCAGCTCGACACGGACAATTTCTTTCGATCCATTATGTTGACGCAAGGCAACACGGCATCTTCAGGGTCCAGATCCACCGAGCAAATCGTGTCGGAGGTCGCTTCGGATATGTTAGCTCGGTTACCGGAGGCATTTGACCTCCACGAAGTCAGTACAAAGTATCCGGTGACATACAGCGAAAGCATGAATACCGTTCTGCTTCAGGAAGTCATCAGATTCCGAAATCTGTCGGAGGTCGTTCGAGGGAGTCTGAAGAATATCCAAAAAGCCATCAAGGGTCTTGTCGTTATGTCTGGCGATCTGGAGGACGTGCTGCAGAGTATTTTGGTCGGGACGATACCAAAGATGTGGGCTGGAAAATCCTACCCGTCGATCAAGCCCTTGCCGTCGTACTTCAATGACCTGCTCCAACGATTGGCGTTCTTCCGTACCTGGATCGACAAGGGGCAGCCGATCGTCTTCTGGCTTAGTGGCTTTTTCTTCACGCAGAGCTTCCTCACCGGATGTCTACAAAATTACGCGCGAAAGTACACCATTCCTATCGATCTTCTCGGGCTGGAGTTTCAAGTGCAGGCGACACGGAGCGCTGGTGTACGACCAGAAGAAGGGGCTTACATCAACGGGCTCTTCTTGGAAGGAGCTCGATGGGACATTCAGGAAAACTCGATTGTTGAGAGCTTCCCGCGAGTGCTTTACGATTCAATGCCAATCATTTGGCTGAAACCCGGGGAACGAAGTAAATTCCAGACGAACAACACGTACGATTGCCCGGTATACAAAACGAGTGCTCGACGTGGTACACTCTCCACTACCGGGTAAGGATTCTAACTACCCCACAGATTTGGTCTCGACACCGTTGCTCACACATTGGTCACTTTCGTCCTACAGACACAGCACAAACTATGTTATGTCTATGCGGCTGTTGACTAAGGATCCCGAAGATCAATGGGTCAGGAGAGGTAAGGACCGCTCGCAAAGCTGTTTCACAAGAGCATATGGCTGATTCTTATCCCGTCCCCAGGCGTGTGTGGACTGCTGCAGTTGAACGATTAGACTTCCGTATTTCTCAGATGTACCTACCTGTATTTATGTGGCATCTAATGCTGTTGTGTGTATTAGTCTAATGATGCGGCGGTAATAACGTCAATACGCCCTTACCAAATGATTGACGGCAAACTGTCACATATTGCGTTTGGAACTTGGAAGTAGAAGTAAAAGAGAGTTTAATAGCGAGTTTACTTGCGCTACCGCACGTGATCTTCCGTTGCGCGGCGACATTTTCATGAGACCACCAGACTTCCTCCCTTGGCCAGAACATCGCAATTCTGACGACGAACACCGTCGACGATCTAGAGCCGCCGGTCGCGGCAAACTCACCGTACAGATGGCATCGTGCTGTTCGCTGCTAGCCGGAGGCAAAGCTCTCCCAAGAGTACTGTCGCCAGGTCTGGCTGGACCACTCTCCCGGCCTCGTCTCTATCACCAGCACCTGCCTTCTCTTGCGCAACGCTCGGCATGCTCCCACTTCCACTCACAACCGAACTTCGCCTCGCCATCCTCAACCGTAACGAGGCTTCTCAGTCGCACTCAGCAGTACAGCCAAACGCAACCATTCGCCCCTAAGCAACTCCTCCAAGTCCGTCACAGGACATATCGCAAATCAATCACCAAACCACAAAAGCGGTACTTCAAATGGGTGGAAAGGCTCAAGAAGCAAGGTCTCGAACCACCAAAAGTCGAGCGCCCTGTGATGGAAAACAAGTTTTGGAAGGTGGTGGGAAATATGAAGGTGTACAAAAACGTCTCCAACGGTTCTCGCAATAGGCGGCACCCGACTCGATTTCACTTGTGGAAGGGCAGTTGCATCAAGCGCCTCTCGTACGGCAAACGATCCACCGGTGGAAGGAACAACACGGGCAAAATCACCGTTCGCCATCGCGGTGGAGGACACAAGAAGCGTGTTCGTACCGTCGACTTTCTCCGAAACACTCCTGGGCCCCACGAAGTTGTGCGGCTCGAATACGATCCGAACAGGACTGGCGAGTTGGCCTTGCTCCGTAACCTTTCGACCAACGAGTTCAGCTACATCATCCGGCCAGCTGACGTGAACCCGGGAGACATCGTTCATTCTTGGCGTATGGGCATTCCTACGCCGGTGGATGGGGAGGAACCATTGGCGAAGAACCAGATGATTAGGAAAGGCAATTGTCTAAAGCTGAAGGATATTCCCGTCGGTACAGAGATTCACTGTATCGGACTGAAGCCGGACGGGCCGGGTATCATTTGTCGATCGGCTGGCGGATCTGGGCATCTGCTTTTCACCGCGGACGAAGGCATGGCGCAGGTTAGGCTCTCCAGTAAGGAGGTTCGCCTGATTTCCGTTGAAGCCTGTGCGACCATCGGGGCTGTCGGCAACGAGGCTCATCAACATCGAAACTGGGGTAAAGCCGGTGCGCGGAGGAGAAAGGGTTGGAGACCATCTGTTCGTGGTATTGCCATGAACCCAGTGTCCCATCCTCACGGAGGTGGTGGAAAGAGTAAGGGTGGAAAGCCACCTAGAACTCCATGGGGTGTGAAGACCAAGGGTTGGAAGACGGTCAGGAGAAAGAAGTGGTACGTCATTCGCACGAAGCGAGAGGCGAGGTTGGCACGGTAGACTGGAGCATATTAGCGTATATGGCATGTAATTATTTGGCGTTGTCTTCTGAATCATTCGTTACTCATGGATCTCAGCATGGATGTACAAGTATGCGCACGCTCATTTTGTGAAGATATGATTTTGAGACTATACGACTAGTATCATAGGCGAGTAAAGGCCCCTTGCCTTCGTCGAATATTGCGATTCATCATGGTTTGCTCCCAATCGGTCAAAGACTTTGTCCGAATCCCCAAAGCCTGGGAAAGTCGAGCCATCTCGGGATCTTCCGTAACAAATACAAAGCTGAGATCTGAATCCGCCTCGTTCTCGTGTTGCGCGGAGGTGTCCGGCAGAGCCACATTGCTATGATACCAGTGCAAGCAAGCCATTAGCCCGCGAGCTGTTTTGGGAATGAATACGCCCTTCGGCGCGTCCTGGTCGACGACCATGCCCCGCTTCGCACGGGTTTCGATGTATCCCGTTTTGACGTTCCAGGGGACAATTTGCTCGTGTTCTTGCTGAGATCGTAGAAACGGCGATCGGTATCTGAAACGCTGCTCCAGAAATCTAATCGCCTCTCGGGCCCTAGCGTTCTCCTTATCCGCGCCTTTCTTCAAATAGTCCAGATTGTCGATGACTGAAGGATGTTGTTTTAGCCAAGTAACCAGACAGCGTAGAAGGGACTCTGCGAAACGCTTCTTACCGCTTCGAGGAACGACTACGACACATTTTCCACCGGTAACCCAGCGCTTGACAGCGTTGGTGAGCTGAACGTAAACTCCCGTGTCAAAAATGACCACCGGTAGCGAGGTCTGCTTCATCTCGTTCAGATTCTCTTCCAACGTCGTCACTTGATGTTTCAGTCGTTCCGTTGCCAATGCTTGCATGAGCTTGTGCATGCCTCGTTTCTGGCAAGGGGAAATGGTATCAGAAGCTGCATGGACAATCTTCTTCTCTGGAATCTGATATGTTCATCGACACACCTTGGATTGCTGATCCGCCACGAAAAACATGCCTTCAGCCTCATCGAAGCGGAACAAATCCACACGGTCATCTTCCGCGAGCTTTTTCGCGAACTGTGCTATCCTCGCCACCCGTGCCGTCAACCGCACGTCATCCACATTCTGCTCGGCAGCAATCTGTGTATCGCTGACGGAAAGGCATAGGTTTTCGCCAGCCACGACACTTTCCAGTGACTTTGGATTCAATTTCCTGTAGAAAGGCCGCAATGGCGGTAATCCGAGCAGCTCAACGTCTTCCGGCAGAGCATCACTGCAGCCGTCCATTTCTGCGAACGACGACACCATGTTCGTAAAAGTCGCTAGCGAATATAACATATCCATAAGGGACGTTTCAAGAGCCGTCCGTCCGTTCTCGATAGTCTTCACATAGCTCGCAAACTGCGTAAACACTTCCAGTTGTGTTTGCAGCCAAACGCTCGTGACCGCCGCTGGAGCCAGGAACTTTGAGAAGATATGGTCGTCGTCGACGTCGGCAAAAGCCTCCGCCATGTCCTCCTTGTCTGAGAGATATGTCGATAGGTTGTCCAATGACAGCTTCATCAGAGTGCAGCCTGTTCCGGCGACATATACTTGTCGGCTTCGCAAAGCACGGCGGACTGAGGTATCCTCCTCCTCGACAAATCTGTGATTTAGATCCTCGTATGTGGCGATGCTAATCGGGACCGCCATCTGCAACCATCTCGCTAGGTAAACGTTGGTTGCCAATGCAGGATCGTTTATATCCAACGAAATCTTCCCGTAAAGATGAAAAAGTTCCTCGATGGGGACATCGTCGTGACAAAAGATCAAGCGATGTAGATTCAGGAAATTTGCCGTTAATGTGCCTGTCGGACTGACATCAACTTTGGAAGGGCCACCAAGAGACATGAATGACTTGTAGAAAACCGTCAAATTTTCCCTTGTGACGCTATGCCGCTGCTTGTTGACGAGGCTCAAGCAGTACCAGTAGACAGCTGCCATATTCTTGTTCTCGTAGGTAGCGGAGATTGCGAGCTGTGCGTACGGCTTCCCAACATCCGGATTGACTTTGATCGCAGTCGTATAGTATCCATTGGCAGCTTTCCAGTTCTTGTCGGGCGTCGAGCTGTGCATTTCGAGGTATCGCGAAAGATCGCCCAGCGAGACAAGGCACTTGTGTATCAAGCCGCAGAGGGATGTAAACAGCGTGTCCTCCGGTTCTAGTCTCTCTTCTTCGGCGGAGTTGGTATACCTGGAAATCGCCATTTCGACAGGATCTTTCTTCAATGCGCTTTTCAGCCATAGAATCAAAACCTGGTAGAAGCTGATGCCGCTTTTGATATAAAGCTGTAGTTCGCGAGAAATGGCCGCCTGAGAGGTAAGGTCTCCATTTGCCTGTGTGTGTGGCACCAGATGTCAGCTAAGTGGCCCCGCCAGGCAGAATAACAATCCGCATATTCCCACCTTCCTTACCGCGGACCTCAGCTGGTGGATAGCGGAGTGGAAAACCAGATTCCAAATCTTATCGTCGACCCCCTTTGACCAGGCCAGTATTGGATCAAGGATGATCAGATCTTCATATATCTGCAGCAGGGACAGTCTCAATGTTCGCCCCTCGGCGTCAAGCGGCCCAGTTTCTTGAGGTGGGTGTAACTTCTGACGTTTGCGTCGCTCCGAGTTTTTGAGACTTGCTTCGAGCAGAGCGGCTTCGCTATTGCGGGAGGACAAATGAATATCCAGCTGCCTCAAATCAATACAGCAAGGCTCTCACCTCCAGAGAGTGGAGAGTTCCTGAGACCTGAACCGAGGTGGTATGTTCGTCATGTTGGCAGCAGTCGGCGCCTTGCGGGAACAACCAAGATCAGAGTCTCACTGCGAGGTTTCGGCACCCCCATCTGGGTGTTTGATAATATCAGCTCGATTTTCTAGAGGCAGCTAAGGCTACTATTGGCTTGGTTGGGCAAGTCTGCAGAACTCTGCTGCCATTTCTGCACCTTGAGGACTTGTGAAATGGGGGAGACTAATGAAGAGATTCGAAGCTCCGGGGAGAGCGCTGGGGAGCTGGCTGGGGAGAGCGCGTCTTCCGGGGTGTCTGCTTCTCACCTGCTTCTCACCTCGTTTTCCCATCTGTTTCCTGTCTGTTTCCCTGGAGCATTTTACAGCCACCTTTGAATTCGGATCGCCAATCCTACGGCATCTACACTCGAGGTGACACTGCTGATACGGAGTAGACTCTCACGCCCCATGCTGCCTTTCATAGATCACATCCCCTCGATCGGAGGGCAGCTCGCGCTTTACGCCGCGCTATTCGTCGCCGGGATCGTTCTGCTCGAAAAAGGGGCTGATAAACTAGTCGACTCGCTCGCGATAGTGGCAAAACGATTCGGCGTCTCGCAGACGACTATTGCGCTACTGACCGCCGGCGCAGAATGGGAGGAGCTTGCTGTGGTTACTGTCGCGCTGGCGCAGGGGCACCGGGACTTGGGGCTGGGCAACATCGTTGGATCGTGTATTGCCAACGTTATAGGAAGCTTCTCGCTAGGATTGTTATTTCCTGGTGACCGCGTGTTGGAAGTCGATAGATCGGCGAGACTGTATACTGCACTCTTGGGAGTCGTGACCCTCGTTGTCGGGGCATTGGCATGGACGAACCATCTGTCGAAACCGCTGGGAGCCGGGCTGATGCTGGTCTTTGCCGCATACGTAGCAGTGGTCGGCTATGCTATCTACCGCGGAGTCATGGAACCACCGGTAGATAGCGACTCGGACAGCGAGAGCGACAGCGGGCTTAGTAGTAGTAGTGACGACGAGGAGGGATTAAATAGTGGTTAGTGTGGATCATTGCTGCTCGTTTTGCGGCTTCTTAACTTATGATGGCATTTTGGAATCCAGGACCCAACGGCGTCAGCAGAGTCGAGACGAGTAGCACGCCGCTTGTAAATGGCATCATTCCCGGGATCGGCTTGCGCCGGCCGAAAAGCACTGCATACCACGTTGCAACGGTCGGCGTAAGCTTCATCGCCTTATCCGTTTCCGGTTATTTGTTGGCCGGGTCGTCAACCGCATTCGCAGAAGCCGCCGGACTGACGGACACGGTGGTCGGGTTAACTCTGCTCTCATTTGCAACGACACTCCCTGAGAAGCTGGTGGCGGTCATGGCAGCTCGACGAGGACAATCAGGAATCTTACTCGCCAACACAGTCGGTGCAAATATCATGTTGCTGACGCTCGTACTGGGGATTGTGTTATGTACGGGAGATGTGCGACTGTCGGATAAGACTAGGATGTACGATTTGAGTGTGTTGATGGGCAGCTCGGCGGCGTTTATCGTAGTGATATATACGGGCTATCTGCGGAAGTGGGTTGGTGGACTTCTGTTAGTAGGCTATGTGGCGTACATTGTCGGGAATTTCGTGATCAAGGACGTCTGAAATCATTTGCACACGAAGAGATGATACTCATGGGAAGCGTGGAACAGTTTTTAAGTAGGCAAACTACGCCCCTGAAGCCATATTTACGACACTTTTGCCGAGCATTGCCGTTCGGGAGGGATGTTCCATCGCCCAAACTCATGCAGATTCACTCAAGGCTTCGCTACTCGATTGTGCCCCCAAAGGCTTAGGAATCAGGAGTGCGTCGGTATTCGCTATCGTGATGCAGATTGAAGAATCAGGGAGGGCCAGGATGCCCCCCAGCGTCTACGGAACATAAGGCTGCTCAAGCCGCACGACCATCACGCTCAGATTATCCGTCGAGAAATTCTCGAGTGCGTGATCCAGAAGATCTTCTGCTGCTTGTTGTGGATCACTCGTATCTCGTATCAGGTCGACGGCCGCTTGGTCGGAGCATACATCCCATACCTGATGCATATCATTAGTACTCGGGAAAAGGACGAGACCAACACTGCGAAAATGGATTTACAGCTTACCCCATCACATGCGAAGATCAGGAACGAGTCTTCGAGACCAAGGACCGTCTCTGTCGTGTACGGGCTGCCGATCACCCACTCTTTCATCGATGTGTCGCCTAGTGAACGGGTGACAGCCAGGACGCCTATTTTTGCAGGATATCTTAGCTTGAGCGTCCTGATCCTTTTGAAAGGTATTCACAGCAGTGCAACTTTCATGTGCTCACCGTTTACCCGGTTGTTCATGACAAATCCTCCCGTCTCCACTATTCGTTTGGCTTCCGCCGGATCGGAACCTTTGTGGTCGTATGATAATCTTATTGCTTTTCCGCCCCGTCTGGAAAGGTAATACTTTGTTAGTCATCAAATCCTCCAGCAAGACAAAAAGTGAGAGGAACGCTTACGAAAGTACGGCTCGTGCATCTCCAACATTGGCGGTATATAGTACTCTCTGCAGACGCGAGTGGACGGTTAGACGCCTGGTCGGTCGCGTCTCGGAATAGATATCTCCAGTTCAGCATACCCGCTTCCCGCAGTTGGCTTCTCCATCACTGCTCGCTGGTGGTCGCTCCTCGGTTTGTATGTACCCAACCACTGCCGTGCAACCAGAATAGGACGCCTTTCTCTCAGCAATCTGTGTGTCCGTCATCATAAACGTCTCGTTGAGGAGACTCGGTATCGATGACGGTTCAGCCTTTTGATACAGCGTTTCGAAGTTCTGTTCGAGAATGATTGATGATCAGACTTCGGCGTCGACTTGACGGACCTAAGAACTTCTCCCCCCACACCAACCTCATGGAGATGAGCGCCGCAATAGTCCGCTGCTGATCTTCCAGCGTGCCCGTCGTAAATCGCAAACCATCCCGCTCCACTTCTTTTCCCAAAATTGTAAAAATAGGAATGTGCGTCCTGCAAAACGAAAGCTGCTTTAAGCCCGCTTTCACTGATCCATTGCCGTCATGTCCATGCCGGTGACATCCCATACCTCCATGGTCCGCCTGTGCTTCTTATTCTTATCCTCCGCAAACCCAATCTTGAACCCGCTGGTCTTTTGCCCTTGCACCTCATCATCCCCAAATGCGCTCGAGACTGTTTCCGACTTCCCCTCGGCCCTGGTCTTCCGCGTCTCTGATTCTGCGCTGTCTGTCATATCTCGTCGCCGGGACGATGTTTTTGTCCCACTTTCTGCTCCAGTGAGTGACTCCTGCGATAGTTTGCTCCTTGGCGTACCAAGATAAGGCTCGGATCCGCGGGCCGAAGACGAAGGCGAGCGTCCACTGGCGCTGGAGTTTGCGGAAAGTGGGGTTGGGCTTTCGACGAGTGTTCTTGGGAAGTAAGGCTGCGTCTCGGAGGCGATGGCAGCTGCAGTGGCGGGAGAGAACGGGGGAGGCGCGGACGTAGCCATGGAAGGTCAGAGTACGTCTCCAATAAATGAGTGACAGCGAATGCTTGCGGTGCTGTTCTGCTCCGTTTCGCAAGATCCTCTTGTGGACGATGATGGCTGGGTCACACTTTCGGAGCGACCCCACTTATGACAAAATTGACACCGGTAATACGTACAAGTAGGGTTCCTGACCTCACACGCACAGAAATAGATCGCTTTCAATGTGATACCTGGTGACTTGTTGTTTAACGCCTTCAACACGGTTTTTCACAGCTAAGTAATAACCCACGTACAATTTTTCGTCTCTCAAATGCAGGCACTGACCACCTGCGCTAACTGCTAGCGTTCCACACCTTTGTTGGTTCCACTGTCTGATGACAGGCGCTCCCTCAGAGTCTCAGCCTGCCGTCGTTTCCCCAAAAGGGAGCGACGGATCCGCTCCTTCACTCTTATGCGTCGCTCGTCGGCTCCTGCACAATACAGCAACCCATATCGCATCGCCATCCTTGAGCCGAGGAATTGGTACCAGCAATTTGCGGGGTTTCTCGCCAAGGTCGCAACTCGCTTTTCTCTCGCTCTCTCTCTCTCTCTTTCGTCGGCTTCGCAGTCGCCGTTTTTTCTCTTGTTCGAGAGAGGGAGAGGGGACGGGCACTCGCCGCCTGGCGCCCGCCAGACTTCGCCAAGTCGCTTGCCTTGGCACCGACGCACAGGACTTTGCCGCCCAAACCAGGATCATCCTGGATCGGGAGTCTGGACCTCGCATATACTCCATCATCGACGAAGACGACCGAGCGAACTTCCCGAGGACCACCTGCAATTCTCTATGTGATGGCAATCTCTGAGGTACAGTACCCCCACCCCGTAGGGGCGAAAGCAAACGGAGACGCATAGGTACTAGCTCCGACTGTGGATGCCGCCCGATATCGGTGGAAACTCGCAGTCCAAGATAATCTCTCGCCAAATTCAAATATGCGCCAATTTCAACCGATTTCACCGGGGAAAAGATGCGTTTGACCCGCCCGTCCGCCGACGCAGGCCTTGGCGCGATTCGGGAGGATGCCACCTGCAATATATGAACTTCGAGGCGGCTCGGCTATTCAAACTTGCAAAGGCGGAATCTCGCGTTCAAAAAGCTGGAAAACGCGTTTGGTACTTACGTCACGATGGAACTGACCGAGCTCAGACCCATTGAGACTCGGCTAAGACTCCCTTCAAATTCATGGTGAAGGGAAAAGTCCTCCTCTTTGCAACATCCTACCTCGGAGAAGGCCGCGCAGGCTAACTACATCCGTTGGGAGACACCTCATTACGGATGGGATTGGAGGACCGATGCCATCCCGGGCTTTGCATCCAAGAGGCATGCCATTCCTGCACGGGAACAGTGGCCCCCTTCACAATCACCCTTCGGACTTGGCGGTTACCTCGAATTCGACATATCAAGTGATATTGAAACAACAGGTATTTACAAACACAAAAACGATCAAAAACATATGTGACAGGGCCGTTGTGCTATATCAGCCTCAGTTGGCCATCACGGCTTTCTGATATTGATAATGCTGCGACATCGGCGGCGGCGGGCTTTGTGATTGCTGCTGCTGTTGGGATTGCGCTGGTGGTGGCGTCTGCGATTGCGCTCGACTGAACGAAGGGGATCGTGTTCGATGATTGGCTTTGAAGAAATGGGGTATTTCCACAGCCTCCGAATCGAGAACGGCACGGTTTTCCCACACGGTCACGACTTGACCGAAGTCCCCTATGCGATACGACACACAGTGTGGGTCCACCCATAATACCAGCTCTGGTGGGAAAGAGAGATCTGCAGAGAGTCGGACAAAGCGTCAGTGGTCAGTTGTCCACCAAAGCCCAATTCTTGATCCGTAAAACATACCTGCGAGCTTCAAACCGGCCACTCGAACAGCATCCGAGATCACAGGTTCTACGCATCCGTTCAGAATGCACAGCGCGCGAAAAGCGTTTCCTCTACAAGGTCTTTGAGGATCCCAGTGACCTTTGTAATGCTCCAGCATCCGTTCCACCAGAGCTTGCTGGAATGCAGCGAGCTTTTCTGGGGTGACGGCCGCAGAGGAGGACTTGCTGTGGAAAAGTTTCGCCAAAAACGTTACAGCCGTCTGAACTTCTGTGTACATGTGAGAGGGGCCGGCGTGGTGGAAGTTGTTGGGGTGGTTTCGTTACTCGACTCTTCTCCCTCAATGGCGAGCGACTCGTTTGTGAATGATAAGGTAGCTAAACAGAGATAGAGGCAAAGGTGGTTAGGCTCTCGTGAAGAGGTGAGAGCGTAGTGGTCACAGTAGACTAACGTAGTGCGCCCAGTGAGTAGACAGATCCTGCTGGCAACTTTTGCGACCAACGCACTGCTGGAGCGGGTGAAGGTCTCGGGTTGGTGGGAGTTCTGTAAGAGATACAGGGAGGGCGGATCCGGTGGTTCTGTTCGGTGGGGCGCTGCTCTTTTTTCCTTGCCTGCGTGGTGTTAGGGGAGGAGTGTGAGGTGGTTCCAATGTGCACTGTTGAGAGTTGGTGAGTTCTCCCTTCGTCCCTGTGTTGAAAGCGCTCTCATGAGAGCATGGCCACGATCTTCGGATCGGCCTATTTGAAACACAAGGGTGATAGGTGACCGATCGCAGCTGCTTTGCGGGTGGCTGTGCACCGAGCAATCTCCGTCGGTGTTCTCCAGTTGGGCCATGTGTCTCGCAACTTCACAAGCAGCCAAGAGCAACACTTGGTCGAGTACAGTACGTAGCCTGGCACATAATATTTACGGATTTTGGGACCAGAATCCCAACCTCCCACGTATCTACATACAGTATGTACCAAATATGCACACATGGGCAGCGATAAATGATGCGCCGAGGATAGACTCCAAGACCATGGTATTTATACGATATTTCACTCGCCCAAGGGCCAACGGCGCACTGAGCACATCACAGGGCCCCTCTTGTGCTTAGAGCTTGGAGCACCCGTCCTAAGAAAGACACTCTTTCCGGCGTATCCCCGTCACGGGAAACCAGGGCCGCTGATGATGATAAGCCTCACAGATAATTTAACACTGACAATTGGGACAAACGACAGTGACTGAGGGATCTGGGTTCTTTTCATTTAGAACCCCTCGCACAGTCACCACATGCATACTGACGGGGAGTATCTATCCACGTTCTCCTTGAATACCCCTGCGATGGGATCGACGCCCCATAGCGAGCTTGGCTTCTTCCCATTACCATTGTCCCTATACCATGAAAGAACTGGAATCTGCTAAGCAGACTTTCTCACTCTTGTTGCCAACCTCCGACGGCGTCCAACTCCTTCCTTCCATTCACGTGCGCTTGCGAGAAAACAAGACTCGCCTGTCTCGCCTTCGCAGTGGCCGAAAGAATTGGGGACGATTTGACAACGGAAGGGGAGAAAGCCCGTCGTCATCGAGAGAGTAGTTTGGACCCTCACAGAAGAGCGCAAGAACCAAGGTCTTTCCGGCGGAACGCAACGCTTTGTACAGTATATGTACCACAAATTTCCAATCTCTCATCAACGCGGTCCCTGCTCACAACGCGCAGACGGGTTACTTCTCACCAACCCTCTCACCATTGCAGTGTGTTCCGTTGGAATAGAAAAGGAACACTACGCCCTCAACACCAGCTCTACTTCGCTACTCTTTGGACGACAGCCCAGTGCCCAGTGAGACCTGGATAGACCCGTCCGCGCGTTCGTCACCTCCTCGGCACAGCCATAAGATCACCATTCAAGGACGAGCCTAAGGGTCTTCCATTCCCGACCGGTCTTCATCAGTGACAAAGCGACCCCCTTCATACGCTCTGCTCTCACTTATTCATCATGGCACAACACTCACCGGTCAAGACGGGTATTCCGCCCATCGCCTTGGACTTTGACCTGGTAAGTGGGCTTACATACAAAAAGACTCTTGTCGTCTGATCTGGGTCGCTTCGAGGCATAGAATACTCCGCTGGAGCCCATGGCATCCTGTACACGTCCTGCATACGCAGAGGTGGTCAGCCGGGGAAGGGGGTATTGCTCGGTGGGGGTTTTGCGAGGGTCTTTCCATCGTGTCTGTGTGCACACGCGTTGCACCCCTTCCCTAGAGTCCGACGCGTTAACGCCCGGTGTTGAAAACTGCAAACCCTGCGGCGTCATGTCAATCCTTTCTCTCTCCCCGTTAAACCTCAAACTCAAAATACTACAAACTTTTGCGTATTTTAACAGATTTGCCGACTACGCCATTTCGCGAAGCGCCCTAGCATGATGAAAGCAAACCCATATGTGAATCTATCGAAGCTGGACCTTACGGCCTACGTGGGAGACATCAATAATCGGCAAAAGGACATAGGCGAATCCAAACGGCAACGCCATGGCAGCCTCGGCCAACAAGGTTGTGCACATCTCGATATGCCGCGCGGAAGGAGCACGCCGACTCGTGCATCGGAGTTTGCACTGAAAGCAACACCACCACCGAGAGCACGAAGATCCGGATACCTACCTCTGAAGCGATCGGCTGAAGAAACATCCCTACTCTCCGTCGCCAGACGAGCCAGGTCTGAACCACGAGGACAAAGAATGCTAGATGCTCTTTCCCCTCGCGATGATCTCGACATGTTAGAGGCCGATATGAGCCCCTTCGCAGCCACACCTTCCCGCAAGTCTCACAGTAAAGATGCTGGCAAATCGTCAACTACGAGCTCTGCACTATTCGCTGACGTTTGGAAGACGGCCCCTCAAGCTCCCTCTCGCTTCCTGGACAACATTGAAATTGCATTCAACTCGCCCGGCCTGAACGATGTATCTTCCCTCGATGTCACCCATCTGGCATGGTTTGGCTCGGAGTTTGGCACATCCGACGAGGAGGACATGCATAATACCGATGGCAGATGCCCTTCGTCCGATTTCTCGCTGCTCGATCATCACTTTTCTTCATCGCCCGTACTTTATGAACCACCAATGGCGTTCCCGACATCTTTCGATGGCTTCGGAACCAGATCACTCGACGAATTTTCACTTTCCACCGATGATACTGCTGCGAAGGCTCGTCACAGCGAAACAAGTGAGGAGCGTACCTTCGGGATGGGATCAGCACCTGCACCTCTTCGCAAAAGAAAACACGCCGAGCTGAGCGATAAAGGCGTGACAAAGGTCGTTGGAGCTGCTGGGAAGGAGAACTGTTCTCCCCGCTGCAACGTCTCTCAAGCGATGAGAATCAAACACAACTGCGACGCTGACGAACAGACGCGGTCTGGCAATATACTAGCCTCTCGTACTGAGGGTGCACGGCAGTGGTCATACAAGAAAGCAGCCGGCCGACCCGAAGGCGTCAAAACGACCATTCTGAGTGCACCAGGGCCGAACGCTCTGCACCTCACAGAATCCGACCCAGCATTGCGTTCCGCCTCGTCTTCCTATCTCCACGGGGCGGCCGCCATCTCAGCCCCATTCCACGACTTGGATATCCCGTGGATCGACATCATCCCCGTCCACGACCACGAGCATCACTACCACGCATATACCCCATCATCTTCATCCACACTCTGCGATCTCCCGCTGGACTGGCCATGCACACCGCCGTCGTGCCTGACCACGCCAAACACATTTCATTGCTCTCATACTCACCAACACGTCCTTCAACACGCCGGGATGCTGTGCAGTAGCCCGCTACGACCGGGATTTGGACTGGAGGCGGGTGGTCGGGACCCCTTCTTCGGTGCGGAGCGAGTCAAGGCGTTCGATCTCGATATTTAAACATGGGTCTTTTTTGGCTTCCCGATACTGGCTTAGAGAACCTCGCCTCGCTTTTCGTTCCTTCTGCCGGTGGATATTCTTCTCCTTAGCTCCCCTGCATAAACCGCACTTCCCGTACTTCTACCACTAGTTTCACCGCTGGTTTCCGGTTGGATTAAAATCTGTACATTATTTGCTTGTAGTACGTTGTAGGCTCTTTCCCCGTCTACGGCGCTTTGTTCCTTCTTGCATATCCTTTTCTTTCGTGTATCTCTTTTCGGCCGTATCCAGTATCGTAGATACTTTCCGTTTTCGTCGCTAAATTATGACTTTTGGCCCCTATTCTGTACATTCGTTCTTGGCTTCGTCTTTCGCTTTGGCACGTTCGCTGATACCTCTTTCAGCTGCGACGGAACCGCTCCCAAACTGTACGAATCGGACAAAGCCACATGATTTGAAAACGGCGCTCGCACACCGGTATGTAATGACAGAAAAGCAATTTAAAATACAAGTCGAACAGTGTAAGCGTAATTGAAGTGATGGGGAGTGCGGGCGAGTTAAAATAAAATACTCTTCGTGAAGTGTTTGAGGCTCACTAATTCTATATTTCAGTTCGAGGCGTTCGGGTTGAGTGTTCAATCCTCCTCTTCGGAGTCGTAGTCTCCAGCCTCGCCCTGGGCCTTGATACGGTCGGCTCTCCTCTTCTCCTTCTGCTTCAATTCCTGTTGAGTGAAGGCATAATCGAGTTACTACCGAGTGACACAACGGAAATGACAAATAAGCTCAGCTCTGTGAAGCATACCTTACGCGTCAACTTTCTCTTCGACTTGACCTTAGTGACGTTACCGAACGCATCCGTTACCGTCTCCTGCTCCTTCATCTCGATCTTCTCGACGGGCATGTCACGCTTGGCACCCTCGATACGGAGTTTACCGGCGTCGACATTCCACACTTCAGGGCAAATGGCGCCAGTGAACTCCCTGTTGTGGGAGATGATGACGACACCACCTCCGTAGTCCTGGATCGCTCCAGCCAAAGCACCGAGAGAGTCACGGTCCAAATAGTTGGTAGGCTCGTCAAGAACCAACATGTGGGGGTTGTTCCACATGGCAGCACCAAGAACGACCTTGACCTTCTGTCCACCGGACAGACCACGGATACGGGAGTGGGTGGCGAACTCGGCGGGGAGACCGACATCCTCCAAATGCTTCTCGACACCCTTCTGTGTCAGGGGACGAGCGTACATGCCCTCCTTGGCGGCTTCCCTCTCATCGAACCAGTTGACGAGCTTCTCGAAACCCCAGTCCTCGAGACGGTCACGAGAGTGCCAAGTGTTGTCGTCGTGGGGACGGTTCAACCACTTAATCTCGTACTCGTACGAACGCTTGGCCTTACGACGACCGACGATGTCCTCAAACAGGCGCTTCTCAGCCTCAATGACGATGGGTTTCTTGATGGCGGCCTCCTCCTCGGGGGTGAGCTGGCGGGCGGCCTTGACGAGAGACTCACGGTCCTCTCCGTACTGGTAACGCCATCGGATGTATTCGTTGGGGGTCTTGTCCATGTGTTGCTCAACGTGGTGGAAAGCGTGCTGGGCGACGTAAGCGACACGCAAGTTGGGGTGCTTCCACACATCACCCTCGACGGCGACAAGCTCTCCGGTCAAGATCTTGATCATAGTCGATTTACCGGCTCCGTTGGGTCCGATGACGGCAACACGGGAGTTCAGCGAGCACTGCAGGGAGATGCCAGTCAAAGCGGGCATGGGGCGGCCGGGGTACGTGAAGTTGACACCGATCATCTTGAGAATGGCCTTGTCCTTGGACTTGATACCTTCAAGGAATCCGGGTTCGGGGAACTTGAACTTGACGGTGGCGGCGGACAGCTCGTAGTAAGACTTGGCCTCAGGCTTCTGCTCGACAAACTTGGACAGGTTACCACGGTAAGTCTTGAGTTTACGGTTCTCGTAGTGGATAATGTTGGTACACGTCCTGTCCAAGAAACCGGAATCGTGGGAGACGATCATAGAGGTGACGTTGGGCAGGTTGGTGAGGTAGTTGACCAACCAGGTAACGTTGGCAACATCCAAGTGGTTAGTGGGCTCGTCGAGAAGCAAGATGTCGGCCTTCTCGAGCATAGCACGAGCGAGCTCGAGCTTCATTTTCCAACCACCAGAGAGGGATCCGACGGGTTGAGACAGACGGCCGTCATCGAAACCGACGCTGCGGAGAGTCTCCTCGACGACGTCCTTCTGCGCCATCATGTGCTCGGCGGCCAGGACGAAGTCCAACACAGAGAGGTCAGCATCCTCAGCTTGCAGAGTGTGCTCGACGAACACAGTTTTCAGCTCATCAGCCGGGGGGAAACCGTCCAACTGACCGTTGGCGATGGCCCTCATGAGGGTGGATTTACCGACACCGTTGGGACCGCAGAGACCGTAACGCTGACCTCGGATAAGGCGAAGCTTGGTGTTGTTCAACAAGATCATACCACCGTAGGCAAGCGAAAATTCACAGTTGCAAAGCTCTTCTCCTTCCTCGAGGTCCTCGACCTTGCCCTCCTTTTGGCGAAGCTTATCCATGGCGACGTAGTGAGCCAGCAAAGGCTTAGCAAGCGCCTTCGCCTTCTCCTCACCGATGAAGGGAGTGGCGTATGGGACGGTGGCGGCGTGCCAGTCGGGGACGTCGAAAATGCGGGAGTCGTACATGGCCTCGAGCTGAACGACGATGTACTCGGAGCTGGCAGCGTCAATGGCCTTGTCGGCACCAACGTCCTTGACGGTCTTGGCAAGGGTGTCCAAGAACTCCTGGTGAGCAGCCGCCTTCCTCTTGGCGACGGTTTCAGGGTCCTCGGTCTCGACATCGGCGCCTCCACCGACACGGATCAGAGTAGCCTTACCACGGGCAGCGATGGAACGCAACTCGGGGTCAGCTTGCACCTATAAGCGGGAAAAACGAAAATAACGGAAATGTGAGCAAAACAGATCGGAGTAAAGTGGCAAGCTCAGATCGAGAACTGGGCTTTGGAGCACATACCTCAATGATACGGTCGACACCGGGCAAGAGAGGAGGCAAGAACTGGTGAGCCTCAGCGGGGTTCTCGACAAGTTTGCACATGTTGTCAATAATGACACAAGTCTGACGAAGAACCGCAGGCTTGCGCTCAGAAAGACCACGCTGCAACAGAGGCACCATGATGGCAAGGGTGGGGGCCTGGACTTCGGTAACGAAGGTGGTAGCGGCGAGCTTGAAGACACACTCTGGGACCTCGTCGGGGTTTGCGATACAACCGATCAGTGCTGGCAAGAAGGGGATGATGTCGATGTTGTCGATGGCTCCAGTCACTTGAGTCATGGTTTCCTTAGCGGCGGCCTGCACCTCGGGCTTGGTGTCCCACATGCAAGTGGAAACAACGGGGAGAATCAAAGGGAGAGCAGCGCACACCTGGCTGGCAGAGTGCTCAGAGAGACGACCGAGGTACTTCAAAGCAGCAACCTTGGTTTGCCACTTCTTCTCGTTGGTGAGCTGGCTCAACAAGAGAGGAACGAGATACTTGACGGAGAAACGTCCGGGGCTTTTGAACAGGGCATCGGCAGCCTGTTCAGCGGCGGCCTTGACCTCCTTGTCCTTGTCACCGAAAAGCTCGAGGGTGACGGGGAGGGACGAGACGAGGTAAGGTTCACCGGAGTGGCCGAGCGCCTCAGCGAGAGCGGTAAAAGCGAGCATAGAACCTTCACGCTGGGCGGAACTCTTCTTGTGGGTGGAAGCCTTGGTCAATGGCTCCACAATGTCGTACTGGGTCAAACCAACATGGGCACCGGCGGCCTTGACCACAGAGGCCAATTCCTTCGCGGCGGCAGCACGGTCGGCGGAGGTAGCGCCGGTGGTGATCTTAGTGATAAGCTCGCCGACCTGGGCGGTCACCTTGGGATCAGCTTTGGCGGCCATTTCTGGTGATGAAGAGGGATCAGATGAAATTCGCTGAGCGGAGATTCCCACGGCAGACAGACTCTTCACTTCACAAAGCGGAATGGGCCCGAATTGGCCAACTTACTTTTTCCAGTGGTCTTTTTAAGGTACGGCTAGATTTGGGGGAGACGACAAGAGAGTCCTTTCCTACTTATGAGACCCGAGTGCCAACACCGGGAATCTTGAGGAAATCGAGAGGGAGGGAAAAGGGAAAGGAAAGACAAGGGCGGTTTTTCCAGCAGCCTGCCTCGCTCCCTGCCCTGCCCGTCTCGAATTTTTTTTCTTGTTTTGCCCAGCCAGTCGTTGCTCGCGAGAAAAGTCGTGCGCTTGCCGATCAGCATCGATAACCGCAAATGATTAGGGCGAATGAAGGAGCGCTAATCAAAACCGCGCGAACTGAAAAAATGCCCCAGCACATGTGCGCAGAGAACGAGTCTCCACAAAAATTCAAATCCGTCCATGCGCCACCCCCAATGTTCTACTGCGCCACGCCTCTCTGTTTTTTATCCGTCGCCACAATGATGGAACGCGTCAAAAGCAGCGGCCGAGCGGGACGACAAGCTCCAAACGACAGCACAGCACGACAGTACGCATCGAGATCACCGTAACAATGACAGATGCAGGGCTTGTGCAAGATACCTTCGCCCTCAAAAGAACCTCAGGAAGCAAAGGACCTACTAGCGACCATTCGCAACGTCGCGCTTCTCGACGACAACTTAGAAACAACCGGCAAAACTATAGCACGGGAAGAAAAGGAGGGGCGTCTGATAGGTCTATACTTTTCAGCTGGTAACTTAACCCTGTCTCCTCGCTCCCTTGACACCTGTTGATCTCAGTTCCATAAAGCGTGGTGTCCCCCGTGTCGACAGTTCTCTCCTCGCTTGTCGGCTTTCGCTGCTGACAATCGAAAGGACTTTCCTGTCGTTTACTGTCCACTCGATCGCTCTGTGGAGCAGCAAAACATGAACCTCGCGGACAAAGGGTTTCTCTCGTTACCCTTTGAATTGCAGTCGACTGTTCAAAACATCATGCAACAAGTAGGAGTCATGGGTATCCCTTGCTTGGTTGTCGTAAAAGATGGCGTGCAGGTCACAGATTCGGGTCGGAGTGCGGTGGCGAAAAATCCAGATGGGGCAGTGGCGGCGTGGAAGCAGGGCAAAGCAGGGGAGGGGTTACATGGGCACAACTTTTGCGATTCTGGTGATATCCGCCGCCGAAGGATTGATCTGAAGTCGGATCCTCGACGTCGGACGAGTACACTTTCGTCGATCAAGTAATCTGTTCAATGGGCCGATTGACATGCCCAAATGTCAATGGGGGCATTTTGCAAGCGGTTTTTGGCGTACATCACCATGTCTTGTGCGTTGTGCATATCCGTTCATTAGCACGTTTCGGAGACATCTTACCTATTCTAAAACATACAATTGGCCTTCAATCTGCTGTTATTCCCACCGTGACGGCCAAAGTTGTGGAGAGCAAGCCTGCCATGTCTCTCAGGCTTGCGTATAAACGATAAAATGATAGGTATGGATCCAGGTCTGAATTTGGTTATCGTAGTCGTTTGTCATGTGCACCCGTCTGGCTGTGTTTTTCTGACTGTGTTTTCCTCGTAGGATTATGGGTTCCATCAAAGCTCAGGCTCGAACCTCCCGGTGATACCGACACCATCTATTATTGCCTCCCTCATTTCATCATCGGGGGGGGGGGGGGGGGGGGGGGGGGGGGGGGTGGCGCGGGGGGGGGGGGGGGGATCGAAAGTCTCGGCTGAAGTTACGCTGGCGTGTCATTGCACACTTTTTCCCAGGCTTTCTCGAGAAGATGAAGCTTCGGGAAGACAGCCCTGCTTGCGAGCGGGATAACAGCACAAGCGATCGGAAGTCACATTTCGCACACGCTTCGGTAAGCCGTCGCTGGCTGTTACCTTGAGCCCTGCTCAGAATTCAAGCCTGGACATCCAACCCGCCGAAGCAGACATGGCTCCCAACGCCCTGAGAGGGTGGGGAACAACGGCTGCGGCTGCGGTCTGTCTCGCTGCTATTGTGGCGTACGCTGCACGCAGCAGGTCTACTGCTGATAACAAACGGGAACCGGGCACCGTTGGATTTTTTGCGTCAACCAAGCAGACGAGCCCAGTCGGTGCGCCTCTTCAGACTCGCAGCGTTAGGATGCGCAAATTGGCCCCAGCATACGACGCCGAGGAAAGGTAACGAGAAGGGTTCGAGCCATTGAAGGCATGTTCAAACCCACATCGGATTAGTGCATTGACTCTAGAACTCCACTTCTGCATTTACAGGCAGGTCGCAGAGATGATGGTCCACCTTTCTTTTGCATGAGGATGAAGCTTTCAGGATCATCACCGGTTACAAGCCATCCGTGCTATCAAAATGAGTTCCCTACAAGATGCCGCTGGAGTACGGCGTCCGTGAATGAAGTGAAATTAGATGCCGGGGTTGCCCATCGTCAACTGTATCTCCGTATCAAACCTAAATCTGTATATATATTGATATGGCCAATATCTGTTGCCTTGCCGATCGATTGACGAAGGAAGGGAGCGGGCAGGGGTGGCGCAGCCGCGGCACGTAAGCGTCGCGAATGCCTCCACTCTGCCTCCACTTCCTACAATTTCGGTTGACTGCCACATTGCCCAAATGCCAGTTGCTGCGTCTGCGAACGGCATTTCGGCGTCAGTTGATAATGTCGTCCTTCGGCCCACCGCATAGGAGGCTCTGCTCTTGTGTCGGTCCCACCTTCATTTCCGCCAAGTATGCTTTTCGTCCCATGTCCGTGACCTCGGTTATCTCGCGGAACATATCGAGCACCCGAAATCCGTGTGCAAGCTCATCGGCACGACGGTCTGATGACTCTGAGAGCAGTGACCATCGTAGTCCTACACAATCCAGGGTGCATCTTCGAGGTCCGACCTTAGACCTTGGCCTGGCCGCCGACACGCGGAGCACCAACCGGCGCCAACATGAACCGCGCTCAGGACATGCCGAGCGAGCTCGACACTTGCGTACACCACATGAGCGCCTGCAGGACACCAAGCATAATCGAGGGAAACCGAGACCGCGGCCAGATTTGCTCGATGAATCGGTCGCCAATGTCCAGAGATCACGAGAGGTGCGCCCTCCGGACTGGCCAGCGTTCGAGGCGGCGTTGAGCGAGAGGGACCGAGTCGGGAGTTGGCTCAAGTTTCAGGATATCTTGTTGGACGAGGAAGCCCGTAAGAGGCTGAAGAAGAAGCATTTTACAGATGTCGCAACTCTGCTTTTGGATCATCGACCGCCAAAGTTCGAGTTTGCCGAACTCCTTCTGAAGCAGATGAGCGAGGCGGGATTCAATCCGACAATCGATGAGTACAACATGGTCAGCTCCAAATATGCGTCAATCGGCAAGATGGTTGGCGTTCGCAAAACGCTGGAAGCGGTTTACAGAGATAAACTGCTGCCCAACACAACAACGTATAACCACTTTATTCGCGCTTATGGCAGGGTCGGGGATGTTGACGGAGCTGTCGCATTTTTTGATCGGATGACTGCCGAGGGAGTGAAACCTGACGTACAAACTTACAACGAGCTCATAGAGGCCACTGGTGCATCCAACATCGACGTGGCGAAGCAATTTCATAAGCAAATGATCGCAGCCTCCTTACAACCGGACGAGCGCACATATTCGACTCTTATTCGGCTGTACGTACGTGCCGATGATCTAGTCGAAGCTGAGCGGGCCTTTGCAGAGAAACTATCCAGCGGGTTCAAACCCGACAAAATGGATTACACGACAATGATGGGCGCATTTTCCCGGCAAAAGCAACTCGAGAAAGTGAGCGAGCTCTTTGATCAGCTAGTGGCGGCTGGGATAAAACCGGATGCCCACATATTCAATACAATCATTCACGCCAAAGCGAACTTGGGCGACCTACCTGGAGCATCTGCCGTCGTGGACATAATGTTGAGCGAAGGGGTAGACGTTGACGCTGTCACCTTCTCCACGCTTATTGCGGCGCATGCCAAGGCAGGAAAGGTCTTAGATGCGGAGAAGATCCTAGCACTACTACGTGGAAGCGAGGCACAGCATGTCAGAATGCAGCTGATAAACTCTTACAGAAGTATCATCACTGCATACGCAAAAAAGTGTAATCTCGAGGACGCGACGCGGGTCCTCCATCAAATGGAACAGGCATTCATTCCGGCCCCACTTGAGTGCTATAATGAGATTCTCGAGGCGGCCGCGAAATTGCATCGCACAGATGTTTTGGAGACGTACTGGGCCTTGTTAACCCACGAACGATCCGCATACACACCGAACGAAGTCAGCTATGCTACGGTCATCAGAGGTTTCATTGAAGCCAGGGAAGTGAACAGCGCATTAGACCTGTGGAAAGACATGGGCAAACAGCGGAATGAAGTCACCGATGCTGCGGGCAATAAAGTTTGGACACTTCGTTTTGAACCCGCCTTTAATCTGTATTTGGCGGTGTTGGACTGCGCGATTCAAGCAAACAGATGGGAAGATGCGGTGGATATCCTCGTACGGATGCGACAAAGCGAGGCCCACAAAGACCGTTCGCTGGGGAAGCATTTTGAAAAGCACTTCGAAGTTCACAGCGAACAATTCGAGAAGCTTCTTATTCAAGCGGGAGAAGATCTTGTCGCGGGCGATCGGAGTGCGGAGGAGAGCGCAGGACCGAAGATGGGCAAAGCAAATCTACTAGGCGTGACTAGACAGCACGGCGGCCATGTGACAACCGAGAAGCAGAAGTTGCAGTGCAAAACTATATTGGCCCTCTTCACCGAACTCACCCTGGGTAAACGCACGGCTTCCGAACCCGTGTACCGTTTTGCCATCGATGCATACCGGGTCCAGAACGACCATCTCGGGGCCGTCCGAGTTTACTTGGCTCTGGTAGCCGCCGTGCGCCAGGGAGAGGTGAACATGAGTGCTTCGTCTGTCACGGCCATGCTGCGCGCCGTCTTGGACGTTACTTCAATGAATCGCAAAACGTCAATGATTTTCATCGACATTATCAGAGGCAAAAGTGGCGCGAAAGAGGAACTGAAGGGGAAAGGTGTAACTCCGACTGTATCAACACCGGATATTGTGCATCCACTCGACGCAGAGGGCTACGGCTATTTGCTGCAACTCCAAATGCGCAACGGCCGCGGAGCGGACGTGATATCCACGCTGCTCGACATGGAGAGCGCGGGCTTCGAGCCCACCGCTCGAGTTTATCAGGCAGCCCTTGGTGCAGCCAACACTGTCGCGAGGGAGACTTCCGATGACTCTGTGAAAGAAGCCATTTCGGAAGCAATCGGCATGGTGAACAACTTTGTGGAAGAGCAGTTCCCAGAGCTGCTGCAGAATAAATCGAACGCTGCGCGGAGTAGCAAGAGTATTGAGGGATCGGCGGGACCTCGCTGATCTTGCCTATTGTTATCCTCAAGTCCAACAGCGGCAAACAGCCCCAAGCGCGCTATCACTGCGACTCTCCGGCCCATTCCTACTGGTACTGTTTTCGAAAAACCGGGGAAGGAAGCACGCAATGGGGAGCGGAGGTCTGTAACGTCCTAGTTGAGTTGCTAGCGTAAATCTCCTCCCATCTGACGAAGGCTACTAGAGCCATATTCGGTGTAAAGGATTCCTAGGCGCAGTTTCCATATGGCATAGTAGTAGGCAGTCGTCACGCATTTGACAAAAATATATATACAGAAATGATGCGTTGCAGTATGTTCACTAAATAGTACTAGCTGAAGCCTGATGTTATGTTGATCTACGGAACGTGCTATGCGAGATGGTATCTACGATCGACTATCATCGTCTCAGATGTCTGTATACTTGGCCCGTCTAGGCAGTCTACTTTCTACGAAGCAGGCGGACGGTCAAACTCGTTCGCCTCCTACTTGGCTTTCGAAAACTTTCCGGGCAGAAGCTCATCGACGGACTTCGCTTCGCTGAGACCTTGAAGCTTTTGCCTAGGCCCTTGAGATGGTCGCCGACGCGGGTTATTCCGTTGTTTTAAGGCTTGGCTTTGCGCCTCTCTCGCCTCAGCATCTGATTTCCCTTTCTCAATGTACTCCAGATGCTTGGCATGGTGACGCCTTAAGATCTTCTCGCTTTCCAGCATCTTCTCATCTAAATAGCTCGACAACCGCTCGCCACGGTCGGCAACGTCTCGAAGCTTTCCGAGCACTTGCTCCACGTCGAGGTTATGATTCAGCCCGAACGCAGAGCTCCGCACCGCCGGATTAGGCACCACCTCCGCGTCAGCGAAATCCCCGTCTACAAGTTCTGGCATCGGTGGGAGGGGCTGTTTCGGAGGGAGAATAGGCCCTTCACCTTCGAGGAGTGCTGCAGCCATCATCGCGTCCCTAGGATCAACCTCTTCAACTATTTTCATCCTATAGACGGGCCCCTCCGGGACGATGCCTCTCTTGAGCTGTTTGTCCATTTCCGTTTCCATCTTTTCCAAAAGTTCTCGGGCCCGCTTTGTCCTTCCAGCCTCGCCCTTTCCTCCTTGCTTTTTTCTCACATAAGGTGGGCTCAATGGTGGATTTGCGAATGTCTCATCATGTCGTGCGGCAAAATCAGAGGAGATGTCTTCGTTCAAGAGCGCTGTCGTGGTAGAGCTGAATCCAGCCGCACGCAGTGCTTTTCTGAGATTCGCTGCTTCTTGCCTACGCCTTAGCGCAGCACTTGTAGGCCGAAGACGCTCGACTTTCGTCACACGGTAGAACCGTCCAATCAGGGTTGATAGTTCACCGACCGACGTAGCTCTCGCCGAAGTCGCTCTTTCGAGCATTTCCTTTCCGCCTCTAGCATTCACCAAATCTAAATCATCCGCATCGGATTCTGTTTCAGAATCTGCATCCTCATCATTCGCATGCCCTCCTCTGATGTTTGAGCTGCTACCATACACAGCTGCAAACAATTCCAGCTCTTCTTGCACCGTGGCCGGTGGCAGTAAACCGAGATCTCGATATGCTTCCTTCAGATACACACTAGCATCGCCTGGCTCTTCTGTTACCGATGCGCGAGGCCCTTTGTGGGCTTTGGCCTCGTACAGGAGCCGTGAGGCAACAGCCTAGGACGTTGATACGCAGTGATCGTAAGCAGAGCTCTGGATTCGCGTTCCAATGTCAGTGAACAAGACCTACCAGGAAGTTGTTTTTGTAGGTCTCCATATCTGTACATTCGGCGGCACACTCATCAAGATATTGATTCATTTTCAGTAGGCCCAATATGCAATTATCTAATGCTGTGTTGTAGTCGTTCGCGACCACTCTACAGGTTTGCGGAAGTGAGAAGGTGAGATATTGCACATACCGCCATTGAGATCCTCATTCAGTTACTCACGCATGCGCCAGCACTCCACGCCAAGGAGCATCTTGCTCGAAAAACAAAGTTCCAGTGCGTGTCTATTGAGACGTGTAAGCAACCAAAGGTCGAAAGAGCATCGAACGTCATCGACTCTTGTCCCTACTCACCCAAATATCAAAATCTACGCCGCTCAGCTTCAAAGCAGTTGCAGCGGCTTTTCTGGTCATCACTCCGACCTGGCCATGCTCCAGCGTGTGTAGGTAAATTGACGCCCGTGATTCCGCAATCCCCACAGATAGTATCTTCTTTGAATGGAAGTCGGGTCGTATCCGAGACTAGATATAGAAATGTTGAGACCCCAGCATCTAGAAGGAAATTACCTCGGCACTCATTCTCTACCTGATCCATGAACCGGGCACCTTGTGCGAAGCGCACGTGTAAAGGTACGTCCTGCCGCAAGAATTTCGCCTTCCAATCCTTCAAATCCGTTTTGCAGCCAGTAGCCAGCAGAACGGTGGCAGCGCGCAAAAGAGCTGCGCTCAGGTGTGGCCTGATATGACATGCCCAATAGTTGTGCTTGGGTGGGAGGTTTGATTATTAGCCGAACTGCACATGTGAACCACTTCAGGGGATGCCACTCGTACCACATCTCCAGTATCCCAGGTCAGAAACTCGATGGTCAAAAGACCCACAATGGACTTCTCAGCGCAGGCTTCAGCGATCTTATCCAACGTTGGCTTTAAATCCTCGTGTATCTTGGCCTCCCCATGTTGTATCACTACAGCCGTTGAGGTCAGCTTATGACGATTGAGCAGCTGGAGCGGACAAACCAAACAATGGATAATATATGTGAGCAACGACTTCAGTGAAAGCAATTCCACTTGCTCTGGTTGTATGTACCACTTGCGCCACGCATATTGGTTTCCATCGACCGGATGGGCTCAAATCAATGCCCACATGCACCTGGCGGACATCCCGTGGATCACTCGTCGGATAACCCATAATGTACGCCCCGCCTTTCAACCATCGCTCAATCAGACCTGGCCAAGTCCCCGACGGGTAAACTACTCGCACTTTCAGTGGAACCTCCTCGCGCGCTCTCGACATGTTGGCAGCGATGGAGCCAGCCATCGCGGTCCTAGGCCGCGAGCCGCCCAGACCAGCTGTGGTGGCCGTGAATGGGCGTTCCGGCGGTTCACTTTCTGGAGCGGTGACTGGCCGGCTTCTCGGGTTGAAACCATCTATTGCTGTAGGGCAGCCTCCGGTTGCAGTACCCGGTTTCGACGGCTTTTCGGAGACAGGCTGACTCGGTTCATACAAATCCGGTACAAAGGAGACGTGATCGGTATCTGCGGGAAGAATACCTTTTGTTATTGCCAATGAATACTCGAGACTGCCAAAAGTGGTGCCGTACCTAAAGTCGCCCACGGCCCGTCATTCTCATGCGTCTCCACTCTCTTCATCGATGGATCTGCATTATATGTCCAAAGAGGGACTTCGGGGAACATCGACATGCACTTCATGATGTGAGTATGCACTTCTTTCTCATTTATGGCGTGGCTGGTCAGAGCTGGAACAACCGGTACTCCGATGCTGCGAAGGAATTCGCGCGTTCGCCCTCTACTGCTCAGGTACTTTTCGTAGGCGTCCAGTGTTGGTCCCAGGACAGGGATCCCCAGCACCTACGGTAACATAAGGGGATGAGGGTGCTCCGACATCGACCTGATCAACGAAAGCGACGCCTCCCTTACCGAGCTAAGGCGTACTTCAGCCTCCCCAATCACATCGCAGAGCAGTATCGCATTCTTTCCTTGACACATCCGTTTCAAATTCGCCAGAGCGCGGCGACTGCATATAAGCATTGATGCTATCGGAGCATCTGCAGGAAAGCATGGCCCAGCTTCGGGAACAACGAAACGGATGCGGTTCTCGTCCAACGGATTGTGATCCGGGAATCCGGACCCTGGAAAGCCATGAGCTGGTCACTACGCTGTTTGATGAACAATATGCTTCTGATACACTTTTACCTAAAGTCTTTCGAAACCGATCGATCCTTTCCTCGTCCACGTACGAGGTGACGAAAATGGTCTCGGCAAGGGAGTCTACCAAGAAATGCGCCCTGATAACGAAACGATCAGATTCGTGTCGATAGTCCGACGGCGTGACCTCCCAACTTCATACCTTCCGAGGTTGATGTCCGCCCCCATCTCGTGTAGGTCTCCCAGTACTTTTGAAGGAACCAATTGTATGTAGGTGCTACGATACTGTTAGCTATTATCGCACATTTTTAATCCCACATATGACCAACGCAGCCCACCGTTTATGCGTCGCCACGCTACCAATTTCGTGTTTGAGGGTCGACATCAATCGATGGAATCGGCGGACATGTACCTTCTCATATTGAACCTGAAGGAAACAACGTGGTCACACGATTTGCTATCGGGTTCGACTAGCGCGAAACCATGTATCAACATGGATAAAAGTTTCCTACCTTCGCTTGTAGTTGCACATCACGGCGCATCATCTTGATCTTCCAATACTTCAAGAATATACCAGCTGCTCGTACGCGCTCCAAATGCCAGAATTGCATGCGCCTGTCACGAAATGCAGTGAGTTTGCGGTACTTCTGATAGCATCTTGGAAATCCATTGCGGCTTTTAGGACTGACCGCATGATCCACATCTTAAATGTTGCTTGGATCTTGCCGGCCGCCATGTTGTGGCCGTCCTTTCCACGAAAGCGTTGCCCGTCAGTTGTCATGATTTGTTGCACCTGTCAAACAGTTGAGATCAGTACATTTCGCAAAGCAGTCATCTGATTTGCGCTTGACCAACCTCCGCCGAGTTAACCAGACAGTCTAGAATAGCATTCCGGTCAACGTGCGGGCCCAGTGGTGCTTGCGCCAGCTCCTTCACATGAGTGCTAATGATTTCCGTGTAAGGGACTACAACTCATGCCATTAGCATACTCTCACATTCGCCTTCTCTTTTTTGTTGAGGATGCTACACACTCACCAGCATACTGCTGCATCAAGTCCTCGATCTTTTCCAGGACCCATTCTACAGCACACCAATTATCTTCACACGACTTTTGGAATTTCGCAAACACCGGCACATGTCGTACGATTTTGCCCCCTTGCACCGTCAACACCGGTCCTTTCCGAGACGCAGCAATCAGTCGCGCTGTGTTGACCCTTTCCTGTTCGATCGTGAACAGATTGTACGTAGACGTGAAAGGTGCATTCTCATCTCGCGAGGGGGCCAACTGCGATGGCGGGGGCGTGGCCGTCGGATGAGGCTTTGTCTCAAGCGGGACGTCAAGGACGATCTTGAAACGTGGCCGCAGAGCGGGCCCGGTGTGGTTCCAATGTGCATCTAACGCTGCCGTTGTCCTCGTTTTCTTCGTTTTTGGGAACTGCCTGTTCACGTGTGGCTCTTCCGGAGGCTGGGGCGGAGTCAGCGGCACCAGTCTCAGGTAGTCGAACTTCGACGGGGGTTTGTTCAACGACATGATGTGCTCTAATGACCCGTAAGTCTGTTTGTCCAACTGTAATGCCGTTGAATCAATCGACAGCACTGGCGAGTAGTCTGCATCAGCTGGCAAGAATCCTCTGTTGATGAGAGACGTGATGCCCGTCTTGTCCATAACGCTTGTTTCCGGAACGAAGCTTAGAATGTCTCCCGCACGCAGTCGTGGGAGCATGGTTTCGAGAGGAAATCCATATCGGTTGTTTCGCAGCTTTCGGTACATGAGTCGCTTCTCGATGGAGCAGACATTGGTCACGATCCGCTTTTTTCTCCTTAAGTATGTGATGACCTGGATTGTGGACGAGAGAGGTATTAAATGTTGTACTGACATGATATCGGGCTATCCTGCTCCTGCCTTACCTGATCATCTAGAAACGGAAGATGTTCATTAGTCATAGGCAAGGTAAGAGTCTCCAAGCCTGCCCATTACACACCTTTTGACGGTAAACCATCCCCGCCCGCCCGTCCTCGTGCCTGCTCAATCGTGGTTCCGCCATTGGGAAGAGGTGGCAAATGAAGTTTCCGCCTGCCCGCCCGTGGTTTTCCGTTGGGGATCGGGGACAGATTCGTCGGCTCTGCGAGCGATGTTTCGTCCAGCCACGTCGCTACACTCATGGCTGGTTATGAACTTATATGTATCGAGAGAGAAGGGGCTTTGCGTTGCGCTGCGAACCGTCCGAGCAATCGGATGGCCGTTCTGAAGAATCCGTCGGAATCCAGAAATCCTCCGAAAATCGACAGCGCGTGACTCTCCCTTTCCCCGTCAATCCAGTTTGTTGAAAATCGACTGACCCGCGCATGTATCATCTGCAAGGAAAATCCCAAGACAAGTGACGGGGAAAGCGAGAGTTTCAGTGAGGAATAAATGCACTCGACGGCAGGCTTTTTGCAAACATCTTCTTTTCTGACCCGTGCTATTAGACTACCAACGTAGGATCGCAGAGACGAGTATGATCGGAGTATCCCCCTCCGGCGTCGTTGATCATGGTCAAACGACCATCAGGACGACTCATGAGCACAGAAAACCGATGGGGCAAAACCGAGATTGTATGAGAAACGCGGGTGAGATAAGAGTGGACAACTGATTGATTAAGTTCGAAAGGTATGAGAATCGTGGGCTGAGTTCGGTGAAGGGTTCGAATGTATGAACAAAGTAAAGTAGAATAAATATCAATCGCTTTTCTAACTCTACTTTCCACCAGAGGTGCCCATGCCCATGACGGTCTTGAACGTGTCGTAGATCCACCATTGGAGACCTAAATGAGGGGAAAACGGGTGAGTGTCGTCCATCAAACGCCACAACGAATCGCAAGGACCATCTTCTTCTTACCAGTGAGGGTACCGATCATGAGCACACGAGTTCCCAGACCCTTGGTAGCGAGGTTCACGAGACCGGTCTCGGAGGCGATTTGTCCGAGACCCTTGCCCTTGTTAGCGGGCTTGGACATCAACGAGACGAGAGAGTCAGCTGGGTGGGAAACGATAGCGCAAATGATACCGGCGGAGTAACCAGAGGCGAAGGTAATCCCAAGCTGGGTGCTCTTAGAGTAGGTTTCCTTGGGGGCGGTGAAGATGTTGGAGTAGAAGAATTGCACAGCCTTCTCGAAGAAGAAGAATTTGGCAACGGTGTAGGGAATCTGGCGAGACCACAGAGGGGTGAGGGATCCGAAGGGGAAGCGGGTGACAGCGCTGTCAGCACGCATTGTGGCGAGGGCGGGCCCGAAAGCGGTAGGGAAAGTTCCGGGAACGGAGGTCTGGACCTTGACCTTCACCATCTCCATGGGGCAAAGGGCGATGTCCGCAAAGAACTCGGCGGAAGCGGAACCAGCGCACCACACCAAACCCTTGTACTTTTCGGCGTTCTCTTTGCCGAGAAGATTGGAGTACGTGTCCTTGAAGTACTCGTACAGTCCGTACTTGAAAGCACCTTGAGCAGAGTACCCAATGAGAGTAGGTGCCCATCCCTTCCAGATCGCGCTGGCACCCTCCTCAGCAATGATGGTGCGGAAACCGGAGGCGAGACCCTTGTATTTCGCTGGGTTGACCTGCAAGAGAACAAACATCGGCTCAGCAAACGCCGACGGCGTGGATTCTCCGACCAGAAAAGAGAGACTTAAGCTCAGCTAAGCTTACCTGCATGTTGCACTCTAAGAGGGAGCAGATGACGGTTTAGGAGAGTAGGTGAGTCAGTGAGCCGTAAACAAACACCGACAACCCAAAACCATCAGAAATCTGATGATTGTGTGGGAAAACGGTCCGACGTGCCCAGCGAGGGCAGAAACTTACTCGTCACATCCATAGGAGCTGCGAGAGGAAAAGGAGACAAGATTAATACAAAGCGAAAAGTCAAAACCAAGGAGTTTCCCAGGGGTTTTGGTACGTACTGATGGCAGCGTGGGTCAGACCGCAAGCGAGGACACCACCAAGCATGCACTTGGCGTAGTAGGAGGAGTCGTGGGGCACGGCACCGGCATAGCGGGCGTCCCAAGGCTTGTTGATGATCGACATGTCTGCGCCGTAATCTTAGTCGCTGGGAAAAGCGATACGATGAGGGATGGGGGCGATGAAGAAGGGAGCGGATTGCTGCGTTTTTGAAATGAATGTAAGCAGCCTGCGCCACCCGCCTCATTTTGCTGTGCCCGCTTTCTCCCTCGCAACCAACTTGAACGACGCGCCCAAACAAGCCAACGCGCTATTTCGAGCGATTTATTGTCACCCGGGTCTTTCCGAACACTGGACTCAAGAGTCAAGAGTCAAGAGACTTAAGTTATTATACTGTACTGTATAGGTCAACGTACCCAAACGCTGTGGCAACCCGGTGGTGTCGTTGGGATCTCTCGGACTCTTTGCCACAGATACTGCGCTGAGTTTGAGGGAAAAGGCAGTACGCTGGGGATCGAGGATGTCTCGGGCTGGATAGAATTTGTAGGCGCGAGATTTATGGAGCTACCCTGCCTCCACCTCAGTAAAGGGGCTCGCTGGCCAAAGCATAACCGAGCATTGGACGGCGCGGGCAGCAGTTGCTTTCCTGATTCTGTAGGCCATTCCGCATCCCATTCTTCGTTGAAGTGCGCGTTATCCACTCGTAACAGTCAGGTACGTGGGTTCAGGGTCGTATCAAGTCCTTCGAGGAGTCGCTACATACCACTTCGAGCCCAAGCACCACCGTTAACGGGGCACTACCGAGAACTATTCAACGTCCTTTTTGGTTGCAGGAACCTTTAAGATCAATGCTGCTCGGGAGCGGGTGGCCTGTCACTGTAGAGTATCTGTCCGGGTGGACGTACCCCGAGACGGTGGGATTGGTAGATCGGGGTCTTTCCATAGCTTCGTATGCCCGTATGCCTCAACAAAAAATATTGGAAGCCGATGGTTTCATTGCCGTACAGTCAGCTTGTCTATGAAGCTTGCACGATCACAAAGTGGATGGAAATTGTGGAGAGCCGACTCACATGGAGAGTTGAGCGGAGGAAGCTGACGTAAGCGTAATCGCGTCGGATCATCGGACGACGGAGATCAGGGTGGTGTAAAAGGAAGGAAATCGAAATCGGATGTGCCAACGCGACCGGAACACCTTCCGTTGCCTGACCGAAACACCTTTCTTTGCCTAGAGGGAAGGCCTTTCTTTGCCTAGAGGGAAGGCCTTTCGTTGCCTAGAGGGAAGGCCTTTCCACCCTGACACGTCTCACCAACACACACACACACTGACATGGCTGACACACACATGGCCGAACCCGAACACGTACCCATACCAAGAGTTTGTGGACACCCTCAGTGCAAACTGGTGAGCGACACTGAACAACAACGACAAACAACTTCAGCTAACTTCCCTTTGCAATTGCAATTGCAATTCCCAGCTCAACATTGCCGACATTGCCGCCGACATTGCCATGGCTGCCGAGAGAGGGGATGAGGGGACAGCAGTGCAGCCACAGAGTGGGGAGCTGAGGTCGGAGCTCGAGGCGGGTGGCTGGCTTCGGTGTGCAGGAAAGAATGGAACTTGCGAGTGGGGGGGCTGGTTCCACCGACATGCTGCATGCGTACTCGAGTGAATAAACCCTGTTGGTGGTGCACAACATGTCGGCCAAGCCAAAAGCAGCAAATGAAAATATGGGAGGACCTGGAGGCCCAGAGGAGGGCAGGCAATGCAGCGGTCGCATGCAGGGTCGCATGCAGGGTTGGATGGGGCACTGTAGGGCCCCCTGTCCTCGGTGGTTGGGGCAGCAAGACCGAGGAGGACCCGGGCTTTGTGCGAGCAAAGAAGAGGAAAACGACACCAGGGGCTCAAGAACTGCAGCGACGAGAAAAGTTCAACAAACTGGTGGACGACGATCGAGCTGGAAGACCACCTTCGCTCTCACAGAAAGGAGTTGCTGACAAGCATGGGTACGATCGCCCAGTGGTCCTGGTATCCCCTCCTCGCCTTGCACCCAGGCTCGATGTAAAGGCACTTGCTTATGGTGTTTCGCTCCCACTACGAGTACATGAGTGGCTTGACAACAAACAGACAGTATTCATCGTCGCTCAAATTCAGAATCGTGTCTGAGGCTGCTACCATCGAACTCCACCTGATGCGAACTTGAAGCCCCCGACTCAACGTCTCACCACCGACTCAATCATCTATGGTATCGACAGCGACAATATGTTCACCATTCTGGAACTGTATATGCTTAATGCATTCGACAAACAAGCAATGGACGAAATGACCAAGTGTTACCAAGCCTGGATTCAAACCCCTCGGCTGCATGAGCAACCTGTCTCTCGTACTGCAAGTGTTTGCTATACCCATCAATGAGCTGGGAGTCACCCAGAAGAGTGGGATGAGACATGTCGAACGACCCACTCAGGAACTTGGGTCACCCGTGGACAAAGAATGATCACTCCAGTGAGCGAGGTGGCTGGTTCGAATGCCTGCAGGTATGATGATACTGATGTTGTTGTTGAAAGCATCCCACTAATTGTTATGGACGACGCGTTCATACCATAAGCTTACCTACTGACAGCCGCCAATGTCAACCGCCAAATGTCAAACGCCAATGTCAATGTCAATGTCAGTGTCAATGTCAGTGTCAATGTCAATGTCAATGTCAGTGTCAATGTCAATGTCAATGCTACTCCCCCTCTCTCCTCTCATTTCGCCAATCCTCTTGCAATATCGCCACTCCTCCTCTCTCCTCTCATTTCGGCAATCCCCCCTCGGCTTCTCCACACCCCCCACTACTTCCCCATAGCCAGCAGCTGTAGCAATGCTCTCTACGCTCGCCACGCACGCTCTAGGAGCATAGCTGGCGCCCCCCCAGTCCCCTCTTGTTGTTGTTGTTCTCTGATCTGCTGGGTTGCCTATCTATAAATAGCCGGCCTCTCTTCGTCCGTTCCCTTCCTCCCCAGCAGATCAACACCAGTTCTTCTCATCTCCTGTTCTAGTCCTTGTTTCTTGTTTCGCCAATACAATCTCTTGTCGCCTATCACTCTCGCCCTGTCTTCTCTACTTCGCTTCCGCCTCCGTTGTCGAGATCATAACACTAATCTTGGCCTCCATGCAGGGCTCCTGGGGCAACTGCTGTTCACCGGGCTTACGCCAAGCATGGCATCGCCAAACTCATTCATGCGATGGCATGGATCGCCTCCCCCGATGAATATTTTTCCAACCGAGACACGATCAAGGCTCTCACCGATATCGACAAGGCATATCTCTCAAAAGACGATTGCTGGTCTACCCACACCCACATTTAGAATTCGACAGTTGATTGCCACTTCGATGTCGAGGACAAGGGTTTCACAGCTCAGTACACCTTTGGCGACTTCGACGATGGGGGAGATCTTGAACTCATCGATGCAGGTTTTGTTCTGAAGCAGGAAGTGGATACCTTAACCCTGTTCCGAGCCGATCTTCTTCATCATTCAGTGACCGACTACTCGAGGGGGAATCGGTATGTGCATTCGATGTATATGCAAAACAAAGTACGCAACGCTGTACAGAGGAAACCTGGGGATGCCGAGTCGTAGAGTCTGTTTTTGTATGTACTGTACTTTGTATCAAATATATTCGAGTCTTTTTGAATTATTTTGGTGAACTGCTATCTACGCCTACTTCTACGTGTGCAGGTTTACGTGGGGTCGTTGTCGGTGTAGAGCTTGGTGTTGCCAAGTGTACAGTGGTTGCGATACTTCCTGTACGCCCAACAACATCGTGATCAACCCGGTGAAAGGAGCGAGTGGCATGGTACGGTGTTGCGGTCGTGTCGGCACGGGCCCTTTTCCCCGCGAGTGTTGTGACTTTACTGGCTTGAGTACGTGTCTGGCCGGTTGACCACTCGCTCAAGTTGGTGATGTCTTTGCAGTAGCTCTTTTGTTCGTAAGAGTG